GCCGGGCCAGTGCCGGGCCATGGCAGAGCCGGGCCGGTGCGTTCCGGACCCTGGCCAAGCAGAGCCGGTGCGTGCCGGACCACGCATGGCCAAGCCGAGCCGACGCACGCGCACCGGACCGTGGCCAAGCCGGGCCGGTGCGTGCCGGACCAACCAACCATGGCTAAGCCGGGCCGGTGCGTGCCGGACCTACCATGGCCAAGCAGGGCCGGTGCGTGGGTGCCGGGCCATGCATGGCCAAGCCGAGCCGGTGCGTGCGTGCCGGGCGGACCATGCATGCATGGCCAAGCCGGGCCGGGCCGGTGCGTGCGTGCCGGACCATGCATGGCCAAGCCGAGCCGGTGCGTGCAGGACCATGGCAAAGCCCGCCGGTGCCAGGTCGTGGCCCGGCCGATGCAAACCGGTGCCAGATCATGACCAAGCCGGTGCCAGGTCGTGGCCAAGCCGGTGCCAGGTCATGGCCAAAGCCTGCCAAGCCGGTGCCAGATCATGGCCATCCAAGCCTGCCAAGCGGCAGCCTTTGCCAGGCCGTGGCCAAGCCGCCCGGTGCCAAAGCATGGCCAGGCCGGTGCCAGATCACGGCAATGCCTGCCGGTGCCAGGTCGGGGCCAAGCCGGTGCCAGATCATGGCCAAGCCGGTGCCAGATCAGGGCCAGGCCGATGCCAAATCATCGCCAAGCCGGTGCCAGGTCGTGGCCAAGCCGGTGCCAGATCATGGCCAAAGCCTACCAAGCCGGTGCCACTGCCAGATCATGACCAGCCCGGTGCCACATCATGGCCAAGTCGGTGCCAGATCATGGCCAAGCCGGTGCCAGGTCAGGGCCAAGCCGATGCCAAATCATCGCCAAGCCGGTGCCAGGTCGTGGCCAAGCCGGTGCCAGATCATGGCCAAAGCCTACCAAGCCGGTGCCACTGCCAGATCATGACCAGCCCGGTGCCACATCATGGCCAAGTCGGTGCCAGATCATGGCCAAGCCGGTGCCAGGTCGTGGCCAAGCCGGTGCCAGATCATGGCCAAAGCCTGCTAAGCCGGTGCCAGATCATGGCCGACCCCGCCGGTGCCAGGTCGTGGCCAAGCCGCGCAGCAGGGCCAGCTCCCGGGCCGTGCGGCCAAGCCACCGCCAAAGCCGTGCGGCCAAGCCAACGAGAGCCAAAGCCTTGCGGCCAGGCGGGCACCAAAGCCGCGCGGCCACGCCAGCGAGCGCCAAAGCCGGACGGCCAAGCGGGCGGGCGCCAAAACCGTGTGGCCACGCGGGCGCCAAAAACGTGTGGCAACGCGGGCGCCAAAACCGTGCGAACTAACAAGCGCCAAATCCGCGCGGCTAAGCGCCAAAGCCGTGCGGATAAGCGCCAAAGCCGTGCGGCCAAGAGCCAAAGCCGTGCGCGGCGGCCAAGCGCCAAGCAAGGCCGCGCGGCCAGGCGCCAAAGCCGCGCGGCCGGGTTTTGTTTGCCCTTTCTATTCGCCGCCCTTATTTGCTTCGTTCCTCGCTAAACGCAAACCCTAAGCGCCGACATCAACTCTAAGCCAGAGGCAGCTAAGGCCGCGCGGCCAATAAGCGCCAAAGCCGAGCGAGGCCGCGCAGAGAAGCGGCAAAACCGGGCCCACGCTGCCAGGTTCCAAAGCCGAAGCCGTGCGGCCTACAGCGAACTAATCCGCGCGGCCGAAGGCAAGGTGGGCCCAGACAACGAAAGGCGGCCCGGCCATCCCGGCCCGTGCCGGCTCGAGCTAGCCGGGCGGGCGCGAGGCCAAACTAACCCGGGGCCCAGCTAGCCCGGCGCGGCTCATGCGACGGCCAGCCAGCCGGGTGGCGCGAGGCCATAGCCAAGCGGGCCGATGTCGCGGGGCGCTGAAAGTCCGCCACCCAGCGAGCCCCACTCCTCTCGCGGGCCGCTGCGCTTTCTTCAACAGAAGAGGAGTAGCAGTGGCGAGCTGCGGGCGGGTTTCCCTGTCATCCTTCGCACTTTTTTTTTTTGGGGGGGGATCGTATCCCAATAAGATTCGCGCGGGTCGTCCTGTCATCTTCGCGCTTCTATTTATTTTTTTTCTCATCTTCTATCTAGCGGATACTTGTTTTACATGTCAACCACGTACAGGCGGAGCTTCTGGAGGCTAGTAATTAAAGAAGTCACGATGCAGTTTTCTATGCTTGTGAATCGGTAAAACACGTAGTCGATGGAGTTGTTGTACCGGAGTCCCCAACATAGATGACTTGCACGTGATTGCGAATATCGTGCGTGTCACGGCGTAATAGGTCCAACGCGTCGCGCTCCCGGCGGAGGTCCACGTACGCTTGATAGGCTTCCTCCCGCTCGTTTTCCCCGAGCTCGCGCACCCGGCGCAACTCCGCGTCGGCGTTGAAGTCCGCCGCTTTGCGCGTCGCCTCTGCGCTGGCCGCGCGTGCCGCTTCACCGGCGGCTTCGCGCTTGTCGGCAAGCGTGTCCAGTTCGCTGATCACGTCGCAGTTGCGCGCGTTTTTCTCCTTCGTCTCGCCCCGGTTCGTGGTAAGCTCTGCGTCGAGGGCGCGGCACTGTCCGCTTTCCGCGTTATACTGCTCCGCGCTGCGGCCGACAAACTCCGCGTACCCGTCCTCTCCCTGCTGCAGCTTCGCTTGAAACTCGTTGAACGCCACTCGCTGACCCTCGTTCAGCTTCGTGTTGAGGGCGGCCGCTTCCGCATCCGCCGAGGCAATCATGGCTTTGTGGTCCTCGGCCAGGACCTTGAGGTCATCCCTCTCCTTTTTCATGCGATCCCGGCGTTCCGCTCTCTTGTCGCCCCCGGGCGGGCGACCTGTCGAGGATCCCCAAATGGACATGATTCGTCGTCGGGTGTCCCTTTTGCGCTGTAATTCACTTTATGTCAAACTCGTTCTAGTAAGTACCAAAGGCTGCACGGACTACTAGTAAATCTCTTTCTAGTGTTTGATTCTTTCCCTTTTCATGATTGTGATTCCATGGTGTGGCATTACGCCTCGATTGGCTCTCAGCGGCGAGGCTCCATCGTCGGCGACTTTTACGAGCTTCTGCGAAACAATTCAGAGAAACCATGTATCCTCAACATCCAACGCTTTCAATATCAGAAAGGTAGGGAAGTTTGAGCTATCGAGGCAAGAGACGAGGCAACCGAGTAGTAGACCGTTTTTGTCGAGAAATTGGGGCGAGTGTTTTTGTCAAGAAATCAGCACACATCTCCTCTCAACAAGCATCGATCGTCGTTGTACAAACGAAAAACAAGAACATAAATGTTTTCTCCTCGCTTCAAAATCGCAGGCACTGAGCCGCTTTCACGTTTTGTATAGCCACCGTATAGGTCATCTCTAGAGGCGTGATTTTTATAGTGTGTCGGCTGGTTTTCCTCTTTATTTCCAGGACTCTCCGCAAGGTGCGACACGCTACCTCCAGCAGCCGCTTGCGCGTTGCAAGTATTGGAACAATTCGAATCGTCGCAAACATGCGAAAAATTTTCATTCTGAAACGCAGACGAGGAACGATTCACTCCTGCTTTCCGAAGGAGGTGGTCCTCGTCCTTCAGCGCGGCGCCTACGATCTTTGCCAGGTCTTGTACAAGCGTCAGAGTCTGGTTTTGCAGCGCGACGGATTCCAGGAGGGCATCCAAGTCTCGCTTGTTGTAGTTGCGAAATTGCTCCTGATCTGGCAAAATCCACCACCCGAATGTCTCCAGCGAGGCCACCTGCGTCGCGGTCGCATTCTCAGCCTGCCGGTTGTCAAAGTCCCGCACTGCCACAACGATCTTCTCCAGACCCGGATAAAGAAAAATGTTGTGCGGAATGTCCTCTCGCAGCAACAGCTGCACGAAATCCAGCGTAACACGCATCAGCAGCATTTGCGGAACAGGTAGCGAGGGGTTGGCAAACGCCTCGTCGAGCTGCCGCTGAGAATCAGGTTCAGAAATCGAAAAAGACCTGCTGGCATTGCCATCGCTATTCTCAAGGAGCGGAGAAGTGGCGCAGGCACGTCGTATCGCCCAGAAATTCTCTGCTGTGAAGAAATCAACAGACGCGGCTACTTGAGCAGGTTGTTCACAATGCAAATCGTTCGCTTTCTGTGAATCTTCGCTTGGCGCGTCCTTTAGAGCTGCTGCACGGAGTCCGTCGTCTGCAGCTGCGTTCAACACATCGTCCTCACTCACGACGGTAAATTCCAGAATGGAAGAGAGCGCCCAGTTCTGCATCAGCGCAACCGAGACGGACGCGCGGCGGCGCTGCGGACTCTCCGCGTCTCCGGTGAGGTAGTCGATCGGGGCGAGATTCTTCGTCAGAATTTTCCGCGGCAGCTCGTCGATCGGAACGAGCGCCGGCGGCGCCCAGACCTGAAAGTGCATATGGTTTACGCTTGCCCCAGCTCCGAGAGAGTTGAAGTAGAGCCGCAGCTTCTGTGAACGGAAAGCGAAGAAGCAGCCGACCAACCAAGAGTCCGCATCCAAGATTTGAAAGCGCGTGCCGGGAGGAAGCAACACCGAATGCAAGTGGCAGACCGGATGCAGATTCCGCAGGACTCGCACCGGGTTTGCGGAGGCCGATCCTTTTTTTCCGGTCGTCCTGTTCCGCCAAGGTAGCTCAAGCAGGAGCTCCGCACTCAGATTCCGAATTTTCGTAAAGTCCCACGGGCGACTACTGGAAAAAATCGAGGTCACTGGCTTTCCAAGGATGCGCTTCTTGCCGCGTTGCGGCGAGTACTGCAAAAAGTGGTTGGGGCTGGCGGCCGTATCATTTCCGTAACTGACCCTAAGAGTAGTTTCCTCACTGGTGACATCAGTAGGACTCTCGTTCCCGTGCTGACCCGGATCGCATACCCGACGCACGTTATCCTCGTGAAAATCAGTCACACAGTTACCACTGGGCATTTCCGCGCACACCTCCTGCCACCGACGTGCTAGCACCCCGTCCAGGGCAGATCCTGCTCGGCTTCCACGATCGTCAGATTCGTGTAGAACCTGTACTAGGGCCGCTCGCTCTCGAATCCCATGATTCCACAATACAACCATCGTAAGCAACATGGTTCGACACCCAGATGATGCTGGTGAGCAGAACCTCAGCGGCAGCATGCTTTTTCGTGAAGGAATCAAAACGAACCACGGCGAAGCCATTCTGTGTAGCCCAACAGAATCCAAACAGCCTTAAGGAGCCTACGGTAAACGGCACGAGAAATGACGACAAGCATGATCTGTGTAAGTACTCGAAGCACTATTTGCCACCAGTCATCACGCTTTATTCTTTCGTGCTGATCATACCGAGTACGACTCACTCAACCACTGGAACAGAAGGCACAAGCACCCAAAATGGTTGGCCCGCTCGAAGCGCCATGCCCCGATAAAATCCTCGTTGCATAATCTTGCCATTCTATTCAGCGGCTAGTGCAACGCGGTAAACATCTGTTGCGGCCTTGACACCCCTGCTTCCAACGATGAAAATCTGCTCTAGCCCTCTACTCTGCCACCTAGTCCCCTTCCAGGAAAACTTCTCCCTTCATGAGCACCCTCGCTGAGCGCACGAGCCCGGCAGACTCTGCTTCCCATGCGTCACGCGCGTCATTGAATCGCACACTACTGGTGACATCCATGGGGCCAGCGGGATGCACGAACCGCAGCTGGGCACCGCTCGCTGTGTGGTGACCCCCTCCGCCCAGTTCGTCAGCGACCACCGTTCCCGGTATAGCCGCGGCGATTGCGAGGTTGACCGCGCCCGTTCCGGTGAATGCGTGATGCCGCGGCCTTCCGGGCGCCGAAACGCAGGCTCTGAGTTGTCCACTTTCATCGTTTCGCCCGACCCACACTACCCGAGCTGCGCTGGCGCCCCAGTCTGCCACGCCACACTTCTCCGCGACCGCTCGGCGAACGCGATCAACAAGCAGCGTTGCTCTCGCAGTCTGCGCTGCAGTGTACGCTTGCAGGTCCGCGACAAAATTTGAGTCTCCAGGTAACTCCAGTCCAAGATCGCGCGCGGCACAGAACACGGAGATCACGGCGCCGTCTACAACGGTAACGGGAATAGAGCGGACAGATGCAGCTGCAAGTTCGCTCATCTTCATGCCAGGCGGTTGAATTGTATCCTCCGCAGAATCTTCAGTTCTCGTCGAAATCTCTATTTCCGTGCTTGCCCCTAATGGCAACAACGGTTCCTGCTTTTTTCCAAGTATGAAGTTGACGACGCATCCGGGCGCGAAGCCTGGCACACCCGCAATCTCAATGGGGTGGTCCGGTGGCAACGGCTGAATTTCAAGCGGGTATCCTTTATTCACTTGCCAAACTGAGAGGGGGTTCGGCGCGGCCGGGCCGTGCTTTTCTTCTTCAGAGGTGGGTGGAGTTGTACTGCTACTCTTCACCAGACCAAAGAATTCGGCGACGACCCCCACTGCACTGGCCAAATTGCCGCAGGCAGTGCTCCAGTCTATCTCCGGCGTCTTCGTGGCAACTTGGCCGAAAATGTAATTGATGACAACTTTTTCCACATCACCGCTCCTATTGGAAGCGGCAGGAGACGCACGTTTCTCTAAAATGACCACCTTGCTGGTAGAGCTGGTCGCTCCTCCCATTCCGTCTATTTGAGCGCCTGACGGATCCGGCAGGCCCTCTTTATTGAGCACAACGCGCAGCAGTGAGCGGGTCAGCTTCTGTCGGAGTGTCGCTTTTTCCGAGAGCGAAATATGGCTCTCAGTCTCAGACTTCTTCTTCTCATCAAATAACTGGGAAACAGTGCAGCCAGCAGGAAACCTGAGCTCCCGGCACAAGGCACTTCCCTCAAAAAACAAACCTTTCGAGGTCCCGCCTCGCGCAACGATGGCGGACAGAGTTAGGGGGGTAGTAGAGCGAGACATGATCGAAGCAATGACTGCAATTTTCAAAAAGCGGATCAAACTGCGGTCGATGTGTGAGTGTGATCGAGCACAGATACGTATGTTGCTGCAGCTGCAAAAATAGCTGATACAACAAAAAAACCCTCTTTCAGAGCGGCGCGAATCCCGAGCCTTGCTGCAAGTCTCCCTAGTCGTCTGTGGACGCCGGCCTCCCCTTGCGGTATCGGTCCGGAAATGGATCGACGAAGTACAACGAAAAGAGAACGAAGAAGCAGATGCGATGTTCGCCTAAAATGAAAGTAGTACGATGGAAACGATAGGAGAACTCAACACGCAAGAACATGTCACCGATTACTTCTACATCGATTTATTTTGGTGGCAGCGGCCAGTCTATAGCATTTTGATCCTCCGCAAAAAGCCGAGCGACAGTGAAAGTAATCGGTATCGGTTCTTCTTCTTCGTCCCATTCATGCATATGCAGAAAGAAGACCAAAAAACAAGTACAAGCCAAGCGCAAGTTAGTTCTCGTCTCGAAATCACATTGAGAGTTACACGCTAGCATCACGTCAGGGGATTGATTGATCAGCATTCCGCCTGAAAAAGCAAACAACAGTTCTGCTGGCAAGCGTCCTACAAATCAAGTTCCAAAATGCAAAAACCTAAACAGAGGAGCGGGCATAACATCTTCTAGCATGACAGAAAATAAATTCCACAGCGACAAAGTACACGCCGTATCATCAATTCTTCGATAGGACTAGGAGGCAGAAGATCTTCCTTCACCAGATTTTACGCATTTCTTTGAAAGATATTCTAAGCAGGTCAAGAACTTATTTGAGATTGATATCATACTCAAGCCTTTCAGAAAGAAGAGTAATTCAGGTTGTCATGAGAGAGAGCGCCTTTGATAGAGTATTTCAATTTGCAAGTTCATATCCAGTCTGTATTCCATTGAGTCAAATAAAAAAAAAATGCCGCCTTCTTCTTGCTTTTCGGTTCCCAAAAAGCACAATAACAGAAAATACAGCAACGGAGTGCGACGACGGAACAAGAACTCAAACTCAATGCGAAATAATTTCCGACGTCGCATGTACTACGTACTTTCTGGTCGAGGCTGGTGCCAGGACACAGAAAATCTCCATGTCGACCTGTTCTTCCTTGCTCACAGCAACTTCCTGTGTGAGCTGAGGTCGGACGCGATTTGAAAGAGAAGGTCGTCGAAGTCGAGACGCTTCTGTTCCAGCTTCGCGGCGGAAAGAAAGTACAGACGCTGGCTCACGTTTTGTTCCTTGTAGTAGGTTCGCAGCTCAGTTAGCACGGATTCGGTGCTCCTGCCGTACTCGGCGTACTCCATTTCCAAAGCTTGATCGGTCTTGTTCCGTACCATGTAGAACGGCACGTCAAAGTCCGACAAGGCGTTCATCAGCATGATGTCATTTTGTGTGAACCGTTCCGCTGTTATCCCAGAGAGATACTCTCTGCTGTAACGCTAATGCAAAAGCCGCAGACATAGACAAAGTCAAAGAAATGCTCCCTGCTTCCGTACTTCCACAACCTGAAGCAGCACGCTGTGGGCTGGCCCATGACAAAGAGCTTTTTTCTGTGGGATAGCAGTGACAATCAGCACGCCGTCGAAGTATCTTAGACCCATTTGCTTCACGTAGGTGCTCGCAGGGAAGGCCTCAGTACCAACACCGGGCAGGTCCCACAGGGAGACCTTGTCCAAATTTGTCAGACTGGAAAACGGCTTCTGCTGCGCTGGAAAGCGGTAGTCCCTAGAAGAATATTTCATTTTTTTCAACGAAAGTGCGAGACAATTAGATGCCCGTACAACGGAAAGATTGCTAGAAGTAGAAGCTGGGTGCAGAGGCTGTGACAAAAAAATACCTCGCTCGTCGCTAACGCAAAGGGGTCTGAACTCACCTTATCAAGGCAGCAGGAGCTTCGTTAATAGTGATTGGCTTTGAGATTTTACTATTAGCACATAATGGTGGTTATCCAGGTCCAAAAAATTATACATGGGCTCCATGGTGGTTTCTTTTGCACCGACTTTGGCCGCGAGCGGATCCTTTGCCTTCAGCCCTCGCAACGTGTTGATGAGCGTCGATTTTCCTGGGCAATGATACAAGTATCCGATGCCTGCTACCTCCTACTGAGTTGAAAAATACACGTCGAAATTTGTGCAAACTATCGTATATCAATCGAATTGCGCTTGATGCGATGACATTTTGATTTTGACGAAAAGAAAAGTCTCGCCATACCTACTCCCCCGGCACCGGCCACAGCGAAGTTTATTCGATGTGTGGATAGCCAGTCCGGGCAACGGAATTCAGCCGCTTCCTCCCCCTGCGGCACGTGCTTCGCAGGACCGTGTGTAAAGTCTATTCTCGAAATCAGGTAGAAAAACAGGAATGCGCTCCCGAAACCGGCGGCAAACTTTCCGATGGCGACGAAAAAAAACCACCCCAGGAGGGGAAACCCAAAACGAAGCGTCCACAAGCCGACAGACATCATGAAGGTCGGATCCCCAAAGTAAGAGACCGGCCCCGTACATGCACCTGAGCAGATTTTGCAAGTCATGTTGACGATCTCGTCCATTCAAGACAAACACAAGTGAAACCAACGCACCAAATGGTCTGCCGTGTACTACTATCACTATGTGTTGATTTGTGAACGCGAAAATAAAGTAGTAAGTACGCTTCCAGCATCCTCGGTCCCTACCATAGCACGACCAATCTTCTGATTTTGGTTTACTCGGAAAGCTTCCAGTCTCGCCCATCTCTTTGCTGGAAGGTCGCGCCTGGTCCGGGGGTGGTGAGCCGCCTGTAGTGGTCATGCATCGCTTTCATGTCGAGGCAAGATCACCCTCGGAAAAATGTGCCAAACCGAACCAGCTCCAGCAAAGTTCTTGACGTCCATAGAACTAACATTACACTTCTCTGTTTCATCCTTCCTGCATGCTTTGTTGATTCAAAAAATGTATGGCACCAGCCTTGCCGAAGAAGGATCCTCTGCCATCCCAAGGGTTGAAAGGAAGCCCAAATTGATCGCTTACTTGCTCGGTCACGTAAGACTGCGCATACTTTGGGAGATTATTTCCCATGCTGAACCCCCCGGTAAGTACGAGGACTGTCGTGGCCGTTTCGCGATGTGGTAAACGGCGCACTGCCAACGCTCTGGGCGGTAAAGGGGAACTCCGTAGACGAGCTCGATCAAAACTTGAAGAGGAAAAGAAAAATCTGTGGTGCGACGTCCAAGTTGTATGTACACACTGACTTTTTCTCGGCGCAATCCCTAAAAAATTGCGCAACTACGGAGACGGGAGCCACGGGCAAACAAAGGAAGAGACGAGATCATGGAGCCTAGAAAGACGAGTCTGTCACTGTCAGTAGTACACTACAACCATAGTAGAGCCAAGAAAAACTATTGTCCAAGAATGTTCTGCGAGTGAAAACAAAAAACGTATGGAAACAACTGCGCAGCAGAGGCTCCTTCTCCATCTACTTGCAGACTACCTCTCCACACGTGCAATAGGAAGTGTCCAACAGAGCAGACTGAAACGCACAAACTTTTCCCGCAGCACGAAACACTTTGCACGGTGCAGACCTTCTGCAGCGATCCTGTGTGCTGGGCCATTCGCCGAGTATTAGCACACTGAACAACACAAAGCACGTCCACGCGGCACCACCTTTTGGGTAATCTACGACTACATCCAGCACGGATGACTATTTTCCTCATAGATCTTGTGTGATGAGGTCGATAAAGCTCTTGTAATCTACCGTATTTTCCATGGTGTTGTTTGACAGAGTCAGCTCTGTCAGAATTTCCTGCACCTCTTCCGGAGGCAAGCAGTCCCCCACATTCTATTACAGTGAAAAATGCCCCCCACCCCTAAAATTGGAAAAATTTGTGATGCGAAGTTTCCAAATGAAAACTTTTTGTCATGCATGAAAGGAGTGCAAATCTTTCTGCTGCAGAATCTAGGCGTATATCGCATCGCTTGCATGACAAGCGCCGCTCTTGCTGGGGTCTTTTGCAATACAAATCTTTGCCATTCACGATTGGAAACCTGTGATGCTGATAGATGCAAGAGGGCGAATGTTTCATTTGGAAAGGTTTGCAATACAAATGCTCCCAAGTTCGGGGGTGGGGGCATTTTTCATTTTGATACATTCTCCAGCAAGTTTCGAAAGACTGGGATTGGGACAAAGCCAGTGTCTTGCGCGTCATACGGCTGAAAAAAAGCGTAGAGCTCCGCGCGACGGGGCTCTGGGCGCCCAATCTTGCACGCGCCAGCCAGCAGTGTCTTCAGCGAAATCTCCGTGACTTCGTTCTGTTCCACCACTTTGAGAGACCCAGTCGCGCCGCGCGCGGTTGCTGGGTCCCGCGAAGGCGAAGCCGTCGAAGCAGGAATCCCCAACGCAGAGAGTTGCTGCAACTGCGGCTCCGTGGGGCAGAAGCCCTGGCTGCGCAAGATGTACGCGCACTCCACGAGGCTCAACACGCCGGCTTGCAGTCGGTCCCGGCTCCGAAACTCCATCTTCACGCGTTCTACGAGGTCAACCCCGAGCGCGGCCACTGCGTTCGCGTACGTTTCGACCATGCTGCTCGATCGGAGGATCTTCGAAAGCTGGTAAAGAAACCACGGCTACTTTGAACTGCAGGCGGTCGTGCTCTTTTTTTCTTCTTGCGAAAAGAATTCATTCATAATCTATTGTTGAAAACTTTCTTGCAAGAGAAATAGAGACGTAGCAAGAAACAGGGTGCTCTGGTACCTAGTACCTTCACGTCTTTTGATCGTACATCAAAAATTTACAGAATATCTCCAAATCCGAACGCATCGAATGTAAGCGAACAGCACTTTTCTAGTTCACCGGTGACGCAAGTGGCGACCTTGATGTTTCAGCGGAGACAGTAGAGCGTCAAGAGCCCGACATCTCATGATGCAGAGCGACATGTTGCCAATCATGTAGCAATTACAGATTGAACAAGCTGACTCTGACTGAATGCTCGAAAACAATTTTTCACGTGCGCAGACAGATCACAAAACTAACATGGACAACTCGTCAAAGTGCTTGATGAAATCACTCGTGTGATTCTTCCAGCATCTGCTAACGCAGTTACTTCACTTCATATCGGCCAAGTTGTCGAGGCGCTGGAGAATGCTGCGCGAGAATTCGAGCGAGGCACAGGGGTTATTCCGCGGCTTTTTCAGCCGCGCTTGCTGCAGTGTCGTCCAGCTGCCCTGAATCGAAGACAGGTGTGTATGGAACTTCCAATCATAGGACTCGAGCCAGCTCTTTTCATCAGTGGCCGGGGTATGTATGTCCTCAAACAATGCTGATAATACGAATACCTGTAAAAGTAAGTAGTGCAAAGCAAGTGTCACATGCACATCCATCTTCGCAGCACCTGATGAAACCACAGGAGGACTCCTCGTCTCTAGTATGTAAATTTCATAATCTTCCCAAGATGCGCTGCAGTGCGGGCCAGGTCGGTTTTCGTAGGTGTACCTGTGGTCTCTGAAACCAGCCGGCTTGCGTGCCACACGCGCGTATCGCTCTGCACTTACAACCCCAGCAATGTCTGGCTGTTCCTGCCCGGAGGCCGAGTCCTCTGGTGTCCTGTGTCGTAATTTTGGGATGTAGTTGCATGCACTTCCGATTATTTTCGTTTCAGTTCCTTTTTCTGCGACAAGGAATGTTGCATAAAATCAATCGCAGTCCAAAAACAAAGCGAGCCCTCTGTCGGTGGCTTTCTGTTTTCTTCTATTGGAGATTAGGAAAAGTAGAAACACTTCTAAAACTAAATCAAGTGCACTACCACACAAGAGTACCCTCGCTGTTCCTCTTCGTCCTCGACGACAGAGTACATCTCCGCACCTAGCACTACGTCGCGGGAATCTGATTGCTGCGACTCGTTAGGATAAAGCAGCGTCGACGTCCCCGATACGTCGCGATCCTGGAGGCGCGTCGACGCGAGCAGAATTTCCGAAAACGGCACTTCCACTAACGATTCTCGTGGCAACATCCACGCGTTATTTGTTGCCGCGGGTGGTCGACCACGCGCTTGGTTGCCAAAAGGTTGCTTGTGTGCGAGGGGTGTTGTGTCTTCTATTTCGGGCGACTTGTAATTCTGCTGCTGCCCCTGGTGCCCGAAGTGCAGCACGGGCGACTTTTCGATAACTGACTTCGAATTTCTGAGCTCTTCGTGTTGACGTACGTGTTCCCGCCGATCACAGGCAGGGTCTTCTTCTTGTGCACCATGTTGGCCGAGAGCTACAGATTCCTCTTCACAGAGCAGTGAAACAGTTTCCTGCTCCGCTGGTGCCAATACTTCCTTTGGAAAGTCGGAACTACACATAGACGGACCACCAGGTGTGAACAGGTGCTTGTTCGGAGCTTCTGCTGAAGCCAAAAAACCAGCGTCGCTCGATCTGCCGGGAGGCCCGCAGAGCTCCATCTTTAGCGCACTGCTTTCGTCGTCGAGTGTCATCGGCGCGAGAATCAAATCGTGTTCAACGTGCGGATGATCTCCCTCGATTAGCATGCTTGCAGCACCCTGTGTCTGCACATACTCAGCAACTACAGGCTTGTCGTGGCGCAGGGCGAGTTCCTCGACCTCGTTGGCGATCTTTATTCCGATGGGATGCAGACGCTCCGTCTTTCCTGTTCCCCGCACAGTCCCTGCGTCTTCTAAGTGCAACAAATGCGTTTCCTTGCTGGCATGATTTTTCTGCGCATTTTGATCACTACAAGCAGGGGTGCGCACCACGATGTTGCCAACCTCTTCGTCGTTCTCCGCCATCTCAACATCGGAATGATGCTCCTCTTCGTGTTCGTACCTCCGGTTTTGGTCCTCGGGGCGGCTCCGCGACGAAAATACAGCGAAGCCCGCACGTGACTCGGCGGACATCTCACTTGCTTCCATCTGCACTAGCGAAAAATCCGAGCAGGCCTGAAGATCATGCCAGTATTTATAACTCCTATTGCTGAGCAGGGGCAGTTAAAATTTTGCAACAGGGAGGAAAATCGTCCACGCCGAATATTTTTTTGACAATTTTCATACTTTCCAAAGCTGTCGCGATTTGGGAAGTCGCCCAACGCCCAACGGCCAAAAATATTTTGCGGCTCGAAATAGAAATATTTTGCAGCTCGAAATATTTTCCAGCTCGCAACATTTTCAGCTCGCAATATTTTCCAGCTCGCGATATTTTCCAGCTCGGAATATTTTCCAGCTCGAAATATCTTCCGGCTCGAAATATTTTCCGGCTCGAAATATTTCTCAGCTCGAAATATTTTCCAGCTCGAAATATTTTCCAGCTCGAAATATTTTCCAGCTCGAAATATTTCCCAGCTCGAAATATTTTCCAGCTCGAAATATTTTCCAGCTCGAAATATTTCCCAGCTCGAAATATTTCCCAGCTCGAAATATTTCCCAGCTCGAAATATTTCCCAGCTCGAAATATTTCCCAGCTCGAAATATTTAACAGCTCGAAATATTTCCCAGCTCGAAACATTTTCCAGCTCGAACTATTTTCCCGCTCGAACTATTTTCCAGCTCGAAAAATTTTCCAGCTCGAAATGTACTTATAACGAGCCGGCTGTTGCTTAATTTGCAGCCTGACACATTTCTAAAAAATCTGTCTGACCATCATTTTGAATCACAAACAAACAGGAAAGTAGTTAGTAGATCCGAGAGACGAGTAGGAGTAATATACCTGTAGCATCATGTTTTGCGTCCCCGCTTGTAAAGACCGGCCTCGTGCAGTCCAGCGGTCACTGCAAGTGCTACTCTCCATCTGCCGCACCATATCCTCCACGCTGTGCAGAATGCTTCTTTTTGGCGGGCGGTTTTCGCACAAGAGTTTAGTTTTCCCGCTGCCAGTGCTCGTGCAGCTGTTACCAAGCAGGTTGCTGCTATGCTGTTCGTCGTCCCCTTCTCGACCACCAGCACGTTCAGAGGCTGCTGCATCAGTCGCGGACCTCGAAATCGAACGCGTTCGCAGCGTCGGGGCTGCACTACAACCGGCTCCTCCTATACTTGAACTACTGGCTTTGGAGTCCGCGCCTGAAGCTGCTCCCGCCGAGTCGCCCAGCTCCGCAAGGAACTGCATCAAGTCGCGCTTCAAGTCGTCTTCCAGGCCGGTGGCAGCGGACAAGGCGGCCTGCGTCTTCTTCAGGTCGAGCCGCGTCCCGGTACCGCCCTGACTGCCCGCGCTGGACCCCAGTAGCGATCGTGGTCCGCCGTCGTGGTCGTTCTTGTCCTCACCGACCAATACGGCGGCTCGTGCACCACTCCTACTCTCCTCGTCCTCCTCTAGTACGGGGCGGGCTGTCTTCCACTCTTCCTCATTCGAGGTGCTGTTCGAACTAGTACTGGTCCACACATCGGAGCACACGACGCAGCCCAGGCTCTCCGGCTGCGGTCCGTCATCCCCATGCTCCTCGGCCTTGTTGGGCCGCTGCTGACTAGAGCCGGAGCCCGAGGCGGGAGACTGGTGCACCAAAGATGGCCCCGCACCCATGATCTTCGCGTTGTTGTTTTCACCAGCGAACGTCGCGCTTCCGCCACCACGGGGCTCAGAAGTCTCATCAACCAACGTGCCGGAATAGTCGTTCCGTGCACGACCCCCGCTAGCTCCATTGAATCTCCCGAAGGACTGGAGCGCGCGGTCAATGTCATCAACTTCGATTCCTTTATCATTTCCAGCGGTCGATAGCGTCGCGGATGATGATGAAGGCATCATCTCCATGTGTAGTTTGAGCCCATGTTCTCCATTGCCGTCCGAAAGAAGCGAGGAGTCTTGGAAGTTTTCATGTAGCGAAGAAGTGTCTACTAGTGCATAACGGCCTGCCTTGCGCTGCTGCGCCTCCTGCTGCAGGTGGTTCAGAAATACGTCGACCAACCCGCTTTCCTCGAAGTCATCGTCTAAGAATTCTTCAACATCATGAACAACCGACTCTGCATTCTTATGCTCGCCAACGCCCTCACCCACGGTACCATGATTTTCATCTGCCGCTAACTTGTTCCCGGGCCCTCTTGATTGCGAGGCTGCAGATTCTCCTGCTCCATCTTCCACCCCACAGCTTCCACCTCTCTGTGATCGACCTTGAAGCTTTTCTGGTTCTTCGTCCCGAATCTGTGCCAAATCTTGCTCATCCGGGCAAATTGGCGCGATGCTCCGCGCAATAGTGACATTGTCGACGCAGGGAACAAGAGCTGCGTCTTTGCGCTGCGGCGCACCGCGAGGTCCCTCGATGGCTGCAGATGGGGAAGCACAATGCTCCGATGGAGAATGATGAATGGACGACCCGGCATCGATAGAATCCAGCCAGAAGGAGCTCACATCCGGTAGATTCGCCAAATCCGAGGCAGCAGGGTCCAGAGCGAACCGCGACGAGCCTGATTGCGCTGAAGATGTCCGACCGTGATTGCGCTGAAGAAGTAAAGAATTCTCAACCAACGCCTCTTTAATATCCCGGGCAGTGTTGTGCTTCTGCTCCACCTCCGACTCTTGTTCTTCGTGTCGAGCTTTCTCGTCGCGAAGATAGTTTGTGCCACGACTATTTTTACTGGTGCCCCCCGTGGACTTCCTATCCTCAAAGTCCGCACATCCTTCTCTCGTCTCGGCACACACGGCGTGCGCGCCAGCACCGGAGGTAAGCTTTTCGTGAAGAGAATCTCCACTGGAACGCAACAGTCGTGCCTCTGTTGTTTTTGCACGCTGCTGCGTCGGAAAAGCTCCTCCTGCGGTCATCGTCCCTGCTTCCGTGGAGCATGACACTTCGGCGCTGCTGCTGCTGGCGCTTCGCAGCTGAAGCAACGAGCGGTCCTGTGGTCGCAAAAAAGATGCCGAAAACGAATTGCGGGCGCGCGTGAACTTCTGCGGACTCGCCGACGCCCCGTCCGTTGCAAGCACAGGCTCACCAGGCTCGCTACGTCGGAGTTCGGATGCGGTAGGCGTGAGGGCTGTCCGACTAAGATCCCCGAACAAATCATAATCGATCTGCGGTGGGGCGGCTACATTCTTCGCACACTTGCCGACCTGGGTCACGGAAACATCAGGCCCCTGATCAGCAACTTCCGGAACGAGGACGCTACGATCACAATTCGCAGGTTCCGGCGATCGTTCAACATCAGGCGGAAGTGGAAGAGCTACTTCCACCAGACCGTCGCGGCTGCCGTAGGAGTCGCACAACCTGTTGCTCTTTGCAGCACATAAAGAGGCACTGCACACTTCGACAAGTATTGGTTTTGGCGTGTTGTGAAGATCGTCCCGATCAGCATTTGTGTTTTTGCCCGTGTCTCCACCGTGAACAACTAGTGATGGACTGGAAGCCACAAGCCCAGCACCTGCACTTTCAGCCCCGCGCCCTTGGGAAGATACCACCGGACATCCATCGCTGGTGTAGAGCTGGCGCATCTCCGTGTCCTCAATGTCGGTTACACCACCTCCACGCCGGGTCGGTGGTTCTACAGCAGCCGGGTCCGGAGGAATTTCGACCAACGGGGCCACACTGACCCCAAGAGGTCCACGCGACTGCCCCGCTTTGCTTTTTCTGGCAATGACCTTGCCGCCCGGCTGCGCCCGGTGCCTGTGTTCTCGCTTGGCCGACGAGGAGGATGAACTCGCGAGATGCAGAGTGGTTAAAGGAGAGGCTACCTCGTCAAGTGCTGGAGACTGTGCGGAGGACGAGGATATGGTCAGCAACCCGTGTAGTTCCCTCTGCTGCGGGATAGGAAGTTTTGGCACCACAGGCGGCTGCGTGGACGGTAGTGCGGGAGCAGAGCTTCCAGTACCTTCACGAGCGATACGAGTTGCATCTGTAGTGCCTCCAGTAATAGTAGCAGTAATAGGCCTCACGCTTTCCTCCTCGTTCGTTTCCTCGGCCGTCACTTCGACCGGAACCAATTCCGACAGAGCGCCCTGGATACTCTTTTCGATTTGTACGAAGCGGACAGACTTCCTGTGTTTGTCACTGTCTGGAACAGGATCCCGATGAAGCAGCATTTGCGGGTCTCCCTCGTTGTCCCATAAGGCGCCCGCACGCTCAGTCTCTTCGCATGCACTTCTGCTGTTTCGCAAGATGGGACTGGGCAGCATCTGGCTGCAATACGAAGTAGACGAGGAGCTTTCGCGACAGGAAGTGGCAGTGTGGTGCAGGTCGCTGGTTGCAGTTGTTCGTTGCTGGGGCAAGTCAGCGCCACTCGCCTTTACTTCGACATCATTTCTATACCGAGAATCGCACACAGGAGGACCTTCTTGTTCATCGTGCTGCCCGTCAGCGACCACTTTTTGCCGCCCAGTGCGCGCGTGTTCTTCTTGCTGCCGACGCAACTCTTCCAAGTTGCCCGTCTCGAGCGCCAGCTGCACGAAATACTCGGACGACAGCTGGCGCTCATTACCGATTTCGGCAAATTGAAGCTCTGGCTCCGCGCCGCGCGAAAGGATAGGCGAAGAGGAGTGTCCTCGAGCAGACGAACCGAAGCCGCTTCCCAGGGCCTGGTGGCGAAAGGTCGAGCTGTTTGTCGATGTTGCACCACTTGTGCCCCCCAGGGGGGGCGGCCGCGGCGGCCCCGAGGGAAGATGCTGCACGCTTTTCTGCAGGCTCTGGTAGACTTGATCCATTTCCAGCAGGATTCGCTGCTCCTTCTCGCGAATGTACTTGTCATAGAGCCGCTCGTTCTCTTGCGACAACTATCGAAACGAAAAAGCCCCCGTGTCGATACTCCAAAGGAAATTTCTCATGTGAACAAAAATGAAAAATCAAGTTGTCATACATAAAGAACGCATAGAGATAACAATCACACTGTTGCCACGTATGCAAATCCAAAAGCGTTGCACTTGCAAAGTGCAGCAGACATAAGGAATGGAATAGCATGACAAATTGCAAGGCAGCTGCTCCTCTTTACCTTTTAGCAATATTTGTCCAGCACACAACGCACGAGTATGGAGAGGTGGGATTTTTCCTCGCAATAGCAATCGCTCCAGCTCGTTCTGTTGCGACACCACGTCGGCGCTCTGCTTAGAAAGCTCCGCGAGCCCCTGCAAAACATTCATCTTTATGTACTTCGGAACAAGTTCTGGACGGCTGCTTGTTCACATGTTGACTAGGACCAGACCGTGTTTCTACTTTGTTTTAGGCCAGTTTTTTTTTCATCAATACGAAGTACAGGCATCAGCGCTTGCGAAGTGTCTGGCTTAGAAGAAGAGCTTCCCACTGTACTCCCTAGCCGCCCTACTGCAGAGTCACATCTTCCCTAGTAGTCGTTATCATATCTTCATTACATGGTGCTTTGCTGCGGGAATCAGGTCGATTTCAGCTTACAGCAAGGGAAGTTCCGCTTGCAATCACAGGTTATTGACGCTCATACTTCGGCGATATCTTTGAGGTTTTACCACTCTACTCGACGGTGTCGTGTGTACGAACATAAATGCTTGAGCATGCCAGAAGCAGCTTTTGCTTTTGCGTGACGAAAATGCCGAAAACTTGCGGCTCACAACACGAATCCTTGCACATGCGCCGCTCCGTTCGCTGCCAAATGTCGGCTTGCGTCTTTCAATGTGAAATCAGAAACAGAAACTCTTCACGAATTACAACTCTTCTTGTACTTCCTTATGATTTCTACTGTCTGAAACCTTCTTCGAAGAAACGCAGTTCCACCTTCTGTTCAAGCTACCTAAAGAAGGAAAGTCCAAACTACTCGCTGCATTCACATTCGTCCACAACATCCATGCTCCGTGCCGCCATTCCACGCCGCCTGAAGCGGCCTTCCGTTGTGGCTGTGGCTTCAAACAATGACGGCGGCAGATCCGACAGACGGCTTGCTGCAAAATCTGTACCATCACGCAGCTTTTTCAGGCTGCGGATTCCGCACGATGCACGCCGGACCGTGAGAAGAGCTCTTATTCGAACCTGACTTTTACAGTCATCGGCTTAGTGAGGTCGCCAATCATCTGTTGCGGTGCATGTGTATTGATTGCTTTTTTCATATGCCTTTGGTCACCCTGAATTGCAATCGCGATTGCCAAATCTTCATTGTCATCGTTCGATGAAAATCATTCACTTCGTGTAGATACCGCTTCCTCCAAGGTTTTCCGGCCGAACTGAATATTGCAACGGTGGTATACTTCCCCTTCTGTTTTGCGTCTCCGATGCACTTCGTAGAAATAGAGCGCTCCATTTTGCTCGTGCGGCAGCTCGTCGGGAACGTAGTTGCTCCACTGAGCTTTAGCATCGCCAGCTAATTGCTGCTCTAGATAAGACACCCCGCCCCCGGCATTCTGGTTCGCGACCACTCTGGCGTCAACGAAATCCGGCACGGACCGCTGCCCCTGCACCTGGTTCAGCTCCATACGCATCTCTCGGATGCGCTGCTCCTTCTGCGAAAGTATACTCGCGCTCGAAGATGCCATTTTGTTTATTCAGTAAAACCAAACAGAGGCCCTTCGGAGTGAATGAGGTCCACTTTCACAGAATCGGATCCCGAAATCTGCATTTTAAGCAGCCAATATAATTTGCGTGTTTCTCTATCTTTGCCCACAGTGGAAGCCCCGCCGCTCTTTCGTATCTTCCATTAAGGCAACTCAAAAAGCGAGGCAGATCTACACCCATTTGAGAGATCAACCTATCTGTCGAAAAATTGCCGCTCACGTGCTCCACCTCTCCGCTCCGATGTGGGAACCAGTAAGAGCCAAGAGTAGAGAGGACATCAGAATGCAACGAGCTTCGTACACGCGAACAGACCCTTAAGTTCGTAATGAAAATTCTTGTCGCGGAAGCTTTTCACCCAGTTATGATTTGCTTTTCCCAGACGCTGTTGAGCAGTCTCTCGGCAAAAGTTCGACAATACCAATACCATGATTCCTCAATGAAGTCAACAGATAGCGCGGAAGTTGCTGAGAGAGTGGAAAAGAAAACGCTGCATTAGCACTATGCAGACTGCCAGCATCCCGCAACTGCACAGCTACTACTCCGTACTTTTTTTCGTGCGCCTTGTAGCAACTCGCCATCGACCCGTCTACGCTTGGCTACTTGTTCCAATATGGGTGCGGAGCATCCGATGGCGATATCGTCCGGAATATCCACGGGTGGACCCTCCATGAGCAACACCATCATCACATGAAACTTGATTTGATTATGCTAAGTCCCAAGGAAGAGCTCGTTGGCTGCTGTCGGCTACACTCCCGAAGGCAAACGTAGTGCAGGCCCCGAGGCGGGCGGGAAGAAAAATCGAAAGGCGTCGACTTCCCTGCGTGCCCGCTGCCCTCATGTGTTAATACTTATCTTAATCAAATAGCTTGCGCACCAAGGTCGAGCTGCACTCGCAGGCTCGTTTACTCTTCCTTGCTGCGTACGCATTTTGATTATGCTAAGTCCCAAGGAAGAGCTCGTTGGCTGCTGTCGGCTACACTCCCGAAGGCAAACGTAGTGCAGGCCCCGAGCCAACGTGGCGGAGCCGCGACCCGAGGAGAACCCCGCTTTACAAGCGGATGAACCTCGGGAAGGGGAGGGTAAGCCGACACAACGCCAACGAGGCGAAGCCACAACCCGCTGACACAGCGGAAAAGAACGCAGGGTGGGTGGACCAAAGTGGGTCCCCTCCTGATTAAGGGCAAAGCGGCCAAGGTATAAGGGCAAAGAGGCCAAGTTAAAGAGCCGCGCGGCTAAGTAGCTGCGGGGGTGGGTTCGCTAAGCCCAGCACGAAAGATAAAAAAAAGAAAAATCGAAAGGCGTCGACTTCCCTGCGTGCCCGCTGCCCTCATGTGTTAATACTTATCTTAATCAAATAGCTTGCGCACCAAGGTCGAGCTGCACTCGCAGGCTCGTTTACTCTTCCTTGCTGCGTACGCATTTTATTTTCCTTTGCACTGTCAACGCGCAATTTGTTATTGTTTCCGGTCGAGCTTCATTATATAGAAAGTAAAATCCCGAAGGGAAGTTTAGGTACATTCAGAAAAAAAAATGATAGATAAACGCAGGCATACTGGCATCGCAAATCAATTTTCATGGTGATGCTATGATGATTTTCTAGTTGCCGGTGAATATCAAAATGCTCCAGGTATTTTTTCGCCAGATGCTTGATGTACCCATCCGCGTATTATAATTCAACACCGACTCCTGTTCCTGCTCAGCTTTACCATCATTTCTCTGTTGTTTTTCTTTTTGCGCAAAACCAGAACCACCGCCGACAATAAAAAAAAAAGCAGGCGCTACATTCAGGCACGCTTGATATCATCGGGCTCGTGTCCTCCTCGTTTCTCACAACAGAGCGCTCCGAAGCAATGAATGCCTACAACTACATGGATCTGAGTGCTCTCAGAAGTTGAAAGGTGCGATGGATCTTCATCTTGTGCCTTGCGAATGCGAGCAAGGAGAGGAGTTATATATACTTGTCGAATATGATAAGACAGCTGTTGGGTTCACTTTGTCTGCGTCACCAGCATCAGCCATGTCCCGGGCCTGCGCGAGCCTGCTTGTGCTTCCATTTCTGGCCCTCGTGGCATCGGTAGTGACGTGGAGCGCGAAAGCGACACCATTGCAGGCTTCGCGGGCGACCAGGTCGCAACCACCATTCAGTAAGGATAAAGGACCACCCATGGGAAAAAGCAAAAAACGAAACAAAGCCCGCAAAATTTTGGCGCGTGATAGCGCGCCGGGGAGCATACCACTCTTCATTTTTGGACAAACCACTGGCTACTCAAGACTGCAACATACATTAGTTGCAACTTTTAAGCAGACCCTCAATGTCACGAACAGGCCCATTCGGGGGCGTATGCTGTCTGTCATCTGACCGACAATTTGTGGGTGGATTTGATTCAATCAAATCAGATTGATTTGCGATACCGGACGAAATATCGCCAATCCAATTCCTATATATATCATCTTTCTCTCAACATAATGCTGCCACATTCTCTGCAAAAATCGATACGTTGAAAAAGAAAAACTAAAACCAGCATTGAGAGACAATTTGATTAATAAATCGCTTCATCGGGCGTCCTCGAACTCGAATCAGATATTTATTTTTTGTCATGTTTTCCGCTCGCATTCGCAAAGATACAACATGCACTACCATGAGAACGAAGAGGCGAGGCACTCCGTAGACAGTGCTTCATAAGAATCAACACAATACGAACAAGGACATCTCGTCGATGCACTTGACCTTGAGTGCCTACTTCTTGTTGATAGAGTGAGGCTGCATCATTTCAGTGGTGAAACGGAAAACATCGAAACATTTCAATTTCTTCGTGCAAACAAACTGCTGAGGATTTTCCTATCCACATGCGGACAGTCTACTTCTCAGCTTTTTGTTTTTCTTTCTTTGTGCGATATCTTGGATAAAAAAAAAAAGAAATCGTGAAACTGCTTTTTCCGCAGGTTTTATTCTATGCAATGCATTTTCAGAAATGAAAATGATACCCATATCTGCCCCATCCAAAGACCGCACTTGAAGCGTCATGTAGCAGTAGCAACCCAAATTTTCTCGAGGTACAGCTCTGCTTCCAAAAGTAAAGCCAATGCATATGGGGATGGGCATACTGAGAAAATAATTTTCTGAGTGAATGCAAGGTCCAACTAGAATAAACTTCGCTTTCGCAAAGAAAATTCTACAAAAGACCGCCTGTGGCTGAGGCTTTCTTTGAATTTGGTGCTCTTATTCAGTCAGAAAAAAAAAAGTAGTTGGGTGCCGTGAATGTTGCTTCGCTCTTTGGAAAAACATTCAAATTTTCGATTTATTTTGGCCTTTGTGTTAGTCTCGTTCTCAATTGATCATATGTTTATTCGTGGGAATTTGAATTTGTCATATTCAAAATGAAAATAATCGCAGCAAGTGGCGGAATAATGTTACTTCTATCTCTAACATGCAATAACAAAGAATCCATCCACCCTGCTGCTGTTCGTTGAGAACAAAGTTAGGCAATCGCGACACTTTGTTCGGATAAACCCCTTGTGCATTGAAAATGACAATTCTGCTATGCATTTTCCTTTTCACAGAGATATGAAGCGGTGTAGAATCTATGCGAGTTGTGTCGAAGCCGTGCACGGAGCTTTAGCTGATGTGGTTTTTCATTCTCCGTTTCCAAAAAAAAATTGCTTCTTTTCTACACAGGATTTGATTTTCCCGCGGTTATGGCGCTACGAATCATGCATCCAGGGCTGGGTGCGCGATTCGGAAACGTACCCACTCCCGCAGTTGTAGACACCCACAGATGGACGCATTTAGTGTCGGGATCAGGGTGATCCATCATTTATGATAATCTAGGAAGTAGCGGGTATGTTGAAAATTGGGTGTGGTCTCTAACTTGGGGGCTTACCCAAAAATAGACTGTCGCAATCTTCGCATGTAGCAAAAAAAAAAGGATCATGCGTCGAATAGTAATTGAGAAGGGTAAGGGTTACTCCAATGCATCGCTTGCTGATGGTGCAGCAGCAACTGGCGCTGCAGGCAGACCATGAGTAGCGTAAGCATGTCGAGCTACAGCTATTCAAATAAGTGGACAGAACGCAGGTGATTGACGTTGCCCTGCTACAAAGGAGATGCGATAATATTGTAAAATTAATATTGATATCTTTCATCGTGTTTTCAGCACTAGCAAGCTGCACCAGATCGCACTAAACTAAGCTTTCATGTCATCGAAGTTACTTACCAACACGATAGTCGCAGCTGCCGGTGGATGTCGGTACTTCATGAAAACCAAGCTGACGCAGAGCAAGTGACTCAATCATTTCTTTTGCGCGCGGCGGCGCTTACCCGCGTAGTGCAATTTTGGATTTCGCAGTCGTGTTGTCAAAGTCTACAACCCGACACATCCCGACCAAGATCACATCGCGAGACAACGAGCTAAGACTGAGCGAGCCAAAGCTGGATTGATTCTGCTGCTCCGAAATCGCTAGAGAATGAACCTTTAAAAAAAAGTCGGTGAATTGTGCTTGAGAGGTCATCCTTCATCTGCTTTACGCAGATTCCTTCATTCAGCTTGCTAACACGGTCTGCTCCGTTCTCGTCCAATATTTGAAGATTTTCTGACAATCGAAGTACAAGTAGCTAATCATAACCGAGGCACTGTAAAGAATCAAGTGCGTGCTCGCTTCTTCAGGTGAGCAAGTTCCTTTTTCACGGAATATCTAATCTGCTGTTTGTCAGTAGTTGCCGACTATCATTATTCGAAACGGCCAATAACCTGAGCGCCAGACCAAAGCGACAAGCACGAGATGCGGTTTTTCTACTTGTCAACGAAATTTCTATTCAGATTTGGAGGGAAAGCAAAGGCAAGCGATTGGACGAGAATTGTCACCGGGGCAATAATTGCTGCAGATCGTATACTACATCAACTTCGGTCACCAAAGGGTTGGTCCTTAGCATTTGGTAAAGGCTAAGGACCAACTACCTTTTCAAACGAACATACACTTAACCAAAAAGAAAAACAAGAGGGCATTAATAGCAAGAGAGAATAAAAATGAGGCCTTGCTTAAACGTCTCAGCCTTGTCAAAATAAATGGATATGGGGTTGCAACATAATGAATACATCGGCATACATTTTGCCGTTTTGTAAGTACCGCCTATAGAAATTTCTCCATCTGCACACACCAAACCGAAACTCATATCTGTTGCTGTTGGAGATGTCGGTAGTTTTGCGATCCAAGCATGGGGCCTGGTTTTCTCGTTGACGCCATTAAGTGGTAAAGTTGATTGCGTTTTGTTCTTCATGATCCATCTACTGAAAAACTTCAATGGGCCAACTTGCTATGTAGAAGGTGATAGTGATAGTTTTTAGTGAAATTACAGTAATTTAGGATGATCATTAGCTTATGTATGAACTTCACCCTCGCTTGATTTCGCCAGCTCTGGAATCATCGCCAGGAGTACTAGCTCCTTCCCTTTGCGCTGCATTGGTGTCATCTCCGACATCTAGGCGAGCAAAAGTTAGTAGACCTCCCAAGAAAGATGATGAGTAGCAAGAGCACTAATACAGCCAAGAGCTTTTTGTGTATAAGTGCGAGATGTCATTTCCCTTGATGGTGCGCGTGGGTGTTCCCTAGCCCTGGCCGACTAACAGCAAGTGGCAAGAGGTAAAGCGAGGAGTCGAGAAAAGGCTGCGACAATGTCACGTACATCATGTCCCTTCTTTTTGAGGAACAAGTACAAGACGAAGACCTCAACATCAAGTTTAAATAAAAATAAAAACATCCCTAGCCTACCTTCACCATAGTCAAAGAAAGTGAAGCTGAAAGAGAACGTTCTACATAACAAAGTTATATATCTTCTTTCACACCGGCAGAGATACCTTTCGGAGTGCAGCCGGCGAATTTGCCTATGGCTACAGACTTTCTCGTTGCAGAGGAACGAATACTCAGACGGAGTGTAGTTGAGATTGATTTACTACGCGCGTCTACTTCCTCTTGATGAAAGGCAAAAACCTGAAGTCTGTATTGTTGTTCGCACCGGCCCACACCCGATAGTCAAGATCAAGAAAATGAAACCCTACAAAGCGCGGCCTGCGCTTGGTATTGGTGTATGAGAATGGGTATTCAGTTACTCAAAAATAAATAGGTGCGATACGCTGCACCAATCTACACGCAAAAACGTCCTCCAGTGGTGTGATATTTATCATTCTTGCGAGCCCTTCTTGGCTTTGTGTACTTACTTGGCTGCAACAGTTTCGGAAAGCGAGCTTGATCAACATTCGGCATGAACATTCATGTTGCAGTAGATGATTGGAAAATTGCAGGAGCGCTTTTCTCGATCATAAAAATCATCCGTATAGCGGAACTATCTACAGCTTTTGCGACTGCGTATTCCGTTTTTTTTAGGCACGGTATGTCATCTGGATAAAGGAGAACAGGAATGGCGGCAAAAACAGTTGCTCACATTGGTCGAGTACTCTACTTCTCAAAGAGATTGGCGTTGCTATCAAGACGGGAAGTGTGTAAAAACGTAAACGCCTCCTCATCTAAAGCAGAGACGAATATTCCGAGATAAAGCAGAGAGACGCACCAGCACACGCCTCTTGAAGACAAAATACGGTGCGCTTGTGATCAGATTTGGAAAGCGATGAAGACTCTGCTTGTGAAGTTCTGGGCCATGATGGCTCCGATGTGCTAGCTCGAAAAAGAGGCAGAATGCGTAGATACGAGCTTCACGGGCAAACACAGCATCGCGATGGGCAAGTTTGTAACATTTCACATGTGATCACCCTAGGTCGAGCTCCAACACTAGCGCTAATAAATTAGTACTTATCTGTGTCCATGCGTAAAGACAAACAAGCATGATGAATGATCCGAATAGTAGAATTGTTGGTAGCTGCTTTCCCTAATCATTGGAGCTGCCCTTTCCAAAATCATTTTTCCAGTCGGTTTTTTCTTGGAGAGAAACCTGTTGCGATTGACGCAATACAGCACAAACGCAGTCTCATCCCCTCAATTGTCCCGGCGCGTTCTTAACGCTATCCCTGAAATCGCGAAACTTCCGATGTATATTTGGATTTAGGACCAGGCTCAATATCAAAAGTTTTGAACTTGTGGAAAAAATAAAAACGCACAAAAAGTTCTATATGCCGAGCAGCTTTAGTCTCATTTTTACAGTGGATATCCGAGCGAGCCTACAGTCTTCGATTTGTTTTGCCCGTTATCGTTTTTTGTATCCTTGGAAAGTTCGGGGATGGTCCGACAAAGCGGAACTCTCGCGAGTCCGACGCGGGCTGATGTGCTGGACGGGGATGTGACGTGGATCCAGCGGAAGCCTCCGCCTTACAGCGGCTGTAGGTACTCGGCACAAAGAGCTCAGATTTCTTGCTCATGCTAGCTGCGCGTCTGGGCTTCAGCAGCTTCTTCGCCACTTTTCGAAAGTCGAACAAGGTCTTTCCCTGGGCCGCGATTTTCTTGTGGAGCGGATCGGTCGTGGTCTTCTTGATGTGGCGCTCGATTCGCATCTGGCGACCCGGGTGGTCGACGCGCAAGATTTTCGCCTTTCTCCACCGTGCCATGAACTTTACGTTTTTTCTATGTATACATCACATTCCATGTGATGGACCACGTATGCGTGGAGACGGGGCACGACGAGCGGTTTTGACTACTGAGTGAGTCAACCTTCGCTATATATACTGTAGCAAGCATCTTAATCTTTATGTGTTTTGGTTTTCTTCATAATCATAACCATACACTATAACGTTAACCAACCTTTAACCTTACCTGAATTAGTCCTGCTCTCTGCGCTTTCCGTCTACATTTTCGCTGCTTTTTCCACTGCTTGCTTGGTCTCTTGGCGTTCATGTTCACCTTGTACTTTTTGAGGATACGCTTGTTCAACCGAACGATCTTTCCCATGATTGCTCCTCGATTGTATTTGGATTTTTGTTTCGTCGACAACTGGGTGACCCCGGGCACTCCGGTATTGGACTTCTTAGCTTGTACCTTCTTCCCTGGCTGCTCTGCTCCGTGAACATTCAAAGCGAGCCGACGAAACACTGTGGTGTATTTCTTATTCTTTTGAATTGACAAAGGACGATGGTGGAGTCATTTATTTTTTCATCTGTCTCTGTACACCAGTTTGTTTCCCTGCTTGTATAAACCTATATCCAGCACTCACGCTAGTATGACAGAAAAACCCTCGTGGAGGGCTCTAGCCAACGCGATGCGTGACACTATCGCGATCAATGAATGTACCTCCCGTCAACGAACTCGTTAATTTGAAATTCAACCCTTTGCTCGCCTCTTATGGCCTGCGAGTAACTGTCTGACATATACAGCTAATAAATCCTGAGAGTAAGTCCTTTGCGAAAGCTTGAGAGAGCTTAGGCGCTACAGCAAGACCAAACACCACCCGTTTTAGCGGTGAACGACCAAGCGTAGGGAGTCGCACAGTATGAGTGAATCCGAAAACTCACTGCTGCTGCGCTTCAGATAAGCATTACACTACCACCTCATCCGTGTGAGCAGATCAACCCCCAAAGAGCCGCCAGTGCTGAACAATCCTCCTCATGTGCTCAACCTGACGTCAAACCGGATCCAAGAACCACAGCGCTACCAGAGGTTGCGCTGACTCTCAAACCGCCGGAGCGGAAGGAGAGGTATACCGACGCCACCGGGGGCCACAGGAAAACACGGAGCTACGCCCTGCGCCGCCAGTTGCCACCGCCTAGGCTTGGAGCCTTGCCTTTTCTTTTCTTTTATATGAGTTTTCTCCTTTCCAGCCCGGCGCGTGCTGGAAGGTGGCGCGTTTTTCTTTCTTTTACTGTTTTGCGCTCTTGAGTTTTTTTTTTTATTCTTTGGTCCCAATCTTGGCACCTCAAAGAATCTTGTAGGAGGTTGCGCGATAAAAGGAAGAACAAGAAGGTCCTTGGGGGTTTTCATCTTGGCAAAAGATCCGCCGGCCTTGCCGGCCGTAATCTGCCCATTGGCCAAACGGGAAAAAAAAAAGAACAAGCCCCACTCTCCCCCCCGATGGACTAGATTCCTGCTTTCCTCAGAGTGGTGACGACAGAAAGAATACTTTATGGCAACCACGAAGAAAAAAAGAAAGAGTCTCGCAATAGGAAAAGACACCGCTGGCATCTCTCAAGCAAGAGCTGGACTGCCTTTACTACCTGGCTTTCACCTAGGCATTACAGACATTCAAGCGGAACATCTATCTCAAAGATATGTGCACAAAATCATAATCAAAAATCAGTTCCGCATAAGCATAACTTTAATCAGTTCTGCATGATTAATTTGAAATTCAAAGTTGTTCTTGATGTCGACAGCAACACAATACACTGCGCGTCCTGCAGTGCTGCTCTCTTTGCATCTCGGCGGGTCGGTACTGGGAGTCCTTTTTTTGAAGCTGCAGCACGAAGCTTCCGCAACTTTGGTGCGACGAAAAAGTACCTGGTGGTAGTGCAGTTTCGTAAAGAGGTATCCTGATCATTCGCACTTCATCAACCAGAGATCGACGAAGAGATGATCAGCAACGGCAGCTGTTGACGTCGAACACTGGGCACAAAATTTATATCCGCATCCGTCGACTCACTTGTGCAAACACGACAAGAGTGACAGAATACGAGACGCACGAAGATCTCGAAAAGTAGCCCACTCAGGTACCTCTTCATCCTCCGCTTTGTCTTCTTTCCCACTTCGCTGTGCTTAAAGTGCACGCGCCAGCAGTCGTATTCCGCTGGATCCGCTCTCGGTACTGGGACTTTACGCGCGCCGAACACTCGCTTCTTCATCACGTAGACATTGTCTTGGTCTTCGTAGCTTATCACCCCCCTTTGTGCGTGTTCATCGTCAAGCTTATCTTTCGAGCTCGCCTTCTCGAGCAAGAACAATTTCATGTACTTCCAGCCGGGAACGTACGTGATTCCCTGATGTAGTGTAGTAATCAATACCAATATCAAGAGTTCGCGGTTTTATCTACTTCTACGAACTTGTCTTGGCAAATCCGAAAAGGCAACAAATGTGGAAACAATCAAAGAGCGAAGTAGCTGATCAAACCTGGTGAAGAAATCATGACTCAAACTCGTTCAACACATCTACGTACATCAAAGCGCACAAAATACCCGCATATCCGGACGGATGTGTGTGCCGCGACTGCGAAGGTTCGGGATAGCATGGGGCAGGGGTCGCGGCAGCGGTACGCTGGGCGACCACGCGACATCGCTGTCGCTCTTCGAGGATGGAGAAGAATTATTGGCACTTTCGGAGCTGGAGAACGGCGAAGAATCTGGTCATTTGAAAAATGAAAATTCGTCGACATTGTCCAGTCCATTAAATTATTGGTTGTTTTATGTTTTCATACATGTCAACACAAAGAAATAGTATGGCAAAGATATGCTTAGCGATTCCCTGGCTGGATCACCACCTCATTTACCGGATGAGCACTCCCTGCTCCGCGCGTACCGTTTTCCCAAGTCCTTCTCGAACGCTCTCCGCAGAGCGCCAAGCGTTGGCGGGAAGGCCGCTCCAGATCCGCAACCAATAGTATGGAACTTGGAAAATATCCTACCGCGCTTGTCAACGCGTCGCAACTTGTCAAGTACCCACACTCTGTCTTCTCACGAGGCGTTACTTACAACAGCAGCTCAAACAGTAATGAGAGCGCAGCGATTCTTCCAAGTGGAAGCGCATCTTCTATTTTTCCACATGATGGGGGCTGACAATACACGCAGTTTTCTCGTGGAACAGTTGTCTACGCTGGCAAAGGCAAACGATCACTTTCAGTCTGGATATGGTAAGAAGGCTGGTTCGAGCTTGAAAGGCACTGGAAACCCTTTGCTACTTGTTGTCGAGCAGTGCTTTGAGTTCGAGTCAGCTACATGCACAACGTTCTCCTGCAGTTCGCCAAGACAGTGCTCCTCGTACTCCAGACTCGCCAAAAACACTTGGTACACCGACAGCTTGGTAGTGGCGGACTTCTTGTCCTGTTCACCTGCTTCAACGCCATTCTGCAGCCGCATTCTCGTGTACTCGGCGTCCAGAAAATTCTCAGCAGCCTCTACCTCTTCCTCATCCAAGAAATTGTAGCAGTGCATACCCTGGGGCATCTTTCCGGAATTTCCGAAGCAGGCACGGTGCAGATCGCCCTGCGCCGCAGTTTTCGCTTTCGTGCTCCGAAAGAATGCGCAGCAGAGGCAGCAGGAAGCGCCTGTGGTCACTGCCGGCTTTGCGCGATGAAAACGCTTCTGGTACGCCTCTTCGAAAAATCTGCGGCAGCAGGCACCTGGTGATATGCATTTCCCTTTGATTTTGCAAACGATGCGCAAGCCCTTCTCTTAACTATCATCAAGATAGATCACAAGCACCAAAAAAACGCACGAAAAGTCACTTGCCTTGTTTCTTCAGAAACGCTGACAAAAGTCCCTTCGGCATGCCAATTCCTTGATCCGCAACCGCCGGTGGAATTTCCATTTTTCCTTGATGTCCCGGAGCGATGACCGTCGGTTTGGGGTGATCAAAAATGCGAAACGTTGAAATGTCGAGAGCAGTGGGAAACGAAACGTCCACGACACATGCGTAGGTGTCGGTCACTACCTGGCTGTCTTCTTTTATAGACCAAGTCCACGCCATTGTGGCAAGATGAGCGGGCGACACGGACCCGGCCCGCGCATTACAGCGGCCCTCTAGATTATCCAGGAGACAAACCAACTTATCCAAAAGCGCTAATCATACATAGATACAGCTTGTGCGTGGCTTATTTTTTTCCGTCACGTCCACCGAAAAAGGAATTGTTGTCGCCGGGAGCGTGCAACTCTCGGCGCCGGCGCTGAACTTTTTGTTTTTTGTGCTTGTCTGCATGCTTGTTCTGATGATCTTTCAACTTCTTGGACAAGAGGTCCGGTCTCCTTGGATAGAGCGTTTTCGTGCCGAGTGGCCCACATATCCCCCACTGCACCAGGTCCACTCCGGTTACGTCGTCACGTCCGGTTTGCGTTGCGCCGAACGTGAAAACCGGCTTGCCAGTGGCAAGATCCGATTTGTACATCGGGTAGATCAGGCCCCCGACCTGCGTCACGGTATGCGTCAGGAAATACCATCCGCTCACGTCTGGATAGTTTTCGCTTTTCAGCAAGATCTTGGCGGGTGGGTGGGTGGTGTCTTGGATGCAGGAGGTGAGCCGCTGATCGGCTTGTTTTTCTTGGGCCTTCTCTGCTACCGTGGACAAGTTGCGGGCTCTTGGCTCAGCCATGTTGCTCAGCTGACGGCAAGATATGATCTTTCTCCCTTCTAGTACCCTCGCTGGAAGAAAAGTTGAAGCGCCATCATCGCTGCTGGTATCTTCGTGCTCGGTTTCCAGTGGACGTTCACGCTTTGCTGCGGTCGCGCAGGAGGGAAGCGACGAATCCGATTGGGATTGCTTCTTTTTGCTTTTCTCGTCACCAACCAAATGCCCACCTCCGTTTTGTTGTGTTTCGCATGTCGCTTTGTTTGCAGACCTATTCACGGAAACGGGTGCAGCCTCCCGCTTCACTTGTTGCAGTGGACGCCCCAAAAAGCCGATACGTTTCGACTGCGTTTTAGTGGAAGGCGAGTGCTGCTCCTTCTTGATGCGCAATGTTCCCGCCTCCTTGCAATTATTTTGGAAGATGAGACTTTGCTTGACCCGAAACCGGGGTGATTCCGGCGACGTTGGTGCAGTGGGCTCTTTCTTAATGCGCACGGGATCGCGTCTGCTCGTGCATTCAGGCTCGCAGTTGACCCGGCTGCGGCGACGATCAGCGGCCCCGGGTGAGGTGGGCTCGCACTTGATTCGGATCGTGGGAGCGCAGTTCTCTCGCTCTCCGCCCGAACTCGTGGTGATCAGCTCTGGGTCCCGCTTGATGGATCTTTCACTCGTCACGTTTTCAGGAGGAGGCACTTCTGCCTTGAATTGCCCGTCGGGAGAACCAGGAGACTCAGCTTTCAAAATAGGAGTTTCGCTAACCATCGGTGACGCCAATGATCTTTCCTCTTGCTTGATGCTAGTTTTTCCGCTTTTTTCAAAATCAGAAAAAGAATTCGCTGCTGGCTGGTGCTGACTGGAACCGCCCTGCCTGGACAGCGACGCGGATGGGTTGTTGCCAGGGTTTTCCTGTTCTCTCTTGATCATGATCTTGGAGCGGTTGTCTACTACTCCTGGCGAGTCCGGCTCTTGTTGTTTCTTTACTTGTGCAAAACCTGCTCCCGCTGCTGGTTGCGGTTCGGCAGCGCAGGTAACTTGTGCATTGTTGTGATGGTTGCTTCTGGTGCTTCCAGTATTGATCTCCGAATCCAGTGCCGCCAAACGAGCTGGTACGCGTTGCTTCTCTAAGCGTTCTGCTCCTTTTTTGCCCAGCAGTCGCATGGCGTGGCTGTTCTCGAGCAGTGTCCTTGTACTAGAGCTTGTCGACTGAAGATTTGCATCCACGTTATCCGCAGCAGCGTTACTGTTTCTGGCGCTGCCCTGCTCTGCATCTCGAATTCGTCGTAACAACCACACCAAGACGGCCCGCTCTTTGAAATAGGTAAAAATCTCGTTGAACAAAATATCCTCGCGCGATAGTTCGCTCTCCCCTGAATTTGCACGGGCAGCCGCAGCAAGCAGATCTCGTTCTCGATCGAAGTAATTGCGTATCTCGGAAAAACTTCTGCACAACCATGGCGATTCTGGCGAGTTGTGTGCTGTTTTATTATGAAAAAGGACCAACGTTCGTTGCTGTTTTCAAAGAAATTACGTATCGGTATTGTGCGTGGGAATGTTTTTCGTGCTCATAGATGGGCTCCAAGAAATTCACCCAACGTTCTTTCAATGTTCGGGTGTTCGCTTTATTCATATTCTCCTATAACAGCATGAGCAACGACCAAAAAAAAATCCTCTAAAAATGCAAGACACACGAAAGTGATACTTACCGGATGGATTGCAGACGTTCGCAAATGTCTGTGTCGCACTGTGACTGCCTCTGTACCATTTCAGCGATTTCAGCAACCCCTTGTGGGACCTGTGCGGCTTGTGAAGTTTCGCGACAAATTTAGGAGGCAAGAGGTGGGTTTCTAGATCGATGTCTTGACTCACTTATCCCAGTGCAGTCCTTTTCTTTCCATCGACTTGTTCTTTTACGCTCTGCACACTGCATTCAACGATCTACACTTACAAAAAAAAGAGCGATGAAAGCCATACGAGTACAAGTGGTCAGCCCAAACTGAGTTGCCACGCAAGTTCAACCTTGAATGGGGGGCACATAAAATTACACATAGATCCTGCCATTTTCATTCCGGTTGTCCGATGGCAGCAACTGTGGCGAGGAAAGAAACTTCTTGACACGGCATACTATTTCGATGAGCTCGATGCAATGAACGTCATCCGGGATGTCATTGCTCGTCGGTGCTGGCACATTCGGCGGCAGCACGAGATCTTCCGCCGAGAGCGCCGCGCTTGACATCGCATTTGCTGTGCGCTGGACGCAAGCAGCAGATGACTTCAACCCGTCCTCGATCGCCCACAGCGGTGGCTTTTCGCCGCTTGGTGTTTTTGCTGAGAAGGCCGAAGAAGAAACTGTCGACGAGTCGGCTGCGTCTTCAAGGGTGTGGGAATGGGCAGAGACTTGCAGGGGTCGCCTGCTCGTCGACGATGAGGAAAAGGAAGATGAAGACGACGACGATGATGATGCGGAAGCCCTGCAATTCTGCAACTGCAGCTTGTGCTGGTACTTTTCTGCCTTCGCAGCTAGTTCTCTTCGCTCCCGATTGTTTTCGGCATGGAGGTGGTTCCGCAGAAAGTTGGCTTTTTCCGCAGATTCCGGAACAGCGAGCGGCGCTGCGTGCCGCGAATCAATGGCAACGACGCCTGAACATGTGCTCTTTCCTTCTTTTTCACAACTCTCCAGCGTTTTCGGCGCCATCCTCCACCACTTCATTTTTCCGTTCTCCCGCCTCTTTTGTTGGTAGCCATACCAAGGGTGTCTGGTATTTTTTAGAGCACCGACGTCGACCCATTTGCTCGGGGGAAGAAGGCGCGCGGCGTTGTCTGATGGTCGAGGCGGCCCAGAGGGGCCATCGTTCTTCGCCTCCTCCATCACTTGTTCTTGTCCGAACAAACTTAAACTTTTCTTTGTAGAGGCACAGTTGTCACACGAGCAAACTCAATATATCATGCTAAGATACAGACTGTAGATGAAGCCGCTATCTTGTATTCTTGCATCCAATTTCGAGGTCGAAAAAAGAGCACGCAGAAGCATGGCGAAAGCAGAAAAGAAAGAGGAGAGTGCGAAGTTAGTTCCGTATTTCTATTTTTCTGTTCTGTGTGGAGCTGAACGGCTTCACTAGCGCGGTAAACACCGGCATCAGCCTACATGTAAATACACCCCATACTGGTTTGCCGAATAGATACAGGTCGATCATGATCTGCGGCTCCTATTTTTAGCTTCGCCTGCAGATAAGTACATGAACCTGTGGGCGCAAGGCGCGGCGGGCATAAATACAGAGAATCAGAATGCTCTTTTGACTTCAATTTCCAAAATTTCTTGCTGCGCCTTTTCTTCGTCAATCAAGACATCTATGAAACCAGCACACTGTCAAGAGTAATGGCCTCAAACAACGCAAATGTTGTTCTCTCTCGCTCAGCTAACTATGTCGCAGAAGTAAACAAAGCAGCTCTTGTGTTCGCTCCTGCCAACATTTTGAGACGTCCATGGATACTGAATTCAAACAATGATGTCGGTTGAAGATCAATAAACCCGAACATCTACTGGCGTCGAGAGCGGCGGTTCATGGTGGATATACGTCCAACTCCACCTTTGAATCAGAAGATAGACGGCACTACGCGAACGATTCTTTTTCTTGCACCGGGCAGCTCGGGAGCGTTTATTATTTTTCGAGACATTCAAAACTAGGGCCACTTCGTGCTTTTGCTGAGAAGGCCGAAGACGAAAAGGCCGACACGTCGAACTCGACTGCACGAGTGTGGCGATTGCGGACTTGCCGGGAACGACAAAGGGTCGACGACGAGGAGGAGGAAGAATGCGGGAGCCCCCTGGAGCTGTTCTTGTAGCTGGCGTTGATACTTTTCTGCCTGCGATGCTAGCAGCTCTCTTCTTCCGCTGTTCGTTCCTGCTACGTGGAGTTGATTGCAAAGTAAGGCCAGAGAACGCCCCCCGGGGACGGCCACGGCGCGACTCACTTGCTTACTGTGCGCACTGGCGCCTAGCGCTACGAGCGGACCGGGTTGGCGAACGGAGAACAAGAACGGGAGCTTTTCATCCAGTTATAGTTTGCTTTTTCCAAACGCTGTTGAGCAGTCTCTTGTAGTACTACTTACGCAATTGGCGATTGTAGCTTTCCGATCAGTGCAAGCTCCAGGCACATGTCTCGCCGTGACGTGACCCCGGCACTCGAGTGATCGACTCTCTTGTCGCCCTCGGTCTGGCCAAACAGCTGTGCACACCCCTCGACGATGTACTGTTTGGGGGGCCTACCCTCCGCTGCCCGCTCCATTTCCGACAGCAGAGCATCGAGGCTCCGTTCGCTTGCGTAACTCGACGTAGAGACGGGACCAGTGCTGGTCCGAGCGTGCGCTCTCATGGTGCTTCGTTGTTCTTCTTCTAGGTGCTTCGTCATGAGAGACAGCTGCAACACCTTCCCATCTGCTGTCCTTCCTGCGTCCTGCTGCAGCGTTGCCATCAGTTCCTGCTTCATGCGGACCTCTTCGGCTTTCGCAGCCGCAGCGCTGGTAATGGCCCGCACCCGGTCGTGGTCGGACGCGACCACTCGAGCAGCAGTGGCAGGCATGATCTTGATCTTGTAGACGTTGCGTTCTCTGTGCAAGCAAACGCACGATCGCGCTCCTCGTAGACACAATTCTAGTACAGCGAACCGGACACGGGACACCGACTACGTCCAAGGAAACCACAAGAAACACAACACAACACAAGCTGCCGCGACACTTCATCACACAGTCCTCTGCAAAGTGATGCTCACTCCTCACTCAGATATACTTAGTACAACATTCATCTTCGGTGCACTCAGTGTATAGATTGGAGCAGAAACTAACGCCCACCTCCTCCCGGCTTTATTGCACGGACATACGTAAAGACGATGAACAACAGCACAACTTCCAGGGCGCGACATGAGGATAGCTCATTGCAAGAGCGCCACGAAGTGATCTGTTTTTTTGCTGTTTCTCCGTACTTCAGCACAACACAAGTTCTGCGTAGTAGATTGTCATCTCGAAAGACGATTTCATCGCAAGAGCGTGCCCTTCCATTTTGCCGTTGACCTTGTTGCATTTTACTGTTTGTTGGGCTTTTTACTTCTTTCGCTCGCCGCATCACGCAGCTTCTCCTGCAAAGCAACTTGTGCGCGGCGGTGCGGCGCGTCCGTGGGCCCCTTTGGTTTATTTGGGTTCAGTGTGTGTTTACGCTGCGCTCGCTCTTTTTGCTTGGCTGCATCACCGCAGCCGTGCAGTTCCGCCTGCAGGTGCTGAAAGCAAAAGGTTCTCCGGCAGTACTCGCAAGTCGTAAATTCCTCTGTGAGGTGCTTGACACTCACCTTACAGACAGTGCACTTTCCACGGGGGAATTTCTCCGTGAAATCGTCCAAAATCGCATCGAAGTCGTCTTCCTCTTCTTCCTTAGCGCCACTCGCTTGCTGCTGCTTCTTTTTCTCCTTCTGCTGCTTCTTCGCCTGTAGCTTCTGGTGCTTTTCCAGCTTCCTCGCTGCCTCCGCTTCCTCCATGCGTCGGCGTTGACGCTCTTCTCGCTGGCGCGCCAAATCTCTTAGAAGTTCACTCCCTGCGTCCGCAGATGCCGGCTCTGCTTGCTCGGAAAGCGTTTCATGCTTTTCGTGCGTGCTCGCAGGCGGCGATTCGGCACCTAATTTCGCACGCGTCTGTACGACAGCGCTTTCCGGCACTGCTCCCTGTGACAATGACACCGGGTCAGCTGCAACACTAGACTGATCCTGCGGTAGTTCATCCCTCTCTTCCCCCGCAACCCTTTTCTCCGGCGAAAATGCGCGTGGTACAGCTTCTTCTTTGCCTTGTTTAACGTCACCCACAGACGCTGGTCCGCTTGGCGCTGCTCCGACATCACTACTTCGAAACACCCGAACGAAGCGCTTCTTGCCTTCCCCTTGGCTCTCCGATTGCACGCCCAACTTCTCGCACACCTCGTGAACAATGAGTCGCTCCCGAGCGTTGAGCGACTTTGGAAAATCGTGGAACTCTTTTCGGGCGCTGTCTGGGTCGTCGTGCTTCATCAAAAACTCCTCGAGCGTTGCAATGAACTTTTTTCGCCGCTTCTCTATTTCTTCCGCCGACATCTGCATCGGTGCGGGGCCGGTGCTTGTCTTCGTGTTTGCGTTTGTCCCCACCTGCTCCGAAGAAGTCGTTCCTTCGCCGCGACCCCTCCCGCCATCTTGCGGATCCTTTTCGACCATTCCCGCCACGAGCTGCAGTGCTTGCTTCTTTTTTCGGGACGCCCCCGCCGAGTTGGCCATGAGCGAAGCCCCATCGCTCGCGATCTCTGGTTCGAAAGGCCCGCACTCCGCGCCGTCCTCAACGGTCAACTTTGCGGCATCCGCTACTGCAACCGTATCGAGCATTTCAGATACTGTTTCGCTAGCAAACACAACCTTGCCCCGCTGCAGCGCGTACTGATACAGGCTGGCCAGCACCTCGTCGCTACAGATGGTGGTCGAATTGCCGACGATCAACACGTGCTTTTTCGCCCGCGTCACTGCTACATTCAGCCGCCGGAAATCACTCAAAAATCCCACCTCTATCCTGTGGAAAAACGACCCCGACCCCCCGATATTGTCATGCAAATTTGCGTGCTGAGGATCTTTCTCATGCGGGTCTCCAACATGAGAGGCATATTCTACGTACTAGTTTTTGGGAATCTGTCACGCGGCGCTTATCCGGACAATGCAGTAGGAGTAGTAGCACCATTTGACTCCTGGCGGGTCGGCGTTAGAACAGACTTAGCCTCTGCCAATACCTGGGCGTTAGAACAGACTTAGCCTCTGCCGATACCCCTAGGTGGACAATGCAGTGAATTCGTGATGCATGCGGACTAGCTACGGAACGACTACACTGCGAACCCAAAGTTTTCATGCCTCAGTCTCAAAAGATCTGGACTTGTATTCCGCAAAATTCGCATCTTGACTTTGGGCTGGGGATGTTTTCACTCTGGATAACTTCTGCATTTTCGTTACTACGCACCAGACTGAGCAACACCACGTCGGCCTCCCGGCCCTGGTAGCTGTCCACCGTGTTCACGGGGATGTTGCCGAGTCCCGCTTCCGCAAACAGCAACCGCAAGTGGTCCACCTGCTGGTTGTACGGCGTGATCACACAGATGCTTGTCTGCTTTGCCTCCTCCGGTTTCCGAACTGCTAAGGTTTTCTGCAACCACTTCGCATATCCAAGCAAGATCCTTGCCTCGCCCGGGTTGCACCGCGCGCTGCTGGCCTGCTGAAGGATGCTTTTCACTTTCCCAGGTCGTGCCTGCTGTTGATGCTGTCCTCCGGCAGTGCTATTTTCGGGCTCCTGTTCCCGGCAGCGGTGGTTCCCCACCGTGTCGACGAATACAAGCGGATGCGCGCTGGGAAAACAATAACCGCTAGGAGATTTCGTAGCTGGCCCGCCTTGTGCAGCGATTGTAATTGTTCCAGTATCTGTACTACTATTGCTCCCACCTCCATCAGTCCCCAGCAGCGTGCGCGCGCGCACTTCTTCCGCAGCCTCCAGCCGGGAATCGTAAAACTCGGCGCTGCTCCACCCCATGATGATGTCGTGCATGCGATACTGGATGCTGAGCAGACTACTGACCCGGTCTCCGAACCGCTCGATCATCCGGCCGAACAGCGTGCGGTCGAGCCCCTGGCGCGCGGCTTCTTCGCTTTTCACCGTGGCCGCCAACTGGTTGTGATCACCGGCCAAGACGGCACGCCGTCCGCACAGCAGCGGAATCCAGCATGCCACCTCCAGCGTTTGCGCGGCCTCGTCTACCAAAACGACGTCGAACAGCGACGACGGATCTATTGAAGACGCTTGCTGTGGTTCCGCTCCCCGGCCATCGTTTCTAGAACCTCCCCGAAGCAAAAACCGCTTCTTCACCTCGCTCGCCCCCGCGCAGGTGCAGAAGACCACTTGCGCAGAGGCCAGCACCCCCTTCACGGCGTCGGTAGACCGCTTTTTCAGTTCCTTGCGCAGCTTGGACAGCTCCTCCTTCCGCAAACGTCGGTTGGCGAAGGTGGATGCACTCCCTCCGCCCGCATTTTTGTTCTTGGAGGAACCTCCACTGTTGTTCTTGCTGCGAAGCGCCGCGAGATGCTCCTTGATCTCCACTTCGATGTCCCGACAAAGTGCCGCTTGCTCAGTGCCCGCGACGCGCCCGTCGAGCGTGAGTTTCTGCAGATCCGCGTCTACGCGGACGGGATGCCCGATGCGCACCAGGCACGACGCCGGGAGGTGCTGCGCGACCTTGTGCAGTAAATTATCCACTGCAACATTGCTGGGCGCCGAGACCAGTAGCCGCATGCCCCGCGCAACGCACTCTAGGATGAAAGCCACGCAGGTGGTTGTCTTCCCCGTCCCAGGCGGGCCGTGGATCACGTGCAGATCCTGTGACCTCAGCGCGTTCCGGACCGCTTGCTGCTGTGGCTCATTCAGTCGGTGCGCTGGCGCGCAGCGAAAACTCGTCCAGGTCGCAGCTGGCCCAACGCCGACTCGGTCGTCATCGTGGTCCTCCTGTTTACAACCTTGCATCATGCCTTGGACCGGAAAATCATCGAGGAACCTCGGAAAAACTACCTCACCAGGTGCACCTCCACCGTTAACTGAACTAGCGGACGGGGAATTTTGCTTGCTCAAATTCGTGTCTCCAGAAGCAAAACAAAGCTCGACCACTTTGTTTCTTTCCCCCGCGGAGGACGAGGACCCGCCGCCGCCGCTCTTTCCGAAGTCTCCGAGCAACGCGAACTGAGCCTCCAAGTCCTGCAAGGTGTACTTGTACCGACTCATCGTGACATCGGAGGCGATGACCGCAATGTGGTAGGGGCCCACATGGAGCGGAAAGACGTCCTCGTCCACCTTGCCCGAAAACACCAGCTCGATTTCTTTGGCGCGCACCTTGCTGACAATCGCCTCCACAATGGGCTTCACGCCGTGCAACGGATTCGCCGTGTCGAATACGCCAACGATGTCGCCCGGCGACAGCCGGTGCGCGGGAAGGAGGTCCTCCGGATGGTACCGCGTCAGGGTGGCGCCGGTTTTCCCATACAAGCCCGTCGAAAGCTTGAGCTCTTTGTTGTGCAAGTACAGCTTCAGAATCGCAACCCCAGCGTCGGACAGCTCCACCTGTCGACACGTCTGCAGCAACTCCGTCGTCTGTGCCTTCTCCTCGTCGTGTTCCAGCTGCAGCAGCTTGCGCTGCTGCTCGAGGAACTCCGCCCGTGCGGACGACATAGAGGCTTATTTGCTGGTGGAGGTAGAAATGCTTTCAGCACATTACATCATAAACAACTTCTACCGGTTCCGCACTCTTGAAATCAGACCTCATGCATGGAAAATGTTGTAGCTGTAGGTCTCTATGTATTCCTATTCGCGAGGGGATATGAAGAGAGATCAAATGGGGTCCTGTGCAGCGTTGCGAACAAGGAGCACCATTGCCTTTGGGATTCTTCCAGATCCAGGTATAAACGAAAAGTAAAACTTCTGACTACTCTCCATATGCAGATCTTGAAACGTGGGAGCCAGAGCCTTTCACTCTGCTATAATTGATGGCAATTTGCATATCGGTGAAATATTAGGAACCAACAGAAACTACCAGATCGAACTTGAGATGAACTCAATCTATCCGTAATTGCCATCAACAGAACTATCAAAATCAACAGAAAAATCACGATGCTTGCGAAAATTCTGCAGCGCTTCAGACGTTTACGTACATAGAAACCTGACCGACGCTCCAGCCACGATCTTCTTCAGTGCACCAATGAATAGAATGCTGCGCAAGTGCCACACAAATTAGCACACACGAGTGGTCTCCCTGCGCGCCCGCAACTGGTGGTGAACAGCGCCCAAAATCAAAATTCACATGTCTAGTACTCCATCCCTAGGGGATGATCGGCAAAAAGCTTGTTGCTGGTGTTGAGATGTGTCACACCAAGACAGCGCAGCTCAGGAGGATACACCTCCTTGTCGAGCTGCTTCTTCTGTACTAGCATACGGAACGGGAACAGCAGTGCCAGTGGTCACATTCGTGTCCTCCTGAACCCGACCGAGAACAATTGGCTCTTGTGCATGTACTCCGACCGAAAATGATGCTGTTCCGGCTGAGCTGGACAGTTCTAAATTATTGTGTGGTCCTCGTCCACTTGCTGCAGTTGCAGAAGCAGTTGCACTACTGGCAGTAGCAATACAATCCGTAGCACTACTCGACTGTGTGCACGTGCTCTCCTCCACAACATAGGCAGTGTTCATCGCACTCAGTGTCAGTTCGCTCTGCGATCCGCGCTCCTGCTGCTCCCCCGCGACGTTCACTTCTGATTTTTGTTCTTCACCCTTCACTTCCTCGCCCCGAAGAGCACTAGACACGACCAACTCCGCACCAGCTAAAACCTGTGCCGGCGGGGGCAACGGCACGGACTGGGTGGAAGAGCTGGTCTTACTGCTGGCCATCCCGCCGGTTGGTTGCGACGCCGCTTGTGGCAGGTACTGCTCCAGCAGGCTGATACTTTGGGATAACTTGCGTAGCGCCGGATCCTGGGACAGCAGGTGCGCCGAATAGGCATGCTCTGATTGGAACTCTTGTTGCTGACCACCGTGTTGCTCCGTTTGTTCCACAGAGAAATTGCTCTTGGTCGTGGTCGCGTTTGTTCCGCTGCTTTCCACCCCAACGCCGCCATGCAGTCCTACAACCACATCGTCAACATCGCGGTCGCAAACGGTGCCCCCTCCGGGCGATGGGCAGGGCGGCACTTCGCGGGGCGACGACGCCCCCGAGTCAGCCGCGGCGGAACTGGTGAAGCTGTAGCTCGTGGTGCTCCGAGTTGCCAAGTTGGCTTGCGCCGGGTGCAGGTGAGCCAGAGAAGGGTACCGCAAACGCCGCTCATTCTCGACCTGTTCCATCTTGCGACGCAGGTTGCCGCTCTGATCCCTCAGAAACCGGTTTGCACGGATCACGCGCTCCGCTTCCCGGCGCCACCGGTCGCTCTTTTCTCGTTCCCGTTCACCAGCTTCGCGCTCCGCAAGTAGGTGCTTCTCCAGCTCACTCACGCGCTTACTCAAGCACGAAAGTCGAGAAGCACTTTGCAATTTATCCTGCTCCGCCTGTGAGACCTGAAGCGATACCAGCGTTCATTGTCAACAAGTAGAAGTAGCACGTCTGGACTAAATAAAACAAGTAGGTTGTACAGTACCTACCACCTCCTGCTTGTAGACAGAAATCACGACGAGGAATGATGGATACACGACCACGACCACGCTGTGGCATCATCGCGCCCAAGCTGTGGCATCAGCGACGGCGCGCACACACTACACGAGCGCGCAGATAGTAAAGGGTAATATCTTTTCGCAAGTATAATACCTGTGCCTGCAGATCCCACTTTTCCATTTCGACGTCGCCCAAAGCGACACGGGCATCTTCCAAGAAGCGCTGCGCTTCCCGACTTCGGGGAGAGGGTGAATCTTCTCGCCCGGCTGTCAAGCTCAAAACTTTTGGCGAAGTGACGACACCCACGCTGTGCGTTGAGGTCTTCTTCGCTTCCAGGAGCGCCAGCTGCTCGTAGAGGTGCGCGCACTCCTCCGACTTTAGGTCGAGAAGGAGCCGCAGTTCCGCCGCTTCTTCCAACGCGGCAAGCTTGCGACACTCTTCTTCGGCACGCCGGATCGCGGCATCTTGGAGATCCGTGGTCACGCGATCCACTTGCCGGGCATCCTGCTGATACCCCTGCATCTCCTCCGAGAGCCGATCTACCTGACGAAAAGCGGCGGGACACTGAACCATGCACGAGCTGCCCGTTACAGGGTTGTGCGCTTGTGTGTTCGCTGGCAATCGAAAATCATTTTTGCATATGCATGCTGACTCGAAAGGCGGTCGCCACAAGAAATACAGCGCAAGCGGTGGCCTACAATCCAGCACCTCCACCTCTTCACTCAGAATATTAAAACTTCTTTACCGTATACTTGATTATTTTTCCCAAAGTAGGAGATGCAGGTACCATCTTCTCAGCGCAGTTCTTCGCGTAGCGGATGTTTTGCAGGCGCAGCTTAAGCGAGGCGAGCTGCTTTCCGGCGCGTTTGGCTGCGTCTTTTTCTGCCTGCAAGCAGCCACGCAGGTCGGCGTTGCACTTCAACTGCGCACGCAGCTCCTCCTTGAGCCGGTCCTTCTCCTCCTTTACCTTTTGGTACTCCGTCTTGTCACGCCCCCGATGTTCGCTTACGGCAACGCACTTCCGGCGGGAAACGTCCAGATCCGCCCGCGCCAGCGCAAGCTCCTTCTCCAGACGCTGGTTCAACCCGCGCACTTCTGTGACCTCGCGCGAGAACTGACTGTTGAAGGTGAGCAGACGGGCGTTCTCCTGCTGCGGTCGCTTCGCAGCGTCCTGTTGGGCCGCCAGTCGCTTGTCCAGCTGCTGGATGGTGCGTTCCCGCGAACTACACTGGTCCCGCCATTTATCCCGCTCCGCCGCGCAGCTCTGCAGCTCGGTCGCAAGCTCCTGCCGCGCCTTCTCCGCTCGCTCAGCGTTTCTGCGCAGTACATCGCGCTCGGCAGTCCGGCTCGCCAACGTTGTTTTCCATTCCCCCGCTTGCGCCGCGGCTGCTTCCGCGCTGGTTCGACAGCGGTTCTCCAAACTTTCATACTTTGCCTTCCAATTCGCGCTCTCCCCGCGCACCCTCTCCAAATCCTGCAGCAGGGTCTCAAACTTTTTCTATCATGATGAAACCAAATGCATCACTTTTGCACGAGCGTAGCAGTAGCTACGACTGGCGAGCGCACCATCGAGCAACATGCACGCTTTTATTGCACCGAAGTACACCTACACATGAAACAAAGCAATGCGCCGTATCAGTGATGCCACTTTCATCATCCACATAGGGCAGCCAGAAAGTTAACGCCCCGCTCTGCTTCGTCCATTGGGCTGTTACTTATCTATCACCAAGCGAACGATTGTTCAGCTAAACTTCAGAGCACACGCCTGCGATGGCCGTGCTTGTGCTCTAATATGAATGGACACTCATGGAGCTTTACTAGTGTTCCAAGAGGTTGCATACAGACTAAAATCCACCGTCTCGGTTAGCTACTGCTGATTACATACCGTTTTGAGACTGTTCTAGTGTCTCTCCTCGCGTCTCGAAGCAACTTTGCCGCACTCAACAACTAGATCAGGATTACCACATGAATAAGTAGATCGGAATGCGACGCATAGGCATGTATCCCACCTTGTGCTTATCGCTCTGAATATTCATGATATACGAAAGTGGCACACGTGTTCCGAATCAACGTAACTGATCACAAGGAGGTGCAGCTGTCACAACATGCATCCGCTTCACCCACGGTGAACAAAAATCTGCTATCGTGGGGGTTGGTTGTAGTAAAACACCTACAAAGCGGAGGTGTAGGTATACATTCGTATAGCGAGAGGATCCTGTATCCGATTCTTTTTTCTCTGACTCTGTTCCATTTTTTGCCGCTTGGTTCAACCGCGGGTTGTCTGATGTCCTCGTATGATTACGAGAGGAAATTTTTTGCTCGACGCACACAGTGTACAAAGCGGCGAGCGAAGCCACACCACGCGAAGGGTGCCACCACCCAGAGCAGGAGAAGAAAGCCTCGCAGACATATGAAGCCGGAGCCACCCAGCAAAATGAGCGAGGGCGCGTTCTCGAGCGGTATCAGCTCTGCGTTGCTCCCCATGATGTCAGTGCTGTGGGGTCGGAGGACTTCGTACGCACGATAGTAGCCCTTGCGTCCCGCGTTAAAGTGTAAAACGAGCGGGTGCGCCCCCGTATCGGTTCGTGTCACCAGGCCGCCAGAGTACAACGACTTTGCAGCTGCTTCTGCCGCGTCGTTCTCCAGTCGCGCGGAGGAGGAGTTGTAAAACGGGTTCAGAACGACGTCGTATCCATCCATTTTGCCCTGGTAGCCCTTCGGAAACCGAGCGGACAGCGGTTGGATCGCACTGGAGGCCACGGGCTGCAACGTCGGGCGCGACGGGGAAGATGATGCAAAGCTGCCAGTCCGTGCGCGTACGTACCCGCCAACTTCTGCGACCGCTGTGGTAAGCAAAAGCTCGCTGTGCACGTCCAGGCACAGGCGGTTGCGGCCGCGCTCTCGGTCCAGAATCCACACCTTTGACCACCACCACTGGTCGTCACTCTCATTGTCGAGCATCCATCCCAGATATTCGGGATCTTCCAGCACGGCACGAATGGTATCGGCGTACCCAATGAAGACTCCGCTATTGAGAAACGGTAGCCGGTCCCACTTGTTTACGTCCCCCGCGTCGTTGCGATACGTAAAGCCCCGCGCACTGGTTGCCGCCCCCCCGGCGCCGGCGCAGTTGGCGGGGCACCAGAACTCCGCATTGAAGAACACTTCGCAGTGCGGGTACTTGCGACGGAGCTCGTCGAACCGCGCAAGAATTTTCTCCTCCGAGGGGTCTGGTACGATGACGTCATAGGCGTCCAGAAACATCAACACTTTCCTGCCGGTGGAAGCTGCGCCGTTTTGACTTTTAGCTTCTCCGCCCTGTAGTTTTATTGGCGAGGACGACGGCGCACCGGGGGAAACTTCCTCCGTGGCACTGGAGGAGGCTGACGAGGAGAAGCGGACCGCCATTTCGTATTGGTAGTGCAGCTTCTGGGTAAGTGCCCGCCCCCATCCGCCGGAATTCAACAACGCGTCGCCCACACCGAGGACGCGAATCCCATTGCGCCATTGATCGATCTCCTCGATCAGGAGATTTACTTCGCGACGAACGCGACTGCCAATCGTGAACGCAACCAGGTCCTCGGGCTGCGTTGCTCTTAACGTCGCGCCCGCAGAAGGGGACGACGACTCCGAAGCAGACATGAGGTACTTACTAAAAAGAGTTCACGCGGCGAGTAAGAACACCAGTATCTAAGACTCAGAATAAAACACGCCAAACAGAACCAGAACAGAACAAATCGAAAGATCCATCAGACCAAGATAAATGGTATACGAAGTGCGCGGATGGTTGTTGGGCTATGTTGCAAAAATACGAAAAGATGATCGAAATTTGCTAGAAAAGATAAATCTCAGACCGATTTCTAAAAGGTTCGTAAAAGTATACTCCTATACCACAGAACAAAATCTGATACTCCAGCGACGCCACCGAAAACGGATTCTCTAGCGATACAGAACCCCGATAATCATACTCCAGCGACACTTCGCATAGAGTCAATTACGCGAAGCAGAAGTGGAGTGATATCAAGCAAACCCCTTCGCTCTGTACCACCTACGACATGTTCAAAGACACAAAGTGGTGGAGCAAAGATCATCGCACGAAGATCCAGTGTCGTAAACGAATCCATAAAGAACAGAATGAATGTAAAACTCTTGAGGACACATTTCAAAACGCCGTGCAGCATAAAGAGCGTCGTGGGTCGTGACTACCGGATTCCCCGCTTCCACAAAGCGATGCCGATTTTTGCTTGCACCTCCGCGGATTCCCTAAGCTCCGCTTCGCTCCGCGCGCTCGGGGCGTGCAACTGCGAAATGTCGCGCACCGACTCGTCCAAAACCTCCTTCAGCAAGCTTGCATCTGCATATGGAAAATAGTTCATGCTATCTGCTGTCTGATCGCTTGGACAAAAAAAAAACGAAAATCATGCCCGTCTTTTATCGTCAATGCATGGTGCAGGTGCTCGTCGGAGTGTAAAAGTGAAAAGAGACAAAAATGCCATTGCTGATGCTCTTCTTTCGTGTCTACTTGCTCTGGGTTATAAATACGTCTGTAAGTAACTCAATACCAATCTTTCCACGCTCCTCGCGGAGGCGCAAGAGTCGCTGCCGAAAAGCCTCGTCTTGGTCTTCGCGGATGCGGTATCTCCCGGACCGCCCTATCCTGAGTAAAAACGTACCCACACCAAAGTCAGGATGAGGATTTTGCAACACAAACCTAGGAGCTTTGTGAGTCACGCATGACAAGTTGCGCTATGCAGTGCAGTGCAGGTTAGCAAGTGCAGCCGCGTCACAGATTCATCTGCTCACCCTGTTCACAGCATCACAAATTCCAAAACACGATTGGAAATGGCTCTCATGGGGATGCGCATTACAAGTCTTCCTGTCTTTGCAAATCTGCATTACAGCTCTGGTGTGGGTACGTTTTTACTCAGGATACGCTCACGCAGATCCTCATCCGGCTCTGGTTCCGCCCGGCTTGTTGCCTTTCCTCCCGGGGAACGACTTTCCGTCTTCGGCCTCGCCACGTCGGGGAATAGTGGCCCGGCGGCAGCCACCACATGGTCTGCCGTTGTCGTCGGGTCGATACTGAGAACAACACTGCCTTTGATATTGGTGTTCGCACGCGACGAAGAGGACGACATCACTCCTGCAGAAGGTCGCTGCTCCACCATGCTGACCCGCTCGCCACCCGGCGCAGAGTTTTTATCTCCGACGTTAATGTTGTAGTCCTTGCTGGCGGTAGGGCGTAGGTTCTCCGCCATGAAATTGTTCACGTTCAGCGCCGGAAACCCGGGCCCGGCCCCGCCAAACGAGCTCGGGAACGCGGGAAGGGCGGGCGGCTCCGCGGCACGCTTGGGAGACTTCGGCGAACGGGAGGAGGACCCCTCGCTGTGCTGCGGAGACGCCAGGTAGGCCTGGTCGGATGTCAGGTGCGGTCGCTTGTTCTGCGAGGGCGACGCCGGGGAAGTACTAGCACCACCTTGTTGCGCGGCCACAGCGCTTGAAGATCCCTTGGATGCAGAAGCCGCCAGCAGATTGCGAGTTTCTGCAATGGGCGAACGGAACTCCCGCATTGAGGGAGAGTTCACCGGACTAACGGGATCTGCAAGCACCTCGGGATTCACGTTTCCACCTGCGCGATGAAAGTTTTCTTTTTCTTCTAGGATTGGCTCTTTTCATTTCGTCCAGAAGAGTAGTTCGTCCCGATACATACATTACAACCCTTCATCCCGAACAAGATGTATATCCCTTCTGATGATGTGATTTCATTCTCAAGTTGTATCAAAGTCACAGGAGATCGATGCATACATTAAGTACTGCAGTTTCGCTCCTGAAGGAGCTCCACACTTTCCAGTAGCTGGGACGCGGACGGGCGCTGCTGCGCGTCTCGGTTCAGGCACGCAGTGATCATCTCATGCCAGCTCTGGTGAATCGGTGCTGTGCGAACGCTGTCACCTTGAGCAAGCCCACTGGTCCGTCCGGCTGGGGGCAGTTTCAATGCCATGTTCGCGATTTGATATACCAAACCTGCAAGGAATACACCAAGTAGAACTGGCTTGTTGTATAATATCGAATATCATGAGCATCATCATCAAAAATGACAAGTCGCAAGTTGCGTCAAATTTATTATTCTCGTGATCACCTAGCAGCGAATCGGCGTTGAAAGGCAGTTCCAGCAGGAGCATTTCGTAGGCAATTACGCCGAATGCCCAGATATCCACTCCCGCGGTGTATTTTTCGTTACGAATAATCTCCGGTGCCATGTAAGCCGGCGTCCCCACGCAGGTCGTCGCAAACAGGGTGGACTCCAACACCTTGCTTATGCCGAAATCACCCACTAAAATGCGGTTGCCGGAGATGAAAACGTTCGCACTCTTCAGGTCCCGGTGCACCATGCGACAGCCATGGATATACTGTAAGGCCAACAGTGTCTGCCGAAACCACGCCGCCAACACGCCGCTCGATATCCGCCGCTCTAATATTTTTTCAACCACTTCTACTTTTACATTCATCCCAGGAGTACGGGGACCACGGGGGTGACAAGCAAGGTGCACAGTACAACCGCGTTGCAGCTGCAGCCCAAAAGAATCATCCTTCATCGACTGCTGTCGCTGTCCTCAGTGTAGTACTAGTACCACGAAACTTATAAATCGACTGTCAAAAAAAGTAGATTACTTGATAGATACGCATCGTCAATATCGAATCGAAGTTCCCGTAAATTTATACACCCTCCTGCTTGGCGGCCAGACGTTTCTCCCGTAGGTCCCCGTCAGTCGCGTATTCCATGATAATGACGAGCTGCCCTCCGGCCAGCATGGTGGCGTCGTCCTGCACGACGAAGCTGTCCTTGTACCCGATCACGTTAGGGTGCTGCAGCGCCTTCAGGATGCACACCTCCTGCTGCGCCGCGAGCTTCGCCTTTGCGGACTGTAGATTGTGCAGGGACATGCACTTGCAGACGAAGTTCCCACCCGCGCTGTCCTGCACCCGCGAAATCACGTTTTGCGCCGAGGACGCAACCCGCGACACGACCGTGAACCCCCGGGTCTGGAGGAACTTCGGGGTGGCCACCCCCGCCCCCACGGACTGATCCTCATCCGCGAGCGTCGCACGCTTCTTCGTCCCAGATTGTCCGGCTCGCCGTGGCCCGAATTGCGGGGACATCTGCGGCGAGGAAGGAACCCCAGGCTCGCTGGCACCCAGCATGACCGCAATGGGAGTGCGGAAAAAACCTGGTGCGGAACTGAATCAGTTGGCGCCCCTTGCCTGTCGGCAGGGCCTCGTCCACCGCCTCCTTCTGTGTGGCACTATGACTTCCTCTGGGCTATGTATATGCTTCAGTTCTTGTGAGGAAAGTTGACGAACGAACAAAAACGAGCCAAGAAGAGAAATGATTCGGTGAACCTTGCTGACGTGCGAACTGCTCGGTTGTAAAATGAATACCTACTACCGTCAATTTGGTCCGCTCAACGGTGGTGCATCATGCAAGTGCTGAAGATTTGTTCGGGTAGAAAAGCCTCGTCTTCATGGCTGACAGTCAAGCCGGTCCTCCTCACTCAGACGCATCTCCGACAGAAAAAAACAGAACATCTGTTCATACTGTTTTCACAGCAGCTCGGCTTCAAACAGTACATTGATCGGGAAGATCAATTTCAAACATTTATCAGTCGCAATTTTCTTCACGTAACATTACGAGACCTCAAGGGGATTTGTCGCTATTCCTCTTGTACTGACGGCCTTGCAGTCCGTTCCAGTCACAGTGCCGCCGCTACGTTATTCAACATAGAAGCAGCGATTCGCATATTCGAATAAACTAGCAACGCAAGACCTGCAGTCCATTCGCACGGGTCGCCATTTGGGTGCGGTACTTTTGCAATTCGGCTAAGTACTGTGCCCGGAGGCGCTCCCGCTGCTCGATGTCGATGGGTCGACTTTTGGGCGGGCCGCTCGAGCTCGTCGTGTCCATGTGTACTATGGGGGATTCTTGGGCAGGGAGTTGGAGCACGGGTGCACCACTAACTGCATTGCCATTGGTGTACACGCGGGGAGGTTCTTGTGCGACGGTCGCTGGGTAAAATGAGCCGACGCTTCCATGCTGACTACCGTGTATAGGGTTGTCGCTCCCGACAGACGGAGTAAAGTCGCTAGTACAACTGGTATGGGCGGGACCGCCTCCTTCTGACGCCATTGCGCTGGTGGAATTTGTTCTCGTCCCATTGGCGTGCGCTGTACCTGTAGTTCCACTTCCGCCAGGGTTCAAGTAATTATGATTCCCTCCTCGGATGGGAGCCCCCGCTGCTGTGGGATTGCCGGAGGGTGTCACGCCGGAGTCGGAGGCAGGCGAGGCCATTGCAAAGGAGGGCGGGTCGTTTCGGTTCGCAAACACGTCAAAATCAGGGCCGGCTTGATGAAACATCATGCTGCGATGTGCCTCGGATCCGAACAGCGGAACCTGGACCGTGGCGTAGTCTTGGCTGTACTTGGTCGGCAGCGCCCGTGCGAAGGAATCCACCTCCATCGACTGTGATGCAGCTCGTCGCATCCGCTTGAAGACCGGCGAAACACATTGCTCCACCACCCCTTCCACTTCTCGGATGTCGCGCTTGGTACCCCTGGACGCCATGGTTGTCGCTTTTGTTTACCGCGGGCAAATCAGAAGAGCAAGGGCAAGCAATCTACTTCTACCGCTTCGAGAATATTAAGTGTATTCACCGTTCGTCTTCGTCCACCTCACTACACGGACCTTACAAAAAAAAACGAGGGGCACAAGAGAGGAGCACTACCGGCACTGACCCGCAATCATTGAGCACATTCACTGAAAAACCGCACCCATATGAGCTGAATCAGATTTTGATCTTCCCACCTGCGAACCAACCTACTAAGTGTCTCGCTTTACTTTCACATGGTTTGAGGACACATCAACAGGTACCATACACGCTTGCGACATAGCATACAGCGAATTATCTCCACCATTTTTTGGGTCCTGCGAGTTTTTTTCATACATTGGAGGTTATTGATAGCCTATCGATCCAATCGATTCATCATGTGGATCCATTTCACGCTTTTCCCATATGATTTTCTCAGAATAAAGTTGGCACTTCTTCTGGATCCTCTTGGATCTTTTCGAGTCGCTTTGGTCCAGTACATTTCATCGATCCCACGAATAATATTTGAATTTGCTTCCAGTTGATTTGCCATCCGATAAGAAACTTTCAGAATGCAAGAATTTGAGTACAGCTAAACTTCCCACGACCGAGAACTTGACTACAATCAAGGCCTACCGACGAATAATGATCATGCTGAAGCTTCGTTATTCACTCACGTTAGATGCCCGGAGGTCCCAAAAAAGTCAAGGTCGACACAAAAACATGAAAACCTTATGCTGCGGATGAATAAAAATATACTTGCAACTACATTGGATGGTGGTTGCAATTCCAGATTTCGGCTGAGCAAAGAAACAATTGTGCTTGCGTATCAGTTTCAGTATCACGAAATTGCATTCAAAAATAGTATTCTGCCTCCTTGCAGGATCGAGTTGTTGAATTGGATAATTCATCTCTTCCCTGCGGATTCAGAGTCTGTAGCTTTTATACTCATAGTATCCCTGTTGATTAGAATCAGAATAAACTAATCTGTACTCTCTTAAGTATTTCGGGAATTTGATTTCTGTTCCGCCCCCGGGATCGCACCACATTCTTCCAGATCGGCGCCAACATTAATTTCTCTTTGTTCTGCGACATTGCTAGACAATTCAGTCAATCAACAAGGAATCCACACGTGTATCTCTAAAGATTACAAGGGAGTTGCAGTCAGGGTCAAGTTACGACGTCTCTTTCCGTTGGTACGACCTATGAGTTAGTATCGATTCAGCTAACGATAGGTACATCTCGAATCGCTTGGCACCCACAGGGGCTCGACGTTTGTAGCGCATTTTCTATTGGGAAAACGCCCGGCAAACGTGCGACACAGAGTACGAATCATAACAAATGGAAATGACATAAGCAGTTGTAGAGGTCGGATTCGGAAAAATAAAAACGGAAGCATTAGCATTTACACCATGACAAAGCTCAGCCTCAGAGGATCCGTTGCAGCAGACATCTGAAATTTACTTTGTTCATCCACCATCCTTACCTTTCTACCGTATTGCTCATTGCCGCGGTGGCTGTGCCTTTACTCTATCCTTAAATCTCCAAAATCTAATTGAGCCATTTATTGCGATCTGCAGAATATTGCCTACTTGTTGGTATTGGTATTCTTGCTTCGCATTTGCAGGCGAAGCAAGCATTAGTCTATTTTATACTAACAAAATTCGCGAAAAGTCGTCCCGGCTCTTTGCTTGCTGGCCTTTGTGCAAGTAAATAGCCACAACACGGCGAGAAAAGCTCTTATTTGGTGCTTAGCATCAGTAGAGAAGTAGGCTCTTCCTTCAGATAGCCCTGCTGTTTGCCCTGTGCTCAGCACAATCTGCACACTGCTGCCTGCGTGAGCATATTTGCTGCTTGCAGGAGCATTTTGCTATTATTTTCTTATTTCGTCAAAGTAGTGTAAGCCCAAACCAGTGCCTGTAGGTCACATTCCGGGTGAAACTGCAGCTCAAAAACAATCTGCGTGTGCGCTTTTGTGACTGTTCAACTTACAGTGCCTTTTCCCTTACTAGAAATCACAATCCTACTTTGCATTGATTTGTCCTCCTTACTGGTGATGAAATCTATACTTTTATAAACGTCAAAACTTGAGGATACTTACATACAAGAAGGAAAATTTTTTGGAAAAAGGGTAGAATAAGCTCTCCGAGAATCAATACCAACTATCACATATTAGAAACGGATGATAAACTGCCTCGTTTTTGTTTCTACTGGAAAATCATACAACACTAAGTTAGCGAGTGAAAATAAGCTGCTATGTCACAGCAACTGCTTGCTACGCGACGCTCCTTGGTGCCTCTTGCGCACCCGCAGCGGCTACTGCTGCTGCATCTTTGCGCCGAGCATCCCCTCAAGGAGCAGCGGAATCATGCCGGGGCGAAATCCCACGCAAGCAATCGGAAGTGATTTCCAGATTGTTGTTTTATCGACAAAACTTAATAAACTCTTCTATCAAAATTGATTCCCTGATGAGGCCGAAAAAAACATGATGATGATGACATACATAGAGTACTGCTTTTTCCGCATCTCCGGACTTTGCCGCTCCTTGCTGTGGCCTTCATCACAAGGCGGAATGGCCTTAAGCGCTACCGCGCTCCCCGGGTAGAAGGTAGCACGTGAGGCCCCACACGGCTTACGGCGGCCGTGTACGTGCGACACCTTAGCCTGCGGGGGTGGCTCGCAAATCAAGTACATCCATTAAATTCAAAATTGAGATCAGCAACTCGACGCATTTCACGAAAAACAACAGATGTAGAAACGACACAATTCTTGTTACCTATTGAATTTTCTACTTTCTATAGTCCATTGATTTATGCCTAGTGTCTTTCAACAGTTTTTACATTTGAATACCGACTGTACTAGTACCTGTCGGTCCCTACAAAGATATAATTCCACAACCCTTATGTGATAACTTTTGCTCGAAATCGAATTCCTATTTCTGGAAAGTAGCATCCATTACAGTCCCGAGGTGGTACGGCGAGGTGCATTCCGATAAATCCGCTTCGATGACTTTCCTTCGCTTTACCACCGATAGCAAAAGCAAGGGAACGCCATGGCGAAGGAACACAATCCTGCAAGAAGGAACAGCAAGCGCAGGATGGTCTGCGCGTAGAAGCTGGAACTGCCCCAGGAGACCTCGATGTCACGCATCCCCGTCGTGCTACGCACAACATCTGTACTAGTTGCTGGTGTCGCAGCTCGGTCGACGACAGCGACTTCTGCCTGGACCCGTCGTTCTCTGTATGAAGATGAAGACGCGGTCTGCCCACGCTCCGCGGTTGGCGATTGTTCAGCTTGTTCCGTCGTTGTTGTCTTTTTGGTCTGCGTCGGTTGCCTGGCGGGGAGATAGGAAGCTGCCTGATGTCTATTTCTGCTTCTCATTTTTCCCAGATCACCGACGTGCAGCTGCCGGTGGAGTTCAACCTGTTTTTTTTGGTGTCCCGCGGCTGCTCGCCCGCTGTGCCAGTTGTCCGGGACCTCATTGTCGTCCGGGTGCGTCGGCGTCACTTCCCCATCGCCTTCCTGGTCATCACTACTACAGGCGGTCGTATTCCCGGAAGAGACAGAGTGCACGGGCAGGCCGTGGCCTCGGGTCTTCCTTCGCTGAATCTGAAACTGCGACTGCTGGTGAAACGAGGACCCGTAGCTTGCTTTCTTACTGTAATTACTACAGGTGGTGACGCTCGCGTTCTTGCCTACCTTGCCGTAGTCCACACTACTGTTGATCTCCCGCCAGCCCAAACCACCCCGCGAATTTCTGCCGTGGTGCTGCTTCTCAACAGCTGCGTGGTCTTGTGGGATGGGCGCAGCACAACTCTCCCGATCTCCTGCTACCGGTGCCGCAAACGTCGAGCCTGGATCGCCGTGGAGCCACAGCGGAGACCCCCACAACCCGCCCCGGGACTTGGCGCCTCCGAGTTGCGTGAAGTAGGACCCACCGCAAATCTGCGTCGCCAGTGTGAACACCGTAGGCTCGCGGCACTTGGAGCCCGGCTGCTTCAGCATGTTCAGGCCAAGCTCGCGGTGAAATTGCGACTCGGCGTCCTTCGGAATTTCAACTTCGCAGACGAACCCGTGCCACTCTGCCAGCCGGTGACAAAGCATCCGGTTGTACTTCGTCCACTTCCCGGGGACCCGAAATCCCCGCATGTTCTTCGTCTGTTTTCAATGTAGCAAACACCACATGCGTGATCGCAGCAGCTTCTAGGGGAGCGAGTAACAAACTGCCAGGGCACTGTCAAATCTTCCGCAAAAAGAGTGTTATTTGCAGCAAAGTTGTAGTACCTTCAGCGAAATGATCATATCGCGTTCGACGGCCAGCAGAAAGGCTCGCTCCCGGGCTCGACGCCAGCTGCTGAGGCTTTCGCGAATGATGCGCTGCATGTCCTGTTCAAAGGGACCCTGTGTGTGGAATAGTTTTAAATGCAACAAATCTAAACTACACAAAACATTCTTGCTTGTGTGACTGAAAGTGCGAAGACAATGATCGAACTGGGTTCATTAGTGTCCCGCAACCGTGAAAATCTACTTCCACATGAAATGCCAGCTGCCAGGTTTAAAAAAACATCAGTTGAAAGGAGGTTGTTTTTCTTCAACTAGCGAACCTGATTCTCGATCCGAGATTTGCGTTGGTCTACGACTGTGGCCCTGGAAACTGCGACTGCGTCAAAACTGTCGGTCTGCGCTTCGATCGCCGGGATTCGCGCGGCGGAACAGCCATCAGCATGTTCTACCTGCCCTTGTGGTCTCCGTCGGTGCCACAAGCTGCTGCTTTGCGTCGCACTTCGTTCCGTGGTCGCGATAGTTCGCTCGTCCTCCCGATTCGCACCGTACCAAGTTTCGGCTTCTTCGCATCCCGCCGGCCGGCGCAAGAGCGGGCGAAACGGGCCGTTGTGTCCCTCCTGGAAATAGAGCATGCGCGGATCAATGGCAATGAATTGCTGCTGTGGTTCAACAGAAACAGCCGCAGCTTCGTAAGGCATCGCGTTGTACGACAGCACTTGCTCCGATGCTGGGACAAGGTGCTGAAAGCCGTGGTCTACGAACGCTCGACTGTCGATGGTCCGACCACCCGAGGAAGACGGCGACTCGTGCCCAAACCAGACTTTCTCCTTCGCGATGGCGGGTGCGAGGCCGGGGGGACCGGTGATCGAGGTAGATGCAACACCAACACCTGCTAGTAACCGAGGACTTCTATAATCTCGTACGGCACCAACATCGCCGACGGAATTCCGAAAAGGCTCCATTTCCAGCAATATATAATATATTCTTGATTCTTTGCAATTAATTCTTCTACTTACATTCTACAAACGAAACGGACCAAGAAAAGCAGGAAACAAAACGAGTCAATGCACACGAAAAAGAGGACAACTCTCCGTATTGACACAAAAAGAAAAGCGGACCCACTACCGCTTTTCAAACAATCACAATTCTACACACACAATTGCTGCAACAGCTCCCCCCCATAAAAAACAGCTACGTGTTTTTTTCATTTCATGATAAACCAAAACATAAGGCTTGCGAAAAGGTACTGTGCGTAAGTCATTCGCTATTCGTGCAGGGAATTCGATTTTTCGACACCACGACCCACTCTCGACGCTTCTCTGAAATGCCGACGCAGCGAAGTGAATACAACTACAACTACCTATAAGATCGATGCAACAGAAGAAAAAAAGAATTAACACGCAGCTAACTAATCAATCTTCGCATGCAAAAAAAAACGAAGTAAGTGCCACAAACTCGCGAAAAGCAAAAATTGCATCCAAGGGAAGCGCAGTAAGCGAAAGACAAACCGAAGCGGTTACGCAGCACAAAACGAATCTAACCCTGTCCTACACGCGACTAGTGTAGTAAGAAAATATAGTCAACCCGGGTGCTCCAGTACAGTTCCTTTTTCGGTCGATTCTCTCCTTTAGGTTTACCCTTCCTCACCTTCTTGCGAGATTTTTAGTGCTTACGGACTACAATCCCTCATTGCCGTGCCTCTGTCTGACGAAGATTAGCCAACAAATAAAAACTGTCTACCATTTTCCAGACCTGCTTCCAGAACAGCAGTTTGTATAGCATCTAACACAGCTGCCTCCGAAATGTCAACTGATTTATGATTGTCGTTCGTATCACCCGCTGCAAAGGTTTACTCATTCCTATGCTCATCTTCAGTTCCTTGTTTGTCGTTTGTTGAGTCGTTTGTCTTTGAGCGCACGATTTTCGAGAGCGACATCGAAAACCGTCGTTACTCGGTCGCTGTGTGATGATTCATGTTTCTCTGTACAACTTAATACTTCAAACGAGTTGCACTTGTTCATCCTTTGTCCTCGGGTCAATTCACATTGTCGCAATCTATAAAGAGAACAAGAGTTTTTACAAGGTCCTCTTACGATCCTCCTTTGGAGGTGCCGGCGCTCCCCTTGTGATTCTTGCCACCAGCAGCTGAGCGCTTACCTTGTTTCCCCTTTCCGGACTTTCCCTTCCCCTTGCGACTGCCCCATTGGTTCTGCGCCCGCTCCGCCCATTGGCGCTCCTTCTCGCGGCGCTCGCGCAGGGAGAAGGTGGGCACCTCTTTGGCCGATACCCCAAAGCCGAACAGCCCGTTTTCCTTGACCGCACGCTGCACCGCCTCCAAGTGCCACCGTTCGCGGAACTGCAGCCACACGTACGCGCCCGCGCCCACGCTCATGGGCTCGCAGTGCACCCACTCCACACTGGAGCAGACAGCCGACACCTTGGTGCGGATCAGGTCCGGGTACATTTCCGTCACGGGAATGGGGGCCAGTTTCAGGGTCACCGAAGCCTTCTTCTCGCGACTGCTCTGCGCCACTTGCCGCATGCGATTTACGTAGTCAAACACCTTGTGAATCCGATCAATCTTGCCACAAATCTCCGGGAGCCGGGCTTGGACGGAGGCCTTCGTTTCCTCTTCGCGTCCTCCGCGGCCAAGAGCGTCGGCAAGCGGAAAGCAGTACAAGTGTTCCGGCTCGATCTCCAGCTCCTCCGCGATAATTGCCTTCGCGTACACAGACATGGCATACAACGTGTCGGTACTTAATAGCGAAGTCTGCAGCGCCTCCTGCAGGTCTTGTTCCGACGAGAGGTCCTGCCGCACCACGTCCGCGAGTCGCAAAAATACTTCGTAACTGGACGGCTCGCGCCACATCGTGAAGCGATTTCTTGTCCCATCGTCTGTTTCAACTTCTACGTCGTCCACCGCCGCAGTACAACTGCCGTGGTTCTTGCACTCGTTGTTGAACACGTTTCTTTCCGTTGCGCCATCCCCGTGCTGCTTTGCCGCTTCAACTGTCTCATCTTGGAGCTGCGACACATTTTGGAGGGCCGAGGACGTGACGTCTGTTGCAGCACGTTTAATATCACTGCCATCGCTTCCGCCTGGTACCTCCAAACAAGCTGGTCGTGCACAATCACCACTTCCGGCTGACTGGAGTTTCTCATCCTCGCCGGCGACTTCGTTCTTCGATGCCATTACTTCTTCCTCTGTCGCGGACTTCTCGATTGATGCCTGAACAACGTCCGAGGCATCAGATTCGCTTGCACTCTCCTCCGGCTTTTTGCTTTTGGCGGTTCTGTCCTTTTCCGTTTCAACTTGTGCAGCCTGCCCCTGTTCGCGATCGACTTTCGCCGCCCTGGTCGTAAATGATGTCCTCTCGTCCGGTTTCAGTTCTGGTGAAGTTGTTCCGGCAGCGCCATCGTCCGTCCACCGTCCCCTGCCGGAAGTTGCACTTGGCGCACTGCTCGCAGCAGCGGTGGACAACTCGTCCGTGTCTTGGCGGCGGAGGAGGAGCGGAGAGGCGCCCCCGAACCCCGCAGCACGCGGCGCCCTTCTACCAAGAAAGGTCGCGGTGCAGCGCCGGTACCGCTTCCACGGCAAGGCCCGGCCTTTCTGCCGCTCCATAAACTTCGCCCGATCGAAGCCCGTACACGTGACGTAGCAGGTCGTGTCGGCATTATTCTCGTACTCCGATTTGTAGGGCTCCACGGACTGAAAGACGTCGAGCAGAAAGAAGAACAGCGTGTACGCGCAGTCCTGGTACCAGGTATCGTAGGCGTCGTATCCTCGCCAGCCGAACCGGAAAATCAAGGCGCCGCCGTCCGCCAGCACGCCCAGTCCGAGGCCGAACTGCTTCAGCGTGAGTGCCCAGATGGGCAGATACTTGTTCGGCGCGCCCCGTCGCGCCCGCCCGCGCCCGGCGGCTTGCGTCTGGTCGCGCTGCATCGCGAGGTCTTGCATGTCGCAGTTAATCAGGTTCACCAAGAACTGGCTCCGCGCTAACGCTGGGAATGGCCGGCGGTGGTCCTGTGCTTGATGTTCTTCTTGCTGCTGTCCGTGAAGGGGAGGTTCTTGCTCGACGTCCAACGCAAAAGCATCGTGCTGTGTGGTGGAAGGCTGGACTACTTCCGGCGGCACTTGGCCTGTGGATTCGGACGGGGGTCGTTTAGGGGAATGAACAGATTCTAGCTGCTCTTGTTGCAGCTCCAATTCCGTCTGTGGGCTGGCTGCACTGGCTCTTGTTTTGGATTTGGTCTCATCATTGCCGTTGCTGCAGACGTCGTGCAAGTTCGTCAACTTCGAGGAATCTTCGATGTCAAAAATGTTCGCGGGCAGGATTTTTAGCCGCGGATCGTGATAGACCATGTGGTAGCCGCCCTCCGACGGGGGCAACGAAATTCCGTACCCTCGCCCAACTTCCGCGGTGTGCGATAACAACTGCGCACAAAAGCCGCCTGGTGCCGCACCGAAGTCGTAGAACGACAAATCAGGTCGCACCACCGAGGAAGAGTTGCTACTTTCTTCTGTCTTTCCGGCAACCTCCGTCGCCTCTGTAATGTCTTGGGGTGTGTTTGACAGCAGCGCTCCCTCCCGCTTAGCCGTCTTCCGAAGTTTGCGAAACAACAGGGTCCGCTGCACGATTTCCCCCATGACAGCGTACGTCTTCCGAAAATGCACCAGGTGAATCTCCTGCTCCCGCTCGGGAAGAAACTTGGGCGGTTCCACCCGCCCGGTTTTCTCGTGCGTTTCCGTAGGTAACACCTCCGCACGATCATCCTCTCCGCCGACAACGCTGCCGTCCGTTGGTCCCGTCACGCCTTGGGAACTACCAGTCGCTGCGGGTAGCGCTAGACCGTCGCGGAGCACGAGAGCAGAATCCACCTCAAGGAACTGCTTCTGCGGACTAGTATAATTCCGGCACGAGCTACTAGACGACCCGCCCTCCTGAAGCTTGGGGAAATTTTTAGCACCGGCAGGAGATGAAGTTTCTTGGCGCGGAATAATGCTCCTGAAGGCGCCCTGCTCTTCTCGCATTTGGTTTTGAAAGTTGGTCGACGTCGTGGTGGTCCAAGCATGATCCACCTTTGCTTCTTCGCCTTGGGGCACAATCGTGGTGGTGGTCCAGGGCTCGTTTACGTATGTCGCCGGTTGGAAGTGGGGATGGAGATCCGATATCGATGATGCGTAGAGGTAATTATAGCTAGTGCCATCGTAGTAATTCGTGGCCGCATTATACCCGTTGTCGCCCTGGAGGTACGAATGTGCTTCACCATACGGCACGTGCATGTTGCTCTCGACATAATTCGTACCCGGCACGAAATACTGTCCTTGGTAGGACATAAAGGCGCTCTGCTGACCACTCTTCTGCTTCTGCCCATCGTCAGCAAAGGCACAAGACGAGACGGTACTTGACTGGCTGCAATCCATGACTTCAATGCGAGGCTTGTGTCAAGGAATCAACAATAAGTACTTACTTTTTTACTATGAAAAGATTGAAATCAATGAGCAGTCCAATTATCGCAACAAATCATTTACTCAACAAGGTCAAAACAGTATACTTCAGAACTTTTTCACTTTGTCACCCAAGTTGCTGCCAGAGACCAATGTGAACCATTCCTTCGTTTAACACCACCTTCGCAAGTACACGGAACTTACTTGACTTTACATTGCACCCATGAAGATCACAGATTTTTTCGATCCTTGGGACTTGATCCATCTTGTCAGTTGATCACTTGATCTGTTTTTTGCGCGTGGATTTCATTTCCTGATCTTTTTCTTTACTTCTCTAACTTCGAAGATCTAGACCATGACCACTTCTTTTTTCTCAGTCCGCCGGAACGGGACCCCTGGGGACGAGTTAGTCTTCCTCAGTGATCCAACCCCTAGGGTCTAGCTCACAACCGATCTATTAGTTCTTGGATCCAATTTTCTTAGCGCGTCTTGGTGATCCTAAATTGCATCCTCTTTGTCTTTCATACTCATTTGATGATGGGTTTGCGATCCAAGTGACCACGCAGGAAGATTAAGATATTAGAGGACCATTGATTTACGTGCATTATAAGAACGGCGCCAAATTTTCTGCGCCTGCAGTTACAACATCACAGGAAACGCATCTATAGGACGGGTTCTGAGCCAGGCCGATGCGGATTGCGGCGAATTTTGTGTCGCTAACCACTGTCAATGAATACGTATCCTTTCGTTTTGTGCCGCAAAAAACTGAAAGTGTCGCTGCGATATGGTTCATTGGAAAAGAAGCAAGCCCATCGGGTGCGCTGTCGTCTGTCGTTACCATCTCCAAAAGCATTTACATACATTAACCACGACCCAGTGCATCTGACTAAAACACCGAAAAGGGATCTATGTCATGCAGCGGCCCCTGTGCGCTCTTCGGCGAGTTCTTCGATTTATCTGTGGTGTTTTTATTTTGTGCAATTACAAATCTAAATTTTCTCTTTTAACACGAGCAGGACTATTCGTTTACGTATTTATTCCTAGCTGACAGCAAAACAAACACACGGAGCTGCATTGAAAATTGCGAAAGAAAAACAAAGTACTTTTTGGAGAATTGCTCGCGAAGCTGTCAAGGTACTGGGATGGGACCGTCCCTGCGATGAGGTCTTCGAGACCCCCGCTTTTCCTGGCCACGCCGTTTCCCGTGTAGGTCGGCCCGGGCCCGGGCTGCGGGGGTCCCATCCCCGCCAACCCGCCTCCTGAATGCATGTTCATGTACGGGTTGAGGTTGTTGGCGCTACCTCCGCTATTGGGGTGCTGCAACTGCATCATGGGATTCAAATTGTTTGCCGCTCCTGGTGGTTGACCAACTGGATTGCTGAAGGGATGCAGCATGTTGTTTGGTGGTCCGCCCAGATGTTGACCTCCTGCACTGCTGCCTGCACTAGGGTGGTTACCGCCCATGCCGTATTGCGGCCTTGTGGAATTCATGTTCATTCCCCCGGCGGGCGGCCCCATCATTGGGTTCATACCCGCGGCCCCGCCGGCGGCCCCGAAGCCGTTTCCATGAAACGGCGCGCCGCCCATGTTACCGCCCATCATCGGGTTGGCATTCATGCCGCCCATGTTGCCACCGCCGAAACCCCCGGGCGGCTGACCGGCACCGAAGGCGTCCGCAAAGGCGTCCATGTTACCCCGATTCTGGTACGCAGTGCCGCTGGAGTACAAGTTTGCCAGGTTGCTGTTGAAGGACGCAAGTTTGTCTGCCTGGGTGGCGGGAGCAGCCGGCGCGCCGTTGCCGGTGGGAAAGGAAAAGGCTCCCGAAGACGCAGACCCGCCGCCCGCGGTGGCGTCGGGGCCGGAAGTTGTCGGGAAGGACGCAAACGCCGTGAAATCGGTCCCACCCGCGGAGTTGTTCGTGTTGGTCACCGCAAACAAGTCGTCGATGCTGCTGGAGGGGGCCGCTGGTTGCGGCTGCAGCGGCGCGGACAATGCGGTGAAACTTCCGAAGTCGTCCGATCCGGACGCGGGCCCTCCTCCGGCGGCAGGAAACCCGAAGTCGCCAAAGTCGTCTAGCAAGCTCGCCGGCGCAGAGGGCTTTGCGCCACCGCCGCCCGCGCCACGGCTACTGCTCGTCGGATTGGACGACGCTGCATGGTTCTTCCGGGACCCGGCGTAAAAGTCGTCGATCCGCGGGTCCCCAGTGCGGGCTGAAGCCGTGGCCCCGTGTCCGTTCGCCGACGCGCCGTTTGCAGTCCCGTTCAGGTAGCATTCTGGATCCCTTCCCTGAGCTAGCAGCTCGTTGGGCGGAGGCTGGTTGGACCCTCGGGGGCACCACTCCTTGCGTTCGTACTTAGCGATGACGAACGAACGCTTCGTCTCAATTGAACTTTGCGCGGTCGGCTTGCGGCTCCCGCTTAATAGCGCCCTGATTATGTGATTTTCTTTCCTGCTCAAATGATGTTATCTTCAGGATTTGTGTAGTTGTCAATGCATACAGACACGCAGGGAAGGCACGAGAACAAAAACAAAGAACCTATCAATACTCATAGTAGCTGTTGACGACTTTGTTCCCAAGCTTTCCGCAATTATCCAGCCATTTCTGTTGCCATTTGTCAAGCGTTACACTCTTCATCACCTGCGATATTTTTTCAGGGAGTTACATTCCCATTCGTAATCAATAACTTCACGACTATGCATAATCCTGAATCTGGCGAAATGTGAATCCTTTTTGATTTTGAAATCATCAAATGGTTCGAGACACCACGTGCTTCTACTCTCGTGAGGTGAAATGGGAAAGGGACTATGACCCTATACATACTGAAATTTTCAACGCAAACGAAGCTATACGGAAATATGAACGCCGAGGTGGCGATGGATCCCGGCGCAATCTATGCACACTAGGCAGCCCAGGTTTACCTGTTTTGAGTTGCAAGTGGTTTAGGTCGTATAAACAGGCTCCATCCTTTGCATGTTTCCCCTTTACATGGGATGTCAAAGCAAGATGAAAACTCTGCCAAAATTTCGTACACTTGCCCATCTTGGCGCTCGTGCGTCACAATCTGCGCATTCTTGGTTTGCGGGATTTGCAACAATCGCTTCCAGCTCCGGAGACGCCAACTTCAACTTCGGAGGCATTCCTCTTTTTTTTCCGGCGACGTGGCTACTTCAGTGACTGCCGCACCCTGAACCTCTTTGTCGGCGTTATATTGTGCGACCGATTTTCAGTCGCGTCGAGATTGTCCTCCGCCTGTCGAAAGGTCACGCGCGATCAAACGCAGTAGTGCCACATAATTTTGTTCGGTCTTCCTCTCTCCGACAACATAAGACTTATCACTTCTATGTCCCTTGTTCTACTTACATGCGTTGTTCTCTACGTTGTTTAGCGCTGGCAGTTCACGAAAATGTTACTGTGTTAGTTTCTGATCTTCGGCCAGGAAGAACCATTCCTGAACACAACGAGGACGTCATGGGCGTCAACATTTCCATTACTCTAAAATTTCTGAACAGACACGGGGATTAGATTTGCGCATTTCCGCAGATGAAAAGTAGTATATCAGACCGCTCAACATTTAATCTGAAGCGTGTTTTTCTACGATGATCTTCCCTGAAAACCAGGAGGCACATCTGGAATCTTTCCTCGGAAGCGCATCGAGCATCAAGGGCTCCCGACGCATTGTTCGTACAACACCAGCAATTTCATCGTAGATATTCTCTTCATCATAAAGCCAGATGCCGTAAGTTACAACTTGTACAGAATGCGAAGTACCCACATGTCCCCTGAAATTTTTGTAAGAAGTGAGGAGAGGCACAGGACTGAGGATGACTACATGGATCGCACCGACCACATATTAGACAGAACTGTAAAAAACTTGCGACTATTCGGTATCGTGAAACCTGATCAATCCTGCTTGTCGTTATATGTTATGCATCACGGGTCAGTGAGACCCCCGCCTGTCGATGCTTCGCCACAACTCCACCAATAGCCGACATGCATGCAAGACCGCCGTCGATGTCCGTGTTTCTGGTTAGTTTGGACTAGCTCGACAGCCACCCCGGTACGAGAAACTCGTTTTGAGATTTTCGGTGCTCGATATCTCACCGTCGCCTGTTCTGCAACTCGACTTGTAGCTGTACCAGTCCTCTGTGTTTTCCTCGTCGCTAGTGCAAATACTTGATGCGGGAGGTTCGCTGCTGAGAGAACTTTTGTCGTGGAAATGCATGACCTTTGCCCCAATCGCATGGGTCGCCGGCAACTCACTTTCAGCGTTGCTCGTTGCTTCGTTCACGGCGGATCTCGTCTCGGTAGGATCAGCACTGTCGCTATTTCCACTCGAGCCAAAATCCGCATCAGCAGCATGGGAGGTCCTCCGCGAATTTCTGCTTTCCGAAGCAGCAGCGGTGACCGTTGCCGGGTGAAAGAAGATGCCATGCAAGTGCAAATCTCGCAGTAGCCTCAACAACACTCGGCTGTCAAGTTCCGCCGCACAACGGCCCGCCAATTTCTCCCCCATTCGCTCCAAGCAAATGTCTCGCACGGTCCGTCCGATCATCCTCAAGGGCCGATCGCCACCGGACTGGCTGCAGTACTGCCGAAAATTTTCTTCCAGTAAGTTTTGGACGCACCGCAGTCGGAACGTCGCGTTCAATGACCGCTTGCGGCGCTGAAAAATGATCTTCATAAACGTGTTCCATTCCACAAAAGAAACCGTGCTGGCGTTGTTTCCCTGCTGTGCAAAATGAATACCAGTGCTGTCCGCAGGGCGATGCTCTGTTCCTCGCTGCTCTTCATCTTCCTCCTCCGAGAGGGGGGGACCGGGACCAGCTGAACTCCGTTGTACTGAACCACCGCCAATATTTTGTGATGGAAAGCAAGCACTTCCCGCCGCAAGCGGCATCAGCGGCCAGCCCGAGCTGCTCCTCGAGGGCGTAGTACTAGAGACTGCGCACAAAAACTCCTTTCTGGGTGTCAATCGCACGATGGTGCTCTTTACCTGCGGCTGCGGAATGAAGCTTCCCGCCTTCACGTCCATGATCTTTTCGGTCTTCACAAACAACCGTGCGTTCATCGAAAGACGGTTGAACTTATGCTCTCCCGGGTCGGCCAACAGGCGCTCCGCAAACTCCGCCTGGAACATGAGTACCGCCCGCTTCCACCGGGAGGTGGGCGAGCCGAGCAGGCCGAACAGCCAGTACACAAACTTTGTGCTGATTTTGTAGGGCAGGTTGGCCACACACACGTCGAAGGGCTGCTGGACTCTTTGGTCGAGCACGTCCCCGTGATAAAGTCGGAGATTCATGTCGCGGTGCAGTTCCTCAGGGTACATGCATTGTGCCAACTTCTTCTTTTTTTTCGCTCCCTCCGGATTTCTCTGCTCTTGTGGAATCCACGACGTTGTACCAAGGTGTTCTGTCCCTATTTCGCCGTCATCCTCTTCCTCATCGAGCACCCCACGCTTTTTTCTTATCTTTTTCGTTTTGCGGTGCACGGTTGGAAATAACGTCGCCCGTGAGTCGGACGGTAATAGCTCCTGCGCCCTTTGCGTCGCCGCCTGCGGTTCTTTTCCTGTGTCGTGGTCCAAGTCTAGTTCTCCTCCTACTTGTTCCCCCGCCAAACCAGAACTCCAACTCGGCAGCTATCAAACGCAAAATAATTATACATCTGGATCGGCCGCCTTGTCATGTTCGTTAGCGAATCATGAGGACGCCACAATTTTTGATGGCCCAGCATGACAAGTTTCTGCCTTGCTAGACGTTCGCGTTGGAGCTAGTACCGCTTACGTATTCTGCATGAGAAAATAAAGCGTTTGTGCAGAACAGAAAAGTGCGGCTTTTGGGAGGTCATGTGTATGAGACAGCCGTGAGAGTCATGCTAGCCGAGCACGCCAAACCTCTCATTCTACTTCCCGTCCCAGATATACTTGCACTGGATAGCATCAGGCTCGGTGCAAAGGGTGCGGCTGCATCATCGCAATCCTCTTCCACCACGAACATGTGATCGACTTCACCGCTCGCTCGACTCCGAGCAGAAAGAGCCAGACCTTTTTTAGGGTCCGACGAACTGGTCGCCGAACTGGTCGCATCGTGGTGTGTTTCTGTTTCTGTTTCGCGCTCCCCAGGTGAGGAAGCATATGGCGCGACCAAGGAGCGTAGCAGTCCCGCGCTTTCTGCTCGAAACTTAACCTCACGAAGCATGGCCTTCTCCACATCAATGGCGACCACACTTTTTGCGTGCTCCAACAGTTTCAAGGTTAGGACGCCGGTCCCAGGCCCAACTTCCAGCACGGTGTCGACACCGGGGCGTAAGCTTGCGGCCTCCAAAATGACGTCCAATACGCCTTCATTGTGCAGGATGTGTTGCCCCTTACCTTTCTTCAAAACCAGCCCTGTGGAAGGATGAACCTTTGGCAGCCCACGCTTCGCGGAGACGCGTAAGATCCGCGACCGACGCAGCAACACCGCCATGTCGTGACGAAAATACGGAGACGGGTCTAGCTCTAGAAATTCAAATTCTTCAACACCACACACGAAAACAAAATGAAGAACCAACAACTTCTCCTTGGCCCACTTGCGGGGAAAGCTTTCGACGTTGCAGCATAATGATCACACAGATGAATACAACACTTGGAGTGTAGAAGCTAAAGCACATAGACAAGGAGATCGACTTCAACCGAAAAATTTTGATCTGAAAAAAAAGTAATGCAACGCGTGTCACTCTGTTTTGTTGTTGGTCCAAACAATGAGGATGGTGCGGACGCTGAGGCTCCGGCATGTAGTGGTCCCCCGCCCTAGTGTGAGGCTTCTACGACTTTTGGCTCCAACATCCGCTTGACTGAGAACATGGAAAATTTTCCTGGACTGACAGCTGCACAGTGGACGAATGCGGTCACAAGCGGCAAACCGCAAGAGGCCACAGGATAAAATAATACTTGCGTGATGCGAACGAGAAAGATTTGACCGGTACTTGCAAGGTTTTTTCGCAAATGCGCCCATCGGTTTGTTTCCACGGCCGCTAAGAGATGTTGCTATCCACAGCTGCAAGCAAAGAATTCAGGATAACCAGGGAGAAAACAAGAACTATTTGAGGATACAATTTTAGTCTCAGTTCTTTCTTTAATGTACTTGGTAACCGTGAAGTAGATTGACTGGTGCACAGGAGGAATAACTAGCGTATTCCGTACTAGGTACAAAGGGCCTCCTCACCCGAAAGGGTATAATTACAACATGGTATAGATGAAAATAGAGTTGTAGGAGCACAAAATCCACCCCTGTTCCTTCTGCGAAGCCACCATCGTAGAAAGTATGCTTTCCAGATGGACAAATTCTGGCCCAGACTAAACAAGAATAGGTCGTGCTCGTGATTGCAACACTGCTGGAACCTATGAAAAGACAGAATTTACACCGCGAAGATTTTCCAGCGACAGGAATTGTGGCGCAAAAGAGCTGCTTTGAAAACAATCGCCTACTCGCATCTCAACCTGCGCGACTTGTTGTGAAGGCAAAGGGAGTTGTCAAGCATTGCCGTCCTGTGAAACGCCCGGCAAAAAGCGTCAAGGATTAGCTGGGCTCTCCGTCGCTAAAGGTGACGCGGCCGGAGGAACGCTTTCTTCGGGTAGCGCGCTTGCGGCCCTGCTTCGAGATGGTCCACCCTGCAGCGCTTGTCTTATTTGCCGAGGATTGCCGGCGTACTCAACATGGTTTGTTGGTGTTACTGCGCGGTACGTCCCGAGAGCGAGAAAAGCCGCTCCCATAGCGCCGAAAAAAACCCGGTTGCCCAGGTCATTTCGTCGTGACGTGAAGAAGCATCGCCAGGAAAGGGCAGAGGTGGAATAGAGATATGAACTGCAAAAGTATCGTACTAGTAGAAATTGCATGACAAATTGACTTAGCATTGCAAATTAAATTTGTAATGCAGATTTGCCTTAACAAAGAGATTTGTAATGCATAAACGCAATTACTACGAGTACGATACTTTTGCACTGGATAAGAGAGCGATGGAACCAACGATGCGGCAGTCCCAACACTGTTCTTCGACTTCACTGGGTTCTCGCGGAATCTGAACCCAACCCTGAGAGTGGCGCTCCACCATACGGTTTAGACTTTCCAGCATTGCGTTGAATGATCCCGTGCGAATACCAACAAGCCGCGGAAAGCAAGAATCTGCCAGATTTGCCCCCGTCTTCCCCTTTGCTCCCGTGGTGGGTCTTACTAGTTGGCCGGTGGTCGGTGGCAAAATATGACAAACTGTTTGTTACAGCATCACTTAGTTGCGCAATTTGGAGAATTTTCATTCGACAGAATCTGCTAGTTTTATTCGGAATCGCCTCTTGTATAACTTACTTCTCACTAGAGCTTCTGCCGAGCCTACAGGATAGAGAAAATAAAATTCTAGCAAACGAACCTAATCTTTATGGTACAAGGTTAATCACGGGGACCTGGCTATAGGCAAATTGTGATTCGCGGTGTATATTTTATGGCAACGTCGTGTGCTATCATCAAGAAAGCCAGGCCATTCGCGCGCAGATGAATAGATACTTCTACTGCAGGGAAAATTGGGAAAAAGTTTTGTTTCCGGTACAGCTACGACAATCGATAAAAGTAGAGACAGAGCGGACCGTTTTCAAAGATACGACACACACCTCCTTCGGACGGTCGCTGCAAAGTAAATGCTGCTGCGTGATGTTTTGTCATTGCGAAGCGCCTGCAACACCACGTTCCCTAGGTATGAATACATAATCTCCGTCTAGTCTTTTTGCTATATAGCCAACTTGCGTCAGAGTGGTCTCCTTATCTTTCGACCAGCACTATGGATCTTCGCCAATTGTTCTCTTGAAAAGGTAAAAATACACAGAAAAGATGAAATTCCTCTGTTTTTTCGTGCTAGCACGAGCTGCTCCAGCGACAGTGTTGTAAAACCGTCTGGAGGAATAGCGCACTTAATCTAGCACTTGTTATTAATTTTTGCGGAATCGAACCCTGATTCGATCTATCAGACGCTGTTATCTTGGATTGCAGACCAAAGCTTTTTGCAGAATCTTAAAATTACGATCACAGGAGTTCGTGACAACAACCTTGGGCGCCGATCGGGGACTCTCGATTGAGTACATTGGTACATCACAACCGAGCTGCGCGTCCAGTACTTCTTGTTCAGCGCCAGATTCATTAAAACAGGACCCGCCATTCAGACCCAGCCCATTTAACGCTTTGCCAGGAGAGTCGTTGCCCCTTTTTCCCGGCACAGGCGTTCTCTCGCCGAGATCAACGACCTCAGGGGCCGCTTTTGGAACTTCCACTACTTCCGACGTAGAGGGCAAACAGGGTCCTGGCAACACATGTGACGCTGAAACCGAAAGCCCGTCACAGGAAGCTCCGCCCGGACCCAGAGGTGCTCGACTTTGCCCGCTTCTTGGCGCTGCCACAGGACTGCACGACTTATCCTTGGCGCAACAGTTGTTTGTGGCACTGCCGCAGTGGCGTTTCTCATGATGTCCCACTGCTGCTTCTGGCCGCGGGTCCCCTTCGCTTGCGCGACTGCCCTGCTGGCTCGCGCCACCGCACGACATCAATGGAAGCTGCACAGTTGTAGAGGCCGGAAAAGAATTTTCCGGAGTTCTTGTTCCCGTGCTGTCTTCGCGACCCCGAGTCGGAGCAGCAGCAGCTCCGCCACTTTTCATCGTGATGTGGTGCAGCTCCCCTGAACGAGGTAAAAGAGGAGCTGAAGCAGGAGGAGATCCGCCTCCACCATGCCGTTCCCCGCCCGATGCTGCTGCACAAGTAGTATCGCAAGAAAAAACTGTTTTCTGACGCATAGAATGGAAATAAGTCTTGCTACACATACAAGACAGTGGATATTTAGGTGCGTAGTTTTCCCTTAGGAGTCTCGCATGGCAAGTTTTCTTTGTCATGTGTAAGCTGCACGAAGCTGTGATGCAAAACTTGCAAAATCGTTGCATAAGTAAAACACTTTTTTCGTGCGATAAGTAGGTCTGTGGCTGTAGTCTGGCTCCTCGTGTGCTCGAGGAGGCACGGTCGTGTGCTCGAGCACCGGTGTGGGCGGAAGTACGCCTAGGGTGCTGGAACTCGTTTCCATCAGGTTGGGAGTGCAGGAGGTGTCATACCGTAAGTGGGGGTCGTGGTCCGAAGTGGTGGTGTGTGACAGTACATCGTCCAGAGTATCGTTCAGTTCCCGCAGCTCGCGCACCCGGACACCGTTCACTCGGGCCATCGTTCGGACGCGCTTTCGCCACGAGCAGCTGCGGTTCTGCTGTAGAGGCATGCTCCGGTGGCCGCTCCGGTTGGTGTGTTGTGGAAGTAGTTGGTCCGCCGGGGGGGGCTTCCCCGAAACGAGCAGCGAGGAGCTTCCACTGCTAGCGCGACCCTTTGGAACAAGGGGGTAGTTGTTGGGGGTCAGCTGCACGTTTGACGCTGCTGTAGGAGCCGAAGAAGTTGCGGTCTCGGGTACTAGTACTGGCGTCCCTTGCGGCCGCGGGACCGAAGATGCAGTAGAGGCACTTCTAGACTGACGCCCCTGCGAACGCGACCGGCCTCGCTGCAGAAAGAATCCCTTCGGAAAGTGCTCTACGGCACACCGCAGCGGATCCACGTGATCCGCGGCACCTGTCGGCGCGGCCCTGCGGATAGCGGGAGAGTTCCCCGCGGGGGAGGTTGAAGTCCGACATAGTTGTGGTGGCCCTGCAGTAGTAGAGCAAGGCCCGGAGCACAAGCTGCTGTCCGTCCGCACCTGCTGCACTTTCTCCGAAGCAGAAGCAGTGTACGGACTGCACGACGGAGGCTGCTGTACGAGATTTCTCTTACGGAGCAGGTCGATCGTGTACAAATCGTCGCTGCGGGAATAAGTGGAGCTACACCCCCCTAAGACCACCAGGTTCGACGACGACAGACTGCCGTGTAGGTGGGCTCCTTCCGGAAGGTCTTCTTCGGCCGGAACGTGCGGAAGGTGCTCTCGATGGTACAGAGGTAGCCGATTGATGTGCGGTAAGGCGTGCTTGTTCTGGCCCCCGAGTGAGGGTTTCGGGGACCGCGTCACCGGCTTCGGGGAGCACCGCGGGGACAGGTCCGGAGTAAGCTGAAAGAAGCTCGAGTGGCTTGAGTTGCAGTGGTAGTTACTTGCTGGTCGGACTTCCAAGCCGCCACTCGTGCCGTAGAGGTACTGATCGCAATACTTCTTCTTGCCTGATGACTTGCAACCTCGCAGCGCACCAACAGGGGCCAAACCACCAGCTTGCTGGTGCGACACAGGATGCCCAACCTCTCCTGTCCCCACGACCGATGGTGCGATATTTTGATAATTCTTCCTGATCGATGCGCTTGCACTCGGATGCGCTTCTCGAAGGAGATGAACCGCTGTCGACTCCATTTGCAGGTGCGGCAACGCGGGAGCGGAAGTCACATACACCTGTTGCCGCTGCTCCAGCAGTTCCGCGGAAGTGCGGCTGTGCAGCTGCTGCGCCGACGCGGTTCTTCTACTTCTCGTCGTGGCAAGGCACTCATCGTTTTGAGTTCGAAATCGCACAGAGTCAAGGCTGCCCGCATCATCATTTTCGAGTAGAGGAGGTACTATCTCTCCTTCCAGTCGCGTGCCGCCACAAGCGTCGTTGCCGTGGGGCCCACTCGCTGCGGTCTGCAAGCGAAGAGGTGGCAATGTCGTCTCCGCCAGTGCCGCGCCCACTTTTGGCCGGGCAAGACGGCTCGGGGGCATGAAACTGCTTGTTGACCTGCAATCGTCCGCTCTGGTCTCTAACCGGTCGCCGCGAGCAGTGGAAAGCGACCACAGCAAGTCATGCTCCGCCCGGAAACTGCGGGTGTCCTCCAATTGGTCGTTCAGCGGAATGCTGCTGATCGAAGATGACACGCCGGGACTCGACGGATGCAGATCGAACTCATTCCGACTCGCCATACACTCCGCGTCCTGGTCATTCACATCGTGTGTGCAGATCTGTTCACGTTTCGCCGGCGGCGCCGCCTCGAGACGGAGCGCATCAAGAGATGTTGGTGAGGTGGACAGGTCGTGGTCGCGATTCACAGAAGAAGTCCTTTCATGATGTTGTATCGTCTCGTGATGTTTCACCGCAGAACAATCACCAATACTTCCTTTGGCTCGGCTGCAAGAAAAGCTACGACTACCTTCTCCAACATTGGTTCCGCCTGTCGCGAGGCGGTTCCTCCTGACGTCATGTCCGAGACCTCCTCGGCAAGATATGGACGCACCGCAGCAACTTTCTTTGCAGCTTCCCATCTTGTTCACGCCTTTCTTCCTCCCAGCAAAGTTTGCAGTTGAAAATTCGTTTCTCGAGACGGAGGTCGCGACGCCTGCAGTCGGGTGGCATGGACACAGAGATGAAAGCGCCGGGGAACTAGCCTTGCCATTGGATACCGATATGCTCGAGTGCAGGAGCGCCAACGGCTGGAGCTGCGTTTCACTTTGTCGCACCGGACTCGCGTCTGTGCCCTGACGACTTGAATGTCTAGACGAGACGGAACCTCCTGCGCCACCATCACGTTTGCAGCGAAGGGCGGGCATTTCGTCGGCCGCGTGCCGACGATTTTTAGAACCATGCGAAATCGGTCGGCCAACCAGCGCTGCATTGCTGCCTAGCGTGTTTCGAGAAACACTCCGCCTACTCCCCTGCTCATGGTCGTGCGAAGTAGATGCCGGCCGCTGCCGCTCGTCGCAAGGGAAAATCGTCGACCGCCGCAGACCCTCCGTCGAACGCAAACTTTCAAGGCTGCACCGACGGACACTCGATCTCACTGGCATGTTTGCTAGAAACGACCCACTGCTCTGCGTAGCTCTCGTTAGAGGAGGACGCGCAGCAGCTGCTCCTGTTCTGGTTATGGGTGCTGGTAGTTCTAGTTTCTCGTCATCTTCTGCATTATTTTGATGTGCGGTTCTTGCGGCGAGTTGTACCCGAGACCAGGATGCATTTTCTGTGTTTGGCAACGGCGGGGGCCCATCATCCAGGTCGTTGGAGCTGTGATTGTTCTGTTTCGCAGCTTGAAGGGCTGCCTCGAGCCGCTGTTCGGTCTCCGCGAACCTCTTTGTCGCGACAAAGAATGCTTGGCTCTCATCCTCCAGGTCTTTCACGAGCCCAGCGATTCTTGCGTCCTTGGACTCCAAGGCCTGCGCAGTCTTCGCCAGAATCTGTTCCAATTGACCGCGCCGCGTCTCCGCACGCTCCAGCTCTTCTCGGCAAACCGCTAGCTCGCCCTCCTGCAGGTCAGACAGCAGGAGCGCCCGCGCTTTTTTTCTTCTCTGCGATTCCGATTCGGTGTGATGTTCCCCTTTCTCCATAATGACCGTCTGGTCTGCTCTTGGTCCACCTCCACACTGTGCTACAACCTCTGCAGCAGACTCCGACTTGCCAATTACGGGTGCCACGGGACAACTAGGATGCGGTGCAAGGCCGGCCTGCGGTATTGAAATAGTGACTCCATCAGTTGTTGCGGTGCAAAACCAAGAACCGACAGAAGAGGAAAACCAATACCAAGCATATATACGCAGAAAAATCATCGAATGCAACAGTACCAAACAACCTCGCTTAGGTGGAGCCGCTTGGGAATGAGAGCCGCATTCCCCCCGGCGCAGTTTCTTGTCGGCGAACAGGAACGGGGAAGAAGTTTTTGGGTCGGCAGCTACCAACGTTTCGGCGCTCTCTCTTGCTGCGGACAAAGAGAGTGGTGAAAGTTGCCTCGTCCCTTCTTGCCGCGACGGCAGGCGCTTCTTGCCACCAGTCAAGCTCTGCTCCTGCGCCGGTTTGCAAGCGGATTTAGCACTGCTCGTCAAGGAAGAAAGCGTTCCTTCGGCTCGGATAAACTGGCGCGCGGTTCTTGGTTTCGGGGACCAGTCATACTCAACATCCAAGAAACCGCCAGCCGCAGAATAGGCTCCGGTAATGCTCGACAGCTCCAGGGTTGTGTTCATGTGGAGCAGGAACGCAATCTTCTACTGCCCCCTAGCCAATGGCAGTAGCTTTCGTTTCATCAACACACTGAAGATCCGTGGACGGAAATAGCACCACCTCGTGTTGGTCCCCTTCCCCGCTGCATTACAGGCGAATTGACCAGAGTTTGTTGCTAGTAGAGCTCCACTACCAGCAGCCATGAGCGACAACTCTCTTCACAGAGGCAACAGCTGATCCAATGCCCGCTGACAGTTACTGCATTCCCCGCCTCCTTCAGTCGTCCGAAAGAAGGCCCCGTGCTGTGGCCAAAACGATCCCATTATTGATTCATTGAGTAGACATACCAGGACTGTTTATTTCGACGATCTATCATTATCTGTAATTTGGTCGGTCTCGTTGCTTTTAAATGGATCTGAAGACAAAACGCAAAACGCAAATAACAGGTCGTCGAGCTGACGCTAGTATTGTTGAGGGCTTACAATTTTCAAATCTTCTTGAACAGTCAAGCTGGTTTGCCCTATCCATTTGCGCCTAAAACGGATTGGCAAATATCGCATCTTAGTGCCGCCGGCTTTGATACGCGACAGCGACACACATCTGCCGTACCAGCCTGAACCAAGAGTAGCACCCAAATGAACACATTCAAATCCACCATCGACATAAATTCGATCCACCCTATGCCCTTTTTGAAAGTGACTAGATTCAACATTCCAGTTAGGCATGTTAATGTTTTGATTCTCCAACATCACGACGCCGTGACTAAAATGTGGATCAAAAGTGGCACCTTCCTTCTTTCGCACGGCGCAACATAAAGGATACCCGCACAGAGCACCGGCGCTGACGTGCTCAGAGGCAGAAGACAAAACACATATGAGCTACATTAGTTGCGCGAACATGTAGCTCTCGAGAGCTACCTGCTCTAATCGTCCTCACATTTCCTCAAGGAGTGCCTTGTCGACAGTATGGGAGTGCACAATTCCTCCTCCCCCTGATTTGGCATGCTTACCGGAGGGACTGTGCTACCGAGCCACAGGCCTTAAAGGTACGTTTAAACTGCATCTTTCTTTGCTGGCGCTTCTCTCCCTACTCATGCCCGCCAAACCAATAAGGGGTAGGGGGAGTTGTGCACTGTCATAGAAAGAACTGCTTCGCGAGTAGTTGGACGGCGAGGGTGTGGTTGACTGCGAAGACAGGCGGGTCGCTTGCGTCGTGGAAGACAAGGTTTCTAGCGCCGCAGCCGACAGCCGCGGAGGACCACGCTGCCGGCCCCGGGTGCGGGGCGACCTTGTTTCGTCTTGCTTTGGGCGTCCGCTTGCGATAACGTTGGACGCTTCCTCAAAGATCAACGCGAACGCCTGCAATAAATCATGCTGCTGTTGCATTCTGTTCACATACGGGACAACATCACAAAATACTGTATATGTGATTCGCTTTCTGCGTTTGCTGCAGGAGAGGGGTGCAGACTGTCATGGAGGACAAAGCAATAGCAATTACTCGCTAACGTATAATCCGGTATAGAAATTCATTTATTTTTACCTCTTCCAGTAACACGTTTTGGGGTTCGTGGTGCATCGCAGTCATGATCGCTTCTAAAGCCTTTTCGGCGCGGCCGAGCGACTTGAGCGCCATGGCTTGCCGGTAGTACAGCATGCCGTCCGTCTTCTCCAGCACGAGCAGCTTCCCCTCGACGTCGTTGAGGCAGAGTTGGTACTTTTCCAAGTGAAAGTACGCTTCTGCCCGCAACCGCAGAATGTTCTTGTACAGGCTGATGTTGGTCCCTTTTAGTGTGCGTTCACATCGCAACGCCTCCACGCAGCAGGCCGCCGCCTTTTCGAACTGCTCCTGGTTGAACCAGCGGTGTGCCTCGTCGTGCAGACTGGCGGCCGTGATACCCTGGTTACTGTTTCCGACGTACGACCCGAAAGCGCCGAGAGGCCGCTTCCCTTTCGAAGAAGACAGGCTCCGCATCAGGTCATCTGTGGTAGGGTTGAGAACTTGCGTTAAGTATGTATCATACATTTATTTACCTAGTTTTAGTCTACGTGAGAACACACATCATCATGTTTTCTGTCGTCAGTCGCGTTTAGGGTTTAGTGTTCCACATCGCAACAACCAGCAGTCGTGCGGTGCTACGAGGGCAGACAAACTCTACTCCTGAGTAATGGTACCTTTCAGATGATTCTTCCACACGACGTATCCATGCTCCAGTAAGGCAGACAGCGACACGCAGGAGCCACTCTGTCCGAACGAGTTGACTTCTTCCGCCCAGCTTTGCAAACCCTGCTTCAACTTGCTTGGACTCGTCCGCCGCGCTTTCGATGGAGACAGCTTCGGACTAGCGGCACTTGCAGCCGATCGGGAAGATAGCACTGTCGTGGCGGACACGGTTCTGAGGAAGGTAGTTTGGAGTTCAGCCAGTACTAACACAAAAGCACAGCCCCAAAATTTCACTCCGCTCCAACAAATTGAGTATTATCATTATCATCATCATCATCAATCCTGCACCGAGTAGCAACTTCACAAGGGCGAATAAACACACGCTGTGGTAAATAAAGGTTCGGCCTAGGATTCGCTATTGCTAGGTCTATGATGGAGTATGGTACTTATGCACGTGCGATGGCGACTCGTTCACACTTTTCTTGGCGCGGTCGCTTCCCTCGGCCGAAAAATTCACGTCCAAGGAATAGGTACGCGCGGCGTGGTGATTGCTCCCGGAACTCTTCATTGAGCTCGTAGTTAACAGCGAGGTCGAAGCTACCGCCGAGGCGCTGCGCCGCTGAAGAAGCGCCTCATCTTCCTCCTCCTCGAGCGGTAATAGGCGTTCCGGAGGCGGGCGCGGATTGGAAGAAGCGGAGCTGCTCTTCTGCGGCGAAGGTTCGCGCGACAGGAGTTGCACCGCGTCCGTGAAGTTGTCCGCTACAAGCCCGGGCGCGGTGGCGGTTGAAGGAAACTTTGCATCGGATTGTTCCATTCGCGGCGCGTGTTGAAGATTATGATTCATACTCGACAGCACTGCTTCTGCGGCCGAAGGCAGCACATGATCGGAATTATTGTGCGGCTGCGTAGCAAGATGCGCGTGCTGCTGAAGCAGGTCTGCTGCTCTCGACGCATGGCCACTTTGATGCAGTCCGGTTGTTGTGCTCTGCATCTGCACTCGGGTCGCGGGTCCGAATGCAGGCGTACTGGAACTGGACGAGGGCTGCTCCGTTGCCGCGGCCAGAACTTGATGCTTGCTTTGCGCACTGAGGGACGGCTCGCGCGACAGTGCCGCCAGCGGGTCCGAGTTGTTGCGGTCCACGGAGCTGCCCAGGTCCGACGAGCGCCGCGCGGTCTCGAGCTCGCGGAGCACGAAACTGGAGGAAGAAGCCGACTCCTCCCCGTCCCCGTCTTCACGCGGGGACCATTCCTGCTCGGACCACTCGCCGCCACTGGTCGAAGCCGCGAACCCCGACCTGGCCGCCGCGAGCCCCCCCACCGTGGAAGTGGGTGGCGAGTGCTCGGCGAACAGGGACCCGGAGGCCGCTCCGCTGAACGGCAGTGGGGGGGACTGCGAGGGTGACGGCACGCGGAGGCCGACGTGGGGGTTGTTGTACTGCTGGTGGTCCATATTAAGCGAGATGGGTGGCCGGGAGGACGAACTCGAGGCCGCCTGGTGGTAAGGGTCGGCCCCAGCGGTGGACTCCGGATGATCGCCCAAGGGCGTGGTCTTCGAGGAGGAGGACACCACCTTGCTCGGCGCCGTGTTGTTCACGTATACCAAAAATTGGGACTCCGACTGCACGCAAATGCTGATCCCCGACTTCGCCGGACACGAAGTTAGTAATCTGCAGTCCAGATACCGCAGCTTGCCAGCTGTTAGTTCGTGGATATGGAGTATTAGTTTTGGAACTATGTTGCATTCGGCTTTGAAAAGGAGACGACGTGCCCAAATTCCTTCTTCCGTACAACTTAAACAGAGATCTGGCGCAGAGTCGCACTGTTGCGAAACGCTATATTAGCACATGCAGCCTTCTACTGTTCGGCGGAGTCTTCTAAGGACAGCGAAGCAGCACAATCGTTTTAGGAAGTAAGAATACTCATCAACACCTTCCCGCTCATTTTGCACGGTATCAACGATTTCGATGTAATCCTCGAAGCGCGTGGCGACCATAGCCTGCAGCTTTATCTTTAGGTGCTGCTCCATCTCCTCGCCGACGGAGGTCCGGTGCCCCGTGGTCCCCATCAAAACCTCGATGTTTTGATTGTACATCGAGCCTATCCAAAACGAACAGAAAAGCGCACGACCCATACTACGCACTATGATCAGCTTTGCCTATCAGTTGTTGCTCTTTCCTTTTCCTTGCCCTATTCTGGCAATTTTTTCGAAAGTGCAATGCAAAACATCAAATTATAAATCTTCATTTTTATTGAATGGTCTCGCGGTTCGTTAGGGTGCTGCGCTTTTCTTTGTGATAGAGCTCCCGAGCGTGCCCATGCTGCTCTCCGACAACCGCGGCGACTGCGGCATCGCAGAGCTGGACGCGCTGCCAGCAGCCCCCGAGTACGCATGCTGGCTTATCAGAAAAAAATCCAATATTCTTCCTCAGGCCCCGAAGAAGAGTGCACATCTCTACTGTTGCTCCTGCTCTTGTATACTAATACTGAATGTTCAGCAAAACGAATGAAACAAACTACACATACGTCGACTTCGACATAGAATCATTTTGCCAACCGCATTCCTCAGTCCCTGACACGCCTCAAAAGTGTGTTCTCCATTCTGTGAGCGAAACAGAACCACTGGGGGCGTTGTTCCACTGGAGACACAGAACGAGGTTTCATCACCATTTCATGCTTACGCTACAAAAGTTGCGCCCGTGGCTGCAAAAGGAGCTCATCATGCACTGTGTGCACTCCCCTTGGAATCATCGGAGTGGGATGGATTTCATCTTGGTATGATTCGCAGCTCCCGCGCCACTACTCGACCGCGGACGCGGAGGTCCTCCCAAGGCAGAAGCCGATAAATTGTCCAGCTGCACAGTGCCTCCGACCCCTCCGGGTCCGACAAGAGTCATCGCCGAGTCGTACCAATGGCAGGTCGAGCACAAGTATCGAGCAGTTCTGAGACAGACGAAAGATGACGAGGGCTATAATCAAGATGATATAGACAAACGCGATAGAAGAGTCCTGATCATCCAGTGCCCGAAAAGCTATAAAAACCGCGACCGAGTTCAAAAAGGCTGCAATAGATAAATGCATTCGGCAAGAACGATTATGTCTGACATGATTCAAGTAGTGTCGTCAAGACCCCCGGACCACCCCCAGCGCAGAAACGACTACAATCGTAAAGAAGAGGAATAGACCGCCACTGCATGCGGCCATGGCATTGATGTGTCAACACTACAGGGCGAAGGAATCCTCGCAAGAAGTCGCGCAACTGCAATTCAAAAAATTTGAGTACGCAAAGTGAGCATCTACTCGATCTCTTCGATGAAGGGACCGGCTTCGGCACTTCCTCTTCTATCTGCACTTCCTGCAGCTTGTCGCAAGACGTATACACCATAAGATCTCTGGCAAGCAGGAAAAATCTTCAAAGTATCCACACATCTTGCTGCGTTCTCCGTCTCGGAGTAGGCTGTACTGTGCCTGTTGCGAAGGGAAATAGAACACCGTGACCGCCAGGACCAGGAGCCAGGGAGTACTTACTGTATTCTATGATTTCTCGCCTTTGCAGCAGCTTCCAAGCCGCTCGTCACGACCCCGATCGCTGACTGTAGTAGGCGAGACGACGGCTGAGCTCGTCTTGCGTGAGATAGGCGTCCTCGTAGCGGCCGAACAGGTCATCGAGCTGCAGCGCGCGCGCGGAAATCACAAAAGCTTCCATCAAGGCCTGCGTTTCTGCGTCCTGCACCTGGTCCTGCTGCTCCTCCGAGTTGACCCGTGGCAGAAACGGATTCAGCTCGCGCAGCAGCGGACTCGCGTCGTACCTCCCGTCTTGATGTTCGGGGGAAAGAACATCGAGACTGCTGTTCGCTAGCATGCCCGGAGGCAGCTGCGGTGGCGATTGGTGTGTAGTGCTTCTTCTTCCCGCTGTTCTACTATCTTCCGGCTGCGATGAAGAAGATAACGAGGAGGAAGTAGCTTTTTCTCTACTAGCCGCTGTTTTTGTTCCCACATCAGGGGGGGATTGCAGAAGTTCTTGCATTCGAAAGGCATTCTTGCCTCGTCCCAGTTCTTCCGCGGCGCTGGCGAGCGGCGGCTCGCCGCGAGACCTTCCGTCTGAGGCTGGATCGCGCAGCCCACTGTCCCGCCGCGACGTAGACGAAGTCCTCCCGCCGTGGTCGGGCGGGCTCCCATTCAGATCGTGCTCTTCTGCAGAGGGGTTCGGCGATCGTTTTGCGGACGATTCAAGAATGGTATCGCCATAGACCAGCACCGGCGGCGTCTCCGTTGCAGGAGACAGTTCGTCGAGTCCGCGCATCTCCATTTCCACCGCTCCCGATCCACGCGACCTCCGCGAGTCCTCGTCCTGATCTTGTTCCACCACAAGAATGTTCTCCGACATGACCGACGACGATCCCCCGCTGCTAGCTTGCAGCCCATCGCGAACAAACTTGTTGTCCCCGCCCAACGAACTGCTAGACGACTCACCTTCGAGCCCGTACAAACCCATCTTCACTTCGTCGCGCTCACCAGACGTCGACGACGAGGCAGCCGCGCTGCCGGCCCGCGGCCCGTGGGCTGATGCAGAACCAGCGTTGCTGCTTTCACCGAGGAGACCACTAGTAGACATAGTACCAGGATGTTGGTACTGCATCTGCGAGTTCCGCCGACTGGGAGGGCGGAAATCCTTTGAGCGCTCGCTGAACAACTGTTCGCATTTTTGTATTTAGTGTTTGTGCTCTAGATCAGACGAAACATAATCGAAAGAAACGAGATGAACCTTCTACGTCAGCAGGAGCAGCGGCCCTGGATGAGGTTACTAGTAATCAACACAAGAAAAAAACCGAACTTTTATGTTTATACATCCGTCGCTTCGGTGAGGCCGTCATGGGAGATTTGGTCCAAAACGTAGCCTTCACTGACAGAAATTTTGTTTCCCACCTGGTTGTAGAGTTGCGAGTTGCGGACGATGAGAGGCGTAGTCGCCTGCATCCGGCGGGTGACGGAGCTCTGTCGTCCCCGCGCCAACGAGAATGTCAGCGTGCCGATGGAGCTGGGTACTTGCAGGAGCTCCTCCGGCACCGGGGACAGGACCACGTTGGGGTCCGCGAAGTAGATGTGCATGTAGAGTGGCACCTTCTTGCGCGCCATGTTGTAGCTGGGAAGCACGCGGGTGAGCACCAGCAGCGAGCGGCACGCCGTACTCAACTTCCGCATCACTCGTTCGTCCAGTCGACGCAGCGTGAGACCACTCGGTTGCTGCTGCCCACTTGTTCCGCTCGTACTGCCACTGAGCGAGGAGAGGCCAGCTGTGGAAGATGTTGTCCCAGGGGTTCCGGCTACGACACTACCGCGCGGCGAGGCACCGGTGGTCGTGGTCGCCCTGCTTGCGGCCGGCGTTCCGGCGTCGTAGTGGTCCTGCGCTGACCGAGAGCCGCTATTATACCGCGACGACGACATCATGCTTTGGCTGGACGACATCCCGCGTTGTCCAGGCGCAACGCCGGCGGTGACGCTCCGCACGGGACCCCCCTGTCCGAAGCCGCACACCCAACGCTCGACCACGCGTCGACGCGGCCGACGGGTGCTTTCAGACGCTCGCGAGGACGCGTTCGAGTGCGCGCCCCAACTGGCTTGCATGTCGATGCGCGCCTCCTCCTCCACTGGTGTGCGCGTGCTGCTGCCCTGCGTGCGCGCGCTTCCCGACATATCCAAATGCAGTGGGAGTGCCGGCAATTCCCCGTTGCGCGGCGGCCGCGCACCCTTCCGTCCATTTGTTGGCTGACTGCTCAAAGATCCTCCACTCGTCGTCTTCGGCAAGGACGCAGTGTCCGCGCGCGTGAGAAAAGGCGTGTCCTCTGCCAGCACGGTAGACGCTTGGGTGCTCAAGTCCGTCGCTCCGCCGCTGCGGGTCTGGGACTCAATTCCGGGGGAGTCACGCAGTGACAAACTTGACCCTGCCACGCCGGTCGTTGAAACAAGCATTGCGGTGCCGTCATCTGAGAAAATTCAAACAGTAGAAACTCTGTGCTTGGCGGGAATACGCAAACTAACTAATTCGCGGTCAGCGAATAAATCAGGGGGATGAAAGCAAAGCTGAGATTGATTGTTGAGCAGGCAGTAAGTGCTCAAGGCAACATCTTCAGGAGACGAAAAAGATTAAGATGGAATAAACTCACCCTCCGCCTTTCCTGCCCGGGACCTCACGAGATCGGTTGGGACAGCCTGTTTGGTAGCTATATCCTGCGTTTGCGGTGGATCGCACAGGGAGACAACATCTTCGGCGTCGTCCCACGAGGCGGTGAGTCGGCGGCCCGGCCGACCGCCTCCGCTCGTCGTGGTTGTTGCGGTGCTGCGAACCGATCGCGCCGACCCCATCAGAGGTCGCGGGCTCGCTTGCTGCAATGCGGTTGGCGCTGTGGCTGCGGCGCTGGAAGAAGCTCCAGTCGCGACGAGTCCGGCTGAGGAAGAGGACGATGCGGCACTGCTTCCGGGTGGAGCTCCTCCGACTAAAACACCGGCATGGGAATTGCGCCCGCCTGCGGCTGCATCCGCTTGTTCCGCGCCGCCAACAACTCGGATCGCACTTGTAGTTGTGCCCGCGTGCTGCTGCTGCACGGGTGGCCGCAATTCCGCAGCAGCAGGGCGGTCCCGGTCCCGGTCCCCCCCAATTCTCTGCGGTGCGAGTACGATGCCTGACCGGTCACCCCCTCCGGTAGTCGTGTAGTTCCCGGTCAACGACTGTTGGCGATTGAGCAACAAGCTTCCTCCTGGACTCACACTGACGTCCTCGGGGCTGCAGTTCGTGTTTACAGTCTCGCAGTCGTCCGGGGACGGGAGCGTGCTGCTCTGCTGGCTGGCCGCCATAGACCGGTGACTCAAGGTGGAGCTGGTCCGCCGCACAGTCCCCACCTATGCAAGAAAAAAACTGTGTAAATATAAACAACAAGACAGTTGCGCTTGTCATCGTCGCCATGCGTCATAGGCTCGTTTCACAAATTAGCTTTCGCACACTACCTGCGCATGACAAGTTAGTTTTAGCTGTCTAATCTCTGTTGCTGTTTTCCTAAAAGCGTTATACTCACTCAGTTTTTTTCCTGGATATCACCTGCTCCGCCTCGAATACATCAAACACAAGTACTTGCCGTAGGCCGTTCTCAAAAAAGTCCTGCGCCCGCGGTCCCAAAACGCTTCGACAATTACTCTCTTCGTGCGTAACCAACTGAAACGAGGTACTCCGCTTGCCGCCTGCGAAAATGAGTACACAAAATCAATGCAGTACGATGACAAAACTGAAAATCCTCTACCGGTGGTTTTAGTTTTACTCGAGCAATTCCATTTACCCAATAAACAAATTGGCCTTTACAAAAACGAATGCAAGATGTGTAGAAATGAAAATAGGCAGTTGAAAGTACGTTTTCGATCCGATCTTGGCGGTACTCGTGAGGTGTGAATGATATCAGCAGCAGTGCCTGGAAAGAAAAAACTTCCCTATCCCTTCCCTCTGGTTTTTTACATCAGTCTGTTTTCTGTTTCTAGAGAACAACGAGAGCAACATGCATAGATTTGCAAGAACGAGAACGGCGCGCAACGTTCTTCTTCTTCAACGAACGGCGAAATCAATGGCTGCGTTCTTCAGGAGGGCATGCGACCCCGAAAGTGCCCACGTCGGGTCTAGTCTCCTTTCTAGCGCTCCTATTTCAAGATAGACAAGCACAAGGGAGAAAAGTTTCCTGATCCATATTTTGCAGACCCATTCGAAGATCATCTTCCGCAGATCAGCCGGGGAGAGAATCGACATGATGCAGATGAAGAGCAAACAGTTCTACACAAGCAGGCGGAAGACGGCCGAAATGGACTCGCACGACGTCGTTGCAAAATAGCCAGAAGTGTAAGGCAATTCGGTCGTTACCTACACATCCAGATTAAGAGATGCGCAGCTCGGAAAGATGCGAGAGCGGGTCGCGCAGCGCTTCCTTTGCCTCTTTCCAATGATGGGAGCGACCGCGTTCTGTTTTCTTTTTCCAAAATGAAACGCACCCTTGCTCATTGGCGAGAAAAAACGTTCCCGTGTGAGGCCATTAGAACACTTTTTATCATTTCTACACTGAGGTGATGAAAAGCAAAATTTGCAAAACTCGAAATATTAAAGATTACCGGCAAAATGTAAATGTATCCTGTACTAGTATCAAATGTGAAACAGAAAGATAGTATGGATCCGTAATAAGCTCACCGAAACTAGAGGTGGAAATAGAAAACTACAGAAGAAATAAACAAAAATCAAGAACGCAAAAGGTTGACGCACGGGGAGGACACTGGAACCAACAAAGTAGCTGAAAAAGCGAACGGCAATGACACTTTCGATTGTTGGAACGCAATTCCTGCTCGTGAACGGCGCCACAAGAACACATCAGGCTGGTAGCCTCTAGAAGAACAAAACCCGCCTATCTGGGACAGTCGGGCTGTCGCACTTTCGAGGACTTTGCTTCGTCTCCGTTCAATTCTGCTTCTGAAAAACTCTACTAATACCTCCGCACCTTCAGGTCGGATCATCTTTGCGACGTTTCGTTCTGTATTCCCCCATAGACTCAAGCTCTTGCACATATCCACACAGCTTTCCCAGCAGCTCTTGTCGTTGCTCAGCCTGTTGTAATATGCAAAAAAGTAGTGGGTCGACGACATGAAGCCATGAAAACGAAACCATTTTGTAAAATCGTGCGAGGAGAAAAAAGATGAAAAGAAATGCAATCATTTACCGTCATGTATTTGACATCGTCCATGGCGGGCGTTAGGTTCTCTCCCGGTTTCCTGTTTGGTGGTAGTGAGCTCCGTTTCTGCGAACTGGAAGCAATCGCTCCAGGACCTGCGATTTGTTTCGTCATTTCGCTCACAACTTGCGAGTTCTTTGAGTATGGTCTCGCTGCAACAATCAAAAGTCTGGAAAAAGCAATTTGAAATCTTTTCTTCTATTCGCAAACTGAACGAAGCGCACGGGGGGCAAAAAACGACTAGCGGTGCTCTACCTGGGCCGGTAGTTTTTCCCGGGGCGCTCGAGGAGGATGCCTGCTCTCGTTTATCGTTGGTGGCAGCAGAGCCCTGTTGCTCGAGAAGGCCCCAGACGTCCTTTACCTTCATTTCGCGCATGTGCGGCGGAAACGCCGCTAGTATCTGACAGCCAACCTGATTGACTCGCGACGCGAGCATGGTAACCATGTGCCGGCTAGAATCCTGCGAAAAGATCGATGAAGAGACTTCATTCCTTTTTCTACACTCCTCAAGCGGGACCTCCGAATCGACGTCTACCGCAACATTTTTGGATATACCGAAAGAAGGAGAAAAGCTTTTAGTATGCCCTGTCAAAACTAATAAAAAGCAAAAATCAACATATAAAGCGATTCAAAAGAATGCGTAGTAAGTACCTCAGTCTCCTCCACCATGTGCTTTGTGATATTGCGCTTCAAGTTTTCACTCAGCACAGGTGACGCCTTTGCTGAGGAACTCCGTTGCATGGAGGTCGCGGACGGTGCTGCAGCTGCTACACTGGGCATGATTCCTGGAAACTTGTATGTACTTATCTTATCAATTCACCACCAATCATCTGGTACGGCTGTCACTATTAATTTTGCTCAGGTCCCTTCATGGGCTCTAACTCTATTGCGCGTTCGCGGCGAGACTCCAAAAAATTACAACTGCATGTTGATTTCACAAAAATAGAATACGGTTTGTAGCTGTGCGATCCTGCAGTTTTCAAGACGGTGAACTTCGCGTGCGCTTCTCTTTTTTGATTTTGGGTCAGACTCTTCCTCAAAATAACAAAAACCCATAAACTTCTTCTGGTGGGTCTGCGCGGCGCACGTTGGAAAGACGCTTGTTGCCTCGATCCCATTCACGTCTGTCGTTGTTCGAGCGCTCGCTACAGACCACCTCTCTCGCGACGGACGGGACGAAAGAAACTTCTCGGAAGCGAAAACGACGAGAGGCAACACAAAGAACGCCTCAGGATTTACTTATTACTGCGCGTTATGCGAAGCGACGCAAAAAAGCACTCGGATTGCACAACGACCTCTTCCACCGTTCCAGGCCCGCTGATGCGGTGTTGCTGTGCCTTCGGTGCTTTTTTATGAATACGGATTTATTCAGGGTTTTTCAACTCACAGTGGTTCAGCCCGGTCTATTCAGCTCCATTTCTATGAACTCACTTCACACCCGCCGACCGCGCGGCCCCCGTCCAGGTTGCACTCCAGCCGAGCTGCCCGGGTCTTCGGGAGCCTGTGCCGCAGTAGCCGCAGCAACGGGCTTATTGTCCGTGCCCGAGATCGCGCGCAATAGCATGTTGCTCCGATTCTTCCGTTTTTTCGTGGTGACCGCGTCGATGTAAGGTAGGTAGTGCCGCTTTCTTTGCACTTTGTCAATGAGCACCTTCTTGTGTGACCGCGGGTGGCTGGTTGCCATGTCCCCGCCTGCGCCCGTCCCTCCAAGGCCCGGCCGATCGTCAACGCCGCTGCCAGCGCCTGCGCCTGCCACGCCCCCCAGGGCCTGCTGCTTTGACGCCGACCGGGCTAGCGGCCCTACGCCCTCGTCGCTACTCTCTGAGATCGTGGCGCTCTGGTTGTGCCTGTGCGAGGAACTGCGGGCGGGTGGAGAGGCCGACCGCGGCTTGCTGTTACTCGACCATTCGATATGCTCCTGCCAGCCCTCCGGCTTCTGCAGCGCAAACGGTTCCGCCGGGTACTGGTGGTGCTCGGTACTATCCTGCTCGGGCAGGAGCAATGACGAATCTACTGCTCCAGCTGCGAGCCCGCTGCTCCCCGGCGCACCAGGTGGTAAGACAGTACTACCTTCCCGGTTTTCGTCGGATGTTTCCCCGCCCGTCCATGCTAGTGCCTCCTGCCCAAATGCCCCGCCTTCGAGCGCATGCTCCGCGGCTATCAGCAGCGACTCCGTGGCGGCGTAGTTGTGTTGACCAGTACTGTCCGGAGGCACGAAGAGCGCATCGTGGTCCGTCGTTCCGCACTGCGGTCGGCCGCTTGGCTGCTGACTGGAAGCCGCACCACCGCCCGGCGTCTCATCGCGTCCGCCGCGCAGCATCGCTCGTCGCTGCTCCGGGGGCGAAGCCGACGATGAGAGCACGTCGGAGGCCGCAGTCGCAGATTGGTGGATCATTAGTCCACCACCAGCACCACTAAGTGCTGGCCGCTCGCGGGTGTAAAGCTCATCATCTGTGCTGCTGAACGCGCTGACGTGCTGCCCCGCGTGACTGCTGCTCCCTGCTGGGAGGTGGTGGTCCTGTTGAATAAAGTTCTGCAGTTGCTGCTCCGCGGCCGGGACTAGGCATTTGCCGTGAAGAAGATCCTGCGAACTCGTGGCTCTACTTCCCGGGCTCGTTTGCAAAGCTCTGGTCGAGGCCGAGACGGCACCAGGTTGGTCTTGCTGTTGAGGACAGCTGGTGTTCCGTAGTTGCTGAAGCTGCTCCGCCGCCGCGGCTGGCGCGGCGAGGTGATGCGTATTGCCACTGCTACCACTACTACTCGTTCCCTTCCACTTCACCATTTCTGTTTGCTCGGCGATCATCTGGTCCCGGATGGCGATCTGCAGGCGAAGCTTTTCGCCTTCGAGATCCTTCTGCTGGATCAGGAGGTCGGTCATGTTGTTCACCTCCTCCAACTCCATGTTTTCCACCTCCATGACCTGAATCTTGTACATCAACGAGAAAAACTGCCGCAGCTCGCTGTTCGCCAACGTGATCTCCGGCAGCCGCTGCTCCAGCACCTGACGCTGCTGCTCGTTCTTCTGCAGCCGTTCCGCCAAATCGGCACGGATCTCACCGTGCTTCTCCATCTGTTTCATCAAGCCCTTCAGCTGCTTCCGCCAGTCTCGTATAGAACTCGGGAGGCTGCCGTCCTGCGATCAATTCAAGAACATTATGGGTGAAGACAGAAGAACTACGTACTTACTTCTTACAGGCCTCAAAAAAGAAACGGCGTGCTAGGCACCAGCTGAAGCACTACGTCCGAATGCGGCTATAATTTTATGGCTACTCTGATGTTGCTTTTGTTGAATTTTCGATCTGCAAAAAATCGCCATACTCTAATTTCTGTTCAACAGCAAGAACATCAATGCGCGACGTACTGCGGATTCCGCGGCTTTCAGGCTTTGAGAACCCTCGCCGCGTGCGCTCACCGGCACGTCTCCGTCCCCGTCGTCATCGTTTTCGGGTTCCTCTGCGATCGTCCGATCCCCCACATAAGTGTTCTGGCTGTTCTGCTGCTCCCAGCTACTTATGGCTACCTGCAGCTTGCTCTTCGCCATCAAGCACTTGGCATCGGAATGCTTCAAATCCAACAACGAGCGCTTGATCTGCACCCGCTCCTCGATGTTTTGGCAAACCTGATAGATCAATTAATGCTATTGATTCGAGCATGGTTGTGTGCATCCACATGTTGGCCATGACAACAACACGGCAACTACTTCACCTTCTCAAGCATTTCGTCCTTGCTAGATTGAAAAATCAAACGATAGTACCTCCTGTTCCCAGGTTTGAACCTCCTCTGAAAATTGCTGCGGTTTTGCGGCTTGCCCTTTTTCCGCGGAAAGTTGCTCGTTCGCCCCGCCCGCCTCGGCGGCAGCCGAGGGCGCTTCCGAGTCCTGCGTCGCGATGGATGTCTTCAATGCCGAAATTTCGCTGCGGAGTTCGTGAATGATCGATGTGTACTGCGCCACGTCGTAGGTATACCGGGCCACATTCCGTGTCACTTTCGTCCGAATTGCCTTTGCCCGATTCGCGTACTTGAGCGTGTTATGTGTGTCCTCGAAATTGTGGTGACAGGGCGATACGTTCGCAATCATCACTGTGCGGCAGTTCCCACCAAGTGAGTCTGAGTGTTTTGTTCTAGAAAGTAAGAGATGAGTATGAGTTCTAGTATTCATCGAAAATAACCATCCCAAGCTCTGTCCTTAAGAACTTTCAAACATGCATAGGAAGTTGCAAGATACTAAGCGTACAAACATCATTGATCACAAGGTCTGTCGGTACGACGACGCCAGCGCGCAAGAAGCCAGTCGACGCGCGTAATCAATTCCCTGTATTCCGTACCTTTCAAGAGCCGGGTGAGCTTTGAGTCTCGGTACGGCACAAAGCTGTTGTCGTCTGCGAGCGCCGTAATGCAGTTTCCCAGGGCGAGCAGGCTGCGGTTTATGTTGGCGCCCTCCAACATCCGGATGCCCCGGTTCGCAGTGTTGGAAGCGCGTTCCGAACCGGCCAGGTCAATCACGCTGAATTTCCCCACCTCCAGAAGTTTGCAGATGCCCGCGGTTTTGTCCTGCTGCTCCACGATCACGCTCATGACGGCATGCGAGCGCGAACTGGTCTGATTCGCTGCGGTGGGCTCCGATGTCCGATTTCGGTTGGCTTGTTTCAGCAAGTGCATAATCTCCTCTGCACTGGAAAGGTTACTCACCTACGGGGTGCGTTGTACAAGAACAACTCTACGTAGTTTTATTGTCTTAACGACGGCACTCGGGCCGCGTTCTTTGAAATTCGCGCCGTCGAACTCGAAACCTTCAGTACTGGTAAAAAAAACTGCGTGGAACAGCTACATTTAACATCACTGCAATTCTTGCCATCAAAACAAGCCTCTTGGAACTCACCTCTTCGATGCCCGCGACGGTCATACCCTTGATGGGATCTTCGCGCAGATCCAGGCACTCGTCCTTCTTGGGCGATAGGAGGTCGCGAATGTTCTCGTTGTACACTTCTAAAAAGGAGCACCGAATATCAAACTTCTTGTCAGGGTGCTGCTGGACTTGCCCGAAAAGATCCTGCAAAATCAGCCCCATGATACCATGGCTGGGCCGCCCCGCACCCTCGTTCTGGTACCTGACGCGTCGGCGATGAATGCTTTTACTTTCATCTGACGACCAGGTGATGATTTTTAATTTTTTCTTGATCATGCACCGCATCAATTTATTTATTCTCCTTCTCTTTGATTGTTCGGAATCGGATACAACAAGCAAGTAAAGAACAAAAAGACGCATTTTAGAACCAGAAAGTACCCAATCATCGTGTGTGTTTTCCCGGCCCCCGTGCCACCGTACGCGAAGACCGTGGCGTTGTAACCCCGCAGGACGCCCTCGATAAGTCCGCGGGTAGTGGCCTGGTACACCTTCTCCGTATCGTCCTTCTCGCTGAAGGCATGGTCGAACACGTAGCGCTTCTCCTTGCTCTTCCCGATTCGCAGGTAGTCGTCGGCAGCAGTGGTTTGGGGGTCCTCCAGGATGACCAATTTGTTCTCCACCACGTCCACGCACTGCCGCCCCCCGCACCGGGCTTCCACCTCCAGCAATCGCCGACACCGCACGGCAACCAAAATGTTGCTCCACGACTTCTTTTTGCTGCCGCCGTGCGCAGCGGCAACGGAGGCATCCATGATACTGCACAGCGGGGACCAAAACTCTATCGTGCGTCGTCGCTCGGGATCTTCCTGGAAGGGGGCGTGGTAGAGTATGGCACGCGGAACTTGACGTCTGGTGACTTAAGATCTTGAAATTTCATGCGGGTCTTCCTTTCCCCATCCACCCCGTGGTCCAGCGCGTCACTGACTACTGGTGAACCCAGGTCGTGGCAATCAGAGCAACATCACGCGTTGCTTTTTACGCGTAGCAGCGTGGTTTCACACTCGTGGGTGTAAGTGTCAAGAGAAGTTCAAAATGGAAAATCGCACTACAACGCAGAAAAAACTTTATTGCGAAGGACGCAGAGAAACTCAGAAAAAGCGTCTTCTTTTACCAAAAATTATATCGAATTCTGAATCAATCTTGGTCCGTTTTTCAAAGAAATCTACTAACTGTACAAAAACCAGAAACGATGTATCAGGACCAGTGTGGTAAGTACCCTAGCAAAAAAGCGGCAAAATCAAAAAAAAAATCCTATTACAGTCGGACAGAAAAAAATCATATCCGAAAAAGATTCGTTTTAACAACGCCATTGCAGCCACGTTTTTGACGAAATGGCCAGCCAGTGCGGAACTGAACGAAGCTGTATCCTCTAAAACCGCTCATCAAAAGTTGGCACGACAACGAAATCAGAAAACCCTCGATCGCTCATGACGATTTTGGAAATCAGCTAAGTTGCCCTCCTTGGAGAGAAAACGATCAGCACGACGAAGCATGCAGCATACAGCTCTACGACACGTCACGGACAACCACACCCGAGACCCACGGGCAAGCAAGAAACCGCCCAACAATTGTGGCAAACTGCCCTAGCCATGTCGTCTCGTAGTTCCTGCGCTTCAGATTTAGTGTACAGCAAATTCAATGGAGTAGATTGAAGACATTCATTTTGCAGATGCCTTTGCAGCAGCGAACAGGATCTGTAGCCCGAATGAAATGCATGAAACTTTCCAAACAATATTGTACATAATGTACCATCAACCAAAAAATTGTTTACAGTTGCGTCGTTTATACATGTTGCGATGCATATTTACCGTATGAGTTTAAAATAAAATCGAAGCCGAAAAAAAATATTCTCTGTTGTAAACGTCAAAAGTGACTGCTGAATTCAAAAAAGCCGGATGGAGAGACCCAAGACGCGTTGAAAAAAAGTAAGCTGCATTGAGCGGGACCGAGATCCACCAAGTTCGGCGATCCAATTCCTACTTTTTTCCGCCCTTTTTCTTTTGGTCAAAGTCCCCGAATTTGTACACGTCGACGGGATCCTCGATCTTGTACTTTTCTAGCGCCTTGCTGGCAATTTTGAGGAGGCGGGTCTTCTCGTCGTCCTCCTCCGACACGTCTTGCATCCGCTTGATATCGGTCTGGACGTCGGCCCACACTGTGCTCTTCTCATCGACCACCGCGTTGCTGTGAAACTTTTTCCAGAGCTCCTCCTCGGTCAGGTGGGATTTCCCGGGCGCCGGGCGGTCACACAGCTGGAAGGTGAGCGGCAGCAGAATCCGTGCGAACTCCTCGAACTTGAGGAACTTCTTGCCTTTCTGCGACAGATCCGAGTGCACCGCGTGCTTCGCGAACAGTTGCTTCAGTGCGCCCGCGTCGTTCAGTGTGTCGTCAAAATAATCCATCCAATCCTCCTCGAAGACTCGCTTGCCGTCCTGACTACAGAGCGTGAACAGCCGCTCCAGCTCCAACCTGGTGAATTGAAATTCTCATCTCGAGGAGAGAGTGCATCCACTTCAAGGGTGAAAAACTCTCGACAGACGTTGCTTCTATTTTCATTTTCCAAAATGAAAGTATTCACCACAAACACTGTCAAGAAACTGTATGCGAAAATCTTTGTTGTACCTCTTTTCCAGTGTGATCCTCTGTTTTACGATGCCCTCGTCCTCGCGCACGTAGAGCTCGTCTACTTTCGACAGCACCATTGCCTTATTGCGCGCCGCGCCACGGAGTCGCGCTTTCATGGCATTCTTCTTTTCTTCCTGCGCGATTTCTTCTTCAGTCTTGTTGCTGCCGTCGCCCTGTTTCCGCCTCTTCTCCACGTTCAGCATGTGCGTTATCAGGTCCTGCAAAGGTAGAACGAATATTATGGAAAACTAATTTTTGCTTTGCGTCGTTCTTCTATTACCTCAACTACAGCCGATGGTGCCAGCAACGAGCTGTGGACCGACCTAGGCGACGTTTGGACGTACTGAAGAAGAAGTCTTAAGAACTTACCGACACTTCCTCCGGTTCGCGCATCGGAAGCAGGAAGCAGACGATTTCTTGAAAGTTTTTCACCGTGCTAGACAAGTTGACCGAAAGTCGCGGCGACGTGGTCGTATACAGATCTCGAAAAAACGGATTCATAGACCCGGCCTTCTCCAGCACCATCATAAATCGCCCAAGCTCCGCCGGCGTTTCTGGGTGGAAAGGGAACGTTTTGTTATACACATTTTTGCTTTAATAAATCTCTCGCATGCTCTTCCTTGCCAGTCATGCCGACCGTGTACGTTTCGGAAATTATATATGAGTGGGTCGAAGGAAGTGAACTGAATGTGAATCCTTATCCTTAGCAATGAGACAAAAAAAAATCAACAGCGCACCTAGTTTGCCGTAGTCGGATTTTCGCAGTACGCGGTTGTACACATCGCGAAGCCCGAGGAGCTGATCTACCGTAAACCTGACATACTGCCCTGTCTTCTTGTCCTTGAAGTTGGCGCCCTTTCCGCCACTCGCTGCGCCCGTTGCTGACTTCTTCTCGATGTACTGTCGCCGCAGGTCAGCAATGTCCCGGTGTCGACCTTGATACAGGACGCGCGTCTTGGTCGCTAACGCCTCCTTCAACGGTCCCAGGTACGGGGGTCGCTCTTTTTTGGGCTTTTTCCCGAGCAGCTCCTCGTCTTCACCCATTGTGGTTATGTTTCTCTTTCTCTGACTTGATGACTATTGCGATATGCGAATGGCGAGTGCTTTTCTACTGTATATCTTGTTGTGCTGCTCGAGCCCCCTTCGAAAAAAAAATCCTGTTTGGTACTTCATTAGACGGGAAAAGCGGGTCACAAGGTTCTGACTGACGTGAGAACAAACGAAAAACAGAAATCAGGAACGGCTAGTTCACCCCAACGATTCCGATTGCGACGAAAGGTTGAAAGGAATAAAAAAATGGCAGTATCACGGGACCTGGGTACTGCTTCGTTTTGAAATGAAACGCAACGATCGACCTAAACGATTCATTTGAGTGTATTTTTGCATACATCCATTGCCCTTATCCTACCCGGATGAATCCCTTACGACAAAAACCGACGACAATAGGCTGTGTTTTACACCCTTTCGCTATCTTTGGAAAATTTAATCACTGCCGTAATTCAGAAACATCAGCCTGAACACGGAGATTGTGCTGACTCACCAATTTGAGTATATCACGGTAGATGATGGTCGGATGTATGCGTTGTGTGTGGGTTCCCGAGGGAAAGGACATCATTGCAAAGCCAAAGCATTCTTGCGTGCATAGCTCGAAATCACGCGAGTTCTCTTGTCTTCTACGTGACTTCATCGCGGGACCTAAGGGTATTTTCAAGTGGGGGTTTACTACCAGAACCACATATTTATGCAAAGACGTTCGCGTTCGGGATCACAAAAAACAAGCCGCCGGTCGATCTTTTGGGGGGTGAAGCAGTACTACTACGTCAAGATATGGTGGTTTCGAGAAGTTCGAGCATCTTGAGAACTTGGCGCCGCACTTGACGCTGTGCATCGGAGAGCTCGTCTAAAGAATCCAGCCGGGTCGAGAAGGACGTGATTGTCAACATATCGAGCACTAGCTGCGGCTCTTGTTCTTTTTCTCCGGCGCTACTGCCCCCGGCTCCTCGCCGAAGGCCTTGCATCGCTTCTGGCGCAGCCGGTAACAGACCTCCTAGATCAACTTCCGGCAGCAATTTCGAAGCGGCTTCGGTCTTGCTCCGAAGCGACCCGTACAGCGACGCGACTTGCGTAGCAATGTCTCGCAGCGCGTTACCCCCCGACCGCGTGTCGCGGGATCCCATGGCCTGGATCACCAGTGTCTTGCCCGGCTGCGGAGGCTTCTGCTCCACGTCGCCGAGTCGCGTATCGGAGGGAAAAGCGATGCCTTGCAGCTTCTTGCCTTTGTATATCAAGCTCAATTTATCCAGCTCCACGCCGCACTCTTCCGCGGTGAAACGGCGAAGGTCGCCGATGGTCAGACTTTCACTCCACCGGAAATCGAAGGCTACCTTGCTCCCGTGCTTTACCTCGACCCGTCCAAGCGTCCCCGGGTCGCTTTCCGGATCCGCAGCGTCATTGCCCAACGACATTTCTATCCTGTGATCATAATCTGGGAGACTCACTACACTAGTTGTTCAGCCACGAGCTCTGCTAAGCCGACGTTCCGGATGAGCATCTACTTTGAAACTTCTATCTGTGGTCCGAGATAGCATGGCGCTGCCCTCGACTGGAGTTTGATCGCATTGAATGAGCTATAGTCTACCATTGTTTGATGCAAACGCGACCACCTCGTCAGAACCGAGTCGGGATTTTCGACGCTATGTTTCGCTCCAAATCGATTCCAGAACAAATCTTTCAGCGCACTTGCGAAGGATCGGTCTCGTCGGGTAGCTTTTCCTGCTTGAGACAATCTACAGAACTTTTCTGCGGGTGATACACTTTCGTAATGTGAGTATGTGGAACTTTCGACCTTGAATGAACTTGTCGAACTTTACGTACCGGAATAAAGTGTGCGTGTTTGCAAGTCGGCACTGCTTCCGCAAACAAACTGGCCTACGTGCGGCCTTAAAGAAGAAGTTGCCGCCCCGCAGACTTTCTTCGTGCGGCATCAGCTTGTCGCAGAATTTCAGCACGCGACCCCGCGTTTAGGGTGGCGCATCCTCCTATCTTGTCCGACAGGACCGCAAGCAAGACTCCGATCTGAATTTCCGCCATCTCGACCCGCTCAAGACGCAGTCGCCGAAGAGACAAAGTTGACAAAAAAGAGATCCACACCGAAGGGTCGTCCGCACTGATAGAAACACCACAGAATTCTAGTCTTTCCAGGTCCTTGAAAGGAAGAGCATTTGTCACTCCCATCGGCTGGACAGCTTCAAAAAGATGGGCGTTGCCGAACTGTATGTGCTTCAATCTCTGCATTTGGATATTCCCGTACCATGGCATGGAAAAAAGCTTGTCGCCGCGACAAAAAAGGCGCAGCGTCTCCAGCAGAGGAAGCGACTTTTCAAAAAATTCCTGACCCGGATGGACGAGCGGATCTAGCTCTGAATCGGTATCACTCTGTGCCGTCTGCTTGTCCGACCAAGCGAACGATAGTCCAAGATCCCGGAGAGTTCCTGCTGCGGGCGCGATTACCAACTGGTAAACAAGAGACTTTGTCTTCAACTCGTTCCAGTTGATTGGCCGCGAACCGTAAATTTGCAACGATCGCAGGCGGCACATTGATTTGTTTGAGGTGTTACCACGCGGCCGGCCATTTCCGGAGAAAACATTGACGGACGCCAATGCCAGTTGTGAAGGAATTTCCAAAACCTGGAGCGCGGTAAGCCCGAGCACCGACCGAGCGAAATTCTGGCACGTCGACACGGGCAAAACATGGGGTTGACCAGCCCGGTCGTCCACAGCAAGTCGACACTCCACCACCTCAATAGATGGAAAAAACAAACACTGCAGGCCTTCCAGAGATTGCATTACGGCAGCTAAAGGCAAGAGAAAAAGTTTCCCTATTTGTAACCGAGCTCCTTTTGCATTTGCAGCAATTCGAAGCACTTTAAGGTGCTCCCAACTGAACCCAGGTATGAACGGTCTCCCGGAATTTTTCTGTTGAATAACGTGCACGGAAGCCACCGATTTTCCGTCCCACGTCACTGCTGCCTCGTGAATACACTTCCGCACTCGGGCCAACCTTCCTAGGTCACGCACGAGGAGGAAGGGGGCAAGCCAGTTTACGAAAATATCGGGATTGCCCAAAACCTGTAACGCGAGAGGTCCCGACGCCAGTTCTGCCGGTACAGGATCCGGCTCCGGCGCTGCGCCAGACATGAGGTTGACTTCTACACCTGGTGTGCTGACCTCGCTCACGCTCTAGATTTTTAGTTGCGTGCCCACGTCCTGCTAATTCACAATCACTTGCGATAACGCATACTGGCTATTCAACACTGCGCTATAATTGATTTAAAACGTTTCTGGGCAGGCGACAGTCTTTCAGACCAGAAAATGCCGAACAATACAAATATGACTATCATTTAATGATAACATTATATCATGATGCTCACCTGTATCTAGATGCAAATCAGTCACGAAACGAACAGATGGCCGACAGCAGCCGTGCCGATAGTTAGTGGACTCGTCAACATTCCTGTTTCTCTAAATGCGTTTCCTCTGTGCATGGCTTCATCCAGACGTGATGAAACAGCCCGCCCGGCTCAATCGTTTCCACCTCTCGCCTACCTCTATTGATTCATCTGGCACCTCTCTACGCACGGACATCATGGTCGGAAAAAACATATTCTCGGCGAGCTTCCATCCGGGGCCCACTTGATTTTATGTTCTTAGATGTACATCAAACTCGCAAAGCGCTTATTTCTGGCGTCAACATATTGAATCAGAACAAGCCATCCCTCCGCACCTGGCCCTCGATTGGCAACGAGGAGACGCGGCATCTTGGCGGTCGTTCCAACACCACCTCGGCGGGCGGTTGCTGTTTTGTCGCAACTAGTGCAATTTCGGCATCGACCTGGGCAAGCAACCGGTCCCGGCAATCCCGGGACAGACTCTTCAGGGTTCCGACCTCTTCCGCCAGGAGACCGGAAAGAAGCCCGAGCTGCATGACACTCATTCGTACGCGATCGAAACGCAAGTGACGCAAAGCAAGCCCGGCGAAGAATTTTCTCCAGTGCGGAAACTCGTTCACGTCCAATGCCACGCCGTGAAAGTGCAGGGCTTCCAGTGCCGGGAAGCGGAGCACGTTCTTAACCGGCAACTGCTGCATTTTTAATCGGACGGGATCCCCGTATTGTACTTTTTTCAACCGCGGCATCGAAATCGCTGAGAACCACGGTTGCTGAAACAGTTCCTTGCCGCAACAAAACAGCCGGAGAATTTCGACACCCGGCAGCACCTTCTCGAAAAAGCGCTGACCGACCGGCGCACCACTGCTGTCAACCCTAACCATCCAGTGCGGACCTTTTTTAGGGCGCGCCGTGTTCGACCATCCAAAGGCGAACCCGAAATCCTCCAGCTTGGCTACGCCGAGTCCAGACACTAGCCGGAACACCAGCGAGCTCTCCTCCAGGAGGCCCCAGTCGGTCAGCGAGGCGTCGTAGATCTGCAGCGACTGGAGTTGGGACCCGGCGATGGAATGCTTGCTGCCCTTCCCCGAAAAGATGTGCAGGGGCGCCAGCGCCAGTTCCGCGGGAATCTCCAAGACTCGCAAAGCTGGGAGCACGAACAAAGAGCGCCCTATACTTTGCCGCAAATTCATCGGAAGGTCCTTTTCACCTGGACGTACTACAAGCGGACATGCGACCACCTCGACGGAGCTCGCAGAATGCAGGAACGGCTGCAACCCTTCCAGGGCGGCACAAACGAAGGTGGGGCAAACAACCGCGCCATTGTCGTCGTCGCCATCGAGCGCCAAGTCCTTGCCTCTTCTGTTCACGGCGACTCGCAGAACACGAAGATGGCGGAGGTTGAATCCCGATAGAAAGGGCGCACTAACCGTAGGCGGCAACCCTTCCCCGAGTCGAGGCTGCGCGGGAATCGTCACCTGGATGACGTGAACCGGCACTGCGAGCTTCCCTTCCGGAGATACCGCCGCGGAATGGATGGATTTGCAAACTTGTGCGACCCGCCCTAGGTCCTTCACTTGGAGGAATGGCGCTATGCAAGTCCCAAGCAGATCTTCATTGCTTAGCACGTTTGCCGCACTCGAAAAAGCCTCCTCGGGCACGGGGTCGTGCATTTTCCCCTTCTTCTTCTTCGTAGCCTTCGACATAATTTCGGGTGTTTTTGATTCGCAAGGACGAGATTTCTAATAAACACACTTCCTAGTTGTAAAAAGCAGTCGTGTGTTACAAACGGAAAAAAATTTGACCTGTGTCGAAACCGGGGCGAGTGTAAACTTTGCACACAGAACGACAAAACTTTTCCGATGTAGAAGAAGACGCTCAAACCCCTGAAACTCTGATCCACTATGCGAACGCCTTCCTGAGTCTGTAGTTTAAACTACTAACAACGGATCTCATCACGTGATGAGGGTCTCAACATCAAAATGGTTGACCACAAACATGCAAAGCTCACAATAATGCGCGCATCAGCTTTCTTTCGTGGCCAAGTTGCCACTTCCTTTCCTGAGTTTGTCTCCTCATCATGATCTACCGCAGTGTGCGAAAAGATGTTAAACGAAATTGTGCAGTTTCGATTTGCAATCGCAACTTCTCGCGACAAGCCTGGCGCAGCGTCTGGAAGAACTTCCCGACCTCGTTCCCGAGAAGAGCGTACAAAGTGCCGAGCATCATCTCACTCATCCCAACATTCTGGAGTCGAAATCGACGGAGAGAGAGCGTCGCGAAGAAATTCAGCCAGTCGCCGAGCTCTCTGTAGTCTAGCGTCATGCCCCTGAAGTGCATGCCTTCCAAGCCCCGAAAGTACTTCACGTTTGCAACGGGCAGTACCGGCGTTGGCGGCGATCGGAAAACCATACGGCGAGTCCCAAATTGCACGTGCTTCAAGTTCTGCATGCGGATTGCTTGAAACCACGGCTGCTTGAGAAGTTCCGTCCCGCCGCAAAACAGGCGCAAAGTCTCAATGCGTGGCAACACATTTTCAAACAAGACCTGGCCTGGAACTTTCTTCATGTCATTTCCATCCTGTGCAGGTACGTGAGACCAGGCAAATGAAAAACCAAAGTCTCGCAAATTTTCCCCGGCTGCACCTACCGTGAGCCGAAACGCAAGCGACTGTTCATCAAGCTTTCCCCATTCAGAGAGTCCTCCATCGTGAATTTGAAAGGATCTCAGCTTGCAGGGGGGTCTGGAGTTATTGCCACTTCCAACAGGGGCGCCGTAGATTTTGATGGGCGTCAAAGCCACTTCCGCTGGAATCTCGAGCACTTGCAACGCTGGCAGAACAAACAGTGAGCGGGCGAGCGTCTGACGAATGCTCAGCTGCAGACTGCTATTTTCACCGAGAATCAGCGGGCAGCTCACTACTTCGACTGCGCTGTCGGAATGCAAGAATGCCTGCAAACCCTCCAGCGCGGCAGAGACGAAGTCCGCTCCGCGTACAGGTGATTGTGGTGTTTCGTCCGTCCCCATATCTAGCCGCTCGCCTCGCTCGTTCGCAGCGACGCGCAAAATCCGCAGATGGCGTCCGCTATATCCGAACAGGAACGGTTTTGGCGAAAGAAAAATCGCTGGCCCCTCGACGTAGTATTGCTCCTGTCGCGGCAAACCGCCTTTGGCCGAAACCAAACGCGTTTTTAGAACTGGCTCCCGTTTGGAAGTGACTTGAATGACCTGCACGGGCACGACCAACTTGCCGTCCCATGACACCGCAGCCGCATGCACACATTTGCACGACTGGGCAAGGCGTCCGAGATCTTGCACCTGCAGAAAAGGCGCCACGTGATTCCAGAGAATGTCTGTTGTGCTAAGCACGTCGGCGGCTATGGACGAGGGTGCCAGTGTGGGCGATTGATCGTCCGCCATGTCTTTGATACGCTTTGCGAAGCACCTTTCAAAGCTATCAGTGATGATACTGACGATTTGATCAAACCAGCAACTTGTTGGAGTATCCGCCAAAAGCTGAACGGGCTTACCACACCTGAATCAGTGACACGATAGAATATCCTGTACCAGATCTCACGACCTGCGGCTTTGTTTGTCACGACCATGTGCTCTGTGTGCAATTCACATGCAGTAAATTCAGAAACTGACTTTGCGATCACCGTAACGGAGACGGAGATCCGACTCCTAGAGTTTTTTTCCTGTTCCTCGATTGCGTTCTGATCTTCTGACCCACGCTGCAGCAGATCGCCTGCAATTGGTATCGTGTTCAACACCCTTGGTAAGATTGCGTCGGGCTGTACTTACTGATCGAATTCAGAACAGAAACAACAGCATTCATTGTATCAAGCTTCAAACAAGATATCCGCAAGGTGACGAACACATAATCAATTGCCGATAGTTTCATTCACGCAGAAAAGCACCGCGGACATCGTCGCAATTTGACTCTTTCTTTTCGTGTACAAGGAAGCGCAGATCGACACTGCCACTGCTTCCTTCTGCAAGAGATCGATAAGGTCCCGAAGGGACAATGTTGCCAAGACGGCAAATCAAAGCCGTTCCATATGTGCTTTTCTTTTTCGCAAACAATGCCGAGTAGTCAGATGAGATTAATTGCACAAATGCGCCCTTGCGATGACTCTGTCCTTCCCAGCAAATCGCGGGTGCCTCTGATTGCTCAGACTAGATCACTTTGGCCATTTGTCGGCACCCCCGGCCCCAGATTCTCTCCCATGGAAGTAGGCCCGCGCCAACTACTTATCTGAGGATGGAGCACACTGTAGCTTCGCAGCCGTCGATGGTGTGTGCATCAAGAAACACATTCCGACTCCGCGAACCGCATTTAATCAGGGTGAAAACTCCGCCCGCGTCGGCGACCAGCCACGTTCGCGGAATGTAGTAATGGGGCTGTCTCACGAGCCTAAGTAGTGCTTCTACCGTCCATGGCGTTGCGCCGAAGCACGTCGGATCTTGTTCCACGTGCAGGGCGTAGTTCATCATGGAACCGACGAAAGCGGGACTATGCGACTGCTCCGCAATGGTATCATTTGCTGCTGTTGAAGTTCCTGCCCCAGCAGGTCGCTGCGACGTCGGTCGCGCGTGAGCAAGGCGGTCGGGAGATTGGTGCGCTACCTGTTGGTGTAGTTGTCTGTCGACTACAGTGGCGCTCAGCTGGTCGACGGGAGGAACGGTAGAGAAAAAAGTTTCTGCTGCTCGCTCTCTCATCTCCGACATTGCCTGCCGGAGCCTGCATTCGCTGGCTACGTCCTGTGCGAACACCAACGGAAATTGGTCTGCCCACATCGGCGTTGTGAGTTGAGTTGGTAGTCCCTCGAATGTCCACGATTGAAAGCCACCGCTGTATTCCCAGTCCTCCAGTACACGACCGGTTTCCGCGTTTCGGTGTTTCGCGCGCAGAAAAGATCCGGGCGCCCACTGTGGCGCGCAGAGATAGCTTTTTTTGGGCTGAAACGCAGGCGAGGCTGTGCTCAGTTGAGCTACCGTCGATTGCATGCTTCGGTGCAACAGTGCCAGCTTGGACGGATTAGAGTGCCTCGGACGCCGCTCGGCGATCGTGCCTGCCAAAAACTCCAGTAGCGCAGGAAGCATGTCGTGGGGCCTGCTGTCGGGATGAGCATGCTCGAATTCCGTCCGAAATCGCTGAAGTCGTTGCTTCGCCTGAGCTTTGCGCCGCATCAGTTCGTCACCGGAGAGAAATTTCTGGATTCGTGAGACTGCCTCAGCAGGAATGGATGCCAACGCCTCATCCCCTGTTCCGATAACGTGGGCGGGCGCTCCACCGTGAGCAAAAGGCCGAAAAATACATGATATAAGCAAAGAGATCCAGGTAAATACAACAGATTTCAGTTGCATTGTAAGAAGGTATTTTTAAAGGCCATACTCTGAAAAATGCAAAAACCAAACTCTTTTAAAGGTATTGAAACCGATACAAAGAAACTGTAAACAAAAAGTCAACTTACTATTGTGGAAAGCGCACGCACTATTCTTTTTTACTTTTTTCCCAATCGAGATGGCAACATGATTTTCGATGAATAATACTCAAGCGAGAGAAGCCGGAGACGGCCTCTCTTTCAGTGGATGTACTAATGAAGAATCGCCGCAGCTCTCGGAGGATCCCTTTTTCTCGAGAAGAACCCTGTCTTGCTTCAACGTCCTTCGGCGAGGACACACGATGTACGTATAAAGTTATTTCCGGATCTGTTGACCTTTGCTTCACAAAGCGAAAACTGAACATGTTGTGCGCGCAAACTTGTGATTGTGACAGTAAAACAGCGTCGAACTGCTATATTGGAAACAGATCGGCGACACTGATCGTAAGCGACTCGTCGTTCTCGCGTCGCACTTGAATCACGTCGTGCGTGCGCCAAACGAGCTGCACCTTCGCCAAGGCCGTCGCCAGGTCCGCACCGGTTGGCGTGCCGATCACCCGGCTGCGTCCGGCGGCTTTGGCCGCGTCCCGGCGAAAATAGTCCAGCAGCCCCGTCGCCTGCAGCGACCACACCGTGAGTGAGGCGTCCGCGGCGTAAGCCGCCAGCTTGGCGCCGTCTTCCGCGAAGCTGCAGGCCAGGACGCGGTTGTTTCCCTGCGGCGCGCCGGGCAGGTCAAGCACGCGGTACTTGGTGGCGGTGCGCAGGTCGTACACGAACACGCGACCCTCCCGGGTGCCGACGCCGTACCGCTGCGTGGCCTGGTGGAAGCAGCACATCGGCAGCTGGGTCACCATTTGGTGCAGCGTCTGGGTGGCAGAAAGCAGCATCACCTTACGCAGGTTCGGGTCCGCGGGATCCAGGCACCGCAAGACCGCCTCCACCAGTAGAGGCAACACCGTGTAGGTCGACTGCGGATCGTACGACAGAAACTGGCACAGCACAAACAAGGCGTTGCTGGCGTAGCTCCCCTCCTTCAGGTCCACCCGCCGGGCGCACTTGCCCATAATGCTCACGAGCAGTCCGGGATCCGTCGCGCCGATCTCCAACAGGATGTGGAGCATGCTCGGCTGCAACTTGGCCTGTTGGTACGCCCCGAAGCAGCGAACCAAGAGCTGCGCCAACTCGTTGGAGTTGTCGTCCTTCCCGTTGCTGGGGAACACCACTTTCACGGTTTTGAAGCACTGTGCAAGCAAGGACGCCGCAAACACCGGCCAGTGCGCGCGGTCCGCTAGAGTAGAAAAACGGTTGTAGTTGTTGGGGCCTGCCCCGGCAGAGCTGCTACTGGTTGTTGCGCCCTCAGTAGTTGTGCCGGTGCCCGATCTACTCGTGGCTGCGTTGGCGCCGAAAATGAGGTTGCAGAGCGTGAAGCTGACGGTTCGCAACAGAATCAGCAGCCGCACTTCGGGCGCGGAGCTCTTTTCTGACGATGCTGCCGGGGATGAATGCGCCTTTTGCAACCGATCGGTCGTGCCATTTGAGGTGGTGATGCCGGAGGTGGTCGTCGCATCATGTTCCGTGCGCGAGGACCGGCTCCGGGACAAACCCGCTCTCGACGTCCCGCCTCTGCTTGGTCCGTGCATGTTGTGCCTCCGAGGCGTAGTGCTAAACGCTTCCTTTCGGAATTGCACAGAAATGTCTCGGCTTGTCGTTGGGTCGGTCACCGAGGAAGACACCAGAGCTGAAGAAGCGTCACTGTAGACGCTTTTCAACTCCAGAACCTGCGCGAATGCTGCAGCCAGTGCCTTGGACAAGCGGCACTCTGCGTGTAGCGCGCAGCCGAGAACGACCACAGCGGGCAGAATGTCGTCCGAAGGCGGCAGTGTTGGCACTGCGTGCGTGACTACAAGATGTGCGAAGGGTTGCAGGACCGCGAAAAAGCCCTTTGCTTGCAAGTCGAGTTCGTTCAGAGTCGCGCGCAACAGGTTGCGCGCCGTGAAGCGGGTATCTTCGACGGGATCGAAAGCTGCTACTCGCCCGTAATAGTGCAGCAGCGCCCGTTTCCGTACTAGCCACGCGTCGTGTGCCGCCCCCCCACCCGTCGAGCGGTCTACGCACGTGGGCTCGTAGAATCGGTGGAAGTAGTTTTGCGCAACGACGGTTTCGATCTGCGCAATCTCCGCAGCCAACTCCGGTTCCTCGGCCGACTGCGCCGCGCTCCTAACGTCGCTCCCGAAAAGTCCCGCGCCTCCAGGACTGCTGCGAGTCCGTGCCATTTCGGCTTGACGGCTGGACGCTGCCGCGCTCGGATTGTCGGGGATGCGCTCTAGGAGCGCTGTGAGCTCGCGGTTTCGGATCATCTGCAACGACAGCCCCGAGGGGGCTGGTGGCTCGTAGGTTTTCTGCAGCACACGCATCACCTGGTTGCGCCGCCAGCGCTGCACGCCACCAGCTGTGTTCGCGCGGCTCAGGACGCCTGCGGGCGCACCACCGGCCCTGCTGCTCGAAGAGGTGGCCGGTTCCTCCGACGCTTTTGGCTGCGGACGAACCGAGCCTTGCCCCGCCTGCGCGGTCGTTTTCGAGCTGCGGAGAAGACTGTTGTGCAGCACTAGGCGCAGACAAACCAGACCGTAGAGAAACGAGGAAAGCCGTGCAGGGTTGAAAGAAACACCGAGCGATCCGTCTCTCGCACGCACCGCAAAGTGCGCGTGGTCGCCCTTGTAGCTGCGCAGCGGCAGGTCCTCGGCAGTGTCGAGAATCCCAGAAAAATAAGACAGGTCGGGCGGCACCGCGCCACCAATGGGCTCCGCAAAAAACGCATGCCACAGATCTCCCTCGGCCCGGACGGCGATCTCGTGTGCTGACATGGAACCAAGCGACGCGCCCGTACGCGGGTTCCAAATCGTCACCTTGAAGTCCGACAATTGCGCGGAGTCATCCTGCGCGTCAAGCATCTGGAGCTCCTCCCCGCTAGTACAACTGCACGCACTTCTTGGTTCCAACACGTACAACCAGCCGACGTGCGACACGCACCGGATCGGGGGTGGCGGCTCATGCGACGCTGACAAGAAAACCTGAAACACTACTTGCGCATATCTCTCTCCGGAAGGGTTGCAATGCACTTCAACCACTTGCGCGATGCCAGCAACGTCGGTCGCAACAACCCAGTCGCGCGAGCTGCCCGCTACCGGACAGAAGGCGCACACCCGCAAGTCGTGCCTTGTGTTGGGAACACGCTGCAGAAGTGCGGCCGATCGCCGTTCCAGCTCGTCCGCCAAGAGAGTGTCCGGAATGAGATGCGTCGTGTTGTTGATCATGAGGTTGTAAGCGAGCGCACTTGCGGAAACGTCAAAAACCTGCGGACGGTCTCCCGCGCTGGTTCTTCTTGGCTGTTGCCCCCCTACGCCTGATGTTGGAAACGCCTGAACTGGTGGCGCAGAGGAAGAACCTGTCCCGCTCCCCTGTGTGAGATGTCGAAGCTGCGCTCTGGATATGTAGTAGATGCGACCAGCTTCCGTTCCGAGAAACAGAATCTGTGGATCTGCTGCGAAAACTGCGGACACTCGCTGTCTCGGGGGAAGCAGCAGCACAACCGCTTTGGCACGATCCAGCACGTGCAGTATTACCACATCAGCTTCCCGGATCCGGTGCAGCCGACGGACACATACGTAGCAATCCGGTCCCCATATCAGTGACCAAGCAAAGCTCGTGACCTCCTCCTCCTCCGCGCCGCGCCTTGCACTACTCCCGTTGCCACACTGAATCCGCACACCATAGCGTCGCTCCCCGTGCGCGAGAGCATCCGATAACGATACAGAAATGCGATCACAAGCACTTGTAATCCCGGGCTTCGATGAACGAGAAAAGCAGACCAGTTCGCGCACACGGTCTTGCGTGGCGCACACGGCACACAGTACTCTACCGCCCTTGGTTGTCCACCGAAGTGGTCGAGGCGTTTGAGCGCATGCGTCTGCTTCCGTTTCGCCCCCGAAGTCGGCCTCGCGCGCCAAGAATTTCGGTGAGCGTGACACATTCACCGCTCGCACGCCCGGCTCCAGCTCCTGCGGGCTCCCGGCGGGCGAGCTCCGCCGCACCGGTTTCATTGCGACGTCCTCAACATCCCCCGGGCCGCCCTGGGGAGCCGCACCATCCGGCTTCGGCCCCCGATCGATCCGACCGTCCCCCGGTGGTGCCGTTATCGGCCACAGACACTGTGCCCAGGCAGGAAGTGCGGACAGCTGGTGCATCTGCACTCGAAACTTCGTGACGTCTATTTGGTACAGCAGCACTTCCGAGGCGGTCCATGCAACCAGGTATTCCTCGCACGGGCTGAAAGCGGACAAGCAGCTTTGTATCTTCGGATCAACGCCCTCGCCGGCAGCACCCTGCTCTGTCGTGTTCCCACCTTTTACAGCATCCGCCCACAGAGTGCGCTCGGCAGGACGAAATTCCTCCAGATCGTCTGCAGAGGAAGCGGAACTGGAACTACTGGACGGAACGAAGTATGGCTTGCTTTCCCCGAAGCGCAGCGAGGAGCACCGTGGGGCGCTACGACACCGCCTACGCTCGGAGACAGTTTCGGAACTGGTCAGTCGTGCGGGTTTGCTGTGCCCGAATTCGTATGCACTCCATTTCTCCGGGGGGTTTCCGAACCACTCTGCCGTCTTGATCCTGCCCGCCATCGCACCTGGAGATGTATCACTCCGAACAATCTGAGCGCCTGACCACACCTCACCATTGGGGGAAAAGAGGTCCTTCCAGGGATTGAAGCTTGCGTCCCATGCGACGATGCGGCGGCCCGCGATGCACAGGTGAAAGTCGGGGCCTTCGCAAAGCGCGGTCGCACCCTCGACGTGCGTCTGGAAAGCCACCCCAATTTTGTCCGTGGCGTCGACCATCTGAGGAGCGGAGGACGACGAGCTACCACCCTCTTGCTCCGTGCCAATCGGAAGTACTGGCGAGGCTGCGGTCGTTGCCGCAGAAGAAGAAGAGGAAGCCGCAAACACCTGCTGCCGTCGGCGCGTGGGCGACACACTCCGCTCGTTGCGGCCAAAGTAGAGAATGAACCGGTGCTGCGTCACACACCCGAAGAGATCCGTATCCCTCCGCGCCACCAGGTACCGGACGTCGCCCACGTCCTTGGAGATGCGCACGTGATTGGACACGACGCCGGTGCGCACGTCCGCGATGCCGAATAGGCTCCCTGGTGCGGCGGCTGAACCCGGACAACTGACCGCCAGCTGCCGCCTGTTCCGCAGCAAGCACGCGTGTCGCACGCAGCGGTGGAAGGGCTCCGAGTATTCGGTCTGCGACAATACGCGCCCGTCCTCGGGGTCGATGGTACGAACATGGTGCCGCGTTGCCAGCAGCAGCGCGTAGGGTGCAGACGCGCCGTCCAGCACGTTTCTATCCGCCTCCTCCGGGCTATTCGAAAGCAGGAAATCTGCAACCACAAAGGGGTCGACCCACTGCCGGTTTTCGCGAGCGAGAAAGGCCAGTTCCTGAGCAAAGCTCCTTCTTGCCTCCCTGTCCTCGGCGATACCCCCGCTAGGCGCAGCCGCGGTTCTCGCTTTATTTTGTGACGACCGTGCGGCGTGAATTCTGCTAGCAGGTCTGCTTGGCCAAAGCCGGTGCGGCAGCACGCATGCGCTCTGCAAATCCCACTGCTCGTCAAGGAAAAACACGCGGCCCGAGGCGCAGAGACAAACCACGCTACAACCCTCGAAAGGCGCTGGCAAAACCTCACGAATGCTTTCTGGTTCCTCTGTGCGGCTTGGATACACCACAGACAACATGTTGGCGCAGAGTGGTCCAGAGGACCTCGGGCTGTAGTGCTTCCTGCTGCGGCTGCTCGTCGGCTTGCTCTGCCCTGTAACAGAAACACCCGATAATACGCTTTAGACAAGCAAACTTTTGCCACTTCTCGCGGTCCATTGCAGTGAATTTCAAGAACAGTGCAGTGCAAATGCGCCTCGCAGCTGCATGATCTCGCGGGATAAATTCGACTTAACTACTGAGTCGGAGATCACTACAATAACTCAGAATCAGTACAACTATTTGGTCTATTGCAAAATGAATCGCCACACTTGCGAATCCGTAAAAAATACATACGAAACGTCCGCCCAACATAAGGGTCACGGTTGAGGAACAGCCGTGCGGGCAGAAGGAGATCCAAACGTCGGACATGGCGGAAGAGATCTTGCTTCTTTCTGGACCTTCAAAAAGGTCGATACTAGACGGTGAAAAAACACAGCGGTTTTGCTCCGAGATCAGAGTGGCGTAAGCATCCGAAAGATGATCATGATCATGATGCCGTAGTCCGTCTGACCCGGCAAAAAAAACCAAGCTGAGCAGGAGCGTCCGAAAGAAGTGTTCACAAAGCTACGAACGTCAGAACTGGGACCTTGATACCAGCAGAACCACCAGAATGGTAATGTGGTGCAGTAAGATGGAACAAAAAATCTTCACAGCTTTTTTTCTAAATATCGTCAGCCTCTCCCCCCACTGCTGCCGACAGCAGTGTCTTCTTCCGAATCATCTACGAACTTGCGGATATCTATGTGCGTGACACTGTAGTGGTCTTCCTTCTCAGTTTCCTCTACATTTTCTCCTCCGTCTGCGTCCATGTCATGGTCCTCGAGGAGCGAAACGCGAAACCGTTCCTTGATCAACCGCACCACCCGGTTCCGCCCGGCGACGCGGACGAAGCACGGGCGCACGTAGGGCACGCACTTGCCGACCAGCTTCGTGGCCGCCACTCGCGACAACGGCAGCGAAAACACTGGCAAGTTGCGGCACCGGTCGAGGTGCACGTCGTAGTACGCGGTCGCTTTGCGCACCAACCGACTCGTGGCCTCCCAGGGCACTCCGGCCCGCGTGGAGATGTCGGCCAGGGAAGCAATGTGGAACTGGCTGCGCAGCCAGAGGTACTGCGCCTCAGACGTGCGGGGCGTGTTGCTGGTGCGCTCGAGCCGGAAGCTGTCGTCCACTTCGAAGCCCAGGTTACGGCGATACCGCCGGCACTCCTCGCGGCCAGCCTCGATGGCGGCGTCCGCGAACAGCCGCAGCACCGCGAGGTCGCTCTCCGGGCCCGGTCGCTCCAGAAACTGCAACCGCTCGAAAAATCGCCGCTTTTGCTCGCGCCGCTCCTGCAGCGCGCGTTCCGCTTCCTGGGCCTGCTCGCGCTCGTTGGCCCCGTACCTGCGCTCCCGCGTGAAGCACACCAGATACTCCGACACCATCCGAGCGAGCTCCGACTCATTGTTCTTGCGGATGTACGGCATCCCGGCACTGTTCAAATGCTGAAACACGGCTCGCAGGGCGACTCGCAGGGTCGACACTACGCCGCCGCACTTGTCCGCGTCGCTCATTTCCTGCGCCTTCCTCCACGCCTGGTAAATCGATTTTCATCATCATCATCATCATCATCATCATCATTACATAGTGCCATCACAGACGTGCTATACTTCCCAATTTCCTGTTTTTTTCGGCTCCAGAAGTTGTGTCAGATAAAGCGAGACCGTACAATAGCCAAAGATTTGCATTTGCCTCTCGTGTAAAACTAAGATGACGATACTCAATTAATGAGAGCGGTTGTAAAAAAAAGGACCTCCTCCTGCTTCTCGTGGTCCTCGCCGGGGGAACCGCCACCGTCTACTTCCAGCGCACTAGCGAACAAGTTTCCCGTGGGAGAGTCCGCCCCGCTCGGGAATAGAAAGCTGTCGTTTACACCGAGAGATAGCATACTCGCGTTGGTGCCGTTTACGTCTGACGCGGCGTTCCGGGAGGACGCGCGATTCATCGTGGATTTCAATTCGGAGGCCGTGGCCGCGGTGGCAAACGCCAGGTGCTTGGCGAGAAAATGCCACAACAGGTCCACAAAATCATCGTCGTGGAACGCCGCAGAACTGAGAAAGGTGTCCATGTCCAGGTAGACCAATGGATCGCGCGCACTGTTGATTCGAAACGTCGGCTCTCCACCTATTATTCTGCCACTATCGGACGCGGCCTCTGCTCCTTGCGGGTCACCTTTATCATTGCCGACCTGCTGCTGCGGTGCCGCTTCCCCAGTGATTCGAGCGCGCTTCAGCTGCGGCGACAGCGCTGCAGCCGCAGCGGACGTGGAGGACGTCAACTGGTTTTGCTTCGACAAGATGTACTTGAGCAACCGAATGTGCGGCCAGGCCAGATCGTCTTCGCTTTCCCCGCGCACGTACACATTGGCCTCCCAGTTGCCGGGATACCGCAGCGGAAACAGCTGTCCCTCCGGCTGCGACGTGAAGGTTAGGTCCAGACAGCAAAACGGCCCTCGGTTCCAGCGAAGCGACCCCGAGGGATGCACCGACACCAGCTCGAACCGGGCACTCACCTCGACCTCGTCCTGCTCGCTCGCGCCAAGCAGGGTCGGCAGGTAGCAGTTCGAGTAGGCTGCAGGTAGGGTGTAATTTCATTTCCGAGACAAGAAACTCCCGATAGGGTCAACAAACATTCGTGAAATGATAATGAATAAAAAAAAGAAGACAAACAAAAAATTATTTTACGTACGCAGTGTCTGTGGCTTCGAAACGTCGAAGGTTTCCAGGACGTGAAGGCCGTGCGCAAAGACATTAGGGCGAAGGTTTTCGTCTCCGGGTATTAGAGTGCGCAGCCCCAGAAACGCGACCCCGGGGTCATTGGATTGCCCACCCGCGTGTTGCTTTCCCGGAACCGCAACAAAAATCGGGTACTCCAGTCGCAGCTGCAACTCCGTGATCGCCGAAAGCAATTTCCGGGCCTCCAACAGGTCGGGGATGGGTTCTATGCGCGTCAACTCGCTCTCCCATTCGTGCACTTCCGCCGCACCTTGCTCCGCACACGTGAAAATCGTCGGAAGTTCTGCAGTGTCATTCATGTGTCGAAGTTGAATTTTGTCCCCGGTAGCAGACGAAGCGCACGTCATCAAGAGCGAACCAATACCCAACTGCGAAGTGTGGCTCCTAAGCGGGTTAAACAATAAGCATGAGGTCGGAATAAAACTAACTGTAACACTAGCAAAACAGGTATGCTTCTTAAGTACTTTCTCACCCGTGCAGAGTGTCCTGGAGATGTGGAGCGGCTGCAGATTTTCCGTGCTGGGCGCGGATTTCGAAACGATGAAGAAGCCTTCCTCTACCTCCTCCCAGAGCCAATGGTAAAGCTTCCGCGTTCCGGACACAAACCAAATCGCGTAGCATTTGCTGCCCGCAGTTACAGCATGACTATGATCCTGCTCCTGCAGCTGCTGCAATGCAGCGAGTACGTCGCGCATTTCCGTGTTTCTTCCTTTCTCCAATATGACTACCTCTTTTTTCCAAGAAAAAGCATTCGCTCAACGCTACTGCGATGGCTTATTTCATCGTCGGAAGGTTACTAATAGAAAGATACTATCCACGAGGACGTCTAAGCACGAAAAGGAAGTGGCGCTGCTTATTACAATGAAAGAGTAGATCAACATCATCGTACAAATCGTTGATCATCTGGCTCCACGACATACACTGCTTTCGGTGCGCCAATCTTTGACGGCTCACAGCAGGAGAGCTTAACAGCTGAAAGTGAATCATGGGTGGCACATTTGCGTTTGCAACAGATTTGAATTTCCTCCTTGTTCCCCTTTTCTTCTCGCCATTTATTTTTGCGACGCGACCAAGATAAGGCTTGGCTTACCACTTGCATATCCATATGCAGAGAAGAACACAAAGGCAAGGCCCGGGAGCCTGCATTACTGTAACTCCGAGGAGTACTAAACAGAAAATTAGCTGGACTTGCTGAATTGTCGCACGGCTTACTCCTGCTTCTTCTAGAATACGAAAGGCAAATAACAGAGCCGCAGCCTTGCTTCCATTTGCATTTCCGAAAGCCTTTTCAACGCGGGGACAGCGCAGCACCAGTTGTGTCCTGTACGAACAAGCGAAAAAGCTACCAGCACAGCGCCATTTTTTTCTCCGCCGGCAAAAGCGTCCGTCGTCCTGCTCCAGATTCCCTACGTGGCAAGCTCCTCCAGTCGGAATGGGCATGCTCCCCGAAATTCCTTCATGGCCGCGAGGTCGAAATCTTGAAACACTTTGTGGGCAATCACGTTCTGGGCAAGCGGGCGGTCGCGAGGATTCCGCCGAAGGAGAATGCGCGTGACAAGGACCGATAAATCCTGCTGTTCCCCGACCGGACTGTCTTGTGGTCTCGAGTGTCTTTCTTCGGTGTGACTTCGCAAAAACCCCGCAAATGCGCTTGAAAATGCGCCTTCCAGGATATCTTCGTACAGACTTTCGCCAGCGAACGGCGGCTTGCCGGTCCACAGCTCGGCCAGAAGCACGCCTAATTGCCACAAGTCGACGGGCAGACCGTGCCCCCGCTCCTGTAGGACCTCCGGCGCGAGGTAGGCCGGCGACCCGCAAACGGTATAGGTTCGCCCCGAGCACGCATCCAGCGGTTTCGCCGCGCCGAAATCGATGACTTGAAGGTAGCCGAGCGGCGACAGCAATACGTTTTCCGGCTTCAGATCCCGGTGCACGATCTGCTTGGAGTGCACGTAGTGCAGCGCCTCCGCTACCTGCAGGCCGCACCAGGCCACCGCCCGCGCGCTGGGCAGACCCCGGCCGCCGCGCATCTCGAGAACCGTGCCGAGGTCGCACATTTCGCGCGGGTATGCGAACGCCAAGTGGAAGGCGTCGGACCTCGCCACACTGCCGAGCAGAACGGGCAGGAAGGGGTGCTGCAGTTGCTCCAAAATTTGCATTTCGCGCCGCGTTCCGTGGTGAGAGCCCTCGCGGACCCCTCCAAGTGTGGCCCGTGGTGTTGTGGATTTCGATTTCGTAGAAATGCTCTTGACGGCCGCAACGACACTGCTCTGCGTCGCGTCGGTGCATTGCAATCGGACGATCGCACGCCGTACAGTTGCAAAAGCACCCTGGCCCAGTGTATCCTGCCATTCGAGAATCTGCATAGCCGATGCGACTGAGCCTCACGATTCGCTACTGAAACTGATACGAGTACGAGTACGACTAGTACGATCGCGCTTAATAAACATTTCGAAAAACTTTTTGCGTCCAGCAAAATCGATTCGCCAACGACACACTTCCGGCAAGTCCACTAGCGCAAGGAATACAACTGAACACAAAAAACCCAACAGATCTCCGCAACAACGCCATCGAAGGATTTAGTGCTGGTGGTGGACATTCAGTGTATGAGAGCTACCTCTTGAGTCTTTCCAACGGATACTTGCAGCAATGTTTCATGCAGAAATCCTCGGCGCCACTATGTAATTAACCAAACTTTTGGCACTCCATGACTATGACAACATCAGCATGCAAACGAAACAAATGGCTCTACTTACTCGCTCACTCGCATGATTTAGAATCGAACCAAACCAACATGTTGGCCGACGCTGGCGGAGCGCGGCATGCAGCTCATTCAACATTCACTCTTATATACACTTCTACTGTATTATTAGTGCGGTTCTACAACCTAGCTCTCCACGCCCGCATTCCTATTGCTTCTTATCCCGCGCATTTTTTCACCGTCGAGGGTCCTCCGGTATGCAGAATTGTCGAACCGCGCGGCCCGACCGCTGACAGTTTGGTAGTCGGTCGCGTTGGCGCGCGACCGACCGCGGTGGTGCGGCTTCGGGTTTTTCGCACGAGTTTGTCTAGCGCACTCGGCGGCTTGTCGTGCACGATCCAGTGCCAAAGCGCCTCCGCCTGCATCAGAATCTGGGTCTTCTGTTGCGCCAGAGCCCGGCTGTGATCCAGCCCGGCCGGCTTCGCGCTGGCACCGCCAACACCCAGCGTCGCCTCCGGCGCCAGTGTCAGTTTCGACAAACCGAACGTCGTAATTGCCACGTACTCCAGCTGGCGATGCAGCATCTCCGCCCGGTCCACGAGCTGCTGAAAGTCCTCAAAATCCGTTTTCGTGGAACGGACCAGCGAAAGGTCGTCGATGTTAGCCTTCTGCGCGAGGGTGTGGTTCAGCGCGTCAATCTGCGGGTCGTAAATCCGGTACCCCAGCACCCTATCAAATGCAAATATGTCTGGGTCTGGAAAGGTTGGACCTGTATTGCGTGTTCCGCAGTCCCAAAAAAGAAAAACCTGTATTAGTATTGCATGAGCAGCAAATAAAGCGCCACACTTTCGTCATGCAAAAGTAATGCGTCCTGCGCATGACAGAGCGTTTGAAAGCTTTGTCATGGTGCACTGCACAAAAAGGCACAATCCATCATGGCCATTCAGCATGAGAGGTTTCCAGACCCAGACATTTTTGCAATGCATACACCCGCTCGGCCTCGGTGTTCAGATAGTGCTCGATCTTGTCGGTGAAGAAGTCCACGGTTTGCTGCACCCTGCCGAAACTCTCTTCAAATTTCCGCTGCAGCCCCTGCAGACACTCCGTTTCTACCAGGGCCTGGAGCGCCGCCAAATTCTTCTCGCTGGCTTTCAGCTGCAACGCGGCCTGCAGTGCCTGCAAACTGCCCGCGTGCTGCTCCATGCGCATTTCGGTCTTCCGCTCCGCGTCCCGGGCCTCACGAGCGTCCTGCAGCACCTTGCCCCGGAAAGCCTCAAACTCGGCTTTCCGGAAGTAGCAATCCTCCACGAGCTGCTCCAGTCCCTGAAGTTCCGTGAGCCGCGCCCGCGCCTCGATCTCCTGCACGCAAAACTCCCGGAAGTCGGTCGCGCCCTCGCGCAGGGCCTTCAGCTCCTCCTGCTGGAACTGCTCGAACCGGTCGAGATTTCGCTCCAAGTCGGTGTGGTTCTTCTGAAGCTGGCTCAGAGCGTCTTCCGTTTCGCGTTTCCCGGCGTACCCGGTTTCGAGCAGCCCTTGGACGAGATCGTCGCGCGCCGCCGCGATCTGCGTTCCCACGTAGGCCCGACTTGCCGCCTCGTCGGCGCGCTCCTCGGCCAGCTTGATCAGCCCCGCCAACCGCTCCGTCTGCTCCACCCGCGTAAATTGCGTCAGCGTTTTTTGCACCTGCTGCAGATCCTCCTTGCTGCTCAGCGTCCCCAGCTTCGACTCCAGCATCGCGAACTCCCCCAGTCCGGCCTTTTCCCGCATCTGCGTTCGCGTGGATTCGACCAGATTCCCGAGCAGCAGCATTTCCTTTTCCAAGAAGTCCACCTTCCGGGCGAGCTCCTGCCGCTGCTCGTTCCAGGTGCGCATCTCCTGCGTCAGCCGCTCCAGGTCGCGGTGTCGGTGCTCGGATACGGCGGTCAACTGCTGACCGTGCTGCTCCACGGCCGTGACCCGCTTCTCTAACTGCTTTCGCTCCTGGACGTATCCCCGAGAAAGCTAGCAATGTAAGGCACAAGCAAAAGAAAAGTCTGTGGTCATGGGCAGGCCCCAAGCGTGGCGCTTAGATTGTAAAAGACAGATTTTTTCACGCAAGTATCTATCGCTTATCGAGTGTAGAAGTTTTTTTTGCATTACCAATAACTATATGCCCTGTTAGCGTTTTTCTGTGAGATAGGACGCACTCCCGGTCCAGACGCCGGCCCTGGTCCTTCTGCTGCACCTGGACCTTCTCCACCACACTTTCCAGTGCCGCGAACTTTCCCATAATGTTCTTCACGACCGCGTCCAAATTCCCGAAAGAAATCAGCGCGTCGGCCGTACTATCCGCTGGCTGAGCCATGACCGCGCACCACTGCTGCTGAGATGAGGGATATAAGATTTCTAGTGGTCTACGAAAAAATGTTCGCTCGCTGATCAGGCCTCGCCATGGAGGGTCGCGCTGCTTTTGCAAAACCGCTTTTACTGCTTTCCTAGGAGCGTAGGCCGCGTATTTGATTTTGAGGAGGACGGGCCTTCTGTTTGCATTTGTGATCTGTCTACATTCTGCGTTTTCCTCTTCGCAGCGCAACGACAGCTCACTCAAGTCTATCACTACTTACAGAATTTTGTGGCTTAAGACATCTGTCCACGCTCGTCTTCTCTGCTTCGGTGCCACCTGAATGCGAGATTGATGAACGCGGGTCCGACCAGCATTCGACCGGTCAAATCTTCTGTACTTTTTCCTCGGTGTGAATAATGCGCTGCGCTTGTTTAAAAAAGTTGCCCATCATCTTTATATGTGCAATTTTGCAACTACAACGTTGTCTATCATATTTGCATCTATAAGAGAACGACGTAAGCCGACGTGTTCCACTGCCACTCGGCAGTCGAGCAACACTCCGGCCGCGCTTAGAAACACATAATTCTAGAAACATGGTAAGTACTATTCCTAATCCTCCAGCGGCACGCACCATCTTTAGTGATGAGGACTGGAAGGCATAGAGATGTGCTGCAGCAGGAAATATTAAAGCGAAAATCAGTCCAAACGAGATGCAAAATCTCGCCGACGTCACTGTACTACTCAAGAACGAAAACAGTCCCACTGCTTAGCGTTAGCACGGCACGTTCTGCAATGAATTTATCACATATGATTTTTCCGGGGCACGATGGTCGTCGAATCCCCCTGCAGCTACCAAACAACCTTCTGCGGCGGCAACCGTGCGGCACCGCGCAGCTCAGCATCCCCTCCCGGAGACAAATTGGAGAAAGTGATCCGGCTTCGCCACGAAATAAAGCTTTGGAAAAAAAAGCTCGACTGCAGCGAAGACCGGCGTTTATCAGACGTTGCAGTCGTGCATTTCCTCGTCTACTATCGTCTCTTCCACATTCGAAAACTGATCGCGAGTGTGATCTTTGAACAGCTCGTCGCGGGCATCCTCTGCGGCGTAACGCACAATCTCTGGCAGGGCCGGGTGGACGTAGATGGCGTCAAGGAAGGTGTCGAGCAAGCCTTGGCCGTACTGGATGGTGGGCAGGAACAAGTGTAGTACCGCTGCGGCGTCGTGCCCGTAGACCAGGACGGAGACAATGCGTCGCGAGCTCCGCTCCACTCCGAGAACCAAAGCGCCGTGTTTGTCGAAGGACGCGACGCCCAGTGGATAATTTGGATACTCAACGATGCCGTAGACGTAGGGACACTCCGGGGGGGTTCGGGGCTGCACCTGCCTGGAGGACCCCAGCAACCAGCGTTCGCTCGCGCAGGGCCGGGTCGGAGTCCCGTCCTCCGTTGGAACCTCTACATCGTCGGGCATGCGTCCGACCCCCGCAACCTCGCCCGAAAACACGGCCCAGGGCATGCCCAGAAAATTGTCTTGCTGCGTGGTCCGTATGCAGCAAAAAGGCAAACGCAGGTCGTAGCCGGCGCACAAAAGTTCTGCATGATGAGACAAGTTTTTCATGTTCTGACTCTGTGTTGCACCAGTTGCACAGCACGAGACCGGCGAGAAAGAAAAACTACACTGTGGTGCAAACAATGACGTCTTTCGGGTAAGCAAGTGGCGCGCTGGGGCTGCACCGTGCGAGTCTGGAAATAAAAGTACCGTCATGCCTGCAAAGAGAGTGCGAGCGTGGGATAGTAGCAGTTAAGTACAAATGAAATGAAAGATAACTTCATGCACTCGTCCCGGCACGACTTTTGCTTTTGAATTTCATATTCGGGCACTTTGGTTGCTGCAAGCTGTTCAAAAATTCTTTGCGCGATGCTGCTGCAGAGTTATCCCCAAAAGGCGGCTGCGCGCTTGATACAGCGGCATTTTTGGAGCGCTGTTGCACCGTGCTCGTGCACTCGGCATCCGCTTTGTCGCACAAACTGAGAGCGAGAGGCAGGATGACGTGCGCCTTTAGGTACTGCGCTTCCGCGTTGACGGCGTGGCGAAACTGCCAAAACCCGGTGATGTCGCCGAGCGCCCACACACCTCGCTGTGTGGTCTCGAGTGTGTCGGGGTTGACTTTGATAAACTGGTTCAGTGCGTTCAGCGTTGCTGCTTTTGTGACGCCCGCTTCCATCGCCAGGTCACCTCGCGTCTTGATGCCGCCTTTTGCCAGGTCCAGCGTGTCCGAGTTCATGTACCAACCGGCGGCCACGATGAGCATGTCGCCAGATACGTGGTACGTGCGCTTCGTCGGATCGTTCTTTTTCGTGTACGTTAGGGTGAAGACGTTCCTGCCGGTGGCGTCTGGCTTGTATCACACCGGAGCGTAGTAGAACGACGTCAAAAGGTGAAAAGCTTTCGTGCATTTACTTTCGAAGTTCGCTGCTCTTTTGCACGGTGATTATAATATTAGAGCGGACTTATTTTCTACGAATGCATTATGATGTTTCTATCCACAAATCTTTGTCCCATTTTTACGCTCTACAACGCTTCTTGGTGTGATAGTTTGTACGCCACACCGGTGTACTTGTCTATGTTGTGATGCATATCGTGCCACTCGCTGAAGAACGCCTCGTTCATACGCTGCCGTGCCCATTTATTTGCAATGGATCCAAGTACTTCACTCCGGCAAAAGAGGGAGACGGGCTTGGAGTCTGGGTCTTTATGTGCAATGCGGATCGCGTGCGCAAGCTCCACCGCAATGTAACTGGCAGCGGTACCGCAAAGAAACAGGAGCCCACCCCAGAAACCGGTAAATTGAAAAATTACGCCGATAAAACAAATATTGGCCTGGTTGCAGTCCCGTGGCTAGCGTGAGCTTCTTACGCTTCCGCCTATTGGAGCCGATTTTTACGCTGCAAGAGAGCAAGCATGGACTTTCTTTCGTTCTAAAAATTCTTTCTTTCTTAGTAGCAGAGCAATATGACCACTTGCTTCGAGGTCAGTGTGTAAAGAAATCTTTCCTCTCGATGGCGCAATGCACGTACTTAAGTGGATGCCATGTGAGTGGTTGAAGGTGCGCAGCGAAGTACAGGCTTTGGAGTGGGCCTCGGTTCAACGCGATACCCGACGATGAGCGTCTTGCCGTTGGTCGGCCATCGCCACGCCCTGTCTGCGGCCTGGCGCAGCACCTCGGTACTTGTTAAGTACGGAACGTTGGGCAAGTTGGGGATGTCGGGAATAAGCGGCCGGCCGCCGGGGGCGAGAAAGAAATAAGTACCCGAAACCTGCACACTCCGCGGGACGCCGCTGCCAGTTGGCATGGTGCTGACGACTCTCATTTCGTAGGGCGCGACGAACTTTGCGTGCCCAATGTACAGGTGCGACTCCCGCCGGGAGTCGCCCGCGAAAAAGTTAGTCCAGTTGCTACCCAAATCGTCACTCAAGCTGTTCAAACGCTTGTCAAAGATCTCACGTGCCCTCTGCAAGCGCTCGTCGGCGTTATCCGGCCGGGCCATTGGATCATCCTCATTTTTCGGACCACCTTCCTTGCGTTCTTCCTCGTTCAAACGATGCCCGTGCGGGTCGAACACGGCCAGCCGCTTCCGGTCGGTAAACACGGGTTGCCTGCTATACTGTTGCAAGAGTCCCACCTTCCTGTCCAGTACATATACCGAACTTTACTTCCGTGGTGCGAGGGTCCCCGCTTCCACGCTTCGGCTTGGGCGAGGCCTACCCATCCGATAGAGCCGTGACAATCCAGGTCTAGCCATGTTTTCTTACATGGATTTTTCAACAAAGCTAAGCATGTTATTTGTCCGCCACGCATATAGCCAGAGTCTGAGAGGTGAAGAACCAGATGCGAATTTCGATCAGGAAAATCGAAAAGATTACAGATCTACTTTCATGCACGCTTCGGGCAAGACAATATCTCACTTACTGGAATGGGTGGACCGTGCTCACACCGGATAGTCCTGCTCATTTTTCTCTGTTCCATTGAACATCGCGCGCTGGTCGGTCTTATCCAATGCAAAAGTAGAGCGTATTGTCCCGTGGCGCAAGGACATGAAACCCTCCTTGAATCCTCCTTGAGCGCCAGAGCAGCCAGCTGCATGCTTGGACTTGCCATGAAAAGACTTCTTCGGCTTCAATGTCCGAGAGAAAAAACAGCACTTCTACTTTTGCAATGCGTACTCCCATCGCAAACTGGCATCAGCCTGGTGAATCCACATCTTCGAAGGTAGACAGCCGCGGGTCAGGCACGTACCACCGAGCCCAGGAAGCCTGTTTTGAAAATATTATATGATGCTATTGATTTATTGCTCTGAACAGCATATGCGGATCTGTACGAACGATGAAGGATCTCCCCCTTGAACTTGATACGTATCTGTGCCGATGCAAGCATTGGGAGAAGCCGTCCATATTATAACACTTTCGAACGTCGTAGTACCATCGATCCTTCTCAACGCGGCGGTAAGTCTGCGCGTCCCAGCCCGCGGTCCAAAATCCCTTTTCGATAACTGCGACTTTGAGCCCGAGTCCGCGTGCGAAGTGCGCGATCTTCAGTCCACCTCCGGATCCCACCACAACGACGTCGAAGTGCTCGGGCGCGGCTTGCGCGAACGAGCTTGCCTCTCCCTCGACGAGCCCGGACGGGGAGACGGAAACGGAATGCGCAGGGGAGGGAGGCTCCTGTGCCGGCACACCGGTGGCCCAGTCGATCTCTGCTTCGTTCCGCTCAATTTGCTCCAGCAGAAGCTCGTATGCAAACGGAGCCCGAAGCATGGCTGAGCCGCTCTTATTCTGCGGCGCCGCAGCGCCCTGCTCGTCGAGAAACGTTTTGGCCCGGAGGTTGCGACCCGCGTCGCCAGGCTCCGCTTTATCATCTCCTCGCAACGCTGGGTCGCGAGAAGGTAATCCCGGTTCGCGCGCCGGTTCATTGGGGTAGACTTCCCCTTGTTTTCTACCCACACCCTGGCCAGTGCCGGGTCGCCCCAGGAGAAGGTGATAGAATACAAGACCGGCCGCAAAACCAAGGGACGCGATCACGGCCTGCCCGAACGTAGCCGCGTCGGCGAATCTCCGTCGCCCAGTCGCTTTGGCGGCAAGGGAGGCCTCGTGCTGCTTCCGAACAGAGTCATCGGTCGCCATTTTTTACCACTCCTCGTGCGAGGGTCTCGTGCCGGGCGAAGTGCTCGGCCCGATCGGGTACTGTCTGCCAACGCACGCGGTTGCTCGGTTGCAGTAGCGACGCCACCTTAGCGAATACTCAAGACACGAGTTGCCGTGGCCCTTGGCACGACTCAACACAAACTTCGTCCTCACGACTCAGCGCAAAAATTTACAGCGCGGGCGCGCACTCTGCCGACCCTCGTCCCTCTCTTCCTCGCTCCGGGATCGTGCGGGCGGCGGGAACCGCAACGGTGGCGCGGTCGCTCTTTTGAGCCGGGGTCCACACGAATAGAGTACAAGTGCATATCCGGGTGCGGGCGCGTGATCTTGGCCTACGATGTGCAAGGCTACAATTCTCTCGAACACCGACACCAACGCGGACGCCACTAGGGGCGCGAAGCAGTGCAGACTGACGGGGCGGAGCGCACCCCGTCACGTATGGCGGTAGGGCGGGCGCCCGGCGAGCGCGCTTCTTAGTATCGTGCAAGCAGGTTCCGCACGCCCTGGATAGGCTGGGACCATTCGCGTTTTTCATACATCAACGAAAGGCATTGGGGTCCACTGCCCCTGGCGAGGGGAAACAGCAGGGTGCGTGGCCAGACGTGGGGCGGGGGGGGGGGGTCCAGCCTTGTATGATCCAGCTCCGGTATGAAAGTCAACCAATTCAGGACAACAAGCGTTATAATCTTAGTTAATGGCTGCTTTTTTTGTATCTTATGCATTGAGACGCTTTTGCTTGATTGCACCTGTTGAAATTTTGCAACCTTAAAAAATTCAAAAATTTTGAAAAATAGAAAAAGCTGACCACAAAAAGGAAATTTACGCAGAATAACACAAGAAACGCGCCCAGCATAGCTTTACAAAATAAGCGCATCATGTTACCCACTTATTTTCTGAAATAAGTTCCAATTTTTGGACAGATCTCAACTGGTCAAAAGTCTTAAATTATACTTATCGAGTAAAGTTCCGAAAAAGTCCAAAAGTGGCTAGCCGCTAGCTACAAAAGAGCACGCGTCTGCTAACTTTTATCAGTCCCACGCATCGACATGCTCAAATCTGGATAATTTTCAGGAAAATTGCCAACCCTGAAAAAATCCGAAAAAAAGTAATTTTTTATACAAGTCAAAAAATACTGAAAATTAAGGCCATTTTTTATACAAGTCAAGGCCATTTACGTCATAAAGTGAAGGAATATAAACAATGCAAGATATTTGGAGCTTTTTTAATTCTAGAGTTTTCATTTTTTGGGATAATTCACAAGCTCAAGAAATTTTAAAAAAGTCGAGAAATGGAAAAAAAAGAAGCTTGAGCGTCGTAATATAGGTAGCGTATGCAATATAATAGAGCAGGCGGAAGCTTTTAACTGCTTTCGCTTGTCTCTAATGTCAGAGCTGCCCACTTTTCTCAACTTCCGACATTTTTAAAAAAAATCAAAAAAATCCTACTTAGGGAGGAAGACAAAAAACACTTAAAAAGAGTATATATATGAACAGAATCGCAGTCATTTGCATCGCCTTTGCCTGCTCTTGGGCCGAGTGTCCCACGTCTGCCAATTCGTCCAGGTAAATCGTTTCACCATAAAGACACCCACCATAAGCATACCCCCCCCCCCCCCCCCCCCCCCCCCCNCCCCCCCTCCCCCCGATCCTACCCAACCACCTACCCGCCTACCCCTTCTTGGTAGTCAACGCGTGCTATTCAGGTCTGGAGCTGCGCGGACCGCGCTGCCAGCCTGTGTGCTGGCTTCGGGGGAGCCCCATCCCCCCTCCTGATCGGGGCGCAATCCTCCCGCACGTTCCGTGTGTGCCTGCCGGCCGGTGCGCCTGATCGGGCCCTGTTTCCCTCTTTGCGCATCCTCCTATCATTATCGCGCTATTCCCGGGCCCTATAACCGTTTCAACGGTCGGGCGTATAGCTTTTCCTCCCGTGCTCCTTTGCGCACGCTGCAGGGAAGCGGCGAGGCCTTTCGGCGGAGTCGCGCCGCCAATCTGCTGTCCTTGGCGCGGCCTCGATTCTCATGCCCGCGTCGGCTCCACTCGTAGTGCTTGCCTTCGCAGCGCCTATCGCCTCCATTGGGACCCGTGCCGTCCTTTGGATGCCACGAATCGCTGCCGTGTTCTTTGCGCTTTCGAGCCGCGGAGCAACTAGCACCGTAGCGCCCGATTGCTTGTGCGTGCCCGTTGCCAAGGTATGCAGCAGTTTCAGTAGTCGCCGCCGGTTCGGCCGAGTCTCAGAACGCCTCTCCCCCGTCCCCCTTGTTGTAAAGCGGGTAGGAAATGGTCGGAGTCACAAAGCTTCCCCGCGTTGCGCTCGGTCTCGCGCTGCAAGACGCATGGGGCTTGTCGGACGGTCTGGCTACAACTCCGCTAATGGGATGGCGCAGTTGGAATGCCTACTCGGGAGACGTAGACCAGGCGGTGATGGAGAAAAGCATAACCGCGATTGCCGCGGAATTCGCGGCATCGGGGTACCGGGATGTCGGCCTTGACGATAATTGGCAACTGTGCGGCGCCGGCGCGCACGGGACTTTTCACGACGAAGCCGGGCGACCCCTCGTTAACGCGTCGCGCTTCACGGACCTAAAGGCGCTAACTCGGCTCGCACACCAGAACAACCTGACCGCGGGCTGGTACGCAAACAACTGCATCTGCTCCGAGAACAACTTACCCGCGGACGTAGCGCTTCGGAATCTGCAGGGCGACGTGCGTGCGCTCGTTGAGTACGAGTTCGATGGCATCAAACTCGATGGCTGCGGGCAGAACACCAACCTGTCCACCTGGTTGTCGGAGATTCGCAAGACCGGACGAAAGATCGTCGTGGAGAACTGCCACTGGGGAAACGATCTGCGATTCGGGCAACAGTGTCCGTACCATTTCGCCCGAACCAGTGGCGATATCGGTCCGTACTGGCGCGCGATGTTTTTGAACCTGCAGAGCGTCGCGAGAGCGCCGGAAGGCGAACCCGGGTGCTGGAATTACCCCGATATGCTGGAGGTAGGTAATTTCGCGGGCACCGCCGCCGTGGAACAGGACCGCTTTGACCGGACGCACTTCGCGGCGTGGTGCGTTACATCGAGTCCGTTGGTGCTTTCGTTTGATCTCCGGGACCGTGCGAAAGTGCAACGGGTCGGCGGAATCGTTCGGAACGAGCTTGCCATTGCAGTGAATCAATTGTACAGTGGCGACGCGGGAAGGCTGATTTATTCCTGGGAGCCGCTTCCTAACACGCTCTTTCTCTGGAGCGTCCCGTGCGATCCCTTTGCGTCGGAGCAAGCCGGCTGGCGGCTGGATGGCGCGCAGCGACCGCGGTGGCGGCCCGACCCCGAGTCCGACCAGGACTTCTGTCTCCGGGCACAGCAAGGAACGGATCCGAAGCTTGCAATACTGGTTCCCTGTGGTGATCACGGCGTGTCGGACTTTGTGCTTGATGCGGAGACCGGGTATTTTCGTTCTGTGTCGGTCTCGTCGGCTTGTTTGCGCCCGTCGGAGGGCGGTTTCGAAATCGGGGGCGATTGCCAAGCGGCCCGGCAGTTTTTCGTGTCGCCGGGCACGGGTCGACTGTTGCAGCGAGTTGGGCCGGCGATGGAAAACGAGCGGTGTGTTGCCGTCAAGGTGCAGGCCCCCTCGTCAGCAAACACGTTGCAGCTCTGGGCAAAGCAGCTACCCGTAAGAAACGATGCGAACAAGAACGCATCGTCCGCGGGACATGGCAGGACCTCTCCAACATACGATCGAAGCCTATCGCATTCGCACCATATGAGCGTCTTGGAATCGCTTTTCGGAAAAGATTCACTCAAAGCTTCAGAAGAAGATACTATATTGGGGCGCCAGGCAGTTTTACTCATCAACGCCGACCAGCGGGGTGCGCATCCATTCACTTTCGGCCCGGCTGTGCTGCAGCGACTCTTCGGTGCTGTAGCAGTCCCCGGAACGCGTTTTGCGGTTTTCGACGTGTGGAACAAGAAATTTTTGACACAAGCGGACTCTGCTCCGCCGAGCGTCAGCGTCCCGATCGGCGGATCCACTAGGCCATTGCGTACTATCGAACAGGATTATGTGGTCCAGATTCCGCCACGCGGAAGCACGTTCTTAATCCTCCAAGCAATGCGTGGTCGCGGCGACGGTGCGCTGCGTCTCGCGGAAAATGAATTTCCGGCAGAAGATGCAGAAGTTTTCACATGATTTGGCTACTTGCTGTATACACTTCCTCTTAATTATATCACCCACGTTGATTTTCACGCTGCTCACAAGAAGGGACGCCATGTGTACCGTGACACATCGACTTGATGTGTGTTCCGGCACTATCCGAGGTTGTAGAGATGCAAAGACTGATTCAGTGTTCGCCAAACTTCAACGGCAGTGTTCTCGTTTTCTGGTTCGAACGCAACTGCTTGATCCCTGTCGCTGTCGCAGACGGCCATTTTTGAAAAAGTCTGTCTTTTCGGAAGCCTGCTCTTTGGCACCTGGGATTGATTTTTCTCCTTGCACAGAATCTCAGAGCCAGCAGGACGTTTCACATCAGACAAACACGAATCTTTTAGGAGTTTTATCTTCTGCCTGGATAGGTACTATTGATTCGTTCGACACCGACAATCGACTCAGCTAGACTTTTTCAGCGTTAGACGTACTAGAAAGAAGTACACTATGGTAGATGACACGCCAAGCGCCGCGGAGCTCGAGGTGGGCAGCCGTCTCTATGTGGGGGGAAACCTGGCGACCATCCGCTGGGGACCCGAAGTCTTGCCCGGGCAGGGAGAGGACCGGTGGTTCGGGGTGGAGTACGACGAAGTGGGCAAGGGGAAGCATGATGGCACGCACAACGGCATTCGGCGATTCACTTGTCCAGAGAAGACGGGTAGTTTCGTGAAGGTACAGAAGGTTTCGCCGCCACTGTCTTTTGGCGAAGCCTTGCAATCCAAGTACTCCGACGAAGAGGTTCCCCTGGAGTTTCACGACCACGCGAAAGCTCGGTCCCGGTCCGTCGAGTTTGTCGGACGCGCAGAAGTGGTTGCGCGCATGCAGAACTTTCAGTCCCTGTGCGAAATCAATCTTTCCAGCTGCCTCATTGGGGACAGCCGCAATTGCTTGCAGCGCAGTTGTACTAGTAGTGCTGCGATCGGGTCTGCATCTTCAGACCCAGCTCGGGGAGGTTTTGCTTTCCCAAACCTGCAGCGTCTCTCCCTTGACCACAATTTGATTACTAGCTGGTCCACGTTGGCCGACATTTGGACGGGCTGCCCGCAGCTGGCGTTTTTGAGTGTTACCGGGAACCGTCTCGCACGACCCACCATCGCGAAGGCGTCAACACCGGGTCCTACGGCAAACCCCTCGTCAAACCCGGACACGAGCGACGGTTCCGGTATAGCGGCCTTCGATGAAAGTAGGACACCCCTACCCCCCTGTCCGAGCCTGCGCGCGCTCGTGCTGAACGAAACGGGCGTTGGTTGGGACGCCATGCCTACGCACCTGTTTTCGGAGCTGGAGGAGCTCCACGTCCGCGCGAACGGCTGGGAGAGGCTGGCGGAGGATCTTCCCGAGAGGCTGCCCTGTCTCGCGCACGTGCAGCTGGAAGACAACTGCTTGCAGAGCTGGGACCAGACGCTCGAGGTTCTGCAGCGGCTGCCGCGTCTGCGCAGCGTGAACGTGTCCGGAAACCAGCTCACAGACGAGACGCTGCGGTTGGGGGCGGCGCTCCCGCCAACCGTCACCAGTGTCTCGTGCAGCAACAACCTGATTCGAGACTGGAAGACCATCGCGTGGTTGATCTCGCACACCGGCCTGAGGCAATTGGTGGTATCCGATAACCCCATCGGGCACGCGCAGGCCCTGCGCCAGATCGTGCTCGCCCTCATGCCGTCCCTGAATCGCTTGAACGCGTCGGAGATCACATCCCGAGAGCGCGTGAACGCCGAACGCATGTTCCTCTCCTTGTGGGCGAACGGGTCGATTTCCGAAATCTTAGAGGCCGTGGATCCCGCGCAACTCCATCGCAAGCGGTTGGAAGCCGTGCACGGAGAGGGCTTTGTCTATCAGAAAACAGCGGAAAACACGGTACGAATGCAAAAAGTTGTGCGGACCTGTATAAATTTTTTTTTCGTACAATCACGCAATTTTGTTCCACTTTGAGAGCGGGACAGACGAGTACGCCCGTCATTTCTTGATGACGCTGCGCATGAACTCAGTCGATATTTGTCAAAACTCTCAGGGTGGCAGTGCGTTCGGAGCCAATTTGATGGAGTTGACGCTGCAGCCCGCCGGGGGTTCGATACTGCATCTGCCACCGCTCCGCAAGAAGATCCCCGGCACAATCAGCATCGCCGAGCTGAAAACTTTCTGTCACAATTGCTTTCAGCGGCTGCTTCCCGTGAAGGAGATGCGACTGGCTGTAGTGAACCCCGGGGACCCGATAGCCCTTCCGTTTGCGGAGGACGACGACGCGCGCGAGGTGTGCTTCTATGTTCAGACGGGTGCAACCATTCAAGTTTTGGACCAGGAGGATGGTTCCGCATCCACAGGCTGACTGCTGCGAGATGCGATAAATACTATACTACGTATCGGATGCAAGAAATTCGTCTTCAGAGACTCTACTTCCACGTTTCGCTTTTCCTGTTGCTATGTCCACTTTCGTCAACATACACCGCCAGCAATTGGCCTTCCGCCTGGCCGCTGCAACTGAAACGCCCCGGTGTCCTGCCATGTTAGATGTACTTCCACATGTTCAAAACGATTTACCTGTCGCTTCTGTGTTCCAGAAGTTTCAGGATGATAGATGGGCTTTTCCCAGTGCACAGGCCAGGAAGACACACTGTAAAAGGAGTGACGCAGCCTAGTTTTCAAAACAATGTCATCTTGTAGTGTCGCAGTGCTTGGTGTGTGTGCGTTTGCGTACGTATGAATGTTGTGCATCTTTCTAATCGCCGTGGAAGTGCAAGTGTTGCGGCTGTAGCCCTCTGATGTTCTCTACTTCATAATTTCCTGGTTCGTGATGTGACTGGATATGGCAAGAAGCCTCTTGAGGTTGTGTAAACAAGAATAGGTGGTAGGTGCGCGGCCAGCATAATTTTGTAGCACGTAGCGGTCGTGATTCCGGTAGCAAATTTCTTGTGTTTGTAAATACAGAGTTCGTGTGTGAAGGAGGGGAAGTGTTATCGCCGTGCCTGTGTGAACGTGTTGGCGCGTGTTTTTTGGATCAAGCACACGTTGCGTTTTTTGAAGATGGCGCCGGGCCTGCCAATAATGTTCGTTCGCTGCTTCTTGGGCCAGGCCGCAGCAGTCGCCGAGCGGGGAAGAAGTAAATACGCCGCTGGTCGCAAATAAGATCAATCCTTGCGAGGTTGGTCGACCTTCGGCTTTGCACGTGAACGAAAGAAGAAATAAGAGTTGCGGCGAAGGTCGTCTACCTGATCAACTTGAACGAGCGAGTGGAATCGCGGACGCGGCGTGTCGATCCGCAGACAAGGGCCAGCAACGACCAGCCTGGCAGTACAATTCTCGGAAATAGCTTTCGCAACGCAGGAGTTGTCATGAATCACAACCCCGCGCAAGTGTCGCAATGGCTCTCGTCCATGCTGAACATAATTCCGGGGGACATCCTCTCTCTGCTGTCCCAACGCGTCAAAGCGCACCAGATCGGCGGCCACACGTTTTCCGGCATGCTGAACAATCACGAATTTCTATCGAAGTGAACTAAAATAACTGGAGGCACGCAAAGGTCATGTTGTGACTTGCAGTATGTCCATGTCCCTGGGCAGGCCGTTTGGCCTTGTTTCCCCCAATGGAATTTTACTTTCGTAAGGAAATGTATAAAAATGCTGTCGGCGGCGCGTTGAGGAGCTTTACTTACTGGCAAATCGCGTCTACTTGGTATATCATGCATAGCAACAACCTGTTTCTCGGAGATGTGAAGCTCGCAAAAGATGTACAACTTCTGATGCGTTCATTATCTGCAGCGGCTTCTTTCCCAGTTTTCCTTTTGATCGGCGTTTACGGAGATGGGCATCGAGGGCCTCACCATGCTGCATTGTATTACAGTTTTTCTTTTTGTTTCTATCAGTAATGCAGACCACCCGTTTTGCTAGATGTGATCATACTTTGTTGTGACTGGAGATCAAAGTCGTCGCATAGGTATCTCACCGCTCGAGGCACGGTGTCAACAACTACACGGAAAAGAATTCTTTGGAAGTACGCTTCAAATCTTTGATGATGTTGACGTAAAACTGAAAATTTCAATCTTACCAAAAATCAGGTTCGCGCATAAGGAAGGTGTGGCACCAGGATTTTCCGGACACGAGGAACATCACATTAGATCGTACGCTCGTTGAACATCGGGAGTCTAAAGTTGAATATTGTCGAAGGGACCGCGGCCCCCGCTTGATGTCGGTTTCGTCTAAAGAGGTCCCCACAGCACGATACCGGCTTTCTCTATGTGACCACGGATGTCTGTGTATTTGTTCATTATGTGTGTGCGGGCACATAGTTCTAATTCTGTTTCTGGATGAGCCATGATGGTGTCATGGCTTTCCTGTCCGAATATTCGAGGTTCGCTACACAATTTTGCTTTACTCACCGATTTTTTGCGTTGGATACGGTGCCGTCCTGGCAACATCCCCGGCGCGCAGAGAGGAGGGTCCAACCGAAATGCCACCGAGCAGCAGACCCCCGACATGCCGGTAGCAGGGATGCGACCCCCGGGAGGTCGCAATCCGACCAGTCGGGTACTTAGTGTCACTCTGCGTCCTCTCGCGAAAGAACTGCACGAAGAAGTACTTCTGCAGAACTTGATCTAGAAGTACGTGTGCGAATCAATGTCTTCATTGCTATCCTACTTCTCTTTGGCTTCACCTGTTGTTTCCGAGCCACCGTGCGGCACGTAGAAAACCAAGAACAATAACACCTGAAATAACAGATGCACCAGCTGGATGACGGCTCACAGGTGCAGCTGGATCCCCGTCTCAATGCAACCGTGAGCACCAATGATCCGTATCAAGGGGAAAAAGGAATATCGCAGTCGCATAGTTTATTTCTGGCAGCACGATAGACACGATAAAAGTTACGCGTTTTTACATGGTTTTTGCATGAAGGTATCGCGTTTCAGTCGGTGCGTGTTTTAGAAAAGTGCGCATGTGTTTTTAGACTTAGACGCCATGTGCATGTATGATATTTCGACTAGCTGCGACAGTTTCATCAATGGATAGGATACGGCTCAACACCACGTTCAGCAGTTCGAACCGGCATCAGCAGCAGAGAGGCCCTGCGGATGTAGACGCTGCGCATCGCGAAGAAACTCTGCGCATGGCGCAGCAGATCCAAAAATTGTATAATCACCTTAATTTTTGCGTACCACTAGGTGCTCCTTACCGGGTGTAGCGACTCGAGTTTTTGTACGGCAGAAAATATATTCAGCTTCCGTGGTTTTCATGCGAGAAAGAGGCAACAGAATGAATCAAGAAGTAGAAGTTGGAAATACGTGGCGGAGCGCAATGAAATTTCACAAAACTGCATACCAGGCGAGCAGACCTGGAGCTCGGAGAGCAGCGGGCAAGGAAGGCCGAAGAGGAACGAGACCAGTATAAGAATAGCCTGGACATGGCGGAATCACGAAATCGTGCACTAACCGAGCAAATGAAGGAGCTTGCGGACTTGCCGAGGTATTTTTCAAGCATCCCACTTATTGTTATTTGTCCGCCCGCCGTTGAATTACCCCGTGGTTGTGCATCTACGGACCACCCAATTGTTGTCCTTCAATCCTGCAAAGCGATCGGACTCATGTAGTACGATGGGACAATGATATACCATACTTGTCAATCGTGGCGTCATTCTGATATTGAACAATGTGAAACTCCATCTCAGGAAAGTGTTTGAGCGAGTTTGTGACCAGGCTGGCCTCGACAAGGCACAAATGTATCCGGGCTCGCGAGATTTGCTCCGCCCGGCCCAGCAGAGCGACAAAGGGCGTGGTCACGGAGGCGGCGGCGCAGGCGGAAGTCAAGGCTTATCCCACAGGAAAAAACTAGTTGGTCACACCTGTAATGTTTACAGAAAAATCTTTATATCCTGAAAAAGAGCATGCTAGACAGGCTCAGCCATGGCGGATTTTATTTTAGCATTCCGGGTATATCCTGCTAGCTTTTTTGGGTTTGATAGGGCCCCCCCCTGATGCAGAATAAGCAACCCCGTGGACCGCCCGGGGGTCCGCCAGCGGGTCCGCAATTGGGTGGTCGCATTGTCATATCGGGTGTAACGAATCCTCCTTACTCAACTCATTTTCATTTGGAGACCCGGATCGCTGCGCGTCACAGTTTGCATGCGCGATTCGCTCACGCCGCGCGTCACAGTTTGCATCTGGAGGACCATTTAGTTGTATCTGATTAATATTTTTGCACACTCGTACACATTTCTGCAGCAATGCCAAGCAGAGTCGTGGTTACACAACAAGAAAGAAGGATCTGTTACACCTGATAAAGCGGAGATCCGTACGATATTGGATAACGCGAGCTCTTGAATCTTTCCTCTTCGGTTTATGACGCGCAAGCGTCTTTTGATGATTTGGTTTGTTTTGCTGCATTAACATTGTCACCTTGATTCCACAGATTTGATCCCAACGCGCCACCAATACACGCGGGCGCGCCGCAGCCGCAGCAGCGCGGACAGCGACCGCAGATGCAGTCCGGGGGAGGCGGCGGGGTGCCGACGCAGCCGGGCGTTCCGCAGTCGCTCCAGGGTACCCTCCTTCACCAGCAGCTTCCCGCGGAAGGAGAGAAACAACCGCCTTACCGCACAGAAAAATTCCTAGCGTGTGTGCATACTTCCTTGTGGGGCACTAGCGAAAGGAACGTGATGAAAAGTACGGAAACCCGTCAGGTGCGGGGCCGTAGCTCCGCTGTCTGTGCTTCTTGCATGGTCGTCGACATCTACTTCCCTAGTTTTGCGGACGTCCCCGAATTTATTACTTAGCGCAAGCGTAGTTTTTCTACTCCATACCTGTCCGCCCGCACAGAGGCCGGGAAACCCTTTCGACGAACTTCCAGCGTCTGCACATCAGTGTGCCCCGCAAATGATTGAGGGTCTCAGGAAATAAGGATCGAAATGATCAGTCTTGCTCAGTGTTGCTACCATGTGTTTCTGCCAATGTTCTTGAGGTTTCATGCGCCTGCGAGGATGTAGTTGGACACTACTTGCTTCCCGTACGTTCTAGCCGCAAGAGAACGGCGAATATTCCGCTGTTGAAATTTTGTTGAGGCTCTCGTATTTGCGATGGATGATTTCCGAAGCCAGGCTATGGCGGTCCGGGACCAAGACGACCAAAAGGAAACTGGGCGCACGTCGTCGAGCCGGGGTATTAATTTACGTTTGTCGTATTTTCTGTTGTTCCAGTGCAAATAGTACACATTAGATTTATTTCACCACCTTGGATCTTCATTCCGATTTCTTTGTATATCGGGCCCCTGCTCCCTCCGTCGCGGAACGCGCCAAGCTCGCTGTAACGAATTTCGTATCATGAACGGATGGTGTTGTCTTTGTGTTAAGTCGTGCGTCGGCGTTTCAGCTCCCTGTTTCTACCGACCCAGGTAACACCGGCCAGGGGCGAGAGAAGCGATTCAATCCGTCCTTCGACGAAAGCGAGGAAATTCGACAAGTGCATCGCGCAGAAGAAAAAGCACAGCCCAGCACGCGCGCGCAACCACAGCCCAAGGCGGCTATCCTGTGCATAAAGTCTCCCACGACCTAGCCAAGCACGCTTCATGATGTCTCCTTGAGGTCTTAGGTTGACGCAGCTACAGCAGCGCATTATACTTTTATGGTGTTGCGACAAGCTGCAGAATTCGATCCTGAGCAGAAAAATGTAGCACAGAACGCACTTTGTGAGTTTATAGATTCGACTGCTATCACGATGGCATAGATCAACTCCTGTTCTGATGAAGATGTACATCAGGCGCTTGCATAGGCAGTAAACCTCGAATGTATTCTATTCTTGATTGGCCGGGAAAACTTTTTTTGCAGAGGATAGCACCCAAGCCGAATCCACCCCCGCCAAATATACCTGCGAACTCCCGTGCGGGTGGCAAGAGTCCGGGGAAGGTAATAGACTGGATTAAGAGTCTGCCGGACGCGTTTGTCCCCGAAAAAATAAAAGACCAGATGTGTGGCGCGGTGGACATGCGAGGGATCGATGGGCAACAGTTCACGCAACTTGTTTTGAGCAACCAGCTCCAGAGCGTTGGTGTCGTATCGCCGCTTCAGGTCTCAAAAATCGTCAAGGTATACTACTTTTCTTTTTTGGCCCCTTGCAACATGTGCATGTCGATTTTGTTCGCAAGATAAAGATGAGCCACTGGAGGTCGTGCGCGACTTTGGCGCAAAGCGTGGAGAAAACAGGATTTAGGAGCGTGAAAACACGTGTTGCTTTCCCGAAATCAATTTCCAGGCCTGGAAGAACGTGCTCGCCGAGGACCAAATGAGCGACGCCGCGAAGCAAACCTTGGATAATCAACCAACGGGAAAGAAGGCAGTGAAACTCATTTGTTGAGTGTTTTATTTCATCGACGGCCAAGTAGCGCCAGAACGCGCGCTGACCGACGAAGGAGAGAGCGAGCCGGGCCAAAGTTTGCCACGCAAAAGTTTTCTTTATGCTATCGTTTTTGGTGGGGTATGGTACACTAAGTCGCTGATGTAATAATCGATGTACAACTAATTCATTTCGTATTTATGATTGTAGAAGCATATGGTTTTTCGAGCTTCGATCGCATGCGCCACAATGCGATGGAGATTCCGTATTACTTTCGAGAATGGTTTATTTGTCAGGTTTTCGGATTTCGAGCTGAGTCCAACTACAATAATAACGAAAGCAGGTCTATGATTGGGCATTTTACCTCCCGGCGCCGCAAGACTCACTGGAATGAAAGCTTTCCGGAGTTTTTGCAGTTTGCCTGATGAGAGCACTTTTTTTCCTTCCCATTAGTTCTTCGTTTTGTCAATTGAATACTCTGGTTTTATGTCACATCAGCTACAGGTAGAAAAGGGCTAGAACGTAAGCGCACATCTGTGTGCCAGAAGCTAATCGAAATGAATCGTGCTGTCTCTGCCACCAGGGTTTGTAAATCGTTTTCCAAATTGCCGGGTATCTATTGGCGTATCGCGTAGGCAGCAGCAGGCGCATGGCGAACACGTGTTGCACGTGTTTGACTTGTAACTTCTGTTCGCGCGTTGTCGTATCTACTCGAAAACGTTCGGTGTGCCTGCACTCTCAGAAACGTCGGTTCTTTACGAAACCAAGTATGTTTTTTCATCCCGATTTCGGATTCGAAACCAACACCATGCGGCAGAGTTCTGCGCTGCGGGTATCACAGGTCAATTGTTGTAGACCTTACTCTATAGAATTTTCGCCTGTAATTTCTCCGTCACGCAGGCGTCCCTCCGAACAAAAAGTTTGCCCCACTCTCCGCGACTTTTCTATCTTTCTATATTCTGTTTGACCTACCTTCTCTCCTGTATCAAGACCCCCCCCAGTTCTTGGGTACTTAAGTCATTCATTCATTCGCTCCGTCATTCTTGTCTTCGCAATTGAATCGGAATCTATATTTTTCTAAAAATTTCTGGAGAGCACAACAAAAAGTTCGTATATTCCCATAGAAGCTGCACCTACTGACTGGGCAAGAATTTGCGAAAAACTACTGCAGCCAGAATGCAACGAAAATCTTCATCGAGCGTCGAAACAAAGACGCAGGAACACAGTGCAGCGACGTTTGCGGAACGGACGGGCCTGCAGGCTGCTGGGAGGGCGTTCACGGCCAGCGAATGTCTCGCGACGACCGTTGCGTACTATCAATGTTTGTGGCACTTTTCCCGCGGTGGGCGGCTCCGAGACTGCCGGTTCTTTTGTGAACCAAAGTTGGGGAACGAGGCCCGTCATGCCGCGCAGCTGCATCTGTTTTCACTGTGCTTAGTGTTCCGCTTGTGGGACCGGCCACACTACCGGTGCGGCAGTTTTGGGGAGGACCTGCGAGTAAATCTGCGCAACGTCGCGCTCCCGGGGACCGGGGTTCCGCTTGCCTTCGTCTGCATCTCGAAGTGGACCTTTATGTTCTTTCTGCTCTTCCTCTACCCGCTGGTGTGCTTCGTTGCGGCGTTCGCCGTCTGGGCGGTGGAGCAGCAGCAGGAAGCGGATGGCACCAGTACCGGCGGAACAGGAGGGGAAGCGCGGACCTCACCGCCACGGACCACGTCTTCATCGTCCGGCAGGAATTACAGAGGTGACGGAAAAAGCGGCAAGACGTGGAAAGCGGTCTGGGAGAAGGCCCAGATCTGCCTGCGGGAGGTGTGCATCCTGTACCAGGGGAACTTAGTAACGCCGGACACCTGGTTCACCTGGTGGCGCCTAAACTGCGCCCTGGCGACGTACCACAGCTGCCTGACGCTGAGCGACGAGTATTTGATGGAAAACAAGTGGGATTTCCTGCAAAAATGCCACGCCAAGCAGGTCCCCATCACCCCGTGCGTCGTATCCCGCGGATGAAAATACTTAAACCAACGCCTCCTAAAAAGCTTACCGTAGTATTGGATTCAAGTTTTTTGCATCGGCACTGGAGTTACGTATTATAGATGCTTCTCTTCGCAGCGTGTCAGGGAGGGTGTGGCTGGAAAGTTTTTTTCGCAGGATACGCCGGACTGGGGTACCACCTTGTCCAGCAACAAGAATCCGGGAAGCCCGCGGTGCCGGTCGCCCTGGACACACTGGTCTGCAAAGACAAAAACGAAGAGGGCGGCATGGGCATCCATTTTTTCAAAAACGCAGCCACGGGTGGAAACTGGATTCTGCAGGCGAAGCTGCAAAACGCGTCCTATCGAACTAAACTACGTTGTCAGTTTCCCCGGACCTGATAGATTTATTTATTGCCCACGCGCGCCGAGTTCTACTTCTGGCACTTCCACTTTTTGCAGAAGGTTGTCGCAGCATGTGAGCAAAAAAACCTAATTCACTATCGTGAGTTTTTAGATTCTATATTCTGAGTGAGCATGGCGACAAACAAAGTTCCGGTCTGTCGATGCACCAAAGAAGCTGAAGAGGTGCACGGGTTCTTTTTCGCTACAGTATGACGCGGGAAGGGGAGTTGATAATTTTAATTTTTGCTTGATACCCCCTGCTTGCAGTGTCTGCTCCCCGAGCCTTGCCCGCTGTCGACCTTCCGTGTGCTCACGGCAAGCGAGGCCTCAATGACCAGTGCGGAGCAGCCGCAGGACCACGGGGCAGGATCTTCGTCTCCAAAAGTGCACATCCTAACGTGCGTGTTTCGTGCGGGCCGGCAGCACGCGAAAACGGATCACCGCAGTATCTTCTACAACGTGAACTTAAGTCCCGAACACGGGAAGAAGGGGCGGATCACGCGAGGAGCGATCAACTCGCACTGGTACCAGCTCGGCGGCACGGTGTTCCAGACTGCCTCCGGCAAGGAGGGCTGCTTCACCAAAGCCGGCGTGTTTCGTCGGGGCTTCGCGTCCAAGGCCGCCGGCGTCAGTGTCCACCCGGACTCCGGGCTGCGGATGGTGGGCCTCGAGGTGCCGGAAATCGACAGCGTACTGGCGGTGTGCGAGCGGGCGCACCGCGAGCTGTGTCCGCACGTTCCGCTCGTGGGTTGGGACGTGGCTCTCGTGGACGAGGACGTGGGGGAAAACCATACGGCGACGAAACCTGTGTTGCTGGAGGCAAATCTGAGCTGCAACTTCTTCCTCGGAGATTTTGACCGGACCCTGTACCTCGACTACATGAGAAGAAACTTTATGTACTTGGAAGAGCGAGAGAACGCCGCTGGGGCGCGACTGCTAGAGAAGGAGGACAAAGAGAGGAAAACTCTACAGGGAAAAGAGGGGAAGAAGCATGCGTAGTCACTCCATCCGATCCAAGAGAGGAGAACACGTGTGAAGTAAAAACTTGTCTTCGCATAATACCTGTAACGCAGTACATGCTTCCCATTCTGTCGTGGCTAGCGCCGACTCTTATGGGGGCGGGATGTTATTCTTTTAATACAAGACGTGTTCCCGAACCCCAATGATCCCGGAACCAAGAGGCTGGTTGCGAATCGGTATCTACTTATTCCGTGACGGAATGTTGCGAGTATGGTAACAACAAAAGTCACAGTGAGTCTTCAAAGATCGGTTTGATGAAGTGCAAGACGTGCCTCTAGTGCATTGCATGAACAACTGATCCTTTGGCCAAAATGTGAGTTGTGCACTTCTAACTCAGTCACAGTGCTTGGAAAACAGGAGAGCGGCTGTTGTTCTAGTACCCCTTTCCACGAAAGAAGGTGGTGGCTTTGATGGAACCCAATAAAGGTAGGGTATCTACTTAGTTTTCCTCCCGATCATCCATCAGAACATCTTTATACGCTCAGAAGTACGTTGTGTACATACTACATTTATCGCACATTCGCAAAAGTGGGTTACACTTAGAAAAAAACTCAATTATCGGTCTCTACCTAGTAGAGCGTAGTACATATCCTTCCCCCTAAAAAGGAGCGAACTGCATTCTTGAGGTGTGTACACAACAAGTAATCAAAATGTCCCCACGGAGCGTGCTTTTGCGGATATTTGCACTGTGTTGCGTTTGGTTCGGCACCGTCGCCCCGGTCGTTTCCGGTGCGCGCGACAGTCTTCTGAAGCTCGTGGACCAAGAACAGAAGCGGACGGCAGCAGTTCATGATGCCGTCCGTGAACTCGAACAGGCACGGGAGCTCGGGGACTGTAATTCGCGGGCCTTGCAGGCGGGACGTGGTCTTTCGAGTTGCGGTGGGAGTTCGGCTGCGGGTCTTAGCTTTCCCTTTGCAGCGTCTCTGATCACGATCTTCGGTGCCCTGATTCTGGGTGGCGGACGGCCCTAGGCGGCAGAACGTTTTTCCACAGGGTTCATTCCAAGCAAATAATAGCGACTTTCTTTCTTAATCTTTCAAGAAGATCAACCTTTAAGACCCTCGCAGCAGAGCCGACAGTGTTGGTGCCCGTGTGCTGCGGGTCGCATGCATCTTTGGAGATGTTTTTTGAAGTGTGTGTGCAGAAAAAATCGACAGAATATTAGAATGACCGGATTTTTTACATTATGGTTTCACGACGTACGTTTCTGTTTCGGTTTCCACCTAAGCAAGTAAAGCTGAAGTACGGCTGGTATGCAGACCGTGGGGGATTTCATGATGCATCTTCTAACCTATTAGAAGTACAAGACATAAAACGAAGGTGGAGCTCCGGCTCTCTCGGTCCCATTGCTCCGTGGAAGTGCTACTTCAGTAATAGCACCAGAATCTTGATCTGTTTCTGTTCACAACGTGCAAGTACAATGTCTTTTTGTTTTCTCTCAGAATTTTTCGATCTGGACGTTCCTGCTGTGCGTTTTTTTTGTTTGTTCTGGACGGTTTTTCACTACGATTTGTAGCAATTTGAGCTCGGCCCAGCACGATTACAACAATATATTTTTACAGTGCACAAGAGTGCGTGACGACCGACCGCGACGAGCAGGCTTGCGTTACAATGGCCGCCGCGAGCGATTCCTCGGTTGATGTGCTTATTCTTGGGGCGGGCCCGTGCGGGCTGGGAGCGGCCACGCGGCTGCATCAGCTGGGGCATAAGAACTGGGCACTATATGCAGATTATCACAATGGAAAGTGGCCCACTCCCCCAGAAGTTTCGGAATGGACAGTGTTTGTCTTGCACGAAAGAACCAGAAGTGTCTGCGATCCTAAGGTTAGGCGTTGCGAGCACCGTCGCTGACGTCGCAAATTCTGCGATAGCTGGGCCTTTTTGCAACGCAAACTTTTGCTATGCCACAGGGATGAAAATTTGTGGTGCTGGTATATGCTTGTATGATGGGGAATGTTTCTGCTGCGTGGACCTTCCCGTACTGCTCGGATGTTCCGTGCAGCTCATGGACTCTCTGTGGCTTTCGGTCTGGTAGCGCAGTCTGTTTACATACACAACGGAGAGCTTTCGCAACACGAACACCTCCGTCGTGATTGACCGACCGAGATCGGCGAGCAATACATAGCTGTAGATGCTGGCCCTGTGCCATGCGAGTGTCGGTCAGGTGCTCCCGCGTTGCGTTGACCCTCAGCGACTGCGATTTCGCTTTCGGTGGCGAAGTCTCTTGTAGCAATACGAACGCATTCCGTCTCTGGGGGTGGATTCATTTTTCACCACGATACAGATTGCAAGGAGGCAGGCGGACTGGCCATGACGGACGTCACGAAGGAGGGCTTCCTATTTGACATGGGTGGCCACGTGATCTTTTCCCACTGGAACTATTTCGACCAACTCCTCGACACAGCAGTTGGAACGGGAGACGAGCACTGGAACACGCACCAGCGGGTATCCTACGTCTGGATCCGTGACAGGTGGGTGCCTTATCTATCCAGTGCAACTGATCGACTTTCAGTCGACGTGGGTTGGTGAGGGAAGATTCACGTTACCACGTGCATGAGTACGAATCGTGAGTCCGGATCTGTTACGTTTCCACTTTTAGTTTTGTCTTCATGTGGATGTGTTTTCTTCCCCTGCGGACTCCGTGACCCCTTTTCAGTGGATTCTAGCCGTTCCAGAACAACCTCTACATGCTGGACCAGAACGACAAAATTGAATGCATCAACGGCGTTTTGGATGCAGCAAAGGTACTTAGCTTTCTAGTGGGGAAAACAAGGACGCATGTTGCTGTGCCATGTCTGCATTTTTCTGATTAAGTTTTCGAAGGCTCCTTAGGTGAGTCGAACAGATTGAATTCACCATGAAGGGTGTTTCGGAGCAGACAATTTTACTGCAACAACTGCAGGTCACAGCCGCACCCGGAAATTTTGATGAGTGGATCCTGAAAGTGATGGGCAACGGCATTGCCGATTTGTTTATGAGACCCTACAACTTCAAAGTTTGGGCGTATCCAACGAAAGAGATGAGCTGCCAGTGGCTGGGAGAGCGAGTGGCCACCGTGGATGCGAAAAAGGTTTGAGTTTTACTTTCTTGTTAACAAAACACCCGTTGCTATTATCAAGGAATACTGTGGTCTCGGTGGACTACCGCAACCTGCAACTCCAATCACGATGACTACTATCATATGCTGCTGCGGTATCTTATTTGGAGCGGTAGTGGCTTGTTCCGCATTGGACCCTCGAAGATATTAATGCTCAGGACCTAAAGAGTAGTCACATCATCCAAAAAGGTGATCGCTAACGTGATCAAGAACCAACCAGACGCCGGCTGGGGACCCAACGCGGTGTTCCGCTTCCCAAGGGAGGGAGGCACGGGCGGAATATGGAAGAAGGTCGGGGCTCTGATACCAAAAGACAAGCAGAAGTACTTTCGGCGGATAGTAAAGATTGACACGGAGCAGAAGTGTGCGCATTGGCGGCAGCTCGGAGAGGACGGTGTACAACTGACAAAAACACATCGTTTTTTTCCTTGTCCTGATGAGCCGCGTAATATGTGCTACTTAACGACTAGCTTCTTCCATGACCTCCACTATTAGTCGACCAGAGTGCGTACTGTTGTGGCACGATGCTCCTTGCACCAGGTCAGTCTGTTTATTTCACAGCTTCGACAAGAAGCTTCTGACAGCACCGCTGTTTGTTTGTTGAATTCGTGAAAAAACTGAAAACAGACGACGGAGACGGGCGAAGGCGGCGTGGTGCAGTATAACAAGCTCCTGACGACGCTGCCACTAGACGAGACGGCGAAGTGGGCCGGGGTCGAGTACCCAGAGGGGAAAAAGTTGCACTTATCCTGAGTAAAAACGTACCCACACCATAGTTGTCATGCAAATCTGCATGCTTAAAATGTTTGTCATGCGGAGCCCCATGAGAAGCACTTTCTAAGGGTGTTTTGAAATTTGTCATGCTCCAATCAGCATGAGAGACTAGATCTGTAATGCTGCTGAACTAGCTCAAACAGCACTACACTACGCGTCCAAATTTGTCATGCGAAACAAGCAAAGTTGGCCGATTTGTCTAGCAGATTTTCCATCTTGACTCTGGTGTGGGTACGTTTTTACTCAGGATAGCACTACTCCTCCACGCACGTGGTCGGTATCGGACTCCGGGGAGTCTCTCCACACGACGTGAAATGTTGGCTCTACTACCCGGAGGATAACTGTCCCTTCTATCGGTGCACGGTATTCAGCTTCTACGCAAAAAACAACTGCCCGCCGGACGACAAGAAACTTCCGACCTTGCGGCTCTGTGACGGCACCGTGCCCGCCGACGCGGGCGAGTCGCGCGCCGGCCCCTACTGGTCCCTTATGTTCGAGATCAGCGAGAGCGCTGCCCACAAACCAGTGGATTTGCAGAAGGTCGTCGAGGACACCATTCAAGGTGCCATAAACACCAAAATGGTCCAGTCAACCGACGAAATTGTCTCCATCTACCACGTATGTACTGCAAACGCGTCGGGGTTAGTCTTGGGGAGAGTCTGGCATCATACTTTTAATGCTTTTTTGTAGCGCCACAAAGTAGAACATCTACATCATGATTTACGTTGGTTTCTTTCGTGCCGGCCTGCAAGAAGGCAGTTTTTTTGTGGCGCCGATAATTAGGGCCACGGCTCAGGTAGGTACCTATGCATGGGATTTGTACCGCTCCCAAAGGTTCTGTTTGACATGTACTGCAACGTTGGCGGAACGTGCTGTTTTTGAACATCCTTTTATTTACTCCACCCCGGCGTATTTGCAGTCGATGCCGCAGGAGGTAACTTTGCTGTTTTCTGCATTCCGGCTTTCTTCGCAGCGAAGTACTTTACTCATCTCCCCTTTGTGGATGTTGTTTTTGTTTTTCATTTTATCCGATAAAATGAGTTGAGCCCTTTATTTTCGTAGAGGTGCGCCTAAAGGCGGTTTCAAAAAACGACAAACCTCTGTAAGGCTCGAGAAGGGATACCCAACTCCGCACGTAGACCGGGACACATGTATCCAGAAAATCTTGCCGGAGCTTCGCAAAAAGGACATCTTTATCACACAGAAAAAGTCTAGCATGCCGCATTTGTAATGCAATAATGACATAAAAGAAACTGGAGTTGGACTTAGAGACTCACAGAAGAGGGGCTACCTCGTTGTGCATGGGGTATCGTATGACGAACCTTGGTTCGTGCATTGTACATGTATCCTTCTAGCTTTTTTCTGTGGGAAAATCTGGAGCCGAGGAAGATTTGGCGCGTGGAAGTACGAAATCGGCAATCAGGACCACACCTGCTTGCAAGGTGTAGAAGCAGTCGACAACATACTTTTTGGTGCAAAAGAATTCACGCTGGAATTTCCGGATAAGGCAAATGCCAAGAAGAACACGGAGTTGCAATTCGAGGCCAAGCCACTCAACTAAATCATCATTCTTTGTAAAAGTTTTTGGGCGCAACATATGGACCTTCGGTAGATTTCGTTTTCCCGAGGAAATTGTAAGGGCACAGAATTGGAGAATAGGGATACTGAATGCTCAGAATTACGATGGACGCAGCAACGTTTCTGTGTGCTTGTCATGCCGCCTGATTCGCCTCGGGAGTCAGTTTCCTCAATGTTCATTACCTAGGAGAGAAAATAGTCCTCGAGGTGCAGTCGAGGGCTGATTGGCTTGACACCATGAGTGATGTTTTGGATTTGTGTTTTGCTTTGTATGTTTCGTCGAGTGAAGATGGACTCTGCGGCCCTCAAGTCAGTGTCTCGATTTATTTTCGATGTCATGCGTTTATTGACATGCGCCAAACAATGAGGACAGAATGGTTGCCGCCGCGCAAAGCTTCTCGGGCCTGCACCATAACCTGGTTGGTGCCACTGTGATATCCAGCCTAGGTGTTTCCGCGGATCAATCGGTGCCGGGGTCCTCTCGACTCCGCGACAACACCAGGACCACGAGTAGCAAAACGCCGACGAGGTTGCTTTCGTTTCGCGAAGTGGCAGAGCACAAGTGCGGCACCATGTCGCCCGGTGGGGAGCATGGCGACTCTAGCCGGCGAAATATCAAGTCCAAATATGTCTGGGTCTAGAAAGATGCAGCGAGATGTGTCTTTGTCTTCCGGAGTCTTGCAGGACAGAGCGGCGCCTTGATGTACGGTACGAACACATCACAAATTTCATTTTGGGTGGTGTTGCGAGTATTGCGGGTGCCTTGTTTTGCATGACAAACTGGCTTCCAGCACGACAAAAAAAGAAAGTGGTCATTCGTATTCATGCACTACAGATCTCGCGGTCTATCAAATTTCGCATCACCAAAAATCTTGCCCCAGACATATTTGCAACGCATATGAAACCGGCCCGTGCAGTACCTACGGGACGCCCGCCAGCGCGAGTCGCGCATTCGCACGCTGTGGGTTCTGATCTTCGTGAACCTGTTTCTCACGGTGTTGCAACTGTTTTCCGGGTACGTCGCGAGTTCGCTATCGTTGTTGGGCGACGCAGCCATGATGTTTGTGGACGTTATCGGATACATCGTCTCTTTGATCGCCGAGAAAACGAAAACGCCGAGGAAGAAAAAGCGGGCTGACCGGTATTTTTACTACAGCGTGAAGATGAAGTTTATTTTCTGCAAGACGAACAAGGCAATTAGGTGATTTCAGAATTCAGTGAATTCGTGAAGATGCAAGGTTGTCGGTGAGTAAAGCTGAAGACCACTTCTTTTCGGCTCTAGAGCACCAGGAACAGCTGCTTCTGATTTATTGTTTCGTGCCATTTATGGATGTTCATGTTCTTGCGAGTCAACAAGTGTCATGTTGATTTGATGCCCCTATAATACGCCACTTCGAGGTACGGTGCGCTGATTTCGTTTCTGCTGTTGGGTGTAACGACGGTGATCGTGCTTTTCGATGCTGCAGATCGTCTGACCGGGCCGGACGAATACGGCGACGTGGACGGTCGTATGATGATGGGCTTCACGATTATCAACCTGGTTGCGGACGCTTTCCTGCTGTACGTGTTTCGCAACAACGTGGAGGGTGCGACGCTGGTTCTTGCGGACGAGGAGGTAGACGGTTCGGGTGCAGCGCAGGAGACCACCGGGGCCGCTGTTGGAACAAGCCATGATGACCACCAATCAGGGGCGGGAGACATGATCGGGGATGGGTCACCGCCTCCACAAAGTGGAACAGCGTCAACGACAAGATTTTCTGGAGCCGCGACCGGAGGTGGGCATACAACAACTCCTGCCGGAGCTCGTGCCGGCGCGCCGGAGGAAACCAGTCTGAACATGTCTGCGGCCTTGGCGCACCTTGTCGCGGACATCCTGCGGGGCGTGTCCGTGCTTGTCAGCGGTTTCATCATCTGGACGAACCCGGCTGCGAATTCGGTGCGCGTGGACGCAGTCTGTTCCTTTTTCGTGTCTCTGTTCATTCTTGCGGGCACGCTGCAGATCGGCAGCAAGTTGGTGTTCGACTTTCGGTCCGCCCGCCGGTATATCAAATGTAAAAATGTCTGGGTCTGGAAAAATGCAACTTGTCATGCTAAATCTGAAGCATGCAAAAATCTGTGTTGCATGATTACCAAAAGTCGTCCAGTTTTGATCAAGTCGGGAGGGAGTTTCTCATGCAGGATAGGCATGAGAGAGATCGCACAGAATCTGTCGTGCTAGGTCCTGCATTCCAGACCTCATGAGTCATGGAAAAGCTGCACGACAAATCTAGAAATCTTCCAGACCCAGACATATTTGCATTTGATACGGTATGCGCGGTTCGATGACGAGGAAGTTGAGGAGGAGGTGCCGTATCCTGAGTAAAAACGTACCCACACCATAGTTGTCATGCAAATCTGCATGCTTGAAATGTTTGTCATGCGGAGCCCCATGAGAAGCATTTTCTAAGGGTGTTTTGAAATTTGTCATGCTCCAATCAGCATGAGAGACTAGATCTGGAATGCTGCTGAACTAGCTCAAACAGCGCTACACTACGCGTCCAAATTTGTCATGCGAAACAAGCAAAGTTGGCCGATTTGTCTAGCAGATTTTCCATCTTGACTCTGGTGTGGGTACGTTTTTACTCAGGATATGCCGACCGTCATGTTCGACGCGGTCATGATCGATCCCGATGCCAGCCACCCCGTGGGACGAGCGGCCGCAGCGCAATGAGGGACTCTTTTTGTCGGGTCCCTCTCCGACTCGATTCACGCAGGCTCGTTCGTAGAAATCATGATAGTTGATGTGCGCGTGAAGGGACAAGATCGATGACCACATCGATCCTCGTCGGGAGCACCTCCGGAGGTAAGTATTCATTGTCCACCTCGCCGGCTCGTCTTTTTCGTCGTAAGAATCGAATCGCCAGTTCGTCGAGGAGAAAACTGCAAAGTAAATGTAGACGGTGGATGAAGATGTGCGCCTTCGATCGATATCCACATGTAAAATTTCGCCGGTATACGGATCAGATACAAGTACAAGTCATGTGCGGAGTTAGAAGTTTCTGGACTGCTTGACTAGACTTTGTGTCTGTAGTACACCTCCTACATAGGCGAAGAACGATGTGAAGACAATTTTGGTGCGGCAAAAAGGCTTTCCTGTTGTAAAGTGCAACAGAAAAAGGGAAAACACGTGTGGCAGTGGGAGACTCATCATGCCCAACGACCGAGGATGCGAGGAGTGGCAGCATCCGCTCGCCGTGGAGCCGGCAGACTACGATCCCGTGCGAGAAAAGTTTCGGAACCCCTTTCTCGAAAAGCGCGAGGACCATACCGATGCCGACCCAATGTTGCACGGGCCCGGCCGCGTGGCGCCGGGCAAGGCGGCTCAGACGGAAGACGTCCTGAAACGGCTCATTGACGATCTGCTAGTCGGAGCAGACGGCAGCGTGATCATGGGGCCGCACCACGAGCGGTTTGTCACCTGGTGGCAGCGAGCAACGGTGGAAATCACGGAACTTGTGAGCCAAGCGGGGCTCGAGAACGAAGTGGCCCGGGACGCGGACCGGCGTTTGCTGGACTACTACCGGGACCGGGAGGCGGAGTTACAGCTCGTGCCGCAGCTGCAGGAGGCGCTGCAGCAGGCGAAACGTGCGAACGCCGCTCTGCAGTTGGAGGTGACAAGCGCGAAAGCCGCGCGCGAGGAGGCGGAACGCGCCAACGACACCCTGATGACCGGGATTGACGCGCTCACGGAGCGCCTGGACATCGCGAAAAATGCGGGAGGCAGCGCCACCGCGCAGCTGGACGCGCTGGTGGAGTACGTGCAGCGCGACCTCGCATGGCGCGTGCTGCACGACGCCCGCGCCGAGGACCGCTTGGCGGTGTTTACCTGGAGCCACCACGCCATCCTCCGGGGCGCGGTGGAGGAAATTATTGCCGTGTGCGAGAGCGACCTCAGCTCCCGCACGGACATTGCGGAGGAGCTGCGCGCGAAGTTCACCAAGCTCCCCCCGTACATGCGCTCCGGCGTGGTACCGGAAGCCCGGAGCGCGGCGTTCCGGGAAGACGAAGCCCGGGCGTGGTTCGCACTGCTGTCGGACGTCTGGCGCGTGCATCTGGAAGTGCAAACTTTGCTGGTCAACGCGGCGTTTTCGGGCGGGTTGCAGGCGGAATTGGTGCCTCCTCCAGGTCCGTCAACGGGGGCTTTTTTGCAGTCGCTCAACGTGTCGGCCTTCCAGAACTACCGGGACTCGGCCGCGCTTCGCTCCCAGGACGCTTACTCACAGCTGCTCTCAGACCGACGCCGTGCGCTCGGAGAAGACGCGCAGGCCGATCTCGACTTCTGGCAGTCTCTGAAAAAGACCGTCCTGGAAGCAAAAGTTAGCAACGCGGCGAAAGATCCCCAGGTCTCGGCGGAACAGCGCCGTCGTAACGATTTCGATGCGGAGATGAACCGTTTATGGGCGGAGGAACAGGGGCGGCGTCGAACATTCGACGGAAATTGGGGTGGCTCGAAACAAGAACACTTTGACGAGGACACGCGGCGGCTGGAGTTCGAAGAGAGATTTCGGGGGATGCAAAGGGTTGAAGCAGCGCGCCGTAAAGCCTTCGATACAAAAGACGCGGGGGGACACCAAGGTGGGGCCACGTTGAAAAGTGCGAGCGGCAGTAGACGGAGCAGTAAGGGAATAGTACAAGAGCACGAGGCATTTTCTATTGTTCCGGCTGTAACTTCTACCGGAGAGGTAGGCGGAAAGGCAAACCCAAACGCGGATGGGCTAGTCGTGGGAGCAGCGAGCAGTCCCGAGCGTGCATCGCTGCCACGGCATCACGCGAATTCCTCTAGCAAAGAGAGCACAACATCCAGGTCCAGCACGCCAGCGAGTAGTAAGCCTAGTACGCATGCACAACTTAACGACGCGACCGCGTCTTTCAAACCGAGTTTGTCGATCGAGGCCGAAAAAGCACAGGAGCAGCGTCGTCGAGAGATGCTCGACGCGGAGGAGGCACTCCGTTGGGAAGCAGAGCAAAAGGCGCGACTTGATTTCGATCGGAATTGGGATGGCCGGAAGCAAGCGCACTTCGACGAAGATACGCGGCGCATGAAGTCCGAAATGTCCAGAAAGAGCCGCGTGGAGGACGAGGAACGCCGCAGAAGTCTCGTTGACGAAAGGATTCGTGCCCGGGAGCGTGACGAGCAACGTCAACAGCTCCAAGAGGCGTGGCGCGACAAGGTTGCTACCAGGGCAAGCGCTGCGGAACATCAGCATATCACTGGTCCCCCTGACGGACGTTCGGCTTTTGCAACGGCTGTGCTCGAACTGCCCGACAGACTCTCCAGCGCGCTTGACGACGAGCGTACGTGGTCTCCAGACATGCAAGCGATTCAGCTGGCCCAGCGACGCTGGGAACCTCCTCCGACCGCGGAGGCTGAGCGTTTGGCATTGTACAGAGAGACGGCGAGGCTGCGCAGCGAGGCCGTGTCCGACGAAAGTCTGCAGCAGCAGCTGCAGCAAGTCGAGGGAGAACTAGATGGGCTGGTCACGAGTGCTGTATTGGACGGGGAAGTAGAGGCTCTTTCTGCGTCGAAAACTGCAGCCTCGAAGAGTACTTCTACGGTTCCTTTCCTCGAGCAGCGAGAGTATTTGCTCCTCAGCGAACTGGCGCGGCGACAGTTCGATCTTGATCAGTGCGTTTTGGGCCTCCCGGCGCGTTCGACCGAGGAACTTCTCGCAGGCCTTCGTCTCCTGCAGCAGGTGCAGCGCCGCAATCGCGGCGTGTTGAAGGAGGTTGCCACTGGCTTGGCGAAGGCGAACACGGACAACCGGGAGAAGAAGGCGCGGCTTCTCTCACAGCGGCTATACGGCTTGCATCGCATGGAGACCGCGGTGCGAAATCAGCTTCGAAAGCGACTAGCGGAACCTGCGCTGGAGGAAAATGTACCCGAAGAGCAAGAAATTTTCCTCCTGTCCAGCGTTGCGGAAGAAGATCGAACCTGGGATACCCACCGCGAGCAGCTGCTTGCGGACTGGCACCGCTTTCGCCGGTACCTCGGGCGAGTCTTCGGCCTGGTGGTTTGGCGAGAAGACAGACACGTGGCGACGCACGCGGTGATGCACAGGGGGCCGCTGCCCGGACAAACCGGTCGTAGGTGGATACGGGCGCACGCTGATTTTTTTCTCGGCCTCGTCGTGGAGGTGTGCACCGCTGTGGCTAAGTTGCCGCCACCACCCAACGACAGCGAGGGGGCGGACCAAACCGTAGGGAATGCTCGAGTGCGGCTCAATTTTCAAACGCGGAAGGTAATCGGGGTCGGGTTTTTCCATCGGAATCTGACTGCGGTGCGCCGGCTCGTCGCGCCGCACGGGCATGCGGGGACGGACGTTCTGGACAAGCTGCGCCGCTTTGGTGCACAAGAGCTGGTGCCGACCACGAGGGTGGCACCGCGAGAACAAACTGTGCCCGGGGATGAACTACAAGCCGCTGCTGGTTTTCGCCAGCCCTCCGACTCTTGGTTAGTGCGGGTGCCGGACGAGCCGATTGCGGTCCAGATTAGCAGCTCCAAGGAGGACGTCAAGCCTTGCCTCCAGAGGGACTGCATGGGCACCTACTTCCACCACATGGTGGCGGAGCGCGGGGCTAGATTCGGGGACGCGGCGGCGCTACCAGTTCTGTACTTCGTCGTGAAGATCACGCTCCCTTTTGCCTACGGAACGGAGCAGTCGGATTCGTCCCAGTGTTCCTTCTATGCCGTGGTCAGCAATTACGTAGCTGGAGGCAGAGCGGTCGCTTCACGGGAGGTGCTGACAACGAAGCGCCATTCCACCTAGTACCAAGAAAAAATCTAGGGGTAAGCATCAGCAGCGCAGATGAAACAGCTCTCCAGTATGCGCCAGACTTGAGAGCGACATTCTCTGTACGGTATTTTGATGTGCATTTGTTGTATCGAGAATCGCAATTTTGCAATAATACAGTAAGACTGTGAACGCAAGAACCGTAGGGCAAGGAGACATCCCCACCCCCACTGAAAACAGTGATCTTATTGTTCGTGTCGAAACGTGGTAAAACGGGCAGTGTTTAAATTTTCGTTTGATGATGCTGCTTTGACGTAACGTAAACGTGGGTCGTCGTATTCGCTTGCGGACGGTGACGCTCCGATCTCGTTCTCGGCACTTCTGCATTCGTATCGCCTTCGCAAAGTTCTGCTTCGTAGCACGTCGTCAGTTCTCTAGGGCTGCTCGTCTGTCAGAGTCGAGCTTGGTGGCTGTACGTGGTTGCGATCCCGGTGCCGCTAGCGATCTCTTCGTTGAAATCCGGAATGGGAGACTCCCATTCCGGAAAGTTAGCGTGTCGCTATACATAAATAGATGAATTTTGCGAAAGAATAAAAGAAAAATCGTGGCTCGTCTTGGGACTTTGAAAAAACCTAGTTTGGTGTTTTCTCGATCGGTTTTCGCTGATTTAGTCTTTGATTAATTGTTGGTTGATGATCACGGCGTCTACACCATAGAAGCTGACGAACCTCTCGGTTTTTGTTCAAGGCCAGTACTTACAAACTAACTAAAAGATCAGTGCAGAACATAACAATCTCGAACCTCGCTCCGGTCAGTCTTCACAGAATTGGGGACAGAAGTGATTTTTGCTGTTCCGAACTTCTTTTTGCAGGACCATGTCTGCGCCGGATTGTCACAGACGATGCTGTTATTGCGAATGCAGCTACGTCCCGGGCTATCCAAGAAAAAGAAAAACAAATGTTTCATCACGGCAAGCATGCGTTGTGGAGGATGCAAGGCATAGGTTTGCATTTGGGTTCCAACGCAACCACGGAAGCTCCTATTTAGCTCACCCGGTGAGGTTTTTGGTACCACAGCATTGGTCCTCAGGGTGGCAAGTGAGTATCACGGTCATGCGAAACAACATTGCCATTGTGAGATCATGCAAATTCTGCAAAAACACGACGGTGAAACACTTTTTTCGCAGGATACAGGCGCGGCGACGATATGAACTGCAAAAGTATCGTATTCGTATAAATGCATTACAAATTCCCTCAGCATGAGAAATAAAATTTGTAATGCAGATTTGCCTTGGGAACAAGAATTGTAATGCAAGACCTGCATTTATACGAGTACGATACTTTTGCACAGGATAGACGACGGATCCTCGCAACTGCTTCATGCGGTTTTTCTGTCCACCGTACGCTATCCTAAGTAAAAACGTACCCACACCAGAGTCAGGATGGGGAATCGGCTAGACAAATCAGCCAGCTTTGCTTGTTTCGCATGACAAATTTGGACGCGTAGTGTAGTGCTGTTTGAGCTAGCTCAGCAGCATTACAGATCTAGTCTCTCATGCTGATTGGAGCACGACAAATCTCAAAACACCATTAGAGAATGCTTCTCATGGGGCTCCGCATGAGAAAGAGTTTAAGCATGCAGATTTGCATGACAACTATGGTGTGGGTACGTTTTTACACAGGATATACGCGGTGTGGGCCGTATCGTGCAGGAAAAGCCGCCCCCATACGCGAAAGGGTGAGCACTTGCAGTGTAGGCAAGATTTTAGTGTAGCAACCGAAATCTTGATCTGGATGTCATGCTTGCCTTCGGGCATCTTCAACCGGATATAATTATGTCTTGCACCAAATACAAGCAGGAGACGTGCTTGCTTCATCAGGGTCCCTTTGACTATGGGGGCGTAGTTGTAGTTTTTCCCGTGATAGTTCTGGCAAGGGTGCGACGATTGGATTGATGTCGTGTTGTCGTTTTGCTGTTGGAACTTATTCACCCTGTGCTGCTGGACTCCGAAGAAGATCCAGAAGACGTTCAGCGAGACGATCCAGGAGGAGACCAGGTACTGCTGCTGCTACTGCCATCCCCGGGACAAGTGCTGCCGCTTCTGGTGTCCCTTGCTGGCCTTGTACGCATGGGAAGGCACCTCCGACCTTATCGCGAGAACAAATCCCCCTTCCCCATAAATATTGAATTGAAGCGGCGTGCTTCTGAAATTTTGCGGTGTTGATCTCCATTGAGATATGGGGAAGGGGAATTTTCACTTTGATAGACCTTGTGAACATTCTGATCACGCTAGCGCTGAGTACCACTGGGTCCGGCTTTTTTCTTATCGCCCTTCTGCGCCTCGCTCCCACGCTTGGAACAAGCACCCTGATCCCGCTTATCGTCCCGGTGGTTCAGCTATTCTAGAAAAAAACTGTGTTAGTGTAACCTTCTTTGGCTGACAGCATAATACAAATTTGCTCTACATGACAGACCTGGTGTCATGCATGGCTTGTGAGTGAAAGCACACATGAAAAGAGGCTTCTTGGTTGTCTGGCACTACATGTTACATGCTCTGCATGACAGACACAAAGCTACATTTACACAGTTTTCTTTGTTGCATATCAGCTGTACGAATGCATGTCCGGGGGGAGCTGCCTTGCCGGATGGTTCGCGGTGTGCTGCTGGGAACCAGCCCAGGTACTTGTTGCTGCGTCTTTCATCCTACTTTCAGACGCAGTAACCTGTGACAGAAAGCAACCAATGTATACACAACGTAACAGCTTTTGCCCTTTCTAAAATCAAAAATCAATGCAGTATTTTGATGTCAGAGAACAAACCTTTGCCCTTACTGCAGGATCAATGGCTGTATGCTGATGGGCGGTCCTCTGTTGTGGGTGTGCCGGTGAAGGGCGAAGGCGAGCGCGCTTCGTCGCTGCCCCGTTCGTCGTTTGAGTCGAACTTCTACAACGACGCCGATGTGGATCCCGACTTCGACGAAAAGCCGCTCCTGAACCGCGGTATGGTCGTGTCGACCGGCCGCGAAAATGCGGGGATGAACCAGCGCTGGTAAGAGTTGTGCGAGAAGATGCTCACGGCAACAAGATGGAAAAGAAAAATGGGACCTACCAACTTCTAGTCGTCTGAGCTATGGGTACTTACTCCTGAGCAAAAAGCTAAAGCTAGCAGATATGATTTGAGAAATGCACGTCCAACAAAAGTAAACCAGATTCAGACGCTTTATCGGTTACAGAAAAATATTTTGTATACATGTTAGTTTAAGTTTATTCGACGTATTCTTGCGCAGCTCTTCGTGTGGTTTTGATTGTAAACAAAATTGTCAGTTCTATTCCGATGTAAAATTAAATACGGCAAAGTGACGCGCTATCCTTGCAATATCTTCTGTGGATCTGTAAAATCTGTACACACAAATTCAAATTGGACAGAAAATTAATGTCGTTGCTTGTTTAGTTATTTGTTTTCGTGTGGCACTTTCAAATGGCTCTAATGCCGGAAACGACTGCTGCCCGTTCAGAAAACACGCATCGTAAACTACTACAGAACTTTTCGCTATTTTTGCAGTTTGATGGTTTCAAAAACGAACGAAGCTTGAACCGAGACCGACGCAACCTGAGGATTTGGTGCCGCGTTTGGAAAGCAGGATTGGGAGTCGTACCAGCATGATATGCCAGCACAACTCAGAACTGAAATTTGTATTTGTATGTCGTTTATGGTGATGAAATTTAAATTTCGACAAAGAAGACAGCGTATCCAAGCAAGTATTTTTCCGAATCGTGGTCGTGGGGCATCGATTCCAATTTCGTCCAAGCGCTGATATAATTCGTGATCGTTTTGAATGTGCGAAATTCTACTTTTCGTGAAGTTACATGTGTAGGAAAAATGTGTATCCACCTCTGAAAGCAACAAAGGCAAGAAGAGCAAAAACATTTCAACATGTAAAAGCAGGAAGGGTTTTTTGAGTTGAAGGAAGCGGCTAGATTTGTATGATCAGGAACGACAGTCAGTCGGCATCTCGCGGCTGCAGACGGCAGTACCATGGTCGCAACTCCAGTACAGCAGAGACAATCAGATCACTAAAGTACATTAAGTAGAAGGATGCTCATCTTCGCACCTCTCGGTTCCCGCCGGGGAGGACGAGGCCGGTACTCTTCTGGGTATTAAATAGGCACCCTCTTCGTTGTGACTGGGTTCTCGATTTCCAGTTCCGTGGTGCGAGAAGATGGAGCGGCTGGCGGCAACGCGGTTGCGGCCGGACGGCGAAAGCCGCATTGAAAACGCCATGAAGAACTTAGAAAACCCCTTTTTGGTGGAGTTCAAGGCAGACCTGGCTCAGAAGCAGCCGCAGTTTCAGGAGGACAAGGAGCTGTTGCGGGGGGCCTCGGCCGCACTGCTGCTCGGGGAAAACTACCCGCTCGGGCACGCGGCAGGCAAGAAGCTGTTGCAGCAGATGGACCGCATGGAGGGCGACCTTCTGGTGCGGCTCGCGGAGTTTTTGGAGGCGCTGCGGGCGCAGTGGATGGCGGAGAAGCTGGAGCTGCAGAAGGAGGTGGAAAAGTACAGCGACACCGCGCAGGACGCACTGAAGCAGGCCGAGTCCTACCAGGCCAAGATGCTGCAGCTGGACAAGACCGAGCGGGAGCTGGACAAGCTGCGCAACCTGCGGGCCGAGGAGCGGCGGCGGCTGAAGGAGGCCGAGCTGGAGAAGGCCGACCTTCTGGCGCTGCTGGAGCAGTATCGCAAAGCGGAGCTGCCGCAGGTGGAGAAGGTGCGGCTCGAGCTGGAGGCGCTGCGCGACGAGCACTGGGTGGCTATGGCGGAGCTGCGCCGGCAGTGCGACAAGGACAAGCAAGAGCTGGTGAATCAGCTGGACAACATGCGGCGGGAGAAGCACGACATCATGCAGCATGACGATTCCGTGATCTTCAAGCAGGCTGAGATCCTGTCCAAGATGAACGACGAGCTGGCCAAGGCCATCGGGGAGGCCCACTGGCTGGAGGAAGACAACCAGCGAATGTACAACGCGCTGGCCGCGGGCCAGGGGGATTTGAGCAGGCTGGACGAGCACACGCCCCGGCCCGGCGCGAACCAGTCCGCGGCCGAGGCCCGAGGAGCGCTGAGCAGCGTCAGTTCTGGGCAGGCCAGCTACGACCGGGTGAACAAAGAAGACATGTTCCAGCACCTGTCCGCGGGCCCCCGCGGGGTGGAGTTCTGGAAGGAACTGATCCCCGCCACCATCCGCGCGCTCTCCTCGGTGCCGCTTCCGCCGGAGTCGCCGTTCCCGACGGAGGAGGTGGTGAACACAAAAATCCAGTTCGGGTTCGAGCCTCCCACGGGCGGCGCCACGGTGGAGGTGAACGTGACGGCGTTCTACCCCCGCGAGATGGACGACGTGCGGCGGGCGATCGCGTTCAACAGCAACGACCAGTGGATCATCAACGAGCTGGTGGACCGGCCGCTGCTGGCGCACGAGGCCCCGCAGACCGGGCTGACCATGTGGTCCCCGGAGGGGCACCTGCTGGTGAAAAAAACCAGCGCCAACTACGCGAAGCCGCTGTTGAGCCGGCAGTTCATGGTGCCCTACGTCGAGTACTTCCGCAGCAACGCGCGGACCACCTTCATGCCGCACCTGTATTACATGCTGAAGATCACCATTCCCGACTCGGAAGAGGAGGCCTTCTTCGTGATCAGTAACAATCCCGTGATGACGCTCCGGAGCGCCGGGCTCACCGCCAAGCAGCGGTACTACATCCGGGGCAATCAGACGGGGGGCGATCAGCCCACCGGGGACGACCTCAATTTTCTGATGGGGCCCCAGTTCATCAACTTCGCGGAGCAGGACGCTTTCCTCCGGGGGATCTCCCTCGATTTAGACTTCGTCCAGCAACAGGGCATGACGGACTACGGGCTCCTCGTCGCGCTGGTGGACACCCCAACGATTCCTCCCCTGCCGCGGATTTACGCCAACCCGCTGATGCAGGGGTTCACCGGCGAAGATGCCGGGGGAAAGACGTGGGGCATTTTGATCGGGATGCTGGATGTGCACAACAAGAGCGGAAACCCCTTGACGGCAGATACCTACGCCGACAACTTTTTCGAGGCTATGGAGATGTACTTTCCCGCAGACGAAGAGGCTGACGAGGATTTCGACGGTGAGGATGGGTAGAAATTAACGCGAGTATATACAATAATGAAAGAACGAACGAAAAACGAAATTTCATTCGCAAGTATTTTGTTTCAATTTCCGAACAACATCAATTGACTTCTAGAACTTCAAACACAGCTTTATCGTTCCAAAGCAGCCCTGGCTGCGCTATGATTATATATCAGCCTATCTTTGTAGATGAACCTCAACTCGGAGCTCGGTAAGCACACTCGCCGGCTCGCTGCACTTTAAAAGCTTGTGGTAGCTATGAAGCCGTATCGGCGTCAAGCCGTGGCACCTTGCGTTGGATCATGTGGATCAAATCAATGTACACTGTTTGCAACATTTTTGGCAGTTCTGTACAAACATCGCCGCGCGCTATCTATCAGAAACTGTTAGAAGAAGTGTCGGGAGAAACGGAAGGGAAGCTGCATTTCATCGTATGTGGTGTGTGCTCCGTGCCTGCGTCTTAGTTTTCCTTTATAGGTGTCTGCGAGGCCATCGGTCAAACGCAAATTTTGATCAAGAAAAAACAAACTGTACATGCACGAATCGTGAATGCGCTCTCAATATCCCTTTCGTCCGGGGTTGGGCAGGTTCATCGCTCCGGGTTACAAAATTAGGGTGCGGTAGGTTAAAAATATATGATGATTTTTCCTAGTATGATGTATAAAAATCCCAATTTTTCCAAAATCGCTCTGGCTCTCGTATCGTTCGTACACTTTCTCGGTCGAGCAAGACACGACATCGAAGCTGGAACCTATGACTTTCCAACAATCTACCATACAGTTTTTTTTTTGTTTGTGCCTCCCAGTTCTACGTAGGGAAAGTAAGTAGTCATTGGGCTCAGTTGTACTTGTTGCTTACTCATTTATGTTGGAAGAACATGCTGGGAATTGAACATGACCGACCGCAGCTCCTGCACCAAACACAGATGAAGTAAAAAAAATGCCTGTTGAATAAAAGTTTAAAAGATCTTCGGGCAGATCCGCCAGAAGCTGCATCATGCTGGCGGAGGAGGATTTCAAGCACGGCACACTCGCCGACGTGCACGGCCAAGCGCGGAGCCCGACCCGGCGCAATGCCTTCCTGGCCCAGGAGAATGCCGTCTACAAAGAGGAAGTTATGTTCACGTGGAACGTGTAATCAATGGAAAATCCTTATCCTTTCCGCTCTGCAGCGTTTTCTCTGTGTTAGGGAAGCCGTTGAAAATGCATTTTTTTCTATGTGCTATCTGTCTCTGTTAAAGATAAAGTGTGGTATATGCTCAGCGCTCACGTTGGCGCAGTTGCCAATCTCTTTGATGATGGTCACGCACGTGCCAGTCTTTTGATAGGGCAGGATAGTCACGATACAGAGACAACAAATACAAATGGAAAAACCCGGGCTTCCCTGCGCAGGAATTTCATTGTGATAGCGGGTACCGACGATTGAACGATTGCGTGCAGCACCGACGAGATTTCACACTGCACGGATGCGTATCGGAAAGAAAAATTGCGTAGGTGTTAAATGGAAATGAGATGTGAAATCCGAATCCGTGCAAGCATAGCCGGAACTGCGATGCGGCCCTGTTGTCTCTTTGCAGGTTTTCTGAAGATTGGAGGCATGCACAGCTCCTGCAGATTAATATTCACTTTGGGTATGAGAAGATTCATAAAGGCAGATTCTTCTGAGCCACCCCGCTTGGTTTTTTTTTCGACACTGCTTGCAACTCATACAAAACATCTTCAAAACCGTGCGCCATGGGTAAGCTAGCATGTCTGTTGGTGTACTGTTATTGATTTGCATCTTTTTTCCTGCTCGAAAATCAAAAGTTGTAAGATTAGCACTATGTTCTAGTTTTGGGGCGTGAGCCTGATCGTCCATCTCACAGTACCGCACAGAAAATTTGATTTTCGACACGATTTTCGAGCCCTCTGGTTCTTCTGAACGAGTCACCGTGGCTGCTGTTTTGCACCCCCTCTCTGAGCGGCCAAATTGTGAAATACTTGTACTCTACTCAGGTGTACGCCGGGGCAGCGAGAAAGGTTGGGGGTGCTTTTCGGCGTTGCAGTGTACCATCCGGTGGAAAGGCAGGTTCGCGCGATGGAGGAGTTTTTGACTGTGTCCTATGTGGGGATTCTACGCATTGCGAATATGTCTAGGTCTGGGAGCAGATGCGAATTTGTCGTGCGCACTCGGATGAGGCCAAAATCTGGTGATGCATGAAAAAACGGACCAGTGTCGCAAGGTTTGTCATGCAAAAGCGCGATTTGTCAAAAAATGAAAAATCTGTCATGCCCGGCTCGTTTTTAATGGAGTGGCTAGCGTTGCAAGTTTAAGTTTCCAGACCCGGATCGATATTTGCATTCTGGATAGATTCAGGACGTGATCAATTTGTTCTACGATCCGGTCTCCGAGGAGGAGTGGCTGATGCGGCCCCCGGAGGAGGAGCCGCGACACGACATCTACTACTCGCCCCGTGGCAAGCCGCCGTGGAACTTCCGCGAGAAGCTGGACGACATGGGGCAGTCCCTGCGGAACTTGCCGTCCGTGCCCGAGCCTGCGGCGGGATCCCCCCGGGGCCGCCGCCCGGACATGGAAGAGGTGAAGGTGCGGACCGAGGAGCGGAAAAAACTGTTGCTGAAGTGCATGGAAGAAGTCAAGGCAGCGGAACAGCAGCGCCTGGACCTACCCAAGGCGAACGGGCTCAGTCTGAAGGAGCTCGTCGCCGGGGGTTTGTTGGAGGAAGAGTTTGCCCGCAAGGTGTGCGCCGACATCCAGAACGTGGGCCTGGAGTCGGGGAAGACCCCTGCGTATCTCCAGCCGCGGACTAGTCCGCACCGGGGTGGAGCTGGTAGCACAACAAGCACCGCCGCCGCGGAAGCCCAAAATAGTAACCCGTTTGCAAGCTTTAGCTACGACACAACCGAGATTACCATCGGCGATTTCTTGAAGCGCCTCACCAAGCCGGCGTACCGCAAGTTGCTCGCGGACGAGTTCGAGTTTCTGCTGCACAAGAAGCGCATCGCCACCGAGTCCAAAGATGCTCGTCTGGAGGTTGGCATGAACGAGCAAGTTGAGAAGGAGCTCGGGTTGCGCAGAGACGGTCGGGTTTTTCCGCAAAGTGATGAGGACCTCGACTTGCTGGAGCCGGAGAGCAGAGGCGCGGCTGCTGCCGAGCGGGCTGCGGACCAGGTGAGCGAGGAGATAGTTTCCGAAGTGGTCACTACTGACGAAGAGCGAGGAAAAGGACGGGAGACGGGAAGGAAAGCGGACGCTGGTGTCACACGCGAAGCAGACGTAGACGTACAACCCGTTCTCGCGGGTGAAGCCGCACAGCTCGAGAAAAGTGTCGAAGCAGAAAAGATTGAAGTGCTTCTCGCAGCAAAGCAGGACCTTGTTGCTGAATCTGCCAGCCCCGCACGAGAAGTCGAAGATATTCTCGGCCTTGTCGGTGTTGGGGCGCAGCCGCAAGCGTCGCCTGAGCAGCATGCAATGGACGACATTCTTGCGGGCTTGGAGGGTGCTCTAGGGGAGGACGGCGTTAGCGATTTGGACGGGGTGGTGTCGGTACAGTCACTGGGCGGCTCGGGCGCAGCTGCGGTAGACGTGATGGAGGAGCTCCCGTCGAGCGACCATCCGGAACAAGTAGACCTGGCTTTTGAGTCGTCGTTTAACGTCGTCGCCCAAGGGCTAGAGGAGTTTCTCGAGAAGCAAGATCCGGTCGATTATTCATCAAAATCGCTCACGGCTACGTTCGAGTCTGAGCTCCCCGCGTCGGAGCTAGCGTGTTGAAAAGTGCTCCTACAGCTACCCCAGAACTTGGAAGCATTTGGATTGCAAGTCTTCTCAATGCAAATATTCCGCATTTTGCATGTATCAGCATCGCAAACAGTCGACGGTGAATGATCGCAAAAATTTGTATTGCGAAAGAGCCCAGCAACAGCCCGGCCTGTGATGTATAAGACGCATCACTTGCCTAGATTCTGCACCAGAAAGACTCGTGGGAGTCCTTTCGTGCAAGGCAAAGAGCAGTTTCTGTTACTGTTTGGCTTTGGAAACTTTGCATCAGAAACATTTCCACTTTCCGGGGACGATGGGGCGCTTTTCAATGTAATAGTAGGTTCTCGAGAAGGACCAGTCTTCGTTTACCGTGGCCGCGGCCGCGGGCGGCGATTCCGCCTCGAGTTGGCATGCGGGCGACCCTGGTGCGGCCAGCGCCAACGCCCAAAACAGCAACCGGGGTGGTCCCGAGGCCGATTTGTTCGGTCTGCAGGAGAGCGGCGAGGAGAATTCGGAGGCAATGGAACAAGAAGCGGCGACGTTTTCATCAAAACAAAAGAATGACACCCACATCTCCGCGGAAGAAGAAAAATATTCGGAGGAGGCCTTTGAGGACGAAGACGAACAACCTGCTGAAGGAGACGACGCAGAAGTAGATCCGGTCCTCGCGCCGAGCGCTTCGACATCTTCTCGTCGCCGCGCGACGGCGGCTGGGGCGGTTGAACAAGAAGCAGAGGATGAAGAAAGAGACGCGGAAAGCAGCGAGGTGGTGGATCTCTGCGAGGCGGCGTCCATCGACCGGTCTCTGGTATCCACTCTGAATCGGTCCGTCATTGAGGAGCTGGACGGCGCGGCGCACGAGGTCGATACGGACGCTGGCGCGGGCGGGCAGAATACCACCACCTCCAGCTCTTTTGCCAAGGGGTCCACCACTCGAAGCAGCAAGCCGATGCGCCCGGCGGTCTCGCCGGTCGCGGAGCACGCGCGCTCTCGGTCCGCGTCGCCCACGACCGGGAAGGACGAGTCGGAGAACAAGCCGCAGTTTCTGCGGAAGCCGTGGCTGCCATCGGGGACGCCGGCGACGGGCGCGGCACTCCTGATGAGTTTGAAGATGGAGCCTGATCAACATCATGAGCCCGGAAATAATAAAGCCTCGGTTGACGGCGCAGAAGACGATGGTGAGGTGGCGGAGAAACAGCGAAAGGAGCAGCAGAAGCAGATACAGACTCAGATTTTGAAAAAAAAGGCGCACGTGCAGTGGCTGGAGCAGAAGATGAGCAGCACACAGGTAATGTACGAGCAGGAGTTGGAGCAGCTGGCGCAGTTGAAAATCGAGCGCAGCCGCCGACAGCTGCCGATGAGCAAAACCACGAGTGGGCACTACGCGAGCACCCCGCGTACGCGCAGCCTGCCACCGTTTCTCCTGAATAAATTGGGTACCCCGACGACCTCGGCGAAGAAGCCCGTGGACAGCGTGATCCCCAGCCACAAGCTGATTCCGGGAGCCCTGATGGCGGTCAGCGCCGGCATACACCACACGCAGCACGCCGCCGCGCTGGCCGAGCAGGCGGACCACCAAAGGGTGCACTTGGACACGGCGAGTACCAGCCACCCGACCACCGCGGGGAGCGGCGGCGGGGACCACGGCTCTTCCTCGCAGCACCGGGCGAATAAACACAAGCGGGGCCACCTGTTCCAGAAGGATCCGTTCACGGACTTTCTGAACGCGCAGAACAAAAAGAGCCGGATCTCGGAGCGCGTGTTTCGCAGCCCCGAGATTATGGCGGACTGGATGCACGGCGCACGGGAGGAGGCCCGCCTCACCTACCGGTTAACGCGTTTGAAAACGTCCGACGAATTGTTCCACGACCACCTATTTTTTTCCCCCACCGGTCAGAGGGTGATGAAGGAGCGGCAGCTGATCATGGGGGAGAAGACGCCGCCGACGCTCCGGAAAGAGCTGAAGACGCTGCGGAAGCTGCGCAAACTCGTGAAGCGGAGCGGGTGGCAGATCTGCCACGACGAGAACGTGATCGGTGCGGGCGAGCTGGGGGAGAAAAGGCTGGAGGAGGTAAAGCAGTCACAGTTTTTCAAGAGCTTCACCGCCCGCGACGATCTATGCATTGCAAATATGTCTGCGTCTGGAAGGATGCAACTTGTGACGCGGCCTTTGGATTCTACAAAAATCTGTATTGCGTGAGCAGCAAGAGGAGTTCAGTTTTTGCCACGCAGAGGGGGCATTTCTCATCCGGTATAGGCATCAGGAAGCGCTCACAAAATCTGTGATGCTGGGGCATGCATCACCGGCATCATGAATCATGCAAAATGTGCATGAGAAATCTCACAGCCTTCCAGACCCAGACATTTTTGCATTTGATACGATCTGTTGACGGACAAAATGCTGGAGGAGGCGGAATTGGTGCGGGACGAGGATGAAAAGGACCAGGCCGAGCAGCAGATCGACGCCAAGCGGTTGGCCAAGCTAAAAAAGGGAGCGGCCCACAAGGCACGGGCCATGCGCTTCCTCCAACAGGGCTCCATGTTTATGGGAGCAGTCAAACACGCAAAGCGAGAGGAGATACAGATCTAGTAGTAGAACACAATCAACAAGAAGGTTTGATATTATTATTTGTCCTGGTCGTGCGCGGTGCGCCGCCAGGGTGAGAGCCATCGCAGGGGTCTGCTTGTTTGGAGTCGGGCGGTTGCAGCATCCTCTCGTTATTTCCAGGAGCTCCAAGTTCTTTTTTTGATAACGTCTTCACTGATGCTGGACTTAGATTTCAAAATAATGATACAGCGTTCTTTCTATACTCAGTTTTTTGATTTAAAAAACTTTCTGGTACAATAGATATAGAGCTACATCGTGTTTTGGCCTCTTCTGGTTGTCATGGTTTGTTCTTAATCACGCACTTTCTGTTTCACCAATCTGCAGAATATGGATCGATCACATCTGTTTTCAGGACGTCAGTGAATTTCCATACATTTATTTTTTTACACACATTTTTCTCTTCTTGTACATAGGTTTGAATTTGCCATTTGTAAAAGGGTTGGACTGCCCTTAGATCTCCGATGTCATTGTTATTTTTGCCGGGTGAGCTCAGGATACAAAATTCAAAATGCATGTCAGCTAAAAAAAAATATTCTGGTAGCGGAGTTGAAAACGTATTGGGTTCCCCATCTCAGAATGATTTTATTGGATCTCGTCGAGGCACCAGCATGTTCAAATCGAAAGGGACTAGTTGTATGCGATCATGAATGAGGTGAGATCACGCGTCGAGATCGAACAGATCACTAAATGTAAATGCGAAGAGCGGATCCATGGCACATAATACGAATGGGATGATGTTGACACAAACTCATTGAAGGATGGATCAGGTTATCAATGTCAACATCTTTGTGTTGGTTATGGCTAAAAATGGAAGAAATGGTTCCGTATTGTTTTTCGCAATTTTATTTTTTTTCAGTGTGAGAGTGAAGATCAGTCCCACTGCTAGTGCTCCGAGACGTATTAATTGATTTGATTTGTGATTTGAGAACTTGTTTCTTTGTGTTGAGAAATTCCAGATTTTCAACAATGGACGACTTTGACTTCGGCGTAGTAGACGCGGATGCGGTGCGGTTGTTCAGCCAGAAGCCGTCGGCCAGCAGCTTGAAATCAGCGAAACCACAGGAACGGAAGCCCGTGAAAGCAAACGCACCCAAGCAGTCCATCACAGCGGTTCGTTCCACTAGACACGGAGCTACTCCGAAGCCTGTCACGTCCGGTACATTTGTTGGCAAAGTCCTCGGAAAAAATGCATCTACCCCCACTCCCGGCGCTCCGCAACAAAAAATCAAAAGCATGGCGAGCGACACCGAGCGGTCTGAACACACTACGCGGAACCTGTCTCGCAAGAAAGCGAAGAGATCGGGACACGCAGACGAAAGGAAGATGAAAAGCGGCAGCGGGATGAAGGCGGAAATAACCGGCCCTACTGCTGGGGAAGCAAGCGAGCAAGATGATATGGTAAAGTGGATGATGGGCTTTGACAAAGCTTTCACGCAGCGCACGGGCGAGACCGTGACAGGCGGTGGCACTGCATTACCGGGGGAAGATCTTGAGATCGTAAAGGCATCTCAGCCAGCTGACGCCATTGGTCGTACAGGACACGAGGAGTGCGCGCCGGAGGATTTTTGCACGCGTGACGTTAAAAACAAAGGAGGAATAACCTCCTCCGCGCCAAAAAAAGCTACTGCGAAGAAAAAGGTGAAGAAGCTGAAAGCTAGCGCCTTCCCAAAAACTGCCACTCGTAGTACCGAAAAAGATTTCAGTTCCAGCAGCACGACCACCGCGGCGAAAAACGAAGAAGACCCGATGAGTGCAGCTTCACCTCTCTCGACGCCGAGAAGTACTGCTGCAGAAGAAGATCCGGTCATGTCTACTGACAGGGAGTCCCAGAACTTCGAATCTCTCTCTTTTGCACAGCAGATGGACCGGATCCTCGCCGGCGGGCTGCAACCGGCGAAGCGCGCGAAGGTAAAGAAGGTGAAGAAGAAAACCGCGGACGACCGCCCGGCTCTCGACCCGGAGGAAGAGAAGCAGCAGCAGAGAGAGCGGGAACGGAAGGTCCTGGAACAAAGTGAGGCCGCGGCGGGGGCGGACCGCGTCGCCATTGTCCCGGTGGCGGCGAACCGAGAGTTTTTTGCTGAGCACGGTTTTGGCGTCGTCGAAGGGTTGGACCAGCGGCTCGTGAAGCAGCTGAACTTTCTCGATTTCAACAAAATGACTTCCATCCAGGCAGAGGCGGTGCCCCAGAGCGTGGGCAATCCCGGCTACGACATGCTCCTCAAGGCCCCGACGGGGTCCGGCAAAACCCTAGCCTTTCTGGTGCCCGCACTGAACCGGATCTTGGCGAGCGTGGGCAACAAGGTTCCCGCCCTGACCCGGGAGGAGGGGGTGTTGGCCGTGGTGCTGTCTCCAACCAAGGAGCTCTGCATGCAGTCGCTCGCTGTGTGCGAGAAGCTGACCCGGATGCTGCCGTGGCTGGTGTGCGGCAGTCTTGCGGGCGGCGAAAACCCGAAATCGGAAAAGGCGCGCATCCGAAAGGGGATGCACGTCCTGTTCGCGACCCCGGGGCGACTGAACTACCACTTGGAGTTCACCAACAGTTGGAAGGCGTCCAAAAACTTTCAGTGCTTCGTCCTGGATGAGGCGGATCGATTACTGGACATGGGCTTCGAGAAGCAGATCAAGGCGATATACAAGGCGGTCGTCGGCTTGGACATGAAAAAGCAGCTTGTGGAGCAGGAGAAAACAGCACCTCCGATGTTGAACGTGGTGGCGAGCCGCGACAAGGACGCGAACGAGAAAACCGCTGGTGCAGCCGCGCAGACTATGCTTGTATCTGCGACCTTGACTCCCGGCGTGCAGCGGCTCGCGGAGTGGTGCCTGCACCCGCAGAAGAGACTGGTTGTGGGATTTCAACAGAAAGGAGGACATACGTCGGTGGATTTGGGTGCTGACCACATGCTGGACCAGGATACTGTGTCCTGGTCGCTGCCGGCGAACCTGACACAGCATGCCCTGATCACGCCGACGAAGACGCGGCTCGCGTGCCTGCTGTCACTCCTGCTGCAGCACGCGGGGAAGGTGATCGTCTTTTTTTCCAGCTGCGCCAGTGTGGATTTCCACTACGACCTTTTTCTCGGCCTCAAGTGGCCGGAGGCCCACAAAAAGAAGGACGCGCAGGAGACCAAGATGTTCAAAGGCGGGTTCGTCGGACTGAAACGCAACGCCGACGACGACAGTGAAGACGAGGACGTAAGCGAGGCGGAGGCGGAAGCGCAGAAAAATGGCAGCGCGAAGCCTGCTCGAAAGAGGCAGAGGGGGGATGCGAATGCCAATGCCAATGCCTCGGGCACGACTTCTTCTAGGGGGGTCGCAAAGAATGCCAAAATGCTAACCGGATTCATTGGGCGCGAAGGGGAGGACCTGCAAACTCTAGCGGCCGAGCAAAACATGAAAGCGACAGAAACAAGTGGAGAGAACAAGCAAGGCGGACTTTTTGGAAGTAGGTCAAAAACAACGAAAGCCACACCGGTTTTTCAAAATGTCGGATTGTACAAGCTGCACGGGAATTTGAGTGCCGAGGAGCGGGCGGGATTCTTGCGGGACTTTGCGGCAGAAGATCGGGCGGTGTTACTTGCGAGCGATGTGGTGGCCCGCGGGGTCGACCTCCCCCGCATCGAGTATATCGTCCAGTATGATCCGCCACAACATTTGGAAGAGTACCTTCATCGCATCGGGCGCACGGCCCGTTGTGGCCAGAGCGGAAACTCCGTGCTCTTTTTGCAGCCCAACGAAGAGGTCTTCTTGGAGATGCTGCAGAAAAAGATCGATCCAGCATCAGGAAATAGAGGTGGTGGTGCGGGAGACGGGACATCGAGCAAGGAGGACAACTACACCCAGTGCAGTGAGACCATCGGCAAAGTTTGGAAACCTGCGTCGAGGAGACCGCAAGAACAGGGGAGCGACGAGACCGCCATGCAGGGTCAAAAAGTCGTGCAGCGGATGTCGTGCGAACGCCTGAAGTTTGCGCTTCGGCGGTTCGCGCCGGCGCACTTCGAGGGGCTGCGGGACTTGGCGGAGTTTCTACAGAGCCAAATGGTGCAGCAAGTGGTTTCCAAGTCCGACCAGCTGAGTCACCTGGCTCGGCGGGCCTTCTTGTCCTGGATGAAAGCCTACTCGACCTTTCCGCGCGCATTGAAGCCGGTTTTCAACGTCAAAGCACTGCACCCAGGGCACGTAGCGTCCAGCTTCGGATTGTCGGAAACGCCACGAGAGATCTCCTCGCACTACCGTCGGGATTCCACAGCATTTGCAACAAGCGAAAGTTCGGGAGGAGGTGATCGCACGTCGAAGGGAAAAAAATACGACGCCCGGCGCACAGGGAATGGCAAGGGTAAAGGGAAGGGGAAGAAAGGAGACCAAAGCAAGCCATCCCTGGCACAACGACTCGCAGGAACCAAGAAGCAGCGACATGGAGATGCTCTGCGCGAGGAGCGAAATCAAAAGCTCTTCGTCCGCAAGGAAAAAGTAAAGTTCTTGCGCGGAACAGCGGCACCACAAGGCGTGGACGCATTTTGTTAGAAGTCCGTGGTGCTGGTTGTAAACCATAGTGAATGGACTTCTGTGCTGACCAAATGAACTTCTACTCGGGATTAATTAGTCGCGCTTACGATGCTGTCGTGCACTTTCTTGAATTTGTACGGATAATAATTGCAGTATCAAGAATTGCCGTATCTTTCTCTTTGGTGTAGCCACAAGGTTGGTTGTTGCAGGTGCGGAAGATGTTCGACGTCTTATTTCTTCCCAGTGAGGAACAACTTTTTTTTTGGCGGAAGATCCGCATGGCACACTGCCAACATCATCATCATCATCGGCTCACTTTTTGTTTATTATCTGTGTACTCTCGGTGCTGTTGCAGTTCCGTTCAGATTTTGTTTGGTTCGGCTGCCAGACAGAAAGTGTATTAGTTTACCGGTTATTGTCAATCCACCGACCTTGTAGGTGAGGTTCCCGAAAGAGTGGGCACTTCGCAGCGCAACCAGGATGGCTCCCCGAATTCCAGTCGCTGTGCGCCAAGCGCGTGCCGACGCGCTTGTCGCGGAGGACGACGAGCGCCTTTTGGAAGACATGCATCAAAAGGTATGGGGTTTGCCCGAGTCTCGCCCGGGAGAAACTGGCTCGCGCGAGCAACCGAGGAGGAATCGTGCTACCAGGCAGTACACGCGAAAAGACCTGTACACCCTGACGCAGAAGACGATTGACGAGTTCCAGATAACGGGGCGCCCGGCCCTGGAAGCGATCAGCTCGCACTACAGGCACAGATCAGCGATATCAGCATCGGCAGGACCACCTGCTGAGCACTCTGCTGCGTTAAGTAAGCTAGTATCGGCACCAGTCCCCCGGGTCGCCTTCAGTGAGTGCGCACTTAATATTATCCGTGGACGTTTCTGCTGTACCGATTGTTGATAGATTTGATCTACTAGCGTCAAAGTAGAGATGCATGCAAACGAATAACAGCCTACTTTCGTCGATTACACGCAGATAAGGCAGACTGGCGAGCATCGACGAAGGTGCAATTACCTGCGTTGCAGGCACGTAAGGGACCACGTGCCGTCGTTCTTCCTTTGGTTTTATGTGACAATGGGGTTCTAGTTTCGTTTGAATAAGTAGCGAGGACGAGGACACGCGACCAAACCTGCCTGTTTTGTACTACCGGGATTTGTTGGGGCTGGTGGTTTCAGCGTTGCGTCAGGAGGAGGAGGAGCGGCAGAGACGGAAGGCTTTGCGAAAAAGCGAAAAGAGGGCAGCCGTGTCGGGCGGGATTACCATTCCCTTCGAGCAGAACAGCTTGGCGCGCGATGCTAGCGCCTTCTCCGTGGTCCCAGAAAATAAAGTGCCGGCGGCCGCGAGCTCTTCTGACGTAGTTGCCCACCACACTACTCCGTCGGCGACAAATTCTTCGGTGCCAATTGCCACCCCACCTCCTGCTGCCGAAAGTAATGATCGGACCACAAAGTCGGGCACGCGCACGCCACAGCAAAGTCCACCTGCACAACATGAAGTTGCGCCGGGTTCTTCAACGACAACGGGTCTGCCACTGCAACCGCCGGAACCTCCGCAGCCAGAGAGTTCCAGTCCGCCGCGACAGAGCGATAACATGACCTCTCCCGCATCTGTGTGGCAGAGCCCAGTTCCGCCGGCGGTGTCGCGAGGAACAGGCGGCTCGGCACAAAAGTTCTTCCCTGAGCAGTTCTCAGGCCCCCGCGCCGGTGCAGCACCGAGCAACGCGAACAAGCTGCGGGTCGTGCAGCCGGTGCAGGAGCAGCTGCGCGCGTCGCTCTCCACTGCGTCGCTAACGTCTCCGTCCCTGCTGCAGCAACCGGTTTTGCAGCTCGGATATGGGTTCAAAGCTCGCGTCGAAGAAGTTCCGAAGAAGATCCCCGAAGAACGAGCCGTACGGGGAGGATCACGCGTCGCGGAAGCAAAGACTACCGTGAAAGTCGAATCGGAGGTACAAACAAGCACCGCACTGTCCGACGTGGAACGGGAGACCCTGAAGGATTTTGAAGCACTCAAAAAGACGCTCGGCAAGGAAGCAGAAGCGCGGCTCGGCGGGGTCGTCCAACGCCCTAGCTGGGATGTGGTCCGCGGAGGTAAGACGGGAACTAATTCTTTGCCAGTGTCAATTTCGCATCACACACGATCACGATGTCTGCCTGATGAATAAAAGGCCAGCAACTACATTGTAATTCCATGATGCTGGTGAGTAGATATAATACTGCTCTTGTATGGAAGTTGTTCAAATAAATCCACGCCATTTTATCACGAAAAAGTAATCAAAAACGAAAGGCTTCAGCGGACCCGATAGCTCTGGGCCATTGATACCTGCCCTCAGTGTGGGTAGTGAAATGCAGCTTTCGCCAGTAAAGAAACCACCAGAAGCACAGGAGTCTGCGCACGATCTCCGTCGGGCTCTGGAGGACGCGACGCGCCAGAATGCGCAGCTGCAAAACAGGATCACCGAACTTGAGCAGGTTAGTACACGTGCTGCATACGACCTTGGCAAAACACTATCCAGTGATGAACCTGTCGGGCGTTTCCAAAAGGCCGGGTTGCTCGGTCTGCCTGCTGGTTATTAAAATGCTTTGTATAATACACGCTTCGTTGAACAACAACAGCGGACAGAAAAAGAAAATCGAAGAAAAAAAATTTTGCAGGCCAGCAGCGAGTCCAAGAGTTATGCCGTTGCTGATCCAGTCCCAGTCGGGTACGCCGAAGCAAACAAGGAAGAGTTGGCAAAGATGCTGATTGAAGCACTTCAGAAGGAGGTAGCGCGGTTGTACGTTGCTCGCGCACCGTCTCCGGAGACCGATTCTCGGAAGACATCGACTGAAGGGAACGCAGGTCCCACACCAGCAGAACCTCGTCCGGACGCGCTCTTGCAGCAGTCTATTTGGCAAGGCGGATCGGCGGACGATGGGGGTACTTTGCACGAACAAGTAAAAGCAGTGAATCGGCTCCGAGACGCCTGGCAAGCAGACGTCGCGGCTTTGAAGCAAAAGCATGCCGACGAAATGCAGCGCATGCGCCGGGCTGTGGAGGAGCGCGACTCTGAGGTAGTTGTCAAATTTGTTTCGCATACGAGGAACATTTTCTTTGAGCCAGCCTGCAAAGCTATCGTCCTCGTTCTTCTATCAAACATTGGTTGCTACAAAAGTTTGATACAGTGAAAAAGGGTAAAAAAGAAGTGAACAAGCTGTGCTTCCAAACAGATTTTCCGATTGCAAACTGCGTTGCGCGCACACGAAAACCGTCCACCAATGTCTGCGGCGCAGAACGAGGGACGACCTGTTGGGTCAACTATGGAGCAGGACGGCGTAGAAGAAATCCTCCACATGCGCGACGACGCAGCTAGTGCTAATGCGAGTGTGGCGGAAGTCGAGACAGTGAACGCAGCACTTGATGCGAACGTGGAGGCATTAAGCCGCAAGGTAGCGGAGCTGCAGACGGATATCCTGTGTAAAAACGTTCCTGCGAGCAGATTGCAATTTTGCGATCAAGTGTGATCGTGCGCTTTCTGAGCATGTATGTTGCGTTTTGTTGACTTTACAGGTTTGTAAACTGCTCTTGTACAACTACACAAGTGGCTGTAACGCGACCAGCACCAAGTTACGTAAAAAAATAGTTTACAAACTACGAAAATGCACTCCTAGGCGTTTCGTGCGAAACTCGCCAGACTTTAGCAGCTGTGTAGCGACGCAACTTTTTTCCTATTTGGAGGATGTGATAGAGTCAGGGACGCTGTTGCACAGGATTACGGAAACATACCAGTTCAACCAGATGCTGCTCCGGCGGAATCCTGTGGTACAGTCTGCCCCAACCGAGCCGCAGACAGCGGGGTGGGTGGCAACCAGTCCTGGACTGCAGCCAAAAAATGCGGGCACGAAATCCCGGCTCCAGCCGCTCCCGCGGGTGGAAATCACCGGGCGTGGCAGTTTGATTCATTACTACTACCCGGAGCAAACAAACGCGACCGGCGAGGATCCACATCCGGTCCTCCTTACGGAGCACGGATATAGCCCCAACAAAGACGAAGAGGCGGACAAGGAGCGAGGCGAGGGAGATTTCGCCGGAACGAACTGCACTACCGACGAGGTATTGGGAAAATTAGACGACTTTCGCCAGCTCATGGAACCGATGCTGCAGCGTTGTGGTCAACGACATCAAGCAGTGGATGCAGAAGCGCCAGAGGTGACGTGCAAGACGAGTGCTGACGCGAATAGAAAGCTCAGTAGGACGTCGGAAGTGGTTCGAGGTGATGCACTAGAGTCATGCACAGCTACGCCACGACCAGGCGCGAGCGTCAGTCAAGAAGGAGGTGGCCGGGACCTGAATTATCCTCTGTCGTCAGGTCTGCCGAATTTAGGCAATGCTGCCTTGTTCAAAGTAGACAAGTGGGGCTGGCAGTCGTGCGATGCGCCCGAAATCAGCTCCCCATCGAAGATTTCCTCACAATTGAGAGTCTCTGGGGCGCCGCCCGAGCCGCAGCTGCACAAAGTTTTCGGGGGGAAAGCACCAAACCGAAGCCGCAGGCACTGGCGTGCCGGTGCCAGTAACGGCACTTCGGTTGCGCTTCCGGACACGTTTCTCAGTCGGTTACAAGAGGATCCCGAGCCCATGGCGCGGATCGACAAGCGAACCCCGTCTGTTTGCGATGTCATGGGAAGCGTAGTCATTGAGAAAAATGCGGACCGGGCACGGGAAGAGAAGGAAGAGAAAAAGTCTGCGACACGGGGACCAGGAGATGGCAGCTGGACCGGCAACGAAAAGCTTTCGGGGGGTCAACAGGAGGGAGAGATGAGTCCAACGCGAGCGGAACAGTGGCAGCAAGAGCGATGGAAATACATGCACAGTGTCGGGAAGGAAAAGGATGTTCATCTGGTATCGTCCGAAAGGGAAGAGTCTGTGCTTCCAAAAGAAGTGGCTTCTCTCAAAGAGCAGATGAAGGTGCAGAATGATCGTCTCGCGGATGCGCTGCGCCGGGTCCGAGAACGACAAAAAGGAAAGATGATTGCTACCAAGCAAGAAAAGCTGGTCTCCAACGTCACTCATTAGAAATCTTTACGAAAACATCCGCCATGCTTGAAAATGCATAGAAATCATACCTGCAGGAGGATTTTCCTTGTGTTTTTGTGTACTACATGAAAAACCTGTGATGCCAAAAAATTTTTCTCATGCAAAGTCTGCAAATGAGTGGCTGTGACGAACTGCTTTCTCTCGATACCTGCCGGCAGGGACAATGTAATCCGATGAGGTGCTTTCTCTTTTTCTCGCCCACCTTAAGAAGCGCACACGTCATTCTCTTTTTCTCGCCGCAATAGACGGTGCCAATACAACGTGCCCGATTGCTGCATTCTTGGACTCCGGAGGTAGCACCTCCCCAAGATCCTCGTTGCAAAATCTTAATCTCTCGGAGGCTCTCGTCTTACGTGTGTCCATGCGTACAGGTGTATACTATGTGGGAAAGTGGACTGCTGAACAATTAGCGAAGAAAAATAGAATCGACGCCGTCCTTATATGATATTCGTTACGACGGAATAAAGAATTTAGACAGATAAAGTAGTAGTGTCCGCAACCGCTTTGTTTGTGAGTGAACTCCGAAGAAGCACAGAATTTCATTGACGCATACATAGGAGTGTTCGACCCTTTTTCGCTTGAATTTTGCGTCGAATAGTTGTCTTGCTCTCGATCGCCAAACATGGTGATGGCATTGGCAACTTCAAAGAGTGACCAGGATCAGTCAGGTGAGATGGTTTTGACCGAGATTGAACTGGAGAATCAATGTTAGATTTTGCGGCCACGGTCCTTACTACTTTTGGAATTTTGGTGACCCGTTGACGTTTCGAACTCGATCGGTTCGTACTTTGTTTCATAACTCGGACAAACCTAGAATTTCAAAAGTTTCATGTTGCTTCCCTCCTCCTCGTAGGTTCTACTGTTTTTTTCGTCGGCTCCCGGGATTTCTTTGCTTGTATCTCGGCCAAGATGGATGACGAGGATCAAGTACTATGTGATTTGTTTTACCTCCTTCTCCGCACGAATGCGTTTTTCTTTTGACGACTTTGATTTGGCTGCATGACAAAAATGTTCCTGAAAACGAAAACCGACAATACAAAACAAAAAAACACAACAGAATGAGTTCGTGACGGAGCAGGTCCAAGAGATCGCCAAGCACGCAATCCATCAGACACTGGGGAACAGTGTGTACAACAAGGAAAAGGTCAATGGGTGGTGTGGGCAGATCGTGGATGCCTGCCTCAAGGAGCTTGCAAAGCTCAACAAGCCCTTCAAATATGTCGGTATAGAAATATAGATTTGTGATGTGTTTTTGCACGCGGCACTTGTCCTCGTCGCGAAAAATTATGAATATCGCGATACATTGTTGATATCGAACACGAAAACAAGAGACGATGAAACCACATTGATCATCACGTTTACAACTACAGTTACGTGCGTCATAATGCAGAAAAACGGGTCACCGTTGCATACAGCCGCAACGGCATTCTGGGACACGAAGACCGATGGTATCAAGTTGGAAGTTGGAATACTCTTTGCTAAATCTAATATTCTCAGGCAGTGCTGCGAATGTGATGCAGACTGCTGTGGTAACTCGCATGATGCGAACTAATGTACTGTATGACATCAGAGACGTCGTCTTCTGTACGCAATTATAGCTACGGTGATTTCCAAAATTAAAAAAATCAGGTCTCTGTTGCATGCAGGTCGGGAATGATACGTTGGATTGCATCACAACGATCTACGCGTGCATGATCTGAGCGAATGGAGGAGAAGCTCAAATGATCAAAGATGGTGCCGATGGCTACCATGTAATACACTTTTTAGAAGTTGTTGTTATAGCAGTTGACCTTCCACTTTTCAAGATAGTCGCATTATAGGACACCCTGTTGCACAACGTGATTAGACCACTTGTCAAGAGCTGCAGCTATGTTTGCCAAAAGAACAACCTTGGATTGCTTCCGATTGCCTTTCGGAAGTAAGAAATTAACGTCCGGTGCTGTGAAAACCATATTGTTGTATTCGTAATTTTTTGGCATCCCCTCCCTCGCCAAACCAGTACAGTAAAAATTTCTCTCTAAAACCTTGGAGAAGAATCCCCCCAGTGAGATGATACTCACAGCCACGGAACTTGAGGCCACTTCGACAAGTAGAAGAAGGGCGGAAGAGGGCCAATGTCGCAACGCGACTGAAGGACGCGACGTTTTGCTTGCGGCGGTGTTTATTCATAGACATTGATGTTGACTAGCCGAGCCGTGGAGAAGTGTTGACTGTCTTCGAAATTATTCCTCATTCTAAGTCCACTTTCTCGCTCTGCGCTATCGCTCGCCCCCCTAGTTTGAGGACGCCGCCTTGTCGATTTGCGCAAAAGGAAGAGTTGTGACACGAGTATCTTTGGGGCTTGACTTTCGCACCTCTTGTTGTGGGGTTATAGTGGCAAAAAATCTAGTTGCTGAAAGGTGGGTGCAAGTGAGCGCGCAATTCGAAAATTTACCGATACAGAGGGTCTACATACACGCGTCCTGACGGTTGTCCTTGTCATTTGAGTCGATTCATCTTCAAATGCATATTCATCTCGTCTACTTCGTCTAGATGTAAAATGGCCACACCGTCAACGCACTTCCAGACTTTGGGTCCTTTGGATCTTTACCAGCACCAGACCGCGGGAGATCCGGCAGGAGGTGCCGGCGGGCTGCAGGAGCGCGGCGACACCTTTCGGGAGGCAGCACAGGAGCATCCGCTGGAAAGGATAGGACCGCTCCCTGGTCTGGAAGAAGGAGGCATCCCCGGTGTGGAAGAGGTACGGACGGAGCTGCAGCGCGTGCTGGATCAGGTGGCAGACCGGGACCGCCACATACTGCAGCTCCAAAGTAACATTCGGAACTTGGAAGATACCCATAAGCTGCGGTTGTACCGCACCCTGTCGCAGGTGCATGACCGAGTCGATCGGGACGTATCTTGTCTAAAACCGTCTCCGCCCCACAGCGAAACTGATACCGCGATTTCTGCTATTGTTCAATGCAACGCGTTCAGCCAAATAGTTCCGCAAGGGCAAGCGTGGTTCTGCGATGGAGTGGCTATGAGCTATTGCGTCTGCGACGTCGCAGAGTCACCTCCTGACGGTGCTGGTTGCAGCTTTGCAATTCTTTTCGGAACAAGGCTATCATTCAGTAACGGTCCCGTAGTAGGCACCAGTGGTGTTGCTGCAAATGCGCTTTTTGGCTATGCATGCGGGGTCGGGACGGTTTGAAGACAGGATACTCTGTCGCGCTGATTCACTCACAGCGGGAAATTTCGGAAAACGTGCGCACCGCCGAAGCCCACTGGCGGAAAGAGTGCGACGCGCTCCACAACCAGTTGCAGGAGCGGCGGAGAAGGAACTTTACAGATGTTCGGACTAGCGGGGGCGCCTCTTCGTCTTCGTCTCAATAGCACCAAAGAGGCTGAAAAGAATTTCGCTTCGAGCCCAAGCGCCGCGCGTGTTACATCTAGTACACAAGTGACTACACTGACTACCTCTAGTACAACTGACATGGTCACGTATAATGCCACTCTCGACGTCCCATCGACATCGCTAATTCGTCACAGTGCGAAGAACAGCCATAAAATGCCGGAAAAAGAGACTCGATTTGATGTTGAGCAGTTCCTGGGTCGACGCAAGCATGATGTGGATTGACGTTGTGTTTACAATGTTGAAAAAAGATGTAAACGACATGGTGTTCGTGTTTGTCAGTGGGGTGGAAAGCTCAAACAAACCCTTGTTGAAAGGTCGCCTGGTATGTAGATGAGCCTATTCTTGCCCTCGGCGGTGGAGCTTGGGCGTTTATTTGTATTTGTATGTCAAGTTGTCAGGAGTTTGTTTCAAGAGTGCCTTGCAAAAGAAGGAGAAAGTGGAGGAAGGGAAACAAACGAAATGGGCCTCGGGCCAGCCTTTGAGTGTTTGTTGACCAGAGCCGTCGATTTGAGCGACAAAATACTCTTAAGCGGATCATGAGGTAGAGGTAGCTAGCAAATAAATTCGTCTGGTCATCAACTGCAGCTGAGTAGACGAAAGCAGTAGAAAATGAACGAGGCCATCCAGTCTTTTGCTACAAGCGCACTCGAGTACGTGCCGGAGTCAGTGAAGGATGTTACGGGCCTCCAGAAGCAGATGGTGGAGGAGGTTGACCACATTTCCGATGTTCTTCTCGAGCGCCTGGCGTTCGTCGACGAGCACGTGCCGGAAATGTTCCTCACGCTCTGCTACCTGGACGGCTTCCAGATTTGGCGCATCGTGGAGGAGAACGGGAAGGAGCTGGTGTCCTGGTGGCAGCCGCCCTCAAGCGGGCACCAAATCGCACGGGTGAAGCTGCTACCCCTGAATCCGGACTGCCTGTTTTCGAAGGTGCCAGAGGTTTTCGAAGGGGAGGGAGGCACAGACGCAAGTGCTGCGGTGACATGGCCACGACCTGCGGGTCGTGAAGGTGAAAATGCAGAAGAAGAGCCCTTAGATCATCAACAGCATCAGGGGCACGACCAGCAAGACCAGGACCAAGAGGCAGCTGCCAGTTGTGGAGTGGAAGAGCCACAAGTGGTCGACCGGGATGATGAAGAACCAGACCAAGTGACTCCGCAGCAGAGCGACGTTGCAGCTGCCGGGGCGGAAGATAACGCAAGGGCGCCATTGTATGGAAAAGCGAGCAGCGGGGCGCCCGGGCAACCGGCGATGTCCCTCCAATGCAAGCGTCGCAAAGAGGCATCGCCGCTCGTGGCCTTCGTGACTTCTGAGGGAACGAAAATCCACATTTTCTCGCTACGCGAAAACGAGTCGGTCTATGTGCTGCGGTCGGTGCGGGCGGTGTTGTCTTTGCAAGCCACGAAACGGCTGCTGGCTGCGGGACTCAGTTCCCAAATCGATCTGTACGACGCCCGTGACTTTTCGCATCTGTTCCAGGTAGGCACTGCACCCGCGCCTCTGTCCTCGCTGGGGAATTTTTGTCTCGGAGACAGGTGGTTGGCGTACGATCTGAGCGGGACGAGTCTCGCGTCGAAGACGGAGCAACCGCCTGCGCACGGCGCTTTGTCATCGCAGAACAACACCGCGGGCGACCCTTCCGCAGGTACCACGGAGGGGTCAGGGTTTGAGGTAAATTCCGCGCGCAGCAAAGTGCAATCGTACACAAACGCGGTGGTGGACGGGTCCTTTGCCGCGGTTCGGGATGGCATCTCGCTGCTAGGGCAAATTTCGCAAAAAACACTGGACTCCTTTCTGATGAACAGCGATGAAATTCTCGAGCACCGGGCGGCGTTGCAGCTGCAGCAACCCGGTGGCGCTGCACCCGGGAAAGGTGTACTAGGGCGAGGGGCTACCGGAGGGGGCGCAGGCGGTGCGGGCGGGACGTACAATTTCTACGGGCCCAACCGCCTCGGCGCGGGCTTCGGTGTGGCCGTGCGTGACTGTGTGGGGCGGCACTTGATCGGGCAATTCGCGACGCAGGAGCCCATCGAATGTATGCGGTGGAACAGCAGCGGCACCTTGCTGATATCTTGCACTGCGATGGCGCACAACGTGCTCCTCCACCGCGTGATCGTGGAAAAAAATCGCACGACGGGGGCGAAGGTGCACCGCTTCGTGCATGCTTTCACGCTGTCCCGCGGCATCACGCCGGCACTGATCTCGAACCTGACTATCTCGGAGGACAGCCGCGTGGTCGCCGTCAGCACGAAAAAGGGCACGACGCACATCTATCTCCTGCCGCCCACAGTGGCGCTTCCGGTGTCGCGCACGGCAGCACCGGCTGAGGGCGACCGCGGCGGAGGGGCGATTATTCCAGGTGGGGATAATTTTTGCACCCCGTCAGGCGGAAGTGCCGCGTCTACCGGCTCTGTGGTATTCAACAACCCTGCTGCGGGTGGAAGCCCGCAAAAGTCTGCGGCCGTCGCGTCTAGTTGCAGCTCCTCGGCGACTAACGCTTCTGGCACTACTCTAGTTAGCGCAGCGTCCTCGTCCTCCTCTGCAACCGTTCTGCAAGCAGTCACCCGGATCAAGCTCGGGTCTGCGTGGCTGCAGGAGGGTTTGCAGCCGGTGTGTCTCTTTGCGGAGACAGCGAAGCACAGCGTCCGCACGCTCTGCATCGCGACGCGAGCGGGAATCTTCTCTATTTTCTCTTTGCGGTTTCTGTCCGCGCCGGAATCCTCAGTGGCGGAGACGGCTAAAAATCCGGCGCGCGGCAGGACCTCGTTCTGGGGGCGAAAGTGGTCTTCTACCTGTGCCTCATCTGCAGAGAAGGACGCTGGACAGCAGGACGAGGAGGCCACGTGTTTTGTGCAACAGACGAAGAGCATGGGAGCCTACCGCCCCAAGACTAACTTCGTGCAGAAAGCTTATGTAAGTGCGACATTTTTCGGAATTTTTCGATAGTCTGTAGTTGAAATCAAGTTCATGAAATATTAACACATCGAGTAAATAACATGATTTCTAGTTCCGTGGCTTCATGCGCCTCTGTAGCTTTGTTTGTGCTGTCTATTCCATACTCTATTGTTCGCAGGAAGCCGCGCCGGCTTGGGCGGAGGAGGGGCCCAGTGAGCCGGGGTCGCGGGATCCCGTTGTGTTTCGCAAACGGCATGTGCCCATCTGGTTCTCGCCACAATTGTCCTTCTATACCTTCCCGCGCCAGAAGAACGGGGCTGATGATTTGCTGATGGGCGAGAAACCCGGTAGCCGAACACGGTTGACGTTCGCGCACACCGAGCCAGGGTGTGAAGCGAGGCTGGGCAACACGACGGAGGAGCCGCGGAATCTGTTCCCGCCGGAGGAGGGAGACGAAGAGCACGAAGAGTACTGCTTTGTACCGGATCACAACTAACGAACAACAGAGGGAGGAAGAGCCTGGAGGATCACATCATGATTGAAGAGAGCGTATGGGACTAGAACCTGCGCAACAAATAGTCCGCATACCCTTTCTTCGCTCATGATTAATAGTACGAGTCAAGTATTTGTATTTGGAATCGCGTGATATCCTGTATTGCTATTGTGATATGCACACGGCATGCACAGTGAGTCAGGCTTGCATTGGCAAAAGTCACGTGCTGGATTGAGCTGCCGTTGATATCTTGCGTTTATTTATTTTCTCATTCTGTTCGCTACTGCGAGCACTGCATTCAAAGAAACGATCTCTGTATGATCTTGAGTACTCAACACATGTCCACCGGGTCGTCTTCTTGAAGAGAAGGATCTAGCATTGTAAGCGCGGTCGTCATTAGTACTAAAGCATTGACATTGTAACCAAACGTGTGATCTGGATCTGCGTAACAGTTCCTTCAGAAAGATCTAGCAACATATCCACAGCCTGGCGATGATGTGATCGAGGAGTTGGTACGCCCAAAGATTACATTAACAGCCCAAAGAGTGGTGGCGATCCAGGAAGATCTGGTATAGATGAAGTCACGAAGCACACCGCTCTATTTCTTGTAATTCGTGAGGACGCTGATGGTGCTCCTGCGTGACTGATCTCGTCTACTATTTGCTTTTTCGTATGATCTTATCAATTACTAGGAGTTGTACATAGCTTAGATGATAGTTAGCGCCTACTGCGAAACCAAGAATTGTGACGCCATAATTCTCTAGTAGTGGCTTCTGCCTTATCCACCTCTAATTCCTACCGGCCTTTTATTGTCTGTACGAACACAAACTGGGGTGTAGTTGTACGAAATGGCTGCGTCTCAGACCAGCCAATGAAGGTTTCTCTTTTTCCGTTTTATAAACGACAGAAGGATGTTGAAGAGAAAAAGTGCACGCCTGTTTTGCTGTCCTTCAAACATCTCCTTTAAAGCACATTGAAGCAGGGCGGATTGGCATATTGATTTATTTATTTGTCCTATTTGTTCTGCTACCTGTACTTTTTCTGTTGTTCACTACTTTGTTCTACCAAGAAAAATTCACCCAAGAAATAAATTGCAGTGCTTTCTTGTGCGGTGCGCGACATCATTGACAGAAAAAAAAAAAGCTTCAAGACGCGGCGGAGAAAGATCGCTACACTGGAACGCAATGGAAGACCACCGGGAAACGCTCTTGGACATCGATCCCGAGGATGGGCGTGGACGCTACAAAAGGGCGGCCGCCACAGAGGAGGCGAGTCCTGTAGCGGCCGGTGGTAGCTCAGTGTCCCCCGCATTTTGGGTTGTTGCAGGCGTGTGCCTCGTGGCCTTTGTGGGTGCTGCTGGTACATACTGAATTACTGTGATTGATTTGATTTTTTTATACGGCAGATGAAAGATGTGTCGCTTATCAAGTCAACACCGGTGCGGCGCTTTCAGCATGGATGCTCGTACATCGCGGATGTCTTTCCTGGTTTCGACCACCAGCATGAGTCATTTATCATTAATCAGTAGGTATGAGTCTTACCGTGTTATCGTCCTTCTGTAGAGGGAGACGACGAACAACCGACGCAATTTAAATACCACCTTTCGACAGTGGCCTGCGTCGCGACGGGCGTATTGAGCGCAGATGATGGTAACGGGAACAGCGGGTTTTTGCAAGTGCAACCCCCGCCACCCGTCGAAATTTCTCAGTTGAAGAGGGAGATACTCGCAGACCTGTCCGCGTTGGCCGAGGAGCAGCAGCAGGGAGGTGACAAGAAATGCAAAGAGTTGCCCGTCCAGAGCACGCGCGAACGTGTGGAGATCGCGTTCCAGCGCATTTGCAAAGATGCCAAGTACGGACCCAAGGCGGGTCACACGAAGGTCTTTCACTTGCAGAAATTCGCGGAGGTGCCGCAGTCCGATGAACTCGAGTATCTGACCACCGACGAAGACGTACCCCGCAATCGCTACACGTTCCTGGTTCAGGAGTGTTGTAACTCGTGGGAAGAGGAAGCCAGGGAGTTGGTGGATGCAGCGGGAGGTGATCAGGCTACAAACTCACAAAGCGGGGGTGTCTCCGACGAGCGATGGAAGACCGTTAAGGAAACGCTGGTGGCCCAAGGATTTCCACCAGAAGACGCCGAGGCACTAGTCGCCAAATTGCGCAACAGTAACAGCCCGGGTGGGCCGACGCCGCAGCAGCCGACGACGCCGCAGCAGCCACAGCCGACGACCCCGCCGCAGCCGCAGCCGACGACCCCGCAGCAGCCGCAGCCGACGACCCCGCAGCAGCCACAGCCGACGACGCCGCAGCAGCCGCAGCCGACGACGCCGCAGCAGCCGCAGTCGACGACACCGCAACCTGCCGCGCCGCAGCAGCCGACGACGCCGCAACCGGCCGCGCCACAGCAGCCGCAGCCGGCGACGCCGCAACCGGCCACACCGCAGCAGCCGCAGCCGACGACGCCGCAACCGGCCACACCGCAGCAGCCGCAGCCGACGACGCCGCAACCGGCCGCGCCGCAGCAGCCGCAGCCGGCCACGCCACAGCAGTTGCAGCCGGGCGGGCCTCCGCAGGCGAACGGCACGGACCCGGCGACGCCGCAGCCGGCGATGCCGCAACCGGCCACACCGCAGCAGCCGCAAACGGCCACACCGCAGCAGCCGCAGCTTGGCGAGCCTCTGCAGCCGGACGGGCTTCCACAGCCGACGACGCCGCCGACGCCGCAGCCGGCGATGCCGCAACCGGCCACACCGCAGCAGCCGCAAACGGCCACACAGCAGCAGCCGCAGCTTGGCGAACCTCTGCAGCCGGACGGGCCTCAGCAACCGGCGACGCCGGCGACGCCGCAGCCAGCTACACCGCAGCAACCGGTCACGCCGCAACAGCCGGCGTTGCAGCCGGACGGGGCCCAGCAACCGACGACCCCGCAACCGGCCACGCCGCAGCAGCAGCAGCCGGGCGGGCCTCTGCAACCGGCGACACCGCCGCAGCCGGCGTCGCAACCGACGACGCCACCGCACTCGACGCCGCAACCGACGACACCGCCGCAGCCGGTGTCGCAACCGGCGGCGCCGCTGCAATCGACGCCGCAGCAGCCGCCCCCGGATCACCCACTGTCGCAACCTGCAGAGGGGCAGGAGCAGCAACACCCAGGCACAGAACAGACGGCACAACCACCGCCTCAGCTAGTCAGTGGTCAGCTTTCTGTTCCGGATGCAGAATATGGGTCGGCATCAACTTTGCGGGTAGGCAGTGTCTCCCCGCCGAGGGGGCGATCACGGGGTCGTTCGCAACCGCGAGGGCGAGCACGTAGTCGCTCTCCTTCCAGTGCCCGCAATGTGCTTCCACCTGCTGAAGCTGCAATTGAAGCTACCGGTCCACGAGTTGCAGACTCAGAGACTTCGAACCCTGCAGCGGACGAGGAGGCTGCACCAGCGGGACACATCCAGGTGCTGGGCGCGGGCAACGGCCAGCAGCAGGATAATGAAGTGCTGCAACAGTCAGGGACAACTACAGCTTCCAACGAGCAGGCCGCAGCGGGCAGCACTCCCGAGGAAGGGGCAGCGCCGCCGCCGGAGCACTCCGTGGCCTCTGCGGGAGGTGGCCTTCCGGATACGAATGTGGACAGCCATTCGCAACTTGGCACTGTTACGATCGATGACGCGTCTGCGCAAGCCGGGGGTGCGGAAACTAGGGCAGCGGAGGAGACAGTGCTCGCTGATCGCTCAGGTGCGTCCCCGACGACACCAGGTAGTCCCAATATGGCTGCGGAACAAACGGTGCATACCACTTTTGAGGCAGATGCAGAAGGAAACGAAGCACCGTCGGAAGAAGTTGCGCAGCACGGACTGCCCGACCGCAGCGACGAAGGCGCCACCGCGGTGCCGGCAGCCGTTCCGGCTGACGCAGCCGTTCCGGCGGACGAGGCCGCAGTCCCGGCAGAAGGATTTACGGCGGTCGTTCCAGCGACGAGCGCACCGCAGCTACCAGGGTCTGACGCAGAATCGGCATCCGCACAGGGCGCCAGCGTCGATACCGTGCCGGACCCGTCGGCTGGGCCAACAGCTGCTGCGGCTGAATCACTGGTGGAGGGTGCCACGGGACCTCATGCTTCGAACCGGAGTGGAGATGAAGAGCGCAACGCGCTTGCCAGCGAAGACCGCAATGCGGGTGGTGCAGAATCGCAACCGAGTCACGCTGCGCCGGGAGGAGAGTTGGGCGGCTCGTCGCCGCCGCGATCGCCAGGCCTCCTGCACCACACTGAGACTCGCGATGACGAGGGTACAGAGAGTAGAGACGCGGCGACGTCGGGAAATGCTCAAGCCCATACGGACCTCACCCACGAGGTAGACCTGTCAGCAGCCGGCTATGCGGGAGTTTCAACGGGTTCCGAGGTTGTACGTGAAGGCGAAGAAGGACAGGAAGTAGCGGATGAACACGCAGCCACAGGTACGGGTGCCGAGGTCGCAGAAGAAGCTCCGTTGAGGTCGCAGAACCTTATGCAGCCGGGCGACAATATCGATGGTGCAGCCCGTGCCGTTGTTCCGGTCTCGGAGGAAGGCAGCACCGAAGCTGAGAATGCCGCAGGCCGAGGACCTTCTGCGGGTCAAGGATCAGCAGACGTTGTCGAAGGACCGGAGCTGGGGTTGCAACGAGAAGAAGCGACACGCAGCAGTGATGAATTTTCGGACGCTGTTGAGGACGAACACAGAGGTTTGCAAGCTTCGATTAATGTTGAGTACTGATGCTGGGCTTCTTTCTCAGAATGACTTGCTTACTGTCGTGTTGAAATGTTCAAATGACGTTGCTGCAATACATACGTCGTGTTTATGTTGAAGCAAATGATCTTCATCTTGTAACACAGGCACGTCATCCCCAACTGCCGAGGCGTCCCTTAGACCGACTGACTTACCACCACGACTGAGTGTGCCGGATCACCACGACGCGCGTAGTGAAGCGGTGGAGGCTGTCAGACCACTGAGTTTGTCTGATGACACGCCTGGTGTAGCCGAACCCAATTTTGAGACACCTCTCAACACTCCACGCGCTGATCCCGGAGTAGAATCGTTGTGGTCCGCTGTCGCGCTCCCTGGAGCTCCGCAACCGCAGGAGGTGGTTGGTGATGCTCAGCTCGAGCAGGAGGAGGATCAGCAGCAGCAGCAGCAGGCTACGCCGGAGGGACGCCCGATGAAGGAGCAGCGGGTCGCACAGTCGGAAGAATTTCAGCAGGAGCAGGGTGTGCAGGAACAGGAAACGCAGCAGCCGCGGCCGCCGCATGCGCCGGGGTCGCAGGTACCGGAAGAGGGCGTTGGAACTGATCCGCAGGACGTGGTGGAGGCGTCGAAGCAGGAGGAGGAGGATCAGCAGCAGCAGCAGGAGGCGGCGCCGGAGGGACGCCCCATGCAGGAGCAATCACAAACCGCGCAGTCGGAACAAGTTCCGCAGAAGCAGGGGGAGCAGGAGCAGGAGCAGAAAACGCAGCAGCCACCGCATGCGCCGGGGTCACAGGTACCGGAGCAGGCGGAGGCGACCCTGGTGACGCCGGAACTGTCGCCGCAACCAGTCCAGCAGCAGCAGCAGCTCTCCTCGCCACAATCCAATAGGGGCCGTAGCCCCTCACGAAGGTCCACGTCTCCTCGAGAGTCTGCGACAGCGGGGGCAGCAAATGCCGCAGCCCCCGGAGGGTCCTCGGGGTCCGCTGCCCGGGCTCGATCCAGTATTGCTCGTGCGCCCTCCGGGGAAGGATCTGATATTGCTCGTGGGGCCTATTCTTCTGGGACAGTGCGGGCAGCATCGCGGGGGAGAACTGCTGGAACTGGAAGTCGGAGCTCGCGGGAAGGCGCACCTTCGCGGCCGCATTCTAGTGCACAGTCGTCCAGTTCGCGTGCGCCCCGTGCGGAAGGTAGCACAGAGCGGCAGACCATCTTTCCGGAACCGTCATCAAATCCCGCTGACTACTCTTCTCTGGCCGAATACGAGATGCCAGTGAACACGCTCTTGCCAAAGTTTGACAGGAATCAGATGAACATACTTCTGACGAAGGGAGATCAACCGGGGAGAGGGCATAACTGGAACTCGGAAAATCGCGGCTACGACACGTGGGATGACAGCGCAGGTAAATTTGTACTGGCAAAAACTAGGATTTTTGTGCGCCAGCTGTGTCGGAATAGAAAAGAAAAAAAAAGAAAAAAGAAAGAGAAAAGCACAAAAAAAAAAAAAGAAAAGAAAAAAATGCGAAAAAAACAGTGAAAGCCGACCGGTGTACGAATTGCCTAGCAAACAAAAAAAACTAGGATTCACAATTTGCTTGATGTTCTGCTGATGTCACTTGTGCGGGCAGCATGAAGTTGTTATGGCAGCGGTATTTCTATCTGCACTTGGATATTAGCAAAAAACGCATGATCTTTGCCTGCGTATCTATAGATACACTGATTTGCCAGGATTCCAGTCCGTCGGGATAGTAAAAGCAAGACTCACGCCCAAAAGACAGCGCAAGGCATGTTTGGCGTTGCACGTACAGATTGAATATTTTGAAAACGCGGCAAAAACAAATCAACACAGATGAGTATGAAGTTCAGCGCCGCAGGATCGTGTTTGTTACGTGCCAGCTCGACCGGTCAAAGAAATTTCTGGTGCGATATTCAAGAAACGGCAATCCCTGGGAATACTACAACAATTCTCCATCTATCATGTTGAAAACTCTTTCCGCACCACACACAAAATGAGGTCTCTGTGGTTCAGTAAAGAACCTCGCTGCCGGGGGGATCAGGCATGAGTCAGGTAAAAGCCCCTGTTGTACCGCCACCCATGTCCCATCCCATTTCGAGCGAGAGCCCCCAACCCAAGCACACGAACTCGACTTTTTCTCTAACACGCATTCACAAGAACAACGCCTAGGTTCATATTGAGGTAACTGAGCGGCCATTTTGCTCTATCTGACCGCTTCTAAAGTCGATATACTTCCTTGTGTGCAAGTCTGATGCAGGATGTGGGAGGCATTTCTCTGCATGTCTGTAAGAGTCACCTATTGCAAAGATTTTCAGAAGGAGGCAGGGAAAGGGAAGCGTTTTCAGCATGATACGGTCTGTGCGAGCTTGGCAGCATGTGGTTTGGGCAGACTTGCCAGCGGTACGCCGGGAGGAGGCAAAGTTTACGGATGGGCTCTTCGGAGCAAAAGTCGAGCAAGTTCGGTATAAGGGTCAGCGGTGGTGATAGATGGATCCTCTTGAAGGAACGGCGAAAATCGAACTAGGTACCACTTGCTTCGCAAATAATGAATGCAGTCTGTTGCAACGGGATGGATATAACAATAAGTACAGGTACAGCATGAATGAGTGTCAGAGTTTGACATTTTCAACGCACGTACTTTTTCGCTATGACTTTGAACTACGACCTTGCTGGTTTTGAGCGTTATATAGATACTAACGAATCAATGGGAAGTACCCAGATATTAAGAAAGTATTGTTTTGGATTTTACCGAAAAATATGATTACGTGGAAAATGTGGCTGCTTTCTAATTCTATGTTGGTATTGATTCCTGTTTTTGTGATTAAATTTTCTAGAAGAGACATCTTAAACCAAACGACTATGGCGAACAAAACACAAGGCCCGCAACCCCCGCTGAAGCTGAAAGAGCTAGCTTGAGCTTTCGACTTTTTGCGCACAACTCTAAGCTGCACTATGAGCATCAAGATACTTATCTGACCGAGATATCACGTAAATTCTCTATCATTCAAGAAAATACACTCATACCATGTATGTTACAGAAAATTGTTGAGCGCAAACGTTTCTCGTACCCTCTGTGACAAAGTGCATTTTACATCACGAATGTTGGTCTCTGTCGTTTATCTGAATTTTTGGCGTCACTAAAACAGCGCAAATATTGTATGTTGACTCTGGTATGGGTGTAATTTTCTTGTGGATAATCTCGATAGGACGTAGGGAAATGCTGATTTAGCGCTTGACCGCACAGGTGGAAAATGGCGGCCGTTCATCGCACAAGAGTGAATGTATGCAAGTCAATCCTTTTGATGTCATTTGAATCTTAAACGCACTGCTAGACATTCAGTACCGTTATTGACGTGCGGCTCCGCTGTATTGCAAGTTGGACCACCAAAAAAGAACTCCAATTCTTAATGTGAAGCATTGCACCGCAATAAAAACGCAAAATTGCGAAAGAAGCGCTTTGACAACATTCATGAGAAACTGTCGGACACAAAAGTATTGTGTGGTATGATACGAGTTCCTTCTGTTCTTGAACGTGATCCCGACTTCGGCTTTCATGTTGCAACTCCAAGAAAGATCGTGTCTCCAGCTCCACTGCACTCTAGGCTGCTGCCGATCCTTGGTGTTGAGAAAGACCTATTTTTGTGCTGTTGTTTCATTGCTTCTCTTCGATAGGAGTGTACCTCGCAAAAAAGTGGAACCTGGATATTGTGTAGAAAGTCATTTTCACAAAACGTCCGGCCATACCGTATATGATTTTTCCCGCGTATTTTTTATTTTTATTCTGAAAAACGAATTTCTCATGAAGGGATCTTAACTCTGTTTGTCAAACAGGCTTCTGCTGCACTTCTCTTGGCGGAAGCTTCGATCCGGAAGATCCTGTACGCGCGCACACAAGAAGCAAGTTGGGATGCAACTGATCAGGAAAAACAATCTGTTGTTACTCCGATTGAGCAGCGACCAAATAGTTTCGTGGTAGGTCTCTTTGACAGTAGTAAACCAATGTTGTGTAGTCATTTAGGTATTTATAAAAGTAGCGCAGCGGCATTCTTGTTTGACAGTAAATTTTTGTCGATGTCGCAGCAAATTAGCGTAAGCGGGATTTGAACATGAGCATGGCATCAGTCGTTTGGTCGGAGACAAGGCAAGAACATTTTTTCAACCACTACATTCATTACATGCTCTCCTCTCACGCTCGACCCGATTTGGAGTTCCCAGAAGTCCTTGCTCTCGTCGGCGCCGGAACGGAATGGCGGGCAAGTCGGAGGTGAACAAGGAGTGGGAGGCGAAATGGCGGGCGGAGAAGCAGGAGGAGGAGGCGCGGTTCGGCTGGTCACAGCTGGAGAAGAACAAGCGCGGGAAGGACAAGAGCATCCCGAAAATCCAGAAGTTCCAGAACAAATTGAAGAAGTTCACCACGAACGACCTCGCCTCGCTGAAAAAGGACCTGGACAGCCTGGACCTGGGCAAATACGTGGAGGAGCTGTCGGAGTGCTTCGTGGAGTGCGTGACCACGGGCGCCTTCAAGTTGAAGGATCTGCCCGCCGTTGTGGAGCTTTTCGCGCACCTCCACGCGGGGTACCAGGCCGAAAATTTCGCGGGGTCGCTGGAAAAAAGCCTCCAGAAAGCCTGGGGCCAGGCGAGCTTCAGCAAGGACCTGTTTCCGCGCCGCCGCGTCTACTGCCGGCTCGCCGGAGAACTGGCGCTGCTGAAAATCGTACCCGAGCGCATCTTTGCCATCTTCCTGCAGGACGTGTGCACGGCATGCGACAAGGGCGAAGATGACGAACAGCTCTGCAACGCGTTCGCCATCCTGGCCTCGGTGATGCAGAAACAGGGGCTTGCATGCACAGGTGTTTTGTCCAAAACGCAGCGCGAAATGGAAGAAGGGATCGGCCGCGAGTATTGTTTTTCGAAGCCTATTGCATTGTGCTTGTTCTTCCGCATTTTTGCTAATACTAGATAGAAGAAGGGCGTTCTGAAGAAGACTCGCGTGTTAACGCTTGCCGGCACAGCTTTTCTTGTATTAGTTTTTCAACGACCTTCTACCTTTTGCTTTTCGTCATTCGACGTAACACACTAACAATCTTGTTTAGAATCAAGAGTTTTCCAGTGTCGCAGTAAGTGACCCAGCCCGGGGCGTACGGTAGTTTCTGGTGCACAGCGGCGGGTTGTACCTACTGCAACCAGACCTCCTCGACTGCAAAAGTTTTTTGCACCTCTACTGACGCTTTTTGCACATCAGGTGGAAACGCACTCGCTTGTGCGTGCTGAACGACACGACGCAATCGACGCTGGCGTATGCGATCAAGTCGGTGTTTGAGATATCCTGAGTAAAAACGTACCCACCCCAGAGTTGTCATGCAGATTTGCCATGACAGGAACATTTGTGATGCGCAACCCCATGACAGGCATTTTCAATCGTGTTTGGGAACTTGTAATGCTGTAAAGAGGATCAGAAGGTCGATTTGTGATGCGGCTTTCCTTGCTAACTTGCACTACCTTACGGACTGAAACTTGTCATGCGTGGCTCAAAAAGCTCCTAGGTTTGTGTTGCAAAATCCCCATCCTGACTCTGGTGTGGCTACGTTTTTACTCAGGATATGAGAAAGCCGGGGGCCGGGGGCTGGCCCACGCGAACCAGCACGTGCTCGAGCAGCAGCGGTTGAATGACGCGATGATGATCGACAAGGGCGTGGTGGACGCGGAGTGGGACGGGAAGCTGACGCGGTTCAAGGAGCACAAGGCCACGCTCGAGAAGCACCTGCAGTCGCTCGCGGAGAGCCTCGACCTGGACATGCCGGACTACAAGACGGCCGCCCAGAAACGCGAGGAGGAGACGACCACCACCATTGGCGGGGGCACCGCTGCGGCGGGGGGCGGCGCACCGGAGGGTGCCGGGGCGTCCTCGTCCTCCAGAAAAGACCACGACGGGGGGGACCACCACCCGAGCGGCGTGAACCCCGACCTCCGGTATCTGGATTCCACCGAAGCAAAAATGTACGAAGACCTACTCGACCTGAAGGACGTGGTGCCCGAGAAGTACCTGGGGCTCGCGCCCAAGGACGAACGGACGCAGCACCTGGAGCGCACCACGGAAATGGACACCGGGAAGTTTGAGGTGTTCCTGGACAAGCTCGCCAGTAGCGACCGGATCGACCGGCTGAACGAACTCGCGATGACCTTCGCCCACGACTGGAGCAGCAAGGTGTTTTTTCATTGTAGTGCGCAATTTCATTTTTTCGTCGCAAATTTAGCCTTACGGCATGAAATACTCGCGATGTGGTCTTTCGCGGTTCTGGGTCTAGATCTCCTGCGTCCGAAGCTGCTTGCGGCAACGGAGTTTCTGAGGTGCAGTCGGGTACTATGCATGAAATGTTTAATATACAAGTGACGCGAATAAATGTTGTTCAGTTAAAAAACCCTAAAATAAAACCTTTAGGCGTGCCGGCGGCGCATCGCCACGGTGCTGTCCCGGGTGAAGCGGATCCACAGTGCTTACATTCCTTTCCACTGCCGGTGGCTCGCCACCGTGAACCCCTACTTCCGGGACGTGGCGGACATGGTCACAAAAGACCTGCTGAAGGAGCGCGACCTGGTTTTACCCGACAAGAGCCCAGACCCGGTCGTAATGGAGCGGAAACAGCGCAACATCAAGTTCTTGGCGGAGCTCGTGAAGTTCCGGCTCTGTCCGCCGGGTATAATTCTGGACACCTTTTCGCAGATTCTGGACGACTTTCACGAAGTGTCCACTTCCTGCTGCCTGCTCGAGCACTGCGGCCGCTGGCTGCTGCACACCCAGGAGACGAAACTCCGGTTCGAGAATCTTCTCGAGCGGATGATGCGCCTGAAAAATCACAAAAAGGGACTCGACCTGCGCGACGAAATGGCCATTGATGACGCGTATCGTTTATGTCAATACGTTCAATTTGTTTATTAATTCGAGCCATGTGAAGAAGAATTTCGATTTTTTCGACGTTTACATAGTATCAACATCACGGTAGTTTTACTTGGTATGTTCACCCCATGATGACGCAAAAGAGAAATGTCGGGGTGAGTGGTTTTCTATCTAGTTCCCTTCCGCCACAGGTATTATCAGCTGAAACCGCCGGAGAACAAGAAGCGCGAACTGGCCGACAAGGAGGGGCAAATGAAAAAGAGCGAGATCGAGCGCTTGATTATGTGGTTGTGCTCCACCTACATCTACATCGCAGACGACGTCCACTCCGCGGTGCACCTGGTGCTGCAGCTGCCGTGGTCCACGATTCGTGCGACGCGGAAGAGCGGCGCCAAGCTGCGCGTGAAGACGGGGTGCGTGTACAAGGAGGAGGCGTCCAAGGTGGAGGTCTGGCTGAAGCGCGGACTGCTGGACCTGAATCTGCACGCCGACTACGAGCACCTGTGGTGCGTGGCGCACTTTTTGAAGGACCTCAGTGAGTACCGGGAGGACTTCACGCTGGACTGCGTGGACACGCTGCTGGAGGAGATCCAGCTGGGCCTGGAGAAGGCGGACTTCCGCGACCAGCCGCTCCGCACACGGCAGCTGAAGCTGCTGGGGGAGTTCTACGCCTTCCGCCTGGTCGACTCGCAGGTGGTCTTCGACGTGCTCTACCAGCTGATCGGGTGGGGCGGCGCCACCAGCTACCGGGCTTCCCACCTCACTCGGCTCTACGACCTGTTTGGCCAACGCATCCTCGCGGTGTGGGAAGACTACGTCCGGACGGAGCCGAAGCGGAACCGCCCCTCTCCGGCGGACGAAACTAATGCGTCTACTGCGGACGGGAACGGGAAGGTGGACAAGAAGAGCCAGCGGTTCAGCCGCCGGAACCGTTCGAAACCAACCTACGTGCAGATGCTCGCCACGGAATTCCCCAACCTTCCGAACAACGACAACATCGACGCGGTGGCGCGGGCCCTGGATTTTTTCGAAAAGGACTACGAGCTCTGGCACGAATTCTCGAAGTTCTGGCTGTGGCCCCACGGCATCCACCACCCAGATCACGTCGGCGCGGACTTCGCCGACACCTTCCGCCTGCGCCAGGTTTGCGTCCTGCTCGACTCAATTGGCCACTTCTTCAAAGCTGGCGCGGCTAAGGTATTCAATATCGTAGACAAGAAATCTTCATCGTTCTTCGCTGGCATCACTGGCCGCCCGGTGATGTGACAGCTGCGGAAGCTGAAACAAAAGTAAATTGTGTGTCGATTCAGCATCGCGAAATATTTCATTAATTGTTTTTTGGAGGTTTGCTATTTTACTTTTACTCGTTCGTTCGATCCTGAAGATGATGCTCGAGGTGGTCACCGGGGGCTGATAGCAAAAGATGTTTGCTGTGAAAAATCCCCTCTCAAAACAGATCAAGATGCAGAAGTTTTGCGTGTTCTTCCGGCGGTTTGCGCTGGTCCGGCCGGAAATGCTTACGATTCGCGCCTTGAATGCCGTGGAGGATTCGCTGGAACTGGTGCAGGAGCCGATCGGAGACGCGCTGAAGGCGGATACCGATGTGTTGAAGATTCTGAAGCACGATTTGCTAACCGTGCGGCAGGCGTCGGAGAAAGCCATCGAGGCGGCCGAAGCGAAGGACGCGCGGAAGGCGGATGGCGGTTCGCCCTCGTCCTCGGGCAGTCCCAGCGACAGCGAGTCGTCGTCCAGCGAGGAAGACGAGGACGATAGCACGGACGAGTACACCGACACGGACGAGGACCAAAACCTCGGGCTTCCGCTATCAAAAGGAAAAATCCCCCCTCCCCATATCGAAAAGGTACGTCTCAGAAAATTTGCAATGCTGATTTGTGGCCACAAATCGTCTCTGTCTTGCAAGAACGCAACTCCTCAGACTCCGCTGCATTCTGCGGGCGGTTTGTCATGCTGTCGCCCCTACAGAGTAGACCTTTGCCATACTCGGCACCTAGCCCAAAACCTCGCTACTCAGGCTCAGCATAGGCCTGCAGTCCTCTACAGCAAGACAAATCTGATTTGTGTACGCAAGTCCAGCGTCAGAAACTGCGTTTTGATATGGGGAGGAGGGATTTTTCCTTTTGATATCCGCCGGCGCCCGCAGAGCCGCAGATGTCCGAGGCTGACCTGATGCAGGTCGCAATGGACCAAGAAATTTTGGCGATGACAAACGCAGGAATCGAGGACGTGAAGCGGCACCGACACGCCCAAAATGTTGGAGGCCGAAACACGATGAATAGTTTGCGCACCGCGGGGGCCGAGGTTTCCTCGTCCGCGGCGTCTAGTACGAGTGGCAGTTTTTCGAAGGTGACGCCGGGGGCCGCGCCGGCGTCGGGCGGCACCCAGCAGTCGCGTCCGGGGTTTCTGGATTTCAAAGTGCTGTCCCGCAGCGCAAACCAGCCGGGTGGTCCAAAGCGCGAGCCCAAGGTGATACACGTGCCGGAGGACAACATGCTTTCGCAAGCCTGCCTGCTCAACATTTCACAGCAAATATCCTGAGCGAACTACATGCTCCCATCCCAGAGTTATCATGCATAACTGCATGCGTGACACGTTTTACTTGTTTCATGCGCAGCCACGACATGCGAGGCATTTTCTACGTGCTATGATTTGGGAGCTTGTCATGCTACAATCAGGATAAGCTTCTCGATTTCTCATGCGGCTGCACTACCTCAAGAGGATCATACTACGGGCCGACTGTTCTTGTCCTGTGCCACGGCAAAGATCATTTGTTTGTTTTTTCTTGCAGAGTTCCCAACTCGAGGATGGGGAGGGGACGTTTTTACTCAGGATAGCACACGCAGATTGCGACCAGAAAAAAAGAGGAGGAGGACCTGCTGAAGCGCCGGACGCTGCAGGCGGCGATGAATTCTCACCAGGATGACGTTTTTTCCATGCACTCGCAGCCCAAACAAAACAAAAAAGATGCGGGAAATTACCTGAGCCAAAACGTGCTACCGGAAGAGCAGCGGCAACCGCAGGGCAACGTCGTTTTTCGGCACGGCAAAAAGCGGTAGAAGGAACAAGCGAGTTCGACGGCAGTAGCTTCTAGGCCAGCACGTGGCGGAGGAATAAAGACATCAGGGTGGTGCAGCACCTGAGGACTACGTACAACTATCTGGTCGGCACGTGCACCATTGCAAGCTGATGCGTATCTTTCGATGGCTGAAGATGTTTGCTGGATGTGGTCCCTGAGAATGAAAACTAGCCATATCGGAGCTCGACGCCCCCAATAAAAAAAGGCTACGTCAATAACACCGCAAGAGCCCGGCAGTCGGCCTGCATCGTGCGCTCGGGCTCGTTCGCGCAAGCGCGCAAAGAGCGACCGTCGGGCGGAGAAGGGAGGTCAAGGAAAGCGACTGAATCAAAGTGGCCATCTTTCAGCAGAACCCGTGAGGCGCAATCACAAGAAATCAGGGGAACCACAACCAACGTCCGCTGCTTAGAGACAGCGTCCCGATCCGTCGGACTGAAGAGAAAAAAGGTCCCGATGAACATGATAATAATGTTGATTTGAGGTTTATTTACTCACGGTCACGACCGACGATTCTAGCGCCCCTACTTATGCGGTGCGAGAACGTAAGTACAATTATCGTTCGAGTCAGTGCGTGATGTAGTGGAAGGACTTTGCGTGGCCGTGCTGCAGTCATTCAAGACGGAGGACGAGGAGTTCCCGTTTTGGAAAATTGGGTACGGAAAATTCGGACGAGGGACCCGATCTGCCGAGTGGAAATGTACGGTGCAGGATTGTTGGACGTCTGTGCGTGTGTCCCTGTCTTCCAAGAAGCGACACAATTGCCTATGCCTACCTCTACAGCAAGAGGGAATTGCGACACCACATCAACATGACTGGGGCCAATTTACATATCAATATGTTTTGCGGAGACGGAGAGCCGCTGTGTCTGTTCAATACTTGATATTCAGCGCAGACGTGGCAGATGATGGCCTGTTTGTTTCTCCCGGTATCATCTGCGAATGGTACTGTAATTCCCGCCTAACCTCAATTACGTGATGCAGTTTGTCACTCTGAGTTCCACGACCACGCCTATTTAAAAAGATCCGGTGGAAAAAATCGATCCGTTCATTTTGTGGTGAGTGTAAGCTTGCTTATTTTTCGGGAAAGATCTACTTAAGGTGTGGTCTGCTCGCTGCACTGTCATTTTCATCGGAAGCGATCGAGATTCAGATTGTTCCATTCTATTTTCAGTACCTGTCGGCTAATCCTAAATATCATGTGAATATGCTATCAGGGTCCAAGTTAGTGAATTTTTCTACAGTGAAGTATCACTCCCAGCAACGTACTTGTGGAGCCACCTGGGCACCGCTCTGGAACTAGTTGTTGAACAAGTCTATTTCTCCATTTCCCATTTTTTCTCAGTCCACTAGCTACCTTCTCATTGTCAGAAAGATATTGTGATTCATCTGAAAATAAAGCTTTTCCCTTGTTGTGTCTTGTTGGGCCAGAAAAAGTATCTCATTTTCCTTGGTGTAAGTACGACGAGCTTAATTCATGCTCTATCCCTCTCTTTGACTTTGTTGGAAATCAAGCCGCTTCCCCTCTTACATATGATGGGCGCAGCTCCTTCCACCATGCCCTCCGAACTCTTCGACTACCTGCGTCTGTACCTGGTGTTCTCCGCTGGCCTGCATGTGATTGAGGAATATCTAGAATGGCGGCAACTCCGACAGGACCGCAAGAAGACCATCCCACCGGAGGTTTTCTCGTACGGGATCTTGGACGAGAAGGACAAGGAGAAGGCGTACGAGAAGTTCGAGAAGGCGCGGCAGTACAACTACGACAAGCGCGTGTTCGGTATGGTGTGCAGCTGGATAAACTTTTTGATCGGGCTCGTGATGCTGCTGCGCGTGAAGCCGTGGGTGTGGCGCACCAGCATGGAGCTGGCGGAGCAGTGGAAGTATGCATTGCAAGTATGTCTGGGTCGGGTAATAAAGTGCAACTTCTGGCACTGCCTCTGGATTATTTTATAAAAATCCTGTGTAAAAATTGCAAGATCAGCAAGAGGCTTCTCCAAGGGTTGCTAAGCGGAGAGCAGGGCATTTCTCATGCGGGATAGGCATCAAGAGGCCCTCAAAAAATCTGTGATGGTCGTAGAGCATGCAGCACAGAAGTGATCATGATGGGCTAGTATGCAAAGTGTGTATGAGCATGACGAACATCTGCGTTCTTCCAGACACGAGGCCATACTTGCGTTTGATAGTAACTTCACGGACAGCACTTCCACTGGCGCGTCCCGGGAGGTGCCCGAGTTTTTGGTCTTTCACTTTCTTACGCACTACATCGACCTACCCCTGGGACTGGTCACCAGCCTGTACAGCGATTTCGTGCTCGAAGAAAAGCATGGGTTCAACAAGAAGACCATGCGGCTCTTATCATATTGAAAAGTGCAGTCCGACTAAACAGTTTGCATTCCAAACTTCTTTCGTCCACACGGAAACTTTTTGTATTGCATGAAGGAAATGTTGCAAATGTGAGCGCGAGGCAATTTCCGAATCAAAGTCAGATGACTCAGATATGCATACGCAACTTCAACATAATCGAAACAGACATTGCTTATACTGTGGCGGCTCTCTCGTGCAGCAGCACAGACTTACTTATATACATGCAAGATGGCAGGTCGTGTTTACATGGGGAACTTTCGCTACACAAAAGCGCCCACTTTTTTGGGTGAGGGCATTTTTCAATGTGATAGCTCTTTGTTTCCGACCTGCTTAAGTCCGAGCTGCTGTCCACGGTTTTTACCCTTTTACTCATACCAGTGCTGATCCACTTGGTCCACTACGCGGGCGAGCTTTTCTACATCTACCTCTGGGCCTTCCTGCAGGTGTGTACTTGCTGTCAATTAATGTCTTTTCTCAAAATTCTTTATAGTTCCTCTTCCTCACAACGACGGGCGGGAACGGGATGAATGATTACTTAGCAGCATCACATCTAGATTGATTTGTTTGGTTGCAGCTCCATGGGATTATATTAAGCTGTGTGAAGAAAGCTAGCACGCCCTACTAACTTTAAAAAGAAGTCCCACCATCAAATGAATATACGCACATCAGGTTTTTGGTGTTTTTATGATGTGGTTGGTGCCAAATTACATCATGCCACTTTTACGAAAGGAAAAGAAATGGTAATCCTGGTTCTGGCCCATGTCGTGCGAGCAGGTGGAAGACAGATAAATGTAGACAAGTAGCAGCATTATATGCGAAGAGAAATGACAGAAAGACATGACAATGAAAAACTCTGTAGTACGAAGTTTACAACTACTTGGGGCCCGCACTATATTAATGAGGATCACCAATTTATTTCCTTGCATCACGGTTCAACACGTATGAGCCCATCAAAGACGCGGAGCTAAAAACCAAGATCGAGGATCTTGCCGGTTCGCTGTCTTTTCCGCTCTACAAGATTTTTCAAATGGACGGCAGCACGCGGTCCGCGCACAGCAACGCGTTTTTCTTCGGCATTTGGAAGTATCGGCGCATCGTTTTGTACGACACGCTGCTGCACTTGCCGCATGACGCGATCCTCGCGATTCTGGGGCACGAGCTGGGGCACTGGAAGAAGGGCCACACGCTCTGGAACCTGGTGATCGGCAGCGTGCAGCTGTTCTGCGTGTTTTACATCATCGGCATGGTGCTCTACTCGCCCGAGAGCGCGGCGATTTTTGCCTCCTTTGGCATGCAGCACGCGTTGCACAGCAAGATGATGGGGGTGATGCTGATCAGCATGCTCCTGGAGCCGCTGGACACGGTCCTGGACCGCGCGATGACCTGCCTCACCCGGGTCTTCGAGTTTCAGGCGGACCGTTTCGCCAACGTGGAGCTGAACCGCGGCCCCGGGCTCAAGCAGGGCTTGATCAAGCTCGCGGATGACAACAAGAGCGGGTTCAACGAGGATCCGCTCTGGGCGTGGTACAACCTTTCCCATCCTTACGGAAGAGAAAAAAACTTCTAAGGCCTCACAGTGTCTACGAGCTTGTTTTGCATCTATATTCAGGATAAAACCAGAGAGAGTAAAAGACTGATGGAGTGTTGACATCAAAAGCATGCTAGCTTTGCATATCTCGACCCGGTCCTCCTGGCTTTAGCAGAATAATGGAGTACACTCCTCTTGTACTGCTCGTGACTGGAACTGAGTTGGACGTTCTGAAAAATTTTCGATTATTTCAACAGATCCAGATCTGACAAAACTACGATTGTTTCATCATGCTTGCATCAAATGACCGTGATTGTGCTGGAGTTTTTTTCCGGGATTTCTTTACTCTGCTGGAACGTCTCAAGGCGATCGACGCTGATGCTGCCGCCGTGGAACTTACTGCGAAAAAAGACAAATAGGGTATGATTGTCTCTTTCTGTGTCAGAGCGCTTGCGTAACAAGTAATCAGTGCAGGTGAATGATGTGGTCCTCGCAAGTAAATCCTCATACTTTCTTTACAATTACGGCGTTCCACCAAGACGAGTAGGAGTACGAGAGGCTTCGAAGAAGCAGAACACGTGTCGTGAAAACGAAACCGGGATTGTTGAAAAGTAGATGACCTGACTGGATGAGGCCACGACAATCGGACCCACCGAAGATGGTGGCGCATGGATTCTGTTGCTGGCAGGATGTGTTCGATTTCGCTGATAGCGGAAGAGTTGGAAAAAGTAATTATCAAGAGCAGAGACATCATTAAGTATAGGTTTTCGTATAAGGTCGTTTTCGTTTTGCATTTGTATTTGATTTGCGAAGAAGTTGAGAAGCGGTCGACGCTTAGTGGGCGAGCGATTGAGTGCCTGCGATCGTTGAGAGAGAAAAATTTGGAAACTTTTTGAGGGAGTCAGAGTTGACCACAAAATAACGGGTCTCGTGACCGCAAGAAAATAGTGGAGAGCAAAAGCAAGAAGAGACTTCGGTGTTGGGGATGCCAATTATGAGGGTCCTGCGTAGCGTTTTTTCCTGTTCGGGCATTGACGGATCGTATTCCTCTTGATCATTATTTGCTTATTCGTATACCGATATCAACATATCTTTTTTTCCAGTGTACGTGTAGCCTGGTAGTGGGAAGATTGCACTTGCGGAAGCTGTAGCGCTTGTTCGGAGCAGACTCTGCTCCGACCCCCGCCAAGCGTCATCACCTGCAGTAATTAAGTAAAGAACGTCAAACAACTTACATTTTATCCTCGTTGTTACAGTTTTCCATTGGAAATTTTTCTTTATGTAGATTTTCATCGAAAACGAAAAATCAAACAATGCCGAAGACGGAGCGGAGTGCTGCCGGCGCTACGAGCGCCAAAACGTCAGCGATGCGTACAGGCACGACGACGCAACAAAACAATGAGAAGAATCAGGTGAAAGGGACGAAGTTCAAAATGCAAAAAGTCGCCCCCTCTGGTATTGGCCAAGCCGTCGACCGTTCCGTAGAGCCTGACCATCCGATGTTGGAAAAAATATCAAGCTTTCCGACCCTATGCACTATGCTGGTGATTTTCTTGGCGCCAATAAGCTTCTTCGGAATACAAGGTACGTACTTACTGCCTTTTCGAACGAAATGTCGATTGTTCAGCAGAGTCAGTTAGTTCACTCGGATACTTTTGAAAAAGAATTGCTGCAAGCTTTAAAAGCCCTGTTCTAGAGTACATTTTTCCTCAATTTTGATGTCGGCTTCGAGCGTCCGAGCCCATGATTGATCATGAGCAGAGCGCTCCGACTTCTATCCTCCAGGTAACAGTGAGTTGGGCGATTGCGCGGACACGCTGGCGTCTTGCAATACGGTCTGCACGGAGCAACATCGACAAGCCCTGACGTTGCTTCGGGGGGCTGAGAAGTTTGCCATTCAAGCGGCTGCCGACGCGGAGCTTGCGACATGCACCGCAGCTTGCGAGGAGGTAAACAGCCAATGCAACTTCGAGGCTATGCTGAAGATTGTGGCGTGTTTGGGCTTGGTTGGTATTGTGGTCTGTGTTGCCGCGCGCGCAAACGTGAATTTCTTCGTCGAGCAAAATATCAAGAACATGGAGCGCGACATCGCCGAAGAGGCCGCAGAGATGGCGCGGAAGGCACAGAAGGAGCAAAAGAAGTCCGTCACCGGGTCCCCCGAAAAGAAGAAGGCCGGATCGAAGGCGCTGTTCGATGAGGACGCTGGACCAGACGACGATGCGAAAAGCCATCACTCGGGTAGCAGCAAGGGCACCGGCGTCGTAAACAAGTCGGAAACCAAAGCAACCTCCTCTGCCGGGCGCAGTGAGGACTCCAGCGCGCTTTCCGCGAACGTGATCAAAGGCAGCGGGCTGGAGGAAATCATCACCTCGAGCGTGATTCCGCGTAATCCGTACATTGTAAAGACGTTCACGGGCAGCAGAAACCAGAAGACGCGGTGTCCCTACTGTCTCACGGAGTTCTACAACGTCGTCAGCCACGATCTGGTGCAAGGAACGCTCTCCAGCTCCCCCGTGGTCTGTATAGGCTGCAACGAAGTCATCTCGGGCTTCGTCTGAAGATGGACTAATCTTCGAGGCCGTCATCTCAACATTGACTTGACAAGTAGCTGTTGCCCATGCCCCAGAGCTGCGCAATTTCTTATGCGCACTTCGAAGATGAACGTGATAGATATTAAGTTGCAGCGTTAGTTACAACTTAGTGCGGACGATACTAGGGAACTGATGCTGTTGGGTCTACTGCTTGGTGCTGTTTCATGCGTGACTTGACGCTGGAACTCGCGGAGGAGGATCTCGCCACTATGAACAAACGAGGCTGATATTTTGAAGTCCACGTCTGAGCAGTAGGTGTTTGCGTTTCAGATGCAGCTCATCCACTGGAGAGCTTCACCAGCTTCCGCAAGAGCAGCCCGCGACGTAGCAATATACAAACATTGCCGCCCCCGTCGAGATGGATATAATTCAGTTCTGCTTCTTCTGATGAAACGTCGCTTCTCCTTTTTGCTTGAGAATCGAGAACTTTGTTTTTTGCCGACCAGCTCTAGTTCAATCGTTGACGCTTTTAAGAAAATGACTGTGATATTACTAGCGTGCTAACCGGTGTTAACCGACCTGCTTCTGCCGACCGGAGAAGTCGGGCTGCAGAGCCCATGTACGTAGGTACGCTGTTGGAATACCGAAGATTCCGGGATCTTTCGTTCTTGCTGTTCACGCAATTGTACATCAAAATAGGTGCCACGAGAGATGCAGATGCTACTTCGAGCGAACAAGTTCTTCGCAAGGAAGTCGAAAAAGGTGCCTGGGTTTAGGTGGAATTTCACAAGTGGAGGGAACAGAGAGAGAAAAGAGGATCTAGGGCGTTAGGTTTTAACAGACACGAGGTGCAAATGAACAACAACACGTGAAGATGCGTGGTGCTCTTGTACTTACACGCAACTGAAAGTACAGCAGAAAATATAGTGAGTTAGTATGCTGTTGTATTCAACATAATTGCAGGAACATAATTAGCATGGTTCTTGCGATTGAGTAGTCATCGAGATGGTAGCGACGTTCGCAAGGGCGAGGGAGCGGGCCGCTTGGGAGCAGAGGAAGAGGCACCAGCGGCCTTCTCCGTTTTTTCAGGCTTTCTCAGCTAAGTCCAGTTGCAGCTGCCCAGCAGCATCAGGTTGTTCACGCCGTTCTGCTGGTACCGGCGCGAGGATAGTTCTGCTTTCTAGAATAACAGTGGGCATGAAGCCGCTAGCTCTGAACACAGTGAGATCTTCTGACCGTGAAGCTGAGTCCTCCGACGCTTATGTTGACGACCTCTGTTCCGTGCTGACCGGGGAAGGACGTGTAGTGTGTAATGCGCACGTATCCACAGTAAATTTCCCGTACACGTAAAAATGCGGTTTTTGCATGACAAAATTGGGCTTCGATCCTAGTTTAGCATGACAAGTGTTACGCCCCAAATTGGTGAAATTTGTGATGCATTTTGTACATGTACAGGAAATTTGTATTGCATAGCACGAGCAGTGCGTGTTCTCCGCCAAAGACGTGGCGGATCCCGAGGGCTTTTACGCGACAGAGGCCGTCAAGAAGCCCGAAGAAGTATCAAAAGGAAAAATCCCCCCTCCCCATATCGAAAAGGAAATTTGTCATGCTGATTTGTGGTCACAAATACCCTCTGTCTTGCCTATAGGGTAATGGGAGCAATGTGGCGCATTCCACAGCCAGTCTGTCATTCGCTTTTGACTACTGCAAACCTGTTTGTCATGCCTTATTGCTAGCCTTCTGCACATTCAAACAGGCTTACAAAATGCCGCCAAGCACTTTCTGCAAGACAGACCTGATTTGTGTACCCAAATCCAACATCAGAAACTTCTTTTTGATATGGGGAGGGGGGATTTTTCCTTACGATAAGAAGAGTGCCATCAGGATTTCTGCGGTCGCAACACACAGGAAGCGGGCTGCGCGGGGGCGTGTCTGTGGACGGGAAGCCGTTGCATCAACCAGGCGAAACGAGGTAAGTGCCCTATTTGCTTTGCGTGATAGATCATCCCATCATAATCTATCATCTTTGTTTGATGCAAAAAGAACGCTTCACTCTCTGCGTACGTGGTATTGCAGACAGAGTTTGAGAGCATGACGCTCATCAGTACATTGGAACCTCCCCGGACAACAAACACCAGATCCGGCCGTCATTCTCGATAAGGAATGCCGTCAGGCGACCACGCACTCAGTATGCAAAACAAAGAAAAGGGATGAACAGACAGAACGGGGTCGATATAGTATTAAGATGATACTTCCCTGCAAATGGCTGTGCTGTGCATGCCTAAAACTAAAAATTTTTTGGTCTGCTTCTGCAGCACTGTGCAAGCATCCATTGTTTTTTACTGCATATACTTTCTTTGCAGTGCAGGAACTACGCCAACGTCGCTGTCTGCTTCATTTTGCTTTTTTTCATTTGATAATCACAGTGCAATGAGCTTTTTCCTCGATGCTCGCTTCATCCGGGAAAAGGTTGCAGGGGCGAGCCCACTTACGACCTGTGCCGAGATCACTACACGGCTGCGATGTGCCAGAATGCGCCTCATTCGCCGACCATGCAATGCGGTTGGACACTACTCGACCATGGAAGCGGCCGAGGCGTTTGCCGGTCGGCGCTCCAGGAACAAAACCGAACCCTTGCTACGGCAACAGAGCTACCCTGTGTAAAAACGTTCCTACGTTCAAAAGCACGACCACGGGGGTTTTGCTGTTCAGATCAACAAGTGATAGGAGTTCTGCGTGACAGCATAGAATAGTCCTAGTTGCGGTCAGTTACCATGTCTGCGTCATCTATCGTGTTCTGAAGAGACCATAGCAAGTTTCTATCTAATTCTAAAGTAACGTAGCTGGAAAGTGGCTCGGGTGGATAGCTGCATGCGAAAATGCATGACGAGCGTGTGGTTTGCGTGTGCTGCATTCGTTTGCGCGTAACGCGTGGTCGATTCGGCTTGTATAGAGAGTTTTTACACAGAATGAATCTTCGTTTCCTACGAGGATATTCTTCCCCAGGAGCACGAACTTCGGGTCGGATTGCGGGCGCCATCCACCAGGTAGCGTCTCACTGTTGCATCACGGGCGGCGACTTTGTACTTGGAGTTCCGATTGATGTCCTAGGAAAGTTCGACGGTTGCATCACGGCTCTCCAGGACGCACCCCTCCGCCTTGTACAGTAAATAAGACTACTGGCGATTTCGATTTCCGTATGAAGATTCTATGACAAGTGGTGATTTCCGTAGGAAGCTTCGATGTTGGCAGTCACGGAAAACTAAGAGGCGCGCACCGAAATGCAGAATCGAGTTGGTGTCTAACTACTCCAAAAGTTGGAACTGTCCGTGCCGCTCCAAAAGTTGGAACTGTCCGGGGATCATCATTTAGTTTTGTGTCACTGCCTAAGTTTCGAATCAGTGCTACGGATGAAAATGCAAATTGTTAAACGCAAATAATTAATGCAGTTTTTGCATTGAAGAGCAAGAGGAAGACAGGGTCCCTTATCCTAGTACTTTTCGTGCATTTTGTACCCAGAGAGAAAGAGGGTTCAATGCATTTTTATGTACTTACTTACTTTTGCACTACAGAAATCAATGCCCGCGTAGCTTTTTGCTCGTCTGGCATAATTTAGCGGTATTCCGAGAATGAACGATATTGAAGCAATGTTGTGTCGGGCTGCTTTTCATGGCATTGTGCATGTGAGGAATGAAGATGAACAGTGGCTATGAAGTCGATTGGAAGGTGCGAATGCGATTCTTTACCAATTATGTTCTCCACTTTGTTTTCATTTATCAGGTCTGTTTTGATCTTCGTAAGCGACGAGAGGGAGAGGCTTTTTTTCTTCATGGTCAGTTCGGTGTGGGTAACATGACACGCAGCGTCAGTAGTTCCAGCTGGAGGTCGCGGCTTTCGTGCGACCAGCTGTACGGTATTTTTGTGTCTGCGATGCAGAGCAAGAACAGTGAGTACCGCATAGAATATTTACATGATGGCATTTGTCTCTCGTCCCTTTGAAGTCGCTGGTGCGGCATTCTACGCCGACGCCTTCGTGGCTATGCATGCTGCTTCTGCGTTTACGTTCGCAATGGTGGCATTTGTGAAACCGGAGATGTTTTCCCTGTTCAGTAAATCCAACATTCCAGCAGAATCCATCACCGCCGATTGCATACGCTGGTCGGCCCCGTTCATTTTCGGATTTGCGTTTTTTGCGGCCAGCTCGCTGTATTTGGATCCGAAAGCGCGACTGTATATTGCGCGAGTGTTTATACTTTCCTTCGCGATAGCCGTGGCAGCAGGCGTGTACGCACACACGAGAGGGCGGTGGAATGACTGGCACCCTCTGATATGGAAGTGAAGTGTGTGCGTTTCCTGTTCAGGTGCGGTAGTTTTCCACATTGTCATTCGATGTTGTCATTTCTCTTGTTGCAAAGCCGCAACATGAAGAGTCTGCAGCGCAAATCGCTTCTAAACTGGGACCCGGACTTCTCTGGTGTCCCGCCCCCCCCTCTTCTGCGTCTAATCGTTACGCACAAGGGGAAAAGACGGGTATATTGACCTAAATCAGAAAGTGCTGCATCCCTTCAACTTCAAGCACAGGCCACGTCGAGTAATCATCTGCCTAAAATACTTACTTAAAAGCATGCACTTCTTTTACTGTAAATCTGAACATCGCTTTGTTTGCGACACTCGGCTTGGCTTACATGGTGCTTGTCGTCGGTTTTCCTGGAGCCCTGGACCGAACAGGCACACCAGCGGCTTCGAAGGAGTTATAGTGGCGGAAACCCGTTCCAGCGCACTTCGTTGCAGCCGTGCAGTGCTACTCTTCAGACGCAGGGGGTGCTAGTGATTGGCGGTGGACGCACCAAAGACATTACGAACATGAAGCGCAGTGCCAGTGCGGATGCTTCCACTTCTCCCTCGGCTAAGCGTGACAAAATGTCGAACAACGAAGAGGGCGGATATCTTCCTGACGACGTGGAAATGGGTGATGAACAGCAGGTACAGAAAGAGCAGCCCAAGTCGTTACTCGGTCGCGTTGGAGGATTCTTCACTGGGTCAGCAGGTGAGATCCTTGTACCTAAATGTGAATTTGCGCTCATGAAAAAGTGTGATGATAGCATTACAGACTTGATGTGGAGTGAAGGCAGTATGCATGATTCGGATGTTGCATATGGACAGACAGGCGTGGGAGCGGAAGAGTGCAGTTTTGGTTCGCGAAGTCCAGAATCTACAAAATCATCACACAGGAAACGGAAACGCAAGCGGAGGCACCGGTATGGCAAGCAGCAGTCGTGGCGAGTCCGCGTAGATAGCAATCCCAATGCCGAAGAAACAAGTAGATCCAGGATCTTACTGCACCAAGCAAAGCAATCTTTTCAAGCACTACCAGTGCAGTCCTACGAAGATCAGCAGATGACGCTGGCCGAGCAGATTCATGATAGTCAAGAAAGCAGTGCGAACACCATTGCACCTCATGCGGAATTACCTTCACTAAAATCGGCGCACAATGAAACAAACGATAACAAAAGCAATGATCTGGATTTTTTTCCCTGCAGTTCTACAACTACAACTACCGACGAAGATGAAGCGTGGTGCCAGCGGGTAGAGTTTACCCTCGGCGGCGTCACATTCTTCGGGCGGTTTTTCTTCTTTATCTTCTCCTTGGTATACGACCTCTTTGTGACGATCGGCGGGACCACCCACATGAAGGAACTTACTCAGGAATCTGAGACGCTGCACGAGCAGGAACAAAAGATGAGGAAGGCGCTCGAGGTCCAGAGCGAACAGATCTGGGACCCTTATCTCGAAAACACCAATCTGCAGAAGCGCCTAGGCTACGTGGAGAGCCGTCGATGGAGATGGCGAAAAATGATGGAATTTTTACCAAAAATCCCTACTCGAGATGCAGAAGCGGAATGGGAGAAAAAACTTTTGGAAATGAAAGCACATTTTTGGGCTCGTGGAATACAGTGCTTTTTGGCAGTAATGATTCGAATGACCTCGATTCTCAGCCTCATAAGAAACTGTCTGCGTATTGTTCTGGCGCAGATCGAGCACAGCCTCTTCGTGTTCCACTATCATCTAGACGCAAACAGTAGCTGCTCTGCTTTTGATACTGCTCGGTGGAAGGTTGAAAAGTTAATACGAGCGTCGCAGTTACGGTTTTGGAGGAAACGAGGAGTGAAGCGTAGCAGGATACCAGTTCGCTTTTTCGCATTGCTCGTGGCGCCCGTGCTCTGTGTGGTGAACTCGTCGCTATTCCAAAAATCGGCAACATTGCACTGCTGTCTTCTCACTCCGTTATTGTCTGCTATGCATTACACTGAGCGAATTCACAGGTACTGTTCAGGTGACTGGGCTGGTATTCGGCGCGACGATTACGCTGACTGGGTCCGTGTGGAGCTTGGAAAACCTTACGAGACGAACAGACAGCGCAGCAGTTTTGTTATTGCGTGGAGTGAAGATCCGCACTGCAGCATCACAGGACTTCGTTCCAGCTTTATCAACTCCGCCAGTATTGCCCGAATTCACAAGAGAAGCGGCGCGCACGCGCATCTGCTAAAGATGATTGCTGCTTTAGCCCCAGGAGGACTGGTTTACGCGATGTTGGGGTATGCTACTGTTGGCGCGGATATGGTGGACTACTTTTTTGGAGGACACCAGCAAAGAGGAAAAAGCCACTGTCAACGCAATGCATGGGTCTGGATAAACCACTGGGAGACGGAAAGACGCCTTTACTGGGTGATGCGCCAACCGTTATGCTTTCGGCCAAAGTACCAGACACGGGGCGAATTGCTCACCTTGTTTCAGGCATCTGGCTGCTTCTATCGATTGGTGCAAGCTGGACGATGGTCAGAAAGCATGGAGCGAGGGACCGCAAACGCCGAAAGGGAGGACGAGGAGGTTGCGGTAGTATCTTCATGTCAAGCTGCTTATAGTGGCGGAAACCCGTTCAAGCGCACTTCGTCATCCTCGGCGGTGAAAATCACATTGAAGTTGTAGTAAGATCATCGATATACTTTGACTTTCACCTCGCAACATACCATCACGACAGTAGCTATTACGAGAACCTCCGATGAAAATAAAGCGGGGAATGAAACATACACAACTGATTTTCCTACCGGGCGTGTTCTATGGCGGAGGCTGACACGACGCAATACTTGTGTTGCACTACACCGTGCTCCTGAAGATCGCGATTTCACAAGGGCGCGCCGCATGCTCTTGATCGATGGTTTTCTGTAGCGACACTAAGTACTTACGTCGGCACCGCAGAAGCAACCTCGTTGAGGGATAGGGAGAGGAAGGCGTGCTCGAAATATTTAGCAGACGGAAAATATTTATAACTTCGTGTTGTGCCAGGGGCTGCAGCCCAGAAATATCTCTATTTAGGATATTTACGTCAGGCGGTCTTTGTGGCTGGTCTTCCAAGCCGCAGTGGCAGTACGCGGCAATGTCGGCGGCCGAAGACCAGAGCCAGCACGACCCCGAAGGTAAAGCCTCGCTGCGGCGCGTCTCACGTAGCATTGCTCGAGATGTAGAAAAGAGCGCTGCGGCTGCTCCGAGTACGGCTAAAATTTTATACAGCGTGACGGTATTCGTACCGGTCTCCATCGCCCTCTCGCTGGGTCCCGTCCTCCCCCCCTTTGGCGACCCATACGATGTGACTTTTCACGGATACCTGCGGAACGCCGGGTACTTCTGCGGGTACAACGTGATTGGCTGGTCCTTCCTGTGGGCCGTGCATGTGGGATGGTATCTGCAGTTCGTCAGCGTCTTGGAGCAGATGGCGGCACTGCAGCGCGGGGTTTTGTGGACCCGCGATCGGAGCGACAACTACGCGGTGATGAATGGCAATGCGCCCGGCAGCGCCGATTCGCTCCTACCACTGACGCTCGCGCGCATTCTGGGCCGTCTTAGTGTGCGGAGGTCGGTCTGGGTACCGACGGTCTTCGCAGTGCTGCTGTTCCTGTGCGCGTACATTTTTGCCGGCGGTCCGTTCCCGCTCGGCACGCTGAGTTTGGGCCTCCCTTGTTTTCTGCTGAGTTGGTGGAGCCTGTGGCACTTTGAGGGTCTGGCTGTACATGCTGCGTCAGCGCACCCCTGCACACGCGCAGAGCGCAGCGTCATTCAGCGTAGAACGGCGAAAATCCTGGTGCTGTTTTTTGCGTTGACTTTGGCAAACTTGGTCACTTACTTTTCCGTGCAGTGCCTTATGATGCTCTTTCCAGTGTTGGACGACTTCATGGCCGTCGTTCTGGCTCTGGCGCAAGATTTCATACTTTTTGCCGACCCCTACGCGCTGTTGAGCCGCGTCTGCGACCGCACGGAGAAAAGGGGCGACTCCGAAAGAAAGACTCCCAGAAGTGATGTTGACCAAAGCGGAGGCGACCTGGCCGTGAAGCAAAAGTGCAAAGTACTCGATAGCGATGGCGCAGCGCCCTGTGTTGCAGTTCAGCCCGCGCGGATATCGCTTTTCAGCTCGGCGACCGAGAAAGACACCGCCGAGCTTGATGGTGAAACGATGTCCTCCGCCGGTGCTGTCAATTACAGCACGCCACCTAGCTCAATTGCGGGGAGATCAAGCAGTGCGGAGATGCGTAATGAAAGTCTTTGCCTGTTTCCGGCAAGAACATGCCGAACTGGTGGGGCAGAACAAGAACTCGAGGGAAACACGCGGAGGACCTCTTTGCGCAGAAACTCCACGAGCTAGAAACATTGTGCGTGCTTTTCAAGGTTTTCTTCTACCAAGGACTCCATGAAACCTACAATTGTTTCCTTTTACCGGTCGTTGCGCGCGGCGTGCAGCCCGTCGTTGTCAGTGCCTTCATCAGTGTCTTGATGGGGCGTGCGACCAAGCGGAACACGTTCATCCAGCTGGACCATGACCTAGAACTGCTGTACCAACTGAGTGCTAGGTTGGGAAGCCGAAGCGACGAGAAAATATTGCGAAAATGCATCGACCTGAAGGCGGTCGCATTGGCGTCCCGGATCTTTGAACAGCTCGCACGGCACTACGTGGCACTGATTGTTCCAGTGACCTTTTTTGTGTTGCTCTGCTTCAATCACTACTCCTGGAACCGCGGCATGTTTCATGTGTTGTCGGACTTCGATGATCGAGAGCTGCGCGTAGTGTGGCGGAACATCTGGATCCAGTTTCTGGGTCAGATCGTGACGTGCGGCTCCTTTTGTCTCGCGCTGCGGCGGTGGATTCTTCGGGCCAGCCTGTCGGAACAGGTCGGGCAAGAACGTGCGGGGACCACGACCACCGAGACCCTGGTGGTACATGCCGCAGTGGCTAAACTGCGCCAGAATATCGCAGCAGCGTGTTACGATCAGAAACGAGGCAGCGGCGTGTTTTTTGTCGTCTTGTTTACGCAAGCAGCCCTCACTACCGTCGTAGGGGTGTGCATGCTCATGAAACACGATGGAATGGACGCGAAAGGCGTAGTGCAGTGGATGTTTGACGGGAAGAGCGCGTTCCCGTGGAAGCTGGACCCCTGGTGGAGCTAACGGGCATCAATTAGGTAGCTCTCATTTAAAATTGAATAGAGGTAACTCTCATTTAAAAGTGGTTTTTCAAAAAGTGTTGGCATCAAGTCCACAAATGCTGATCCGGAAATCTTGAGTTCGAATCTCAGTCGCAAGCTCGGTATCTTCACGTCTTCGCTTTCGTCTTGTGTCAATACAGAGCTATTTCATGAAAAGATGTACGAAAAATCTAGTGCAAGTGCATTGACACTTTCTATTTTTGCTCTTAATTTGCCATGCGTCCGAAGTGTCAGTCCAGACCCATTTTTTGGTCTTTTCCTTCTATTTTTGCATGACACTATGGAGTATTGGCGCTTTAGCATCAGAGATTTGTATTTTTTGTATTCAGTCTCTCAAATGCGCCTCCAAATATGTCAGTCAGGGCCACCATCTATGATGGTCCACCTTATGTTTTTGCATGACAAATTGGAAATCGACTATGGACGGCTTCGCAGCTACGTCGTGATCGACAAACTGAGATCGGCGATAATAGTTGTGTTGCTGGTCCTGTGCCAGTCGCGGGGCATGTTAGGGTGTTCCGGGCCGTGCATTGTGCACCCCTCGGACCCCGCACCCCCCCGGGCTTTAGTCGCGCAGTCTGTTAAGCATGACAAATTGGAAATCATGGCGCTTCAGCATCAGAAATTTGTAATTTGAGTTTATGGTGATTGCCAAGTCGTAAACACCGCCTCTTCAACATAGTAAATGTTGGTCATGGAAATCGATCCCGCACACACGTAACACGATCGCCCCAAATGACGCCTGTTCCCAGATGAAATGACGTTTCTGAATGACCTGAACTAGCTAGATCCTTAGGGAAATGGTCAGAATCTATCTGGATCCTAAAGGAAACTCTTCACCATGTTCCGCGAATCCCCCAAATACTACGAAGGCAAAGCCATCAGGATCGTAGTGAAATGAATGGACTCAGCTCGGTCCAGACGTTCAGAATGGTCGCCCTGAGGGACTTGACTCCCGCCAGGGTCGAGCACCAAACAGAAAAGGTTGAGGAATGGACACCCATGCTGTTTTGCCACTTGACTCTGACCAGGTTTGGTCCATATGAATGCGATGAATTTGGATGAATTGAACCTACAGGATGTAACGCAGCAAGAGACTTGCGTCACTTGCTTGCTTGCTTGCAATTGAGAGAACTCATTGAACTGCTGTTGATAACGAGCTCAGTGGAGCAAACGTGTGTAAGTGTGTGCGAGTGTTCTCAAGTCCACTAACACTACGTTACGCCTTGAGACTCAAACTGGCTCTTATAGTCAGATAAGTGATTGAAATAATGGGCCAAGAGGCAAAGCTGGTTGAGAAGTTGTCCAGTGCGCAGGACTGGCGCATCTGGCATCGTGGAGCCACGAGCGAGGTCTCTCGCCTCGGACTCCAGGAGTATTGGGATAATCGTCTTGCTGGTAACCCTCCGGGGATTCCGCAAGCGAACAATACCGCCAGTAACGCGATCCGGGAGAAGTGGCGCGACCTGAAGGATGCCATCTACAAGTCGTGCACCGGGTCCGTGTCCACGTGGGTCAACAGTCAGCACTACATCAACGACGACGCTGCGCAGCTGTTCATGCGTATTCGTGATGTTGGTCGCTTCAATGTTGCCTCCCGTGACCAGCAGCACATCAAGACCTCCTCGATCGACGCCACGCATTTCGACAACCGCGACGCGCCGAAGGATGCTCCGACGTTCCTGGCCCAGATCCACGAGCTGATGGAGATGGCGCCGAGTGTCTACGTCCCGGAGCCCGGGCGTCCGGTCGAAGATCGTCATGTCAAGAACATTCTGGACAAGCTGCCCAAGATGTTCGCGTCGGCCTTCCGCCAGACCATCGACCGCTGCGTGGACGAGTCCGATCGCATCACCCTCCAGGAGATCGGGAACCGTCTCGAGAAGAAGCTCGCGCAGTTGGTCAAGGAAGGTTCCTACAAGATCGAGAGTCCGTCCTTCGGCAAGGCCTTTCCGGTCATCGAGGAGAAGTCGAAGAAGAGAAAGGGAAATAAACGTCAGAAAGACGATGACGATGAGGAGCCGGACTCCGCTGATGATGGTCAAAATGCTGCTTCTGGCAAGGTGTTCTCGGCGAAAGCCTTGAAACGCATGAAAGCCAAATTACGCAAGCAGACCGAAGCGAGTGTCCTGGCTGCCCATGGCCTGCCCCCGAAGTCTAACGCTAAGGGTGGAAGTGGCCAGAAAGGTGGTGGTAAGACTGGTCGGAACCAGAGCACTCCCTACAACACTGCGACCAAACCCAAATGCTGGATCTGTGGCAAGGAAAACCATAAGGCTGACCGTTGCCGCTGGAATCCTAACAATCAAGGGAAAGGTCAGTGGGGTGGTGTCTGGGGAAACCAGCAGCCGCAGTGGTGTCCGCCGGTGAACCAGAACCAGACGAACAACCAGAATCAAGGGCAGGGAGCCGGTGGAAACAAGGGTGGTTGGGTCTGGCAAGGGCCAGCCTGACTAGATGAAGGAGGTGTTTATATCTCGGAGTATGGTACTTGCATGCTGAACTTCGAGAATTTAGAAGAATTTGACTCAAATTATTCTAGCTGTTTTATTGCACAGACCAAGGACGAAGTGAGCTTGGTCGATTCATGTGCAAACAAGTATTTATCTAGACACAAATCGGATTTTATTGACATCTCGAGCAACGTCTGTCGCATCAACGGCACGGCCGGGGCTCGTGATGGTTTTGTAGGAAAATTGAAGGAAAACGCTCTAGGTTTACCCTGCGGCGTCTACTTTAAACATCTACCAAGAGATATTGATCGTATACTTCCGTGGCTCGGTGAGGACAATCTCAGTGATCGTGGGTGGGATCTGAACTACAACAGCTCTGGCGGTTCTCTCGTCAACAGGGAATCCGGTCAGATGCTACCAATCAAGAACCACGAGAGGTTGAGCCTCCCAGTCCTTGGGTGTGATCTTTTCGTGATGGGCCTCCGGGGTCAGGCGACTAGTGACACCGCGGAAGACATTGCATGCATTACAATCGAAGAAAGTATTGCTAGTTGTCACCTTACGCGTTTAGAACAACATAGAAGATTCGGACACTTTCACGTAGATGGTCTTAATGTCCAGTGTCCCGAATGCGACAAAGCGAAGGGCGCAAGAAGCTCTCACGCAAAAGAGCGCGACACTAGTAATTACAAACCTGAACCATTGAAACTACTTGCGATGGACTTCGCGGTAGGTATTAAACCTGTATCGATTCGGTCACGCACCTGCGTGCTTGTTGTCATCTGTGATGCCATCAAGAAGTGTTTCTGTGTCCCTCTTAAGCTGAAAAGTGACTGCGTTGGGGTTTTGGAAGAATTGATCAAAGGCATTCGCCAGAGCTACGCTCTGACCCTCGAGGACAAAGTGGTATGGTTCGTCCGTAGGGACAATGAGCCAGTTCTGGGCAGTGACTCCATGACCAAGGTCATGCAATCGCTGCGGGTCGGTGATGCTCCTACGGTTCCCTACAACCCAGAGCAGAACGGAACCTGCGAACGCTTTATGCGGACCATATTCGGCGCTGTGCGTGCGATGTTGGTGAACGTGGACAAGCGTCTGTGGTGCTACTCGGTCGAGTACGCTGCAGCATGCTGGGACCGCCTTCCGCATAAGTATAGCAAAATGCCTGAGTACGACGGAAAGACTCCTGCAGAAATTCTGGATGAGAGAACTGGAAGAAACAGTTCGAAAGTTGGCACAAGGATGCTAAGGCGTTTTGGTTGTCTCGTTTATTTTCGTGAACAAGTCAAGAAAGGCGAAGTTCATGAAGCTCCTGAGGGGGGAGTAGAAGTGGTTGCTCCAAAGCTGTCCGCGCCATTTCGTCGTGGGGTATTTCTCGGCCTTTGTCCTAAGTCTTCGGGCTGGCGGGTTGGGACGTATGTCACGGACGGCCGGTCCGCCGCGGGACATCGTTGGATGGAGTATTCTACCATCGACGTCAAGTTCCGTGAGGAGTACCTCGTGAAGAATATTGAAGACCTAGTTCCTAACTCCAAAGGTATCTATGTCGAGTGTGACGCAATCGAGGCCCTACCTAGTGGAGCGCCGTGTGCGCCATCTCTCCCGTGTGTCGGTCTGATCAAAAGGGCTGAGCACCGGCTGGGGGTGGATGTCTCGGAGCACACTGGTAGGCAGCCTGACGGTCCTGAAGAGACGTTGGTGGTTGAAAGTCTGGATAGGGAAGATGATCCGGGCCAGATAGATCCCGAGCCTGAAGGTGTTAAACCTGAGGAGGGGAATCTGGACGATCACCCCACTCACAGCAGCTTATCTAGTCCAAGAAAGGCGAGCCCGTCTCCGGCAAGGATTGTGGCTGGCAACCGCAACTCCAAGCCGCGAGGTCGTGGTCGTCCCAAAGGGAGAAAGGACAAGACAAAGCGCGTGAGACGTACTAAGAAAGAGCTCGCAGAATTGAGAAAGGACGCTAGTGCCTTTGCCGCAGCAATAGCAGCACAGGATGATCGCGAGGAAGGTGAGGAATTCCTCGACGTCCAGTGTTACTTGACTACATCGGCCAAGTTGGATCCTGCTCGTTGCAAAGACTCAGTCGAATGGAACGCAGCAACCAACAAGGAAGATTGTAGACTTGAAGCCTATAAAGTGTGGGAGCCAGCTACTGACGAGGAGCTAGCGACCGCAAAGCAGGTTTTGCCTATTGCTATCCTTCTTACCGAGAAGCGTGACGGTACGAAGAAAGCGCGAGCAGTAGTACTCGGTAATCTAGATCGTTCGGGCGAGCTGGACACTTTCGCTCCTGTTGTGTCCCATGCCGCTAACAGGTTACTTCTAGCCGCTGCAGCCGCAGACGGTGATGATGTGATCCCGTTCGACCTTGATAGTGCGTTTCTCAATGCCTTACTTGATCGCGACGTCTTCTGCCGCTTGCCACCCATCTGGGCGAAGAAGCACGGCGTGGAGATCGTCAAGCTCAAGAAAGCGCTTTACGGCTTGAAAGACGCCCCCAGGCTCTGGTATAAGAAGTATGAGGAAGTACTGACCAAGCTAGGTTGGGAACCCTGTCCCTCTGCGCCAGGTCTGTGGAAGAAACCGAGCTTGGAACACCCTGGGAAGTTTCTGAAGTTGGCAGTGTATGTCGACGATAATCTTATCACAGGTCCTCCGACTGGGTCCGAGTTGGCTGGAGAACTTGCGGAGATCTTGCACCACGTCAAGGGGCGCATGATCGACGTCGAGCTTGTTCCGGAGTTTAACTCTGTGTCCAAGAAGTTTGACTTCCTAGGGTCAATAGTGTACTACAACTGGAATCTACGAACCGTTAGGATCGTGATGACAGAGTACATATCCAAGATTTGTAAGAAATTCCACGTCTCAGAAGCGGGCAAGCCGGTCCACTCGCCAAACTTCGATGAGTCTGAACTCGCTAAAGAAGTTGAAGGAGCTAAAGTTATTGAAGGTTTTCCCCTTCGAGAGGTCGTTGGCTCTCTGCAGTGGGCTGCAACCACTTGCAGGGTAGACATTGTTGTCCCGGTTGCCACTGTCGCCAGATACGTGGGCAAGCCGGCGACTCGGCCTGTCGTAAACGCCTGTAAGAAGATTCTGAAGTATCTATTGACAACGAAGGAGCAGGGTCTGTCGTATAGTCCGGAAATTGAGGAAGAATTCAACAGAATCTACAGCAAGCTACTGCCCGACGGGAGAGACTTGCCTGATGTGAATCTGTTTTCGGATGCTAGTTTTGCGAACTGTTGCAAGACCATGCGAAGCACTAGTGGTAGCATTATGTACTTCCGCGGCTTCCCGATCTGTTGGCGTAGCAACCGGCAGACCGTGAGGGCGTACTCCACGGCGGAGGCGGAGTATATAGCTGCTTCCGACACTATTGTGCTGAGCGAGCAGAATGACTTTACAGAGTTCTTCAAACCTCTACCCACTGTCATGGTGGAAAAGCAGAATGGCTTATCTCCCTCCCTGGATGATGCCATATTGTGGATCGACAACCAGTCCGCGATAACTACAGCTAAGAGCACAGACAACAAACCGAAATCGAGGCACTACGCACTGCGATATCTCCGCGTGAGAGACGCAGCGAGCCAGATCATGTTCTGCCCGACCTACCTAATGAAGGCAGACGGTCTCACGAAGCTCGAGTGTAGTGTGCCGCAGAGACGCTTACTCTTGCACCATATTGATAACCCCGACCCTAAGTCTTTTATTTGTGACTCCTCTGACGATGAGGATGATTTAGACACGTTTATAGAGGGGAATCACAAGGGCAAGGCTAAAGTAGGCTATACTTATTCGATTTATTTTGGTTTCTAGAGGGGATAGCTAGTTCACCACAGCGCGCTCAGGAGGGGAGTGTGGTAGGACGCTATCCAGATTAGCACCACCGCCGCAGCGATTGAGGAGGGGTGTTGGTCATGGAAATCGATCCCGCACACACGTAACACGATCGCCCCAAATGACGCCTGTTCCCAATGAAATGACAGCTCTGAATGACCTGAACTAGCTAGATCCTTAGGGAAATGGTCAGAATCTATCTAGATCCTAAAGGAAACTCTTCACCATGTTCCGCGAATCCCCCAAATACTACGAAGGCAAAGCCATCAGGATCGTAGTGAAATGAATGGACTCAGCTCGGTCCAGACGTTCAGAATGGTCGCCCTGGGGGACTTGACTCCCGCCAGGGTCGAGCACCAATCTGAGCAGGTTGAGGAGTGGACTCCCATGCTGTTTTGCCACTTGACTCTGACCAGGTTTGGTCCATATGAATGCGATGAATTTGGATGAATTGAACCTACAGGATGTAACGCAGCGAGAGACTTGCGTCACTTGCTTGCTTGCTTGCAATTGAGAGAACTCATTGAACTGCTGTTGATAACGAGCTCAGTGGAGCAAACGTGTGGAAGTGTGTGCGAGTGTTCTCAAGTCCACTAACAGTAAATGAATTGCAATTATAAGTCTACAAAATATTGATCTTTGCCTTGCATGCTTCTAGCGATGCTGATCCAAAAGCGATAGCTGTGTTGCTAGTGAAAATTACTTTTGGAAGTGTGTTCTTCATTTCGTCGTCCTGTATCTTCATGAGAGAAATAACCGAGAGAAATTGGTAGCTGTAGCTACCTGCGTTGCTGCCGCGCCCATCTTTTCTCCCGCTCGAGCAAGTTACACATGGCTGGAGCCGCAGATCATGATCGGGCTGTGCACCGTAGGCAAACGGTGTGCAGGTTTAGGCCGGTGCTTAAGGCGATAGTGAAGACGTTCACAACTACCAGCAGACCACCAGAAAATGTACAAACGAACACTCGCTTGCTCTCTTCTTCTACGCCCTCTTTAGGTTCCCCATGCTCCTCCTTCCTCTCTTGAAAAATGGAAATATCAGCGATCTAGGTGTGCTTTCTTTAGCTTTATTTTATATTTATATTTAGGTTGTTTTTTTACAGCCCCCCCGGACGCCATCACACTGAAGGAAAGCATGCGAGACAAAAGAAGCGTGCAAATCGGCCGGCAGAAGCAAAGGCGGCAAACCACAGAGAAAATGAGCAAAAGAAGCGAGGAGCAGCGCGCACGAATAGAGCAACAAAGGTAGGAAAGCGAGCAAGCGCGGGCGGCGTTCCTTCAGAAGATCAGCGGCAAGCGCTGGGGCAGAGTGCCAGGCGCCACGGGAAACAACTGGCAACTAGAAAGCGACCCAGAAGTTCAATTTACGGTGACGAGCGAAGATTTTTGTGAGAACACCGGAAGAGAAGTCAAGGACGTTGCAGGCCAATCCTTCTACCGCAGCCCCGAGGGGACATGGGTTGCGGAGTGACATCGGATGTCACAAAAAGTGCGCTCGAGTGTACGTCCACTCAAGAGGAACGATGAGAACAGACATAATTCCAATGTCACGGACAAACACAAAGATGATGATGATGATGTTTTAGGTTAGTTTACTTTGCTATGCTTATTGTTGTATTTCTCTCAAGACTGCTGGCATGGTCGAAAGAATGCAGCCATGTACACAAGAGTCGGGAGCGGTAGATTTTTTTAGTTATCCATATGATTGAGTTGCTGAGAGAAAGGGCCAGCGTGAGAGATTGAAAGTAGATTCGAGTAAGGAACTCCTACACTTAGGCAGGAATTGAAGTTCGTGCGAAGGAGAAAAAAAGCGGGCATTGAGGGAACGTTGGCGTTACTGCAGTGAGATGCTAGTAGTCGACTGAGTCTCTGAGCGTGGTGGTCTAGTAAGTAAGTGGCTGGCCTGTTTGTGAGTGCGCGCGGTCTACTTCCAGTGCAGTCGATGATATACATACTCGCTTGGAATATTAGCGCGGAATGTATGATAGATTTGTGTAGCGTGACGTATGGTGATAGATAGAATTGTCTAAGTCGATGCGTAGTGCACTTACAGTTCTCGTGCTTTTTTTTTCCGGTTGTCTGAGTGTAGGTGTGCTAACGTTTCTTCTCTTCACCGTGTTTGAACTTTCTGTGTCGTTTGCGTTTCCTCTGGTTTCTCTTTGTGTCGTAGGTACAGACATACTCGCTCTCGAGGTGTCAAAAGATGTCCGCACCCTCTCGAGAAAACCTGTGGGAAATGGTAACGGCGTACCCCCCGCCGACACCGACGGGTATGGTGCCCATGGGTGCGACCCCGACCATTAAGAAGTTTTTCCGTGATGCGCACCGAAGCCTTTTGCTGGCCGCGCAAAACAAGCGGAATTGCGCCCTGGCGGCTCGGCGGCTGCAGCAGCTCGGGCAGGAGGTACGCACGAACGCGAACCGTACCGAGGCTGCTGTCAACCAGCTCGAGGAGAACCTGTTCAATCGCAAGGTCCGACTCTTGAAGCGCGTGAGGCCGCGCGTTGTGCAGGACTGCGAAAAGCTGATCGCGCCGAAGTCGCTCTGGCAACAGTACGGTTCGACCAATCGTCCCCGGGCAGACGAAGAGGCCGCAAAGCGCGCATCCGCGATTCAGGCACAGGGGAACACTGCTATAGCAGACGAAAACGCTGCTCGAGACGCTGAGCTCAGGCGGTGCGAACAGTTGGCAAATTTTCTCTTGCACGACCCGGGACCTACCATGAGCGCTGCAGAAGTTTCGGACCCCGCCACACTAGTGCAATGAACGAACCTGTAATGTGATCGATGGTTGTAGTTCGATTGCCAATGTATTCACCTAAGTGTGCCAGAATATAGTGGCAGGCAGGGATGCGAGTTTCAAATAAATGTACTCTTCTGGGGGTTTCCTTTTCTCCGGCTTGATCCAAAAGTGCATATTTCATCGAGGTGGCAAAATGACTTTTATCTCGTGTTCGGCCACTTCTGATTGATTTCTCACTTTTTGTGGGGATGGAGCTCACTTTTTGTGGGGATGCACGGGGATTATGTAGCGAAAGCGAAAGAATAGGAAAAGGAATACAAGCTACGATTGCTTTTCAGGTCTTGTGTATTTTGTCTGAATTATGCTCAACAAATGCAATCGCAATCGGTAAGGTTGGCTTTTTGCTGTAACGGAATGCAGGTCTTTTCATTTTCATTTCTTTCCGCCCGGTCGTGTAAGGCAGTTGAAATTCAACTGCAGATTTGTTTTCACTTGTGTTTTTCCAAATCCAAATGTAAGAGCCACGACCTCATCAAAACGGCGTCGCAATCGTGGCAGCTCTAATAATCTTCATCCATCATATGACTGCTCGGTATTACAACAATGAATTTAAGCGACTTAATGTCGAGTCTTCCGGAAGATGAAGATTTTTTTTGCTGCGGTTCCGATGTGCCTGGACCCGGGCTTGTGGAGCGGGATGTGGCGGGAGAGCAACGAGACGCGTTCGCACGTACTGCATTCCCACATATCCGAGCTCCTTCTCACCCTCGACGCCGTGCACTCCTTCCTGCAGCAGTTCGAAACCCCAGTCCGGACGGAAGCCGATTGGGTGTACCTGCCGGTCTACTTTCCGTTGCTCTTCTGGTACGAGTCCACCGAGTCCCTGACGTGTGTGCGCGAGTTTTTTCAGGACTACGATTTTGGCGCGCTTGCGGGGTACGACCACCTGATCAACTACGGCCACGAGTTTCCGCACTGGAAAAAGGAGTCGCGCGTCTTGCCACCTGAAAACCGACTGTTGGATTTGAACGGGTACCACCTCTTTCTCCGCAACGCGTTTGTTCTCACGGTGGGGCACACGCACCAGGGACGCCGAAACTTTGCGCTTGCACTTTCTCCTGCGGATCTACAACATCACGCAAAGAACGGCACAACAGCGAACGCCACCTCAAGAACTAGAACTACGGGGGAACAAGAACAACCAGGGGGGGAACGACCCCCGTTCCCCGTGCAGCCTCCTTCTTCATCCCCGGCGGGGGCCGAGATCGCCCACCCGCATCTGCTCGAGCCGGGCTGGGGCGGACTCCTCGAGCTGCAGCGGTTCGTGCTACACCCCTACTTTGTGTCGTTCGACTGCCACAAGGCCTACAAGGGTTTGGTGGACTTTGCGAGTCGCCCGGTCCGCGTTTTGTTTGTGGGGGCCGTGAAGCACATCCCGGACACCACTTTTGTTTTCCGGGAGCGCCTGTATGTGCTCGAAGCCGTCCAGCGGCACTTCAAGGGGGACGAGTCGGTGTACTTCCAACCGGTCCCGGCCGACGACGGGAGTCGGCAGCAGCTCCGTCGGAAGCAGGACGAGTATTTGCTGCTCTACGAGTCCGCCCGGTTCTGCCTCGTGATGCCCGGCGACGGCAACACCGCGCAGCGATTGTTTCACGTGCTCACGCGGGGGTGCGTCCCGGTGTTTGTGTACCACAAGGATAGCTATGTGGTCTTGCCCTTCGAGGCCTACCTGCAGTACGAGGAGTTTTCCCTGCTGTACCTCGTCGACTCGGTGGATGAAACTGCGGCGGCGCTGGAATCCGTGCTGCAGGTGTCACTCGAGACCGGCCAACGCCTGCAAAAAAAGGCCTTGGAAGCGGCGCCTTACTTGTCCATGAAACTCGAGGAAAACTGCGCGCAATACGGCACCACCGGCTCAGCTTTCACGCTGCTGGAACGCGAGCTGCGAGATCGGCTGCATTGGCGTGCGCGCTTTCTTGTTCCGCGGGGTGGCTTCGCGAGGCCGTACAGTCCGCGAGAACACTCGCACTGGGTGCACTGGGGCGCACTTCACAACTTTGATTCCAGCGTGTTGGCAGACGAGGATACTGCTCCTCTAGAGCGCTCGGATCTTCGACTAGAAGAACAAGCAGAAGGTCAGGATGCCTCTCATCAGAAGGCTGATGATCATACATAGTTTTAGATGATGAACGATCGTAGTGGCGAGCTAGATCATGAAAGAAGAAAGAGCAACACGACATGACTTTCCCTGAAAGACAAGCATACGACGCAATTATATCACAAAAATGTTCCGAGCTCGACGCTCGCTAGTACTGAAAAATACACGTTTTCTTGTGGTCTTTCCGCTTCAATCATGCCAGCACCGCTGGCTCAGGAATTAATACTCAGTGTTAGTTATACAAAAAAAAATGTTAGTTCTTTTCAGGACCCCACTCCTCCTCGTACCTGTATCAGACTGAAGCCGTGCCAAACTTGGCGATATATGGATTCTCAGGGGGCTACACCATATTAACGATCCCTAGTTGACAAGTATTGAGGACAACGGCCGCCTAGGATAAGGATTGGAAAGAACTGGACGACTAGAGGAGCGTTTACCCACGGGGCTTGCTTTGTTCGGAGCGGCTTCTGCAGCTGCGGCAACCCTTCATTTCATTTTTTTGATATAAAGAAGATTTATCTTGATTGTTAAACATGGTGAAGATCATCAACGGCGAAATTGTTCCCGATGACGACCCGCGGGCCAAGCATATGTCATCCTCTTCAGCGGTACGACGTGTGATTCGTGTTTGTAAATACTTAGTACTTTTTGCAGCTTTGACTAGCACCAGCTCCGACTTGAATGAATTGCGCATCTGACAGCACAGCGGAAGGTCAAAGTCCCAGCTAGCGTTTTCTTTGAAATCTGTTCTACTCGAGTCTTTGTATGATGAGGATCACGCTATTATTCACTTAGTAGGTTAAGTTATCGATCCAATCAAAATACATCAGGGCTCGACTCAACCACGTTCAAGGCAAGCCAGCAGCGCGCAATTTTTCGGTGGAGGGTCCGGAACAGACAATGCAAATTCGTCAGGAAGCAACAGCTTCCAGCAGTTCAGCAATCAGCCTGGTAATCCTTCATCGTTATAATATTTTTCCAAGTAGTACTACCACTTTCAGTTTGACTTTCTATCAGCACCACTGTTCTTCTTGTACAGTGCGGTTTTTTTTGGGCTTCGAAAAACGTCATCACGTTTCTCTTGCTCTGAAATGAAAATAATGCTATTCATACTCCGCCCCTCCCTGTGAAGCGGAAGGATGCTGGCATTCTTGATTTGCACAGGCAACCGACCACACCAAGGACCTTCATCCTCCCCGTCTGGCGGGGGAGGAGTCTTCGAAGGGGACAACCTCATAACCAAGGACCTGGCCCAAATGCTTGGGATTCGCGGGAGGCGAGTAAACATTTTGGGACAGGACATGCAGCTGATTTACGCCTTGTTGCTAGGACTGGTGGTGGTACTTTATGTCATGGGGCAGACCGAAATACTTCGCATCTCGGCTTTCATCTGTCTGGGCTATTTTCTTTACCAGTCTTTCACGAAGAACACGACGGGGCAAAACATCGGGGGAGGCGGAATTTCCTCCACTGGAGCGGGGGGATTCGGTGGTGGCGGTGGTGGAGGAGGAGGAGGAGGAGGTAGCAGTAGCAAGTTCACCGGGGGCGATTCGCGTGCGGGCGGTGGCCAATACCGTCCGCCGGGACGATGAAGACCAGCCCGCTGACCGCGTCGAGGTCGAAACAAAAGCAGCAGACCCGGGTGCGCACTGCATGCTCATCTGGCGGCAACCCTGACTAGTACTTGCTCCTCAAGCAAGGTACTTTGCTCCTCCTTTTCCAAGAAACGAAACCGCACCACGTGGAAGAATCTTTGTCTCACAGTCGAACGAGTTGTGTGCGTGCGGAAATCCTCTCGTGCTAGCGAGGACTTGTGGATATATTACGATAATTACCTGTACTATTGCGCAGCACAACGACTACAAGTCTCTGTCTGTGTTCACCTACTGTCCGTTATCTGAGAGTGGGAGTGAAGATGACGGTGAGCAGGGTCGATATTTGAGCGCGCAGTGTTACGGCGACGAGCGTGGTGTGTGCTAAAGCAGCATTAGAATCACGCGGTGATGTGTCTGTAAAAATTTTGTTATCGCGATTGCACCACGATATGCGAATGTTGAGCCGCTCGGTGTTGACCAATACTCGCTATAGTTATCTTCAATAGAAGCAGTTGTTGGAAAAATGGAAATGGTCAGGCCTTCGAGGATCCCAGAGACTCGCTGTCCTCTTGTTTTGGAGTTCATTCTAAGACAGCTGTTGCAAGTTTTGCGGAAAGCTATAAATACAGAAGCCGCATAATATGAGCTTCTTCCTTGTTGCACCGACCACCAGTTAGAACTTGCTAAATTTTACATACATGAAAGAAGCGCCAGACGATCCATACAGGACAACTAAACGCATACGCAAGAAGATAAACGAATGTTTCATCATGCCCGCTAGTAAAAAAGTAGAGCAGACAGAAGCCCGTGGCCGTGCTCGCTCTTCTGTCAGCGGCATTAATAATGAAGAAACGCGACCAGGGGACGACAAGGATTCGAGCAACTACGCATCGGCTCGTCCGGAGCAGAGCGTACTGGAGCGGTTTTCCGATGAGATCAAATTTACACTTGTGTGTGGCTCTGTACTCAAGTCGGTTGAAGCCTCAGCGACTGAGGCGAACGGCCTGACCGTATGCAAGGCGGACGAAGGACCTCCAGAACGGCGAGAGAGGAATCTCGAGGAGCTGGAAAAGATGCTCGAAGAACTGCGAATGCTGGTTACAAATGCTCCAACAGCACAAATACAAGAAGCGAGTGGCGGAGAGAGTTCAGGCGAGGACGCGAATATGATTCTGTTGGAAGGCGTCGTCGTTCAGAAGAAGCAGCAAATTGTGGCGCGGTTGCGAAAAACTAAACTTTGGGAAAAGGTGGCCGCCAAGCTGCCTCGTCCGGAATTTACACAGATGCAGAAAGTACTGCAGTACCTGTACATCGGACCCTACCAGCCGCTTCTGCAGCGCGGGAAAGCGCTTGTCGAGAACCGCATCACGGCGGTGCTATCGGCGACAAAAGAGCCCCCAAACCAGCTGCCAAAATGCGTGCGGCGCAAGCTCTGCCTGCGCGTGACAGACCACGTTGCCGAGCGTTCGCTGGACCTGGATCGTGTGGTGGAGTTCGTACGCGCGGAGCGCGATGACCACCAGGGACGCGTGTTCGTGCACTGTGGGGCCGGGATCAGTCGGGCAGCGACGTGCACGCTCGCTTGCCTGTGTGCGCTCGAGAATTTGTCTCTGCAAGATGCGTACTCGTGGTTGCGAGCAGTCCGCCCGTGCATCAATCCGAATGCCACTTTCCGCCAGCTCTTGACGAGCCGTTTCGGTGCTGCCAAGAACGAAGAGGCCGTCGTTGACCAGGAGGAGGTTCGACTCAGCCAGGAAGACGAAGAGCGCGAACGGGTCCGGGCTGCCAATTGTGTACGCTGTGTTTAATATTGACCTGGAACACGAACTGAATAAAAACGGCGGGCTCAATGGCGCACATTCCTCATCAAGCATGCAGGAGAAATTCTCATAATCCCGTTCCTGTTCACGATATATAGTGAACCGCAGCCCCCGCTGGTAGATTCTCCGCGGTACTGATCGCGTGTGTAGTACGTATTCTTTTGACCACATCAAACTGCAGCGCAAATGAGACAGAACTCCTTATAGTACTTAAAAATGATTATGCGCCGACGGTTTTTCGATTTCTACTTTTCTCCCTATCTACTTTAGAAAATGTGAAAAGTTCTTCATCAGTGCCAGGTATGGATCCAGGAAATCGGTCGACCATCGGTTTGCCCAGTAGTTTCGCTCCCAATGCCTAAATCAGGAGGATGAGCAGAGTGATGCGACGATTGCGAGCATGTTCGAGAGAGTCACAACAAGAGTAAAATGTCGGTAAAAAACAAACAGTGATCTCCTACTACCAATGCTGCCATCATGCGAGAAGTATTCTAAGCGTACTGATGAATGTGTTTCATAAAAACCGAGCAAGAACAGCCTTCAGAAACATCGATACACTTCCCTGAACTCCTTTGGACACGCAAAGGAACGACCTCTCCGCTCATCTTATGTGTAGTACACAATTAATATTATCCTGAAGATATGGGCATATGAGTCATACTTTTTTTATTCTCGAAAGTGCTTAGTCTCGGACAGCATTCACCTGCTTTTTCTACCTTTGTTGGTTCGACAAAAGTACAGGAACAAAAATGATGCGCCTTGCCGTTGGTCGTGGTGCTCAGGCTTTACGGAGACCGTCTCAAATGAGACCACTCTTCACGAGGTCCTTCGCGCAGCAGTTCCCGGTGTCGAAGCAAACAGGTAAGCACGGACCTATCTTTCTAAGTAAGTAGTTTGTTTAATAATAAGTGGTACTTCATGTCGATCTCGATGTCGTGTGGGTCCGCTCTGAACAATGTTGACAGCGCACAACAAGTACTTTTCAACAGAAAGTCCTCTAGGCTGTTGCACTTCTCAGTTTACAGTTTTTCTGTGTTGCTTCACAAACAGACGACACCCGAGGTAAAGGCGGAGAGCTGCACCCGAAACTCGGCGGATTTCACATTCCACGCGACAAGGGAAAAAGTCCGGAGCCGACAACGAACACCAACTTCGCAAAAACGCCCTCGGTCGATACCAGTACTGCCGCCACTGCTTCTACGGCCGTGGAAGAGCAAACGGGCAGTACGGAGAACAGCATGCTGCGGACAAACTCCCACTTTTATGATAAACAAACGTACATGATACCAATGGTGAACCACATTTGGAGCGAGGAGGAGATTCGTGCTCGGCTGGAGAAGCCCCAGCCTGTGCATGTGCCTAAAACCTGGTATCCTGTACAGAAACGTCTCCACCTCCCCACAGTCAAGGTGTGACTTTGGCTACACAATTCAACAAATTTTGGCTGTTGTCGTGTACGACAAATTTCGGATCGTAGTGCAATCGTTTTTAGATAGTGTTGCCGCATCAGAAATGGCCCAGATTCTCCTGATTCTAGCATCACCAACTCCCAGACAAGATTAGAAAACGCCTCTTGCGTCGCTGCGCATGAGAAGCATTTGAGTCATACAGAAACAGATTTGCATGACAAACATGGGATGGAGACGTTTTTACACAGGATACCTTGGCGGACAAGTTCATGTACCACCTCGTGAAGACCGTGCTGTATCGGGGATTCAACTTCGTCATACGCATTGTAAATGTGTGTGGGTCTGGAACAAGACCGCAAATTTGTGACGCCCCCTGTAGATCACATCAATGTATAATAGGAAAAGCTGCCCTTTGCTTTTCTTTCTTCTTGTGACACAGAGTGTAGCTTCTTTTTTGCGGGATAAACGTTGTAAAGTAAAAGTCTTGCGGCAATCTGGGATGCTAAGTAGGTCACTCATTCCAGACCTCGATGGGCATGAAAAGTCTGCATCGCAAATACCTGCATCCTCCCAGAGAACCTAGACATATTTGCAGTGGATATCTCACGGGCTTCGACTACAAGGACCCTACGCCGCGATCCTGTGCCTACCGGCTCATCATCCTGGAATCAATCGCAGGGGTACAGCTTGACTGACACGCGCAACTTTTACTTATTTCTCGGACTTCGCAGTACAACGCATAACATTAAAGATACTTAGATGAAAAGCTCCGGCGTGGCTTCGTTTGTTTGGGAGCCAACGAGGAACGCATATAGTTGTTTTTTACCGACTTGCCAATACGAATACTATCCCAGCAAGACCGTGCTGAAAATTGTATCGCACTCTTCTGACACAAAGTTATGCATAAACAAACATAACAGGTCCCCGGAATGGTTGCAGGAGTGCTACGGCATTTTCATTCGTTGCGCACCTTGCGCAGAGACCACGGCTGGATTCACACACTCATCGAAGAGGCCCAGAATGATATCGCAGAGAAAAGCAGCCTGTTTTTTCACTGTGACGAAAATGTTGCGTAGTTTGCATCGCGAATTAGGTCATGCCCAGCGCGTTGTGAGCGTGACCCCATCGGGATTGCGCAAACGCTGCTGTATGAATGTTTTGCCTTTTCTTGCGTCTTTGTCATCAGGACATCGAGATTGGGATGCATTCTACTGTCTTCTTGCATTCGACGCAATACAGCGCCACGTGGACATGCCAGTGTTTTTCCTGCGATACAAAAACGCATGCACCTGCTTGTTTGCATGAAGATGTTCGATGCCGGAATCCTGACCCGCACCGCTTGTGCGCTTGGGCAGATCGGAATCGTGACCTTCCTCACTGCCACTTATATGGTACGCAGATACAATTTGTTGCGAGAAGATAAGAGTCCTGTGTGTAGCAAAGATAGATTTTTCCACCAATTGAGTTTCGAGAGACACAGGCATCTTCGTGGCTTGCTATTGCAACGACGAGAGTCAGTGCACCGACATAACGACCATAAGTTTGTGCTTATGTTGACACGACCACTACCCAGAGATGTCTGACGGTCAATGGTCGATTGCCGCGCCAGGCAAGAACTGCACTCTCACTCCTAGGAAAATCAGCCACTCTATATTTCCTTAGGTCCATCCCAAAGCCCTCCACCGATTTGTCGGGTACCTGGAAGAAACGGCAGTGCTTACGTACACGGACTTGGTTCGGCTGACGAGAACTCCGGGCACCAAACTGCACAAGGCTTGGGACGGCCTCCCGGCGCCGCCTTTGGCCAAGGCGTACTGGAACCTGAGGGATGACGCGGAGTGGGTGCACGTGCTCGAGAACGTATCATAATGATTTAAAAATCTTATACTGCATAATTCGTTTTACTGTTCCCAAGTCGTAAAGAGTCCATTTCTATGCACTGAAACAAGATTGATTTTTCATGTATTTATTCTCATCTTCACATCTTCAGTTGCTGGCCGACGAGACGCATCATCGGGACGTCAATCACTGTTTTGCGGATATGGATCAGGACGAAGCGAATCCGTTTGTGGATAGGCATATGCAGGACTTTGCACAGCAGCGGGACTTAACTTTCACGCCGAAGTAAACAACCAAAGCTATCCAGAGGATTGCGTCTGTTGAGCGAGGACAAGATGTACCAGACATGGCGACTACGACATATCTATGGATTAACGATGTGGAGTTCATTGGCATTTTACTCCTACACATAGCGATGCACTTTATTTATGAAGAGCGTAAGTGGAAACAGGACGAAGCACAGGAATAGTTTCATACAGCACAATCTCCTGTAGTTGAACAGGGTACTATATCTCTGTCTTTTCGAGATTCTGCTCGTTTTTGCGATGAAATTATCTCAGCTACTTAGAACTATCTGCAAGCGTGTCTGTTGTAAGATTGCAATGAATGACCATGATATGATGGTGTTTTGATTTACCACTATGCTTTTTCATTTTTTTTTTTATGTGCAGCACTCCACGTTTCCTAACTTTTGTTAGTTTGCGTTCTCAAAGCACTCACCCTACGGAAGAAACACGCAGTTCCAGCGGAGGTATTATATGTAGAACACTGCCAGGCTTTTGTAGTTTTGGCGGATCTTCAACGACGACAACGAACTGCGGCACCTGTACGGCACTGCAACGTGGCAAACTTCTTTTAGATTTGTGTCGTACGAGCAGGAAATTTTGTGAATCTATTTTTTAGCTATAAGAGGATTAAGATTTATGATTGTTTCCATCCGATTATCAAAAAAATGCACTGTATCTATTAGGCCATGATTTTCCAAAAAATGACTTTCTAGTCTTCCCATGAGTGCTGGGGCGGAAAAAGGGTTCATCCCTACGTACAGCAAAGTTCTGCAGAGGTATTTACACCGAAAAACGTCAATTGTGTAGGTCTGTTGCTGCAGAAACAAACCGAATCACGTCAACGGAAGAAACATACTGATTTGATTTGTAGTAGATACCAGGTCAAGTATCTGCCCGCGACTCTCGCGAAGTCGGAAAGTATTCCATAAGTAATCGAGTCCCTTGGGGAGGGGCTAACTATCGAGTGACTGTGTTCCTCAAGACCTCCACGAAAGTCGGTCAATGCAAATGCCTTGACGTCCCTTTAGTTTTCCGTCTCTTCCGTCTCGTTCCTCGTGGTCTTATTCGTGCGTCGTGCATCGGTGAAAAGTTGCACAGGCCTTCATCGTTCACCGCTGGCAACGCGCTCGAATGACAGTCGATTCGTACAACGCCACTGCCGAAGAACTTGCCCCGGCAATTAATATTAAGTTCTTGCTTTTTTTTATGATGTCAATTGTATGTTGCAATTGCATTGGATTGCTGGAAAGCTTCGGTATCTGTATCTATCTCTAAACGACTCCCAGTGTGACGGCGGGCACGTTGGCCGATAACTCTGACTCTGACTGATTCGTGCGAGTGCAAAGGCAAACCAATAGGCAATAGCAGCAGTCGGTTTATTTTGTTTTTTCCCACTCACGAGAACCCGGGCATGGGCACCAAACTGCTTGTGGGAAGTGTTCTTGCACTTACGCTAAGGTATGGACTTAAGTACTCAAATCGTGCGTTGTTTGCGAAAGGCGCGATTCTAAGGCTAAGCGAATGACAAAAGTAGGAAAAAGCAAAATGTTGAAAGAAAAAACTAGTACTACAGTTCCCTGTCGCGGCCCTTAGAGTGCAAACTGGACCCCTGTAAAAGAATCTGGTTTGTATGGCTAAGTCGTTTTTTTTTTAATCGTATCTTTCCAATGGGTTGATACTCCTGAAAATGTACTACTCCTCTCTCTTATATAGACAGTTGTTGCATTCTTTAGAAGGTTGTGATTTTAGAGTTTTAGACATGTAGATGCAGCAATGATCATCTGAGTGCAGTTATCGTTTGTGCCCAAATCATCGTGATAGTGACAGGCAGCAGATAAAAAAAGCACAGCGTCTGTAGGTCAAACAAATAGAAATGCTGGCATAGAGTCTTGTGCATGAATGAAGAAATTGAAATCTTAATAAACTAGAAAGGGACGTTCGTAATCGTATTCAACCAAACTGCGACTATAATATTGGGCAGCGTCTCGTCGTCGTCCGCACCCGGATCAGGAACACTGGATGAGTCACCATGTTCAGTCGAGCAACGAAGGCAAAACCGGAGAAGTTTTTCGTCGACGACTTGTCGCTAAACCTGGGGCAAGCCACTCAGCGCTACCAAGCGGAGGTTACTCAGGTACGCGAGGCCATCGCGGAGCGCGGCAAGGCGACGATTCCAGATTATTGGCCGGAGCATGACGTTTTCAGGTATAGGATCAATCTGCACTTTCGCCTGCTAGTGGTTCCGATGGCGCGTGCTCTCTAGAGAATTTTCTATCGTCGGAAAACCCACGTTTTTTTCGAGGACGGTTAGCACTAGTAACACTGAAAACCGTGAGTAGATGAAGAAAGCACCTCCGCATGTAAGTATGTACTTATCAAGATTTTCTCGCACGCCATTGATCTCGACGAATGTTGATTTGGACGGCGATGTGAAGATAGAAGTACTAGAAGGAGCGCGGCCTGCAGGTACTGTGCAGCAAGGTGGGTGACTTCTACAACACTACTATGAATGCAGGCGTATCAATCTGAAAGTAGCAGTAGATATGATTTTTAGGTTACGCGACATCGAACGACAGGTTTCTCCGCGCCCGCAAGGGAGACTGGTTGGGTACGCTGGAGATGCTGGAGAAGCACTTGCTGTGGCGAGAAAAGATAGGGCTGCCCGAGCTGAGGGAGAGCACACTGGAGCCGCGGTTTCGCGCGATTTGCCACCAGGGGTACGCAGGGCTTTGTAAGGAGGGAAGGCCCGTTTACGTGGACCACCTTGCGGGCTACGACGTGGAAAAGATAACCCAGTTGGTGTACACGGAGCTGGAGGTGGAGCAGATGCTGGCCGTCCAGCAGGAGCACACGCGGCGGCTGAAGTACCTGGCCACTTCCCTGCACACGGGCCGCCCGGTGTACCAGAACACGGTGATCCTGGATGTCCGGGGGCGGGGGCTTCGGATCGTGCTTTCCAAGTTTGTCCGCGAACAGGTAAAACTGATCTCGCGGATCGGCAGCAACAACTACCCGGAGGCCTGCGAGCGCATCATCATCGTTGGTCCGCCGCCCGGGTTCGAGACCGCGTGGGGCATTTTGAAAAAGTTCGTGGACCCCAAAACCGCGGAGAAAGTCGTGCTGAAGAAGAAAGTCGAGGACATTCACGAGTATGTAGACCCTAGCCAGCTGCCGCAGTGGCTCGGGGGCAGCATACCCGACGAGATCGTCTTCGACGACAATCACCCACATCACATCTGGAACGACCCGGAATTTTTACAAAAGGTAGAGCTACAAGTCTTTTCTTCGATTTCCTATTGCGCGTTCCGGATCGTCAGGTTTATTTTCGCCAGAGAAGTAATTGTCCTGCAGAATAATAAATCTTCTGCACCTGCTTCGTCTACTGCACCATAGAATAACAACTAACTTCTCGCAATGAAGTGACATCAACATCACACCCAAATTTCAACAAATCACAGGTCGACGAGGTTGGGGTTCGTGCGATGTGGGAGAGTTTGCACTGCGAAATGTATAGCCAGAATGGCACGGAGCTTCCCCCCGAGCGGCGGCGCAAGAACAGCTCGCGGTTTCGTGGCTTTGTCGGCGCGGCAGCGAAGCAGACCACAAACGCGGTCCTGATTGCGCCCGCGAAAAAGACCGTGAAGATCGCGCGGGCCGGGTACACGCACACCAAGCGCGGCAGCAAGAAGCTGAAGAACCTGACGATGACTACGCTGTCGAAGGCCAGCAGCAGGCAGTCCTCCAAGAGCAAAAAAAGTGATCCGGGAGGTGCAGCTGGTTCGGCCAACAACAACAACTCGGCGACGATGGACCGCCACAATCTGCTGGAGGCGTCGGACAACGGGCGCTTGGAGGAAGGCGAAGTCGTCGTTGCGGACGCCGCGAGGGAAGGCGGAGGTACTGATATAATTGGTAGCCGTGGTTATGCCCGTGGTGGTACAACGTCTTCTAGGGACGAGGACGCAAGGCTGCGCGAAGATATAGACGGCGATGATCCTATCGGGTCCGGCGACGAAAGCGACGATAGCTTCGCAACGGACGCGGAGAACATTCTGGTGGACAGCGAGAACGAGCCGGAAGACTCCGGGGACAACGAGGACGAGGACGGGAAGCCGGGGCGAGCGGTGAGTACGGCGACCGTGAGCACCAGCGGCCGGGTGGTGAGCACAGCCTGCGACTCCACGCAGCTCGCCAGCGACGACAGCAGTCCGGAAAGCATTCTCCGGACCTCCAATTATCGTCAGGGCGCTAATAATTCGTCCCCCAAGACGAGTGACGCTGCGGAAGTCGCCCTGGTCTCCATCGAAGAAACCCAAGTGGTCATAAGCGAGCCGTCTTCATCAAACACTGGTTTTTTAGGAGCGTTTTTTTCATGTCATTGTGCGCGCGTCCAAGTTGTGAGGTAAGTTAGTAGTATTAACGGCAGGTCGTGGACTAGTCTCTACTGCTTCTACTACCTGTCGGCAGTATTACTTTTCTCAGGAATACAACTAGGACATAGAATTTTCGATATATCATGTTCATCACCATGTACACCGACGTATCACAGCATCCATTTTCCACATTTTCGTCGATCACGCCCACAGATGGCCACGGCTATCCATGGTCCTTGTTGTTTGCTCATTCACGCAGATAATTTGGCACCTACACGACCATCTCGCAAGGAAGTCCTGCATAGAAACTTTTTAAAGTTCTGCCTCCAGTAGTTCCTCGCTCAGTTGACCGAGCCCGCTGAGGGCGGCTTCGCATCGAGACCGTGATAGGTGGTAGCCTCGTAGTTTGTACGGGAAAAAGGTAAAGGTTTTTTTTTGCGGATGAGCAACAAAGCGCAACAAGCGAAACAGTACACAGCGAGTATAGATTAAGTCGATTGCAGGGCAGCACCAACTCAATGTGAAAAGCTTTGCTGTGAAAGGCGTTTTTCCTTGAAAAATGCGAGCACGTTCGAATGGAATTCTTCTTCCTTCCGTCCGTGCGTAGCCAAGTAAGTTGATGTTCCACAATCGTTTCTCTTCGTCCGCAAGTGACCAACACCGATTAACATTGATAACGGCACACACACAAGAGTGGGAGCACGACAATATACCGAAGCAAGAGCGTACTTCTACTTTGGTTGAGAACCGATTAAGAGGAGAAAAAGGTAGAGTGGCGGCAAAAATGCATTTACAGTTCAGTGATTCTGATTCGAGTAGCGTTCGTTAAACATGATGAAGGCCGTTGACCGTTTACCTTCTGCTGCTGTGCCGAAGTGGACCAACAGCTCGTGCTGAGGGTCCTGGCTGAAGACCGCAATTGTCGTGTCGATCATCCTCGGGGCGGCCGCCAGTCAAGAAACAAGGAGGCCACACCGCAAGAAAGAGGTCTTGGATCATCACTGCCTTTTGGAGACTACACGATCATAAACGGCTAGAGTTTCTTCCGCTTGTTCATCCCGGCCGCGGCACGATGATCAGCTCCATTATTTTGCTGAACCAGAAGGGCGACATACTGGTATTGCGGTCCTACAAAGATGACGTTTTGCGAAGCGAAATAGAAAAGTTCGCGGAGGTGGTAGTGTCCGCAAAGGAGCTCCAAGAACGCCCGATTCATCAATTGGACAACTGCTACTTCCTGCACGTGACCTCGGGCGAGGTGACGCTCGTGGCGGCGACAAAGAATGACGTGAACTGCGTGCTGGTGTTCAAGCTGTTGTACAAGCTGACCGAGCTTTTTAAGTCCTACTTTCAGGGCACCGCAGGCTCTTCGCTCATGTCCTCGGCCTTTCACTCCGCGCCCGCGAGCGGGGCGCTTACCGAGGCAGTCATCCACAAAAACTTCGTTCTCATCTACGAGCTGCTGGACGAGGTGCTCGATTTCGGATATCCTCAAGTTCTGGAGGCGGAGGTGCTGAAGAAGTACATCACGCAGGGCAATTCAGCCGCCCTGGTTCAAGACGAAGAGCAGCTGAAAAAAATTACCATTCAGGCCACCGGAAATTGCTCCTGGCGGGGCGAAGGAATCAAATATAGGTGTGGAGGGTCGCATTTTTTAATGTTATTTTACAAGGCTGGCCCGGGCGGAGCCCGGGCGCTCTTGTGGATAGGTCCCGGACCACCCAGTACCAGACCACCCGGAACGGGACCACCCGGAACCGGACCACCCGGAACCTTGATCCCCATCCAACGCCTCGGCCCGGGTCGCTGGATAAGCCCTCTTCGACCTGCTGGCCAACCTCGGGCCGGCCCCTATCCCACTCCCCGGCCCAGGGCGCTAGATCCGCCGATGGCAGGTGGACAGCCGCAACCACCAAACAACGCCTCAGCCCGGGCCACTGGATCCTCCAAGGCCTGCTGGCCAGCCTCGACCGACCCCCATCCAACGCCCCGGCCCGGGGCGCTGGATCCGTTGGTCGCAGGTGGGCGCCCCCAGTCGCTCTCCACCCAATGCCTCGGTCTTGAGTCGCGGCACCAAGGTCCCACCCGCCTCAAGCAGCGGGGCGTGCTTGGTGCCGTGAGTCGCGGCACCACGGGCCCATCCGTCTCTTGCCCCCTCCCGGGAGCGGGGCTTGGCTTGGTGCCTCGAGTCGCGGCACCAAGGTCCCATCGATCCACCCCGCGTCCCGGGGGCGTTCTTGGGGCCGTGACTCGCGGCACCACGGTCCCACCCGACCCTCGCACCCTCCCGGCAACCAGCGGAGCTTGGCTTGGTGCCTCGAGTCGCGGCACCAAGGTCCCACCCGCCTCAAGCAGCGGGGCGTGCTTGGTGCCGTGAGTCGCGGCACCACGGTCCCATCCGTCTCTCGCCCCCTCCCGGGAGCGGGGCTTGGCTTGGTGCCTCGAGTCGCGGCACCAAGGTCCCATCGATCAACCCCTCGCCCCCGGGGCGCGCTTGGTGCCGTGACTCGTGGCACCACGGTCCCACCCGTCCCTCGCACCCTCCCGGCAGCCAGCGGGGCTTGGCTTGGTGCCTCGAGTCGCGGCGCCAAGGTCCCGCCCGCCCCAAGGAAGCAGTGGGGCATGCTTGGTGCCGTGACTCGCGGCACCAGCCACGGTCCCATTCGCCTCTCGGTCGCCCCCTCCGCCCCGGCAGCGGGACTTAGCTTGGTGCCTCGAGTCGCGGCACCAAGGTCCCGCCCGCCCCAAGCAGCGGGGCGGGCTTTGTGCCGTGACTCGCGGCACCACGGTGCCATTCGCCTCTCGCCCCCTCCGTCCCGGCAGCGGGACTTAGCTTGGTGCCTCGAGTCGCGGCACCAAGGTCCCATCGATCCACCCCTCGTCCCGGGGGCGTGCTTGGTGCCGTGACTTGCGGCACCACGGTCCCACCCGTCCCTCGCACCCTCCCGGCAGCCAGCGGGACCTGGCTTGGTGCCTCGAGCCGCGGCACCAAGGTCCCGCCCGCCCCGAGGAAGCAGAGGGGCGTGCTTGCTGCCGTGAGTCGCGGCACCACGGTCCCATTCGTCTCTCGCCCCCTCCGTCCCGGCAGCGGGGCTTGGCTTGGTGCCTCGAGTCACGGCACCAAGGTCCCATCGATCCACCCCTCGTCCCCGGGGCGTGCTTGGTGCCGTGACTCGCGGCACCACGGTCCCACCCGTCGCCGTCCCTCGCACCCTCCCGGCAGCCACCGGGGCTTGGCTTGGTTGGTGCCTCGAGTCGCGGCACCAAGGTCCCACTCGCCTCAAGCAGCGGGGCGTGCTTGGTGCCGTGAGTCGCGGGACCAAGGTCCCATCCATCCACCCCCCGTCCCCGGGGCGTGCTTGGTGCCGTGACTCGCGGAACCACGGTCCCACCCGCCCCTCGCACCCTCCCGGCAGCCAGCGGGGCTTGGCTTGGTGCCTCGAGTCGCGGCACCAAGGTCCCACCCGCCTCAAGCCGCGGGGCGTGCTTGGTGCCGTGAGTCGCGGCACCACGGTCCCATCCGTCTTTCGCCCCCTACCGGCAGCAGGGCTTGGCCTGGTGCCTCGAGTCGCGGCACCAAGGTCCCATCGATCCACCCCTCACCCCCGGGGCGTGCTTGGTGCCGTGACTCGCGGCGTCACGGTCCCACCCGTCCCTCGCACCCTCCCGGCAGCCCGCGGGGCTTGGCTTGGTGCCTCGAGTCGCGGCACCAAGGTCTCGCCCGCCCCAAGGAAGCAGCGGGGCATGCTTGGTGCCGTGACTCGCGGCACCACGGTCCCATTCGCCTCTCGCCCCCTCCGTCCCGGCAGCGGGACTTGGATAGGTGCCTCGAGTCGCAGCACAAAGGTCCCATCGATCCACCCCACACCCCCAAAACAAGCTTGGTGCCGTGACTCGCGGCACCACGGTCCCATCCGTCTCTCGCCCCCTCCCGGCAGCAGGGCTTGGCCTGGTGCCTCGAGTCGCGGCACCAAGGTCCCATTGATCCACCCCTCGCCCCCGGGGCGTGCTTGGCGCCGTGACTCTCGGCACCACGGTCCCACCCGTCCCTCGCACCCTCCCGGCAGCCAGCGGGGCTTGGCTTGGTGCCTCGAGTCGCGGCACCAAGGTCCCGCCCGCCCCAAGGAAGCAGCGTCGCCGGATGTTGTGCGACCTCGCCGGAGGTTGTCCATCAAACCCACGGCGAGGGGTACCGCAGACCACCTCCCGGGGTACCAGGGACCCACCCCCGGGGGTACCACCGCAAATCCCATTTCCGCATTGGTATCCATGGGTCAAAGGTGGGTTAGGTGGTGGGTCGTTGGTGGGTCGCTGGTGGGTCGTTGGTGGGTCGGTGGTGGGTCTGGTGGGTTCCTCATGGGTTGCTCGTGGGTCAAACATGGGTAGTCTAAATTAATATATTATGTAATTGTTATGGTTTCTTATTCTTTCTGCTCCTGCATGAGCATGAACAACTATTACTGCACTGTGTGTGTGTGTCTGACGAAATTGTGATATTTTTGCTCCTGTAGTGTGTGATGGAGAGATAAAACGTGTAGTTTCAACATCATCTTCAACGTAACTCGTGACATGGCCGTATGTGGAAAAAGATGAAGATCTCAGAAGTAGTGTTACGATGTACATAAGGAAGTGAAAAATCCAAATCTTGTTCCAGGAAAAACGAAGTCTATATTGACGTGATCGAGTCCGTGAATGTCTTGCTAAGCAATTCCGGTACACTTCTCCGGGCCGATGTTTCCGGACAGATCATGGTGAAAGCCCTGCTCAGCGGAATGCCCGAATGTACTTATTACCTTTTGCTTGTTCGTCCCATAGTAAGTATCAAGCTGTTGTGGTTCTCCTTCTCAGCACTTCTAGATTGGAAGCATGAGATGACGGATGAAGGCAATACATTATACTCGTCAACAAGGTAAGTTTGGGATGAACGACAAGTTGGTACTCGGCGGGCAGGCAGCGGCCGGCGGGGCAAGTGGCGGCGTCAAGACGAGTCAACAAGGTCAGATCGTGATGGACGACTGTCGCTTCCATCAGTGTGTGCGGCTGAGCAAGTATGACACCGAGAAAACCATCACCTTTATTCCGCCCGACGGCACGTTTGAATTGATGCAGTACCGGATCACGGAAAACATCCAGTGCCCCTTCAAGCTCCTTCCGCTCGTACAAGAGCGGGGGCGGAATAGGCTCGAGGTTTCGCTGAAGGTGAAGTCGCTGTTCGACGCAAACTGTTACGCCACAAACGTGGTGCTTACCATCCCGGTACCCAAGTCCACCACCCGGGTTATGGTACACTCCGCCACCAACGGCAAAGCCAAGCACGAACAGAGCGACCTAGTCTGGCGGATACGCCGGTTTTATCATGAGGAAAAATTATTATCCCCCTACTTAGTACCCGCCATGGTCAAAAAGGCACTTAAGTAGTAAGTGCAGGTGAGGAATCTACCGCCATGGTGCCGAACAGCTAGAACTCTACTAGTTCTTACGCAGTAGTTTTACTTAAGTTAGTAGCATCCGCTCAAGATGATGCAATCCTGGAAGACAACATGATTTCGTTTGTGTGCACAAATCTACTGCATCAGAACAAGAGTTTCCAGTTTCAATATGTACATGGGAAGAGGGGGATTTTTTATTTTTCATAGGCTTCCCGGCAACACCGAAAACACGCTGTCTGCCGAAGTGGAACTTAGCAGCGACGATCTAACGACGGGGTTGCCCCTGAGTGCGGCACCCGCAGGCGGTCCCGGAACTGCTCAGGTTGGAGCGAGCACCGCGACGAAGTGGGTGCGACCCCCGATCAGCATGGACTTTCAGGTGCCCATGTTCACAGCGACAGGGTTGCGGGTAAGATTTCTGCGCGTGCAGGAAAAAAGCAACTACCGCCCTGTCAAGTGGATTCGCTACATCACCAAGGCAGGCTCCTATCAGCATCGAATTTAGGCACAAAGACCGGGGGGCGTCAGGAGTGCTGTTCTGCTTCTTTTGCCCGTGCGTAGTAACGTGATCGAAAACGCAAACGCATGCAGGAGAAGCAAGTGGCCGAAATACCCGACCTCCGCGGTACCATCTCTCATATGCAGTTCGGGATGATACCTGTGTGTTCGACATGCCGGTGACTTTACCTCTCAGTCTCTGCACTTTTGCTTTTTGATACTCTCTATGCCCTGATGATCATGATCGACTTCTATGTCTCTGTTCATTGTTTCATTTGTAGCACGTCCACGTCGTCGATCTTCCCGATGCTAAGTTACGTTACTTTAATAACGTCAGAAGTGCTAGCAATTGCAATATAATACTGACCTTTCATGTTCTCCACGACGACAACGCGGATGCATCCTTGTCCGCTGAAAGATGTAGATTTATTTGCCATCGTTCGTACGTGGGCGAACAATTCTTGGCACCCGAATTGAAAAAAAATGAAGGCAACGTCTGCTCTTTGGTTCCCGTACGCGTCGGGGTTGCTCTTCGCCGTGGGGATGCTTGTGGCCTGGAGTGGGTTGTACCACTACAAGGGGACGTGGAACATGGAACGTACGAGCGCGTTCCAGTGGGAGGTGGAGCGTGTAGAGAGGACAACCACGGAAACTACAAGGCGCACGCACTTTGCGCTTCGCAAGGTGTCGCTGAACCCACGGGAGGCTTACGACAACTTCGAAGAGCACGTCGACGACGAGGCAGCGCACTTCCAGGCCGGCGTGCGACCCCCCACACTGCTGTTCGTGCCGGGGAACCAGGGCAGCTGGAAGCAGATGCTGAACCTGCACGAGTTCTACTTGAAAGGCTCCTTCACCGGAGCGGTGCACTTTTTTTCGCTGGACTTCGCGGAGCAACCCACTGCGTTCAGCGCACACATCTTACGCAACCAAGCGGAGTTCCTTCGTGCGTCCGTCGTGAAGCTGACGGATCGCCGGACCCGTTGGGGGGAGGAGCACGAGCAGCATCTTCGGGGAGAGCGTGGCGAGAAGGTGAAACAAGCAACAAGGTCGAGGCGCAATCACTCGCTGGTGCTCGTGGCGCACTCCATGGGATACCTGGTAGCGAAACACGCACTGTACCTATACCCGGCGCTTCGCAAGCGTGTAGACTACGTTTTCTGCATCAGTTGCGTGCAGCGATTCCACCCCTTTCTGTTTCTGGACGCGAAACTCGCGCGCTTGGCGGAGGAGGAGGTTGTGCCCGACGAAGCCGTGAAGGTACTGGGCGTCAGTTCCGGGGCCCGAGACGAGTTGCTGTCACCCGAGTTCACGTGCCGTGCCGACGGTTCCATTATTCCGACAATAACTATGAAGAACGTTTACAACGACCAGACGCACGTTTCTCTGCTCTTCTCGCGACCGGTGTTGCATCGTTTGGGTTCGGTAAGCCTGCCGCAGCTGCATCGTCCGCGCAGGAAGTCCGCCAGTAAAAAAGGTAGTAGCACTACTTCTACTTCCTCCACCGAGCAGCAGGACGAAGATGCACAGTCCTCTTCGAAGGCAGGGGACGTCTCCATTAGCACCGATGATGTGGACCAGGGATACGCAGATGCGCTGGACAGCCTACGGTCCCCGTTTTTCCGGCTCAACTCGCTCTTCGCGGAAGTGGGGAACGCGCGCGGCGGACTTCGGAAAGAGTTGCTGGACACGCACCAGCTCTACGAGCTGGATGTGGCCCTGCCGGAAGCGAAAAGCCTCAGGGAGGGGCGCGCCGTCTTGCGGCTTGAAACCGACCTGGCGCGGTTGTTTCGCCCCGCACGGATGAAGCACCTTGCTGAAGAGACCACAGGGAAGAAAACATCAAGCTCCACCACTTCCAGGACCACCATCAGGGGCCGCGATACAGATAATTCAGCCGATGCTCGGCCGCCGCTTTACGAGTGGGAGGTTCCGCACTCCGAGGAGCCCTTTGTCCTGGTGCTGCAAAAGGACTTCAACTCCGGACCTGCAGGACGTTTCCGGCATTCCAAGCACGCTGGCGGCGAGCCGTTTGACCGGTTCGACGCGGAAGATGTCATTCAATGCCATGACGAAGTGAAAGTGTATGCGCGCTACTTTGAGGTGTCCGAAGCAACGAAGAAGAAGGGCCCGCAGTATCGGCCGCACAAGCGGAGCGATTTTTCCGAGGTCTGGTCGCAGATCATGCCGGTCGGTTCTGTGTCGCATCCCCAGAAGCTCTGCGTTTACCTGGTCCGCAATAGCGTCGTGGGACAGCAGCCGGACGGTACGAAGCCCACGGGAAAAGGCAAAGCGGGGGACAGTCCGCCACGCACAGGAAAGCGCATCGCGCGCACGACGCTGGAATTCGACCCGTCGCGTCTCGTCGCGATCGGTCCGGGAGACGCTTTCTTCGCGACACAGGAAACAAAAGCTCGGAATAACAGCAGAGGAAAGAAAAGAGCGGTCGAAACGAATGACGAGCAGCTATTTCATCTCTCGGACGATGGGCATGATGTGGGTCGTGAGGATCATGAAGATTTCGGCGGGAAAATCGACGAAGAAGTGGAGGATGGGAGAGGTGAAGTAAATATGAAGGGGTCCGCGAAGATCTCAGCCGCTGCATCCTCAGCCTCTAACCCTTCGAAATTTCAGATTCGTGGATTCGCGGCGCACCGAGAAACTTGGGGGTTGAATCGCCTCCGATCGCTAACTTTGTGGGACTGGGTATCTTCGTTGGTCGTGCCCCTGGAGGTGATTCCGGCGGACTCGACTTCGTTATTTACCTGGGTGGTGCTATCGAAGGATGAGTTAGACTACGAACTCTTTTCCTTCGATTTTTTCACGGCTGCCTCGGAACAACCGCAAGAATTGGACCACGCGACGAGTTCCGCTGCCTCTTCGGACTTTGGGGCGGGCCAGGGCCCTCTGGACGACGCCACCTCGGAGGGCCTCGGCCTCGCGTGGGACAGCTCCGGTGACTTGGCTTCGGTCGGGCGCCTCGGCTCGGCTGGTACCGCTGGTCTCACGAAAAGCAGTTGGCGAAATAACCTCGGTCTGTTGGACGCAGAAAGCCATCCGCGAGTATGGAGCCCGCGTTTCTCCCTCGCGGCACACTGCCGCGCCAGCCGCGGGGAGCCCGTCATTTTCTTCGCGTCGGCAGACCAGCAATCCTCGCCTCAAGGCGAATTCGATGAGGAGGAGCAGCGGATTGTGCAAGCCAAGGCCCAGGAAATTTTTCGGCGGAAGGGAGGAGATACCGCCGTGAATGCAGAAAAACTGGCAGCCACCTCCGGCAAAATTCACTTGAAGGATTTCTTTTCCCCGGCGGACGAGAAGGAACTGCAAGAAGCGCTCGATGAGCACCGTCGCAGAACACAGCGCAAAGGCTCCATCGGCGGGTTTTCAGGCGAGAGCACAGCAATGGGGCCAGAAAGAACCGTGCCTGATTCTCAGATGTGGCGGTTCCTTATCGTGCTGCGCCGCAGCTGTGCACAGTTTTTATCACCCTTCGGACTCGACTGGATTGCGTCTTCTGCTTTTGCGGCCGTTCTCCCTCGAAGTTGGAACGTGGAGGATGTTGCCATGCGAACGAGTTCTGCTGGTGCAGCACATGGACGAGGTAGCGGACAAGAAACCAGATCCATCAGCGCACCGGGGCTCGGTCGGAACTCCGTGTTTCTCGCTTTCATGCAGCTGGAGCGGGGTAAAGCAGTGTACGCAAAAGGGAACTTGCTGGCGTGTCTGAAGCAAATTTTCCGGGTGTACGTTCCGTACCTCCTGGGCTCGTTGGTCGCGGGGGCTCTCTTCCTGCTCGCACGGCTCCCGGGTTTCCAGCCGTTTACATACAATCTGCTCGCGCGACAGGGCAGCCGTTTTCTGCTCACAATTGTTCCAGAATTCGCAACCTTCACTTGGGCACTCTATCTCCTCTCCAGTCCGTTCATGGCCCCAGATCCGGAAGCACCCGGTGCCGCGATGCTCGCCAAGGCGCGGACTGCACTGGCTACGTTGCTTCGACAGGAAGTTGTGGCGCTCGACAACGAAAGTGCGCGGCACTCTTCTCACAAACGCAGCCCGCGTGGCTTCGCTTACGCCGACATCGAGAAGGATTACAATCTTCTACTACTGTACCTGCTGTCTATTCTGGGGCTTGGCATTGCTCTCTTTTTCTTCTTACTGTTCGAGGCCACAAACAATTGCTTAAGAGGACGACTAGGTTGCTGCGCTGGAAGGAGATATTGCAGCTGCTCCTCCCGACGTCCTAGCGCAGCGAAGTCGGAAACTCAAGCCGCCACCGCACCAGACGACGCGGGCACAGCAACCTCTCCTGGTACGTATCCTTCGCAAAGGTACCATTGTATGCGAGGACCTTACAGCACGACTGCAAGACTGAAGAGCAGCTCTCTCTGTGTCTGACGAATGAAATAAGTATTTAGAAGTACGTAACGAAGGAGCAGAATTATGCAACGTTGTACTTGGAAAAACTTGTAAATCCGATTGAAGCGACTGCAACAGAATTTCGTCCGGTAAGTACTGCCTGAGCTGTACGTTTGCAATGCATAGCACCCATGGGAGAAGGCTGGTATGGTCGTTGGAAGCTGCAGAGCGTAGGTCGGAGGCTGCGGCACGGCAGGTAGGACCTTCAGCACCACTGTCTTCGAAGAGTGCATCATCTGCAAGTCAAAAGCGGTGCGCGAGCTCCGTAGAGGATGAGGATGAGCCAGCGAAAATGGGAAAGGAGCAAGACGAACAAGGAACTATCCACTTGGAGAAGACGAACACCAACACGCCGCAAGCTTTATATGTTGACTCGCTGACAGCGGAAGTGGACTTGCAGCTTTTGCCCTTTCTGAGAAGCGACGTGGTGCCCATACTACTGGTTGGCGCCGTCGTCCTGGTTGGGTTGAACCCAGCCTGCTTCACCCTGCTCCTCTTTCTCCTGTGCCGCGATCCTCTGCTCTTTCTTCTGCTCTTGGCACGCATACCGGAGCTTGCGACTACAGTGTGGGCCCTTCTTGCGGAAGACCGGCAACTGACCAAGGGCAGCGACCATGGCGTGGCCGCTGCAGCTCTGAATGCGGCCTCCTGGTTTGGGCGAGGTCCAGAAGCCGTGCCCCCAGACTACAACCCAGCATGGAGAAGTAGTGCGTTCCTCTTTGGATCACCCAGCAGCGCGTTAGCGTTTTGGACCGACGAGACCAGCATTGCTGTGACTAGACTACTCTTTCCGACCATGTATGCGCTGCTTCGGCGGCTTTTCAACCAAAGCGCCGAGCGTCGCTACTGGCTGGCTTTGGCCCAAGCCGCGCACGTGCGCAATCCACTGGTTCGGGCAGACGTGATTCTCTACATTCTAGCCTACGTGGCCCCGTCGTACGCGTATCCTGTGTAAAAGCGTACCGACACTAATCTCTGTCATGTGAATCCATGCAAATCTTCTTCTCCATGCAGCCCAGGATGTGTGTCATGGTTAGCCCCACCCCAACATGAGGGCGAGTGCTTTCGCTTTCCGATGTTGTCTCTACTTCGTTAGGGATTTGCCATTCTGAAAGTGAAACCAGGATAGAGGGACGGCAGTCCCGATGGTTTTTCTTGTGCGATACCAATTCGCCCTCCGCGGTGCCTTGTTGTACGGAGGACGCGTTGCAGATCGGGGACGACGCAAATGCCAGCATGCTGGCGGGGGGGGAGCGAGCAAAAAGACAAAAGGAAGCTCGGCTCGTATCAGGGGGAAAACAGGCTCAAATCGGGAGATGAAGGATGTCCTCGCATAAAGAAGAATGCCCATAATCCTGACTATTGGAGGATGGCTAGTACGCTTTTACACAGGATGACGCACGGCACCGACTGTACCGCCTGGAAGACATTTTGCAGCTTGCTTTTGCTGCTCTTGTTCTCGCTGTCGGCTACCTCCTCAGCAACGCGGGGCGGACAGTGCGTTCCCACGCGAGGCCGCACGCTTTTCGACAGCATTCTTGAGAGCACTTCGTACTTTTTTCTTTCCAGGCATTGCGGAGCCACACTGCCGTGTGGCATCCCTGGCAGAGTGAACTTGCTTGTTTCGGAAGCATCAAGTATGTATGGCTTTCGCGAGTATTGTAGGTAGTATATATAACTACACAAAGAAAGATAGATACTCATACTGCATCTGCATCTATTTCACGCGAAAGGGTGCCAGCTATTGCATCAACCGGGGAAGTTATGTTGAAACCGTCTTCCGGTCCTCCCTCACACAATGTCCTTGTCGGTCTACCGTGTTCATTTGACCGAGTGCATACATAAGTTTAACTTTAACTATACAAGATCCAGGTCGCCTCCCTGATGGGCGACCTTCTTGGTGCCCGGTCCGAGAATCCGCAGGGCGATGAAATGATGACAACTACTTTTAGTACTGAACGAGCACAAGAAAGAGAATGCCTTCGAACTTCATGCAAACTGCGGTGCATACCATGATCGGGAAGCTTTGAAAATATTGGCCCACGGCAAAATGGCCGTGGACCTCCTAGACGAGGGGGCACCCTGTAATTCTCACAGGACGCACAGCACGCATTTTCAGGACTGGTCGCTCGAGCTCACACCTCTTTTCTCGGATTTTTTTGTACTGCGAAATCCATCTTGCGCGGTTTCGTCAGTCGCGAGTCCGCGATCGGTCCACCGCTTTATATACGCCGTTCTCGGTTGTAGAAATGGAAATCGCGATCATTCTTTGAGAACAAGCGACTACTCGGTTCTTTGTTTTGGTATTCGTTGGTGCTTCTCAAAATGCATGAGCAGCCCAAGAATTAGAATTGGAGTGACCATGAGCATTAGATTCTGAGCACCTGCCTCGGCTCCTGGTTTTTTTTTTGAGTCGGCACTACTACAGGGTGTCGGTTTTTGTTTTTTCTCCGCGCGGGAGCATGAGGCGGCAGTCGAGATGACGAAATGTTTTTTCTCGTCCTCTCCCTATGCTGGGACAGGAAGTACCAATAGCGCTTATGTTATTGCATACTACAGAAGTGATTCCTGTGCTACTATTCAGCAAAAATCAATGGTACGCACTTGCAGAAACGTCTCGTGTGACGACTGATGTGGCATAGCTGCAGGTATGAAGAAACAACTCTCGCCATAAATGGTTTGCTACTCGCGTACGGTCGGTTCGTAGGGTTTGTGCTTTCCCTTGATTTCGTTCTTTGCTAAGGTTAGGCATCGGCGTCGTGTTAAAGTTAGGCATCGGCTTCGTTCTTTGCTAAGGTTAGGCATCATATTTTCTCCTGTGTCTGCTCTCCGTTCTTGAAATTCTGGAAGCAGGATGAGAGTCGACAAGTAACAAGTAGCCAGGCAACACTATGGCAGAGACGAGCACCAAGTCAGATCAGGCGGGCAGTGCGTCTGCTCAGCACAAGGTTGCTGCTTCGCCGGACGGACAACCAGCCTCCGTACCGCTGCCGACCCTGTTTATCAACTGCAAACATGTACTAGGAGTAGGCTGGCCCTGGAGACAGAGCTATAGCGCTGCTTCACGAGTGACACAATGACTGCAGTACACAGGCAGGTAAGTGAACGCTGGTCCCAGCCCCCATACTAGGAGGTCGCGTTTTTCTGTTATTTGCATATACAAAGAAGCCGCACTATTCAGTCCGCAAGATGGATTCACAGCAAACGGCAGCGACATGAGAAGTCTGGCGATGTTCTAGTCCCACACATATTTGCAGAGCATACTGCTGGAGTTGCAACTGGGTTCAGGCATCATGAGCAATAATTTCCCCTCTCCGTAGTCGGAAGCTGAATTTCAGGCGCTGATTTGTGGCCGCGAATGCTTATGTCTTACATGCAATGGAAGCATGACATCTAAGGACAAGAATAGAATGAAGCTCCAGGCAACCTGTAGCATGTAGTGAGGACCCGAACGTTCTATCTTGGCGTCTTTTTCGATACTGACCCTTACCTTAAAAAACGATCGGCAGTTCTTTCGAAGCGGCCGGGAGTGCAGCTTCAACCTGGCCGGGGCTTTGCTATCAAACGAGCCGGCGTGAATTCTATGGCTGGCCATCGGAAAAGGCGACGTAGTGGAAGCGGGAAAAGCTGCGTGCTTGTAAGGCGCCCGCCGCCTTGGGTTCCGCCGATAAGGATCGCCCAGAGTGGGGCGCCAGAACACTGCGAACACAACAAAAACCGCGAATGCGAATGGCATGGGGGCGACTTTTCACACTTTTGGAGGCCGCAAATGCCGCGCCGTAAATGGGCAATCTCCAAGGCGGCGGGCAGAGCAGAAAATGCGTATTTTCAATCGAATGAAGAAAAACAAACAAAAAAACTACCAAAAGTTGAAAGCGTACCCGCATGCTATGGGCCCGATTCCCGGCCTCCAATGGGCCGGCCCTGGCGGGGGGCCAGGCGCGCCCGTGGCATGCGGGATACTTAGGTTTTGTTTTGTGAAGTGGGAGAGATGGGGTGCCAGCCGGACTTTTTATACGTGTCACCGCCAGAAAATGCGGGAGGCGCGAGGGCATGGCGCACAGCAAAAAGAGTTCCTGTGGAGCCCGCCAGCCACAAAGTGCCAACTAAGTGGAGTGCCTTCACAAAGAAACCGCACTGCCCCCGCCCCGCTGCGGCGGCTCTGATTCTAGCACTAAGTTTTAGCCTGCTACACTAAGCCTCACGTCTTGCGTGCTTTCGCTCGGCGAACAGCTAGACTGCTAAGTAAACAGCTAAGCAAAACTTGGTGAGGCCGACGATCCATCTCTTGGCGCAAGACAGATTTGTGTACACAATTCCGCCCCACGGATCTCCGCCCGCCGACGTACGGGGAGGGGAGACGTTTCCTGTTGATACCAGGAGGTGCCAGCTCAGTCTCGCAGGACCACGATGAACACGGGAGCAGCACCCACACCAGCGACAAAGCACGTTCCACGACTTTGCCTCCCGGTCCGGTTCCCACGGACACAGGCGATCTCGAAGTAGCTGTATGCAATGCAAATGTGTCCGCGTGCTCTGCACAGGTACATCTATATCAAGTTTGCGCCGTCCAATCGAGCCCAAATTTGGCAGCACGAGCTTGGGTCGTGTCCTCAAGATCCTTTGCCTACGCCATCTAGTAGCATCGCAAACGTTCATCTTTACACAACCTCTTTTCCCGACAGACACATTCGCATTTGATAGTAGAACTCGGACGACGATGCGCTGATTTACATACCGTGTGTAACGGGTCCCTCTACTCCCCCTGACTTGTCATCCTCGACTCTAGGAACAAGAAAACATGTTGCTTTTGCATCGAAGAAGCCCATCATGTTCTTGACATCAACATATTGCAGAATACACAAATAAGTACCCTGTCATCTTGACGGTCGTGTAGTTATTCTTGCCGTTCTTGCCGCGTAGTGCTACTTATAACACAGAGCCATTTTTCTGCGCAAGGAAGTCGAAGCTAGTCACCTCCACTTCGAAGCATTGACTCATCCCGCGATCGCGACTTGAGTATAAATATGGGTCAGAGAGGGATATCACAAGTGATATGGTGAAGGAAGTGTGATTAATGAGCCCGACATCAAGGCAGCCGTGCAGCCCCGGAATCCGGTATCCTGAGCAAAAATGTCCCCAGCCCCTACAAGCACGTGCATCGCAATAGATAAATACATGACAGTACTAACCGTGGCCACATAGCATATGCTTTTCTCTTCCTGTCGTAGTTGGTTCTCCTCCCGTTTCCTTTTGTGAAAATTAAACTTCTCTGTGCTTTAATTTGGTCTTTTCCAGTACATAAACACCCCATAGCTGTCATGCAAATCTGCATGCCCAGAACTGAGCATCTGGCTTTTGTATGATGAGGTCGCCGAAAGTGCTTCTTCGCCCACCCCCCGGGGAGGGGATCCTTCGCCTGTGGCGCTGGGTACGGGTGTCCACTACATGATGATGACGCGGCTCCGCGTGACGGGCATTTTCTGATTGTGTTTGATACCTTGATGTCATGCGCGAATCAGGATGAGAAAGTGGATTTGTGATGCGTCATGGCGACCTAGGAAGGGCAATGCTGCGTCCCCAAAATTAGCATGAGCCAGTCCCAAAACTTGTGGATTTGTCTAGCGGATTTCCCATCTTGATTATGGTGTGGAGACTCTTTTACATAGGATACCCGGATTGCGACGTTTATCTGCCCGACAACCCGCGCACCATTCAGGAGGACGATATCCGACGGAAAAAAGCTGGCGCACCATGTAGAGTTCAAACGTAAAAAACTGAGTTAACAAAAAAATGGGTACTTATAACAGGGAATCAGGTTGAATGCATGGCGTCAATGTTGTACATGGAGGCAAGTTATGAATGTTGAACAATCAAGTTAAGTAATACATGAAGATGAAATCAAGTTTGTTGATGCGTGCGGTTGCATGGAGTCACGTTATGAACTGGAATTAAGACTTATTCTTATTGAAGAATCCATCAAGGAAGCCACTGCAGCTTCACGACTCTTATGTCATTTTGTTGCTTTGCTTCTTTGTGAATGTGATTTTCCCACCCTGTAGTTCATTCTGCCCCCGTTCTTTGGTGTACGGCGCCTCCGCTGTCTCACGTTCCCGCCGGAATGAGCTTTTCTTCTGGTGGACAGGGAGTACCTCATGAATTTTGCGTCCGATAGTCTCGGCGCTTTCGCGTCCGCTCGGAGCTTTCTTCCAGAGACCTCGGAAGAAGCCTCCGCCTTTGGACTTTTGCGTCCGAAATTTCACCTCCGGGAGGCCCGAATTCCTTCCTTCTTACGTGATTGCCATTAATACATCAAGAACAAGGAAATGAAATGCAACATCGCGGCAGCGCTTTCGGGCGGGTCCGCGCAGTTGTCTGAAAGCTCTCACCCGCGCAGACTGCTAGGCTCGGGGTTTTCTGGTCAATTCTCGCCCCCTGTGCCCGAACCTCGTCCACTGCCCATCGAGTTGGCGAAAGGACGAAAGACACGGTGCGAGACCCGCAGTGCCCTGCAAGCAGGAACTACTTGCGACGCTATAAATATTACTGCCGTGGGTAGTACAACAATGTATACGCTGCGAAGCAAAAACTGAGGGCGTGAAATGGGTCATTAAAGTTCTGAATCGTTCTGTATGGGGCGTCGCGCTCTGCTTGCTGGCATGCCTCTACTGACCAATCGTTGGCAGTTCCCGAGTGGCTGGCGTCGTATTTGCGACTGATCGAGGTAGCGTTCGACTGCGTACGAGCTTGCTAAAAGTGCTTCCTCGCCTGCCCCCCACCGGGGATCTCTAGCCTGTGGCGCCGCTGGGTGCTTGTGACCACTTTTTTATGATAAAAAATGCATGACGATGCTGAAAATGATGATGATCATGGGGCCCATATCTCGCACTCGGGTTTCGTTCAGTCTTCAAAAAGTATGGGGACGCATCGGGCCGAGAAGTCCGAGATCCTCCGCCTGTGGGAGGTCCGAAACTTTGCACTTTGCGTCCGGGAGGCCCGGGACTTTCTCTCCGGCCTGGGGGGCCCGGGAGCCTCTGGGAGGGGATGCTGGGACACAAAGGCCTGGGAATCCTGGTGCTTCCACACCTTCGAGTGAAAATGTGTATCAGCGCTTAGCCTTTCGCCTCTGCGCCGGGGCCGCACAGGTGACAGCTTCGCACAGGCGACAGCTTTAGTAAAAATCGATTCCAACAACTCCAAGCGTCAACTTGATTCCAGGAATTTGGGCCCCAAAAAATATGTTTGGGTACAGCGGGAATGTGACAAGTTTATTGCAATTTGAGTTCTATTAACACCATGAAATGTAGCGCTTTGCTTTTTCCCTTTGATGGACAAAAATGAGTACTTGAATAAGACGGACGACGTCCTGGATGATCCACAACTTTTGATCGGCGACCATCGGACTTTCCCGGAGGTACTGAATCTGAACGAAGCCACGAAGAGCAAGAGGATCGTGGAGGAATGGCCGCCCTTCGAGCAGGTCGATTCGTCCGTACCGCAACCTTCGAGTGCTGCTCCCCCGGAGCCCAACATCAAAACAAACACGAGTTCGACTGGCATTCGGCTGCACGACATGTTTCCCAACTTTGCGCCTTGTCACACGACCCATGGGCGCTACTCGTCTTTTTACGAGATGCTCCAGTGCGAAACCCAACGAACCGGCTGCGAATGGACCCTGTTTTCCTGTCACCCTTGGGCGCTGAGTTGCATCTGTACCACCGAGCTTTTGGACATGGTTGCGAAACAAGAAGAGTTCTTGAAGCGCGATTGCAAGCTTGTCGTGTTCTCTTGCGACTCGGAGGAGACCCAATGGCAGTGGGCCGCGGACATTCTCGCGCTCTTCCGGCACAACCAGCTATCAACATGAAAGTTCCTGCCTCACCACCCAAAATGTTCCGGAACAGAGTTCCTTCGGTTGCATTGTGATTCATTGGTTGCGGACACAATCGAAAAGCTAGAATGGTATTCCCAGCGCAAGGCTCGTGGGCTGGGTTGATTTGTCCAGCCTTTTGATGGCATTGGATGCAGTCGTAGCCCGATAGGTGGACAAGCCGACTACTTTCGACTTATATACTATCTTCCTGCACGGCCGATGGCCTGCACACACGAATGATCTTCACGCTGACGAAGTCAGACGCCTCGATGGCAGAAATGGAAAAAAAATTCGCTTTCAGTAATATTGGGGGAGAGGGTTCTTTCGTAGGATGCCGCTATCTCTCCAGCTCCGCGATCCCGCTTGAGCAGATGCCCATCGACACACAGAAACTGGTCCATGACGAGAAGAAGCAAGGAGACGCGGCCGCACACCGCAAGGGGAGAGCTCATCTCCTGACTCCAATTCCGCAAAGCTCGCAGAAAGTCAGAACTGGGCTGCGCTCCAGCGCCATTATCCCAGAGAAAAAAGCTGGCAGGGCATATTTGTAATGCAAAAATACATACACGCAAAAAGAAAAACTTGTCATGGGTGGCCCCATAGCATGCTGCTTCGGATACGCAATGCAGATTTTTTTATGTATTTATTTTTGCATTACAAATATGCCCTGCCAGCTTTTTTCTGTGTGATAGCCATGATGGGCTCTGGCGCAGCACATCTCGAACTCGGATCAAGCCATAGCTACGACCAACAGAAGCCTGCGAGGCCGCCAAGTGGCAACAGTGTTCCGTTGTACAACCGGATCACGTTGGATCACGAGGATACCATCGAACCGACAGTTTTGGAAGAAGAATACACCATGTTTATGGAGATACAAACTGGTGTGAGCAATTCTTTTCCTAGAAGTCTGCATCTCCTGGGGAATGTAGCACTTTTAACAACGTCTGACCCTGCAGTTGGCACACTTTTTTTTTTGCGTTTCGGTTTTCGAAAGAAATTGTTTGCTCCTTATAGGCAGGATCTTCTAGGGTAAGAATTCACACAACTTGTATCGACTTATAGAGTTGGTGGGGGCCAACGGCAAGAAGCGTCCCAAAAACTACACCGAGAACGTCAACAACAAGGGAGTCGAAGGCATGAAGATCGAGAAAAGCAGGGGCAATGCCACCACACAGGCACACCGCCCAACCAAAAAAGAAGAAGAAGAAGCGATGCTCGTGAAAGTTGACAAAAAGTCGATCTTGGAAGATCTCCAGAAAATGCAGGAGGACCACCACCACGGAGGTCTGGGAATTATGAATACCATGCAAAAAATTTTCACCTTTGGAGGCGCTCTATCCTCCAACCAGGAAAGCCTCCCAGCACCCTCCTCTACCCCCACAAAAGGCCAGACGGCTACCGGGTCCACTACGTCTGCAACAGCTGTTGATGCGTCGGCGACCATGACCAATGCTAGTGGTAGTGAGCTGGGCTTCGGAATCGACGCCGCCGGACCGATACCGATTTTGAGCAACCAATCAGGCGGTGTTGTGGTCGGTACTACGTCGGAAATTTGATTGCACAATATGGCAAATGAGTCTGAGTGGTCTCCAACTCTCAAACATGCTGCACCAGTTTGATTTTACCCAAGCCCTGAATTTTGCAAACCAAGCACGGCCATGTATATCTATAATATAAGATAAAAAATAACAAGGCTCGTTTAACGACCTGCGCAGATTGGATTTTTCGCCAACGCACCGGCGTCAGCATCAGATGTCCGGCCCAGGCAATGAAGATTCCATTCGCGAGGAGCAAGGTGTAGTTCTCGACGTAAAAAAGCAAGCGGGTACCACCTCGAAAGTCGATGGCTCTGCCGAAGCTACGACCGGCGCCGGTGCAGTCGCCGAGTTACCGGTGGACGGGATCCCGCGCACCGGTACTCAAAGCTCTTGTGAAGGGGACTATAAAGATGAAAAGTGCACCTCCGCTCCAGAATGTGGAAAGGTTTGGATTGCAATATTTTCTGCCTCTCATGGGAATACTTGTCACGCGGTATTTATATTTTTGCAAAACGTGGGTGAGGACCAAGAGTAGCATTCACCTGCTGTAAAGCACAACGCCGCAGTGCTACAGTCGAACGATGCTTCTCAACATTAGAACATGCCGAGATCTTGAAGCGGAATATGTCGCATTTGTTCCTTCCTAAAAGACGAAAATAAAACTTTTTGTCGTTAGAGATGTTTCTGATCTAACAGTAAGAGAAAAAATTTACGCAAGACAAGATTGCGCTCCTCTTTGCGGTCGGATTAGCAAGACGAAGCGTGTTCATATGTAGTGAGGTCACCGAACGGTTCTAACCGGAGAGTTTTTTTGCCATGTCCCGTGAAAAACGGCCGGCAGTTTCCAAGCGGGCGGAAGCGTTTTTGGACATAAAAAATTTGCAATTATCAAGCGGCCGGGGCTTTGCCGTCAAACAAGCCCGGTCGAAAACTATCGACTCGCACTTGATAAAACGACGCCGGGGAGCCGGCAAAAGGGGCGCCCTTCTGAGGCGCCCGCCGCCTTGGTTTCTGGCGATTTCGGGCGCCCAAAAAGGGGCGCGCAGAAAACGCGCCCAAAGTCAGAACAGCGAAACAGCATGGCACGGCCGCGATTTGGGAGCATTTTGGGCGGCCGCGAAAGCGGCCGCCTTTTCGCCGGTTTTAGAGCCTGGGAAGCTTTGCAAAAAGCGCCGGCGTGAAAAATAAAAACGCGAAAAATAAAAAGCGCGCCAGACGCGCAAAGCCAATCCGCATGCTATGGGCCCGGTTTTTCTTCGCTTTTTGGGCGCCCCCCGTGGCACCCAGATCGGCCCCATAGCATCAGGGCTGGCTTTCGGAAAGGAATTTTGGAAATGTGCCAAAATTTGCGACGTTTCCCAAGTGGCCGCCATACCGTGCGGCATAACGTTACTCACGGTGGTATGGCGACCCCATAAAAAGCAAAGCCGCGGCCAAGGCGGCGCTCGGCAAAAAAACACCCACGACCTCACTACCCCCGCCCCGGCGGCTATATTTGGTACTTTTATTTAAACTTGATTGCAATTCAAACGCTTTTGTTCGCTTTATTTCAAGTGGCAGGGCATTTCTCCCTTTGATAGAGACCAGCAGGTCTCGGATCAGGGAACGTCGGACATTGCAGAGGTTGGCAGTGCGGACGACGATTCCGAGGACGACTTGCGCAGTGCCTTTGACGCAAAGAATCGTCGTGCACCACGACCACAACTTCCGCTTTTAAAGCCGGACCTCCCAGGGAATACCTCCGGGCTCCGGGATGTGTTCCAGCAAGACGAGGATGTCTTGAGCGGAGTCGACATGCGACTGAAGAAAGTCAATTATGCTGCTAGCAGTGTTGCCGCCACGAACGAGCGAGGTTCCATCTTTTTTGACGAATGCAACGGAGTAGATGACACGGCCTCTGCACCCCCGGCTTTCCCCTTGTTTGATGACTGCGAAGTTAATGCTGCCGGCGCAGAGTGGGAGAAGCGGCGCGAAAAGCAAAACGCCGCGAAATTCTCGAACACGAAGAGGGGCGGGAGACGAAAGGACGTGGGTCCGACTGTGGACGAGAACGGGGTATCCCAGAGCGATAAAGAATCCTGGGCCCGGTTGAGCGTTCCTATCGTAGCGGACCCGGAGCGACACATCGCGAGGCAGCTGGGCATGCTCGATAACAACGACGTACTTATCCTATATATACTAGCAATGCCAGCTTCGCCTTTAATTAGGCATTAGAAGAAACGCAAACGACAATTTCTAGATAACAAAGCAAAAAGAAAAAAGCGCCGGCCCCAAAAGCGCCGGCGCGCCCAATCCGATCGTCGCGGCGCAGGCACGCCCAATGTGGTCGCCCCGGCTCCGGCGCGCCCACATTGGTCGTCCCGGCTCCGGCGTTCCCAGTCTGGTCAACCCGGCTCCGGCGCGCCCAATCTGGTCGTCCCGGCTCCGGCGCCCCCAATCTGGTCGCCCCCGGCTCTCGCGCGCGCGATCTATAATCGTCCCGGCTCCGGCGGGCCTAGATTGGTCGCCCCGGCTACAGTGCGCCCAGCCTTGTCGTCCCGGCTCCGCTGGTCGCCCCGACTCCGGCGCGTCCGACCTGGTCGGCCCGGCTGGCTCCGGCACGCCTAGAGGTCGCCCCGGTCCCGGCGATCCCGGTCCCGGCGAGGGACGTTGGTTTTCAAACTCGAAGTTGATTCTCGAGAGGCGGCCACACTGCTCTCTCCTAGTCGTGTGCCAGTTCGCGAAAAGATGTAAGCCCGCGTCTGTCTATCGAGGGCAAGAGGAAGCGGCAACGCCAATCGCCACCTATCTAAAGCAAAAAAAAAGCTCGAGCTTGATCGTCAAAGTCGAAGCTAACTCTCACACTCGAAGTTGATCGCCAAACACGAAATTGATTCTCAAACTCGAACGTGATTGTCGCACTCGAGTTTGATTCTCAAACTGTGTTTCTGACTGCCATACGAGCTTGAAATTAATTGTGCTTATGAGTGCCATATCTGTATCGTGACATGGATGATTTGTTGAGAGTTGTGGCCGCATTTCGAAAAATAAATCCACCATCAGGTAAAAAAGGCTTCTGAGTTCCCCCGTCCGTTACGGAATGCGACATACAAGAAGTCGACCCGAAATTATATTTGTATGTAGTGACGAGGTCACGAGCACGACCGCACGGCTTTAGCCTCGTAGTTTTTTCGACATGTCTTGCTAAGAACGGCCGGCAGTTTTCAGGGCTGGCGTAAAGCGTGCTTTTACTTTAGTAAAAATCAAGCGGCCCAGTCTGATTGGCTATGTGAGGGGACTCCATCGTTCACTGATCCAAAAAACGGCGATGGCGAGCCAGCAAAGGCGCGCCCTTCTGGGGCTCCCGCCGCTTTAGTTTCCGGCCGTTTGGGACGTCCGAAAAGGCGCCCAGAAAAAATGCGCGCGAAATCATCAGAACAGCGGAACCGCGCGGAGCGGCCTCGATTTCGGAGCATTTTAGGCCATCGCTGAAGCTGCCGCCCTTCCTTTCGTCGGTTTGTGATGCTGGGGAGCTTATTTGCAATAAAGAAAAAGCGCGCCAAACACAGGAAGCCAGTATGTATGGCAAAATATATTTGCGGCATTTTCTTACTGGCCGCCATCCCGCTCCGCCTAAGAAATCCTAATGAATGTACGTATGAGGGCACGGGGCATGTGCCTTGTGAATGAACCGTTGGCATCCACGAGGGCACGGGGCACCCGCGAGAAGCTAAATCGCTGCGGGCCCGCTGCTTTTCAGCCCGGGGCAAGAAAGCGCCAACCCTCACTACCAACGTCCGCCCTGGCGGTTGTATTTGGCCAAGTTCCCTCGGAGCGTGCATTGTTGATATTTCGCGCATGCTTCCAGGAACTTCGATAGAACTTCAGACAGCTACTCGCCTCTTTAAGAGGCGAGCACGCCATTGATATTTTGTGCATGTGCTAGCGGCTACGGTGTGGGTTTCCGTGGGGCGCTGCCTAACTCCTAACGCCCCGCGCGATTACTATGCGATAGGCGCGAGCGCGCCCACCCAAAGGCGCGATGCGGATGAGGGCCTACCTGAAGGCGCGCAGCCGGCTGTGCCACGAAGACCGACGGCGCGGGCCACGAGCCTGCCGCGTGTGGCTACGGCCGGCCGCAGTAGCGCGCCCGGAACCCATGCCGCTATGTATTGCGCTGCCTGGGTGAGAAGATTCGAGACACTCAAGCGCCGCCAGCACGTCGAGCCCCCCACCGCCATTTTGGATCGGGAAGGGTCGCGGGGGATCGTGGAAAGCGTCAAACTGTCGCCGCGTGGCGATGCATGTCGTAAGAAGCCGAGGCAGCGTACTCATTCATTGGGCGCGCTGCTGGGTTGTTGGGCCTGGGGGCTGGCATAGCAGGGCGCGCGAGCGGTTGAGGTGTCAGCCGGTGGCAGACGAGACTCCGGCCCCAGCCAGGACTGCGGTGCGGGGCGGGGGTAACAAGCTGCGCTGCCCAGTGGCCAAGCCAACGGCCGCAGCCATAGCCGCCACGCCATGGCGCAACGTGAGACACCAGCGCCCCAGCGAAACAGGGACCGGGGCACGCGGTGCCCAAGGGCCCGGGGCAGTACGCGAACGCCGCAACACTACGAGCCCCACACAGGGTCAGGCCCGTGCGAGTCGGCCGCATGGTCCAGGGCCTTGCCATTAGCACGGGGGATGTCCGGCATTCGTAATTGTATGGGGAAAATTATTGCGGCCCCGGCAAGTGATGATTGTCGCGTTCTTTGCAACCCAGGAGGGACACGGCGCTGCAGTGGCGTCCTACTGCACGCCTCTACCAAGTAGAGTACCTAGGTTTCCACACGTCGCCCATGGCCCTTGACCTTGCTAGAACATCGAAAATGGCGGGACGACTCCCAGTATTTTTCTTTTGATCTCCGGTGCGCGGGATGTACCTTATTGACCCGCATGGTATCGTGAAAATGATTATCAACCTCCCGATTATGACCGGACGTGATCTCCGAGAACCGCTCCGCGTGTTGGACGCCTCTCGTTTGGTGCACGCGTGTCCTTTCGTCGGTACGCCCGCTCGATGGCACAAGGGAGGCCGTGTCGTTCTGATGCCAGGCGTATCAGAGTGAAAAGCGCCTCCACCTCAGGACGTTGCTGCATTTGTATTGCAAATCTCCTTACGCTTACCAGTGCAAAGGCAAACATTGCATATCCTAGCAAGAACGCAAATTTTCGATACAGAACACAATGGAAAAAAATGTTTTGCAAATAAAAGGCTCAACAACGAGAAAAGCGGGACTTGTCATGTACGAGCTGCTTGACACAATTAGAATCTGAGGCAGACGCGGACTTCGCCCAAGCAGGCAAGATACAGTGAGTCTTCGCTCAAGCATGCGCAGGCAATAGTCGTCAAGTGGATGAGTATGGTTTGGCGTCCTGTCAATGAAAGTATGCAATACCGACAAAGAGCGGATGAGTATCGATTGAGGCGCGAATCATGAACAAAGCATGTAAGACAAAAAGTTGCATGAGCTTGGCGATGGCTTCCGTCCGCTTGGCTCCGCGATCTGGCGGCCTGACCATCTGCAGACAGGTTTCCAATAGGTTGCGTCCGTCCTTGCGGTCAGATTAACACCACAAGTGGATTTGGAAACAAACTTTGCAACAAGCATCTGAAACTTCTGAAGGTTGGGCACTTTTCAACTCGATGGGCCGTGAGTCCCGATATCGCTGCAGAGGACTTGAAGTTAAGGCATATTCGCGTCGCGCAGGTGTACGGGGATTCCAAGTATCACTCCTATCGAGAACCTCAGGAATTGCCGTACCTGATGTTCTACGCACTGCAAAAGTATCGCACTATTTTAAACCGCATGAAAGAAAAGGAAGGATGGAGATGGTTCTTTTTGTCTGGGCATATTCGACTAGGGATTTTTTGCGGTCCACTATCGATCCCAAGGTTGCAATTTTTGCAAGTGCGACACTTTTGCACAGGATGCGTTCTGTGACCAACCCACCGAGCAGACTTTGCCCGACTGGGTCCAGGGGTACTTCTCAAATCTTATTCGTTATTGGTGGCGATCGTAACAGTGAATTGTAATTGAATCGATTGATTATGATGGGTCAAATATTAAAGTAGGCTACAGAAGCTCCGCGTGCACGTGTCAGACTTGTTACTCAATTACACGCCATATGGTAGAAGGCGAAGGAGTAGGAGAGCGAAAACAGAGGAGCCGCATGAAGCTTATTGAAAAAATAAAAAATAAAGGATGGCAGCAGGAAAAACGTCACGCAGCCCGCCCGTGCTTTCTCGCTGAAGAAAGTGCCGCGGGTTTGGCCCTTGGCCGTTTGGCCAAGCGCCAAATGTTTGTTTGGCCGTGCGGCTTCGGCGTAGGCGCTCGGCCGCGCGGCCTCGTATTTGGCCTTTGGCCGCGCGGCCCCCTTCGGCAGGCTTTGGCTTTTCTTTGGCCGCACGGCCTCGGTCTTGGGGCTTCTTCGCGCGCGCGACCTGGGCCTTGGCGCTTCTTTTGCCGCACGGCCTCGGCTTACTTTGGACGCGGCCCCAGCCGGCTTTAGGCACGGCTTCGGCCTTGGGCGAGGCCTCGGCTTCTGGCCGGGCCTCGGTTTTGGGCGTTGCCTCTCCCTTCGGCGCGGCCTCGGCTTGGGGCGCGAAGCGGCTTAGGGTTTAAGGCCGGGCGTACAGTTTAGGCTTAGCAAAAGCACCAAGAAGCAACAGCAATAGCGAACAGCGAAAACAACTTGTTAGCATGAGCAAACGCCCACAAAAAAACAAAAATAGCGAATGTGTGTAAATAGCAGGCTTGTGCACTCGTATTTGATAGAGATTCGTTTGTGATTTGCATCGAAATAGAGAGTCGCGCGCCCATCCGGCATGTACTCACTCACACAGCTTTTCGGCGAACTTGGAGAGGAGACGTGAAATCGAGGCACAGCAGTTGCGGGATGCGGTTGCGGAGTTCGGTCCGGAAATCTTGGGCGATCGTAAAGATGAACATGAACAAAACGAGATGGACAAACCAGTGCCATTTACAGTCGCAGAACAAGACGGTGACGGACCAACGAAAAGCTTGACGGATTCGGCGTCGCAGCGTTTGACCCTGCCGGCGTTTCCATCGGACCTCGTGGTTGATGCTTCGGCGACGGGCAAGCGACAAATTTCCTCCGAATTGGCGAACACCGTTTCGTCGAGCAACACACACGAAGATGATGACGCGGAGTGCGTGGATTCACCGGGCGGAGAGGCGCATCGGCGTAAATCCGAAAAAACGAACAAGAAAAAAAGAGCGCAGAAAGTGGAGAAACCAAAGAGAAGACCCCAGAAAACGCTCGGGTATACGAGACACCTCGACTGGACTCAACTAATTGATATGTTCCTCGACGAGGCAAACGTACAGAAGGTGCAGCGGCTAGATCGCGAAGCAAATTGGCTGGCGCGTTCGGGCCACGGCAACTCCGCCTTCGCGCAATCCGAGCAAGCCCAGCGACGGCAAGGAAGTTTCGCAGGTGAACCTTCCAGAACCAGAGCGGCTAGCGAACGGCCACCACAAGGAGACGTCGGATCGGCCGGTCATAGAATCAAGGACAATCGGAAGCGGATCAACGATAAGTTCGGCGCTGTCATTGAGACCGAGCTGGAAGATGCTGACGCGAAGCAGCACGAAAAGCTGGAGCGCAATACTAGCAACGAAGATGGCACTAGCAACGAGCATAATATGTCCGACAAGAAGATTGTGCCCGAATCGAAGATGAACTATCCACTGCAGCAAGAGCAGGAGTAATCCACATGAAAGAAACGAAAAAAAAATCATTTACGTATCGATGTTGGTTTGACTTTAAGTACTATGAATGAGTGACGAACAGTACTTGGTTACAGACTTCAGCACGACAGAGAAGTTCCGCAGAATTCAGAACGACAATTATTTAAAGAATGTGCGTTTAAATGAAAAATCCACAGCACCAAAAAGTACTAGCAACGTCTTCGTAGCTACAGGTACGGAATGCTTCGGATCGAGGCTCATCAGCATTATTAAGACGAGGCTCACAAACGTTTAAAACGCTCTCGTTACCGCGTTGCAGCAGGAACATGAACAGAGACAAGGAAGTAGTGAAGATCTATTTTAATTTTTGAGAGTGACCCGACCGGTGGGGTTGGTCATAGCATGCGGGAAAAAGTGAAAATTTATGACTTTTCGTTTAAGCCGACCTGATTCAACTTAAAAAATTGGCTTTTTTTTTTTCTGAAGCGAAAAAGAAACAAAGGAAAAAACCTCAACCAAATCGCTAGAAATTCCGATGGGTCTGATGCCCTGCGCGCGCGCGCGTTTTACAAAATTTGGCCCCGCCCTCTGTCTCAGACAGCGGCAGGCCCCCGGGGCTCTATTTTCCCTGCTTTGCCTGCTTCGCCTGCTTTGCCTGCTTTGCCTGCTTCGTGCCTTGCCGGGGGCCGGGCCAGCCAGCTACGCACGCGCGCGCTATTTTTACGACCTGGGCCTTTCGGGCTTAAGTATGTACAGAAAACGAGCACCGCTCTAGGATGGATGCGCTCTCCCCTCTGGCCAATGAGGAGCCGAGGATGGCAGCAAAACAAATACAGGGCAAACGCGGGAACCTGCTCCATCTTTTCAAATGTGAACAAACGACCGCTAGGGCCTAGCCTTTTTTTGGCACACGTGACAAAATGGCTGCCGGGGACGCGCTCTATTTGATTTCTTTAGTTACACGTGAAAAAATCGCCGACAGGTAGACGCCTCATTCCTTCATATGTGAACGAATGGGCGCCGGGGGCAAATTTCGCTGCTTGTTTGTTCTTGCTGGATGCATGCAAACCCGGGCGAACGTTCTTGCTGGATGCATGCTTCCCTCCTCTAGTGTCTTTCTAGGGTCACGGAAAGAAAAAGGAAGAAAGGGGCAAACTTTATTTTTTCACATGCCGAAAAAGCCCGCCCCCGCCGGGAATAGCTTCCATTTTTTCACGTGTGAAAAAATGGCCGCCAGGAAAAAGGTCCCTCTCCATTCTTTCACATGCGAATAGCAGCCAGCGACAAGTTTCATTTTTTCACATGTGAAAAAATGGCCCCCGCGGGCAAGGTGAGTCCTATTCACATCCGAGAAAACGGCTGCGCATGCGCAAAAATGTCCGCCAGGAACAGGGCGCATGCTTTCACATGTGAAAAAATAGCAGACAGAATTAGCGCCACTGTTTCACGTGGTTGCATAGCACACGGAAGCAGCTTCATTTTTTCACATGTGAAAAAAATTTTTCACATGTGAAAAAATCGCAGCACTTCAATTTTTCAAATATCAACTCACATGGGAACAAAATTAATGGCAGCCGGGAACAGGCTTCATTTCTCCACATGTTAAAAAATGATCGCTGAGAGATTCGGTAGGCGAAAACCGAGGGGGCACTGGTGGAAGATTCGCGCCAGGACATGCGAAAGATTTCGCCCCTAGCCAAGATCTCAATCGTGCGCACATTTTTCACAAATCTTTCGCGGGCCTTTCGCAGATCATGCCCCGCCTTTTCATATGTGGGGAAATGGTCGACAGGCAGTGGGAAGAGCTTCACTCTTTCACGTTTGAAAAAATGGGCGCCGGGAACAAGTTTGATCTTTCCACACATGACAGAATAGCTATCAGGAGAACGTCCCACCGTTTCGGCCACGCGCGAAAAAATGGCAGCCGGGAGCAAGCAGCTTTTGTTTTTTCACATGCGGGAAAATGGCTGCCAGGGAGAGAGTGCATTTTTTCACACATAAAAGATAGGTGGCCGCATGAAACAGGCTCCCTCCATTTACTTTGTTACATGTGAGCAAATGTCTGCCAGGAGCAAGCACAAGCGTGCGGCACATGTCAAAAAAAAGGCGAGTCGCACCAGGAAGAGGCTCCGTTTTTTCAAATGTGAAAAAGTGGCTGGTAGGTACAGGCTTCATTTTTTCAATCACGTGCGCAAAAATGGCTGCCAAAAACAGACGCCATTTTTTCACATGTGAAAAAACCCCGAAAAGAACGCAGCGCACTTCTCGCATGTGCAAGGGTAGCCGACAAGAAGCAGACTCATTTTCTCACATGTCAAAAAATGACTGCCAGAAAATGTTCGTTGCGCCCTTTCACATTTGGGAGAGTAGATGCCAAAAAGAAGCTGCGCGCCCCATTCACAGGCGAGAAAACAGCAGCCAGACAGCAGGCCTGCTGTATACGCGTGAAGGTGGGAGCCCTGCCTTCCCCGGTCCCTGGAGGCATCGCCTTGGTTGCCTCCGCCTATTTGTCTTTTTCCGCCCGCCGTTGCCTCCTGCGGGCAGAACTGCTTCGCGGGCGGATCTACAGAAGCCGCCCCGCGCCGAACGCGGGGACTCTTCCGTTTGCTTCCTTTGCAACGCTGGAGGGCCCGCCTTTCATTCCCCAGGAAAGACCTGCCCTGGTGAAAATTCCCCGCACTGCCTTGCCTTTTTGTGATGGACCACCCCGGCCCCAATAAAAGGGGGAATGGAGAGGGTCCCCCGCCCTTGCCTTCTCTTTCCAATGTTAGTGTTAGAGGGGGAAACAAAGGTGTCCCGGCTGGGCTTGCATTCTTTCCCAATGTTGAGAGAGGGGGCGGACATGCGGCCCTTTTCCAATGTTAAGACGGGGGGCGGAGCAGGCGGCCCGGCAAAGCAGGCAAAGCAGGCAAAGCAGGCAAAGCGGGCAAAGCGGTGAAATTCCGTAAAATACGCGCGCGCGAACTTTCAATGTTTCCCCGGCGGAATGACACAGACCCCACCGGCCGGGTTGTTCTGTAATTTTTATGTTATGGATACTAAATTGCATTGTATCCGATTGTGATGTCGATTTCTCCGGCCGCATCGTGAGATTATGTTGCGGATGTCCGTAAAGAAAGTTCATGAGCGCCGCACTAATTAATTTCAAAAAAAAAAAAAAAAACAATAAGAACCAAAATAAAACATACGTATCAAAAATCATGCGACATCATCATAAACTACACGAACACCGAAAGTCGTTTATTGCCGTGCTGGGACACGAATACGGCACTAAGCATTCGTATGTAGTGAGGTCATGGAACGGCTCTAGCAAGGAGGTTTTCTCGACATGAGCCGCCAAAAATGGCCGGCAGTTCTAGAGTCTGCAGGGCGTTTGTTTCTTATGTGGAAAAAAAGCAAAATGATGGCGCGCCGGCAAAGGGGGCGCCCTTGTTTGAAGGCGCCCGCCGCCTCGGGTTCTGGCGATTTGGGACCCCCAAAAGTGAACCCAGAGAGACCGCGCACAAAATCGCAGCCGCGAAACCGCGCGGAGTGGTCGTGGTTTTATGGCCTTCTGGGTGACCACTAAAGCGGCCGGCTTTTCGCCTGTTTCTGTGTGAGCTTGGGAAGCTTCGCGAAAAGTGCAGCCTCGAAAAATGAAAACGCCAACAAGAAAATGCGCGCCCGAGGACAACTTTGTCAGAAGTCGGGCGCGCTTCATGATATTAAGCCAGCCCGCGTGCTGCGGCTGCGGGCCAGATTTGTCCCCGTTTTCTGGGCCTACCCCGGGGCGCCCGGACCGGCCCCATACGAACGGGGCTGGTTCCCGAAGAGGAATTTTGGAAATTTCCCAAAATCCCCAACGTTTGTGAAGTAGCCGCCATTCCGTGCGGGCCCGCAAAAAGCAGGCGCGTGGGCGGCCCGCGGCCAGGGCGAAGGCAAAAGGAAGCCAGCGACCTCACTACCTCCGCCAGCACGGTGGCTATATTTGGCACGCGATGCCCATGCCGCCACTACTTAGGCAGCCAGTGGGCAGGGGAGTCCGAAGACTGCAAAATTAGGCTGAGGAAGCGCAAAGACTACTTCCATATGTGTCAAAACGAAAAAACAAGGGAGCAAGCTTTCATAGAAGTCAAATGTCAAACGGGCCCCGATCCGGTGGACTCAAATCAAGCTCCCGATCTGCATTAATGATGAAAAAAAGAGAAATGAAGAAAAGAGTAAAGATATGTAACTACATAGAAGAGAGCAGCTAATTATTCAATGATATTAGAGAGATGCGGCAATGGACATGGAGCATCCATGGACACGCTCAGATATTAGCATTGATATACTTGCTTGAAGGGCCTCTACAACAGCAGAATAGGCAAATTCTGTTGGAAAGTAGGAAAAAAAAAGTCAACATCAAGTATTCCGACATGCAGGAAGGTTTCGCAGTAAGAGCAGGCAACCGTTACCTGAAGTTTGTTTGTTTGATGTTACTATTGGATTCGCGGCATCCGATTGAAGGTTTTACCTTTTTCGCGCGACTCAAAGTTAAAAAGGACGGACACAAAGTAAAAAATCAAAGTTGATTTCACTGTCATACGAGTAGATCAGCATAGTTTGCTGTGTCGCAATCATTCGTTCATAAAACGGTAGCATCGTGACGACACGCTGAACCTGAAGCCCATGTAAGCGTCCCACCGAGGAAATGCCACGTTGTAGTGGAGGTTACACCGGCAGGCACTGCAGGTGGCGTGTTCCCAAAGAAATTGAAAAAACGGGAGAAGCCTGGGCGCGTTATGTCTCCACTGCTGTGGGGCTGTAGCTATATCGGAGACGGCCCATCGAAGACAGGAGACTCTGCAGGAGCAGGACGCGTTTCTGTGTGTCCATGATGATGACAAATATTTTTAGAGGACCGACCGAATCATTCGTCCTGAAACTCGGCACAAGTTTTAGCTTCTGAGTATGATATAATTCGCGGCCACACTGTTTGCGTATGCGTTTTCGTTTCCATCGGTGACGAAGTGCGCAGAACCGGAGAGCAAGGATCAAAAGCAACTTGGATTAAGACCGGGCCGATAGTCATAGTTCAGTTTTTGGGGGCGTGTCCACAGGGGCAAGCCAGCTAGTGACATACATCGGCCAGGGCTCGCGCCGTAGTAGAAGACCGATCTACAACCGCGAGGCTTGGCTTGCAAAGTTGCGATAGCTGCTCGACACACAGTGACCGAGAGAGTTGGCTCCGTTGCCCCACTGGAAAGGACCCAAGAGGGCTCTCGCTTGTAAGTCGCGGCGCAGTGGCTTGCGCTCTCACTCTCTGCATCATGGCGCGACCGCGAGTGATACACAACAAGTCTCAATCCAACATTGTCGCTGAAACCTTGAACCAAAGCCAGCGGCCCCTGGTGTTTAATGTTCTACGTCTACTAATTTCCCTGGAGGAATAAAGTAGTAGCGTAAAACGTTATTTAAACACCGGGATGAAAGAGCACGGGCTTTTTGAAAGGTTTGGCAACAGCAACAAACTCGCAACAAATGATGCGTGCATCGCTTATGCTTATTGCAGACGCCTCCAGAACGGGAGAGCAACAGAGACAGTCCGATGATTTCTGTGAGTGAATGACGAATTCATCGTTGCTATTTGAGTTGAAGCGCTTTCTCTTCTTCCTTTTCTTCGCCGTTTTATTTTCTTCGTCGTGGTCGTGTACGGAAAATCGGATTCACGCACCAGTCGGGCGACAGGTAGAGCGATCTTTCGTGTGTGATCGTTTAATTGTGGTGCGCGCTAAATCGTCGAGATGAGTCACGGACTATAACTAACTGAGAGAGAAATTCGTACGTTAAATATCTTCTTTTGAACTCAATAACGTCGTCTCTCCGTCGTGCGCTTCGACCATTTTGCATACTGGACCGCGCCTCTCGGTCTTGTCTCCGCTATTCTTATCTGTGATTGTTGATGAATTATCTGTGTGATTCAAGCTAGTAAAGTAAGCGTCAAAGAAGTAGTAAATGCATCGGAGTCGGACAGAATCTATCAGACGGGAAAAATATGTCAGACGACGAAAATATGGAAGCGACAGGTTCAAAATCGAAAAGGTGAACAATTTTTGTCATGCATAAAACTCGATACCACTTTCTTCCTCTTCCAGTTGAAAGCCCAACTTGTTGCTGAGTCGCGCGGTGGAAAGTAGAACGTTGCATTTTTCGTGCTGCTTCGCAACTTGTTCATGATATCATCTCTGACCCTGAACAGGCACATAATCGGCCTCACTTGCACAGGCACTTTGTGCTGGGCATTTGATGCATCCCACGAGCTGGCGGTCTGATACTGACTCCGCGCCCTGTAGTTGGCCTGGCTCTCTGCGGAAAGGTGTCCTTACAGGTTCCGTGGAACAAGTTGCGACCGGTTTAGCATTACTATGGTATTTGTTCAGCTTTGTCGATTTCGATAAGCCTAACACTTCCATAGAAAGAGAAATCGAGGATGACGTCTTCCTCCTCAATATTCTGGACGAAGCAACACCCTTCGAAGCGACTACCCTGGCACTGCTGAAGGACTACGTGTACTTATTGCTATTTCTCATTCTCTTTATTTTTTGATGTGATTGTCGATGTTGATTGTTATCTATGCATAGCTGATCATGTCTTCGGGCCACCTTCCTAGGCATCAGTAACTAATGCTGAGCTTTTCGAACATTTGATTCAGAGCATGATCAATCCATAATATATCGTCGGAGAATTATGCGCAATCATATCAGGAGCCGCTTCATTGCACTTGAGGTGATTTCCTTCACGTAACATCGTCAGGTTTGCGTTTTTCGGAATTCCCATTAGAACGGTCCAGACACCGAAGACCCCAGTTTCACCACCCGGCGTTCTCGCACTGTCAGAGAAAACCAATCGCCCCCTCAAGCAGCGGAATTCGCGCTTACCTGATGTCGTGGCAAAGTCAACCAGGGTAATGACTACTTATTTTTTTTTCCACTGAAGGCGCGCGGTGGCGCCACCTCCGAGGGATAAAGAGTTTGACAAGTCAAGAACGCGACGGTTATTTGCGTCCTCGACTCTGCCTGGAAGTACAGGAGGGACGAGGATTCTGGCTGCGGTTGTACCAAACCAAAGTGCAACGAACTTACTTGCACACTGAGAGCGCCGCCTGCGCCATCTTGGGATCTTTCATTATACTTTCACTCCGCGGTCGCTTTGTTATTGTTTTCGCGGTAGCAGTTTGTTCCAAACCTCCAAAACCGTAGAACTACAGACTGTAGTCGCTGAGTCATCTTCATATAAAAGGACAACGCGTTCTTCTCCTTCTCTCAGGTGGACCACCTTTTTGAGTGTCTGCGCGAACAGACCGAAGCGGGCGGTGGCATGGGTCCCTTCCCTGAGGCAGCGGGGGTCCTTGGAGTCTACAGTGGTGAGTTCTACGAAAACGACGTTCCATCTGACATCTTCCGCGGGTTGGACCCCACGGACCCGGCGCCCGACGAGAAAACGCAGGGCTTCGGACTACACCGCCCGCGCATCAGCATCCTGTCCCTGACCCATCTGAAGCCCCGGCTTAGCACGCGGCACGAATGCAACCTAATGCGCCCCGCGATCGCGACGGAGGAGGGCCTGCCCCGCAAGCACCAGTACCGCCAGTACATACGGAATCTCCTCAAGGCCGTCAGTCACTTTTTGCTGAAATTGTTGAAGTTCGAAGGGTGCCAGAACCAGAGGTGCCTTTTGTACCGTCAGCCGTTCACGACCGGCCACGCGCTGTTTCTGTGTCCGGAGTGCGAGGTCAAATTCTGCCGGAGGATGGCTGTCCGCCCAGAACAGCGGTTCTTCCGCGAAAACTACGGCGAAGGAACAGGTGGGGCGGACCAGATGAAGTTCGTTCGCATATCGAGAGGAAAAATCGCACACCATGCTCGAGAGGGGACTTGTGATGTTACTTGATTCAACATCGTGTACAAGACAAATCGCCTCTGTCTTGCAGCTAGGGGCCGGCCCCAGGCATATTATAATTCCAGGCCGATTTTTTCAGTGGGTTGCAGTTTCTAGAACTCCAACCGTTCAGCATGATAGCCGGTTCATCTTTTGTAGGCTGAAACGCGTGGTCCTCACGGATTGCTTGCCCTAGCTTACGTGCCCTGTATTAATTATGCAAGTGCAGCAAGGCAGAGGTATGTGTTTTTGCGTACCTACCTAGCAGGCTACACAAATAAGTATATAATTTATAAGCTGCGCTTACTTTCAAAAAATGCGGGACCACGATGCAGGGACTTTTCCTCGTGATATCGGAGGACCACGGAAGAGGACGGCGGCCACGAGGAGCTGGCCCGGCAGTTTGCCGAAAAAAGGTATGAAATGCTCACCAAAGTTCTCCAACAGTGTCACAAACACACGGTTTCGTACCAGTTTGAATACCGGAGATACGGCGAGTTTGACCGGGAATTGGAATGGTACTTGCTTACGACTGGTCCCCTTTGGAATTGACTTGACTTTCTTATATTTATTATTTCTGTTTCTATTGAATTTAAATTTATTGTTGTTGTTCTGCTTGCTTCATCTATGACGTGGTTTAATAATAATATCTTTATTTCAAAACGGCAGGACTTATTTATTTTCATACACAGATAGTCCAACTATCGGTCGCAATTCCCTCCAATTTTCGACTCTTACTACACAGGCTTCACTACGCACTGAAAGTTTTTCGCGCCAAGAATCCAGAGCGCCACGAATTTGTGGACAAAAGCCACAACGAAAGGTGTAAGCGAAGAAGTCTGTCCACCCTGCTGCACACCGTGTACCGGGATACGAGAGTGCATAACTACCTCCCCTCCCCCTGATAAGTACGGCATCAACAGCAGTACAAACGCCATCACACGTAGAGCGTGCAGCCGTGCATCATGACAAAATCCCGCGCAAAATGTAGTAAGTACTGTTTGGGCTTCGGGATTTTTTGTCCCGCAGACAGTGCCACATCAATGCAGCAGCTAGAAGATTGTGGGTTTTGCAGAACGAATGAGGGGGAGGGGGAGTTGTGCGCCCGCATACTTGAGACGCCAAGTATACAGGTTTTGCACCGCACTTTGGAGGAGCCCTACTTGAAGTTCCGCTCACTCGCGGATATGCGGTACAGGAAACTGTTTCTATTAACTTGTTATCTAGTACGTCTGCAAACTATAATATTTTCAGTATGATTCTTGTTATTTGTCCCTGAGGTCGTCGTCGTCGTTAAGCTGGTTTTCACCTTGCAAATACATCACCGCCACGACCCACGAGTCGTTGTTTTTCGTTGAAGTTTAAACCTCTCATCCTGTTCCTTCTGCAACCTCAGGGAAAGCGGACCGCACCAAACGCCGGTGCCTTCGGAAAATGCCGGATACGCGGAAGCTTTCTTTAACAAGCGGCATTCGACGGGTGGCACCTACTTCGAAATGGGCGGCAATTTGATGCCGAAGAGCGTCGGCAACTTCCCAAAAGTGGGCCTCAACGCCGTGATTAGTAAAAACGACAAACCGCTTATGGAACTGGAAAACGTCATCGCTATCACCATTTTGCAGGTCGTTTTGTACGAAAAACTTGTCTAGCATATCAATACATCTTTCGTTGCAGAAGCACAAGGAAGAAGGTGGGCATTACATTTCTTTGAACCTTCGCTCTCGATCTCGTCCTCGTGCACTTTCATCTTGCATGACTGGTGACTGGGAATTTTGTATTGCAGCAGAAATGTACTCACTACGACTACTTCCAACAGTTATAGCGATGGCGTTTTTTCCTCGGATTCTATACGGTATCGGGCCTTCGGGCATCAATCGGCCAGTTAAGACTGGACGATCCCCTCCAAGAAAAGACTAGAGTCTAGAGATGACTGCAACAAAACAAGAAGCGCTACGAAAGAGCCTCTTCTTGGAGTCAACTTCTTATTTGTACGGTGTGCTACTTCATGTAGTTGTTTCTGTTTCCCTTTATTGTTTCCCAGATGTCTTCCTCACAAATGAAACTGTTACAGGAACGAACGGCAGATGTTACTGCTCGTGCAAGTATTCATCACAACCTTCCCTATTCCGGGTGTACGGTTTGAGATTCCGGGAATTCTGTACTATAGTTTGTTTGCGTCCTTCGGGATTTGATTGTATGCACCAATTTGAAAGGCGTCGACTGCCAGTGAGTATGGAAATCTGCCCCAGGCGGCGTTTTCTTGATTTCACGAACTCACATGCACTGTGGTTGCTGAAGAGAAGTTCTTTTCGTACACTTCCTTGTATAGGAAAAGTGGCGTTGCGCCGCAGCACTGCATGCACTCAGTACAGTAGCGATCGCACAATCAAATTCTTCTAGAGCAGGAAGTGTTGATGGAGGTCCATCTTCGAGATGAGAAGCGGGTACTACAATAGTTTCATTTTCAGGGGACACACAACGGGGGGGTAACTTGGCTGAGCGAAAAAATGCCTCGGAAAATCAGACACCGAGGAACAACAACAAAAAAGAGCGGAGTGAGCACTACCGTCGTTTGGTCCGGGGTCGTCCCCGCTCTACCTATGCGTTAGTGAAACATCATGCCCTCGGAGAGTGACGGCTCCGCCCGGTTTCGCGGCAGGAGGCGATAGTTACTCGCATCCGAACCCGAGAAGCCATATGGACGAGGACGAAATTCAGTTCTGTCTGCCGCGCCGCCTGGCAGCAGGTTTTGCGCAAAGTTTATCCTTGGTCACGCCCGAGCAGGAAGGGCAGAGCGCGCAGTTACGAGCTTGGGGTCGAAACGAACAGAATGCGCTCGGGTTTAAGAAGATTCCCAAGGAACTAGTTTTGAACGCCCCCACGCAGGTGGATTTTTTCAAGGGAAAGCCGGTCTTCGAGGTGGCTTGCGGACACAGCCATTCTGTGGTGCTCGAAAAGAAGCCGGACCAAGATGGGGGGCGCGTATGGTGCATGGGTCTTTCCACGCATGGTCGGCTGGGTATTTCGCAGGGAAAAGTGGCCAAATTTAATGAGGAGACGGGGGGTGGCGTGGAGGACGATCCCCTGGCGCCGAAGGTGGAAAACGCCACTCTGGTCCCACAAGAAGTAGAGCTGCCTGCTGGCACCCGGATTGCCCGCGTCGCAGCGGGCGCAGACCACACTCTCGCACTCACCGAGTACGGGCAAGTGATGAGTTGGGGCGTGGGAAATTTCGGCAACCTCGGAAGCGGGGGCACGCAGGACATCTGGGTTCCCCATTTGTTGCGTGACTTGGAGGACATCGAGTGCATTCAGGTGGCCGCGGGCGCGAAGCACAGCTTGGCCTTGACGTCCTCGGGGCACGTCTACGCCTGGGGCCACGGCGGAAACGGGCGTTTGGGGCTGGGTACCGACCGCACGGCCGCCTTGGTCCCGCAGTCCATCACGGAGTATGAATCGGAGGACCAGGCGGAGAAATACATCGTCTTTATCGAGTGCGGCGAATCCCACTCCGGGTGCATCGACAGCCTCGGCCGCGTGTATACCTGGGGCAACGGCGGGTACTGTCGCACGGGGCACGGCCAGGAGTATGACGCGTGCGTGCCCAAGCAGGTGGATGGCCTGCGCGCGACGCCCTGCGAGCAGTTGTCGTTTGGCGTGTTGCACTCCCTAGCGCTGACCATGAAGGGTCGGGTGATGGCGTGGGGCGCGGGCGCGGCCACGGGTCTGATCTTTCCCGGCGAGGCGTTGGTGGCCCCCATTCCCCGGCAGGTGCAGGCGGAGGTGGAGGCCGAGAAGGACCCGCTGTTCACTCAGATTGCGGCCGGGGCGCTGCACTCCGTGGCCGTGTCCAGCGACGGTGAGCTGTTTTGCTGGGGCCAGAGCAGCGAGGGCCGGCTCGGCCTGGGCACGACCGAAGACAGCAGCGCCACTGCGAAGCGTGCCGACGATAGCGACGCGGAAGGCGAGCGACTCTATGAGGACCGCTACCGCCCCAAGCTCTGCAAGGTCAAGCGCTCCGGGGAGGTGTACGGCTGGAGCGTGCCCATCCACGAGCATAGCGTGGCCGGGGCGAAGAAGCACGCGCTGCAGCACAAGCACGGGGGGGCGGCCTCGGCCAGGAGCGACACACTCCTTCAGGACGAGCTCCTGGGGTCGAAAAAGAACCAGCGCCTCCCTCGGGGGAACGCGGCGCAGGTAGAGTGCGGTGGCATGTTCTCCGCGTTGCGCACCAAAGACGGCATCCTCTACACCTGGGGTAGCAACGACTATGGGCAAGTGGGCACCGGTTCCACACTAGACGTGCCGCAGCCGTTTCAGCACTGCACTTTTCCCGCCCCTGTCAAAGCGGTTGCGTGTGGCTTCGAGCATTGCCTAGCAATTAGCGGTGGGCTTCTCTACTCCTGGGGCCGAAACAACTTCGGGCAGCTGGGTACGGGACGCGGCCGCGACCTCGCCGAGCCCACGCTCGTCGAGAGCCTCATCGATCTCAAGTGCGCAGCAGCCGGGGAGGACCACTCCATGTGCGCACTCACCAGCGGTACATATCTCCAGAATGAATTGCAGATTTTGAGATTGTCATATCGATCGTGCGCGCCAGGTCATGCCCGGAGCAGTGCCAACAAGTTGGACTGAATATGTGCGTAAATAAAGTTAAAGTTGAAACGAGGGAAGGCAGTAAATAAGTAGAAATCTCAGCGGGAAAGACAAGAGCGAAGCGCGTCACAGTGAGTTGTATGCTAGAAGTTGTACAGTCGTGAAGCATACAACTCGCCACTATGAGTCACAGCCCTCAACATCGTGTGCTTCACCATAGACAACGATGATAATGATGGTGACGACTTCTTGCACACAAAATTTATCAACAGGCGAGCTCTACACCTGGGGAAACGCGGAGAACGGTAAACTGGGTCATGGCTCTTCGTTGGTATCGGGGGCGCAGATGCTCCCGCGTCAGGTTCGGCTCGCGGACCGGATTGTGGCCGTGCGATGCGGGCAGCAGCATTCGGCGATTGTGAACGCGAAAGCCATGGCCTTCGCCTTCGGCGTCGGGTGGTTCGGCCGGCTGGGTCTCGGCCACAAACGGAACGCGTACGTGCCAACGAAGGTGGATTTTGGGAGTAACAAACTGGTGGAGTCGTTCTCGCTTGGGAGTTACCACTCGGCCTTCATCACCACCCAGCACGAGCTGTACATGTGCGGCCGAGACCGCATGGTACTGCAGGGCGACCACATGGAGAGTCCTTTCGCGGTGGAACAGTTTCAGGGGATCAACATCGTCCACGTCACCGCTGGGGGTTTCTTCTCGCTTTGTATCGACCACGAGGGCGGCCTCTATGTTTTCGGGGACAACAGCAAGGGCCAGCTCGGGCTGGGCCGGAAGCAGGTACGCGTCGAAGAACCAGAGCGCATTCGGCACTCCGACGCTTTCGTACAAGCCAGCTGCGGAAGTTCTCACTGCATGCTCTTGTCAGCGGGCGGGGTGACCTATGGGGCGGGGAATCGACTTGCTGGGAGACTAGTGCTGCAGCTCGAGGAGGGCAAGCAGGAGAAGTTCATTTGGTCCTGGTACCCCAGTATCGCTCCTTGGGACGAGAACGCGGAAGGAGACGCCTCCTCGTATCAAAAGGAAAAATCCCTCCTCCTCATATCGAAAACGAGATTTGTGAAGCTGTATTTGAGTACATAAGTCGAGTTGTATTGCTAGGAAGCCAAGCGCCGCAGTTGTGGCCTCGTTTGCAGGCAATTTTTCACGCTGTTTCCCAATTCCATCCAGCTGCCTTCTGTCATGCTGAAGATGCAAGGCCTTCCCACGCCACCCAGCACTACAGTCCGCGTCCTTTCCTCATGGTATGGGGAGGGGGGATTTTTCCTCACGATACCTCGCCAGGCGGGGAGGAGCAAAAGACCCCACGAGAGGACGAGGAGCCAGCAGAGGAAGGGAAGGCCGCCGCGTCTGGCGCAGCCGACGGCAGCGCCCAGAAGAGCGCCGCGGGTGCGGGAGCCACGTTCCCAGACCTGCAAAGAAAGATCCTCGAAGAACCGTTTGGCCACAGGCAGCGACAACTGAAGAAGAGGGAAGACGCGCTGGCGCAGGAATACTCGCGCTTCATGAACGAAATCTACGCAAACTTCGATGAGGATCAGGGACCGTACCGGATCTTCAGCAAACTCAAGCAGGTGCCTGCAGCCTCCTCTGCTTTGATACTCTGCTATGATAGTAAATGTTAAAATGCTCCTGCAATACACATGTGCTAAATTAGGTCCTCCGATGCTCAGATATTATACTCCATTGCTCTTGTTGCTGCCCCTGCGTGCCCTTGCCGTATCGTCTTCGTACTCTGTCACTGCACAAAGATCGGAACAAATAAAGCTAGATTGATCCATTTCGGCATCCCGAGTGGCCCGGGCCGCAGCGTCAAAAAATTAAAGTGGACACTGAGACGAAATCGAATGAAAATATAACAGACCCTGGAACAGAACTTGACGAAGATGTACCGGGCTCTTGACGTGGCGGAGCGAGAGCCTAAGTTTTTGCAGCGCACGAAGATCAACCCCGAGGTGCAGGACCGGTTGATGTACTTCAACCAATTGATGTTCGTCCTGCAGAGCCAGCCCGCTTTTATTTCCCGGCTTGGGACCCGCATGCCCAACACGAAGCCGGAGCTGGACGCGCTGTGGATGCGGTTTGTCGAGTGTTTGTTCCGGGACCGCGGGAACATCCGCGTCCGCACGGTGTTCAAAGCACTGATTCGCCTGGTGATGATCTGGGAAGCGGACTGCACCAACACGTTTGAGGACCTGTTCGCGCCCACTACCAAGACGGCGCGCCTTTTCGAATATCTGGCTTGTGGGCGGATGAACTGGTTCCCCTCCGCGAACGCGGAGTACGTGACAGTACACGGCTATCCAATGCAAACGTGTCTGGGTCTGGAAACGTGTAGTGTTGGGCTGTGAATACGAGTAGGGAACGCTCTGTAACGCGCAGCCGGCCATGAAAAATATTTGCTTGGCTTTGTGTTGCGAAAATGTTGTGTTTTCCGCATGACAAACGAAGCTGCGTTTTTGCATGAAAAGGATCTCTTCTTGGACGCGCCGGACTGAATCGGGCCGGCAGAGGACCGGGTAATCGCTCGCTGGTTACTTCTATGTGTGACTTTTGTGCGAGTTGGGCGCTGGCCGACTGACCACCAAGCACTGACCCTAATTGACAGAGCGATCGGACTGACGAGGCGCGTCAGGAAACGCCACTTTGGTCACTCAACATTCTTCGACATGCATTAAGTCAGGTCAGACACGCGTGACAATCCTTGCATCCTTCCAGACGTAGACATAGATATTTGCAATGCATAAAGGCACGGAAAACGAGGAGGAGCACCAGGAGGGCGGGCAGAAGAGCGCGTATGGGCGCGTCTTCTCGCGTATCCTGGACGTGAGTAATGACAAGTCCCTGCTCGCCCTCGTTTTCCAGTACACCATTGCGCGCCAGAACAAGCAGAAGGAAGACGTCTTCTGGGGGCTGGACGCGGACGCATGCTACAACTATCCCACAGAAAAAAGCGTGGCAGGTCACATCTGTATATCGATATGCAGAAAAATAGGCAAAAAAGCTGCTTCGCATACGTAACTGAACCAGCGTGCTATGGGCTCGCGCGTGACAGGATTTCCTGTGTGTCATCTGTACGTATAGTTTTTGTATATGCAAGTGCTTGCACCAGCTTCTGCCAGCTTTTTATTTTTCTGGGATATCAACTTCAAAACGAAGACGCTCCGTAGCCAGTCGGGTCACAAGCACGCTGCGCTGCACGAGGAGGGCGTTGGCGACGAGGACGAGCGGCGGCACCTGTACCAAGAATCGGGGAAGCACATGAAGCACTTTTTGCAGGACGTCTTTTTCCCCCAGTTTTTCAACAAGCTCACAAATCTGGTGAGCCGCGACCTGGCCTGCCTGTTGCAGCGGGCCTACTTGGTGATCGAAGATCTGGACATTGCGTACCACTACACCACCAAGGCCTCGGGAAAAGACCTCCCCGATCCGCGGATCTGCATGCCGATGATGAACCTGCTGCTGGGGCACTACGTCGCGCCGCTGCTGATCAAAGCGGAGAACCAGCTGACCCCCTACATCCGGCTGCAGCTAAAGCAGAAGTGCCGCAAAATCCTCGTCGAGGAGCGCAACGTGAAGCCCAACGCCCCGAACCTGAACCTCCGTGTGTTGGCTATGATGCGGCACTTCTACGAGAACGTGAAAGCGCTGGGCATGCTGCTGAAGAAAACGGTTACGGGGGACTGGAACGCAGCGGAGAACCTGATGCACGGCATCAGTGCGAAGCAGGTCGTCCCGACCGTGCTTTCCGTCCTGACCCACGGGGTTGCGGGCCCCAAAAACCTGGTGGACTCCACCGAAACGGAGCTGACGATCGATTTGTACGCGCGGCACTTCAACCCGGGTCTCGCGTACGTCCAGATCGCGACCTCGGACCTCCTGAAGATGTGCAACGTGATGTACACCTGTATCCACGAGAACGAGTTTCACGCCGGGGAGCTCGAGGACCACGAGGTGGACATTCGGATGGACCCGAAAGGCACCGACGTACTGGAGCGGCTGATCAACTTCATCCAGCCGGTGCCCTCCGTGCAGGCGGGAGAGAAGCGGCCGGAACGGTACGAGGACCTGCAGGTGCGGCTCTGGCCGCGCGAAAAGATCATCGCGATCGAGCAGAACGAATCGATGCACAACTTCACGGTGGACCACCGCTTCATCCTGCACTACCGCCTCTTGGAGGGCGACGACCAGTCGCTCCCCGGCCCCGTGCCCCTCACGTTTCGAGAAAAGTTCCTTCTGGAGGACAAAAAGAAGGTGCTGCCCAAGGACCAGAAGGTGGTCCTGCTGAACCGGATGCGGGAGGTGTGTTTCTGCCGCGAGTCCCAGGTGAGCATGCCCCGGTTTCTCACCGGCGCCGGGCAAAAGTCGCGTTCTGGGGTGCGGTATGTGAAGCCCTACCAGCCTGCACCGGCACAGCTCCCCAAGGGTGCGCAAGCGTCGCTGAAACCCATCCTCCCCTCGGACCAGGACGGTTTCCGGTTTCTGGAGCTGCTGCTCCGCGACGTGTCGGAGGTCAAGTCCAAGGACTTTTTATCGCTCAAGTACGAGTTCGAGGAAAAGCAGCGCGTCTACCAGCAGCTGATTCCCCCCAACTACGAGCTTGCGGACCGCTTGGAGCGCGCGAAGAAGGTGCTAGATATTCTGAAGACCGCGGGCGTGAAGGAGAAAGAGTTCGCCACTTACGTGGACGAGGCGCTGCAGGCCCGGGCGGAACACTTCGCATACCTGGAGCAGGTCGAGAACGGCAAGCAGAAGGTGATCGCCAGCAAGGAATCCTACCGGAGCCAGATGGCCATCCTGGCCCAGACCACCGAGGAACTCTCGGAATTCGCCCGTTTGGGGGCAATCGAGAAGAGTATCCGGCAGAAGGGCATGGACTACAACCTGAAGCTGAAAATCCCCTCCATCGAGAAGGTGCTGCAAAAGCAGGTGGGCGGCAGCCTGCCGGCGTTCCGCCAGTACTCGGTCGGGTACCTGCGGGCGAAGAAAATCGTGGTCCGGCTCGGGGAACACATTGCGCCGGATCTGGTGCGGAATCTGCACCTGGAGTTTCGCCAGATCAGCGAGTACATCGGGAAGACCGTGTACAACCAGTGGGAAGTGTTGGTCATGCACAAGGACGAGCGCAATGCCCGGCGAAACTTGCTGACATTCTACATCACCATGGAGGAGTTGGACCTCATGCGAGAGAGCAGCGGAAAACTGGCGAAAATGGACTGGGCGGACAAATTCATCACATTCCAGTGCAACGCCCTGTTGCAAATGCTCGTCCGCATCTGAGGGCATAAACAAATTTGCCATGCTGGAAGCACGATACAACCAACTCGCTACTTTTTTTTCAATATCCAGCCACTATGCACGACTTGGACTTTTACGTTTAGCGAATAGTGTCCCCATAGATACGTTCATTGGCAGTCATTTTTTCCGTTGTACTACTTAATTTTTCTTTTCCGAGAAGCATCTTTCCAGATCGATGCCTCTCATGTGGGGGCCGAAGCGCAGACAATCAAAGGGCAACGCAAAAACAACACGAGACGAGATCGGATGACCATACGCAGAGATTTTTTTTTGAAAAGTCGTCCCTTTCACTTTTCCCGGAGGACAAAAACCGCAAAAAGGATGACCTATTTGTTTTCTCTTGCGTCGACCCGTCGCAATCGACAGAAACAAACAATGCTACATAAGTACACAAGAAGTTAATTTCTTCACGCCAATGCGCCACGACAAGATCGATTATTCAGATCGAGAAGGAATGATAATCGACGGGTCGTACTTTCGTCATTCCCATTCAGGTTCGTGCGTGATCAAGTTCTGTTTCGTGTCGATTTTCGTAGGGATTTTACGATGTATGAAGGGAATGTGTCTTTCAGCACATCCACATCCGTATTCGATTCGTCATCGTATACTTTGCTCGACAATCGTCGCTCGTGGTCTGTGTTTCCAGAGAATTGCGCCACTCGAGCTTCTTCTCACTCACTCTCGTTATGATTGGAGCAAGCTGAAGATCCGTCGTGGAGTTATCGCTTTTCTTATTGTTATCGTAGTACTCGTTTTTTGGAAATGTTGAATGCAAAAAAAATGCAATAAATGTAATAAACAAATTGCACCATACGGCTCCGAGCCGTATCTATTGGATAAACTATCCTGCTTCATCGGAACCGACTGAATTTATATTCTTGATAAAGATCAGTGTCCGTTCTTTGTAAATACAAACATTGCATCATTCATTTATAGAACCACCAGCCAAGAGCAGGACGAAGGAAAGATGTTGCCGACAGGTGGGAACATGAAGAAGTTACGAAAAGCCAATAGCGTTGTGAACAACGTGATGGCACCAGGCGGGGGCCGCAAAGCCGGTCCCGCGGAGCTGGAGTACCAGCAGCCCGGTGTAGATCCGCACCAGCGTGCGAAGGTGAACTTCCTACGAAGGCAGGTAGGCAACCAGCAGACGCCGAGCTCGCTGACGGCTCCGGAGGGCGCAAAGTACCCGGTCGAGATATCAACACGAAAAATACCCCACCACCACAAAACCAAATCCGAACAGTTTGCATTGCACACTTTCCGCACGGATAACTTTTTGTATTGCATGAAAGGAAGGTGACGCATTCTGTGTCAGAATTTAAACCAGTTAATACGTAGCTTCTAAATGATAGACATAGACTTAGACGTATGCCTCCATGTATGTTGCACCGCGGCGCCGTGCAACGCAGACTTCGACTTGCGCTACTCTGTCCTGCAGATTTGTCCTGATCCGGATAGTTGGAAGGTGGCAAATGCTTCCTCTCTTCGGGACGTTTGCAAAAATAGAAAGAGACGCTTCCCATCCAGAGGGGCCGTGGGGACACTTGTGAATATGATACGACCGGGACTACACCATGGAGCGGCTCCGGTCAGCAGGCTACCGCTGGTACGACCACTACGACCCCGCCGTGGGAGGCTTGCTCATGCTGGACGGCGCGAACCGGGTTCGCGAGGATGCCCGCCGTATGAAAGACATGTCTCTCGCAGACGCGAAGGAACACATCATCACGCACCCGCCCGTTGAGGGAGGCAAAATCGACAACGCCTTCGATCAAGAGGACCTCGACGCGCAGGGTCGCCGCGCGGCTCAGCGACAGGCGCACGCGAGAAAGGCGAAACAGGGCATGCGGAAGATCCAGCTGGCGCAAGCCATGGGGATCAAAGCAGAAGTCATTGCAGGGAAAGACAGCGCTCCCTATCACGGACCGGACCGATTTTCTCTCGACACCGACAGAGTACTCAAAATATGATTGACCTGTGTATTTCATCTTTCTATTGAATTCGTACTCTAATCAAAATTCATATCATTAACCTGTGTAGAAGTACTTGTTAATCTAACGAACAACATCTACCTCGCGTAAGGTATTCGACCCAGATTGGCAAAATCCGGAGGAGAAACTGCAAGAGCTGGAGGATGCCCCACCCGACGAAGATTCTCCAGATCTTCCGAGCAATGGCGGCAAGGATCTCAAGAAGGGCGCACGCACGCAGGCATTCGAGCTCCAGCGGATGAAGACAGCGGAAACCACAGACGCAGTCAAAGATCTAGACTCGCGGATCGACGCTACGGGCGAGTACCTAAAAGTTCACAACGAGAATCCGGGATATGTGTCCAAAGAAATAGAAACGTACAACAGACGCCGCACGAATATGGAGCTTGACTGGCAAGATCTGACGCCGACCGCTATAAAAAAGCGAGCGGATCTCGAAGAAAGCGTACAATTATATTCTGGAACACTACTATTTTTATTTTCTATCTCGAGTTTTCTGGTTTTCTTTTCTATCCCTTCCCGACCACACATGACACCGTTCATGTGAACGAATCAGTGATGTCTGATACTTAGCGTCAAGTTTCAGCTCGCCTCGCCGAAGCAGCGCAACCGCTGCAACACAGTCATCATTTTTTCGAACATTCTCACACCAGATGGCCTACAAGAATGCAGTCGACGAGGCGCTGGCCAGGAGGCGCGTGCACGACAGGCGATCCGGCTACATGGACAGCCGAAAGAGCAGCTCCGTCGTGTTTGACGAGGGAGGGAAAATGATTGCAGCCGACACAGTCGAGGAGCTGGAGGAGCAGAAGAAGGAGTGGCTATCGACGAAGTATGAGAAGATTCAGAAGGCGCCGGTGGCCTGGACGCTGAGCCTTGTCGCGGATGATCTCGACGCAGCCGAGGCGGAGGAGGTGGCGCTGCAGAAGTTTCGGGACCGGCCGGCGTCCGCCCCCGCGCCAACGCGCGACAACCGACCGCCCGTCGACCCGCGCGAAAAGTGGATGGATGAGCGGATGAAGGGCAACGGTGCGTATCTCAAGCGCCTCAGCTCCGCCATCACGACGTTGCCTGACGGGAAACAGCAGGTCGGGCCCGTGAAGCCGCGAAAGAAGGGGCGGAGCCTGGACGAAGCGCACGAGTTGCTCACTGACATCGCCGAGGCGCAGTACGACGCCCGCAACGTCCGCCTCATAGCGGGCGAGTTCCGCCGGGAGGAGGAGGAACGGCTAATGGAAATCGCTCGCAGAGACGGCAGCCCCGTGAATGCGGCCGGGCTGCCACTCCTATTGCAGGACGCGCCGGCCGCCGACGCGATGGAGCAGCAGCTCGTCGTCCGACAGCAGCTTGAGGATGAACAGATAGTACACGACAGCGACCATGATGTTACGAGAGGCGGAATTATTACCGAAGTGGTTCTTCCACCACAACATAACATGGAACTACCGCGGCAAGTGATCTCATCACGGAGTCAGTCACAGTCTCCGTCAAAAACAAGATCGCATCCCAGCCGTCCCACTACCGCGCCCCCCGCCTTTCTGGCCTACGCACGCGAAGCGCGAGCAGCGCTGTGTGCGCGAAGCTATGATCTGCTTGCGCATCGACCCGAACTTCAGAAAACCTATCGGCGCTCCCCGCCCCGGCAGCGCTCCCCACCCCGAACCGACCGGCCGAAAAGCAGTACTCGACCAGGGAAGCGGAGGCCGCAAAGTGCGGTGCACGTGAGTAGTCCGACGAAAGACGATCCGGCTCCGGCAGAAGAAGGAACAGCCGGCGACTCCTCGTCAACTTCCCCCAGGAACAAGCGCCGAGCAATCTCGGCCGGTACTGCGCGCGATCGTGCACAGGGCGCGGTCGCGACTGATGTCGCGCACAACCGTCCGCCTCCACGTAGCGGGGAGCCCGACTCCGACGCTACGTCTGAGCACACGACCTTTGTTGAACAATCTACGTTGTTGGTTGTCGGAAACAAAAAGCGAAAAAAGCGACCCATGAGCAGCACACTGCCGGTCGCCCCGGAGGACCGAGTCCTTTCGCCTTGTGGAGTCGGTGATCTCGTCTTCGTGCGCAGAAGAAGCCCGTCGCCGCAAACACGGAAATCCACCAGCAAGGAGGAGCAATACGACATCGAAAGTCTGCAACGAGACTTCGACGAGTACGTTTACGACGACGAAGAAGTGCATTTGCAAGCCGAAGCCAGTCGTGACTACAACAACCCCAATAGTCGAGTCACTTCCCGACCGACCTCGTCCACCACCGCCCGCCCAGCGTCCTCCAACGCTCGGCCGGAATCGGCCACGCAGCTCGGCTTGTCCACGGCTAGGCAAAACCAAGTGGAGATCTTTCTGCCCCTTCCCTGTAACCGCGCACCGGAGCGCAAAAGCGTCGGGGATCAGATCAAAGAGATGCTCGCGATGCACAACGACAAGGACGGAGCTGCCGTGCCCGGCGGTAGAGCACCACGGAACCGACGGGAGAAGCCGCCGAATCTGGTGCGTCCCCCTGATTTTTCCCCACGAGCGCACCAGGTCGCCCACACGTCCGGTGGCAGCCTTATGAAGAAGTTCAACATGCGCGACATCGAGCCCGAACTGTATTCCAAATTGTTGTTTCGGGGGCTGGCGCAACAGAAAACAGAATCCAAGGTGGCCGAACGGTTTTTCGACGAAGACGGCACGACGACCGCGGCTTCCTCCCGCCCGGCGTCTAGCCGTCGACCGCCCCCGGGAGCGTTCACCATCACGAAGTCTTTGATCAAGTCGCAGGTGGCAGCCTCGCAGCAGATCGCCACGTTCAACCGTTCTCGCCCCGCGTCTGCGCGATCCCCGTCTCCGCGACCCGCTCCCGCGTCCGTTCGAACGCGGCCGCAATCCGCTGTGCTTGCGAGTGTCCCGAAGCTGCAATCGGACGGTAACGAAACCTCCGCGGAGCGGTACCAATTAGTTGCGCGAACCACGGAAAACCCGGGCCAAATTCGGGTCGGGTTTGAGACCGCACCTCCGCTGCCCGAACGTGTTCATGCTAGTCCCACGCTCGATGCGGCGGAACGAAAAGAGGACCTTGTTCAGGAAGTGGCAAATCGCGTTCTGTCAAGCACTCTGGCCGGGATGCGGGGGGAACCCGTGACCAACGAACCCTGGTCGCCGAACCTGCTGGCAGCAGCGGGAACAGACACCGACCTGGACGACGAATTCGCTTCCGTCGGCCGGCGCACCGGACGAGGCCGTCCGCGCAGTCCCGCCGCGCCGGCGGCTGAGAAAATAAATCTGCGAAACGGAAGTGAACTGCACGAGATTGTAGCCAACGCGGGTACTAGCGCTAGCGACGATGAGGACAAGGCTGAGTTGGTGCAGGACGTCGCGGACCGTGTCTTGTCGAAAAGCATCGCGGAGAACATCGAGCGGGAGGCGCAGGCAAAAACCCCCGCACCGCTGTCGCCGCCCTCGGCACGTCGCGAAGAGCTGAGTGGAACGGCGCTGGCCGTGGTGAGCAAGCGTCCGCAGAGTGCTCGGCCACACGGGGGGAGCAGAACACACTCCCTGACGGCCGCTACAAGGCACGACACGAGGGCCGCTCCGGAAGAACCCGAAGAGGAAGCGGATGAAGACGATGAATTCGCGTATGATCTTGACGGAGACGACGCGCTTTTCGGCAACGAATTCGACGCCCACCTGGGTGGGGGAGCCGCGGCGCTTCGTTCGTTTTTCAAAAGCGGCGGCGCGCAGAAATTTTGTCCAGACGAGGTCAAGGTGTCGGAGGTGCGGCAGATGCGGCGCGAGCTGCGGGCCCGGCGCGGAGGTTTCACGGCTTTGCTGATGCCGAACGCAGACGAAGAGGCCATGCGAAAGGTGACCAAGAAGGGCGAAGAGAAGGATGTGAATTACGCAAAACGGGAAATGTTCTGGCACGAAAAGCTAGCGGCGGCTCGCGTACGGGCCGCGCGGCACCAGGTCAAGGTTTCCAAGGGCATGAGCATCAAGATCGACCGGCATAAAGCCCCAGCGCAGTCAGCGCCGTTGTCGCCCTTCTCTGCTGGAAGTCCAATGCGGTCCCCCTCGCGGCCGCAGTCCGCAACATCACAGGCGCGCGGTGCGCTTTTGAAGACGAGCAGCAGCAGTCGTCCCTCAACCGCACCACGAACACGGCCGGGAAGTGCAGCGTCCTCCGCCTTGCCACCCATCAAGAAAGTCAAACGCGACATCGCGTACGACTTTCTGAACTCCATGGAGAGACAACCGCTACAAGGACAGTTGAAGGACACAATATCCACGCTCCTCTCCACCATCCACGAGTCGGGAAAACAAAACGAGGACGATGCCAATGAGGGGGGAAACGTTGCGGAAACAGATAAGAAGTCCACTCCAGCGGGCACAGCTGGACCGCACCGACGTCCGGCATCGGCCGCGCACCTTCGGAGGATGGAGCAACAACGGAAGCGCAAGCAGCGGCCGCAGGAGTGGTTTTACGCCCACACCGTGGTTGCCTGTATCAACGAAAACTGCTGCCGCGGTCAGCGCTACTATTTCGATGAGCCGAAGGAGCGTCTCGACCACATCGTCATGGGACGGACGTCAAAACACTACTACGGTTATCTGGAAAAAAAGGAAAAATTGAGATGGGATAAACCCGACTTAGATTAGTGAACTTCTCCCACAACAAGAACTCATGTACTAATGACCGCATTGATTTCATTTCGAAGAAAGCAAGGTGAGAATACGATAGACAGATATATGGAAAGGGAAAGTACCACTAACACTATGCAAGTATACTAAGTAAGTAGAGCCTTCTCGGCGGACTGAGAAAATTGACAAATGAACCAGAATTTTATTGCACCAAATCAATGCAAGTCCAAGTGGACCTCGCGCAGCGTGCACAGAATGGATAAATATTAATATGTAGGAAATTGCTTATGCACAAACTCTTAATAAATAAACCGTATCTCAATCATTTGTAAAAAAGTGTCTGTACCCTGCTGCTCCTGCTTCTGCTGTTTCCTACTCTGACTCACCCTGTATGCTTCATATACAAATGAATACCTGAAGCTAAGCCTAAGCGTTGTAAAGAACTAGAGGTGGCCTAGGATAATTCCTTGTTTCGCGCAACAACTTTTGCTTATGATTTGCAAGCTTAATCTGCACATCATACCGGCAAATCACCATCAAGGAGCATGGCGCGCACAACGAACAAGAACAGATGATTGAATAAACCCCTAAACCTCTTTACCAGTGCTACTCTACAGATCCAAATACCAGACCGCTGTGGTCGGGAAACCGGATGTTTATTCTCAAAAGTTTTGACCATGGGAGAAGCAGCGAGGTCAAACGAAACGACGAGTTCCACACCGCCCCTGTATCTGTATGAAAGAAACCAACGTAGTCTCTGGCGACGGCGGATCTGGATCGTATTTGAGACACCACGATTTCCACCGAGGAGAGCTCCAGAGCCACGATCGTGCTCTTCTGACGATCAAGACAACTTCTACTGCGCTACTTTGTGCATTCGAAAAATCGGTATGTTGAAACGCAAAAACAGTAAGTGACAATGGCGCGCTCCACTTCGGCGTCTATGGACTTGCTGCGGGCACGGAAGCGCCTCTTCTTGGTGGAGCATTGGTTCGAGGCACTGACGGATGTCACGGAAGACTTGGAGCAGCTTTTTGCAGCACTTTTTTACGACGCTGATGGCACTCTTTTTTGCAGCCTGGCTGCGTGCATGGAGACCGTTTTGTTTGGCGTGCGTCCGCCACGGACGCAGGCCGAAGCCGACACAAAGTCAAGAGACATCCTCCAAGTGCGAGCTTTGCTGGAGGTTCTTCCGGGTGTCCTGTGTCGAGCGGACGCGGTCGCAATAGCGTCACAGAGTCCGACATCTCCCTCCGAAGATGATCCTGGTCAGGCGACAAAAAATACGTACTTGTACCGTCGGAGCCAAAGCCCGCTTCTTGTCAGAATAGCCGCCCTAGCACGGCGCGAAGTGCGTTTGTACACGAGTTCTTCTCCGGCTGATTTGTTTCACCCTACAACGTCCCTCTGCTTCCGATTTTTGCGCGGCGTCGTCGCATCTTCCCAAGCACTTTTCCCTGAGGTTTTGCTCCGTGCCGCGGTGGAGCGCTCTTTCGCCGCCAGATCTGCAATATCTGCCAAAGGGGGAAACGGCGATGCGGCGAGCAACATTGCCGCCTTGCTGGATGCTGTGACTAACGCAGTGGCGCTAAATAGCGCTTCGACTTGCTCTCCAGTAGCACAGGCCATTTTTGAAGTGATTTGCGAAACCGTTCGTCATGAAAGCACAATGCTGAGTCCCGGTGACGTCTGCGTCCGCCTGTACGGACAGCTTATCGCAAAAAAAAACTGTTTCACTTCTGTAATAAACTTGTGGTGCAAAAAATGCAGCACAAAGGTGTTTGTCTTGCTACACCTGCACGACACTGAGTTCTCAGCCGTGTTTTTCGTTAGGGAGTACGCATGGCAAATTTTCTTCGTAGTGGAGAACGGACAACTTGTCGTGCAAATAAACCTGCAGAACCTATGTTGCTGTGAAACACTTTTTTTCGCAGGATACGGCTGCTTGGGGAGCGAGTGCGCTCGCTGTACAAACTCCGCGCTATCGACGCAATGGCTCTCGTGCACACGGGCCAAGACGGCAGCGCGTTGGATAATTCGAAAGGACCACCAGCTGGTTCTCCGGACGACGGTACGCTCGAGGACACGGAAAAAGACGGAGTGCAAATTATTGCAGCTTTCTTCGATCGGCTCTGCTTGCCTCGGTTTCCAGAGTCCGAGGGAGAGGCGCGAGCTGACCGCCAAAAAGTCACGCTCGCACTCGACATTGCCGTGCAGCTGAATCCTGTTCTGCGACGATGCGAAGATCTCTTTTACGATTGGTTCCGAAAAACATGCAGCAGATCAACGAGCGTGTGTCATGTCAATTCCCTCGCTGATGTGACTGCCGCGGTCGCGGCGGGTGCAAAAGGCTACGGAGGCGCTATGATCTCAGATGGGCGGCATGATTCGTCGCTTCAGGAGCGTCTTCATCGTTCATATCTCATCCCGGAAATAGTCCGCGTGGCTGATAATGATCTAATGACCTTGTTCTTCGATAAGAAAACCCGCAAAGGAGAGTCAAGCCCGAGCACACCCGCGCCTGTGCCAGCAGCAGCGTTGGAACAAGAGAACGCGTCAGCGTTAGAAGGTCGGATCGAAACGGCGGGAATCGCGCTCGCCTTCCAGGAGCTGGAGAAGTCCACCCTCGCACAGATGCAGGCCTTCATGGTGAGCCGAAGAATGGAGCTGGTCACGCACATAGTCGCTGGCACCGGGGGCTGTGACGCTTTGGTCTACCCTGATTCACCACTTTCCCCTGTTCTTTCCGAAGACAAAGCCGCAAAGCTTCCTGTGGTTCCAAAACTTTTCTCCTGCTTTCGATCGGTCTTTGTGCGACAGCTCAACAGCATCGCAAAGTTTAATTTACGGCGATTTCGCGAGTTACAAAACAAGCGCGGACACTGGCAGCCCTCCCCAACAGGAAATCCCGAGGAATTTGTCGCACCGGCGGACTGCCTTGCGGCCCCGGCAGAAATAATGAGGCAACAGCGCGGCTCAAGCTCAACTACGGCCCCTCTCGACAGCACAAGCAGAGACCGAGATGAGGAGGAGCTGCCCTTCATCGTCCACGAATACCAGGCCGTGGATCTGGGGAACGTTCTCGCTCCGATGTCGCCGGAATTTCTGGCGCAAGTGGTCGCGCTCCTGAGCGATCCCTACCAGCGCAGCTGCTGGGACCTCAACATGGTGGATTTCCGGATCCTTGAGGCGATCCCCGCTGACTCGTCGACCAATTTGGTTCATCATATTTGCTACGCCGCCTGGGATCCTCCACAACACTGCCAACCGCACCTCGTCGGCGGAGGCACGCGGGACGCCGCGCTGTGCGTGTCGTGCGGCTTCGTAGCGACCGAAGTAGAGGACCAAACGTCGAAGGCCAAAAATTTCTTCGCGACGTCCTTTTCGGTGTCGCGCCCAGATGTGCCAGCAGTTCCAGGACGGCTGCGCATGCAAGTTGACGCCGACGATTTCCTCATTTCACCACAAACCGGGAGCATCGCGCACATACGCCGCGCGGATGCGCGCGGAAAGTGGCGGGATGAGCGCAACAAAGTGCTCTGGTATGCTCTCGGAGCGCGTGGCGACCGCATGCCGGTTCAAGAAGTAGTCGACGCATCTGTCACAGAGTTTGACGCCTGACGGTCACCTGTGACAAATTGCAAAAGTCGTGTCGGTGACAAATTGTCTGCGGCACCGCTCTGGAATGAATCACTTCCAAACTTGGATCGTCGCATGTTGGTGCACGTTGCCGTTCTTACCTTACCCCTTCCTCTTTTCGTTTGAAGTGAGCAGGAACAATAAGAATGCGGCGGTCGTGCCTCCATGCATGTGATCTACGACGGAAAGAATGATAAGATTCCAAAGTGACCACCGGTAGGAATTTTTATTTGTGTTCGTCGTTTTCGCAACGATCGAGAATATCAATATACGAAGACTGTGATACGGTTCTGTTGGTGCTGCAGCTGCACCACCATGATGCCCTGTATAATACTGTACGGGAAGCAGGAAGACGATTGACAGAAGAGCCGAACATTCCTAGTAGACTCTTGCTGGCAGCAAATTTTGAAAAATCTTACTTACATCTAAGGCGTGTTGGCGCTGCACGACAAGTAATCGCAGCCATGAAGCGTTGTTGGGTGCTGGGTTTGGCGGCAGGTATCGCCGTCTTTCTGTGCGTGCTGTTGATGACGAAGCTTCGGTATATTTCCGAAAAGCCTGTGGCGTCGAAAGAAATCAGCACGCCTACAGCAGCCCTCACGCGTTCACAGAGGCTGCAGGCGCTCCGCGACGACCTCGCGGGATTTCAGACCCGAATCCAATCCGGCTTCGAAGCCGTTGCGTTCGTGGAGCATGACACTGCTCTGCGTCTGCATCTGGTAGTGAAGCTGCACAAGGCACAGATCAAATACAAGATGGCCCCAGTGCGGTTGAAGAAAAAACCGGAGGGCAGCGGCAGCTTGGTTGCCAACGCGAAAGTGGAGCTCGAAGTGACGAAGGTGGGTACTAGAAGCGGGCCCGAAAAAACCCTTCTGTTTTTCGAGCTCACCGATGTCAACCTCCTCTACTACGACGAGCCAGAGCTGTTGAAACGCTTTCACTTTCTCCAGCGTCAGCACGGATGTGGTGCGGTCGTGGCGACCGACGACCGCGCTCTGCTCGCCAGCAGTCGCGCGCTCGCGGATCCAGGCGCGCTTCTGTGTCGCGACGCAGTGCAATTTTTGTTCCGCCGCCGGCCAAGCTCAGAGGAGGAGGAGGACGAGGAGGAGGGACCACCAACGTCGTCACCCGTTGCAGCAGCTACCCTGCGGTCTAAATCAGCTTTCCCCGCCACTGCCACTGCCACGTCCACGCCCACTGGCATGGCGAAGCAAAAAGTCATCGAAAGGGAGGAGGAGACCCGTGCATACGGAGCACAGTTTCGGGGACCACCCTTCCAATACCAACGCGGGTTCACCCGGGAGGACACGTCCGAAAGCGCGTTGTTTACGGATTGGGTGTGGGAGACCCCCTCCGACATCTACCTAGGGGGAGAAGCGCCCGAAGATGCGGCGCTCGCCGCCCTGCTGTCCATTCCCCTGCTATTCCTGCTCTGTTTGGTCCGATGTTTCTCCAGGATGGAGTCTGCTCTCCTTTCAGAAGACGACAGCGAAGATGCAGTTCTCCCTTCTTCAGCGTCTTCACAGAGGACCCTCGAGCGGCCGCCGACACGACGTGCGGGCTTGATGTTCACGACGAGGACCTCCAAGCTGCACGATAGTTATGCAAAAGTCGGAGCTGCATCCGAGGAGGTACAGGAGGATGATTCTGCGCTCATGATGGGCGACTACCAGACCAAGTCAACATCCACCTCCACGCCAGGAAAAACAAATCAGAGTGAACAAGGTCAGCTTGTTGTCCAGTGGGATCAGGCAAGTGTTACGGACGTATGCGCGCTCGAAAACGAAACCGAGGACGATGCGTGGAGGATCAAAAGACGCCCGCGACCACCACTATCAACCTGCCGAATCTGGCTCACGGTTGTTCTGTTGGCTCTCTGGTGCTGCGTAGCGTACACTACCGCACGTGCTTGCGGTTGGCTTGCTCACTCGCTGGTTGCCTGGATGCCACAAAAGGTGCACTGGGGTGCCAAGGATCTGCTTCAGTTTATTTGCGGTCCGCCCCCAAAGGCTGGCCCGGCAGCGTTCACGCGAAAAAGTGGTCCGTCCTTGTGTGGGGCAGAAAGCGCGGCAGTCATACGCGATTGGGAGGACCTCGCTGTCTACAATCTTAGCTTGCTTTTTCTCTGGTATGTCTTTGTGGAGAAACTGTTTACCTACACTACTTGCAATGGACGTTTGTTGGCCAGCATATTTGTCTGGTAAGATAAAGTGCACGCAGGTGGCGGGATCGATCGGTCATTTTGGAAATAAACTTCTTGGCCCCATCATCGGAAATCGCAATGCGCAACTAAGTCGCATGAAAAGCACAGGATAGAATGAATGAGCAGCGGACGTGTGAAACGCCTTAACAAAAAAATGCCCTCGGGGAGAGAAGCCGTATCCTCGGCTCCACTACCTAGTGAGAGCAACGGTCTAGGATTGAGTTCTTTAGGAGAAAAAGAACTACTCGCTCCTACTGCAATCGTTTCTTCGTGTGATTCCTTACTCGTTTCAGAATGGTTCTTCTTCTCGCGTGCAGCTACTCATACACACACAGTTAGTACTCGCACACGAAGGACGAGTTCTTGAAAACTCTGCCTGTGTCAATTGTGCCTTGTAGGGTTTTTAGATACAACTGGTCACTTGGCTGTCGTGATCTTCATTTCAAACTTTTTTTGTTATAATCGAAGAGAGAGAAAAAGCAAAAGAAACCATCGGAGCGCTTCCAAAGAAGATGAGGGCTCAAAGCACCAAACTGTCAACGAATGTGCTGTTTGATAGCACGCACATTCCAAGCTTGCGTCCCAGAACAAACATGCTCTTGTGGCAGGGGGACAAGCAGAACAGCCACCGGTGATATTGGCTGCGTATCGTGGCAGAACGTCTACCACCAACACCTACACCAATCTCGCGTTTTTTAGAATGTAAGCTTCAACTACGGAGGTGGAAAGCGAAAAAGAACAACTCGGAGTCGCTTGGTTTTTTCATAATTTATTTCACGTACATCCGACGATAAGATATTAAGACAACATGACTGGGCGCATAAAGTACAAAATTCTGCATGCCTCCTCGGAGGACCCCGAGCACCCAGTGTCCGAGCTCCTCTTCCACTCTTCCAAGACGAAAGGCTGGTCTTCTAGCAGGTTTTGCGATTATCCGCAGGAACTCGGTAAGGCCTGTATTTTTTGATATTACATGATACTAGATTTTGATTTCCGTTTGCATTAGCATTGCTTATTGCTCACGTTTGTGGTCGATCTCAACCGTTCGCTTCCGATGCATTTGAAGCGAGGACAACCAGCATTTCTTCGTCGTTCATTACACGTACGAGTGCACAGATCCAGATGCTCTATGTAAAAATTATGAGTGTGCGTCACTCAGTATACTTAATACCCACTCTGCACTCTCGCTTTTTATCTCGTCAGTACTTAGCAACGTCTGCCTACCTAGTCCCGTCATTAATTTTCAGTGCTGGTATTCGAAGGACCTGTTACCGCCCGGCAGATCCAGTTTTTGTCGCACCAATGCCGGATCGCTAGCAAAATCGAGCTGTACGTTCACGAAGAAAGCAAGGACGAGCGCACGGACCACATCATCAGAAAGTATTTTGCGGAAGATGATGTCGAGAGCCGCGGTACTATACTTTGACTTTTTCTGGCACACCAGTTGCGCGGTCACGACGAGGACCTCAATCTTTGGTGTTTCTTCATATTTGTTGGCACTAGAAGACTCTGCCGATTGAAGAAATGTTCTAGTATTGGCACTAGTTGTCTACTACAGAGATGACAGTAATAACACGACGACGACGAACCCACACCCACTTTTGCAATGTAACCAGGTGCGCTGCAGTACTATTACGAGCAGCACCGGTCGCAGTTCAAACGCTTGGGCTACCTGTCGCTGGATTCCAACGAGCGGTCGCAATTCCAGGCGCGAGAACTGAAGTCTGTCTACATCGATCACAAGGCACGGTTTCTCAGGCTACGGCTGCACAAGTGCCACCTGAACAAGTTTAACCTCACAAATCAGGTACAAGAACAACTTCGCTGTTATACTACTTTATTTCTACCTCACGTGGAATGTCCCCCGAATCAAGTGAGTAGAAATAGACCACAGAAAAGAAAAAGTATTTATATCATCTTTGAAACATATTGCCAACAACATTACCACACCAGAGCTGTTGATCTTGATTCCAGGTGAGTCTGGTCGCAATCAATGTGCTTGGTGAGAATTTGCCAATGCCGGAACCGACTAGCAATTTTTCTTCGGGGACAGGAGCACAGGTTTGCGGATAGATTTCGTTGCATTTGCTTCCACTTGTGCATATCTCGACGGAAATAAATGGAGGATATTGTTGATTTGATTTGATATGCTTTACATGGGCCACCAGGAGCGCTGTAGTGTCAACATAATAAAACATACATTTTGCTTTTGGTGAAAGTTAAATATTGTTGATCTACAACACAATAAACTTATTCTCGCGCCAGCACAGGTTCCGCCGCTTGCAAGCAGCTTCCAGAAGCCGTTGGTCGAGCCCGGCATCATGCAGGCTTCTTCCTCGTCCTCCAAAGCGCCGGATAACTACGACCCCAAGATCGCGGAAAAGCTGAACGCCCTCGGAAAGGCGAAGGACCACGCGGTAGAGATTGAGGACTACCAGGAGGCGAAACGATACAAGGAGATGATTACCAAGCTGAAGGCCGTGGCCATGCGCATTACGGAGTGCGAGCGGAAGAAGAAGCAGGCCGTGGACGCAGAGGACTACGATGCCGCGAAACGTCTGAAAGCCGAGATCGACGCCTTGTACCGGGCCGCGATTGAAGGGAGGGATCCGAACCAGGACCGCGAACAACCACCGGAGATGGAGATGCACGACGAGGTGGACCACCATCCCCCGCGAGCAGTCGGGGGCCACGGTGCTGGAGGTGGAGGTCCGGCGCCGATCTACACGAACTACGACGAGGTCAGCAGTGCAAGCAGAGGACCTGCTTCCCAGCGAGGGACGATGAATAAAGTCACCAACTCGCCGCCGATACGTCCCCGCGACGGAAGCCGCTCGCAGGTTTCCGCGGCGCCGACTAGTCCTCTGCTGCCTGCGGTGAACAACGAGGAGGTGCCCGTGGGAAACACCAGTTACAACGCGGGCTATCGGACCCGAAATAACCAGGGCGGCGGGGGCGGGGAGCAGCAGCCGCTCGGGGGATTGTCCACCTACAGCCGGGGAGGTTACGAACCTGACTCCCCCGGCACAACCGAGCCTCAGCAGCAGCACGTGGCGAAAAAATCCTACCCGAGTCTGAGCAACTTAGGCCCGGACAGCGACCCAAACTCCATTAAGGGGATGCACTTGTTTGCGGATTTGGGTGCTGCGCCCGACCCGCCGGATCATCTCCCGCCGCTCGGGACCACGGAGGGGGGCCTTCCGCCCGGGGCAGAGGAGCTGAAACCCAACGCGGAGTTGCCGGACCCGGAGCCCATATCCTCCAGTTTTACAAAAGAGGTGCAGCCATTGCTGCACGTGACCGGAGACGAGCACTTAGTCTCGTGCCTGTATTCCAAGCAGCGGGTCCTGCGCGAGCACGGCCTGACGCGGTTAACCGACGATTTGAACGGCGGGGTGTACGACACGTTGCTGGAGGACGCCGCCAGTAGCAAAGAGTTCTTGCAAGGCCTGGTGGCCTTGTTGAGGAGGACTTCCATTGAGAAAAACGTGCAGATTTTTCTATCCTCCATGCAACTCGCGCAAACGCTCTGCACAAAGGTCATCCTCGCCAACGAAGACAAAGGATTTTCCCTGAAAAAGGTACACTCGCCAAAACAGTTTGAGAGCTTCCGATTTCCGTGCTTCACCTTGTTTTTATTTTTTCTCCGCATGCACTTGCAGTTGCACTGATCCATTTTTAGCAACTGTTCCTACGAATTCCTGCTCAGGCGGACGCGCAACCGCAGCTCGACAGCTACATTCCAATGCTTGTGGAGCGGCTCGGGGAGACAAACGCGCGCTGCGCACAAGCCGCGGGCGATGCCGTGCTATCATTTGCGCTGTGCCCCAACGTCGGCTGCACCTTCGTCGCACAGTTTCTGATGAAACCGATCGTCTCCAAATCAAAGAAAGTATACTAAACTCATATTTTTGTACATAAGGATAACTCTCTTCGATATTTTTCAGCAACAAAGATAAAACACGGACCGTAAACGCATGGGAGTTCTTTGCGGCCTTAGCAGGCATGGATGCGCCGGCATGTCGCACTCTAGAGAGAACCTACCTTGATCAACATGTTGACAGACTTGTTTTACTTGCACGACGGACTAATAAATCTAAATCGTATCATGAAGGTGTTTCCGCAGAAAGTGTACTGCAACCGCATCAAGCTGCTGACCATTTTGATGCAAGAATCGTCTGGGGAGTCGATTCACGAACAGTTGTTGTCCGTCGCCATGGGCTGGTTTGACAATCCCAACCACGAAGTGCGGCAGTCCATCGTGGAGCTGGTAGGTGTGATCTACGGAAAAACCGCGTCCTACTCGGTGGTAGAGCCCTACTTGGCGGACCTCCGCCCCGCCCAGCGCGAGGTGTTCGAGGCAGAGTTCGAGCGGGTCGGCGGCGAGGACTTTCTCTTGGAGAAAAAGGCCTCGCAGCTGCTCCACGCGGCCCAGCAGGAGCAACAAACGACCGTGCCCGCCTCGAGTAGCAGTTCATCCACATCAGGCCCGTCGAAGCAACAGCCGAAAAAGAAAGCCAAAAAACCAGTGCCAGGTGCTGGCGGAGGAACTACGACAGGTGGCGTGGCAGCAGGGGCGGTTGGGGCCGGCGCAACAGGAGCTTCCAGCTCCGCGCCCGCAGAACAGCCGGCGGCCTCCGCGGCAGACGGCGGCGGCCCGGTGGAACTCGTAGAGGACGGCCCGAGTGTGTACGAACCTCCACCGAGTGGCGACGCGAACGAAGAGCAGCACATAATAAGCAAAGAGGTCAACCTAGAGGGGGCGCACGCCGAAGTGGACGAGTTTGAGTGCCAGTTCTGCCACCTAAAGGACCCCTCTTTCACGCCCGAGGTCCTGGACCTGCACTACTGGAAAGACTGTCCACTGCTCATGGAGTGCCGCTTCTGCCAGCAGGTCATTGAGATCTCCAGCTTGCGCTCCCACTTCTTGGAGGAATGCGAGCATTTTCCCATGAGTGAAATTTATGAACAGGTATAATTTTTTATTTTGGCTAGTCAGCGTGGTGGACTACCGTTTTTGATGTTGGAATGAGTGATGTCTGAGCTGCGAGGCCCAGACGTCAGACCCCAGCACAGTTGGATAAGTACAAACATCGATCCTATATGCGACAACCACTCTTCGACTACGCTGTCACAGACCCCGGACGGCGCGCCTCCTGTGCTTCCGCCACCCGGTGCCTGCCCTTTATGCTTGGAGCCGGTCCAGGAAGACGAGTGGAAGGACCACCTGCTGGCCTGTGAAAAAAACCCGCGGAAGTTCGGCACAATCTCCGCCGCATAACAAATATGAAAAATACTGTTTAGTTTATTGCACAGTCCATCTTGAGTTTTTTGACACAGGCGTTGGCCTTCAACACGTCTCTTGAATTCGAACTTTCTTTCTTCTTCAGGTCGCAGTAACACAACTCTTCTACACTGCACAATGCTACTTCTAGGAAGCGAGTTCTGCGCGACAGTTCCATTCGGATGTCGACAAATGACATGGACGCGCAGGATAACGAGCTGCAATGCCACTTGCTCCTAGGAATCAGCATGGTATAACTCTCGTGACGCAGTAAATCTAGTGATCGCAGTATTCCGAGCAGCCCTCAGGTGTTGCAGATGCCAATCGCGAAATTGATGTATGACGCAATGAATTGCTAAGAAACGATGGTGAATTTTGCCAAGTCGATCGCTGACCTGCCCTACATGCGGCCTCTTGCTCTTGACTGCCCAAGACGCATCTGCGCTGCGTAGCAAACAAAATCGATTGCACAGTCGCAAAAGCGTCACCATCAGCTTTGGAAAAAACTCATGTGCGTGCAGAGATCTATTCGTTTTCTTTTCGCCGGCCAGCGCCACCGGGAGCAGGAAAAGACCATAATGCACAGTGCGCTTGCCCATGACGCCGACGAAGATCTTTTGGATAGAGAGCTCACTCGCCGCAACCTCAAATTAATCAACACACTCGCGATCTTGACATATCATCGTTGCATATAAGTGCGCCGGTTTCAGCATTGAGGAACGACGCGCACTGTTTTTTTCATCGACATCGCAAATCGCAACAGGGTTTTTCTTTTTTAGCTGGTATGTAAGGCACCGCCGTGGGGCAAGAGTGACGGTCACGTTTTGAAGCATAACTTCAAATGGGTTCGTATAGGTGGGCCCCATAATCTCCTGGATTAGTGCTTCACTGCGCCAGCCATGCCGACTTACGCAGAATTCGCTCTCCCTTGATGCAGGTCTGGTCCGTGCTGTTGTGATATGTGGCACGCACTATCGAGTCCATTCATTGCCATGAGTCGAAGATTTAAGTACAACTTACTACCATTCCAGAACCCCTACCCGTTTCTTTTACCCTGCTGTTAACAAGCTACTACACTTCGTCGCTGCTGCGTTTCGGTTATTTTCATTTCTTCATCATAACATAAGCCTACGAAAAAAGAAAACGAAAATCAAAATGTCGCGGGCAGCAGATGCGCAGTCGAAGAAGAAAGATCAAAAGGCCGCCATGGCCGCTACCCGCGACAGAAAAGCTGAGCTGCTTGCCATGGGATTGACCTCGACAATGAAGAAGCAGATCGGCGACGACGCCTTGTTGTGCGTCGGTTGTGGCGCAACCAAACACGGGCCTTTGCGATGCGACTGCCGGGGCGGCAGCTCCAAGCCCACCGCGGATTTCGATGCGCTTCCCTACCTGATTGCGGCCGCAAAGGCACGGCATGAACAGCAAAAGGAGCAGGACAAGCACGACCACGCCCGGCACCAGGCAGAAAAGGAGAGGGAAAGGAAGGGGAGGAAGGAGAACAAGGGCGAAGTGGATTTGGATGCCGAGTACGACGAGGTGGACGGCGTCGAGATTCGACAACTCTTGCAATTCCCTGTGGGCAAGCTCGGGATGGACATCGAGCGCAACGTAGTGGTGAAAGTCTCACCCGAGGGGAACGCGCACGACCTCAAAGTTCGCGTTGGTTGGGTCATTGCCGAGGTCGATGGTGTCGCGGTCGTACCAGACAAGAAAAAAATTATTACCGCGCTCACGAAGGTTTTCAAAGCGAATAAACCCTGTCCGATCCGATTCCGCTGTCCGCTCTCAGAAGAGGAGGAAGCTGCCGCCTACTGGTTTTGCTTCCGGTGCGACAAGTTCCTGGAACAGGTGGCATTCGATGCACAGTCGATGGCTGACAAAACCGCGGGGCAGCGGGCTTGCGCCAGTTGCGAAGAATGCGCTGACATGTTTGACGATGACGACGAAGACGATTATTAACCATGTGCGAGAGGAGCAACAAGCCTTGTTCCTACTTTTTACCACCGAAAGAAACCAAAACCTCGCTCCACTCTCAAGGAGAAAAGCGAAAGCCACGACACCGCGGTGCGCGACCACATGTATATATCTGTATCATGAAAGGGCGGCGATAATTGACGTATTATTGTGGCACATGCTGGACAAGCGCTGCTGATGTTCCGTGATGGTCCGAATGTGTTCAACAAACAGTGCGCATTTTTTTCAGTTTGTAATTCCAAAAAAAAAGAAAAAACGCCATGCTCCGGCCCCGTGGCTTCTGCAATCAGGTGCAACAAAAGATCACGCTTTTGGCCATCGGAAAAAGTTTCGCACAGGTCTCCGCTTGTTGAAAAATCACGATGCCATTCTTTTTTTCCCTGAGAAGACCCGGCCCCGTAGTGATCGCGCTTGGGCCTGACATCGCTAGGAGTAGTTCTTAATGCGACAGTATTACATGGACCTCTGAAAAGCAAAAACTAAGAGAAACCATTCAAAGCACTCATTTGTATGTTTTTTCACCACTATGACCAGTGACCCGGCTACCAAAATCCACGACGCCGTGGCACAAGGTAACCTGGCGAGTGTGCAAGCGCTACTGGATGAAGACGAAGACCTCCTCAACGCGCTGAACAATGATAAGCAAACGCCAATCATGATCGCAGCAAAGCACGGTGAGGCAACGGTGGGGTCCATACTGGTATACACAAACATAGTATTGTGGATGAGACGAAGTGCAACAGAGACTGTACGTTGAGAAATAGAAGTAGTTGTGGCCAACAAGTCCTCAAATTCTATTTGATAAAAAACAAAGAAAGGAGGAGAATTCACATTGATTGAAGCACAACATTCGCTCGCCCTCATCAATATTACGGACTGTCAACGGACACTCCCACTCGCTATAAACGGAAATATTAATAGGCGGAATGTGGCGCGGACCTCCAGGCACAGGACGCAGAGGGGAACACGGCACTGCACTACAGCTGTCTGCACAACAATCGATTAGTTACGTCGATGCTGCTGTGGGGCGGTAGCGAGCGCGATGTGCAAAACGGCGCGGGAGATACCGCACTGCACGTGGCCGCGCGCGTTGGCGCGCACGACTCAGCCTGGCTGCTACTCGAAAACGGCGGTGAAAAGTCAAAAGAAATCAAAAATCAAAAGGGCGAATGCCCCCTCGACATCGCAGTCACATCCGGAAACGAGCAACTCATAGAACTTCTAAAAGCGGATGGCTAAGCACAAGATCAAGACGCTTTTGCCAAGTTTTTCACGACGTCGTTTTGTATGCGCATGTAGAGCTTTGATAAACCGATTGTCCTTGTGCAGCTCGGAATCATTCAGCAGGCAGTGAAGCAGCGAGACAAGCCAGCTCATGTATTGATGCAGCAAACACCCTCAACAGCCTATCGTATCACATAATTCCGGCACACATGGGGCTAGATAAACTGTTCCTCTCGGCGTAGAAGACCTGGCATATGATCTTCAAGAAGTCATGCGGATCAGCACAGTTCATCTTCATCAGGTTTGCTTTCTCTTGGACAATTCTGCCGAAATTACAACAAAATTTGGCGGCAGTCAGTGTTAGAAATGAAATCAGTGCCAATCTATGAATAGCCGTAGAAGCTCATAGACCAAAAGAACTATCTAATTAATTTGTTTCTGCATTGCCTGTAGCTTTGCCTGCCGTATCTCTTATCTGTGTCTATCTCTATGCATATGCACCTACGACCTGGCTCCACTCGTTCTGTTTTTGCATTACTAGAAGTTAGTTTCGTGCCCTGTATGATAAATTCACTGAATTGGTACAAGTAATTTACTTAGTTTGAGCCCATATCTTCATCTCCTATCACCGTCCGTGTCTCGTCTCTGCGTGCATAGCGATGTTTCCTGGAAAATGTATAGCCCACGTGTTTCATCTCCTTCTGTTTCTTACAGTAACGAAGATGCCAGAATTGGTACAGAGCGCGTTCTGTTGTGTCAATAACCCTGCCGGGGTGTCCAGCCCCAAGGAGACTTTCCTGAGCAGAAAACCCTCTATCTTCCACGATGACGACGCCGCGATCCAGTCGATTATCTATGACAAGCCGCCTGGGGCGACCTTCACCCCGGCATCAGATATTTTTAAGATCCATTGGAGCGGCGTCACGGTTGGGGAGGCCAAACAGCGGATCCGGAACCAGCCCGGCCACGTTCTGGTGAAAGCCACGCACATCAGCATTCTACCGCTTGCGCGTGCGCACCTAGACTTCAGTCGCACGGGCGGCATCGATACCGGCGCCAAGGATCTGGGCCTTCCAGCCACCGCAATCGGCGACGAAGCAGCAGGGGAGTGCGTCACGAGAGTAATTGCCTCGAACGCCGAGGGTTACGAAGTGGAGGACTTGCTTTACATTCCCGGCGCTGTTTTCGATTACAGAGTCGTGCGCGCCGACGGACAGTATTATTTGTTGTCCCGTCGTCACCCGTTGTTCATGTTGATGGTATCGTTCCTGGTTCTTCATCTTGATCGTCCAGTATTAAGCTACCAAACTCACCTACAACTTGTTCACCTCGTACCGTCCGAACGTACGAGTTTGCGTCTAAATACCACACATCTTATGCTGTCCCAGTTCCAGAAAGAAATGTCAGGAACAAATGTCCTGTTTCTGACATTAATTTAGTAGGCTCGTGCTCGTCTCAAGCTGCACCAGCGACACAAATATAAAAAATTGCAGGAATCTTCAAAGCAAACGGCCGCCGACGAAGCTTCCTCCCGGTGTCGACCCCACGGTTTATCTCGCCGCATTCACGGTACCCGGCGGTGTGACTGCCTACCTCGCGTCAGAGCACAGCAACGTTGCGAAGGTCCTCGCGGCCGAACAGCAAGCCAGGGCCGCTTCGGCTGAGACCCGCGGTGTTCCTGCTCCAACAGACAGCGACTCCCCGCCCGTCGTACTCGTTTCGAGCGCCGCTGGGGCGGTGGGCCTATCGATAGGGCAGTTGTACAAAATGAAGGGCTATTTTGTCATCGGATCAACTTCGACGAGAGCGAAAGCCGAGCGGTTGACCACCGAATTCGGGTTCGATGCCGCAGTGGCCTACCAAGAGCGCGACGTCGGAAGCGAGGGGAGCTTTGAGGAAGGACTGCGCGCCGCGGCTTCCGAGGCAAATGGGAATCACAACGGGCTTATCGACTTTTTCGTTGACAACGTCGGCGGAGAGCAGCTGGACACAGCGCTGCGCCTTATGAAGCCACAGGGAAAAGTTCTGACAATCGGCGCCATCAGCGAGATGGAACGCTACAGCACCGGCAACGTGCGGGGCTGCAAAGAGTACCTGCGAATCCCGGCGAGAGAGCTCCTGTGGGGTGGCTTCATGGTACGTACTTGATCATATCTGTTGCTTTTGCCCATGATAATTCTGATTGGCTGACACCCGCAGCCACAGCCAGGTGAAGAGTAAGACGACCTACTTGCTTTCATCCCGAAGGTTGCATTTTTTCTACCATTTTTGCCCTACATGTTGTTCTCTGTGTTTCCCGTTGTTAACAGTTCGCAATACAACAAAATAGGTGAGCGCGCACTTGCAACTCGTTCCCGAAGCCATCTCGAAATTGACCCAGTATGTCGCGGAGGGGAAACTCAAAACCGCTGCAACTGTAAAACGCGGCACCCTTGAGACATGGTTTTCCGCGGACGACGAAATGCACAAGTCCCAGGGTTTTGGCCGGACAATTCTGGAGTTGATGTGAGATCTCCGCACCTGGTTGTACTCTCTTTTTGTAAAGTGACATGCGGAGCAGGAATCCGAAGGCAGGCGTTCTTGCGATGACGGCAATAGAAGCTGGTCGGTACTTAAGTACTTACTTACTTTGTGCCGAGTGGTGACAATTTTTGAACTCTGGTACAAACGAAAAAAGCGCCCGAGCTATGAGATCCATCTCCGTAGGTAACAAAGTTTTCTGACGATATAAGTGAATATCTACACCAAAAGATCATGCTCATGCATGAAAAACACAAATGAACTCGTGCATTTGAGCGCCTGAGTGTGCATTTGAGTGCCTCACATGGGAATTTTGAAAGGAGTTTTTGCATCGTAAGTACGCCTTTTCTTCGAAAAAGAAGGGTAGAACCATTGGAGAGGCGTTCTAAATTCAATGCGGGCAGTGATGAAGTGTGTTTGCGAAAAGACAAGTAAGACAGGGGAAAGTATGTGCACGATTCTGGAACGCATGATCTACTTTCGTGAGCTTTTGATACCGGCACGGATACGCGTCACGGTTTACAATACCGACGGACAAAAATGCTCATGCTTCTGCTGTTCGCCACTGAGCTGATGCTGAGGTGCAGCCAGCACGATTCCCATATCTTTCCCGCCGAGTTGTCATATCATTTAATGTCATGTCTTGTATAATGGCTGAACTTTTGGGTGAGCGTGACGAGTGACCTGAAGGCTACAATACTTCCAGAGCATTTCTCCGATCTCACTGTGAGTGTTCGTTCGTGACGAGAAAGTATGGCTACAGGTACAACAAAATCTACAAGTTCGCACAGCACTTTTAGCAAAATTAACATGTTGATCCGCGTCAGCAACTCTGCCTCTATTCAAGAAATGAATAAACCTGAGACATTTAGACTGATAGTCTGTGTTGACTTCGTACACTTGATCACGCGGATATTTCTGTCAGATCGTCCAGCAACAGGAATAAATGATAAAACGAACGTTTGCGATGTGCGAGTGCGATACTAGACTTGTTTTCATCGAACCACAGCCAATAAATCATTAAAATTCACTGCGGGACGAAACAGCATGGCTGGCGAGTCCGAGGCAAAAACACCAGCAGCGGAAGGGCCACCGCAAGACCCAAACCTTCGGCCCTTTCACCTAGCCATTCCCGTACACGACCTCGCAGAGGCAAAAAAGTTTTACGGAAGCGTCCTGTGCCTGCCAGAGGGCCGAAGTTCGACAAAATGGCAGGACTATAATCTGTTTGGGAACCAGCTCGTGGTGCATTGGGTCGGAGAAACATACCGCGGGCAGGACTTCTTCAATCCCGTAGACGGGGACGAAGTCCCGGTTGCGCACTTCGGCGCCTGCCTTACGGCCGCGGAGTTCGACGAGCTTGCCGCCCGACTTCAAGCGGCGCAGGTGAAATTTATCATCGAGCCCCACGCCCGTTTCGTCGGGCAACCGGGCGAGCAAAAAACCATGTTTTTCAAGGACCCGTCGAACAACAACCTAGAATTTAAGGCCATGAAGAACCCGTCTTACCTTTTTGAAAAAGCTGGAACTTATTAATGAAACGATGCCCCCGCCTAACGAGGGTTTGGTGCACGATCATAGCACAGTAGCCGGGGACACTTGTTTCTGGCGTTTCGTTCTGCGCAGAGTATCGACATGCGCAACGACCTCTGTGCAAATGAAACTGCTCACGTCGAAAGACGTAGAGAACGATACGGAAGGTGGCAAAATGAAACACGAGCGAACTTCAACAGCAAAAGAAAAAGCACCAGGGCCGTTTCTTTCACAAGCTTGTTCCACATTGAATTTTTGTTCTACTAACTTATTTCGGATGATTACTATACTATCTAGACTAGCTCCAGGCGCATCCCACCTGATGCGGCATCGAACACCCGTAATTGATAAAGTTTTTCGGTCGTCTTCGTCGTGCAAGAAAGAGAACTCCCGAGCTTGCAGTGTCGGTCTTCTATCCAATTATCCAGATTCGAACACGTGAAATGTGCCTCGGCCTGACTTTCTGCACATTTGACACTGACTCGGTTGAAAGCAATTATCATTATTTCATCGGTACGGCATAGTCGTCCGACACCGCCGCTAGCGTCTATGTATCTATCTATTTGATCATTACAACGAGTGCGTTGCACTGGTGTCATCGGTACAAGGAAATCTGAATTCATCCTCATTGCATTTGCAATGGCAGCGAAAAGTACTATCCTCATCAGCATCCGCCCAGTCACATTTGTCCATTGCAGCAAACTCCAGGAACTAGCTAGATACCACCCCCCCCTCCCGACGGCTTCCTCGAAGCATGATTGCAGTACCCGTAATATACCGAATTTCGTCCCAGTATGTGCAACATTTAAAAATCTGTGGCAATGTGTTTTGTCTCCGGACAACATTCGGTCGTGGCCGCGTTCATTAATTCCTATTTCTCGTTCCGATGATTTTCTTGACATATCCTTCCATCCTGTGAGAAAATGAGTTCGAATCAAGGCAGCAATTCCGCCGTTGTCACGGGAAGCAACGGGGATGGCAGCACATCCAGCGAGAACACGCTTCTGTTCGGGCTTCTGATCGTCGTGGCGGTGTCGGTGATCGGATGTTTTTCCTATTGTTCCACCGGAACCATGAACCGCGTGGCCGCCGTGATCAGCATCACGTGTGAGCTGGTGTGCGACAGCTGCACGCAAGGCTGCCGCAAGCGCAAGCCCCGTCGGCATGATTCCCCGTCTTCCAACTCTTCTTCCGGTTCAAGAACGGGCGCGGTGGAATCTTCTAGGGCACCACTCCGAGGAGATAATGCTGCTGGTGCTGACGAGGAACCCGAACCGGAAGCTGATGAGGAGACCGGCAGGATCAATCACTACGAACAAGAAAACCCCGACGTCCAGACCGGGGGTCCGGTGCAACTCGAGCTCGCGACGCTCACCGAGCACCGCGCCGACGATGGTGCAACAACCTCGACTTTGACAGACACTGCAAAGAGAACCAGCAGTCCCGGTTCGCTCAGACAACTGCTCCCGCTCACGATAAAAACTTCTCTCGCCAGCGCCGTTTCATCCGACGAGAAGCAGGCGGTCGGGGAAAATGGCTCCGCGGGAGCGGTAGGGGTAGACGTTCGCGCGAGGGCGGAGGATTCAATTGTGATCACGATTATCGACGATTGCGACGCAGTCAACGAGCAAGATGCTCGGGGAGGTGGACCGGAAACTAAAATTTCCAATGTGCTGCCGGATGGTGTCGGTGACGAAGCAAACACCACGTCCGCCGCAGAGAAGACAACAGAGATGAGCAGTGATCACAAACAAAAAGTACCCCACGCGCATGACAAAGATGCGTCTTCGGTTGTTGAACAAGTGCTAGTACCCCAACATGGACATGCAACCGGGAGTCGCGACATGCCACTGGCGTTGCGGCCGAAAGAAGAACACGCCGGTGGCGCGGACACGCCGGCCGCCGCTTCCGTCGCCGCCACCTCCGTGGCCGCCGCGTCCGCCGTCCCTTCGGCAGTGTTTAGCGACCTCCGCAGAGACGATGAGGAGTGGGCTGCAAGCACGCTGCAAATCCGCGGACACTACGTGCTAAACGAGTGGGTCCGAAAGGAATCCGTCCTCGCGGTTGATCCGCCACTGGTGCCGCTTACGCGAACCTTTGCAGAGGAGCTGGCGTTGACAGTGGACGAGATGAAGCGAAACCGCAGCAACCCAAGCACGCCGAAGAGGTCGGCTACCCCGAATCGTTCCGTCACCCCGAATCGAGGAACCGCTACAACTCCAACGAAAGCCGGCGCTACAACGCGCACCGCCGACGTTGAGGAAATCGGAGTCGAAGAGGCGGAAATAATGAAGCTACGGAGCGAGCGCGAAGCTGCCGAAAAGGCGAAGCTGCGTGCCTTGATCGCGGAAATGTCATCGCCGATTGGCGCAGCCCTCGGCTTGAACGCTGCGACGCCGTCCTCTACTGCGGACCTCCCGGGCAATAAAGCTACCGGACAGTTGGTTCTGGGCCCGAAAACGTCGACCTTTGGTCGTGGCGCAGAGACGCCAAGCGGCCGGTCCGAGCGGAGTTACAAGAGTGAGGGGCTGCAGTTTGGCCCGCAGACTCCCCGTCCGCAGGCGCGCCTCTCCGTGACCGACGACTTGTTGCTGAAGGCGCTGGGCAAACTGGAAGACGACTGGTGGCTGCGCAGGCCGGGCGCGGAGGAAACCACCACGGGGGTCGACTCCTCCGGCAGCGGCAACAACAGCGACTCCCCGTCGACCAGCAATAGTAACACGAGCAACAGTAACAACAGCAAGGAGAACTACAAGTCCCGCGCCGTTGGTCTGGGCAACAGCACGCCGCGCCCAAGCAGCTTGATGCTCGAGCCGCTCACGAAGCACACGTCCAACAAGTGGCTGAACAAGTTCGCAGAACCCGAAACGGGTATCGCGCTCACCTTCAACTACAACATGAACTTCCCGAGCCAAAACTACAACTACCCGATCGAGCCCCCGAAGACGAGTTCGGAGAAGAAGAAGCGGCTCAAGCTGATTAACCAGCAGATGGCCCCGGAGATCACCGAGGACGAGACGGATCCCTTCAACCGTATCTGGCTCTCCAACTCCTTCTCTACCGAATTTCAGCGCAACAGCGAGGCCCTGACCGAGGCTCGCAGCTGGCGCGCCCTGCACCGCGAGACCGTGGAGAACCGGCAGCTGCGCAAGATGGTGGAGTCGGTGGACATGCTGCTTGCCATCTCGCAGGAGAAACTCCGCGACGCGGTCCTGAAGCAAGACGTGGCGGTCACGACCCCGAAAAAGACGCCGCGAACGCCGACTTCTGAAATAGCGGATGAACCAGAAACTTCTACAAGTCGTCGCGCCGCCACGCCCCCGGCAGCTGCCTTCCCACCTTTTTCAACGTCTTCCGCTGCGGGTGCTGCAATTTCGTTGGACCAGCAGCGCGTGGCCGCAGCTGTAAACTACGCCGCGGACGAGAAGAAGTACTTTCCGATATTACAATGAAAAATGCCCCCACCCCAGCTCTTGGTAGCATTTGTATTGCAAACCTTTCCAATGTATGGAAACATTCCCCGTCTTGCATCTATCAGCATCACAAATTTTCCATGCTGAAGAGCGCAAATTTGTGATGCAATGGAGCCCAACAGCAGGCGGATCTCTGATGCAAAAGATACCTTGCACAACTAGACTCTGCATCAGAAAGGCTTGTAGTGGTCCTTTCATGCAAGACAAAAAGCTTTCATATTCATTTGGAAACTTTGCATGAGAAACTTTTGCAAATTCCGGGGTGGGGGCATTTTTCACTTTGATATCCGAACGTCGTGCAGCAGCAGATCCTCGCCGACGTCAAGTGGCAGCAAGAGCACGAAAACAAGCACACGAACACAAACCAGGAACATCAAAGTTCAGCTACGTCTTCGTCCGCTGAAGCCGACGGTGGACGACGTGATGAAGATGATCATGACCAAAACATTCTGGACTGGTCGTTTGGCCAAACCGCGTCGAGGTCGTCGCGAACGCCCTTTCCCTCGCCGAGCGCGATCCAAAAATTTGGTGGAGACAAGAACGCGGATGTTGAGAAACAAGCAACACGTGCGGCGTCTCATCACCTTGGTCTTGATGTCACCAGCGAGAAGGCAGCAAAGAAAGCTGCTGGCGGTCATCTGCAAATGGAACAACCTGGCGACGACGGCGAGGCTGTTCGCGAGACCTGGGTCTTCGATGTAGTCTCCGCGGAGAATCTGCAGGAAGACCCGGAAGAAAACGGCCGGCGTTCTTCCCTAGCGGTGGATGAGATCGAGGAACTTCAACCTTCGGCAGCGACCGCTCCCACGACACCTCCTCGGCCGCCAGGGAAGAGCGCTACAAAACGGCGTATCACGAGCGAGCCAGAAGCTGCCTCTCGACGACCAAGTGAAGAGCGCGGCTTTGCCACAGAAGTGCTATCAGACCACTCGGACACCACGCGAGGCAGAGCCGTTTCGCAGCAAGAGCAGCACGAGGACCACCACCACGACCTTCAATTGCAGTCTTTGCCGGCGCGTAGCAGCGTTATTCTTGACTTAGACAACGCACCGGGTCGTACACGCTCGAGCACCATAATCGCTGAGCAAGGCGAGGAAGTAGACGAATTTGCCTTTGCACGAGAAGCAGAGGAGGAGCAGGAGGACGACAAAGACGAAGGAAGCAGCGACCATGAGGACGACGATTTCAGCGAAAACAAACACTCGTCTGGTTCTGAAAACGACGAAGATGGTGCAGCGGTCTCATCCTCGTCTTCCTCCGCTGATCAAAGTAATGGATCGGAAACATCAATCTCCTCCAGGAGCAAAGCGAACTCCGAACAAAACGTGCTGATTCACGAGGATTCCCCGGCGGATGGTCCGGACGCTGCCTCGGAGCAGGACTTGGTGGACCTCCCGGACGACGATATGGACTTGCGCAGCGAGGACACCCAGCATACCGTCTCGCAGTTCAGTGACAGCCAAGCCGACTACGCCACCGAGGCTTCGTCCGACGTTCTGATTCGCATTAACACGGCACTGCTGGAGCCCAGGCTTGAGCGTTTCGCGAGTGCGTTACCCGGTACGGAGGCAGATTGGGAGGGTGCTGAGGATTCCGAGAACAATGAAGAGGAGGATCTGCTTAGCGCAAGATCGGAGTAGAAGAAGCAAGTTCTTTCACATAATAATTTATTATGTGGGCGGGAAGAGTGAGAACAAAATGGATAAAAGAATTGCGAAAAGTTGTAAGCTGCCAGATGCGAAGACGGAGTGATGATGACACATTGACTTCATGCTTACACTCGCGCACAGTTGCAAGTCAATGTTGCGAATCCTTTTGCTTCGAAGCGCCCGCCGTCTTGATTCTCACGAAAGAATCTACATGAAATTTGTCAGACGCCCACACACTGACTGGACACCCTGGGCGTTGCATGTGTGTGCATGCCGTGGTGGAGATGGAACCAAACCATACCTGGATTGTTCTCGTACTCAGGATCGATGAAACCACACCAGGAACGCTGATTCAGCCTACATTGATCGAGTAAGGCTTAAGTTTTCTGCAGAGCGAAAAAGACAGAAAGAAATCGCACAGCCACGACAGAGAGCGGGAGAGGCAGAGTGTGCGCGTTTGTGCCTAGGAGACACGCAATGCGGCTCGTATGAATGTGTTGTAAAATTCTGACCCATATAAATCTTTTTCCAACTGCTCCAGGCCTCCACTGACTTAGAATCTTCTAACTACGTATACTACATCACGCACCGCCTGTACGCACTGCTTTCCTTGTCTCCTTGGTGCAAGCTTTTCAAGCTGACAACGAACAAAAAATGACCAAGTGTCTCACCTTGACGTGCAGCTTCTCCATCGTCAATACTAATGTACGTACCAAGCGCGGCACGGCATCTTGACTACGCGACAAGAGCGCAGCTGCAGCAACGCAAGCTACGTCTTCTACTCGAAGTGGAACACAGATTACCTGCGGACACTAGCACAGACACACAGCTTCTAACACAACAAGTTCTTCTTCGAACATTATAACGCATCATGAAGAAAATTTTCTGAATTAGTTATTCTCATCATCACACAACCAAGGGGTATGTAGTACATGGTTTAGATGTAAGCCCCAGACCGTCGGACAAGGTCCACCAGCGCACTACAAGTGTGTCGTGGTGCAACTACTTCGACACGGCATCCCGACGACCGCCGCAGCATTTGGCGCAGAGAACTCAATACCAAATACGAACTTTTGGACCGCACTAGACCAGTATCGAGTGCAAATATGTCTGGGTCTGGAACAGTGCAGAAGTTTGTCACGCAGCTTGTCCATGCCCTCTATACAACAGGTATGATAATATGTGGAATGCAGGGGCTAGCATCACAGATTCGACGGCGGGAACGCGTTAGCAATGCCTACACTTCTGCATGAAAAGTAACACCCAATTCAGCATGGCCAGGAATAGCATCATTCATCGCAACGCATGCCAGACAAATTGAAATTTTTGTGTGACCGGCACCAGGACGCGTCACAAGTGTGCGCTTTGATATCTCCAGACCCAGGTCGATATTTCCCACGCAGAGCCCGCATGTCGAAGCAATTTCAGGTGTTCGACGTCGGGGGCGACGTGTTTACTCTGTCCGTCACCATCGCGGACGGGAAGGTGCTGCAGAGCACCTACTTCACCCCGGAGGAGGGCATTTTCCTGAAGGAGGCGATCCGCAACAAAAAGATCGACGTGGTCACGGGGTTGAACCTGCAGATCTACCTGCGCACGGTGTACGACCCGGCCACCATGGCCACCGCGAAAATGTACGAGAGCGGGGACGTGCCCATGAGCCAGGTGGCCAAGGCGCGCAAGAGTACGAAATTCGTCATGTTTCTGCCCGGTTGGCGGACGGACGAAAATTTGACCACCAGCTGGTGCTGGATGAAGTTCGCCCCGCACCTGGTGAAGAACAACTTCAACTGCATCTTCCTGGATCTCCCGGGGTTTTCCAAGTCCACCGTGGGCTCCATGAGCCGCTGCTCGCCGGACAAGTGGAAAAGTTTCGACGTGGACGTGATCCGGGTGGTGCTGGAAACGCTTAAAATTCCCCGCGTGCACCTCTGCTCCTGGGGAGACAGCGCCAACATGGTGCTCAACTGCCTCAAAAAAATCCCCAAGATGCTCGCGGTACGCCACATCATGCTCTATCCCATGACTAAAAACGTCTCCACCCCATGATTGTCCGTGATTGGTATCAATCTCTGCAGCACAAATAATTTGGGAGTCACCCACGCGCGACACGTTTTGCGCTCGATTGTAGTGTAGGTTAGCAAGGACAACCGCGTCACAAATAAAGCCATCTCCTTGCTCTATTTGCAGGATCGTTACAGGGCAAAAATACGACTGAAAATACTCTTCTGTTCTTGGGCGGGATGCGCGTTGCACGTGTTCCAGCAATTGCAGATCTGCATGACAGCGCAGGCCTAGGGCAGAGGTGGGGTGCAAATTGTAGTACTGCAATTCCTCCTTCAGCATGACAACAACTCTGGATATTTATGGGACGTTTTTACACAGGATACGTTCGCACCCATCCTCACCGGCTACGACCTACCAGAGTGCACAGCTCCCCCTCCCCCTCATTTGGCATGCACAACACATTAACTCGCCCACCCCTTGCCTTTTAGCACTGCCTGCATCACAGGTTACGGAACCATAAAAAGGACTACAGTCCATGTGTGGATTTAACATGCAGACACTGCATTCGCGTCCGGTCCTTGCTCCTGTTGCTGCTCAAGGCATTCATTCATATCATTGAGCGGGAGGGGGAGTTGTGCACTCGGATACGACGTCGACACGGTATCGAAACTCTTGTTGCAGACCGCGAACACGGTATTCCTCGCGCACGACCCGAAAACCTACGGCGATAAGTCGCGCGAGGTTATCATGTTCAAGGTCTCCGACACACTGGCGATCTTTGAGGAAATCGCAAAACGGTCCAAACTCCTGGCCCACCAGATCAAGTTTGGCACGCTCACGGCCAGCGATCTGAAGCGCGTGATTCTCTCCGAGTCGCCGGATCCGGGCTTGCCCTCCGTCTGTGGTTTGGTCCCGAGCAAGTACTTCCTCGTGTACACGTGCGAGTTCCTCTCCGGCACCAACGTCGAGGTGTATAACTCCCAGGACCTTCTCGGCCGGCTCGACTACCTGGAAAGGCTCAAGCAGCACATGAGAAAACAACAAGACAAGATGGCACTCATGGCGGTAAGTATGTAATGCTTATCTTTCATCGCCCGAGCCGCTTTTGCTTTTCTCTTCTTACGATCGGCATCGGCAATCATGCAAAATAGATTCGCCGAAGATGATGGGCAAGCATGACAACTAACTTCAAGGCAGTCGTGTGTAGTAAGTACTTACTTCCCGACTGCTGTTTCATTTTCTCATCGAGACATCATACTAAACAACAGGATAAGCAAATGACGGACTCGCAATTGGCTGTTTTCCAGCGGTTTCAACAGCAGGAGCAGAATTTCGGAGCCGAGGCGATGATGAACGTGCAACACAAGGAGACACAAGATGAAAAATACAAGCGGTTGTCCTTCTGGAAACTTAAGAAGACAACTCCGGAATACAGTTTTGGCGTGCGGTATCTTTTTGTTTTCGGTTGATATCAGCTGCACTTCTGGAGTGTTTTATTTTGCGACTAGTGCAACTTCTGCGTTCCAAGTTATTTATTTGGCCCTATTCCACTGCATATTAATCGTGCGCTTTCTTTGTGTAAGTCGTTATTTTTGATGCTCGAAAAGCAGATATAATTTTCGGAAAAACGACCCGCAGGGTACTGGAGCGGAATCTCATCGACGAGACGGAAAACGCCCTGGCAACCTCCTTGGACGAGTATCTGGACACCTTCGGCGCCGAGGAAGACGAATTCCTACGCGCGTGCGACGATAGTGGGACAACGTATCGCAAAGAGGCTAAGGATGACCGGCTTACGGAACTGCGGTCCCGCGTGGAAGTAGATCCCATGGCGCAATTGGCGAGCTGGCAGAAGGCAGCAGAAGACAGTTACCACCAGTTCCAGATGGAGCAGCGCACAGGTTGGATTGCCACCGCAGATGACTGTTTTAAGCTTATACTACAGTAGAACTACAGTGTAAGTGTTTTGCTGTTAGACGAATAAGGGTGATGAGTCTCTTTCCCCCGGTTCCACGACAGAAAGATCCGTTAATTGTCAAATCACCCTACAGGCCTCGAAGACGTGCAAGCTGCTGTCGCGACCAGTAGACGCGAAGTTGATTTGACCTCGATGCTCACGGAGGAGGAGCGCCGGAGCAGGCCAAACAACGCACCCGCGACCGTGGATCCATCCACTTTTTACGAACCTGGTGCGCAGTATCGGTGGCAGGAGGCACAGCGACGCGAACTGGCTGCGAAGCAAGAGGAGGAGGCACGCCAGCGCCTACAGGTACATAAGTACTTGTATAAATGGAAAGAAGCGCAATACATAGACAGAGTGGAAAGTAGTTTGGCTCTCATTGCCGCTCCGTGCTAGACTGCGAGATTGCATCCAAGTTTTCCTTTTCGATTCTCATTTTGCGCGCTGGGCTTAATAGTCCCAGCCGAATCCGCATGCAAAGAAGCGCGTACGAAAAAAGTTGTATTTTTCACGTACTATCTATTCCTTTCTCGTCTTCTCCTTTAGGCGTCTCAAGCCGCCCCGACCGCGGCATCCGTGCGCGACCATGCTGACGAGGCCGTGCGGAAAGCCATGTTGGAGTCCGCGCAACTGGAGCGCCGCATGAATTTTGTGGATCGGTTCAGTAAGCTGAACCAACCGCAAGACCTGGAGGACGACGAGCTCCTCTCCCAGGCGCTGGAAAAGTCCAAGCGGGAAACGCACGGTCCCGGCGAACCACAACCGACCGGGTCCCCCGCGGCCTCCAGTCTTGCTGCGTCAACCTCTGGGCCAGCCGTGCAGTTCCCGGGGAACAGTGAACACGAGGACGACGTGGACGACGACATACCGCACTTGGACGGGTCACACACGCGAATGGTCCCGCCGTCGTCCGCCAATAGTTCCTGCGCCAACAGCTCGGCCTCGTCGTCAAGCTCGTCCGTACGCGGGTGGAGCAAGCACGGAGGCCGGAAGAGCAAGACGGATGTGCTGGGGGCATTGGGAGGGGCAGCGCAGGAGTTTCATCAAAACCCCGAGAGAAATAAGGACCACGCCGCGAGCAGTCCCTACAGCGGGTATTTCCGGGGAAACATCAGCGATATCTCAAGCAAGCACTCCGCGCGAAAAAAAGAGAAGTCGCGTGAGCGGAAAGTGAAGGCCGACAAATCAGGTACTACAGGAAGCAGCTCCGGGCAATTCTGTCATGGTGCGCAGCAGCCGTCGTCTTCAAGATCTGGACCACCAGGAGATCGAGATGGTAGTGCTGACGCCATCGCGCCGATCCGAGATCAGCCCAGCTCGGGCTCCGCGGTGTCCGCATCAACGAACAGCAGCTCTAGCTCAAAGGAAACAAGCAGCGCACCTTCCGAAGCCTGGCCGCCGCCGCCAGTGGCAGGGCTACAGCTCGTGGATCACCCACCCGTGGCGGTTTCATTGCTGGATAGCAACGGTGAGCCAACGGAAGCAGCGCGGCGGAAACGACGCAAGAAGAAGGTCCAGATCCTCGCGGAATCGCCCGGAACAGATGGTAAGAGCTTCCGCGACGCATCGTCACTGGGTGCATCAGGTCGAAGATCCTCGCTGTCCCGAAGCGGGGCGGTCGAGCCACGTCGTGCATCTACTGTCTTCGGACGCATCCAGCAGAGCGTGATGAGCCTGTTTCGCGGCGGGAGTCGCACAAGGCTTGAAGTCCATCCGACTTGAAACGGGCAATTATGTCTTTCACGTCTCTCGTGTATGATCTTGGAATTGCAGTAGTCTCCCGGAATGATTCTAAGTAACACCAACTCGATGAAGAACAAGAATGCATGTTTCAAATGAAAGGCTTGCTTGTAAGAATCGAATTTCACGTCCCGCAGAGGAGTGGTTGTAGAGGCTGCAGCCCCGTCGTGCAGTGACAACTTGGTAGGCAGTGTGTTCAACCCACTCGCAGGAAGGAAGCCTATCTCGACAGATCCATAACGTGAAACAGGTCCTGACTGCCTTCTCTCACGTCCTATAATTTTCCTCCAACGATTCCGATCAATGTCCAAAGGGACGCACGGGCGGCGTGTACTATTTTGCGTTTACCGGACAATAGAAGTCGCTGCGCTTCGCGGTCTTGGCTTACACAACTTCGGTGCCCGCAGTTTTCAGTTCCCCTCATTCTTTGCGCATCTTTGAACCTTCATCACAGTTTTCACAATTCAGGATCAGTTTGATGAAAGCAGATCCAGTTTCGATCGATGACAACTGTTTCTGACGCGTTTTTTTTTTCCGGCGCAGCACGTTCGATCCCGGACAGTGCGTATCCGGGTGTGATCCCATTTTGCAACGGATCTGTTCTGTCGCCGTCGATGATCTATGGCTTTTGTCATTGATGTTCCATGGCATGCGTGCGTTTGCTGATCGTGATTGATGTTCCCTTTTTTTTCTTCCATCATAAAAAACACCGAAATTCTATTTTCGCAAAAAATATATACAACCTAGCACAAGTCTCTACCTTATCGGAAAGTTTTGTGGACCGTGGTCTTTGCACTCCGGGCTACAACTCACACATCGATCGTTTTCGGAAGATGAATCGTTTGAGTTCCGTACTCGTCGGCGGCGCCGCCGCCGAGGTGTTCTTCAGCGACACCTTCAGCGACATGTCGAAGTGGACCGCGTCCACGTGGAAATCGGACTCGGAGATGGGAACCTTCGAGATCAAAGCCGGCAAGTGGTCCGCCGATGAGGAGGAGGACAAGGCGCTCGCGACCACGCAGGACGCCCGCTTCTACGGCGCCAGCGCCAGCTTCGAACCCTTCTCAAACAAGGGCAAGACGCTCATCGTGCAGTACCAGGCCAAGTACGACAAGGACATCGAGTGTGGCGGCGGTTACATCAAGCTAGGTACTATGTATACACAATTTTTTTTGTCCTGTCAGAAGTGTCTCTGCTTTGGTGTATGTGTACACGATTTTGACATCAGCCAGGTAGCGCGATGCACTAGACTTGACACGACACAAAACTATGAAACGAATTATACAGGACCAAAGATGGAGGACGCGACGAAGTTTGGCGACCCAACCGTATACAACATCATGTTCGGGCCCGACAAGTGCGGCTACAACAAGCGAACACACCTGATCTTCAGCTACAAGGGTAAGGAAGTAAGTAAGTAACTGTCGTGGTATTAACATGTGTCATTTATTGACATGCAGGGAAATACAACTCCAGTTGTAAGGATGAACGCGACGAGATAGAGGTCGAACAGAGCTGCGTCCCTCGGGCCAGCTAGGAAGACAAACTCGTATAATTTGCTTCTGACAAGCACGAGTTGTGAAGCAGGTGGCAGGAAGGCTTGCCTCTCATGATCATGACGAGAATCCTACCAGAAGATCGAAGTCGGACGGAGGCCCTCCCTGTGAGGGGGCACTGTCGAGACACTACCGCTGGTCTCTGATATTGACACTCTTTTCAGTTAGGTATCTTACAAGACAACAAAGTTCGACGTCGGACGGAGGCTCCATTTTTCCAGTGGAGCGCTGTCGACACTACTCTGACTCAACAATTCACTACCGGGTTGTTTGAAATACAATCCAGTAAACTAGGGAGAGAACAAGCGAAGGACTGTCCTTCGCTTGTTCTCTCCGACATGTGAAATGTGAAAAACATCAATAGATAATTCGCTTCCTCCTCAGGTAAGAACGTTTTGAAGACTAGCGACCTTCCGTACAAGCAGGATAAGGACGGAGTTACGAACCTGTACCGACTGGTTGTTAAGCCGGATAACACGGTAAAAGTCCTCGTCGACAAGCAGGAAATCTACAGCGGCGAGCTCGAGAAAGACTGGGACTTGCTTCCCGCCAAGGAAATCAATGACCCGGAGGACAAAAAGCCCGCCGACTGGGTACTTGTTATGATTCGCAAACCTAATCTGATTGCGTTGCTGTGCTCTGGGTTGAAGGTCTGAAGATTGATAGAGTTGTAGGTCTATGGCACCTCATTCGTCGACAACGCCGCAACTACTTAACTCTTCTATTAGGGCTGATTCCATTCATTGAATTTGAAACCTTCAGGTTGACGAGGAGTTCATGGATGACCCGGAAGACAAGAAGCCGGAGGACTGGGTCGAAGAAGCCGAGATCGAGGACCCGGATGCAAAAAAGCCAGAGGTGATTTTTCATTCATCTATTTACATGCTTGTGCAACTGATTATCTCACGGGTTGCTGCTGTTACAGTTATTTCGGGGTCCGGCGATACATACCGAGCGTACAACTTGACCGTGCGTAGGGGCACGCGTAGGTCGAAGTGCAGCGTAGTCTTCGATGAAAAAACTTCACACACAGGACTGGGATGCTGAGGAGGATGGCGAGTGGGAGGCACCGAAGAAGGCCAACCCGGACTACAAGGGCGAGTGGAAGCCAAAGCGCATCAAGAACCCGGAATACAAGGGCGTATGGGCCCCCAAGAAGATTGCGAACCCAGAGTATGAGGCCAACGATTCCCTGTACGCCTACGACGAGTTTGCGTTCGTTGGCTTTGACCTCTGGCAAGTGAAAGGTACTATCAATTCTTCTCTGCATAATTGTTGGTTCTTGTATCACAACTTCAGTGCTAGGACAAAGCACAATAGCGTGACTTTTTGTGTTGAGCAGCATCGCTGCATTTCCCGCTTAGTCGTGCGGATTGTTTTCCAGCAACATGAAGATGATCAACAAACCGCATTGATTCATTCACACAGCTGGCTCCTTCTTCGACAACTTGATCATCACGGACGACGAGGCTGAGGCTGACAAGTTCGCGGAAAAGTGGGAAGCGTTGAACAAGGTGGAGCTCGAGAAGAAGAAGGAGTCCGAGACCACGACCACCACACCAGCACCGGCTGAAGACGATGACGGCGACATCGATGCGGACGATGACAAGGACGACGACGAAATCTAGATCGTGTTCCTCGGATTCGTCGGATGCCCGAGAGAGAAGCACCTCACAATTAATGACTCTACTTTGAGTGGCGAACTACATGCTCCTGTGAGCAAGCAACTGATACGAAGTACTGTTTGCGTAGGGGACGGCCGTCAACAGAAGTCCTTTCTGTAGTTGATAATTCTCACTCTGCTTTCTACCATCGGAAGATTATACCAATGTCCTTCGAGCTACGAAGTTGTCGTGTCTCACCTAATGTACACCAGCTGCGCGACTCATGCGATGGGAGCTCGAGCGCTACTGCTTTTTTGCTGTACTGGCACACTAGATAAAAGACGGCAGCGAGAAATGCGAACAACAACAAGTGTACTTGAATCAATCAGATCTGGTCTCAGATGGTTCTTCCGTATGGAGGTGACCTGCGAGCTGTGACATGGATCAAGAGACTGTATTGTGCGTGAAATTTCGACGAGCAGCACCCAAAAGCAAAACAAGAATCGAAGCCGCCTCCGAGTCGTGTGATGACGTGGTGCGTGCTGGCGTCACGGTCGATTAAGGCAGCTGCTTTGTCTCGCGCGGATGGAAGAATACCGCTTGTTGTGTGTCGATCTGCTGTTCTTTTCCTAGCAGGATTATTAGAAGCTGAGGGACGGCTTGATAAGTGCATCAGAGAAGAAAGTTTGACAAGAATGAGAGCCTTGTCAGTGCTTCGCTCCATTGAATTACAGGATGGGCTAGTTTGTTGAATTTTTCGTTCTAGCATTACGCGACTCTTCATTTGTCTTTGTCACACGACAAACCTAACGTAAATAAAAGCTGAGCTCATTTGAACGTTCTGCCGACGAAGATGAGATAAAAAAATGTCGAAGGCAACCGAGCGGGAGTCTACCGGCCAGCTAGGCGTGATTCCCAAGCGCAAGAGTTCTGGCGCCCTCTCGCACTTCACCTACCTGTTCTTCTACGCCTTTGTGACTGGCGTAACTTGGAGGTTTCTGTACGCGTGGGCCGCGGAAACAACGGAGGTTGAGCATGCCGTCAGTATGCCGAAGGCCGACGAGCGGGCCGTAATCTCATGGACGTTCGTTGTCTTCGACACTCTGCTCTTTCTGCACATTCTATTTTCCCGCGGAACCGTTTCCCGAAACGGATCGTTTCAGTGGATCTGCTACTGCTGGATCAATGCTCCGAAATACACTTTGTTCTACTTCGTAATCATGCCGTCCTTGCGCAGCAAACAAGGCGTGTTTGGACCGCAGGTGATGACTTATTCCGTCGCGAACTTTGCCATCATCTACGCGCTCCTCATGTTTCGCTCCTTTACCGAACTGCACGTGGGTCGGAAGATCACTATCGACACCATGATGCACACCGATATGGCCTGGCACTGCACCGTGGATTTCGTGGACGTGATTCACATGTTCGACTTCGCGCCGGGCCAACGGGGGAATAGTGCTATCCAGGTGCAGCGACCCTATGGCCAAGCCCCGCTCGCGGAGGACGAAGCGGTAGGCATGGAACTGGACACGTTTTACGGTATACCGACGGGTCAGGCACAGGCCATGAGTACCGCAGCCGGTATCTTCATATGTTGCGCCCTGTTTTTTCATCAGCAGTCTTTTCCTGGCACTCCGTGGCGACAAGACCCGTCGGAGGAGCTCTACCGCGCTGCCACCAGGACGGCGCGGAGCGGTGGTGCGGCGCCGGGTTCTTTGGCTCGACCGGGCGGCCTGGTTGCTTCTGCGGCCGCGAACGCCACTAAAACCGTGGGGAAAGCGAAGCGGGGCCTGTTCGCGCCGGGGCCATTAAGTCAGGTGCACGGCGTGAACATGATGAAGGCTCGGAAGCGCAGTGCTCTGGTTTCCATCCTTTTTGTCGATCTGCCATTCCTCATCTTGCGCGGTTTGCACTACTACCTATCGCCCGAAGAGACGCGCTCGATCGAGACACTGACGCTGAAAAACTTGGTGTGTCTCATTCTGCAGGCAGTCGCGTTACAAGCCGTCCAACAGGTGGAGCTGCAGAGCTCTGCGCTGGTGGAATCTCTACAGGACCGCTCGTCATTAGTAAACCGCGGTGGAGAAGCTACTAACGCACGTACGATCCGGCTCCAGACGACCACCGCGGCATGGTTGACGTCAGCGACGTTGCGCTCATCTTCAAGGAAGAATCAGGTGCAGCAACCTCACGCTGGTGCTCTGCTCTCCCCACCTGACACGGCCGCTGCACCACCCGAAGCATCTACAGCTCCTGTTGACCAGACGTCCTCTTCGGGCGGAGGGCCACTTCCCCGCAGTTCAGCCGGTGGGAACGACGCGCGAAGCGGCACGGTGGAGGTGCCAATGGACGATCATACGGACACGCGGTCGAAGCGCAGTGAGTTCGCGGTCTTCGGCGGTGCAGAGGTAGTTCAACATCAGGCGCCCGCTGCTAACACGACCCCCGCCCCTCCGGCAGCGCGTCGTTTTATCGCGGCGCGGTGCTGCCTCTGGCTTCTATGCTGTTGCGGACGCGGCTGGGCAAGGGCAACGCGCTTCTGGTTGTGGCAGCTGCTGGTTCTGACCACGGCGTTTCTTGGTGGGTACCTGTGCAGTGACCACAGTTACGAGGAAGACCGATTGGTGGTACTCGATCAAAAGATGACGCTGTATGACCTATCCGCCACGTAAAGGTGGATGCGGACGACCCGACGACGACGCAGCGCGAGTGATCTTGGTACTATACCTTTGTAAGTATTTATTCGTCGTTTAAACTCAAAAAATGAGCTGCTTCTACAGCAAAAGAATCTGATCATCTCCTCGTGTTGCAAACACCAGCAACTGGCAGTGCTCTTTGTCCGCTTCTGACTTAAATGATGTGGTCGTAAGTTTTATTGTCGTCGGTTCGCATGTGCAAGCTAGTGTCGGTCCATTTATAATCGTACCAGTCTTGGAACTCTTTTCAACCCTTCCGCGAAGTACTCGGTCATTCGTAGGTAAAAGTGTTGTCGGTAGTTAACGTTTTTCTGTCGAGTCAGCAGCAATCACGCAAAAAGAAGAAACCTTTTCAGAAGTAAAACTTAAAGTTTGTGGACCTATCGGTCAAAGAACGACACTACTCGGTAAGAAATAATTAGCAATTCATGAACATGATGAGAGCGATGCAAGGATATCAAAAGTGGCGACATTCTTCACAGAATGACTACACTAAAACACGAACATCAGGCCCCTGATTATCCTAGTGATGCACCTCACAATAATCAAGTCTTGAACCAAGGCAAGAAACCAATCGTGATTTCTACTTTACAGCACCGGTGTTCAGAGCTCGGGACCACAAAGTTCGATGCGTATCCAGGTCCTCAAACAATGTGACGAACTCCAATTAGTCGTGTACCCCCTCCACCTTCGAATAGGAAGACAAAACGCAAGTCGTTAATGTTTTCCGCACCAATTGATAGACGGGAAAATTTCGTCGCAAGTAGTACTCCTATTCTATAATCTAGTACTAGAAGGATCCTTGGATTCTCAAACAGCGAAAATAATAATTACCTACAGCATCAATAATGTTTGTTCAGGCGGGGTACCCGACCAGCAACTTTGTGGTGAAAAAGCCACACTCGCAGCCAGACTACGTTCCACCAAGAAAAAAGCGACCGCCGCCGGCGTGGTCGAATGCACTTTTTCGCGGTGGCAAGGGGCGGAGGGGCGCGACCGAGGTTTCCACGGCACCGTACGACTTCGGGAAACCGAGCAAACGCGTTCCGCTGAAGAAGCCGCTGGGCGCTCCGGAGTGGCAGTACGACGATGACAAGGGAAAGTGGGTGGACATCAGCGCAGACCGGGAATTTACGAGGACAGGCCCCTTCTTGTTCCCGGACTTCAACTATGCATATTGCAAATATGTCTGGGTCTGGATCTGGAAGCTTGCGAAATTTCAGTTTGTTTTCCAAGTGCCGAAAAGTCAAAGTCTGCAACTTCTACGCAGGGCTAAGCATGACAACAACTTCTGGAGCCCCTTGGTAAAAATGCCTACTCTGGTGCATGAGAAACCCGCTCTCAGCATGGCCAGAAAGTTTGGCATCTTTTGCAAGACAGAAATTTGTGGGGCCCGCAACACGCAGTACCAGTTCGTCCTTTCCCAGACCCAGATCGATATTTGCAATGCATATCAACCAACGCAAGACCCCCGGGGGTCGCTACCCATACGACCCGCGGAAGAGGCTGGTCGCGAAGGGGGCCGCTGACCCCCGGTTCGACGACCCCATTGGGTACGGGGCCTTTGCCGAGGACCGCAAGCGCCTGCGGGAAGAAGCGGCGGACAAGGAACGGGCGGCCGGCGCAGAGGCAGCCGCAGCCGGTGTCGCGGATCCGCTGCTGCGGGAGGAGGTGGCGAGGGTGTTGCGCGGGCCCCCCGGCAGCTCGGTGGACCCGAAGGAGCGCGCGCTGCGAGAGCGAGCCCGCCTCGGCGTGGAGGGCCACGACCGCCGGCAGCGCTACGAGCGGAGTCGCCGGAAGCAGCAGGCCGAGGAGTTGGAAAGGTGGCAGAAACAGCTGCGGGACTGGCCCCTGGGGGACAGCAGCCACAAGCTGGGCAAAATGTACGGGCCCCCGCATTCCATGGACCACGTTCGCCTGCAGCTCCGCCGAGATTCGGGAGACGTTCTCGTTTACGAGTTGCCGCCGACCTGGATTTTTGACGACCAAAACAGAGTGTGGATTTTGGAGATTCCAGACAACCCCCACCCCATTTTCCGCCGCCCCACGCAGGACCGGTTGGTGAACCAGAAGGAGTTACGATTCAACGGCGGGAGACTCCCCCTGCTGATCCACCGCCAGGTGATGCACAACTGGCGGCAAGAGGAGGACCTCCTGCGCCGTCGGCCCCTGCTGACAATTTAGCTGCTTGCCACGCGAGAAGATCTGTCAGTCTCACCCAAGTTTGATAGCCTCGAAGATGGTCGTGACTGTCGGTTCGATTTTTACCACGATGAAGATGCGCCAGCTGTGATATCTAGTAAGTATCTTGGTAGAAGGGTAAGGCACAAAGAGACAACGCGGAATTGCTTGCACTCTGTTGTTCAGCAATGTACGAATATCGACAGCGTATCCTATCCGTATGCCTGAATCTCTCGGACACCTCAAGACTTTATCATGGTGTGGAGGATGAAGTACACGACATACAGGTCTTGACCAGAATAAAAGAGAACATTTTCACACTCCTGCTTCTTCACCGTCGCAACATGCAACGAAGTTGCAATTCACGTAATCCAACCAAAGAAATATTTACGAGGCCTCGACAACCCCTCAAGCACGACGTCAAGCTATTTCCGCCAACAGTGTGAGTGCCAAATAACGAACGCAAGTCAACAGTAGGAACAGTGCCTGCTCTAATTTTTTGCGATTTATAGTACACGTCTCAGCATATTTTTTCCCTCACATATGACAACAGCAACACACAACTCCTACTCCTAGCCAACTGCTTCAGGTACTTGGCAACACATTCGCGCACCGTGGTCGCCGAGCGAGATGTTCATGATTTCCTCAAATGTAAAAATAGGAAGCACGTCATATACGAATGAACATTATCGCGATCAGTGTGCAAGCAAGCTTCGATGAGGGCAAAAAGTTGGAGAGGACCGGAAGAGTTTGTACTAGAGAGGAGATGTTGTAGTTCGTCAAGAAGAGTCAAAAGTATATAGATAAAGCAGGTTATAATAACGATACAAACCATCATGTGGTCGACGTAGGAGTCTTTCTTTCTTTGTGCGTGCGACAGGAGCATTGACACAGGCGGAGTGCACGAAACTTGAACAGCATGATCCTCTAGGCCAAGGCGAGGAGACAAGGCAGAACGACAGGGACCGAATATCATCCGCCTGGTCGCGTGATGATGCACCCGCTGAGCTCCATAGACGCGCTGGAGCGCAAAGTGGCCGAACTGGAGGCGGTCGGGGACCGGGACGGCGTGATCGAGTGCCGGATCCACCAGTTGGCCAGTACGCAGCTGCTGGTGGACGTGCACGACCTTCCCATCGCGGCCGCGTGCCACCAGCACTGCCTGCTGTCCGAGGCCTACAGTCTTGGGGGTTACGTGGCGCAGGCCCTGGAGCACGTGCACTACGGGCAGCAGATCGTGGAGAGCCAGATCTACGACAACGGCCCCTCGCACCGGCTCGGGAGCAGCCTGGCCCTGGCCGAGGGGTTCGCCTACGTCGCAGAGGGAAAGGACTATCAGCTCGCGCTGCAGTGCCTGCACAAGGCCGCCACGCTGCTGAAACAGGCCTACGGCCCCGAGGACTTGCAGCTCGCGCGCGCGTACGAACTGCTGGGCAAAGTGACCACCACGCGGAAGGAGTACAGCACAGCGTTGGAGCACCTCTCGCAGGCCTGGGAAATCCGCGAGCACTGTCTCGGGTGGGAGCACGAACAGACGCTCCTGCTGTGGCTGGATATGGCCTGGGTCCACCACCTGGCCGGAGACCAGGAGGAGGCCTTGTCGCTGCAGCAGTCGGTCGTCGACAAGGTGATCAAAGTTGGGAAATACCCCAACCTCGCCACGGACGCGGCGCTCCGCCTGGCCAAATGGACCGACACGAAGACCGCACTGGACCGCCTTCGTGACGTGGAGCACTTGCTGCGAAACCACGACGCGCACCACCCCCGCATGGTCGAAATCAAACGCGAGCTGGCGCTGCTCCTCATAAAACGACGTGAGCACGACCAAGCTCTCGAATACCTCGCGGACGTCCAGTATTAATTTTGTTAATTTGCGTTCCTCTTCTTTCTCTTGGTGGTACCTAGTTCTGAGAAACGAAGTGCGTGCGGCGAGAGCGAGGCCCTGGATCATTATTTGTCGACCTAGTATATTGTGTAGTGAGCTCATCTTATATATACCTTGAACTCAAACAATCTTGATTGATAAAAAATCAAACAAGGAAATTGGAGCGCGGTCTGTATGGGCAGCAGTCAGTTCAGCTCGCCCGAACGCTTAAAGCCATGGGAACGGTGTACATGTTGAAGGGGAATTCCTACCAGTCCGAGGCGGTCGACGCACTACGCTATCCTGTGCAAAAGTATCGTATTCGTATTGCAGTCATGCATTACAAACTTTTTCCGAAGGTAAATCCGCATTACAAATTTTATTTCTCATGCTGAGAAAATTTGTATATGCATTTATACGAGTGCGATACTTTTGCAGTTCATATACGCGCCTCGCTGGCTATTTTTGAGGGGAACCCCAGCACTTCAGTTGCTGTCATACAGGATGTAAAGCAGAAGCTCCAAACTCTGCACCCTGCCGCGAACACAAGCAGCACTGGTCGAACTACAAAATAATCGATCGAGGATTTCGAAGCCAAAGATGAAAATTGTCATCGTCATTGTCTGGTCCCGGTATTAACGATGTCCCCACTGGTGTTCGCCACGGACGGCTCCTCGGCGCCAATTGCATGATCCTGATTTGTTCGAAGATCTGACGCAACCGGGTTTTCTTCTGTCGTGGTTGTGAAAACTCACATGCTACAAGAAAAGCTTGATGTTGTTCTTGCCCGAAGAGGGGGCTCCTGATAGATTAGATACTAGTAGCGCCGCTCCGTGAAGATGCTCTGCTGCACAAAAAGAGAAGGCTTCGTGCAGCAGTACAAGCGAAGTGAAAAAGTGCCAGTCTGTCGTCGCGTGACTCGTCCTTTTGCTCAATTTTCCACATTGGTCGTTGCATCAGCTCCCTCGTAGTTGCAGGAATGATATGGTAAGAACAACTCATGCATGATTTCAGGCACGCCTCCAGATATTGACGCAAAACTCATTTTTACGCAGTGCTCACTCGTCGTAGTTGTCTAAAACAAGCACCGAGATGATGACTCGTAGGTAGGTATCAAGAGGAGCAACGTAGACGAAGTCGAAAACCCAAAGAGGCTCTACTAGCATGGCAACATCTTCCTCTTCGTCCTCCGGTCTGCCGGGCGGAGCAGAGGGCGGCTCCCGGTATGGAAAGACGTTGAAGAACGGCGTGGTTGTCGACTGCCCGGACCACGCACAAGAGTTTCATGTCTACCAGGACGGACAGGCTTTGTACAACGCGAAATTGAACCAGACCTCTTTATCGCGCAATAACAACAAATACTACATCATCCAGCTGCTGGAACACGACCTGAAGCGGGGGAGCCTGTTCGTGCTGTGGACCCGGTGGGGACGCCATGGCTACGAGGGACAGCACGCCAACGTCATTTTCAGTACTGTCACGCACCCGAGGAATCTGAAAGAAGCGGCCCTCCAAGCGTTTACGCAGAAGTTCTACGACAAGACCGCGAACCACTTCGGGAAGGAACCCTTCACACACGTCGACGGAAAGTACCAGTACTTGCCGCCGGGAAAGAACCCGGCCGCCCCCGGCTCCACGAAAACCAGCCACCAACCTAGCACCCTCCCAGAATCGCTCCAGGTGCTCATGGAGCTTATCTGCGACGAAGGTAAGCAACTGCTTCCGGCGCGTAGATCTTACCCAAGATAGACAGTGTTGGTAGGTGATGTAGTAGTAGTTTCCCAAAAACTTGTCAATGCGCAACAGTTTTATTCTTGGCCGTTCTGCTTCTGCTTCATTCAAAAATATCACAGATTCATGCGCACCACATCGCGCCTGGTGCCCATGGGTGCAAAGTGGCCCGCGCATGCATGATATCATGATGCTTCAATTGTTTTATCAAGTTGTATGAGTCATTCCTTCGTACAGATCTGCTGGAACAAGAGATTTTCGACATCGGACTCGACACCGCGCGACTTGATCTCGGAACGGTGTCAGAGAAGGTTTTGGAGGAGGCATTCGCGGTGCTGAAGCGAATCAATACCGAACTGCACCAGCTGGACGGAGCCAGCCAGTCAAAGCTGAGCACTCTCACGTCGCAGTTCTTCCAGTTCATTCCGCACTACACAGGCTTCAAGAAGATGGAAGTACTTACGTACGTATGTTTTGATTTCGAGACGAGTCTGTGTCCGTCTCTCGTGGTCGCGCTTGAGAACAGTAAGTACTCAAATCTGTTCTGCACATTCCCCGCTGGTCGTGTGCTGGTCTCTTCTAGCTATGATGTTTCGCGCATTGGTGTCGGTGTCATGTGATGGTCGTTGAGTCGTGAATTGAAAACACTTAATTGTACAGAATTTCATCATCAACACGCCGCAACGACTGGCGGAGGAGGTAACGAATCTCCGGAGACTCCAGGAGGCGGTTGAGAGTTACCGGGTCATCGCTCAGCGGGCTTCTTCCAGTGCCAAGTTGGAAATCACAGATCACCCCCACGACGTGAGGTACAAGAAGTTCAAGTACCGGCTTCGCCCTCTGGAGCCTGCGCACACCATCCCCACCCTGGTGAACTACGTCACCCGAAACCTGCACGCGCTGCGACACCGCTCCTTTTCGTTGAAGCTCGAGCAGGTGTTTGCATTAGAGAATCCCACCGAAGACCTGGACCCATGTGACCTGCCCAACAAGCAGCTGCTTTGGTACGGCGGACCGTTGCGGCAGTGGGCGCGCCTTTTGACGCAGGGCCTGCAGCTGCCCACCGCCTCCCCCGGCCTGACCGGAACCGACGGCAAAAAAACCTCGGACGCCTGGTGCGAAGACCTCCCGTTGGATTGGGAGGAGCTGCAGGGCTCTCTCGGGGGCCCCGCACTGTATCTGCAGGACTGCCTCAGTTACGCGGCCTGGCGGTGCGACGCCACGGAAAACGAAAACCGCGGCCTGGCCTTGTTGTGCGAAGTCTCGCTGGGACACGTCCGGACGTCCACACGACCCGAACCCGGATTGAGCAAGGCGGCCATGTGGCAGGAGGGGATGAATTCGGGCCTGGCACTCGGGTGCGAACAGGCGCACCAGTGGGTGAGCTTTTCGCCTGCCATGCTGGAGGCCTACGCCGCTGGTGTTGAGCCGCCGCCAGCTCCGGGTCCCGCCGAGGGGGAAAAGGACGGTCCCGCGCCCATGGACGTAGACGGCGGGGCAGACGCAGGAGTGGCTCTCGACAAGGTGGAGAACCAGACCGTTACAAATGCGAAAGAGCTGCCCGAAGAGGAAAACATAGTATTCGCGGTGGGAGATCTGCAAGAGGCCGAGATGGAGCGGGAAACACGTTTTGCGCTAAACGAGTACGCCGTCTACGATCGCACTCAAGTCGTCCCGAGATTCCTCTGCCAATTCGAGTTTTCATTTCCGCCACAAGGACAAGAATGACAAAACGCATCGGATGTCATCAAAATGAGACGAAGATGGATCAACAATTTAAGTAGCGGCCGCAGCTGCTACTACGAGTGGCACGCAACCACGCGCATGTGCATATAGAGGGACTGATCAACAAGTGCAAAGTAACTTCGTGTGCTCGTGCGTCTGCGAGTTCGAACCAGGGATAGAGTCCGAAAGGTGCCATCGTTGTTCCTGCTCTATCTACCCGCAATCGTTTTTGATCGCGAACGTGGTTCAAACGTTGCAAAATCTGCGAATATGATCCCAAGCTGACCCGCTTCTTGTTTCGTACCCTGTATCTTTGTAAATCATGTAGGGAGTACTTAACCTCGAGATCATGGTGACGCGTGGACGCAAATTGCTCGTGCGCAGTGGCGGAAAAAGGAGTATGTAGCTTCATGTACATCAACTATATGTATTCGCAATGGCTGCAGCACTGAGGAATAACTTCTCAAACAGTTCACTTACAGGCATCGAACGGATTTCTGTTTGCTTCCTTCAGTTTCACGACGTGCTCGAAGAACTTAAGAGACAAGATGGCGGAGCGTAGTGCGGGCGAAGTGAACCAGCTCAAGGTCATGATCGGTAAGGCCAAGAGTTTCGTGATTTTCTGGGGGCGGAGGGCGTACACGTGTACGCGCGAGAATCCCACCGTCATCCTGACCCTCGTCTTTCTGATCTTTTTGATCTGTGTGGTAATCACCATGTTTACTAGTTTGTTTCGAGCTTTGCTCTCCACGCCGGGAGTAGTGGTTCTGTATCTCACCCTCTTCGTGTTGCTTGTCCGATTTCTCGTTCGCGCATTGGTTTTTCCAGGAAGCACGCTGCTCTGGCAGAAGAAAATCGAGAACTCCTACCGGGTAAGTACGTACTTACATAAGGCCCGACGTTGCAAAAGCGCGTCATGTTTGTCTTGTCGTAGATGAAGCAAATCTCAACTTGCTTCTCTATGCACGTGGTAGTATTTCCCTCTCTCACAGCCTCCCTTCATCTCTTGTTGTGGAGCGCAAAATAGATGAAAGCATACTCACAACAGACCGACCTGAGCAAAGCATACTGCGACGCGATAGTGCAGTTGGAACAGTTGATTTTGGTGTTGTCCGGCCGTGTCGCCTGGCGCAAGTGGACCCTGCAGCAAGCGGCTTTTGGTGTGAACGTGCTGCAGCAGCTGCAGCGAAATTTCCAGATTCAGAGGCAGGACCCGCGATGCGCTGTTTTCAGCCAGAAGAAGCTAGGGCTGGAGAAAAAGGTGCACGCCGTGCTGAACATTCTCGGCCACGAGAACGTGCGCATCGAGAAGCGCGACGGTTCCACCGTGGGGTTCTTGCGGTGGCTCCGGGAAAGCGCGGGATCCAACAAGGCTGACACGTGCGTGGAGCAAAAGCTACGATTGACCGAAGAGTTACCGGGAGTGGCCGAACTCCGGAAAGTGGCTGCGCTGATGCGGCAACTGGAAGAACCGGAAGAGACGTACTGGGCCGGCGCGAAGCGGTTTTTCGCTCCCGCCACGATAGGTTCGCTTGACCAAGTTCGCGCCGAGCTACTGCAGCGCCGGCCGGGGGCTCGACAATTTTGGGTGCCCGTTTCCGCGGGCGCGGAGCTCGACGCCGTCATCATCCGCCACGGAAGCCACAGACCAAAAGCAGAGCAGAATGGGCCTAATCATGCGAGTGGTTCGCTGGCATCAAGTGCGGACCCGGAAACCGCAGTGTGTTATAACCTGCATGGTGACAACCTGGCGCAAGCGTTCGCACATGTTCCCGCGGCGGTGATTATGTGCAACCCCAACGCCGGCTACTACGAGTCCACCGCGTTCCAGGGTGACTGGGTTGATTTCTACCTCTCGCTAAACTGCTCCGTCGTGCTGTTCAACTACCGCGGGTTCGCACGCAGTACTGGCGCTGTGCACCCCGAGAACGTGCGCGCGGACGGCCGCGCGGTGTACCAGTTCTTGCGCCGACATGGCATCGCGAAGATCGGCGTACACGGGCGCAGCATCGGATCCGTGTGCGCGTGCGAAATTGCGGCGAAGGAGGATGTCGCCTTCTGTGTTGTGGATCGTGGGTTCGGAACCCTGCAGCGCACTGCGGAACTCAGCTACGGTTCGTGGGCGAAATGGGGCCTGCGGGCCAACTTCTACGATGTGAGCAACGTCCGCAACTTTCTGAGCATCCGGGCGCGCAAAATTCTGCTCGTGGATCCGACCGACGAGATCATCCCCGATCTCGCCTCGTTGCGCAGCCACGTGTCGTTGCGAGCACTCTGCGACGAGGCCTTCGCCGGAAGAGAGCTATCCCGTGCGGCGTGCGAGGGACTTGGACCGCCCAGCGAGAACGCTGCGGCTGTACCGGTTGGACTTCTAGGAGGTACTGCTATAACAAGCAGTAAAGCAAATGGAACAAAAATGGCCGCGGAGCCCTCTCCTTGGGGCGCACTTTCAACAACACCGGCGGAGCAACAAGAAACCCCGGCTGACGACCTGACGACCACCACCGGCAGCGTGACCGCCACGCCCAGTTTGTCAACATCTTCGCGAACGAGCAGCTTCGACGCCACGGAACCGTTTCGGCTACAGGTCGGCGGAAGTACCGGAAGCGCCTCTACTTTGAACGCATCGCCAGCGACGGACGCGGCCAAGCAACTCAAGGACCTTTGCACGCAGCTGCAGCGCTGGAGCACCAGCGAGGAATTTTTCCCGGGCGAAACCCTGCCGCTGAGCGAGAATCACCTCGAGGAGGCAGAGTGGGAAAAGGTTTTTGCAAAGGTGATCGGGTCCTACCAGTGGCTGCAGCGGCTGTTGGAGCTGATCTACACGGGTGACGAGGAATACACCGCTCCCGCCGCGACCACTACTGCCGCACAGTACAGCACGAATTCCGCCGCGTCGTCGGGCAGCCGGGGGGGACGGCGGTTGTACCAGCCGATGCAGGCGTGGCAGGTTGAGCAGCAGCTGTTCAATGAGTTGGTCCGCGAAGAGCACGGCGTCAACAGCGTTAAGTGGCTGGACGACAACAAGAAGTTCGTGCGGCACTTGTTCGCCGAGTCACCCCTGATTGCGCAGGTGCGGGCTGCCTTCGAGGCGCTGTGCAGCGAGTGGAATGCGGGCGGCAGCAGCCTGGACGAGGTGCTCTCCCTGTCGGAGTACGGCAACCATGTGGACTACGTCTTCGGTTTGCGCCAGTACCTGGCCAACCTCGTTTGTTGGGGATCCCTCCCCGTCAGCCGGGGGGGGTTCCTGTCGGACCTGGCCGGGACCACGCTTGCCCCGCACCTGCTCGCGGTGGAGCGCTACGTGTACAACAAACGCGCCCTGCGGCCCGCCGGTTACGGAACATCAAGCTCCGGCACACGGGGAGGCGGCGCTTTGTTCAACTTGACCACCGAGGAGCGTCCCAGTCCCGACGCGGTGGCCGAATACCACCGCATCCTGGCGTTTGTGCTGGTCCACCGCGCCCGGGCCCAGTTCCGCAAGAAGATGCAGCAGGTGTCCCTGCTGTCCACCGACGATTTGCTGCAGAGCTGCCCGGCCTCCTCAAATGGCTCCGGTGTCCTGGACTCACACCACACCAGTGGCACCGGTAGCGGCCACCTCCAGGGGTCTACTCCGCAGCCGGGGCTGCAACCGGGACTGATCGGGCACGCACAGCATTCACATCTTCACGAACCAGGCGTCGTCAGTGCGTACACGCAGACGGACGACTTGAAATACTTCATCAAATCCAAGCTGCAAAGCGTCGAGCTTGTTTTTTCCCTCGCGTCGCGGTTCCTGCAGCAGTACTCGAATTGTGCGAGCAGCGCGGTGCCCGAGCTCTTCGCCGAGCTTTCCCTTTCGTCCGACGCCTCGCACCACGCCGCGGCCTCGGAGGCGGACAGCTTCTCGTCCAGTGCGCGCGAGCGAACCGGCCTGGCGCCGTCTGATAGTGCGGTCGGTCGGTCGCCCGGTGGCCGGCAACACCGCGCCAGCGCGGCCTCGTCCGGATTCTTTGATAGCGCCAGGAGCCTGCTATTCGATAGCCAGACTACACAGAGAGCAGACAACCAATCAACATCCTCACAGGAAAACGCGATCGAACTCCGTGATTTCACTTCCACCGGGGGAGGAAAACAAGCGGTCCCGCCAGAGCAGGAAGCCGACGGCGGAAGGGATAAACTGAAAGCCTCGTCGTTGGGCCAACTGGACCAACTCGAGAAGGCCCGCAGGACCAAGGTGAGGCTCCAGAAGCTGGGCTACGTCGTCCACATCGACTGCGGACACAACGGGAACCTTTCCGCACACGATTTCAAGCACTTGGCAATGTACTTTGAAAATCTGGATACGGCCCCATCCTAAGGAAGCCATAGCTGGGCTGCCTCTTTCCAATGAGTCGCTTGATCGCATGAAACGTATTCTCATTTCGCAAAAGAATGTTTGGGGCGGTGAAGCTACTTCTTGCCAGCACTCCTGTGTCGCCGTGATACTTACTTTTCTCTTCATTCATGTTCGGTTTCACCAAAGTTGAATGTCATACTTGTCCTGGGAGGTGCTTCTCTTAGATAGACGTTTCAGTTATCCGGTTGGCACGAAATCTCTACCCCGCCAAGTCGGCGCGGAAAAAAGCGCACGAGTGGTTTGCAACGATCCGATTTTTATTCGTTTTATTTCGTGGCTTCGTACGGCCCTGGATGATTATGATCCGATTGCGCACCATTTGCTTTCTTGGTCGTGGTCGTGCCGATGCGACATAGTTTCGTGGTCGTGGTCGTGCCGATGCGACACAGGTGACGAGGATCTTGAGAAGGAAAATGATCATACTGTTGTTTTCCGATCACGTCTCGATCTTGTGATGTTTCAGCTTCTTTCCGTGCCCCGAATAAGTGATTGTGGTTCTCTCTGCTCTATGGCTTCAATTTGCAGCCTCTCGGTCTAATTTTTGTAAGTGTCTGTTTCATCAACAGCTGTTCGTTCATTAGCTGTGCTTGCTTCAGGCACATCCGGCACAGATCCAACCGCAACATATCGAAGGTTTCTGAGAAGTTGTTCGTGAACCAATAGGCACTCTTCGCGGAAGATCGTTCTTTACAAAATGATCGTGAACATCAATTGTGGCGCTGCAGTGTTGAGCCGCCCGTCGCAATATTTTTAACGACGCGCTTGCTGCTGTGGCGGTGAAATCATGTGAGGACGCATCGAAGATAGGAGGCGACACAGCACGCACGACGGGACCAAATTGATGGCGTCGTCGGACAGCGATGATTGGCCAGGAGTTCGAGAAACGCGCGTGCTGCGATCGAAGCCGGCCAGGTCAATACACCCCACAGCCGGGCCGGCTCGACCGCCCGCGCCCTGGACGATTTGCTGCAAGCTGCTGTTTCCCTGGTGCTACCGTCGCAATCAGGACCTCGATGCCAGTAGCAGCTCCGACGACGAGGACCTGAACACTTTTGGCGACGGGCCGCACGACCCAACTCGCTCGAGCCTGTTGTACCAAAGCTCGGAGGAAGATGAGGCGGAGCAGTCATTGCGGCGAGCACAGGACAACAGAAAGAACGCCAAGACGCATGGCGGCGGTGCTGGAACAGGAGCGGCCGCGGCCGGCAGTAGTAGTATACTTGGCCCGCGGGCGCCGGGAGATCGAGATCGCGGTCGCGGAGGAACACAGGCGGCGAAGTCCGTCCGAAGTACAACTGCACTCGGGGCCGCCCCTCGTGGAACCGCAACGGCCTCCCAAGCACGAACGGCACGAAGTGTGGCCTCGTGGCGACGCTCGGGCGCCAGCGGTCAGTATGTTGATGCCAGCAGGATGTACTCGAAGCTGTCACGCACCTCCCTGGATGACCTGTTCTTGAGTTCCGACGAGGACGACGAGGAAGGAAACTTCCGCCGCTCCCTGTCCTTCGGGCCCGGTTCTTCCGGGAGAAAGACCGGCACGAAGCCGCGCCGGTTTAACCGTTTTTGCCAGTTGCTGACGGCAACGTGTGTCGCTCTCTGGCTCGGGGTCATCTTGTTCTTTGTGATCGCGGCGAACAACAGACGGAGACCAGAGCCACCGCTCGAACGCAAAGCGAAAGTTCGGTATCACTACCTTCCGACCGCGACGTCCGAAGATCACATAACCTACACCAACCCGGTACTACTTATTTTTGAACTATAAAAGAAACAGGAATAGCATTCTCAATACTATCTGCCTCTTCAACAAATAGTATAGCAGTTCGGTTGTACTAGGCTCCCCTGTAGTTCCTGATGCATGCATGACGCTTACTGCACTGAGCGCAGTTGCCTTCTCGACGTTTCTTCTGTCTGCGACAAGGGGGCAAAAAATCGACAGGTATCCGTCGCGGAGACAAATTGGATATGGAGCATACTGAAACACGACCACTTTCCCGTTCCGCGGACGCCCGAACAGGTAGTGGTGTTCCTCGAAATCGGCCCCGAGGAAACACAAGTTCCCGAGGTCGTGGAAAGGCACGCGCCGGGCGCAGAACCTGCAGCCCCTGCTATCCAAGAAAGAAAGATCTTATGTGTAACTTTTTTCGAGGAACAGCATTATGGCACGAGAGCAGATGAAACTTGTCATGATGCGCAGATAGTACGTGAAAACGCGCTTACGTTCTTGCGCGTCACAAAGTTAATACGCTAACAATGTTTTTTTCTTGGATACCTGCTGCTGGCGGGCTATTTGCCCAGCTTTTCGGAGGTGGGAAAAACACAGCGCCAAAAGCTCCCGCAAGACGGCGTCCCTTTCGCAGCCTTTTGGGTCCACTCGACAAACACGACCCCCTCGACATGCAAATGCGCGACATGATCACGCAAGGCCTCGTCGACGAGAAGGGAGCGGGTAACTAAGTATTTCGAAGGAACAAAAATGATGCGCTGAGTTGATGGAACTAGTCACTCGCTTCATCCGCCGTCAAAGTACTTCAAAACGATAGCGATGCGAATGAACCAGTGTGAATTCGGCTTTAATTGTATTGTTCAACTTAACAGCCGACCTACAGTTTCTGCTTTCATCCGAGGAATTGCGACTGTCGGTGTGGGACACAAACATTTTGGAGAAGCTCAGTAACGAGTACACAACAGCCGCAAAGTCGACCGAGGACCTCACCCCGCTGGAGCAGTCTCTGTATCGACGACAACAGGCACTAGTTGCGACAGATTTGTACTTTCGCTCCGGGAGGAATCTTTTGGTCGCGGAAGGTATACTGTCTTTCTGTGCTCCTTTATTCCAGGAGACACAAATGTCGCAGAGTGGAAGCCTGCCTGCTTGTTCCCAAACGAGGAAACTACAGCATACGTCGAGAGGAGCTTCATATGCCAATAAAAGGAGCATCCTCTTCGCCAAAGTTGTTGTGCATTTAGTATTTTCATGCACTAGTATAGTAAGTATCTATGGCTTTCGTTCTTTCATTCACAGTCACGAAAAGGTTTTCCTTTTGAAGCGCCCTCTTCAATGAATCGCTTTATTTCCAGGTGCGGTCCTCGATGTTTCGCCCGAAACATTCACCAAAATTGTCACGGAGGGCCCCGTCGTGGCCCTCAAGTCACTGCTGCACACTCTGCAGCATCTCCGGGACAAAAAGTTCGGGCAGAACGGGGTCGGCGCGCAGGTGCCTCTGGGGAACCGCTTTCGGCAGCTGGCAGGGCTTTTGCAGCCCCAGAGAGAAAGAGAGGCGGGTAAGCCTCAACAGCTCCGCGTTATCGGAGCGGCGGCAAGACACATGGCGGACGAGCTTCGAACAAAGCTTGACGCCCTTCTGGGATCCGGAAAAATAAAGGTACTTACTTAGATAGAACTCACTCACAAACACACAGGTGCACGCGCGCAAAACTTGTAGTTGCTTTTTCGGCGCCAGCACTGTATTTTGCTCGAATCGCTATGACTATCATGTAGAGAATAGTTGCATAGAAACTTCACAAATAATAGAGGTGTTCCGCTGGATAATTTTCCTCTGCGGTTGACTTCAGCATTGCTATTCCCGCGGGAGAGCAGCACGCATGACGTTTTAATGTCCTTCTAGCTGCACATTATATTTCATCTTCTCCAGGTACTTGTCGAGCAGGCGCTCGAGGTCCAGGAATCTTTGGGAGTCCCGGAATCGGTTGTACAAGCGGTCCGACAGGAACTGGCGGGCTATCTCGCTCCTATTGCTGACGAGCTTGCCCGACAGCTCGCTGCGGCTCGTCCCCCGTAACCACCGTGGTGGCAAGATGAACAAACGGCAGTCGTGCTAAGTACTTTTTTCACTCTCTACCGCCGCTCGATCGCACCCATCTCCAGGCAAAGCAGGTGGAAAACATTTGATGATTGTTTTTGTACTTATGATTCTTGGATAAGAGACTTCTCGGCACTTCGACAGACAGAATGAAAGATGCTCTACGGCTCTCAAACTTACGTGTAGATCTTCGCACGAGGCGTCTCCAAGTTTGTCAAAGAGTATACCTTTCGCTTGTTACGTCGCCGTGAAATTAATAGATACCGAAGTCAATTTTAATACGATTCGAAGATATATTTACAGATGAATTTCAATATCTCTACCGAGCACTGGCGCCAGAAATTTTGCACTTCCCGGGAATAAAGCTAGTACATTTCTGTACAACAACATCTGAAGAAAAGTACAACGAATCGTTGCGAAGTAAATGTTTTTGAATGAAGAGCGGATCAGAGCCGGCAGTCCCGAGCCTTTCGTATTGTATTACAGTACCGAAGAAACTTGTGCCATATTGTTTTCCCCCTGTTCCGGGTAACAACTGAACGGCAGCGTAGCCAGCATGCGTGCTCTTGCGATCGTCTTGTGCCGGCCACACATATCTTTCATCATTTCACTTAATGCAGCCGTCAGACTTTGCGCACGATTACGAAGATCTCTCTGAGCAGGTCATGTTGAAGGTACACTTGGTTTCCACCGTCGCGCAGGCCGCCCGTGCCGCGCGGCGAATACGTTCCATGGCACGCGTTATCGGACTCGACTGCGAGGGAGTTGCACTAGGTCGGTTTGGACAGCTGTGTAGCCTTCAAATCTGCGTTCTGTCACCCCGGGAAAAAGCGCCCGCCCATCAGTATGAAGACAAACAGATCGAGAGGATGCAGAAAACCGGCGCGAAAGTAGAACAAGACTGCGGCGCCATGCAAGAACTACCCTCTGCTCCGTGCAGCGTGATGGAAACGCGTGACCGTAGTGCGGCGGCTTCGTGCGTTCGGACGCATGATGAAAGCGAAGGTCTTGTTGAAGAGCTTCGAAAATCGTGCTGGCTCGTAGACGCCCTGGCGGCAAATGGACAAGTAGTCGCTGCGTTCCGCACCCTTCTGGAGGATGCCTCCGTAGTTAAAGTTGTACACGACTGTCGGGAAGACGCCGCGGCGCTTCGGCACCAGCACCACATCCGCCTTCGGGCAGTCTACGATACCCAAGTGGCGCACGCACTGCTCCATCCAGCGAGCACGCATTCCGGCTTCCAAGAGGCCCTCTCCTTCCTTTGTGAAAATGATCACTTTATTTCCCCAAGTAGACCGGACCACTTCGGTAAGACGGGCAACAGCAGTATGGACAAAAGTTGTCGCACCGGTGCCACATCAGTGTTGCGAGAACGAGAAACCGCTGAAGGTAGTGCTGCAATGATATCAACCCTTCCATCCTGCGCCACTCAATCTTTGTCAGTAGGATCGGATTTCTGTGCTGACATCACGCGGCCTGCACATTCCAAAGTAGAAGATGAAAAGCCCGATATAAATTACGGCAGCAGCACTTCGACGTCGTATCTGCAGCGCGTAAAACGTCAGATGGCGGAGGACAGCACACTGTGGCGGAGGCGTCCGCTCACTGGCGAACTCGTGAAGTATGCAGTACATGGGTGTCACCGCCTCCGCGACTTGTACGACCGCCAAAACCGTGCGTTAGCAGCACGGCGTCCTGATCTTTTCGAACCACTGGAACTGGAACACAACGCAGCCAGGGCGGTAGAACGGAAGATCGTATCGCAAACCGAAAAACAGTGCCTGCAATACCCGGAGTTCAACTTGCATCTAAGCAAGCCAAGCGATGCGGCCAAGATCGGCACGGTCCTTTGGGCGCTGTGCTGCGCGCAGTCCGGGAGCCACGCGGCGCGCAACAAAGCGGTGTATTGGAAGCTGAATCTTGGCCGCACAGGCGTGACCAGCACGCCGTCGGCGTTGGGCCGCTTACAGACCGTCGCCGTTGGCGACGCGGTGCTCTGTGTCGTTGCGGGCGTGTCGCTGTCAGGGGAGTTCCTCTATTTAGACCGCTACGACCCCGATTGGAACTACCACGAATTTCGGCAGCGCCCGGTGGACGCCAGTTCCCAGCCCGTGTACTACGGCCGGGAGTGTCGGCATCAAACGTATTCAAGTGAAGAATGCCCCCACCCCGGATCTTGCAAAAGTTTCTCATGCAAAGTTTCCAAATGAAAGCTTTTTGTTTTTGTCTTGCATGAAAGGACTCTGAGCCTCTCTGATGCAGAATCTAGGCACGCAAGGCATCTGCTGCATAGCAGATCCGCCTGCTGTTGGGCTCCTTTGCAACACAAATTTGAGCTATTCAGCATGGAAAATTTGTGATGCTGATATATGCAAGACGGGGAATGTTTCTATTGGAAAAGTTTGCATATACAAATGCTGCCAAGTGCTGGAGTGGGGGGCATTTTTCATTGTAATGAAACGAGCGCGCTGTTTCCGGAAACAGCCGCAATCGATCCGCTCCTCGTCCGCGACGACCAATTACTGCAGGAAGAAACCGACTTTCTTTAGAATTCATCAATACACTGATAAATTCCTCGCGAAGTTAACAAGGCAGATACACACAACCGGAAAGAAAAAATCTTGCCACCCTGCAGGAGTTTTGTTGGTTCCCGTGCCACAGAAGATGTCAGTTTCCAGTAACGACATGACTTCACTTCTCATCTCATTCCTCTAACGGAAAGTTCTGATAACCTTTCTTCTTTTGTGCATTCGAAGAATTCCAGCTTGAAATGAGAAAGCTTTCTGTTGTCTGTTTTACGATCCATTGATGGCAGCGCTTTTTGCTTGTAGAAATCGTTTTTAACTTAGTACTGCTAAGATGAGCATATTACAAGCAAAATCATACAGTCTGTTTGTGTTTGTTCATAATTTTTATTCGAGTCCTACATTCAGGAAGAGTGTCGCCTTCAAGCTCCTTCAAGCTCAACATCATTTGTAGAGCCATATCAATTTTCCCTCCACGGCCCACGTTACAGTAGCTCTGCCTTGGAGGCAGGAGCGCCGTGGAATATGTAAGTAGCACGCATCATTTCATCGCTTCTTGTTTTTCATCTCCTTTCTGCCAACATCATCATCATCTCCCAAATGACAGTCAGTGCAAGATGTTAGATAGTAACATGTGGCAACTCATTGTCGACTCGGTGTTCTTGCACGAACCCGATGCGGGAAACTGTCAGTGCTGGCGGTCAGTGTGGACGGGGGGACGACGACGGTAGTTTCCGCGCCGGAGGTATGCAGGAAAAAAACGTTGTTAGTGTAAATTTGTGATGCGCAACATGCAAGGTGATTGCGTCTGTCGTGCTTGGCATGCATCGTAGGGCCCATCAAAGGGCGTTTTCACATACTATCTGCGCATGACAGGTTTTTGCTGTCATGCCAGACAAATTTGTAATGCTGTTCCTCCAAAAAAGTTACACCTACAATGTTTTTTTCTTGGATAGGAGGAGGAGGCGGCTGTGGTCGATAGCACGATTGATGTGAATGCGACCAATGTTACTAATGAAACTAGTACCTCTGCTTCCCGGACCTCGCTGGTGGATGAAGACGAAGACTTCAGCGCTTTCAACACATCATCTTCCGGTAATACCACAAACGCCAGCGCTGGCAGCCGTTTATCATTATCCCTGTTTGACGACGACGACTCTGGGCCAACATCTTCTTCACTAGGGGAAAACACGACAACTACGAGTTCCAACGGGACGAGCAGTACTTTCGCAACCAATTTCAGCGGCTCTGGAATTCACCTGGTACAGGTGCAAAACGGCACGCGCAGACGGTTGTTTTTCGACGAAGAACTTGATTTATCTGACTCCGCGTCTGTCTACACCGGCCCGGACCGGATTTTCGAACTACCGCACCCAGAAAACGTGGAAATCATCCCACCAAAAGAAACGGACGACGATTTTGAAGCGTTTGTCCGGTATCTCGCAGCCACTTCCACGAGCAACCAGTCGAATGAAACAGCAATGGAGGAGGATGATCTGAATATGTTCTGAATTGTGGAGTTATGATTATTCCATCGATGGTGTTATGAATTGTAGAGAGGAGCACCACGATTATGGATCTGAGCGACATGTGGCACCTCATTGTCGACTCGGTGTTCTTGCACGAACCCGATGCGGGAAGATTATTCCCGCCGCTGGATCTGCGCGCCGTCCCGACGATCGGGGCCTCCCTTGTCGCACTCCTGTGCCTCGCATTTTTCTCGGTGCTGCTTTTTCGGGACCGAAACCTCACGCACACACTTCAAAAGCGAGTGGGCGAGTTGGAGAAGCAGGTGAAGCACGTGCATGACGCCCACCGCAGCTACTACCCGTATCCGAAGTAAAAACGCGGCCCACGACATCACCCCATAGTCTGTCAAGATGGGTGCTTAGCAAAAAGAACTTGGTGGCTTGTGTACGTACACACATCAACACGCTTTCGCTGTTGCGCAACGGGTGGACTGCTCGCAGCGCAGTCAAGATTTTTACCTAATGCGTGCGTGTCACAAAAAATCGCGATCGTTCTTTTCATGCTGGTTATAGCAAGCCGTACTCCAATTGTTCCAAAACAAATGCTCCTCATGAAGCAAGCTGCGCATGAGAAACATCCTGAGCATGCAGAATTGCATGAAATAAAATCTGGGGTGTAGACGATGGATTTTACTCAGGATAACCCGTCCGCGATCGTGTTCCTGCGTCACGGCGAGAGCGAAGCCAATGTGGACCCGTCTCTCTACTCCTCCAAGGGCGACCCCTACTATCAAAATGAAAAATCCTCCCACCCCATATCAAAACGGAAATTTGTGATGCTGATTTGGGGCCACAAATCAGCTTTGTATTGCAGAGAGGCACTGCGGCCAGGTCCCCAGGCTAGGTAGAGGCGCACGTGTCTAGCTGTTCAGCATGGCAAACGATTCCCCTTTAGGCCCAGCAGCATGGCAAATTGCTTTCATAATGGGGCGGAAGCTTCTGCCCTTGTCTTCTTGCAAGACAGATGTGATTTGTGACCTCAAATCCGCAACGCAAATTTTTCTAAACTTACCTTTTCAATATGGGGAGGGGGGATTTTTCCTCTCAATACCTACATAGAACTCACGCCAACGGGCGTGCTGCAGGCAAAGCAGGCGGGCCAGCGGCTCGCGAAAGTCATCCATAAACTGCATCAACAAGCACCCGCTGACGCGAATACGCTCGACGAACTTTTGCTCCTGCAACAAGAAGGTGCTGGTGCCCACCAGCCTGCGACGACGACAAACTTGCAAACGAGCGCCACGACCCTGACCAGCAGCGGCCCTCCCGTAACAACTAATAAAACCAACACGACGACGAGTACAGCTACATCTTGCACGACCGCAAGGACTACAGGCACAGCAAACTCGTCCTCAAGCAGAAATATTAAAAGCGGCGCCCCCGTCGGAGCGGCAGATGTCCCTCCAAACGAGCTGCAACTACAAGTACAGAAAATGATCAATGCGAGCACGACTCAGAAAGTACACAAGAAGGTCTTTCTCTACTGCTCCCCCTACGTGCGCACCCGGCAGACCGCGCAGCACGTTGCGGAGTCGCTGCAGGAGCAGGGCATCGAGATCGCTCGGGTGATCGAGGACCCGCGCATCCGCGAGCGCGAACTGCCGTTCGGCTGGACCGGCGAAGAAACGTCCATGTCCGCGGGCCGGTTCTTCTCGCGGCCGCGGGGCGGCGAGAGCAGCGCCGACGTGTTTGACCGGGTGAGTCTCTTCTTTCATACCATCTGGCGCGACTTCCGGTCTCACCCCGAGATGGAGGGACAAGTAGCCCTGATCGTTACCCACGGCTTAGCCATGCGGGTCGCCCTCATGAAATGGATGAACTGGAACTGGGAGACCTTCCTGCGCATGCGAAACCCGGAGAACTGCGAGGCGCTCATTTTGCAAGGTGACGAGCACAAAACCTCGTCCGGAGTTGGGGGAGACAAAGGCTCCTCCTCCCGGGCAGCAGACCAACCGCCCCCAGCTTCTATGTCGGACCACGGCGCAGTCTTTCATGCTGGAGGGCTCACGCGGGGGCCTCTGGCACGAAGCGACTCTTCCGAAGCGCTAGCTCTGGTGAGTAGCAGAAGGACCGAAGCGGGCCGAAAGCGTTTTGTTTTGACCAAAGGGAGCCTCGATGTGCTTTTCGGAGATCCGACACGCAGCCAGACCGGCATTGCAACCAATAGTACCGCTGGTGCAGAAATTGGACGCAGGGAATCCATGTAACTGACTTCTACGTTCGTCCAGCAACACATTTTCAATACGATGATCCTTTTCTCTCATATCTGCTGGCAATTCTGAAGTACAACTCCCGAAACAAGTATAGTAGAGTGAAGAATATCATGCAAGAACGGAGTAGATAAGAAGATCAAGAAGTACGACAAGAGGAAACGGACGAACGACCTCTAAGATACCCACGACACCGAAATCAACTTCGATGCATACTTTTGTTCCTCGTCGTGACGATATTGAGAAGTCTTCGTGTTGCAATCAACCTTACACTTAGTTATCTCTGAGTCGTGCGAAATCCGGGTAGGTTTCAAGAGATGCGACCACTAAGAACGACCAGCCTTGACGCTGCTCGAGCGATGCCTTGAACGACTTCGTCCATATACGTGAAAATGTTCAAAAGAAAGGTGATAGTCTTACGTTATTTCACTGAGCACCGTGATCGTTTTAGTTTAACTTCTAAACAATCATGAATCCACGCTAACCGCCTATATGTTCTTGTAGATCGAATGCTAAAGTGGTTGGGCTGCACCGCGACTCCAGCCTCTCTGACCATCGCGAGGACACTGACGACCTATCGATTTGCGTTTTCGGCACTCTTGCTTCCTCGAGGACCGCAGCAGCGTTTTTTCGGCTGCCAGGATGCCAAGACCCGCAAGAGGAACTTCGCCCGTGTTCGTGAGGAGCAGAAAGCCAAGCACCAAAGGCTCCGGGAGCTTGACACCGAACTGCGGAGGGACGAAAAGGAGGGCCAGAAAACGGAAGGAAAGAAAGCAGGAAGTAGCTCATCCGGGTCGAAATTGCACTTTGTTGCCAGTAAAAAGAAAAAACTCAGTACGTGGTGAATTCACCGATCAATAACGTGCAGACGCCGCGCGTATACTTTTTTGCAAGATATTTCTTGTTGTGGCTGTCAGTGCCACAAATAACACGCACATGTCAAAACCTGTGGAGATACCTCGTGGGCAGCTTTTACATCGCTCGTCACCTTGTTCGGTTGTTTTCGTTTCTTTCTTTCTTTCTTATTCTTTCTTGTAATTTGTTTCCAGTGGTATATCCACATGCGCTGGTCGTCTGACGAAAAGACACAGATATCAGATACCAGTTCCATGTGTACTTACATACTTGCAGCATCTCAGTATGTGAACCAACTGCAACTAAGACTTGTCAACAGCTTCACAACTACGCCATTCGTTCTTTGGCAAAAATGCGGACGATACCAAACTATTACTTTCTGGCACGCCCGGAACGTCGGGACTGCAAATGCAATGTGCTGATAGTTCCTTACTTCATTCCTTCCTCAAAACTCCCCGTTTGATGTCTGTTGCTGTTCCCGAATACTGCTGCTCGTGCGAATGACCGAAAGCGCCGAGCATGCTCCATGACGGCACTGCGCGCGAAGCTACCCGCCAGACACTCCTGAGCGAGCACAGCAGTAGTTGTTGGGGACGAGAACAAGAAGAATATAGTACGGCAGTACGGAACGACAGCACGGAACGTCGTTCCACCACGCGCCGAGCGGGCAGCCAGAGTTCTTCGCAGACCCGAAACCGATTGTTCCCAAATAGAATGGTCAGCGGGGGCACGTCGACATCACCCCCGCCCCTGGATGTTGCAGGAGTTGAGGTCGAACTGGTGCCGGGCGGGGAGAGTGGAACCATTTACCCGCCGCCGGGAACGGAGGAAGCGGGCCGTTCCTCGTCGTCCTCCGCTAGCAACTCCCGGCGCGCGGGTCTCAACATTGACACCGACAATCTTGCCGCCAACAGCCAAAGTGTTGCCGTTCCGGTTGTCGAAGTTGTAACAGACCTTGGGGCGGCGCAACAACAAGAAGAACTACAAGTCTTCGTCAAAGACAGCGATGAACTACATCAAGCAGATCATCTTGCGATTGTTCCACACTACCCAGAGCCGGCCGTATCCACGCCAGCGCTTGGGCGGGCCCATTGCGGCCACCCCCGCGAGGAGCGCAAGGCCGTTCGGCACACCTTCCGGCTTCTGCTGCTGATCTATCCGAGTGCACAACTCCACCCCCTCGTTCTCATTTCTGATGCAAAATTCACAACTCCAGTTGTTCCGTTGTGTCACCTCTACTTATTATGCATGAAGCCCAAATAGAAGTACTGCTACTTACTACATTCGGCGCATGAACTTGTCATGCACACCCTCCACGTGTGCTGTTGTTTCTATTGCTGGCGTTCATGCGGTACAAATGAGGGGGAGGGGGAGTTGTGTGCTCTCATACGATCCAGGCCTTTGTGAACTACGACAGCGGCGCCATTCCGTCCGTGCTGGAGATCATTAAAGAGGAGTTCGACCTGGAACCCAGCGCGTTGGGCACCTTGGGTTGCATTCCCTACCTCGGGATCACCGTGGCGGCGCCCATCTTCGGGTTCCTGTTGAACAAATATTCGCAGAAAACCATTCTCATCTTTGCCCTCTTGTTCAATGCCATGTTCTGCGCGCTTCTCGCGTTCGCGAGTGAATACTGGCATCTCCTGGTGGCCCGCGGCTTTATCGGCTTCACGCAGGCGCCCTTCGTGATCTACTCCACAGTGTGGGTAGAGGAATTTGCACCCTTAGATACAAAAACGCTCTGGGTTGCCCTGCTTCAGGTCGGCGTGCCCCTCGGAGTTATGCTCGGGTATATAAAACAGACTACATTTTCATCTCCAACAACTTAAAGTGAGTGAATGTCATTTGTTTTTTCTACCGGTCTCTGTACCATTAGGGACAACAAGGTTGGCCTACTTATTGCTCAGATAAAGGGTCGATGTCATTGCTCATGATGCTATCACGCAGATTTCGACCTGGCACGTTCCTTTTTTTCAGGTACCTCGTAGCCGGTTTGCTGGTCTCCGCCGAGGTTCACTGGTCGTACGCCATGAGTTAAGGAGCTGAAGGAGTAGCAGCAGAACGAAGGAGGCCTTGTGGCACCCTGCCAATGCTCGAAGGTCATGCCGAGTAACTGAAACTTCCTCGTTTTAAAGTCAGCCACAACTCTACTTCGAGATTTGATCCGGACTACATGTATTGAAGTGCAAAATATGAAAACCAATGACCGTGTCCGTGTGAGGCATGTGCTTCTTGTGCTCGTTATAGCAAACATGTTGATCAGAAGATGAAAACAAAAATGAAGCCGAACACTTCGTTCCTGCAGCGGTGAAATTCCATACACACGTCCAATGCATCTCCCTGGGGATCCTGCTCATTTTCCTGTTTTTCACGTCCGTGCGCTTCGTCGACAATCCATGGTCCTCTCCAGCGATGGCCAAATGGCGGGATCAGTTTATTTCGCCCGCCAAAAGGAAGCCCGACAACACGGATAACGTAAGGCAAAGTGCGGCGACGCAGGCGTCGCGTTCGTCGGGCCCTGCACCGCGCACCCGTATCCGAAAAACAAAATGGTGCGCATCTCGATGTATTACACGTATCTTTTTGTGCAGGACGACGAGCCCGACATCAAAAAATGACGAATTGTGGATCCTTTTGCATGTTGAATCCTGCTGCGGCCGTCCGTGCGGCACCAAAGTAGATACTGAGATGCAACTGCGAATCGTTTTTCTGTTCGATGACTCTGAAGGCCAAGCTGATGAATTCGCCTTCGGTCCTAGAGAGCAATCGCAGCTTTGAGTTTGTGGACTTGCAGCGCATGTGGCAAAGCGAGAAGAACACGCCCGCTGGCGAAACTAACGGATCGCTCGACGACATCGTTGCCCATCTGGACGGCTGCAACCAGCCGCCCTCGTCGCGCGATCACCCCGATTTCCCCCCTATTTCTGAAGGGTCGAATAAAGCTCATTCCCCGGCCGACCAGGAGGGAACGGCACAGGAAAGCCCGGAAGCAGCGGATGATGATCCTGTGCGAACGAACAAGATGCTGGCGCACTCTAGCTCCGCAACGTCTTCCGCCCTCGGAAGAAATGAACTAAACAAGGACAGGAACCTTCGCATTAGTACACTCTCAACAAACACTCAATTTACCCCCGCGCCTCCGTCCATGCTGCGGCGCGTGATGCGGCTGCGCCGGAACACAGTTTTCGTGCTGTGCATTTTGACGCTCTCGGTACTGTACTTCGTCGTTACCGGCGTGCAGTACTGGGCGACCATCTACTTCTATGCCGGAAAGATTTTGTGATACGGCCATTTCCCTGCTGTGCATGAATCGGCAAGGGTGCAACAAGCAACGGTAGTGAAAGAAGAAATAAAAAACACTTCAACTTGTATGTATAGCGATACGTGCAAGAAGAAAAACCAACCGGGCTTCGGTTCCAAAATTGCCACCGTGCACTGATTTCTTTCTGTTTTCCCCTGGATAGTACGGTAGAGGTATTTCGACCGCCTGGCGAAAAGGAGGAGTCGTTTAAGATCACGGTCATTATAGCGTTTTCGATTGTAGCCGCCACGGGCCCCGCGCTGGGAGTAGTATTCGGCGGCCTCTTCATCGATTCCATCGGGGGCTACGACGGGCTGCGCGCCCGTATTTCCACCATGCAGGCTTTACTTACCTCCGCGCTTCTCGCAACCGCTTGCGGAGTGGCCGCCGCGTTTGTTCCCCACGGAAAAAATATGGGCCAATTTTACGCGGTCGTCGTGCTGTTGTGGTTCCTTCTCTTCTTCGGGGGCGCGATGGTGCCTGCCCTCACGGGCATGATGCTCAGCGTGGTACGCTATCTAAGCTTCATACAACACGTGATGCTTTTTTTGTTCTACACAAGTCAACAAACACAAAGAGTTTGATACATAGTTCACGCAACCCTGCGGCTGCGGTGTCTGTCCCAAAGACAGAGCGCGAAACTATATGCCGAGAATAAAACTTGAAGTTTTTCCTACTTTTCGAAGAGTGATGCTTCCAAATGACACAAGGTTCGGAGCGACTTCCGGGCGACTGCAAGCGCGGTGGCGCAAGCGTCCTTCAATGTGCTGGGTTTCGCTGCGGGGACGCTGGCACCCGGCGTCTTCATGAATATCCTTGACGGCAGTTTCAAAAATCGACTGCGGGGCGGCATGACCTTGCTCTTTTTGTGGGCCATATTCGGGGTGTTATTCATTCTGCTCGCACTTGCAAAGCAGTTCCGGATTTTAAATGTGCGACTAAACCACCTGAATGACCGGTTCGGAGAAATTATCACCCGTCAAGGCAGCATCGACCAGAGCCAGCGCACCTACGCAGAGCTAATGAAACAGCGACTGGCACTGGAGTCGGCGTTGAACGAGGTGAAAAAACTGAAATACGACCCTCGCACAATCGACGTCCGCATCGGTAACTGCAAAGAGGCGCTGGAACAGGTTTACGTCGAACTAGACCTTTTGGACGACGGAAGGGATTATCAAATGTAAAAATGTCTGGGTCTGGAAGATTCTAAACTGGATTCTAAAAAAAATTTGTATTGCATGACCAGCAAAAGGACTCCAGTTTGTGCTACGTGGAGAGGGCATTTCTCATGCGGTAGAGGCATCACAAAGTCCTCTAAAAATCTGTGATGCTAGGGCATGCATCAAAGACATCATGGGTCATTCAAAATATGCATCAAAGACATCATGGGTCGCCGAAAGTGCTTCCTCGCACGCCCACCCCCCGGGGAGGGGATCCTTGACCTGTGGCGCTGGGAGCGGGTGTCCACTACATGATGATGATGACAAACCTGGCAATCTTCCAGACCCAGACACTTTTACATTTGATAGGGATCCCTACCAAAATGCAATCTGCTTTCAACCTGCCTCATGACGTGCACTGCGTATCGCGATTTAGTCCACGACAAAAGTATGACTTGCTCGACGTTGGCAATAAGAAGTAAGGCACTTCTTACAATTGGCATGATGACAACTCTCTCCCATGATCCGTTTTCTGCATGACACTGGAGACGATCGAATCAGACTATTGTGACACAGTTGGCAGTTTTCGTTCTGGTAGGCAAGGAGTCGAGCACAAAACGCAGATGCAGCGCTCGAGGCAATTTGCGACCCACCGATCTAGCAAGACCACGACGGACAGTAAAATCCAATTTGTGGAGCTGGATTTAACAAATTGTACGCAATTGGTTATCGTTGCATGTGCCACAGCCACGACACAAATTGCCCCCGTCACCTCTATGCATCTTCACACACTGCAGACAGAACATAATTGAATAATGAAAATCACATCGGGCAAACAATTATGCATACTGGAAAACGATAACTTCCGTTTTTTGATTCCATAGAACTACCTGACTCCCGAAGAACCGATGAGTGCTAGAGGGTTGATAGAAAATAAAGCATCCTGAACAACAAACCGAAAAAGAAGAAACATGACGACGATTAAAATTGAAAACCATCAACAAACACACAAAGCGCACAGCAAAAAAATCATTGGCATATGATATGCCTGAGCTTCTCATGTCAATTTCGATGAATATGATTTCTGATTATCCAGGTGTGACAAAGATTTAAGTCATGAATAATTCCACTTCTTTCGTTCAAAATTGGGTCCAGATCCAAAAAAAATCCTCCTCATCCGAAAGAGATTAAAATCCAATTTCAATTCAATATATAAAATTTGAAAATTTGTTCATATATCATAGAATCTCTTCATCTATTCGAATATCATAGATATCGAAATGAATCTATGTTTTATCTTCGTTTTTCTGATATCGAATCGATTGAATATCATATTCTCCGATAAATCATGAATAAATATTTGCCGATCGAAAGAAAAAAGAATGAATTCGAATTTGATAATTCAGAATCGGATTCGATTTCGAATGAAATTCTAAATTTAAAAATAAATTAGAAATTGATTCTGTCCATGTATCCGAATAAATGGAAATATCTTCTTTCAGATCTTTATGTCTTGATAACATCAAGATTTGGTTCTGGAATCCAGAATCTGGATCGATTGATGTCCTCGGAAGAAAATATTTTCTTGTTTTTTGCATTTTTTTTCATGATGGGAATCCGGATATTTCTTGGAAGATAATGATATTCATTCTGATAAAATCGGGAGAAGATTTTAGATGGTATAATATTTCAAGAATATTCCAAAAATTTTCGGATGGATATTTTTCCAAAAATAAATTTTTCGATGATTGAGTCGATTCATTTTCTCCAAAATATTTCGAATTTTTTCACAATATTTTCAAAATCAATTTATCATGAAAATATAGATATGGAATCCATTCGGATTGATCCACGAAAGAGATATCGATTGTAGCGATGGGCGTCCATAGAAACCGTCTGCGCACCATTCTCACCGTGTTCGAAGCGCAAAATAGCATTACAGATTTGCGAGGACAACATGAGAAGATCTTTTCTCCACAGCAACAAACTCCACTCAACAATGAAAAATGAAGTAGGTCACGAAATTCCTCTTGTGTACGAAAAAATGTAGCAGCAGTTTTCCAACACTAGAAATTGTAATCTGGACTTCATTGCGCGCGAAATTGACGAGGCAACAACAATGATGATGAATTTGTGTTGCTTTCAAAAACCATTTTGAACCCAAAAACAGTTAGGAACTTTGAAACTACGACGTGCCACACACTGCACTGTGAACGCCTGTAAGTCTTGAAGTGACAACATCTATGATAAGAACTTGAAGGAAAAAATACAATTGAGAATTCTTGTTCTCCGTGAATTCATCTTCGCGGGAAATTTGCATTCTGTGTTCCACTAAGCACTTTTGCTACATCGATATTTTTTTGCAAATTTATCTTGCAAATGATATCTCGGATTATGTGATGGGAATTTGATCCTATTCGGAATATTTTCAAATGGAAAATATCGATAAGAATATGAAAGAATCCCACATTATTTCAATAAATATTTCTGAAGATTGATGAATTCAATCATTCCATCGATTTGAGAACTTTTAAAAATTTCCTATACAATATAACCTAAATTATGCATTTTTTTCTTCATCATCATGAAGAAAGATTCTCTCCTGGATCTTTCTTTGTTTCTATGCATGCCCAGGCATGGTTGGCGTCAAAAATTCAAGCCCCTAAAAATTTCCTTGCATTCTCAATGTCAATCCCTCTCATGGATAAATCCAAATCATAAATTCCATGAAAATGGAATCGAGATGATCCATTTCAATTCCAGATTCATCGGTATATGATTGAAGAGATCGAGATCATTGATCAAGACCCCAATATTTTGAAATGAGAAGATGCCGCCATTCTCGGAGATTTGATATTGATTTGAAAATCTTGATAGTTAGGATGGTGGGGGTGGGAGATCGGATCTAGATGGCATCAAAGTGCGTTAGTTAGTATTCCCACATTGAAGGGGAGACAAGGGAAGGCTTCTTAGTGTTGATTCATGTTTCCTAGTCCTATGAAAAATCCTTCAGCCCTCAGAGCCTATGGCCATTACGGAGGCAGGGCATCATAACTCAAAAGAGTTGGCCGCCGGTTTCCGGATGTGGTTTGCCATGTTTAGGTTGATCGATTCTGTGTTGTTTGTGTCGAAGTGATAGACATGTATCCTCGTGTGAAAAGTGCGGAAACCAGCGAACTAAGTACCACGCTGATCAGAGAATACATGACTTGTAGCACCGTATACGTGCAGCGCATGTAGAGGAAGCGAATGGGTTCGATCTCGTGCCGCATCAGTATGTCCTCTATCATGTATTCGGCGTAATTGACAAACTCTTCGGCTTCTTTTTGCTCGGCGTCTAGTTCCTTTGTCGTTGCGTCCGCACCATTTGTGGGCTTCTCCGCACCATTTGTGGGTTTCTCTTCCCGCCCACCATGTTCCGCAGCCGTTGCTTTTGTCTCCTGCTTGAGCTGCTGCAGCCGCCGGAGCTTTCGCGCCTGCATGCCGCGCAACAGCAGGGGCACGCGCTCCAGCCAGGAATTCGCCATCGCGCCTAAAGTAACTGTAACGACCGTCGAAGCGGCCGTCACGAGCAGTGCGAATCCGAGCTCAACGCACACCGGAAGGTGCAGCGCGGACCGCCAGGGCCCCGTGCCGCGCTGTCCTTGCACGGGGTCGGTGGACAAAATGAAGAAGACCAGCAAGCCGGCATGGAACAGTAGAAACGCGATGATATTGAGCGCAAACGCCGACGAGTAGCGTGTTCCAAAGTTCAGAAAAAAGGTGCCCGTGCCGGCCGTCTTTAGCGTCGTATGCAGCGCAATCAGGTCGGAGGTGGAGGCAACACCGATCGGATGAAGGGCGATAAATTCGTAGTCCGAATAGGTATCAGGTTCTGGTGGACTTGTGTCGTCCACGGTCGTTGGCGCTGCGTTCTCAGCTGGTCGGGACTCGTCGCGAATCCAATCTTCCGCATCTTCGCTTTTGACGGAGTTCAACATCTTCTCAGTGTGTAAATCCGTCTTCCTCGTACTCGTCTCGGTTCCAACCTCACGTTCCTCGGGCGTCGCGATGATAAAATCCTTGCTTTCTCTTCCGAGCGCCTCTTCTCCTTCCTCGTCTCCAGCGCGATTTCCGTTCTCGCACGAGGACCCTTGCTGGTATACAGCGGCTGCGTCTCCGGCAGGACGAGCGCCGGCGATGGCGTAGACTTTCGAGTTGTTACTTGATGCTTTCTTCAAGCTTTTGAATTTGACTACCGCCTTGGAAACCGTCGACGCGACCGTCAGTTTCTGCACCGCCTGCTCCTGCAGCGACAGGTGCCGTTCCAGAACCTCGGTCCCAACAATTAAGTCGCCGCCAGCCAGATCCGCGCTGGCATTCACCTCCTGCAACACTTCCTTAAATTTTGATCCCCGACGCCTGGCCGAAGAAAAACTATCTCCAGGTGGCCCAAAAGAACTCCCAGAGGATAGCGTTGTCCCGCCAGAACGAAAAGACGTGACCGAGAATCTTTGGTCTTTTCTAACTCCTTCCGCCGCGCTGGAACTCTTGCCCGCGGCGTGACTGGATGACAGAAGTTCATCTTTCGTGGACATGATAAACGAAGAGTTTCCTCTCGAGGCACTTTCTGTGTCTATTCTGCCCGCCTGGTCTATTCTGCCCGGCGGGGGCGTTGTTTTGCCTCTCCTTTTTCGGTGCTTCTGCTCCAACTCTGCGAGCGCCAGTGCGTCACCAAACACAGCAAGCAGCATCTTTGCGAGTCGCAACCGCCGGCCCATTTCCATCACGGGGTAACTGGCGTAGAGGAGGATCACCCAGTTGTGTGTCGCGATGGTCAGGTAGCGCCCGACTCCCATCCAGATTTCCACATCGGAGTCGCCGAACCACACGCCATACTGCAGCTTGCGCGTGCAGCACCCGCACAGGAACATGCAAAGGTAGGAAAAGAGCAAAAATCGGATAATGTTCGGTGGGCCGCGACGCGGGGGCGGTAGAGGACGGTACGCCCGGCAGGTGAGCGCGTACAGAAACGCGCCCACGGGAAGCGTCGCTGGTTGTAGTTCGACGGGACATGCAGTGGGCGACGAGCTATTGACTTCTGAGTCAACGACTACACGCTCGTGAGATCTTATTTCCGCCGTCGTCTGATCTACTTCATTTTGCATTTCATCGCCCCGCACGTGCGTCAGATTGAGCAGCCTCTCGAGGTCTCCGAACTTGCCCACGCGCGCGTAGTCGTAATCAACCTGGAAGAGGCACTGTTTCTTTGCGCGTTCGTAGCACGAGCGGTCGTGCATCACCTCGGTCTGCGCTAGGAAGTCTTCCACCCACGCACGCCTTAGCTCAACGTCGGACTGCCGTAGTTGCCGCGTGGCAGCGCTCATGCTTGCGGCCTCGGCCGCCGCGGCCGAGGCCGGTGTGAAAACCGCGGCCCGCAGATCCCCGAGGCACTTCGCACGCAGACTCGCAAGGAACAACTGCTCGAGTAACGAGTATTCGAACACCCCTTCATCGTCGAAAAAGATGCTGGCCCCCAGCCGCCGGGCCACCATCTTGGCCTCGCCCCCGTAGGCCGCCGTGTTGTTGATCACGGCCAGCTCGCTGTCGTTGAAGTAGCCATACTTCATCCCGACAGAACAGGCGCGCATCAGGCGGAAGGTGAGCAGGGTGACCAGGTCCATCCAGTGGAAAGCGTACAGATTGTTAGTACCGCTTCCGGCTGCGAAGAACAGCGCTGGGTCAATGTGCACCAAAATCCACAGCACCAGCACCGCCAGGGCCCAACTGCCGTTGATGCCCTGGATATCGCCGGGGAGGAATCCGCCGATCGCGATAAACCGGTTGTAGGCCGCGCGCGGGCCGTCCTTCCCGTAGCAGAGCAGCATCCCCAGCCACGCCGGGGGAGTCTCGTACAGCGTACTCCAAAAAAAGGGTCTCCATTTGAAGATCCCCTCTTGCCAGGCCTCCGACTCGTACCGTGCGAGCAGACGACTCGCCTCCAACACTTGCTCCTGACTGATCCGCGGGGGAAGACGCAACTCGACAGGGGTGGACGCTTTGGAGGTTCGTGGTTTGCTGGGATACAGCACTTCCACGCACCACTCCAGCGCGGTACCAGTAGGTGCCATGGGGGAAGTGCCCGGCATTGCCGCAGCCTCGTGCCTAATTTGTGGCCGAATTTCGGAAACCCGACTTCCAAAAAAGCATTGTTGTTAATGTTGCGTTCATCCATTTGACATTCGTACAAAAGAGCAGAGGAACAAATACGAAAATGTCAGGAAAGTATCCCGCGGGTCGCTACTGCGAATCGTATCCGTTCCCTTTCGCATTTTCGGCAGAAACTTCACTTTCCTTTTCGAATCGCAAATTCCAAATTTCTACTTCGTCATCTCAAATTCCGGAGCAAGGATGAACCAGTTGCAGCTAGAAATAAGCTGCGCAAAAGTAGCTCTAGGTTAGCGATGTAGGGGAGAAACGAAAAGCAAAAGTACTACTTGAAACGCACGAATAAACTTCGATCATTAATTGTTGCGAGCAAAGTTTCTCGGAAATCGAATATCCTGGCAGCCGCGACAGCAAAACATAAACAAATTACAGAAACAAAAAGCAAAAAAACTCGTGGACAAACACGATACAGCTCACTACTTAGTTTCGAAAATCGCGGAGACCCATGTCGATACCGATAAAGTCGTCCCCCTCCTGCTCCGGCGGCTTTGGCTCGATGTCGTCATCAGGCGGGGGCCAAACACGTTCGTGACTGTCCACAAAGTACGGCTTCGGTAGTTGAGGATATCGGTGTGGCGTGAGTTTTACGTCGCCCGTAAGCCAGTCAGGCAGGCTAAACAAAAAAGCAGTTCTGGTCTTTCTTCTATCTCCGACAAGAAACGAAGAAAAGGCTCTTCTTGTGTGCTGTCGCTCCTTACGGCGGCAGTTCACCTGTGCAGCACCTCCTGAATCGAAACTACACAACTCCGGACGTCCCGATATCTTCTGCAACAGACCTTCAGGCGAGGTTGACCTGGAAAGTGAAGTTTTCGCTTTGGTGTCGATCGCAAGAAGGGAAGCAGTACTAGCCGCAACAGGGTGCAGCTGCGCGTGGTCTGGCTGAGAAGTGACCGCGACGCTATTGAACGAGGTCTTTCCGCGGCTTGTTTGAAAACTGTTGATACGTAAATCATCTGTGCGCTTGAGGCGAGGAGGAGCAATTATTGATGCATCAGTGGCTCCTCCCGGTGAAGACGCAGCACGACCTACTTCTACCTCGAGAAAGCTGCTGAGCGCGTCCTTGTTGCTGGATGCTTTGGAGACGCCGAGCTCCCCAGAGTCCGTGATTGTCAACTCGTCCTGCGGCTCGCCGCTGTCGGACCCCATGCCCTCGATTTTGCGGAGCACGTCCATCTATCAACTGTAAAAATGTCTGGGTCTGGAAGATTCTGACAGCTGTCATGCACGTTTCGCATGAGCGATGATGTCTGTGATGCATACCCTAGCAATACAGATTTTTTGAGAGCTTTTTGATGCCTATTCCGCATGACAAATGCCTTCTCAGCGTAGCAAAAATTGCATCCCCTTTGCTACTCATGCAACACAGATTTTTTTGGAATCCAGAGACAGCATTACAAGTTCCACTCTTCCAGACCCAGACATTTTTGTATTTGATACCATCCCGGTCTTCAACTTCCCGAACACGACGTGGCGGCCGTCCAGCCAGGGGGTGTGCTCCGTGGTGATGAAGAACTGGCTGCCGTTCGTGTTCGGGCCCGCGTTCGCCATCGAGAGGGTTCCGGGGCCCTCGTGGACGTGTTGGAAGTTTTCGTCCGCGAACTTCTGCCCGTAGATGGACTCGCCGCCCGTCCCGTCCTCGTTCGTGAAATCGCCCCCCTGGACCATGAAGCCTGGAATCACTCGGTGAAACTTGGAACCCTTGTAGTGCAGTGGCAGGTGACTGTACGACGAAACGCCCTTTTCACCTGTTCAGAATAATTGATTCTTCTGCAAGTTCTGAATTATCCAAATCTGTTATTTTGGCACAAGGGACCTAAAAATCATCCACGAAATTTTTTTAGGTCCGGTGCTAAAGTGACCGCCTTCCTACTTTGGTCGTAAACACTTAGAACCAATTGCTTCACGACATTTTTTTGCAAGAGAACTTGGTAGAAAAAGCTGTACCTGTGCAGAGTGCCCGAAAGTTCTCAGCGGTTTTCGGCACCGTCTTGTCAAACAGCTCGAACGTCATCCGTCCCGCCGGCTTTCCCCCAATCGCAACGTCGAAAAATGTTTCAAGAAACGAACTCGTGATTCTCGCCGACCCCACACTCTTCCGCGATGACAAAGCCGCTGGGTCGGGGGCACCAAGAAAAAAATCCGCCAACATGCCCATTTTCTTTATCTCCTTTGCCGATACAGCACCTTTTCGAATTAACCTCTTGCTAGCTTTTTTACAAGATCAATCACGAAAAAAACGCCACGATGCCATGTTTCGATGCACATTTTTCGCTCCCCTTTCGCAACTTTGAGTGACTACTGTGTGTGGCCGATAGAGACACTCGACCGATTTTTCGTACCAGACTTCACGATGTGTTCCGTTCCGAATTATTTGAACGAGATCGTAAAAGCCTCTCTGCTACGTCCCTCGACTAAGTCAGAAAGTGGCGAAGCGACGCAGCCAACCGTCCGCTGAGAAAACGCGCCAAACAAAACACAGTAGCGAAAATCCGGCTTATAAAGCTTCTCGGCTCAGGTTCCAAAATTCTCCTTATTCTCCGCAGAAAATGCAGCTTGAGAAGCGACTGATCGCGCACAGGAGCATCACTGTATCGACTGAAAAGCGATCCCGGCACTGTACAGGCGAGCTTTCGGGGGAAAGAGTTCCTCGCGCGCAACAAGTTCTAGTTCGCAAGACAGTCTTCATCCGCCTGTCTTTGGAGAACAGGCAACGACTGACACGGTGGTATACACAAAATAGTAAGATACAGTAAACCTAGAGTTGGAGTTCGAAGACGACTTCGCTTTTCATGGAATAGGGCGCACTGATGCCCTGCTCGATCGCACGAAACTTGGAGAAAAACAAGAATCGGCATTCGATCGGCCGGCACAGGCGTAGTTCACGTAGCGAATATGCCGTGATTGCTAAACTCGTTGTTCTTGGCTGCAAAGTTAGCTCATAAATGCTCAGGCACTACAGACAATCTTCAACGTCGGGCGAACTACACGACGCGAGGAAATAGGCTGCATATTGAGCAAGTGAAAATGAATATTGAAAAGTTTGTCCACTCGGTGCATTGAAGTGTTTTATAAAATCGAAACGAAACAATCAGAACATTGCTTGATTTTTGTAAACATTTTGTGAAACATTAGAAATATTTGTTGCAGGCGCTTCGAGTCAATATCAATCTTGGATTTCGTATAGCAGTTGAACTGCCCGCGTCAAACGAAGTTCAAAGTAGCGTGTAAACTTCCCGCTAACCGTCAGAGTGATGCTCACGATTTCTAGCTACTGTTCTGAGAACGAAGAACTTTCTTACTTTGTTACATTGAATCTTCGCAATTGCAATACTTTGCTATTTCTGTTTCTAACCCGATAATTTTTATTTTTCATTTCTTGGTATTTAGTAGTTTCCATATTGAGATGCTAATCTTGGATTCATTCGGATTCGTGATCTGGATTCTGTAATCCACCTTTTCTCGTTGTTTATTGTGCATTTCTTACTAAAAAAATCGTACATTGTATCGTTCCTCAGCTGAGCATTACCCAAGGAGACCCGCTAACCAGGACATATCATCACCGCCGCTGGATTGACCCGCGTTGTTGTTTCCGCTGGCGTTTCTGTGGTATGATTTTTTTGTGTCGTCTCACTCTCAATGTGCCTTTGTTCTGCGCAGAAGTTGTCTACATTCGTACAATTTGCTCATGCCAAGAAAATTCCGCAGTCAAAGACAAAGCCAAAGTACCCTCCAGCCCAATTGTTGTTGTTATTTCCTTGCTGTTGCTGATTCCAGTTGTTGCCTCCTCCCTTCTGGTCACCTCCGCCGATGATATTGGCAAACCAGTCATTGTTGTTATTGTTATTGTTCGGGGCAGCACCTGAGTTGTTGTTTTTGTATTTGTTGTTCTGTCCTCAGTGGTCGAACATTAAGTATTAGCTATTTTGTGTGTGCAAACGCAAAGTCGTCAGATTTCTCAATGACTGTGGCGCATTAATACCTGCGTTATTGTTGTCACTTCCCGCACCTGGTCCCAAAAGCTGTCCAAGCCATGCCGAGGCATCGTCATCTGAAATGCGTTTCGTTTTTCGTACAAAGTGGTGTCTCGTTCATACAGAGCATAGAATCAGAAATGTGCCGTAGTTCATTTTCTCGTGCATCCACAAGCCCAAATGAGGTCGTCGGCCATGAAGATACCTACTGTATAAATTAAAAAGTTTAATCTCTCTTACTGTTTTGCTGCGGTTGTGGTCGTTGCTGTTGCTGCTGGTTGCCCCCTCCCATACCGCTGAGTAACCCGGCGAGTACGTCACCACCGCCGCTGTTGGCGTTGTTGTTGCCACCGCCCCAGGAGCTGCCGGCACTGTTGCCGCCGCCACTCTGCAACTGCATCAGCGCCGCGGCCAGCATTCCCTCCTTTCCACCACCGCCACCGTGGTCGTGCTGCTGGCCGCCCTTGTTGCCTTTCTTCCCGTAGCCCTTGCCCGGCATGTCCGACATCGGGTAGTCCTGATTGTAGTTGGTTCCGCCTTTGCCCCAACCGCCGTCTTTACCCCCGCCCCAGGACTGCTGGTGTCCGCCCCAGCTGTCGTGGTCCTGGTGGTAGTCGTCCCCTCCGCCCCGCTGATTGTAGCCGTCGCCCTTTCCGCGGTTCTTGTGGCTCCAGTTGTTCTTTCCGCCCTTCTATCAAATGTAAAAGTGTCTGGGTCTGGAAACTTGTGATGCTGGGCGGCGTCTCATGATGAGGCCACAGATGCTGGCTCAGCATGACAAGTTTCTGAGCTTCTAGGTGTTGCCTATTCTGCATGACAGACTACGTCTCTGCATCACAGAAAAATGGAGCTCTTGGGTAACGTGCATAACAGATTTAAGAGTCATGCCAGACAAGCATGACAAACATCCATGCATTCTTCCAGACACAGACATATTTGCAATGCATACCTTCTTGCCCCAGCTACCGTCGTCGAAGCTACTGCCCTTGGCGCCCCCGTTATCAAAGAAAAAAAGTTCGTCACGATCACTCATGCGCATTTTTGCAATACAAAATTGTTGTTTGTCATGCGTAAAAATGCATCACAGCCAAACTTCATTAGGGATTTCCCTAGTGTTTCTGCAATACAAGGAAAGTTTGTGATGCTGAGAAAATTTGTAATGCAAAACCTGCAATTTAGTGATTGTGACAAACTTTTTTCTCTCCATACCCGTAGCCCTTGCCCTGGGGTGGTGATCCGAAGTCCGGCACCGGCATACCGCGGTTATACGCCGCACGGTGCGTTCCAGCCGGTCGCTGGACCGCCGCCGCCGGCTTCCTCGCGTTCTTCCATTCGTTAAATTTGCTCTGCATCTCCGCACTGTTCTAGTATCCTAGGATAAGAAACCCCTCTTGATGAGTCAAACTTCATTGTTGGCAGTTTTGTGCTTATCGTCCATCATGAGAAGTAAGTACTTGAATTGTCTTTCCCGGATGCACGGACTGAAAACATGAAAACTATTCTGCCCAAGCGTTTTGCACGGAAAAACGCAACGAAAGCATTAACTCAACAAGCTTTGAAAATTTCAGTGCGATATGGTTTTGAGCGCTTCCGTGTCCTCGCCTTCCGCTGCCAGGTGGTCGAAAAAGTCCTTCAATTCGCCTTCCAAAACATTGCCGACAACTGTCAAATTTGGTTTTCAGATTTTTTTTCATCCATGCCTGTTTTAAAGTGCACGCTCTGCAAAAAGAAAAAGCACGTTCTGCAATAACCTTTCTTGAACACTCGGACAGAAAACGCCATCAGTACCTCCGTTTTCGTCCATCTTCATGGGCCCGATGATGTCCACCATATGTCCCTTCAACGGCGCAGAGTCCTTCGCAGCCTTTGCCGCGTAGGCCATTCCCAGATTCCTAAACTCTACTTGCGCGACACCATTTTGCCGGTCAATGCGGATCTTTTTTTTCAAATTTTCATAGAATTTTGAATGTCGATAGCACCCTGGAACGGCTACAAAACATTTATCCGCATAACACTTCTGCTCAATCCACTAAGTGCCGAAGCAAACGAGCCGATGCACGTGCACCTAATATTAAATTTGTCTTGTTTCTATACCGTGCCAACGATGTTTCTGTTGTGGTGACCAAACCAGTCGTGAATCGCTTCTGCACTGACTTGGTACGGCACTTGCTTCAATCGCAGAACGGGGACTTCGCCGGCTCCGGTGTCGGTTCCGAACTCTGCACCCCAGCCGTCCCAGCCGCTTCGTGACGCTGTTTTTGATGTTATTTGATTTCTTAGGGCGGTGTGCAGGCATAAATTTTTGATACCCGAAAGGAAACTCGTCAGATGCAAACTTTGTCTTTGTGCTGCAAACACTACAAAAATGAAAGGTACGTTTGAATCCCATCGGCACGTTCCAGCCTTTCCCTTGGAATCCTTTGCCGTATGGTCCCTTGCCGTTCTGGTGCAAGATGGCGGGCCCCCGACCGCCTCCGCCGCCCTTGCCGTATTTCTGTCTCTTCTTGGCGTTCAGCTGCGCGACGCGCGCCATCAAGCTCGCACTGGCATTGTCACCCTGGATCGGACCTGTGGAGACACATTCATGAGAGGACATCAAGAAAGCCGTCGTTAACAAAACTACTCACTCAAGAACTCATGCGCAATTATTCTCAAGGTGTTTTGCAGTGTGACTCTGACTCGGTCGTGCTGCATTCGTCAATGAGATAATTCCAACTACATCTTCTAGAGCGAAGGAATAATTCTTGTACGAACTAACCACATTAATTCCGAATGTAGTACCGTGCGCGACGATGCGCTGCTTGTCTTCGAGATCCATGCGATTCCATTTTTCCTGCGCACCGTTGTCCAGGCGGTACTCGGTTTCCCAGTTGGAAATTTCCTCCTGCGTGATGTGGTTGTAGTCATTGTCCAGGTCACTAGAAAAGGAGCTCACCTTGTACAGTTTGAAAAATCCATCAGTCGCCTTCGCCGCGGGCGTCTTCACCGGCGATTCTGTGTGATTTGTTATTTGGTACTGAATTTTGAGAGTGAGTCCGCGTTGACATTACCATACTTACACTTACTAGCGAATTCTGCTTTCTCGAAATGAATTCGGGTAAATGAATTTCTACCGCTAGTACGTTTCAAGATACAAACAATAAGAAGAGTAAGAAATCGCAAGAAAATAAAACGTTGCAGTACTGAAGCCGGCATTAGCCTCCGGTTCAAAGCCTTCCTCCCCGGTTTTTTGCGGTGTTGGCAACTCTGGCTCGTCCATGACGCTGCTCATAGGAGGCATTCCCGTTGCATGTGAACTTGTTGCGCAAGAGACGTGGCAAACTTTTTCTGGCGAAAACCAGAAGAGAAATTGACAAAGTCTATGGAAGTTGTTATTCACTAAGCTACTTAGCAGTAAGCAAGCGCTCTTGTTTTGTACACAAAAGAGTCCTCACGGCGCTAAAAGTCAGTGGAAGATGCTTTCATTCTTAGCAGTAAAAATGGTCGATTTGCATTTGCTTTTGAGCATTGCAGAAAAATTCCGCAGCCCATTTTCTTCCGAAGACATCACTTCTCGAGAACGACCCACTCCACGAACTTCTTCTTTTACGACCCGAAACCTTTACGAATGACGACCAGAAACTGCTTTGTGGATTCTATTTCACTCTGAATTCACGACTCCGAGCAACGAAATACAGCGTCTTAATTCTGTCGAGACTTCGGGCAAGAGACGATTCTCCATGTCCGTACTAAAAGTCTACACGTATCACGAGCGGCATGCTTCGAATTGTAGAACAACAAGCGAACTGTTCAACCTGTGATAGTGATCATCCTTCAAAAAATCATCTGGGTACTTCGGTGCGTTCAGTTAGGAAGAGTTCACGTTGAGTGACAACCTAGTAGTACCTCAACTTCAACAAACGTAGTGCCAATCGCAGTCTCGGCTTATAGCGCATCGAAAAGCTCTTAAACTCGATGCCTCTTTGATGCCGGTCCTCCAGCATCCGGCGACCTTTTGTGAATTTTTCAAAACGCTACAATTCCGGCTACCTTCTCCTCGACTACTACTTCAATTATACCACATTCATTTATTACCACCATTCATTCCCACACTAGCGTCAGAAATAGATCTTGTCATGATGCAAAATGTTGCTTACTACAGTTTCGAGGCGGGTGGAAAGGCGGACGCTTCTTCAAAGAGCAACAGTTGACTTGCCAGCTGCGCGTACGCGGTGACGCAGTTTCGCAAGTCCTCGATGCCGATGAACTCCCGAGGGCAGTGCGCGTCGCAAATGTCTCCGTGTCCGTACAGAAAGGCTTTGGCGGAAGTCTGCAGGTACGGGATGTCCGTATTGAAGCAGGCGGTTCCAAATTGCCAGTTCCCGCTTTTTCCCAAATACTTGTCCACGTGCGTGAGGTCTACCGGCGCGTTTTCGCTGATCTTCGTGAGACGCACCCGTTCCTGCCCGGCCTTCTGGTTTGCGTCACTAAGAATTTTCTCCAACTCCACCCAAACCACCTCAGGCTTCGACACCAGTCGGAACATCAAGCTCGCACTTGCGCGCTCCGGCAGCGCGTTGATCGCTTGCCCCCCGTCCAGAAAACCGATGTTGCAGTCGGTTTGCCCGATCAGTTTCGAGCTGGGAAAATCCGTCTTCCGAACTTTCTCCAGCACATCCAGCAGCAGCTCCGTGGCGCTCACCCCGAGATGTGGGTACCCGCTGTGCGCCGCAACGCCCTCGCAGTCGATCTTCACTTTTAGAATGCCTTTTTGGTACCGCATCACCTTGCCCGCCGTCGGTTCCCCCACGATCAGATATTTCAAGCTGTCCAACGGCAGCGCGTTCGCCTTTTTCATACCCTGGTGCGTGGTCTCCTCCGACACCACGAAGAGAAAACCGATCTTCTGCCGGTGCGGCTTCAGGATTGGCGTTTGCACGCTGAGCAGCATCGCTGCGATCAAAGACTTGGTGTCGCACGCGCCGCGCCCAGTCAAGATTTCCCGTCCGTCTTTGTCGAGCTTGAGGTCGCTGGGAAAGTATGGCGGCACCACGTCTATGTGCGTGTTGAAAATGATGGGCAAGTCCGCAACTCTGGTGCCTTTCGGCCACGCGAGCACGTTGAAGCGCGACCCGCCGCCAGGCTTCCCAGTCTCCGGCTCGACGGACTGCAGGTCCAGGTCGTAGCCGTGCGCCTGGAACCACGTTGACAGCGCGTTGGCCATGGGCACCTCCGTGCCAGAAACCGAGTCGATGTCGATCAACGCCCGAGCGAGATCGACCACATCGGGTGCGGGGTGCTGCAAAATCTGCTGCAAGTTCTCCGCTGTTTTCTGCTGCGATTGCTGCGGTGCTCCTGCTGGGCTGGAGTCCTTCCCAAGACCACGACCTTGCGGCCCCTCTAAAACCGGCTCACACTCTTCGATCATATCCACGCGCCATCGGCAATCGCAGCGCTCGTCTCGCGTGAGTGCACCCCCGCTCGTCCCGGAAGTAGTGCCAATAGTGTAGTTCTTGCCACCACTGACGCCCTCAAGAATCCATGGCTGCAAAATACGCGGCATCGTGCTGTTCGGGCGCGCACGAAGTTCCCCGCCGACAACTGTCCCAGCCACTACTTCCGCCCCCGAACAGCCGAAGAGGCAGGCCGCGAGACACTCTTCGCCCGTCGCCAACGCGTTCTGCAGCACCGGCACGCTGCAGTCCAGTAGCGCAAAGTCCGCAAAGTGGCCGCGCGCTATTTTTCCCACGGGCAGACCCAACGACCGCGCCCCGTTAGTCGTCAGCACGCGAACCAGATCCGACACGCCAAAGTGGCCTCGCTCCTCTGTGCGCACACGCTGACCGTACTCTAGCCACCGTGCCTCCTCGAGCAAATCGATGCGCAAGTTCGAGTCCGATCCGACGACCACTCGATCGGGCCGCTGCGTGATTTCGTGCGGCAGCCCGTCCGCAAGCGATCCCTCCGTCAGTGGGCAGACGCAGACGTTGCCACCCCGCTTCCCCATGTATTCGGCCATGTCGGGCCCGTTTGAATGCGTGCAATGCACCAGCGTGCAGTAGGACAAATCGCCAGGCGGACTGGCGTCCAGAAAGCACCGCAACGGCGTGCGGCCGCCGTTGCCCGCCCTGCACTGCTCAATTTCCTGTCGCTGCTCCTCCATGTGCATGTGAAACGGGCGGTTCGTTCTCTTTGCGTAGCCCACGAGCTCTCGCAGATCTTCCACCGTCAGGGCGCGAATGCTGTGCGCCACCACGCCGACCGATTGCGTTTTCTCGCACTGCACGGCACATCCTTCCACCTGGTCACGCAGGAACGACTGCACGGACCCGCGGTCCGACCCGTCCTTCCCCACCGTCGTACGAAACCGCTTCTGCCCGGCGTTCAATTCAGGCTGCTGCACGCCCCCGCGGGCGTAGTAGGCCGAAAGCAGCACGATCCGGATACCCGCCTCCTTTGCCGCCTGCAGAATCAGGTCGTCGTACCGGTACGCCCAAGTAGAATTCTTCGAGGACGTGCTTGACGCCGCTGCTTGTAGTTTTTCCCTTCCGTGGTGAAAGTAGTGAAACTCCCCGACGGACGTGACTCCCGCGTCCCGCATGTCCAAAAAGCAACGCAGACAGTGCTTCTTGAAAGACTCTTCCTCCAGCTCTGTCACCAGACGGTGCATTCCCTGGCGCCACGTCCAGAAATCGCCCTTGCCCTCCTCGCCCTTCCCGCGGAGGCCCCGCTGAAACGCGTGCGAGTGACAATTCACGAACCCCGGCATCACGAGTACATTCTCCGGCAGGTCAATCACTTTCGCTGGTGCTGCGCTCCCTTTATTCCTTGGTATGCTACTGGTACTGTCGCCCTTCGTCCCATCGACGACATTTATGACCTTCCCCGTGCCCAGATCAACCTCGATCGTTACGTCGTGTCGGAACTTCTCCTCGATCCAAGCCCGGGAGGCTCGGTAGTGAACCACTTTCTCGCTGGTCATGACGCAAGAGTTTTTTCCGACGTAAACGGTCACGACATTGCAGGAGCCTCACGCATGATAAATTCTAGGGAAACTACGCAAAGAACGAGCCAAATTGCACTGAAACGGCTAAAGGTAAAAAGAAAAAGCCGACGAGTAGAGAAGTGCGCTCCTTGCCCAGTGCCTTTCTCTTTGGGTAAACCGGAGTGGTCAATAATTTCAGGTTAGAAGACGCGAATCCTCGCTCTGCTTACTTGCAGTATCTTCGCTCAATCACGGCGCACAACTACCGCTACCCTCGTAAAGAAAAAAAGACAAAAAACATCGCATTGATTCGTCCACAGAGCAGCAGGTGTGGTGCCCACAGCTGTAGCTTGCATGAAAAGTTAAATCACCAAGCGTTGCAAGAATATGAATAAAATCGATATTCTACTAAATAAGCTCCTGGTCGTCTGCAGGATGATCATTCGTCCAAACCATTTACTGCCGCACATCTCGTCTTGTCGCATCAATTGTAGTATTTTCGTCCTGTAGCCGCATCATGACAACCCGGGGCCAACTCACATCTGTTCTTGTATCTTCTTGCGTTGCCGACGAGATCTGCAGCTGCCGCGCAAGCCGATGCAGTCGATCCCGTTGGTAGCTATCTACCTCCGGCGGGAACACGAGCAGCGTTTCCCATTCAGTTATGCCAGATAGACACAGTTCACGCCGGAGAAAGTTACACACGTCCGCGTCGTCTCGCGCCAGCAACTCCTCCGCCTCTACCGCAGACAAAAATTGCGCGGCAGGCCAAGACTCCGGCGGTAGATGCTGCAGCATCAGATTCTCCTTGCTCCGAGTCATAATATTCTTACCCGCGTGGGCCCCGTCTCCCCTTGTTCGCGCAGACGTGTTAGAAGACGCTGCAAGCACCCCGTCATGTTGCGCCTGCTGCTGCACGAAAGCTACATAGTCTCGCCGTAGAAGGAATTCGCTGCCCCTTGCGGCTGATTCTGGTTGCAATTGTTTGTCATGTCTAGTGTCGTGGTTTTCTCTCAGCAGCTGCGCCTCTGTGTGCGGCGCTGATGTTGTGTCTGGAAAAGAGAAGCCGTCGCTTTGGTCAGCTGTGATGGCGGCTTGCAGCTCTGCGCAGTTCATTATTTCTTCTGCACTATCGTGGTCGTACAAACTGCGGCCCTCGGGGCCGGGAACAACGCAAGCACCGAACCTCTCCCGCGTCCGCTGCTTCGCAGGGGTCTTCCAGACTGCGTACAGGTGGTTCGGGATGTCTTCTAGCTGCAGTTCGCAGAGCCACCCCTGGTCTTCTGGATGGTGCGAGACCAGCCACGGGGAGTCCGTGAGCCGTTGGTTCACCGCCACAACTCTTCCACTCAGGGGTACACGCAGAGTCGCTTCCGCGTACAACCCCTCTAGTAACACGAAAGGGCTGCTGCACTCATGGGATAGTACATCAACGCTCTTGACTCCTCGCGTCGAGCCTCCTGTTCTTCCAGCGCGAAGAGAATCCTCTCCTTCCGTGTAATTATTCTTGAAGTCGGATACAAACCCACTGGCGGTTTCCCTGTCCTTGGCCACGGCAGCCTCTAATTCCTCGGGGCTGTCGAGCAGCGCATCCAGCCATTGCGACCTGCGTTCGCAAGCCAGCTTTTCTCGCGCGAGGTTGGGCCGCTGTCGGTACGCGGCGGCGTTTGCCGTCGCCCATGGTGGGCGAACGCCAACCTGCGACAAATCCCGATTCCGCCTTGCCATCACTCGCTGCTGGTCTAGTGTTGATCCTGAAATGCCACTTCGAAAACGCAGTTCTGCCTCGGCCTCCGCCTCGCGCAGTGCAGCCCCCCGCTTCAGACGCTGATAGTCAGGCTCGCGATCCGGCGGGCGCCTGGAGTCCAGATAGGACCCAACTGCTGGCAACCGCACCCGTGCCACTTCCGAGTCCAGCATACTCACCCCGGTTCGCGTAATTCCGACCAGGCACCGCTGCGTTTTCTTGGACAATCGTATCCAAACGTGCTGCCGCGTGTACAGCTGCACCGCACTACTCGACGTTGTTGCCATTTCTAGTACGACCCATGCATAGACGACAACATGAATATGATTTGACACCAATAATTCTTGCAGCGCAGGCACACCATCGCAACTTGAAATCAGCAATTGCTTCCGAGCGAGGAGAGGAGAGGAGACGATGACGATGACGATCAGATCACAACCAATATACTTTATTGCAATTTGGAACATATCAGTGGAAATTAGCAAAAAGGCATGACTCAAAGTAGGCACGAATTCGATTAGGCACAAACGACCTGAGCAGTAACCACGTTGAAGACGTACATTCGAACACATACGGTGCTGTCAAACCCGGTGAGCACGGAAGAAAAGTCAAACCAAAAAAATTAGCAATTTTTTTCTTGATAGCAAAATTATACCGCCACTCAAAGAATTCAAAAATGCAATTGCGCAAGGATTCAGGAAGTGCACATTCGGGGTAGATTCATCTAGCGTAGTCGGGTCATTCATTCAATGGGTAAAAAAAGAAACAAGGGAAACATAATTGATGTACATACGAACATTCCAACTTTTTTGACAGGAGGCCAGCCCCTTTCAAATAACAAACAAGTACACCAGCGTGCGAAAACTAGGAAAGTATACGAGAACAAAACAGAAATCATACATGCTGTGCGGGAACGCCAGCTACTGCGGGCATGGGTTATTATCCTCTATCCTTCAAGCCCGATTAGCTTTTTCCAGTTGAACGTCAGCATCGGTGCGTTTTTGCTTTCCTCCTCCTTTTCGACCATGGCCGTTTTCTTCGCCGCCCTTCTTTGCTGCTGCTCGGGGGACACCTGCCGCCTGCGTTTTCCCGGCTCCGCGAACCAGCGGACGAAACCCGGTTCCCGCTCCTCCACCGCGGTGTTTTGCCACAACCCGACGTCCTTCCGCTTGCGCCCCTGGTTGATGAGCAGGCGACTGGAGGTGGGCACGTGGCGCACACGGTGGGGCAGGAGACCCAGCTCGTCCGCGCAGATCGCGCCCAGCGCGAACGTGCCCAGGTCCTTCTGCACCTTGCTGCGGACGTGGTCCGGGATGTCGCTCTCCGTCTCGAACATCTTGGTGGCGACCGCGCTGAGGGACTGCGTGTCCAGCGCCTTGCCCTGCCCCTCCTGGTCGGCGAACAGGAAGTCCAGGTCCGGGGCGTGCTTGCGGTCGAAGCCCTTCATGAACTTCGCCTTGCGGCACCACAGCTTGTAGCCGTCCAGCAGCTTCATCCAGTGCTCCTGGTCGCCCGTCACGTGTTTCGCGTGGTACTCGCGCTGGTCCCGGAAGTACCACAGCGTTTCCCGGAGCTTTTGCATGTGCTCCGCGTGCGGTAACTCCTGTTTGTGCACCACCAGGTTGCCGCGCACCTGCTGCAGCGGGGGCTGGAACTTCCCCTCCCGGTGCCACTCCGGGTTGTACCGGAAAATTGTCGAGTCCCGGGCCAGCCGGTTCTGGAACGCGACGGCGCGCCACTGGTAGCAGTGTTCGTCCTCCTCGGTCGGGAACGCCTCGGCCTTCAGTTTCTCCAGCGTGGGCGTGGTTTCCAGAATCTGCATGTCGGTGCGCGTGCGGATCCGGAAGTCGGGACCATCCCGCCGGTCGAAGGGGAGCCGCATGATTTCCGCCTGCGTGCGACTGACGCCGGTCTGCTCCCGCACCAACCGTGCGTTGTCGCGCTTGCGCTTGCGCTCCGCCAGCTTGTTTGCAGTGCGCCGCATCATGCTGACCACGCCGAGCACGTTGCCGCGGTCCGCGAAGGTGCCGGCGTCCCGCTCCGCCGCCTGCAGGTTGCCCAGCTCCCGGGTCAGCGCCGCCCGCTCCTCGTCGGAGCTGGTGGGCTCCCCGCGCATGCGCTTGAACTTGTTGCGCTTCTCGCGCTCCTCCACGTGCTTCTTGTACTCCTCCGGCGTCATCTCCAACTCGTCCTTCTTCGGCGGCGCCACCTTCTGCTCCGGGCGACTGAACCCGTCCCCTTTCATCGCCGCCTTCTTGTCCGCGGCCGCCTTCGCGATCGCAGCGGCGGTGCCGGCTTCCGGTGGTCGGGGCGAGGCGGGCGCGATGGAGGGCGAGGCGCTCCGCGACCTCGCATCGTCGGGCGAGTAGAGCGACTCATCTTCGCCGACGTCCACCGGGATTTCTACCGTGCCCATGCTGGGCTCCTGCACCTTCGCTTTCCGCACGTACTTCTGCGGCCCGGCCCGCGGGTCGTCCGAATCCAGCTCCTCTCCCTCCTCCTCGCCATCTTCGTCGTCCTCGGAGGAGGTCACGCGCTGCGGCTTCTTCTTCGCCGCGGCGGCCTTCGTGTCGCCCCCGACGTCGGGTTGTTCGCGGGACGCTATCCGCCCTCGGACGAGCCGAGACGGCCGTTCCTCGTTCTCCTCCTTTTTACTTTTCTCCTCGGGCGGAGGTGTCGCGGGCGGCGTGACGAAGCCCTTGGGCCGCAACGCCGGACCGAACGCCTGGATCGCCTCCACCTTCTTGACCTTCCCGATCCCGAGCCTCAGGGGGTTGGAAAACGCCGCGTCGTACTTGTGCCGCTCCTCCTTGAGGTAGTCCGGCTTGTACATCGCGCGGTCCCGCTCCAGCGCGTCGGCGATGCGCAGCCGCTTGATCAACTCCTCGGGCACGGCCGTGCGGTTGCTCCACTGAAAGGGGAGCGGCTTGATCAGCGGCTTCAGCTGCTTCTTCATGCTGGGGTACTTGGCCTTCTTTACGATTTCCATAACATGTTCCACCACCTCCTGGACCGTGTGGTGCTCCTCCTCGCTCTCGCTCTCCGTGGGTGGTTCCGGGAGCTGCGCAAATTGGCTCATCCATCGGATCCAAATCATTCGCTCGTTGTGCCGCTCCACGAGAAACGGGATCCCAAACACTGTGCTCACCACGTCAATGGCTGTTATGGAATTCATTTTTGTTTTTTCGTCGATAGCTGCTTTTCTGCTTGCTCGAAAACTACTTTTCTCACGTATGCACGGACGATCATGTGCTAGGACGACAATTGTTCCAAGCGAAATATGCCTATCGACAATGTCGATAAAAGCGAAATATGCCTAAAGTACAAATTTCATATGCGACAGAAAAAACTGAAAACATCTGTACCTTTTGTTGCGGGGATCATGAAAACGTGGACGAAGGCGTATCGGGTCCACCACAGGATCCCGCGTAAAAACCACGGCAGCGAGAGCACTGCTTTCTTGCCGTACTCCTTGCTCGCGTTGTAGAGCGCGTAAATTTTTCGCCAGTAGGTGAGAATCAAGAATACCCAGAACAGGATGGAAATTACTTCGAACTCGCTGCCATCCCAGGGCCGGCCCACCTGCAGGCCCGTAACCTCGTAGGGCGTGAGGTACTCCTCGAAGTAGCACTGCCATGGGTCCGGCCCGCAGCCGCCCCCGAACTCGTCCGAGTCGCAGAAGACCTGCTGAATCATCGGGCTCCCCTCCTGCCCGGGAGGTTCGAACGCGAACCCGCAGCAGTTGGACAGCGGGCAGCAGGAGAAGATCTCCTTGTCCACGAACACGATGTCGTTGCCGTCGGGCTCGGTTTCCGGGAACCAGCCGCGCTGGTAGATCTCTAGGCCCGGGTTTTCCATCGTCCGCACGCTGATGATCAGCGAACACTCGCCGCTGTCGCAGGGCTCCATGAAACCACTCATTTTGCAAAAAGCCAGCGTGTACTTGGCCACCGCCGCTTGCTGCATCTCGTACAGGATGAGGAACAGCACCGCGGTCAAAAACAAAAACACCCGGAGGTAAAACTCCCCGCCGCGAAAGTTCCGCCGGTGCAGAAGCTCCTTCTTCACGTAGTTCTTCACCTCGTGCTTCACGTCCACGCCCTTGAACTTGTCCCGGATCGGGCGCGTCAGCGTGCCGATGATGGTGGCCGGCGGCTTCGGCTTTTTGCGCTTCTTTGCCTCCTCCTCGGCCTCCATCTCCGCCAGGATTCGCAGCTTGCGTCCCTTGCGCGACTTCTTCTCCTCCACCGGATCTGGGGGCTCCTCCTCGGCGACTTCCAACCCCAGCGACCGCCGCATCGCCACCAAACCCTCCTCTCGGCTGGGCCCCTTGTTCTTCGGCGCAATGAAAAAACCTCCCGACATCTTCCCGTGGGCTGGATATGATGATCCGAATGGGACGAGGACTACACTACGTCAAGGCACACAGTAGAATGGCGGACGGTGGTTGGTCAAGGGTTATTCACAACCACATAATTATACAGTAAAGCGCCACGTTGCTGCTGGGGGAAACAAGTTTATAGCTCGTTACAGGTCGCGAAGCCGCGGCTCAGATGGGGCGAGCGTCTTTTAGAAAGAATTTGCATTGGAAAAAGGGCTTCTACCTAGAACTCAAGGGTGTAACATAATACAAAGGTCGGTAAAAATGGCCTTGCAATTTTGCATTTTATTGCGATAAAAAATGTACAGCACGAAGTACGAAAATTTCCGCCAGCGTTGCTGCACTGAGGTGCTTTTTCGTACGAACGTAAAAAATCAAACTTGGTTTCTTAGACGACGTTTTCTTGGGACGAATTCGACTTGGTGAATCAGTTTGCAAAAAAAAGCTGGACGATTGCACGAAAAGAACTTTGACATCGCACATCGGCATACAGTGCACGTGCTTGCTGTGCCGACGTTTTATTGTATTCACGACTTTCTGAGAGAGTGAAAACGATGAGACCTGGGAGATGGACGATCGTAGTACAGCTGGATACGAGACTGTGTGAAATATGACTCTTGCTCCTAGACATACACCAAAAACACACTTCGGAATACGAAATAAAGCAGCTAGTTTCCACACTCTGCGGAAATCGGTTTCTTTTTTTTTCCACGTATCGTGCCCTCTCTTCAAAATCAAATATTGTACATTTCAGTTCATCTCATTCATTCTTTGGTTTCCAAGTGAACAAATCTTGATTACGTCAAGATTCAGCTCAGGCACATTTCTCAACATCGATGTCTACATTAGTAAAGTGTCGGTATAAAATTTGTACAGCAAGGTGATAACCTCAAGACAATCATACAAAGACGAAATCTGCGTTGCACAGAAACGAAAACCCATAGGCTTGCAACTTTACTGTTTGCCGTTCATCAATTTTAACCGAATTAAGTTAACAATGACTATCAAGTTGAAAGTACTGAATTTTGGGCACTACTACACATTGGCACTGCAGTTGTTCTTATCTGCGCGAAAATTGATCTTAATCATCCGAATCCGAGTTGATTGCTGCTGCGTATTTTTTGTTTCGCGCAACTTGCCGCTTCAGAAATCTTTGCACATCCGCCTTTTGCTTCGGATCCAACCTAGAAGGCTTGAGTGCATCACCGAAGTCCTGGCGCACCACCACCGCCGCCCGCTTGTTGGGGACCTGTACCTTCTGCAGCCGCCGAAAACGCTCCTCTTCCGTTTCACTCCGCAGTTTCTGCCTGTTCGCAGCTGCACTCGCGCTCCGCCGCCTGCTGGACCGCTTATGCGCACCGACAGCTCCATTCTCGCCGCCGTCGTGTTGAGCGACTTCGTTGTTTTCGTAGCCCGCCTCCCAGGGGAAGGTACGGTAGTCGGTATGCGCGACGTCGTCCGTCCGATTCGGATTGTGCATCTCGTCCACCTTCCGGCGCCACATCTCGTCCGCAAAGTCCCAATACTGCTCTTTGGTCCGCAGCCGCAACTGGTGGCCCGCGCGGTCCCCCGGGTGCGCGTCGCGGTGGGGGACGTTTTCGAATCGACCAATCATCGTGTTGCGGTTACCCGTCCGCCGCGCCTGCAAAGTTAGCAGCCGCGACGCCGTGGGCGAGTGCAGGGGACGCTGCGGCACCATCTGCAAATCCGCCGCGCGGTAACCGTCGTACACTAGGCGATCCAAGTCCTTTCCTGCGGACCGCCGCAGCTCCGGATTCGAGATGGCGCGCACTTCGGCCGAAAAGCCATCCCGCCGGTCCGGGACCTGATACTCGGCAGCCATGGTGTATGAGGTCGCGTCATCATGCTGCCCGTCTCTAGGTTTTTCCGTACGTTGACGATCACTGGCAGCACCGCGATCGGACGCTCTTGCAGAAGAAGCTTCACCAGCTGTCCTGAAGAGTCGGGAGAACTCCTTGGTTGCCGGCTCGAGCGCACGCCGCTTGGCGTCCGCCTTTTCCCGCCGCTCTCGCTCCAGTTCGGCGTAGAGCTCCGGAGACGCGTTCGGGTCGATCTTGTTGTTCAGTCTTCTTGCACGGGGATCCTGCAGAAACAGGCGGTAGCCCTGCGCGAAGTCCTGGTCGACCACCCGGGACGGTCCCTCGTCGTAGTTTTTGCCCCGCAGAAACCGCAACAGCCGCGTGGCCATCTGCTGGGACTTGCGGAAGAGATAGGCGTCCGCCTTGAGCCGCCGGTCGAACGAGGGCGCCTGCAGGTTCCCCGCGATGTGCTGCAGCGGGGCCTGGTGCAGCTCCATGTTGTCGTGCTTCTGCTTGTTGTTCTCACCGGCTTTTAGTACAACCGGCTTGTACCGCATATTGGTGCAGTCAAACGGCAAATTGTCTTCAAACTGCATGGCGCGCCACTCGAAGGCATCCTTCTGGTGTTCCACGTCGATCTTGCCCTTGTCGGCGAAGTCTTTTCGCAACAAGTCCACACCGGGCGTCAACTTTTGCGTCATGAGCTGCGCCATCAGGTTCGGTTCGCTATCGAATGGGTTCCGCATGATCGCTCCTTGCATCTGCGACACGCCGGCAGTGCGCGCCTTCTGCAGCGTGGCCGCGCTGCGCCCGCCTTGGAGTTTTTTCCGCACTTTCATCATAAGCGACAGCGCTCTCATGTTCTGAAGCCCGTTTGCGGTCAGGCTCATGTTTAACTTATTGGTCGTTTCCTCCGGCTGTTGGTGCGCCGCAATTTGGGTCTTCTGTCCGCTTGCTGGTCCGTTACCTTCCGGGCTCGGTTCCGTTTTGTTTGCGAGTTTAGCCGCAAAGGAGGTGAGCAGCTTGTTGACCGGCAGGGCACCGCTACCGGAGGCGGACGCCCGGGAGGAATTCGCAATCAACGCGGGCGCGCGGACCGCTGGACCGCTGCACCGGCGCTGCTGATCTTGTTGTTGCGCGGGCTTCTGCTGGGGAAGCGCAGCACCATCGGTGGCTTCCGTTTTTTGCCGCGCGAGCGCTACTGACCCCCGCTGCAGCGGGCCACCGCCACAACCGGTTTCCTTGCTGCGAGAGTGTGAACGCGCAGACCGCGGCGAGCTCGAGCCGCTTGTTACTCCACCATCATCGGAGGAGGAAAAGGAGCGCTGCTTCAAGCGCGGTATTTTGAGCCGCGACTTTTCCCGCGCAACCGCGTTGCCGGAAAGATTGGTCAGTTTTTTCGTGATATCGTCGACGGACGCAACCGCCTTTTCTTTGCTCGGCCGGCTTTTGCTGGATTGTCGGCTCCGCCCTTTGCTAGAATGCCGCGATACCGCTGCACCACCGGCGTCACGACCCTCTTCTTCGACGCTCCCCGAGGAAGACTCGCTCTCCGGCTTCCCTCGATTCGGGGGCGTTCGCACCAGCGGCTGCCCGTCCGGCCCAATCTGCGTGAAGCTGCTCTCCAGTAGCGTAGGCAACTTTCCGTCGCGGACCTGCGAGAAGTGGCCGTGGAAGGTCGAAGTGAGTGCCATCGCCCCCTGCTCCATGGCGGAACCCCTCGCGTGCCGCGAAAACGCAGGGTCAAATTTAAACGGCTGCACGTGCTTGTACAGGTCGCGGTCCCGCGTTCTCGCTTCCGCAAACCGCCGGCTGCGGCCCTGCTGGAGCTTCTGCCGCCGCAGTTTCGCGGTCCAGGTCTCCTCTAACGGTTCCACGATGGGGCGCAGCAGCACACCCGTCACGGGCAACTTTTCGCTCTCGTGCCTGCGCTTCAGCAGTCGCACCATTTTCTCCAGCTTGGTCTCGTGTTTCCGCTTTTGCTGAGCCGCTTCAAAGGCCACCTCGGCTTCGCGTTCCCTCTTGTTTTCCGCGCGCCTGCACTCCAAAGCCGAATCCAGCTCCTCCTGGCGCGCTTGTCCACTCTTCCCGCGGGCGGCCCACGCGTTCAGGCGAAAGAGGCACTCCCACCACGTCCGTTTCGTCTCCCGCTGCGCGTACTTCCAAGGCGGCTCGACGTTCGGTCGCGGCTCATAGACCGACAGCAAGCCGGTCTCCGGGTCCTCGACCATGATGGTTCCGTCCTCGTCCACGATGGCGTTCTCGGGTACTTCTTCCTGCACGGGGTCCTGCTGCTCCTGTAGCGCGAGAAACGCCGCCACGTTGCGAATCGGGATGCCATTTTCGTCCACGTCCACAAACAGGCAACAACAGCAAATCCCAAACAAATCCTGCAGAACCGCGTTGGCCAGTTTGCGAAGGAAAGCGAAAAAAGACAGCATCAGCAGCCCGAAGCACACGAGAAAGGCGGTAAGCTCGGATTCTCCGTAGTCCGGCACGCCGTATTTCAGATTCTGCACCGTCCGCTTGCCGCCCACCCCGGTGTGGTAGCAGGGCCACGGCTTCGCGTTGCACTCCGATCCCCAGTTGTCGCAGAAAGTGCGCGGCCACCCGGTGTTGGCCGGCGCCGCCGTGGTGCCGCCGGCCAGCTCGTCGGCGAGCAAGGTGAGCATGGTCTGCACCGTGGTGGTCGTAGTGGTGGTGGTAGAGAATCCACAGCAAGAAGTCGCCTTGCAGCAACGAAACTCTTCGCCCACAAAATCCTCGCCCAGCTTGGCGTTGGAGTCCGTATTCAACTCCGGCCAAAAGTCCCGGGCCATGTAGCGCTCCCCCGTGTAGCCGATTCCGTCGGAGGCCTTCTCGAAAACGGAAACAATCAGGCCGCACCCCTCGGGGCTGCTGCATCCCCGGGTCTCGAAGGACTCTAGGTAGCAGGAGGCCTCAAACAGCCCCACCGTCTGGTCCAGCTTTTCGTTCCACAGTACCAGCGAATAACAAAGCAGACCGGTCACCACCAGCCGGAACACGCACAGAAAGTTCGCGGCGTAATTGTGGGCCTGGGACTTCTCTTTCGGGAGCAGCCGGCTCCGTGGCGGGAGAAAAACCTCGTACAGATGGGGGAACCGATTTTGCCACTTCATCAGAAAGTAAAACGCCAAGGCGCCGCACGGCGTTCTGGCATTCTTGATCCGCTCCTTGGACCTTCTCTTCTGCACAATGCGCTCCTTCGACCATTGCCGCTTGACCGCGAAGTAGCTTACGTTCGGGTTGAAGTTTCCATGCGTCGGCTGTTTCTGCGGAATCAGTGTTCGTTGCGGCGTATCAACTGTAAAAATGTCTGGGTCTGGAAGATTCTGACACTTGTCATGCACGTTTTGCATGAGCCCTGATGTCTGTGATGCATGCCCTAGCGTCACAGATTTTTTGAGAGCTTCTTGATGCCTATTCCACATCACAAATGCCCTCTCCGCGTAGCAAAAATTACATTCCTTTTGGTACTCATGCAATACAGATTCTTCTGGAATCCAAATGCAGCATCACAAATTGATTTCTTCCAGACCCAGACATTTTTACATTTGATACGGCGAGGGGCTACTGAAGTCGCGGACGCGGGTATCATAAGGAAAAATCCCCCCTCCCCATAAAGCGGAAGTCTGTGATGCAGATTTGTGAGCACAAATCAGCTTTGTGATGCTAGAAGGCAAAAGATGCGGACTGTAGTGCTGTCTAGCGTGGGAAAGCCTTGCAGCTCCAGGATGACAGGAGGCAACTGGAAGTGGGAAACAGCATGACAAATTACCTGCAATTTAGGCCGCAGCTTCGTCTCTTGGCCTTCTAGCAATACAAGTCGATTTGTGTACTCAAATACAGCATCACAAATTCGCGCATCCTTCGTTTCCGATATGGGGTGGGGGCTTTTTTCACTTTGATAGCGGGCCAGCCGCTCCGGGCTGGGCTGGTACCCCACGGGAAAAGGATTCATGCGCACAAAACCCGGGCTAAAAATAAACTTTCTAGGTCCAGTGATATGGTGGCGCAGAGGCAAGCATATTTCTATCTGCCTCGTCTCCTGCTGCTTTCGATTTTGACTATCATGGTCAGTGCTACATGGGGCCGATCAACTACTCTTTGCCGCGTTCCAAAAATCGCACAGAAGGGTAAGTCATACTGTTCAAGCAAGCTGTAGTCGTGTCGCTTCAAGAACTACTGTAGTTGCTGGCTCAGGCCCTGCGGTGGATCTTCGTGTGTCGATGACGGAACTGCGTACGCATCTGCACTGCCTGTTAAGTACTCAATCAGGGCGTTGCTACTTCCCCCTTCAGAATATGACCAATTGGCTCGTGAGCCTGAAACTGATCGATACATCTCGGTGAAAAAATACTTGCGATCGAAATCCATTGACAAAATTTAGGGAAAAAAACAACGCCACAACGTGAAACGGAAGGAAAAAAAAACCTCTCACAGAAAATAAAACGATACTTCGTTATGTTGGAGTGTTGTTGAGATCTCGGCTCCTTCTGAAAGTAGAAAGTCGCTTTCCCAGCTCGGATGCTCGGCCTGAACAGAAGGTTGCTCTTTCAGCTCGAAAGCAAAACGTTGCAGGATGGAAAATTCTGTTTTCGACGGTGCTTTTTCTTTGAAATACGAGGACCACTTGAGAAACTCGGGGTCCCGGCGAAAAGTGACAGAAGACAGGTAAAAGTTCCAGCCGAGATCCACCACCGAATCCCACGTTGTGCGAAAATGGGGTCCGAATCGTCTCTGAATTACCGTGAAATTTAGCAAATCGCTCAGAGGCCAGAAAAAAAACGACGCGACGTAGCTTTCCCAAAAGGTCGCCCTCATTCCTGAGTACGCAGTGTCGAATGCGCTTTGTATGGGCGTGCTGGACGAAAACGAAGCGGCGCCAGCGTCGGTGTCGTCGACTTTGCTCTCTGCGGAAATAACCATTGTAACTTCCGCAGTCGACGGTCGTGGTGAACTACACGAGGCAGTTCTTCTACTGTCATCATGGCCGATGCCGATGCCACCACCCCCGCCGCCGAGCACCAGGACGAAGAACTTGGAGAGAAATAAGAAAGCTGGCGTAGAAATTGGCATGTACAAAAACTGCACCGCGAGCATCTTCGGCACCGCCCGGCGCAGACTGGCTTCCGGACCGATGTAGCGGTCCAGGGCGCGGTGGAACCACAACAGAGGCCCCCCATTAAAAAAAGGAGCGCAAAGCGCTACCCCGAGCGTGCGCCGAAAATCCCATAAAGCCGCTTCGTCCAGTCTACGACAGGAATAAAACGGGTCGTCGGAGCGGGTTGTCAGTAACCCTTCTTGCGGCCCCGCAGCAATTCTCGTCGGCCCTGCATCGGGTGTCCCATGGGAGGGCGCGGCCCGTGATTCACTTTCGGTTTCAAAGTTTTCGCTCGGCCCGTTCTCATGGCCCTCCGAGTTGTGCCGGCGTTCGGCTGTCTGCGCGAGCACGTCGGACAATCCGAACAAACAAAAGGACGCTCCGAGCGGCGCCAGGTTCGGGTTTCGCGTGTACTGCGAACGAATCGAGCCGCTCAGCTGGTTGAAAGCCCGGAAAACCATCACCGTTGGCGGATGCAGCAGTCGCGCACTTGCAGAAAACGTCGAGCTCATGTTGTTCTGCTTACTTTCTGGAGTAGTCAAATGGGGTTTCGAATTCTTTCCAGTGCACCAACATCATTCCGGAGTCGTGCTCTGAGACTGAGACTGATTCTGCATGGACGGACGGAATTAGGTGGCGATTGGCGTTGCCTCTTACTCAGTCCCTCTGCATTTCTACTTTACTCACTTCTTCGCTTCGTAGGATGATGTCGAAGTAGGATAATTCTAGATGATCCGTTATGCAGCAGATGATCAAAACCACCATAAACAGATGGTGCAAAAAAACACATCATGATAGATCGCTGCAGTAAGATTGATAAACAGCAGTCGTTTTTACTAAATATGTGCTGCCTGTCGTCCGCGCGAACACACATGATGACGGCTCTTGTCCCAAAACTTCGAAAATATCAGTGCGCAGAAAAACGCAGATGACTGACCATGTGTTCTTCAGATACGCACGCGAAGAGGAAAAACTATGGTGTGGCGACGTCCAGCGGGATCTGTGTATGAAGCGCGAACTTTCAGGTAAAACAACAGCTCTTCGTCCTCCGACGTATTTTCCCTAGCCAGAAACGAAGATTTCCGGCGTCTCAGCGCGGTTTGCCGGAGCAGAAATTTCACGAGCACTTTGCAGCCTTTCCGATCCACAACCGCTGCGCTATTTCCTTGCCTCGCGTCCGCCTGGTTCATCTCGTCGCGCGGCGTATCCGCAGAGGAAGCGGAAAGGGGAAGGAGAGCCACCTGTAAACTCGCACCGGGCGTTCCGAAAGCTCGGCAGTTGGACTGCGTGAGGTCCTCTTGCTGAAACCCGGATTCGAAACTGCGATCCAGGATGCTCGACCCAGTTGCGCCAGTTGCCACAGCACCCGGCAACTGCACGAGCGACGATTGTGCAGTTCCTGTTCCCCCGCGCGGACCTGCTGTAGCATCTGCCTCGCGACGGAGATCCTGTGGCGCCAATTGCTGTTCCTCCTCCCGCGCTAGCACTGCGTCACGATACAAGCGCACCACCGCCCGGTTCACTGCGGAATCGGGCTGGATCTCGGCCTGCGCAAAATTCAGGAGGGCCGGACTGCGACGCACGGGCGCGGCAGCTCTTGAAGATCTTTTCGTTGGACTCTGCGAGCTCCGGCGTCCGCCGGAAAGCTCCGCGGCAGCTCCGCTTGGGGATAATGAAGCCTGCTCCAACCCCGCTCGGGAGGTGCGCTTTGCAATATCGGCTAAAATATCTTCTGTGCTGCGCTCCTCGGTAGTGAGCTCCGCAAGAGTTACGTCCACGGGCACGTCCAGCGGGTTCGCGAGCACTAGAAACACCGTAGCTTCGCCGGTTACCATCAGTGCGTGCTGCAGGTCTGCCCGGCCGGGCGTGCGTTTGACGGAAACCGCAATGTGCGGAAGGAACTTGCTGGCCACGTTTTCCTTCTGAAACGGCGGGACGGAGCACGGGTTGATTTGGGGTTTCACCACGATCCGCCCGGAATATTTACACCGCTTGCTGCGCTTCGTCAGCAACGGCTTACGCAGTGGCAGGGCCAAGTTGTGCACGAAGCGGTGCTGCGGGAAGGGCACCCCGCTCGCGGCAGAAAGGCTCTCCTGTTCCACCAGCAGCTTTTGCGAAGCTAAAAAACGGTAAGCGGACGGGGCGGGCAGTGCCGGTGCTGTCGTCGATGAAGCTCCTCCTTCTACTGCCGCATTCCTCAGGTTGTGGTCCTTCGAAGATGATGAATCCGGGCCGTACAGGTAGATGGACTCGGTAGCAAGTCGGGACACAGTTTCGGGACCACACACCCCGCGCACCGGCGCCCCGTCGGTGAGGAGAAATCTGCCCCCCTCACGGTCGTACAGACCTCGGTCCTTCCAGACACTCCGCGAGATCAGCTCACCGGCCAACTCAGGCTTCGCTCGGTCGGGATCGAACACGAGATAGCCGTGTTCGCGCGGAAAGGAATCCGTGGCGCGGTCCTGTTTGTCTTCTTTCTTTTTCGACTTTGGGAGCTCGTCGCGGATATCGCCCCCGTGCAGCTGCACCACTTCGGCAGGCGTAAGAAATGTTGCCGCTCCCTCCGAAAGCGTGGGCTTGTCTGCAGTTCGCTGCTCCTTCTGTACCGCAAGCTTCTGGTCCAAGTCTTGCAGCCTCCAGGGCCGTGCGTCCGATTTTCCGAGAGGTGAAGCCCCGCCAAGAAGCTCGGCCTGCGCGGTGATTGACTGGCGCCTCACTCGTTCGAAAAGCTCTTTTTGCCGTCGCGTCTGTTGGGCCTGCTCCTGGTAGGATCGTTTCATGTTCGCAAACACGCTTTTCTGTGTGCTTGCGTCCTCACGAGCTAGAACCAGTTTCACCTGCAGTGTGGTCATTTTTGCACACGCATGAGTAGGAGAAAATGCGATGCACGTAGCTTATCTTCTTTAGTGCATGTCTCTTATCAAGCGTATGAACTATTTAAAGCAACAATGGCAGCTCCACCGCAACCGGTATACCAGATCTTCCGGACGCTTCGTGCGCAGCTGCGGGCCGGGCTGCCATCGGCAACCTGGGCACATCAGCGTGTATTCCAATGCGCGAACCTGGGCTATGGTGAGCGTGGCCCCGCACCGTACGCAGTCGTAGCACTTCGGGCACCGCATGCCGTACCCCGTCGCTTCGCGGCTGGGCAAATTCTGGAGACAGTGAGGACAGTAGTAGCTGTCGATCTCTTCCACCAGTTCGGTCGGTGCCAGAGGTAGGTCCGACGTGTCACAAAAAAAAAGCTCGGACAACGGCAGAGCAGAAACATCGGGGGTCAGGTAGTCCACGCGGGGGCGAAACGGAAACACGTCGTCTTCCATCGCTTTGCTAGTGGTTGTCACGCGAACATAAAGCCGTACTAGGTTCCAAAACGCAATATCAAAGAGAAATTCTTGTTTTGGGGATGGAATGCAGCTAAGAGTACAACTTCTGAGATCCGTAATTTGTTACTTCCCGGAAAACACTGCGCAACAGTGGCGTACTGGTCAACAAGCCCCTTTCTACTAACTTTACACAAAAGACGAACTGTGGCAAAAAGAGAAAATCAAACCAAAGCCGTCCGAAGCTAAACAGTTTAACATAATGAAGTGCGCCCGCGGCGTCATGGCGCCCCGTTCTCGTCGTCACCCGTTTGAACAGAATTTTAACCAGTTCTCATGCGAGGTAGCAAGTATGACATGTGCAAGGAACAATGTGTCTTTGTTATTTTTTCGTATTCTTACCGCCCGCGGAGCCCAACAGGCGATCACCACTGGATCTCGAGTGCAGCGGACTTGTCCGACATCGTCGAAATGCTTACGCATCAAGTGGATTTGATTCCAGGCAGAATGTTGATGTTGTTGTGAAGTTGATGAAACATAAGCTCCTTTTCAGGCTGTCAAGGTCGGCCGTGTTCTCGTAGCTTCATCATACACATAATTTGCAAACGCGATGCTCGGGTCTGCGTGCACAGTGTCACCCAAGTCGCGCTTCCGAGGCAGTGTCGAGAGAAAGTTGATGTCGAAGTAAAACCTATCTCCTTCGTTTTCGAAGAATTCGATGCTCCCGACATCCATAAAGCAGGCTTCAGCCAGCGCACGAACTTCTCTTGCAACGGCCGCGGAAACGACATAAGGCTGCAAATTCAGCGTTGCTCGTCGACAAACACAGGTGTTAAAATCGTTCTCGGTCGACGCAGAACTCCTTGCCTGTGGTCCCACCCCATCAGCGTCTTGCAAGGATACCAAGGAAGTCGGAGACCGCGAATTGTCTGGAGATTCTTCACCTTTCTGCACGGTCACAGCCCCAACGATCCGCTGCCCACGAGCAACATGCCAGAGGCGCACGAACGTTCCAGGCGTGCCTAAAAACTTTTGAACTAGGAGTGTGCCATCGTTCCCCGCTACGTGCCCAAAAAACCTCGAATATTGGCTCTGCAGATTTTCGTGCAATAGTGCCCCGCTGTGTAGCTCCACCTCCGAGTTCTCGCATTCATCTGCGATCAGGGCTGCGAATCGCGCCCCTTGTAAGTCTTCGGCGGAATCTATCCGAATGATACCCCGCCCAAACCCACCGCAGTTCGGCTTCAATAGCACCGGAAACCCGCCTACCTCTTCAACTTTCTGCAAAACTTGGCGCTTGAAAGCCGCTAGAATAATGGGTTCCGTGGAAACACATTTTCCACTTTCCCCTGCCGGTGCCTCTGTCTCTATTGGAATGTTTCCGGCGGAACTTGTCCCCGCCCCCGTACGCATTGAGGCCACCACGTCCTGCCATGCTATTTGCTGCTCCCGCAGCATCGCCGTTGGCGGAGACCGCAGTCCGATGCCCTCAATGATTCCTGTCTGTACCGCTTTGCTCGAGGCAATGCCCAGGGCTCTCGCACCATTCACCACGGGAATACGATGTACGGCCTCACTCAGATGCAGGAATCCGTGCGCCGCTTTGTGGAGTTCCGGGCGCTGCGCGTCCGAAACTCGGTTGATAACCAAGTCAAAATCAAACTTTTTTCCCCCTCCGGTCTCAGAGAGAGTGTATTCTACGCTCCGTGCGTCGAGCCCGATTATCTCGGCCGCGGGAGACCGAGCCTCCAGTGCGCTCAAGATTGGTCGGTTCCAGGCGGTTTCCAGCTCTCCGTAGTGCAGAAACGCGATGCGCGCTCGGGTATTGCTTTTTCTTTCTGACGCAGCACAGCAGTTTGCGGAGAACCGATGCAGCGCACGCACCAAGCCCTCGCAATGACGGCCAGTGGTGGTACCCGACGCACCAAGCTTGCTCGTCCAGAACCGGTGTATGATCTTTCGTCGAATCGCATCCCCCTGACGTCCCGGATCCTTCGCGAGCGTGAGTGAGATTTGATAGCTCAAGCCGACCTCCTCTGGCGACGATGCAGCGGTGGCTCGGTCGGTTTTTTTACCAACCAGCTTCACCACTTCCGTGTACGGCGACAGGCACTCCACAACCCGCTCAGGCGTGCACTGGTAGGTCCGGCGTTCAGGGAAGTAGCTTTCGGGCGGGCCTCGCCCGGGGTCGTCCCAGGCTGGTACGGTCGCCCCACCAGAACCGAGATGCACATCACCCAAGATAGAAGCGAGGACTGATGCAACGGCGGTTACGAGTTCCGTGGTTAACTTGCGGTCTTCGGTACGGGCGACGCGACGGGACAACGGTGTGAACGGCGAAGCGTCTTTTTCACGACCGGTGCTAGCGGCAAAAGGAGCAGCGGAAAGGCAGGCCTCGCGGATAAACGTGAGCAGGTCCACCCTGCAAAGGTGCCGCTGCGTGCCCCGCTTCGTGGTTCGCCCCAACGTAATTTTTTCTACCAAGCCTGGACTCATGGGCCAACGCCCAATTAACTCTTCCGCCCGCCGATCGAACGCGGCACCTGACGGTAAATTTCCCTGGTCGCCGAGTCCGAGGCGGCGCCACTCGGTGTCAACCTCGTTCTGAAACGCATTGGGACGGAAGGAGGCAGCGAGGAGCCGCGGCACCTCCGCTGGGGCAGGCGAGGCGACACCGAACTCCGCGTCTCCCTCTCCGCATCGGTCTACCTGCAGTCGAAGAAATGTCCCAGCCTCACAGTTTCTTGTTGACACTGGCGTTTCGATCTGTGTGCGGTCAAACCAATGCGATGAAGGCATTTCCTCCGACGTGCCATCCAATTCTTGAAGTCTTCTCTGCCAATGTGCAATTTCTGGGCCCCGCAGACACGCCTCCGTGTCGGTACCGGCCCCGAAAGGCTCGGTGAAGAGAACTAGGCGTTGGTGTAGAGTCTCTGCGGTTCTCTGTGCTTTCGCGGAGCCAGAGTCCGCAGGAGAGCTGCCAAGTCCACTGCATTCCTCTGAACCTGCGCCCGGTGAGTTCGCCATCCTTCTCGGCAACAGACTCTACTTAAAAGGTCAACTAGCTACTGCGCCGACAATTTGGCCACGTTCTCGAGGAGGATCCAAAAGCCGACATGCAAAATTCGAATCCGAATACTTACGTCATTGTCTCATACCGGCGAAAAACACTGTTAGCGGCAATGGAGACCTGAACCACTTGGCGCAAAAACCATCATTAACCTAAAGAAACACAGACAAATCCATATGTCTCTAAACCGATCCAGAGTGGTCACATAAGGTTGAGGTTCTGCAGGGTGGAAAACTGGTAGCGTTTGATTCAGTCAGTTACTCCATCTCTGAACACTGTCTTGAATGCGGCTGAGACAACCACGATTGCGATATCAACTTTTTTCGTCGAGGACAATGTACATTTTACATTCCAAAAGCTCTGTCTACAGTAGGTACGACGGAAGTTCGTACAGCCGCAACGCTCTAATTACGCCGAAATGCAAATATAATGGTTATGATGCTTTAACAACTTCGCGTTGTAGAAAATTCTGTCAGCTAATCATACACAGGAGAAAAGGTAAAAGGCTTGCGAACATCAAAGCTACTACTCTAGTATTGTCTCGGGCGCAGTAAATGTTTGCGTGTCATTTGATAAGTCAAAAGTGACAGTGGACTCGCGCCGCGTCTTTTTGGCGAAGCTACTGCTCGATTTTAGAATGGGCTCCGGCTCATCTTCCAGCAAGGTTGGACCTTCATCCGCAAACAGCAGCTGCTGCAGATTTCGGGCAGCGGGCATCGACTGCGTCTTTGCGACCTCTGCAGTACTGCTCAACCCGGCTTTATTCTTTTTTGCGCCTTTCTTCTTCTTGAAGTTCACCGAAATCCGAGCGACTGTTGCCACCGCTTTCCACAGTCCCTTCGCTCCACCCTGCCGGCCCGAACCCGAGCCCTCGGTCTTCGCTTTTCCCACAGGTGCAGCTTGGGAACCCGAAGAGGACGAACCCCCGTCTACTCCTCCGGTCACCAGCACCCCGCCGCTGCTCTTCGCCAGCATACTTTCCGTTGCCTCCTGCTGCAGAATGCTCCGCAGCAGCTCCGCCGGGGACACACTCTCCTCCTCCGCCGCGGCCTTCTGCTTGGGCGACTCTAGCGTCATCCGGCGGACGCTGATCTTCGACTCGGCCGCATCTTGTTCCATGATCCCTCGGTGCACACCCACATTACGTCCCTCCGCACGGTTGATTTCCGAGGCCTTCCGCCGCAGCACGGCACCGGGCGCCCGAGAGTTTCTGCGCCCAGTTGTACTACTAGGGCTGCCGCCAGGCAGGGCACACGTGTTCTCGTCGATGTCCTCCAGCAAAAAAGCTTTCGACATGCGCGGTTCCGCTACACTCGTCCGTGTGGAGTGCCGCCGGGGCTGTACCAGAATCTGTCCCCCGCCCTGTACGGACACGCGCACCTGCGCGGGTGCGCCGGTGGGAGACACTGTTAATGCGCCGCTCTCCTGCTCCGCTGCGGTACCAGTTGCCTGGTCCACCACGACCATCCCGCCCGGCAGCAGCACCGATCCACGAGACAGCGTGCTGCGCCTCCGCCGCTGCTCCAGCGAGCTATTCAACAGGTCCAACTGGTGCTGCTGTGTTTTCAAAATCGAGCTTCTTGCATTGCTCAGCGACACCAGGTCCGCCGCCGCGGCGGCGTCGCACGATCCTCGCCGGAGGTCCGGTTTGGAGGCGCTGCTGTTAGTGTCCGACTGCACCACCACGTAGGTGGAGTTTTCGGTGCGAAGCAGCTGTTTCCCGTCGCCGAGCCCGTGCTCCTCTAAAACCGTGCTTTCCTTGCGCCGCAACAACTTCTTCAGGCTCGGGTTGTTCGCCACGGCCTGGAGGTTGGCGGTTGTGGAAGTCGCGGCACTGTTGACGCACGGAGGTGGCGGTCCACTCGGCAGCTCCTCCGGCTCCTCCAAAATCTGGTCGGGAAACATGACCGAGCCCGCGCGCGAAAACGTCCTGCGCGCACTCTTCCGCTCTGGAAAGAAGGACGTGCTATCTTTGCGCAGGAGTTGCATGCTGCTGTCCTTGCGGTGAAAAAGCAGAGTGGGCCGGGCGGAACCGGAGGTCGACGTGGGGTTTTCCTCTATGCGCGAGTCTTTTCGTAGCAAACCGGGATGGTGCTGTTGCGCAGAGGACGCCGCACCGGGTGCTGCAATGGCGCCGGGCCCCGCAACCTCGTGGAACGCACGGCTTCCCGCACGGGAAAGCATCATGCTAGGTCTGCGCCGCTCCGCGTCCCCCGCCGGAGGTGCCACGGAGCTCTGGCGCCGTGCAAAGCCGAATATCGTCGAATCCCGTCGCCCGTGATGGTAAAATTCTCCCGGAAGAATTATGCTTCCATAGTCAACCGACACCTTCCGCAAGTCCCGCGTCGGCGTGAACACCTGTGACGGATTCGCGTTCGTGTTCTGCAGCTTTTTGTAACATGCTACACAACAACATCGCGACGAATGATGAAATTGTTGGTACTATATCATGGCACTACAGGAGGGACGGGCAGAGTGTTATAGTTCACAAATCGGATCTTCAAACGATCCGGAATATGAAAACCGCGTGCTCTTTCATTATCCGAGAGGACCTCAACATATGCAGAAATATTAAACATATTGTACTATTGTGCCTTTGCGCTCGAACGTCGACATCTGTTCCTGGTGGTGAACGACCGGAGCCAGCTGAGCCCCGTGCCTCCCGGGCGGCTCGTCCACGCGCGCGGACGGGTTGGCCTTCTCCCGCTCCCTAGAACAGTAGTCCACAAAGGTCGACCCGTAGCGGTACTTCAAAATTGGCATCAAACTTCGAAGACTCGGCCTCTCCTTTCGGGCGCCGGGAGCTGTGCCGATGGCAGACGCGGAGTGCTGCTGCCACCTTGCCATGCTGGACGCCGGCATCGCGCCCTCCTCTGGTGGGGAAGAGTTCATCAGTGCCGCGAGGTCACCTGCAGTTCCCAGCTCAAGGAGCCGCCCGCTGTTTCCGTCGGATCCGGTCGCAATAGGAGGGTCCCCCGCGTTGTCCCCAGCATCTACGTTGACATTTCTGACCCCCTTTTCCATTGTCGTTCCCAGGTGTAGTTGCCCGAATTCGGCGGAGGGGCCGCCGGTGGTCCCCCCCGACGAGGCGCGCTATTGAGAGGAAAAACCCCCCCTCCCCATATTGAAAAGGTATGACTTCGAAAATTTGTGTTGCTGATTTGAGCCTGTGATCCACCTGATATCCGTAGGCCAGCCGTCGGGCGTCCCTCACCCGACACGCCGAACTTCCTCCTTCCACACGCAGCGTCGGAGGGGTCGCACGTAGCCCTGGAGGTGATAAACGAGGGTGGCGCCTGTATATGCAGTATAAAACTGCACAGGAAATGAGGAAGTCACAAGGGAACACAAATGTTCTGGGATGACCAATTAGGAACAACCCGACAACCTCCGCCAACCACTGCCCTCGAATACACAAGAGAAAGCCGAAGCTAACTCAACTCCGGATACCCTTCCCGAAGCTGACCTGAACCGCCTTTCTCCACAGGTCAGCGACGAGGCAATGCCCTGAGGGGACCGTTAGGAACCTCCCCAAACAATCGTCATGTCATTTCGCCGAAGCGAAAAAGTCTGACGAAAGAGACGCTCTACCAGTACCCAGCGGCAAGTACACGGTAGGCATGGGCATAGGAGAACCGAAACGCACAACCACTCGACCGTGGTAACCCAGGGGGCTCTGTCCGTAGCAGCCCTGGGGACCAAACGACAGCGACGGAGGAAAAACAAAAGCCAAAATGACTACCAGTCAAGCAGCACAGTAGCATGAACACGAGGGAGCACAGACAGGGAAAAAATCCTCGCTGAGCCCGGGCACAGCCCCATGAACACGCCCCCACACCGCAAGCCCCGGAGCAAGCTCCGATAGCCACCCTGACCCCGTCTACCCCCGAAACCGCGTCGGCAAGCGTGGACGCACTCCTGGCAAGAGCCTCACGCAACGGGAATTTCCCGCCAGGCTCAATCCACGAGAGCCCTGAGTGGAAGGCAAGACGGCCTCGCTCGGGAGAAGCAACAGGATCCCAAAGTTCCAACGTAACGTAGGCCAGGGTCGCCGGAACAGCTGCCACCGCGAGCACGGGAGCCGCAAGAGAGGAGATGTAGCCAAGTATGGAATGAAACTACATTATCCTCCTCTCCCGAGAGGAAATTCGCGATCGAGTCCACGAGCACCGACGCCGCCGCGCACGTATGGCCCACCGCTCCCTCCTTGGCCGTAAGATGTATCGTTTCCGATCCAGAAGAACGTAGGAAAATAAAGGCTCCGCTCGCGCAAGTGCGGCAGACCGAACGAACCTCTCCACCTTGGCCTCGCCGAAGCCGCACTCAGCCGCCAAAACAGAAGAAGCGCACCAACCCGCCGCCGGCCGCAGGCAGCCACCGCCGTAAAGAGCCCCACCACACAGGGACCGGCTACCATGCCTACAAGCCTGACCTCACGCTTGTGGGAGTCCGCGCCTGCGCTTGTGGCGGCGATCGGGCCAGAACGCTTGTGGTCTGACTCAGGCTTGTCTGCATGGTAAAAGCAGGAGAAAATGTTGCTGCTGGCACCCACGAAACACGATGTCCACGACGCCGCCCGCTTAACACAGACATCCATACGCGGCAGAAGACGAGCCCGAACCAGCGCCGCAGAGAGCCGCTGCAAGAAGCCGTGTCGAATTGTAGAAAACCACCGGCCAAAAGAGAGAGTGGCAGCGACGAGTTTCGACCTGAGTTCAGTGTTAAGAATAGATCATCCCATGAGTACACAAGGAACAGGCATAACGACAACACCAATAGCGAACTGCAACACACAAAGATTTTGTCCCTGATCTCCCCGCGCATCTAGGCTCTCCGCTGGTGGGCGCGGCATCCTCGTGGACCTGGTGCAGACGCCCGCTCCGGCATACATCCGCACTCCTCTATGAGCAGCCCGCCGACACTGCAAAGCCGCTTACACCGGAGGTCCCGTCCGGCAGGCACAAGGAAGCGTGGAAGTCCGCATGCGAGGCCGGGAAGAAGAGGAAGTTTGATCGGAGCGGAAACACGGAAGAAGTCGGCATCTCTTCGATCACCCGCGGAGTCGCGAGCTCACCATACTGGGGCCACCGAAGCATTTTGCGCACGTACGCGCTTCAGGTGGAGGGCAAATGTGTCCTCATTATTTTGATTTGATTTGATTTACTAGGAAGTTTCAAAAGGTTCATCAGCCGCACCTGATGCCTGTTACAGAGTGCCTCTACGGATCTTGGATCTCACGGGGGTTGATCTCCACGATGAGTCCGGACGAGATGATCTCACGGGGGTGCGGCCCCGTCTCTAATGTGGGAAAAGGGCCGCAAGACAAGAAGTCTTGTTGCTGATTTGAGGTCACAAATCACATTTGTCTTGCTAGAAGACAAGGGCAGGAGCTTCCGCCCCATTATGGAGGCGATTTGTCATGCTGTTGGGCCTAAAGGGGAGCCGTTTGCCATGCTGAACAACTAGACGCATACGCCCCCATCTAGCCTGGAGATCTGCCCGCAGTGCCTCTCTGCATTACACAGCTGATTTGTCTACGCAAATCCAGCATCAGAAACTTCCTTTTGATATGGGGAGGGGGGATTTTTCCTTTTGATACGCGCCCGAGAAAAGACACGTGGCGTGCGGAGAACGGGGAGGCAGAAAGCCCGCGCATGAGGAGGCGGGACACAAAGTTCTCCTTATCATAATCCAACCACACCACTGCGTCTGCGTTGGCGTGGCTGAGCCACAGCCGAAGCTTTTCAACCAGCGTCTCGTGCTCGCGCCGCACGCGGCACTCGCCATTGTGCTGCGAATAGTAGCCGATGTATTGAAAGGAAAAACTCCCCCTCCCCATATCGAAAGGGCATGTTTCCGAAAAATTTGCGTTGCTGATGTGAGGCCACAAATCACATTTGTCTTGCAAGAAGACAAGGGCAAAAGCTTCGCCCCCATTATGGAAGCGCTTTGTCATGCTGTTGGGCCTAAAGGGCAGCCGTTTGCCATGCTGAACAACTAGACCGATACGCCCCTACATAGCCTGGGGATCTGGCCGCAGTGCCTTCCTGCAATACAAAGCTGATTTGTGTACACAAATCCTGCATCACAGATTTCCAATTTGATATGGGGTGGGGGGATTTTTCTTTTTCTTACGACGGCCTCAGGATACGGGAAGTTGTAACACCGCTGCAGGTTGCGGATGCATCTCTGCAGGTCCGTGTACTGTGACAAGGCATACCGCACTTGGGTCTTCAGAATCCACTCCGGCTTCCCCACGGTTCCAAGGAACGGCGGCAGCTCCGGGCCCTCGGGCAACCAGGTGAACCCCTTCAGTAGCACTGGTTCCCGTGGTTGCACGAAGGCCAGGTTCGTGGGGCCCCAGTCCAGCACTGCGATGGTGGAGCATTGGTGACCGGTCGCATGCTTGTTTCCCCGGGATGTCCGATAGCTAGCAACACCGGTGGCGGGCGTATACGACGAGGCTATGCACGGCCGATACATGATCTGCGCGATATGTAAGGAGGCTGCGCATTTCCTCCGCCTTTCAGCGTCCACTGTAAAAGCGAAAGTGACAACATTAATGGCTCAATGTGAGTGGTGTCAAATACTTTCCACGGCAGCTTGTTCTCGTACGAAGTTTATTCTTGCCTACGAAACGGAAAAAAAGCGTCAGCACAAAAAAAAAACAACAAATAAGCGCGAACACCAGTCGTCAACCGTAATCACGACGCAGCGGAAATGATAAATTGCCTCTTGAAGGATCGCGTCGCTAAATCCCTAGGTGGGTGAGCCTGTGTCTTTGTAAAACACGTACTACGTTTGCTGTATTCTCATTTGCATTCAACAAATCTACGCGTCCAGCACTGACGCCGCGGACCCATAACAAGCGTCTTGGATTTGCTGGGCGAAGAAACTGACCGGGCGTCCAATCTCATCAGCACAGTACACGGTCAATTTCGTATCACTGTTGCACGACAGGGAACCCGTCTTTTCGTAGTCCGCGGGTATCAGGGCACAGGCGATGCCCTTCGCAGCGAAGTCGGACACCGGATTGCCGGGGGTGGTCAAGTACGAAAGCGTGGGATCCTCCAGGCTGCGGACATCATCAATCTGGCATCCCTCAAGCCGAAGAAGGGAAAACGGCATCAGTGCGGGCGCCACATCGATCACGTACGGATAAGCCGGGGCGTTGCAACTTACACCGCCGAGGCGACCTGTGTTTTATTTTTTCAATAGCGGCCTCTGATCAAAGACCAGCAGCGTCCCTCTAATAAGTATTGGAGTCGGAAGCTGCTCATTGCGCTGCCCCCGCCGTGCAGACGGGGCTTCAAAAGTGCGAGCGAGTTGCACGGACGGGGCCGCAGTGCGGCGACTGGCAGTAGAGCGCCTATCAAATCATTTTCATCGCGCCCAGGATGCATACTTGTACAAGTCGACGCGATAGCTGCTAGACAGGCGTAGGCATTACCCTCTCCGCAAGTACGACTTGTACACTAGGAAGACCATGACTTTCTGAGGCAAAAAGTCGCACCGCGGGCCGCCGATACCTCGATATCATTTCGCATCGACCTCCTGATGAAGATGAATTGTCTATACGCGTACTGCTCAAAATTATTGTAGTACCAACTTGTGCAGCACGAGCCGCAGAGCGACGCGCTTCTTCGGACAGACGATGAGAATTTTCAGCCCCGTCTCGTGTGGCTCCATCCGACGTCCCATCTAGCAGGTGGGGTCTCGGATCGCAGAAGCAGGCCGCGCCGAGTTTCTCCGTCCAGAAAATCGCGTTTGAGGTCAAGGAATCGCAGGCGTGCCAGCCGCCTGGTTGCGTGTTTCGGTCGTGTTCCGTGCCCGGGAGACAGGTCTGGCAGGTGTCGTCGAGACAGTTGCTCACTGCGACTGCGGGGGACCAGTAATCTGCCAGCACCCAGAGGTGCGCACCCATGAGCACGAGCCCCGCAAGAGCGATGGCGTCCAGTGCGCGCTTAAATACATTCGCGCCGTCTTCCGGGTGGTAGCGCCCGAATTGCCGGGACGACTGCAGGGGTTTGGCAAAGTACCAGATGTTGGCAAGCCCGATGAACACAAACAGCGCTCCGAACATCTCCAACACAAAAGAGAGCAGCGCGAGCAGCGCAGGTCGGACACCACCGACCACGTACAATACCTGGAGGCAAAAAAAGAGTGTGAAGGAAAGGCAGGACAGAGTTACCGCGGTCAGTCGCGCTGCACGTTCTGCGGCAAACATGTAAAACGCCCGGTGCGCCGCAATCGTCCCTCGCTTTGATATCGTTCCGCTGCTTTCATCGAGCGCCTCGCCGATTTCCGAAACTAATACGGGAACAACGTCCTGCGGAAGGCCCACTTGTTTCGCAGGCGTGCTAGGGACCACGGGCAAAACGCGAAACGGCGCAGCCGCGCGGTCCTTGGCGGCTGTTGATTCCCCGCTACTGCTGTTTGAGAATTCCGATACCGGTATGATTCCTCGGACGCCTCGATCCTTCTCTGAAAGAACCTCTCCGTTTGTTCGGCTGGTGACGAGCAGGGGAGTTTCTAGAGCCGACACTTTCGACGCTGCAGGGCCGCGAGTGCGCGGTTGGATCAGGCCGCCTGCTGGGTCGGCAGGTTCAGTCATCTGCGGCGAACTACTCAAATCTGCACGCGTGGGATTTGCCGGACTGGCGAAGAGTGCTTCGCGGGTCAAGTTGTCAAGTCCGAGAAAGGAAGTCCGCAAATTGCTGGGAACTGAGCTCAGGAGCTGTAACAATTCGCTCGGCCAGCAACTGCACTTCTGCACGACCGCGGCCAGCAGCCGCGCGGCGAAGTCCAACAACGACTGCGCACTCAGGTTCATGCGCTGCCAGGTGCTCTGCCGCCGCTTCGTCAGCGTCTCTTCGCGCGTGTGATACAGGGGTTCCTCTCGGCCGTTTGCCCCACGAAGGATGAGGTCGGAGCAGAACAAGGTGTGAACTTCCGCGGCCAAATACAGTGCGAAAGAGGTGATAGCACAAGCTTCGTGGATGTAGCGCTGGGTCTGCGAGAGCGGGTCCGGTCCCTCGGTCGTGGGGATGAGAATAAAGAACACGTAAAAGAGCGGGGACATCCACCGGAGCATACGATTACTGATCCCGAACCGCTTGCAACTGCAGGCGCCGTTCCGAAGCAGGAAAAGGTATGCAAGGGAAAGACCCGACGCAGTCGAACAATGCAGGGCCGTCGCTGCACTAGCGGAACTCCTTCTTCTTGGTTGAAAACGTTACCAGGACACAGCTGCCGTTTTGGTTCGAGAAGAACTGGCCTGAAGGCTAGAAATGTCTGTGGTAAGCACCACCGGAATAGTACCGGATAAACATAACTGACTGTCGCACAAGCTTGCTCTTAGCTCCAAAATTTTTTCGAAATGACTACCACATGTAGAGATAGGTGTGGTCGCGCTTGCGATGCGAACGGATCATGCCTTCGTAGCGGGTAGAAGGATATCATTTGAACAAGCGCGCCGATGAACTCGAATCCATAGTAGATGCGGGCGTACGCCGTGCCGACGGCCATGGCTTCCGAGACGGTGCTTGGCATTTCGATGACGCGGTTCCGCGCCATCTGAATCAGGAAAATGATGTCTGCCACCAGGAAGCCTAACGTGAGAAGCACGATGCTCAGAAGAAGCCATTTTCGGGCCCACCGAACCCACACCGTGTCTGGCGATGTCCACTCATCCGCGTACAGCAGCGGCTCAAGGCTGCCTTCGAAAACGCGCTTCTCGGCGTCGAAGCTCTCTCGCAGGCGGAGGACGTTCCCGGCCGCATCCTTGTCCACTCGCCGGAGGGGTCCTCCGCCTGTTGTGGTGGCGGATGAAAACGCGCCGCCCGCCCCCGCACGGCCCGCCATCGTGGTCCTCCGGGTGTCCTCTATTGTTCGCAACTACTTAGCGGCTTTGCATCGGAGTCTCAAAGGGCGACTGCGTCTCATCGTTGCCCCCCGGCTTCGGCGACGCAACGTCGTGGGCCGGGTCTTTGCTGGCGCGCAGGAAGCTCAGTCCTCGTTCCACATTCATGAGCGCTGACTGTTCATCGCGCGCGACGAGCGAATGCATGCGGACGAAGGAAGAAAGTAAAACGCAGCCTTACTATATGCCTCGACGGATTGTTCTATGCGACGTGCACTGCAGGGTGCGACGTAGTTGATGGAGGTTCTACCGGGTGCATGTGCCGTCGGAGGTCTGACAGTAGTAAAAAGAACAAAGGAGTTACAGAAATATGCGAATACTTATCCAAACTCAAAAAAAAAATTGTCCTGAGGGAGAATGTAACAAATGCTAATGCGCAGAGCGTCTGTATATGTGTGTGTGTGTATACTTGCCAATACGCACATCCACGGATACATCGTTTACAGAACGCATGGGATCCGATTATGCGAATTTAGGGATGCTGTGTAGATGAGACGCCTATTTCTATGCAGTCAAACTGCATCGGCTTACGTCACGCACTAGCTTTTCTCGCTTAGGATCAGACACACATGACGACCTTGCGAGTTCGAGCAGGATCTCCACCGAGACAAGACTTGGAAGGAATATTTGCTTGGAAGACGAGTTCGAGGCCGGGCCCCCGCGCGTACACGCGGAAGGTGTGCTTCGGTTTCCAGACGTGCAATTACCTACCGGAAGGCGCGTGCGCGGCCGCGGGCGGGGGATCCGGGCGCGGGGGCCCCCGCGGGCGGACGACAAGCTCCCTATCGGGGATGTAAGTAAATCCAAACAGGCTCTAGTAGTACAAACGACAAGTAAATGCAAATCGAAGTAGTACAAACGTAGACGTAAGTAAATCCAAGTAGTACAAAATCGACAACGGCAAGGACTCTAGCCTTGTACCTGATCAACCTAGAGGGATAGAGAGCAGGCGACTTACAAGAACCTCGCTGGGCTTTATGAGTATCTAAGCGGCATGCTCCGCAAAGCGGCATGCTCCGCAGCGGTCAGGGGCCCAGATGGAACGGCGCTCAACAAACATCTCAGCGCCAACACTAACTAAACGGCACCCAAGCCATGACACGCCGAAAACCAACACACACTGACACATAACAGCACGGACCCGGCGTCATCACATTTTCGCACGTCTGATCGCGCGTGGCCTCTGATCGCGCGTTGTGATCGCGCGTGGCCTCTGTTCGCGCGTTGTGATCGCGCGTTGTGATCGCGCGTCGCCTCGGATCGCGCGTCGCCTCTGAATGCGCGTCGCCTCTGATCGCGCGTCGCCTCTGATCGCGCGTCGCCGCTGAGCCGGGCGGGGGCCGGGCCCTCTGATCGCGCGTCGCCTCTGATCGCGCGTCGCCTCTGATCGCGCGTCGCCTCTGCGCCGGGCGGGGGCCGGGCCCTCTGATCGCGCGTCGCCTCTGCGCCGGGCGGGGGCCGGGCCCTCTGATCCCGCGTCGCCTCTGCTCGCGTGCCGCTTCTGCGCCGGGCGGCGGCCGGGCGGGGGCCGGGCCCTCTGATCGCGCGTCGCCTCTGCGCCGGGCGGGGGCCGGGCCCTCTGATCGCGCGTCGCCTCTGCGCCGGGCGGGGGCCGGGCCCTCTGATCGCGCGTCGCCTCTGAGCCGGGCGGGGGCCGGGCCCTCTGATCGCGCGTCGCCCCTGAGCCGGGCGGAGGCCGGGCCCTCTGATCGCGCGTCGCCTCTGATCGCGCGCCGCCCCTGAGCCGGGCGGGGGCCGGGCCCTCGGATCGTGCGCCGCCTCTGATCGCGCGCCGCCCCCGAGCCGGGCGGGGGCCGGGCCCTCTGATCGCGCGTCACCTCTGAGCCGGGCAGGGGCCAGGCGGGGCACAAAATCTTGCCAGCTGGCAACCCCACTGCGCAAAATCTTGCCAGCTGGCTGCCCCGTCGTGCACAATCTGACAAGCTTGCCGCCACACTGTGCAAAATCTCTCCAGCTTGCCGTCCTGTGGCGCACAATCTCGCCGGCTGCCAGCCCCGCCGCCCAAAATCTTGCCAGCCGAGTGCCCTTGCGCTGCCGTCCCAAATTTTGACAGCCGACTACCTTGCCGCAGAAAATCTTGCCAGCCGGCTGCCCGCCGCGCGCAGTCGCACGAGTTGGCTACCCCTCTGCAAAAACTCTCGCCACCTGGCCGCCCCACCGCACAGAATCTAGCCAGCTGGCCGCGTGGCCGCACAAGATCTTGCGAGCCGGTCGCCACACCGCGCGAAATCTTCTGTCCGGGTCGCCTCGTCGCGTAAAATCTGGTGAATTGGCCGCCTGACCACACAAAATCTTGCTAGCTGGCCGCCGTGCTCTACAAAATCTCGCCAGCTGGCGGCCTTGCAGCAGAAAATCTTGCCAGCTGGCGAAAGAACCACGCAACATCTTGGAAGTTGGTCAGCGCGCCGCAGAAAATCTTGCCACTCAGCCACAAGCTGCGCAATATATGTGCTGCCCAACCTTCCAATTGTAGGATTTTCCAATGAAAGAGCTGCGATGGCCGTTACAATGCATTTTTTTCCGTCAACGCGCCAAAATGGGTGCAATGTTTTCCACTATTGGGTGCCTAGGTGTCAGAAACGGGCTAAAACTGGTCATCGAACAATTCCGAGAAATCCGCAACTGAGCGCTCTCCTCAACGACGGACGAGTTCACCGAAAGTAGACGATTTATTTGTGCGTCTGCAACGACATACGATTGGCAACAGGTAATGTACGATTTAAATGTCTTCCTACGATAAAACCGACACGTCAGACCAGATTAAGCCGATTCTTCTTAAAAGCCGTGACGTTGTGAAAACACGAACTGGAGATAAGTCTCCGCTCGTCCTTACCCAGAAGGAGATCAACAGAGAGTCGATCGAGAGTGCGAAGCAAGGTTATTTTTTGTGTTTTTTTGGTTTTTAAGTGTTTTTTACTTTTTTCAGTTTTTTATTCAGAAATTAGTTCTAGAAGTCGAGTTAAGACAGACAAACAAGGCCGCTGTCGTCTTCACGAAAATCTCTTCTACTGTTTTTGATTGAAATGAGAGATTTTTTCTGTCCGCATGAATGTCGTGTTGCCTTCCTCGAAAACTTCCAACAAAAAATTGGCTGTGGGGCGACAGCAAAAAAGAGAGATATAAAAACTCAAGATTGTACCCGATGATCGTGCGAAGCAAAAAGCTGAATGAGTTTTTTTTATTAAGCTGTCTTTTATAGGTCTTGTTACTTGTGTGTCCCAGTGTTCTTCTTATTACCAAAAAACAAGTATTGGCAATCCAGTCTTCACCGATGAATATTTGACAGTTTTACTTCTTTGCTTTTTCCAATAAGTTGTTCTTCAGCAAAAAACTTTGCCGAGGAATTTGAAATTGATGGATCACTTAGCATCCTACGTCTCAGTAGATGCAAGCGCGTATTGCTTTGGTTCTGGAAAAAACGTCTTTTCTGAAACAGCGACTTTCATCTATTGAATGAGAAGCACTACCCATTTGATATAAAAGGATGTGATAGTTATACTCGCGTTCTAATCTGAAGATAATTCGAATATCTTTCTTTGGATAATCATCTCCTTTTCACATCTCTTCAATCCCGTCTTTTCGCGACTACTGCTGGACTCTTCTGATGTTATTCCGGATGATTCTATTCTGCCTTGCTGGTAACGAATTGCTCTTTTACTGGATAACGCAGGACCGCTCTTCCGAGATCCTGAAGCTTACGTTGTAAGTTCCAGGAGCGAGGTTGTAAATTCCTGGCTGCACATCAAGATCAATTTCTCCATCTACTTGCGCCTGTTGATCATCGCCCGTCGTTTGCACGGCTACGCTTGCCGTATTTCCTTGATCAACAGCGGGAGACATGTTTGCAATCACTTGTTGATTATTGTCCTGCACGACGACGCTGTTGTTTTGAACGACGAAGTTGTTGATTCCACCGAAATCCTGATCATTGGCCTGCTGATTCTCCTGGTCAGCATTTCCGACGTTCTCATTACTGTCATCACCACCTTGTTCGTATTCTTCTTGGACGTCTTTTTCTGGAGAACGCGGAGCTTCCAATTCTTGTTCATTTCCTCCCTGTTCCACAAAATCAGACCACAATGGAACAACAGGTTGTTCTGGAGACACAGGAGATCCGAACAAAATCGGCAGATAATCTCCCGTGTGAACTTCATACATCCTTGTAAGGTCTTCTGCCTGTTCTTGTCCTTCCGTGGGAATTTCATCCATCATTGCAAAGCTTTCTTCCTCTTCAGCCGTCGCACCAACGGCGTCATCCAAGATCGAGGCGACGTTGTTCACGGGAATTCCTTGTTGTGACAAGTCAGGAGACGTTAATTCTTGATCTGCATTTTCTTGTTCTTGTGGAGGTGCAGCTACATCTCCAGGAGACGGAGAAGCGGGAATTTGCTCATCGCTCTCCAATTCCCGTTGATGCTCGATGGCCCCATCCACTAACCCAATCACCGGCGAAGAAGCCATGTTCTTGTTAAAACCGTAGCGGACCAACTGCAAGAACTTATTTGTTCCGTATTTTTCCAGAATTTTCTTGAACTCCGGCAAGTTCCGAATTTGTTCCGTCGTAGATCGGACAGCGTTGACGTTCAATCCCCAAACCCGCAGCTTCTCCTTTCTAACTTCCGGGTCAAAGATCGCCAGCTGTGTTTCAGGTGGAGACGCAGAAGGAGGCGGAGATGCAATTTCCGTCTCCTCTTCGTTTTCCTGCCCATCCCCAAAGATCTCATCACTTCCTTCCGAAGGGAGATCGATCTCCATGTCCGAAGACGTACGACGGGTACGATCTTCATCCAACGGGCTGGATTCGGGGATTGGAGAACCGCGTCGCGCACCTGCGGAAGGCTGCTCTTGAATCACTGGTTCCACCGGGACGGGATCATTGTTGTTTGCATTTTCCATTTCCACGTCTTCCATTACAACATCTTCTTGAGGAGCAGCGACAGGAGTAACGGGTGGCGGTGCTTCCGCCTCCGGTTCTTGTTCTTCTGGATGAGCTCGAGTGTACGAGTTTTCTGCTGCGACTGCTTCATCTCTCCATTCCTCGTCGGCGTTGTTCCAATAAAGATGTGCGTAATCCCTCCAATAGATGTGCCAGGGAACCCACAGATTCCATTCTACCTGCACATACTCCGTAATGTCGTTTAGACGATAACAGTCGTCGCTGGCGTGCGTGGTATTCCAACCATGCAGTTGACAGAAGTATTTGCACTCCCTACGCCGCGCGTGGGAGGGATCATGTCTCTTGCTCCACTTCTTGCTCGGAGTACGTCGTGCTAGCAGCCCATTATTGCGTCTTCCACGAGAAACTGATCGCCTCCTTCTTGATCTAGAGCGTCTCCTTCCCGACCAATGTTGATCAATGTTGTGGTGATGGAAGTCGTTGTGGTTCTGCGCCGCGGAAGACGATGATGATGCAGCACCCGGCAACAATGCCGGAGTAAACGCCATCGCTGGGCTCGGTGCGATTTGTAGATGCACATCTGCATTATACCGCTCCCCCGTTAAGGTAGTGCCAATGTCCAGCGGTCCCAGTGCTTGCTCCTCTTGCATCAATGCCAGCGCAAGCTGTTGGTCAGCCACCACTTGTTCATAAATCGACTGATCCAGCGGCTCAACCTGAGACGCCTGTTGTTGCAGCTGCGACGAACCGGTT